CGGTGGCCACCAGAAGATAGTGCAGATCCTACTCGACGCGGGTGCCGATATCAACGCACAAGGGGGCTACTATCGTAACGCACTACAGGCGGCATTATACGGTGGCCACGAGGAGATGGTGCAGATTCTACTCGACGCGGGTGCCGATATTAACGCACTACGGGCGGCTTCAAGAGGTCGCTACGTGAAGGTAGTGCAGATGCTCACTGGACGGCAAGGAATGTCGTTGTAATGCAAATCTATAGTACATTTCATACAGAATGCGAGGTACCTTTGTCAAACAACTCCGTTAAGTCGATTGTCAGAGGGATGGACCATTGTGGTGAAGTCCCAGATCCGGTAATCGCGCCTAAATTTGACGAAGAAGGACGCATGGCTACATCTCTGGCTGATGAGCTAGCTCTGTAGTATCGGCTGCTTCAAACACCAGGCCCTGGTCGCCACAGGTCGGGACTTCCTGGTCGCAGGTTCACGGTAGGCAGTTCGGCCATATGCAGCTTCGCACTGCCATATGGGCGCAGTTCGACCGGAAAGGCCCTGCCGGTGCAATTCCGCCGACCTGCCAGTGGTGGGTTGGGGGCATACCCGTCTCGCAGCTCCCAGTCTATCTGGCAGGCCAGTGCCGAGATGCTGACGGGCGGCCGCTCCTCGTGCCAGATCGGATGGGGGAGCCAGGCATCGTACCGATTGGGATATTCGTAGAATTTCAGCGCCGTCACGTCGACGGCCACGTTCCAGTAGTCTCGCGGGAGGATCGACCAGTCGTTTGCCTCGGGAGGAGCCTCCGTGCCCGGGTAGTTGGCGGGTCGCGAAGCAGTGTAGTCTCCGGCCAGGGGCAGAGCATAGAGCAGCGCCCCGTAGTAGACGGAGATGGTGTCGTTGGCTCTCGACTCCACGCGCAGATGAGTGCTAAACGAGACTTCGACACGCGTCCGTCCGGCGGGAATGACCATCGTATGTAGGCCGGTGCTGTTGTCCGGCGCCAGGGGGTGCTTCTTGCCACGGTCTACCATGACGATGCTCGCATCTGGCAGAGCCCAGGCGGGGACCCTGAACGAGAATCGAAACGCCGATCTCGCCTTGATCTCATAGTTGAGGTAGTTGCTGAACGGATAGTTCGTGTCGCATCGAATTCGTATCTGGTTCCGCTTCTGCAGCGTGGTGCTGACATGAGCCGGTCCGAGGAGGGCGTGGACCAATCCGTCTTCTCCGTCTTTCACATACATGGCGGGAACAAATTTGGAATATCCTTGCATGTTGACCGTGCAGCACGGGTAGTTCGGCTCGGTCCCAAAGGTTTGGCCCATAGGTCCGACATTCCAGAAAGGGGGATTGTCAAGACGATGGCTGACGGGTTGGTTTGTCTGGGCGACGTATTGATGAGCCCACCAGTGTGGCATCAACATGACGGGCAAAGCATTGTAGGCGGCCAACTCTGTCTTGTCGGCGAAGTCGCGGTCCCCCACAGCGTGATACAAATAGCTCAAGGAGAAGATTGATTCCACCACGCTGCAAAGCTCAGTCCCTCGGACCGGGCTCAAGCCTGCCTCACGTTCATCCCCGATGATCGCACCAGATGGCGTCCCGTGGTAGCGAAAAGTCCAGTTGACGCCATTTCTGGTAGTATTGAGAAGGACATCGTCCTGGACCAGTCTTCTCATCACGCCACCCCATTTCAACCCTTGACCAGCGTTCACGCCGTGGACGTAGGGGAACAGGCTGTTGGTGAGATCTTGCGGGTACGTGTCCAGGTCGCCTTTCAGAAAGTGATCTTCGTGGAACCAGTACGACCAGTCATAGGCCATCTCATACATCTGGACCATGCAATAATGGATGATCTTTTCATTACCCATGGGGTATTTCTCGTACAGCCACTGCAGGACCAAAACCATGTCTGCCGCACGGGATCGACCCCATTGCTCGTCGAACAGATCCCCGGGTTTCCAGACATAGCCCTGATGGTGGTCCTGGAGCATGGAATACATCAGGCGAACGAAACGGTGCATTGCCGGCAACACCATGGTCTCGCCCAGCTCGGGCTCGGCTTCGACAAGCTGCATGAAACCCAAGAAGAGGGGATATCTGGCCCAGAAATTCCGACGGGACAGGCTCTCTTCCGGCCCGAGCCACCCATCTGCATGTTGATGGTCGATGACCCATTCCGTAACCCGGAGAACATGGTGTTTCAATCGCGCGTTGTTGGTTGTCCACGCCAGTGGAACAAGGGCGTTGTATGAGTAGGGCCATGCCTCGTTCAACCCTAACAGGCCGTCAGTCAGCGCAGCAAAGGAGGACCTGTCACATCTACACTCACATGAATATTCCTGGTCGCCTCCGAGCCAGGGGGCATCTTTGACAGGGCGGTAGAACTCATGCAAATGGCCTGGAAGACCGTTGGCCATGAGGTCCATCTGTTGACCAAGCCATCCTACCGGCCTGATAGAACCAAGAGGAAGAGGCTCAAACCTCAACGGCAATACTGGCCGCGTTAGCCGGCCCCGTCTCCCCTAAGAACACGTGGCCTTCCTACATGAGGTATTATACCCATCAGGTTGTTTGCTAGACCTTTGCGCATCGTCTCTCGGGGTGCGGACATTCCATGTGGACGACTCGAAGACGGGGTTTGAGTCGTCACGCCGTCTTTGGTGATAAGAAGCTGCATCTGGGGTGAGGATCTGCACCATTCCTAAGGGGAAGCCTTCTGGTACCGTACCTGCATGATTGTTCGCGGGCTGAGTATGAGGATCTGGCCACCCAAGGGCTTCAACACCGGCCAATCGTAGCAGCAACAAAAGGGAAATTACCAAGACGAAAAAGGGGCAAAGACACCCATGCAACATTGTCTAGGTACAGGAGCCTGTGCCCGCACAAGAAAGGACAGGAAGATGGACGGGGGAATCGTGGCGGACATTTTCTCCATGTCAGAAAATTGCGTGCGGCGCCGTGCCGATTGGATCTTCACCTGTGCATGCTTCGTGCCCAGTCACGGCGATCACGCGCCACCCATCCATCCCACATCCGCAGGTCATCGGCGAGCAAACACCATCATGGGCTGAAAAGATCGGCGACGGTGAGGGTGTCGCAGTTGTCCGATCCTGTCGGTCCCTTTCGAGAGAGCAGCTTCTCCCAATTCCAATCAACGACATACCTATCCGCCGAGCCGTAATATTACATATTATATCCACCGCCCCTAGTTCGTGTTTGCATGCACGAGCCGAACGGAGTCACATTGACTGATCAGCCACTGACGTAGCAGACGAGGCCCGATCCAACGTTCGCCCCCGGCCTGTCCGCTGCCGAAGCAATGCTGGGGCATTTCTGGTAAGCGCATCAGTATCAGGATTCCATATTCTACATGTCTATGAAGAAAACTGCTGGTGACGAAAACACTGAACAGCGACGAGAACTCATTGTGAAAAAAGTGTAGAGTTCGCGTATCGAATTGTTCTCTATCACACGCTACCTTGAGTCGAATGACCAGGGGCCAATTCAGCCTCTTCTGCACTTCATTCAGCGAGCAAACTCGCCGCCACCACAACGCTGAAGCTAGACTCTCTTCCCCTGTTTCATCATGCACATTATCTCTTCTTCTCGTGCTTGTGCTGTTTACCACTAACGGTTTCGGTGCTCGACTAACCCGTGGGACTCTCACATCTCCAGGCGCTCAAGTTCACAGAGCTCTTATATGCATCCACCATTGATGTAAATGCCGCGTACAGACCGAGAACCATGGTCACAAAACTACCCAAGTAGAAGATCAGATCGAAAAGATTCCAGAAGAGTTCCTTCTTAAAACCTCTCCACCATCTCTTGAGACCGCTGTCCAAATGACGGACCGTGCCAGTGGCTGGGTCAAATGTTTCGCCGGGGAGCATGGCGTCGCGCTGGCACTTGAAGCCCAGCATCATGAAAGGCGGGAAGGTATATGTGAACTGCAAGATGCATCCTGCACCGACGAGGACGATCCATGTGTTGATTTGAGGAACGGATTGAGTGACGACCCAGGCAAGAGTCCAGTAGATGGGGACGAAGGCAACCCAGATCCATTTGCCAGTCTTGGATTCCAACAGCGGGAAGTTGAGCAGGTCACGGCCCAAGTTGTTGTAGAGCACTTTGATGCCAATGTTGCCGTAGAGAACAGCGGCAATGAGGCCGGTGATGAGTCCAATGATGTTGCACGCTGTTTGCCAGCCGTACGGCGAGATACCCTGGTACGAGACATTGTAGGCGTACTGCCCTTGCATGCAGTAGGTATAGATTCCGTAGACCATGTAGCAGGCATAGATGAGGAGGTCGGCGCAGAGAAGACCCTTCCAGAAATCCATGGGCCGCCGCATCTCAGCCAAGAGTTCGACAAACAGAGTCGCACCACCAAAGGAGAAGACGGCGTTCATCAGACCGTTGACGTTGTCAACAATGTCGAGACCCGGAGGGGCGGAGCCGGAAACTTGAATTGGTGCTGGGTTGTTGATGTCGAAGTCAGGGTTCGCAGCCGCGTAGAGTTTGTAGTTGGGAGGAGAGTGAGCCATGACGCCCATACTGAGAAAGCCATTAGTTACGAGCTGATTTCAACCATCCCCCGAGGTGCAGACTTACGTTGCGAAAATGATGAACAAGTTGAGAAACACAGCCCAAGAAGCCAACCAACCGAACCGCTGGAGAGTTCGAATCTGTCCAATGATACAGCCAGCAAGCATGCAGACCACCACACAGACGATGAAGCACAGTTGGCCCTTGGACAACTGACTGATGGACTGGCCGCTGCTCAGAATGATGAGGGCGACGTTGAGGAAGAATTGGAACGACTGCAGAAGGTTGCAGGTGTGGCGGAACCAGGGACCGTAGACACGGAACGCGATGTCGCCGTAGCCTTTCATCGGATAGCGATCGCTGTCCAACTGGAGGTACATGCGCCAAAGCTGGTAGCCACTGTAACCAGCAAGGGCACCGAAGACAGTGAAGAGCGTAACGCCGGGGCCAAGACCCATTTGCGAGAAAGCGTATCCGGTACTGAAGGGACCGAGAATGTCGGTGGTGATGAGGTAGAAGACGGCACCCCTATACGTGCGGTTAGCAGTGAAAGAGTCGGTATCGGTGAGGGTGTGCAATACCATGTAGCTGTTCTTGCTGCGCGCGAGGCCTGAACCCATTCCTCGTCAGAAATGGTCATGGGTTCAAACTTCTTGTTCTCAATGGCCGACTTTTCGTTGCCCGAGTCCGATTCGTGCCTCACGATCTGCCCCTCTCCCTGGGCGCTGATGGACAGCCTGGGCTGAGGAACCGACTCGCGGCGGTGCTCGACTCGCTTCCGAAGAATCTTCTCTTTGATGAAGGTCATGGTAGGTCCAGAACCTTGGGTGAAGTCGCTTCCCGGACCGTACAACCGTTCCTCCTCCTGACGAGTGATTTTTGCATAGTGGAGGTACTCTTCAAATGGAATGCTGGAGTCATGGAGTTTTGCTGCGACCCTGGTAGGGAAAGTGATGGCGTCAAGACCATTGGCATGGAGACGCTTGTCATCCACGGCCCCAGGGCCAGAGATAGATCCCACTCCAGATGCCATGTTTCTCAAAGGTATAGGAACCGCTCAATTCTGACAGTCCTGCAGAGGGGAAACAGCAGATGGGGAAGAAGGGAGGGAAGACTGGAGAAGGAGAGGTGCCACTTCGTCTATCTTATAGGAGATGGGCCTGATGTCGCTCGCTAGGAGACGGAGACATGGGTAGCAACGTCGTACTCTTAGCTCATAGCGCAAAACACTGAAATCGCTATACCTACGAGAATCCATGGAATCCAAAAGACTTCTAATGATCAGAGGTTGGCGTGACGCCACGAAACGCCATGATCCTCGCCTGGTCCAGCATCCCGCGACCGACAGCTGATAGGGCATCATCAAATAATTGGTGTTTTCTAGAACGAACCCCGGTACGGATCCAGGGCAGGAGTCTCCATTCAGACAGCATCCGAGAGGGGATGCAATATGAAATCTGAGATTGCGACGTCAACCTGCGATCGCCGTTGGCTGGTTCCAATGGGGTAGCATTGCCCTAGCAGAGACAGGGTTAGGAGGCGATTGCATCTTGACCTCACAAAACAGGAGGGTTTCTATGAATTAGCGGGACGCAAGGAGGGCTGGCTGTCAATCATGGGTTATGAAATCATGCGACATCACAGCACACACCTCGGTGATAGTGGTGGGCGTAACGCAATCAGGCAGGTAAAATTGATGCCGGGCGAAACGGGCGAATCTCTGAGAGAGGAAATGATCCTCACCGAAGGTTAATAGGACGGCCCCTGCAAACATAACCTGGTCGCCGCTCGCTTGTCTCGCCCACACTGGGGCGAATTGATAAAGTCTCTCCAGGACGTTCTTCGGAGCGCGTGCAAAGGGCTCCATACGTAGCCCGTGGGCCGGTGTTGATTGTGGCTATCTCTCCCTCTTCTGGCCGTGAGGGCAAATGGTTTTTGTCGGACGAGATACAGCTTCGGAAGTGATCTGGGCGGCAGCCGGCCAGTCTTTCCCATTGGTGAAGAATCCTTCCCATAGCTTCTGCTAAATTTGCCTGCTTTGCGAAATTGTTCGATCGTGGGCATCTCGATCAATCATGTCCTCTTCCGTAACGCCACTGGAGATTCCCCGATACTCGTACGGCATAGTTGCTTGGGTGCCCCGACGTCGATTCCGAATACAACTTTGGCGTCTTGGGGTGGGAGAAGCAAATGCTAAGCTTTGGCTTAAAGCTTGCAAGAGCTTGACCGTGTAGGCTTGAGAGACCTGGCCCAATCCGGGACTTGTGGCAGTTTGCCACAGTTGAGTTCCCGTGGTGGTCGCGGGAGAACATTCAAGAGTGGTTAAGCCTCAACGCCCCGCGGACTCTTCCTCTCCACCCTTGGCCATTCACAGCACCCTGTTTCGGTGTGGCTTTTTCTTCGGCTTCTCCAGGTGTTCTAGGCTCGAAGAAAGGATCGTGATTGATAGGTGATCGACAAGGTTCATGGGGGAAGGCGTGCATCCACCTCTGTACTGTAAGGTGTTCAATTGGAACTGCTCAGTGCATACATGGCCGGCCGGTTATCAGAGGCTATCTCGCCTACAGTGCTCGAAATATGCTTTTTCAAGCTGAGAGAGAGGAACGGCCTAGGGGCAGGGCCGTAATCAGTAGGTACTCGGGAGAGGAGTTGACTCGAGCCCAAACACCGGAGGGCCCCGTTGGACCTGGCAGCGTTGCATTCCATGGAACTAGCTATCATGATCTCGCTAGATGTGGAATCGACGTCCGTGAAAATATGGAGTACATTGTGCGGAGTGGGAGTCCTCTCGGCGTGGTGTTATCTGTTGTTGAACGAGCTCGGGAGGAGCCGAATCATCCAGCAAGGGACATGTGCCTGGCGCCCGGGCCAAAATTAAGGCTGTTTCTCGCCTGGCATTGTCTGCTAGAGTCTGGGGCCCAGTGAGCTTGGGGGGTGACATTGCTACTGTACCTCTCGCACCACCCGGCGAGCCGGCACTTTGCCGCGGGGGTCTCGGCAAGACGGCGCCGGATTATGTTCAGATGTACCTACCTACTCCGTACAGTAGGACAGGCCGTGAAAGCGCAGGGCCACAATACCGCATAATGAAGACAAAAGATTGGGAAAGAGCAAATGATCCTGCATGGGATACACGAGATGGAGTTTGGACCACGCAAGGCCCCCGGACGTCGGCACCTGAAGGAATGCTGGGGGAAGAAAGGATTCCCTGGAGCAGTCCTCTTCCACCCCCAGATAACCGCTTGGCACCTATGGGGCCACAAGGAGGCCGAGAGTACTCGGTACTGCGTACTACTGTACGTACTCCGTACCTCGTACAGATTGCTATCCCCAAAGCTGCGCAAATCATCTCTGAAGTCTGCACTCTCTGATCATTCTACCCGCGTCTGTCAGCTCGCCCCTTCTGTCGTTTGAGCTCGAGGGCATGCCATTGGTGTGACCCCCCCCCGCAACAATGTCGCGCTCGAGGTGACAAAAGTCCCTTCCAACATCTGGCCAAAAAATGTCAATGCTGAGGCGCATGTTCGCCCGTGCACCGGCTGGGTCACAGCAACCGTTCGTCGCTAAAGTGATCACGATCGGAGTCACATGTGTGGCAGCATATTCATCATGGGCCCTGGTGGCACATCATTGGATTACATGTGCTGTATGTTTGAGAATCTGTTGATTGACACTTGCCCGAGCCTTCGCTAAGATTGCATTTGGCCAAAAGCCCTCGCTAGGTCCTTCCATGTACCCGTCCATGCCCAGCAGCCTCTCATACAACGTCTATTCTCGAAGGCACAAGCGAGGGAAGAACATTGAAGTGGGAGACGTTGTAGTCTTTGAGAGCCCTATCTTCCTCCGTGGCGTTGCCTGCAAACGTGTCATTGGCATGCCGGGGGATTATGTCCTCCGCGACCCTCATCTCTCTCCTACCGTGGGCGGCGCTCCCATCCCGGGCTTATATGAGGGCAATGCTGTCCGAGAAGAACCTGTCATGATACAAGTCCCAGAGGGTCACGTGTGGGTAGCTGGAGACAATCTGTCCTACAGCAGAGATTCCCGATTCTATGGTCCCCTACCCATGGCTTTGATTACGGGAAAGACTCTGTATGTTGGCGACGGATATCTGAATTGGAAATCTTTCCGCACACCGCAATTACAACCGGTCACAGTCTCTGAAGATACGACGCATGCACCGGTGGAAGGAGAGGTGGCCCTGAAAGACACCCAAGCGACTTGAGAATGCTGCACGTCAGCAAAACAAGAAGATGGACATCAGAAGCCTCAACAGACATGCAGTGTTCTACACGATGAAGCAAATCACGGTTGATATTGTACAGCAGGTGCCAGCTAGAGCAGTGCTTAGCTATCTTATCCTCTCATCCTAGACGTGTCGCGCCTCTGATACGGCAGAGGGTCAACCTTCTTCCTCTTGAACTCGATATCCGAACCTTCAATTCCTGCTCTCTGCATAACTGCCGCCGTGCTGTCATCCCACTGTGTGCGGAACAATGAAGCACTGATGGGACTGAGCATATGACGACTCATCACGCTGCGGATTGTGAACCCATCTCGCTGAATCTTTTTCTTGGCAATCTCGAGGTCGATGGGAATGTTATCTTTTTGTTGTAATATAACGATGGACAATCGATGATAGGGGCTGCCTTTTTGCGCGTAGGGTGGCAGCCACGGAAGAAGGACCTGGGAAGCCGGGGATAGAATTGCGAGATCTACCGATGGCTTCGTCGGTGAAATGGTAATGTTGCAGGCTAGATAGTGGCATCGAGAGTCAAAGGAGTCGGTCTCGGTATTTGGAACGTCTGGGTCAACAATGGCGATAGTGACCATCTTCTCGCCTCGCTCATAGGATTGTAGGGTCAGACGGGGAGGGCTTTCGCTGATGTGCGACTCCACGAACTCGCCCGGTTGTACAACTCTGTTTCCAAACACAATCTTGACGTCCAGAGCAGGATCCACGTTTGGAATGACGTCGGGCACCACCTTCATCTGCGTGATCCGTTGAACGAGGACTTTTCGCGGGTATTCTCGCCATTTTCGCTCAGCGAGATGTCTGTAGATGGGTTTGCCCAAGTCACCTGAGGTTGTTAGCAAGATACGGCAATTCTCGCCGCATGTCTGCGTACCTTGGCCATCCTCAAACCTCCTCTTGACATTCGGATCGTTAATATCAGCTAAGATCTTGAGATTCTCCAGCTCTGCAAGCATGCTGTTCAACCTCCTTTGTTTGTAGAGTTCTCCTCCCGGAAAAGTGCTCGGGTCGACATCACGGAGCCGAGCAATGCGAGCCCTCTCAGTTTCTATCTTTTTGAGCTTTTCTGCTCGGTCGGCAATGAGGATCTTGCGGGCTTCTTGGAAGCACTGATAGGGCAATTCATCGAAGGGTATGCCAGGAGATTGCGCGAGGGCAGCCCGTCGTCTTCGCGATCCCACCGGGAATTGACCAGCCTTCAGAAGCTTTCGCTCAAGTCGGGGAACATGGACGGTAGCTGGGTCAGGGTTGTGATAATAGGATGGCTTTTGGAGTTCGACTTCTTGACAATTCGAGCTTGTGGTTGCGAATGTTCGGAGAGCAACTCTCGCTGCTGGCACCTCAGTCGCTAACGATCTCAGTGAATGCAACAAGCGGGTACTGGGCGCCCTGGAAGGGGCCATGTTCAGCAAGTTGGGTAAGAAAACTGCGCAGATCACAGATTGCTGATCGTGGGAAGCAACAATACTGGACTTTCTCAATTGACCACCGAAAATTGTTCAGAAGGTTCAGCAGATGTTCGGAGGAGCATCAACCCGCGACTACGCAGATCGCGGTCACGTGAATAGCAACTTCTGGCTGCCTCAGTTGCTCCCCTGCGCCACTAACAACTGGGCGGAAATGAGACGCCCGACGGCTCTCGCTTCGAACTATTCGTCAGGCGGGTCAATTCTTATCAATAAGCAATGTGCTAAGCATTGGCAGGACCTAAACACACCAATCCAAAGCTTGAGTCAGGCACGATCCATCTGGCAAGTTCATTCTGGGTAAAAGCCTTCGTATGATCCGGCAAATCTTCATGCCATCGAAATGAGGATCGCTTGACGCGGTGGAACGTGCTCTATTTTTAAGAAGCAGTTTTACCTTGTTGAGGTCTCTTGGGGTTTTATGCCCAGAGCCGAGATCTCTTTCCTTGGACCGGCAGCTCCTCTGATATACATACCACTTGCACCTACTGGCACCCATTCTCCCTGCTGAGTCACCGACGTTCTAACTTGGCCGAGAACGGCGAAGGCACCTGGGAAGGGGGGGTTGGAATCCCTTATGTAAACCCTGACTACTCGGTGTTGTGTGCTTCATCGCCTGTCTGGTATCTGGCCCTTTGTTCTCTCCTCTTTTCGTACTGAGAACAGCGACAATGTCGGAAGGTGACAACCAACGCCCAGACACGATGGCCCAGGAAGCCGACAACAAGGCTGCCACAGACCGGGCTCATGATGTCGGGCCTGATGTCCAAGAAGCTGCGCAGCCCAAACCCAGTCTTTTGAAGAAGATACAGACAAAATTGAATCTTGATATTCCCACCCTTTTACTGATGCTCAAGTAAGGCTTCTTCTCCCGTCGTGATTATTCAAAGCTAAGTGGAAACAGGGGTGGACTGCCTCCAGCCATTGCACTTGCAGCGTAAGTCTCAGAACCTCCTATTAGACGGTCGCTCATGGTCCTAGTTATCAGAGTGATGCTTGGGCTAAACAATACTCGACCTTGGGATACCTGATTGCAATCACGTCTTTTCTGTCTCTTCCAATCCTGCCGCGGGCAAAGTTTGTCCAGTCCATGACAATTTCCATCGTCACCATCTGTTTTGCTGCTGCCGTTGCCTTGCTCACGATACAATGCGCCGTTGCTGCCCGCCAACGCGCAGCCCAGAATCCCAATTCTACGACCACTGGTTCCTCCGGTAGTAAACAAAGTCTGGAATACAGCACGGCGGCTAATGTCACGGCCTGTGTTTGGCTGTTCTTTTGGCTATGGATCGCGAACACGTTGCGAGCAGCCCGTCCCCAGCTCTTAATCGTATCGATTCAATTTACCATCTTCGTGGTTGTCGCTTCCACCTATACTCCGACATTTCCGAATATGACGGCCGGCATAGGTTTTGTGGAGCGACTGTTGAAGGTGTTTCTGACTGGGTATGGTCTGGCAACTGCTGTCTCACTCTTCATTATACCATTCTCTTCGAGGTTGATTGCCAAAAAGCAAATTGCTGGCGTGCTCGACTTGATGAAGGTCTCCCTTTCCATCCACACCGCCTATCTGCACGGCATAACCACCTCTCAATCTGGCAGTCCTGGTCTTCTAGACGAGGATGGCAACCCGCTGCCATTGCATGAGAACCCCGAGGCGCGAGTGTCCATGAAGGTTGCTGAAGAATCGGCTCAAAAGCTGAAAGCAACACTCCAAAAAGCCACTCAACTGTTCGGGCAGCTGAAGCTCGAGATCGGCTTTGCTAAGAAAGAGATTGGATGGGGCAAGTTACAACCAGAAGACTTCGGCCGAATTTGGGAACGGTTGCAGAACATCCTCCTTCCTGTTGCAGGACTGTCAACCTTTGTGGACATTCTCCAATCTGTGAAACGCCACAAAGCTGAAGGGGAAAATTTAATTCCTGACTTGGATGCCATCGAGGCGATCAGGCGACTGGAGGCGGAAGAATGGCATGAAGTCGTTGTCATGTCTCGTATTCCATTCTGGAAAATGAAGACTACTTTGGTCGACGGGCTGACACATGTTGCCTATGTGTTGGAACTCACGCCTCGGCCAAAGACCCCCACGAAAGACGTCGAGACCACCGCGGGATCATCTCCAGGTCCAGGACACCCGGCATTTGCCCAGTATCTGATGGACCAGATGGCCATTTTCCAAGAGCACCGGCGAGAGACCATGCGAAAGTGGTGCGAGAAAAAAGGTATAGAAGTACCCTCGAAATTTTGGGAAGACACATCCTCTCAATACAATTTCGAGGACGTAGGTTCTCTCCAGGAGGCTGTTCGACAAAGGCAGAACCACCAGCAACTCTATCTGATCCTTTATCTCGAGTATCTACTCTTCGCGGTTTGTCACGCGGTGTTGGACTTTGTCCTCTTCGCAGACTCGAAGGTGGAAGACGGCACCATGAGAAAGAACAAGCTGATCTTTCCCGGGTGGCGACGGATTCGCAAGTTACTGCAAAGCGCATTCACACAGACGGACGCCAGTGAAGGCCTTCAAGATGGACCGGCATCAGGTATTTACATATGGGTGGGAGACTCTCTTCAGAAACACAAAGACCCAGAACATCTACCGCCAACGAACGTGTACCAGCGCATGACCGACCACCTTAGGTCTGTCCCGAAGTTTCTGGCTTCGGATGCTTCGCATTTCGGTTTCCGGGCAGCAACTGCGAGCATCAGCCTAGCCATCATTGGATATCTGCGCCAAACCCATGCATTCTATCTGGCTCAACGTGGAATCTGGGCCGTCATCATGGTCGCTATCAGCATGGGCGCACATGCCGGAGCCGGTGTCCAAGGATTCATCTTGCGTATCGTAGGGACTGCTATTTCGATGGTCATCTCGATCACTGTGTGGTATATGGGCGACCAGAAACCGGCAGCTGTCATTCCGCTGATCTACTTGGTGTTTGTGTGCGGCATTTACGTGATATTAAAACACCCCAAACAGCTCATCACGGCCGTCATTTCGATTGTCACTACGATTTTGATTATTGGCTACGAACTTCAAGACAAAAAAGTCGGCACGAAGGTCCTCAGCAGTAATGGACAGGCCTTCTACCACGTTTACTTGCTCGCCCCCTACCGTCTGGTCAGCGTCGTGGCAGGCCTAGGTGTCGCTTTCTTCTGGACATACTTCCCATATCCCATTACCACGCACGCAACGCTCCGCAAAGATCTTGGCTCTACCCTGTACCTGATGGCCAACTACTACTCCTGCATGCACTCCACCGTCGAGATCCGCCTCCGCACAAACGCCGACCTCGCAATTGATAAGAAAAACGACCCCATGCGCAAGCTATCCAAGGCGCGGCGCAGGGTGTTTGATAAACTGATCGTCATGTTGAACCGGCTGCGCGAACACAGCCAGTTCCTCAAGTACGAGCCGACGTTTGGCGGGAAGTTCCCCAAGGAGACCTACGACGAATTGATCGTGCACATGCAGTCCCTGTTCAACTACATGGCGCTCACGGCGTACTCGAGCAACGCGTTCTCCAGCGAGAACGAGGAATCCGAGTGGCTGAAGCTATTCAAGCGCATCACCGCGAACTCGACAATCACCTCGCACGCGCTGACCTCGACCCTGTGCCTCGTCTCGGCCAGCATCACTAACTCCCAGCCCCTGCCGCCGTACCTCTCCGTCGCGCGCCCGATCGACATCGCCGGCCAACTCGCCGCCATCGACCCAGGCATTCTCAGCGTCAAACACATCAAGGAGCCGTGCTACGCGGCTTTCGCCGTCATGGAGATTGCGAGCATCCTCATCATGCAGGAGATGGTCGCCGTGCTGGCCAAGGTCCGCGAACTCGTTGGGGAGGTCGACTTCTCAGTGCATTTTGGCACGCCTGGCACGAGTGTCCAGAGTCAGTCAACGTTAGACGAGAAGAAGGACTTGGCCAACGGTGGTGACGACTCCGGTAGAAAGGGCAAGGTTGATTAAAAATATCCGACGTTTTCAAGAGGCCCTTGGGAGGATTACACGGGTCCATGCGCCAGAAGCGGTACCTCGTGGGTGGATACATATCAACTAGGTCTCGATTTCTTTGGTTTGGCAATGTTTAAATTGAGCTGGATTTAAGATCAAATGTGGCGATTGTGACTGATATGCATAGCATGTCGATGAGGGTGACATATTATGTATGACCTGTTTTCTCCTTGCAGGAGCCTTCGACTTTGGGATGGACTTACCTGTCCATCATCTTCACACATTTCATAAGGATGGATAGAGACGAATTTCTAATTCTGAACTGGTTCTCGTGCATGGATTAGCTATTTGTTTCTTCTTTGCATCGCTATCAAACTCCGCCCCCTCCCCAACCCCCCCGGCAAGCCCTAGCCTGGGTATCTTAGAAGAATGCTCAAAGCATGGCAGCTCCTGCCATAGCCGTGACGCCTTCGCTCAAGGGTCAAGATGGCTCCAGCACCCGCCAATAGCCATGTCCAACGCCTGAGCTGAAGTCGTATAATCAACGGGACGACCGACGGACTTCTACTGTCCTCGTAACACGAAGCCAAGAGAAAACATCAGGTTCCCTTCCATGACGACGCAGACCTACGCGCTCGGAATCGGGGCGCGTAGTCACCTAACCTGCATATTGTACAAATGCCCGCTTCTTACCCACGTAGCGACATAGCACGAATGGACAAGCATCCACCGAAAGGTTTCGACTGGGTTCAATTTCCGGCCCAAATCCTCCTCAATGCGACATCATCTCTCATTTGAACATACTTTCAAAGTCAAAATCCATGTTCTCCATGTTATCCAAATTGGTCATATTGTCATTGCCCAGGCCAACACTCTCGTCGAAGTTCATGGCGTTGGCATTCAGGAAATCGTCGAACTCATTAGGACCCAAGGCTGGCAGACCAAAATCATTAACGCTGACATTGACTGGCTGCTGGTGTTGAAGCTGGGCATTGTTCGCGTTGTTGTCGACACTCATCCCTCCTCCGACACCTCTGGCCGTTGCATCGGTGGGAGGAGGTAGTCCATTTACTGTAGGCACAGACATGCCGAAATTCGCATCGTCGCCCGTCTGGTTCACGTAGGACTCGAGGCCCGGGAGCAACGAGCTCAGAGAGGCATCTTCTTGCATATTGAGATGCGAAGGATCGGCACCAAATCCGTCGCCGAGGTTGTCAAGGTCGAAGCTTATGTCGTTGTTGTTCCCCTCCATCATGTCGGCAGATGGCTCGCCAAACATTGATTCAAAGTTGAAAGCCTCGTTGGCCTCGGCTGGCGTGTCCTGCGGAGTCGGCTTGGGAAAGTCCTCCGTGGTTGTCTGTGTCATTGTACTCTCGGGTTGCTGCGCTGTGTCGGGAGGTTTCTCCTGAGGCCTGGAAGCCGGTCCGACTGTTGGTTGGGCTGCCTTCATATCCGTAGTAACGGAAACTCTGGGCTTATCTGGCGGTTTCGGTGTCGGGTTCTTCTCTGTTGACCCTGGAAGGGATTGTACCGCGCTGGCAGTGGGGGCGACAGTCGGCGGAGGAGCTGGCTTTTGCGCAGGAGAAGGCTGTTGGGCCTTTGGCTGTGCTTGCACCGGACTCTCAGGCTCTTGTGTCTTGACGCGCTTAGGAGCATTTTCGCTGTCTGCGGTTTGCGCCGTCTCGTTTGCTTCTTTGGATTCTTCGCGTTTTCTTTTCGCGCTTGCGGCTCCGTCTTCTCTTGCTTTGGCTTCACGCCGGGCTTTGTTCAAGGCCAACTGACGCTCGAGGTACCATTTCGCATCAAGGATCTGCACCTCACAGTCATCGAGGGCGTCCTGGAACTTCTTGGCCGTTTCAGCGAGGACTGCTTTTGTCGATTGCGCGTAGTTCAAGGGATCTTTCATGGCGTAGGCAATGCGGGTCACTGAGCCCATGAACATGCCTTCGACCGTCTTGACCGGGTCGTAGGGGGGTTTAGTGGTCGCCATGACGGGCAGCGCGGCGATTTCGAGAGTGGGAGGAGGGAGGAACGGGGGCAGGGTCTGTACAGAGAGGCGGCGCGCATTCACTAGAGTGCGAGACGAAGAGTCGCCATTCTTTGTCAAACGGATGAGGCCATGTCAAAATCGAGTACAGCTTGAATGTGCCAGGGTTTTCCTGCGGTCCCTTCTTCGAATGAGAGGATGGAGCCAGAAGAAGTTGATCTGCGCCGTGGGTCAGCGCCAGTCGCGACTTTGGAGGTGGTCCCCTTCGGATAAGAGTCTCCGCAGCCCACAGGCAAGAGGAGCCCCAAACAGGGCCATCGAGCACGTTGAGTTCCAGGCGGGAAGCCCCAACACCGCCTAAACCGGGCGACTTGCAGTAACCGTCGTGCCCGTGAAGCCTAAAACTGAGAGGGTGACCCTCTGTCAGTGGCCACCCACCGGTCTATCATTCACTCCCTCACTGGCACCAGTCAGCAGTAGCGAGCCTAGCTCACTACGCCACCACCATGGATGAATCTTATTCTCTCCTCCCATCTCTTCCCATCTTCTCTACCCTTCCGCCAAACCATCCCATCTCAAGTATCCTTTCTTCCATCTCCTCTTCCATTACTTGTCGTCGTTCTTCCTTCTAGTCGTCGATTGGCATTTGTGCATTGCAAGTTGGGCGTTGGGAAAAGACCTCGAGCGATTTCTTATCTCTCCTTTTCCTATCGTCTCTCAGTCCCATCAGCTACATTACTTTTCTGTGTGTGTGCTGCGCTGCGTTGCTCTGCTCTTCCCCAGTTCTACTGCTACTAGTATTACTACACACTACTACTACTACTGTCAAACGTCGCCAGTTACTCCTCCCAGCCGCCTGACATTCGTCTCGGCGCGACCTCTTTTGCGGCCATCTTACCTATCACGCATTTCGAGTCCTTCCTCTCCTCCTTCCGTCTCCGTCTCCTTCGACTCTCTCGCGCTGCTCTCCTGGACTTGGTTGGCTTGTCACCTTGCTTAGCGAATTTGTCTCGACGTTTTCCAAGCGAAATTTCCTTTACCTGCCCACGACCCACTTGTCACCATTACACTCCCCGCAATCTTCGTCCATAAGTACTCAGCTACCAAAATTCAAAGAGCACCCTGACGAGCTGCTATCTATCTACCTTTACCGGACCTGCAATCCTCTGTTCTCGTTCGAATCATTTCCGCCTGGCGCGATCTTTTATCTCTTGATCCTTTGGAGTTGTCAATTTACTTTGCTCAATATGACGGAAAATATTCCTCCTGCGACGCTACCGCCACCACCTTCGACCGCAGGCGCTCCAGGCTACGATGGCGCTCCCGGTAGCAATGGGCATACTACCACCAGCATGGGGCCTCCGGCATTGCCTCCGGTGGTTATTCCGCAAAACAATAATACTGTCCCAACTCCTGTCACCCCCGGAACTGCGCTATCACCTTCTCCGGGCGGTGTCGTTCGGAGAGCTGCTCCAGAACCAAATAAGAGGGCGCTTTATGTGGGCGGCCTCGACCCTCGGGTTACCGAGGACGTTCTGAAGCAAATCTTCGAGACTACCGGCCACGTGGTCAGTGTCAAGATCATCCCAGACAAGAACGTGAGTTTGTCCCCGACGAAACTGGCTTGAGCCCCGCTCACACAAGCATTCTAGTTCAATTCGAAAGGCTTTAACTATGGCTTCGTGGAATACGATGATCCCGGAGCGGCTGAACGCGCCATGACTACCTTAAATGGACGACGTGTACATCAAGCCGAAATCCGGGTCAATTGGGCGTACCAATCCAATTCGTCGAACAAGGAGGACACCTCGAATCATTTCCATATCTTTGTTGGTGATCTGAGCAACGAAGTCAATGACGAGGTTCTCCTCCAGGCGTTCTCTGTCTTTGGCTCGGTCTCCGAGGCACGTGTCATGTGGGACATGAAGACTGGTCGATCTCGTGGGTATGGGTTCGTTGCCTTTCGCGAAAGATCCGATGCGGAGAAGGCTCTGGCGTCTATGGACGGAGAATGGCTGGGAAGTCGTGCAATTCGTTGCAACTGGGCGAACCAGAAGGGTCAGCCATCCATCTCCCAGCAACAAGCCATGGCAGCAATGGGCATGACTCCCACGACACCATTTGGACACCATCATTTCCCGACCCAGGGCATACAATCCTATGAGATGGTTGTCAACCAGACCCCCACCTGGCAAACGACGTGCTATGTCGGTAACCTTACGCCGTACACGACTCAAGCAGACCTCGTTCCGTTGTTCCAGAATTTTGGTTATGTGGTGGAAACCCGATTTCAATCCGATCGAGGCTTTGCATTTATCAAAATGGATTCGCACGAGAATGCGGCAATGGCCATCTGCCAATTGTCGGGATACAATGTCAATGGCAGGCCATTGAAATGCTCGGTAAGCACAAGCAACAAGCAAACCTGGACCCCCTCGGTCGTCGCTAACTATAACAGTGGGGCAAGGATCGTCCTCCTACTGGTCAATTTGATACCTACTCGCCACAGACCTCAATCGGTTCTGCATCCACGCCCGGTGGCTATAATCCAGCCTCGCCGTACTTCTCACAATATGGAGGTCCGGGACCAATTACACCGCAAGGTATGGTAGACGTCACCACCATCATGTCCAAGGCTGATAAAGTTCAAGGTCCAAGTCCTAGCGGACGTGGTGCTTGGGATTCAAGCCATCTAGCGAGTCCGTATACTGCGTCTCCACAATCTGCGTTTGGTCAGGTGCCTCCGTCAGCTGGGGGCTACGGACGTGGTCAGACAACTCCAGGAGGAATGTTCCAACAGCCCCCACCTTCATTCGGCAACAATTATCCAGGATATCAGGCATAGCTTACGAGAGATGGGGAGTATTCGTCGATGTGCGTGATAGGGGACCAGCACTGACTGAACGTCATTGGACATTATGTTTCGCTCTCCAGCTTTGCGTCTGCGGGTGGCTTCTCTGCTTCAAACGAAACTCAAAGGATCAGACGTCCTAGCGCCTTGGCTCGTTGTCGCCACTGCCCTTCAACTCCATTCCTGGTGGTCTCGTCGCCCGCTGGTCTGCAGTGACGGTGGTCGCGGCCGAGCTTTCTGCGGCGGAGCCCGCTGAAGGTCGCTTTGTGCTGTGCTCCAGGCGTCGGTTGTGGGTTTCATTGGGCCTGTTCTCCTCGTCTTTGATGGTCACGTGCGAGAGTGAGATACTGCAAAAGCATGGGACATTCACGAATTGTTGAACCCTTCTACTCAGAATTGGGGTCCGAATGGGATAGCATTAGCTACAGTTACCGGGTGGGTTTCCGTGGTGGACCTGTATGCAGCAAAATAGGAGCACTCCTGCAGTTCTAGTTGAGAACGGCCGTTATCTGCAGGATACCCGTGTGGATATGACATTTAATGAGAATCAACCACTTGAACTTAATCAAGGAAGTAACCGGACATTGCCAACTTGAATTGAAGGCACAAAAGATCCGCAAGATGTAGCCTTGTACAGCTAGATCACATGACAATCACGTGCACGCCTCAATCATAAGCTCTTTTCATCAGCTTGGATATAATCACTTCCACTCATTTGTATCCAACTCATCAAAGGCTGCTTTCAGAGTTTTACTGCAAACAAAATACTATCAGATATAATTCCCAAGGGATCGCGACATTCGACGTGCTAGCCATGCCCAACAATGCGATGGTAACAGGTCCATCCGGACCACGTCACAAAACATCAAAAACTGCAGATATGGCTCATCGCAGTGCACCGGGCTCTCAACAATGCCCGGGGAGAACAGCTGCTATCGAATCATGATACTGTTCATTCTCAGTCTGCAACCACAAAGTCGCCTTGTGAGAACTGACTAGCGCAGCATGGCCCTTCTCGCAATGTATGGATGATCTCTTCCTCGGTCTCCTCCTATCGTATCCAGCTCTTGCCACCTTTTTTTTCGTACTTAACGATATCTCCTTTGTGATTTATCTTGTACGATTCGTTCAGCAAGGTCCAACTGCCCTCGGCTTTGGGGTAGCCATCTTGGAATCGAATGTCTCGCACCAGGGATGGGACGGCCCTTGCGGCGGAGTTTTCTAAATCTCGAATCTGTTCGTCCTTCGCGTCATTGTCTGCCTCCAGAACTCTCAAGTATTTCTTCTGATTGTCATGATCTATTTTCTCTTGATTTCTCAATTCAGTCATGGCTTCTAAATCAGCCTCTGTACGTCGCTGTGCTGTTTGTTGCTCGTCTCTGGACGCAGTCATTGCCTTCAAGTCTGTCTTCGTCTGGTTGTGTGCAGCTTGCTCCAGATCTAGCAACCCAGTCACTCTTGTTAGGGCAGCTTTCGTTAGGGCGTGTGCAGTCTGCTCTTGGTCCCTGGCGTCAGTCACGGTTTTCAAAGTGGCTCTGGCTTGCTCGTGTGCGGCCTGTTCTTTGTCTCTGGCCTGAGTCACTGTTTCTAAAAGAACCTGTGTCTTGTGGTGTGCAGTTTGTTCTTGGTCTCTCAAGCCAGCCATGGCTTTTAGGCTGGTGTTTGTTTTGTTGTGTGCAGTCCGCTCTTGGTCTTTCAATTCAGCCATCGTCTTCAAGCTAGCTTTTGTCTGATTGTGTGCAGTCTGCTCTTTTTCTCTGGCCTGGGTCATTATCTTCAACTCGTCCTCCACCTGTTTTAACTTCGATTTGATGGTGGCAAGCTCTTTCTCTCTGGCAGAAAACTCAACTTTGAGGTTGTCTAACTCCAGGGTTTTTTGGTCCAGTTGCGCTCGAGTCCCGCCGTGCGCCTGCTCTTCAGCTCTCAATATTGTCAGACAGCAAGATCGATCATGCTCATCGCTTGAAGGAGTGCCTTTACGGGCTGCTTCGATCTGAGCCTTCAGCTTCAGAATCTTTTGAGGTCTTTGGAGTTCTGCAAGTTCTTGTGTCAGGCGTGCCTCTTCCTTCGCGAGCGTTTCAACGCCTCCGTCGCTTGTGTTTGTCGTGCTGGACATTGCTCTGCGATCAAATTGATTCATGATCTCCGAGATTGCGATCTTTCTAGCTATTGCAGTATTGCTCACAGTTCAAGAAGGCTGATGGGCAAGTATTTGCAGAGTTCGGACCCGGGATCTCGGCATAACGGAGTTGGGGCTCAGATTCAGCTGACCATGGAACAGAATGCTGGCCATCGTCTTTTGGGGACGTGCATTGGGCCAGGGGGCTAATGCACCTCTACCCAACCGGCGCCCCGGACAACACGACCAAGGTGATAACTTGCTTTCAGCTGAGCCCTGATGCACATGTTTAGGCGGTGTTGGTGAAGCTGCCCCTTACAAATCTAGCCAGAGGACGTCTACTGCGGCTCTGCGAACCAAGTCTCAAGGCGACGGCTATTTGGGGAGATTACTTAGATCTATGAATCCAAGCTGCTGCTGGTTCCAATCCCATCTCCCGACGAGAAACCCCCCAGAATCTTCCTTCAAGCCGTCGCATAACCAGGAGTCGATTCCCCAGAGTGCCGAATCCATCACGACCAGAATCTTCACCATATCCCGTGCTTTCTGAATCACCTCCATCAGTTTCCGCACCAGCTGGAACGACTGGTATTCGCATTGATCCGCACGATCCAAAATGATGTAGACAGGCCTTTGCGGACGAAGCTCGGTCAGGAGGTCGCTCAGCATTTTGAACATTGCGTTCAGGACATCATCATCGGCATCCTTCCAGGTCATTGACTGTGCTAGAGACAGGAAGCTTGGGTTTTGGCGCAGCATATCAGGCTTCCACCCTGCTACCTGACACACAAGGCTCAAGATGGCTTCTTGGACGCCGCACCTCTGAGAGAGCATCTGCGGGTGGCAGCAGTAGAATGCCACGTGTCTGTTCTCGGAAAGCTGCTGCTCTGCCACATATATGGCAGCTGGGGACAGCCATGAGCATGTACTTATGTTGGATCGACCCTCCATGAGGCTGGTGCCACCCAGAAGAAGCAGGCAGGAATGGTCGCTATCCAGCCAAATGCGGTAAGATTCTGCGTTGTTTAATATGTCCGGAGTCAACTGCGAGTACCACCGAGCGATTTTCCCAGGGCTCGCGCCTAGCAGCACCGGGAATGCTCCCGCGAGGTTTCGCTTGCAGGACTGTATGTTTGTGTGATCGCTTGTTTCTGGAACGTTAAGTAATGCCCGGAAGTTGGCCAATTCTTTCCGATCTCTTTGACCCTGTTCCTCTTCGAGGGTTCTACGCAGTCCTGAAAACCCAAACAACAATTAGTCTCTGGGGACACGGTGGCAGAGTTGAGGGGTACACACGGTCAAGCTGCATTCGCAAATCGATGTTGAGATCTTCTATGACTTTCATCTGATGTTTGAGTTCCTTGTTCCCGCGCAGCAGTCTTTCGTTCTGCTCTTCGATATATTTAGCTCGGCGGTGCAGCAGAACGGTACTCTCGAGATTGACTTCCACAAGCTTGTGCCGAAGACCTTCAATCGACATCTTGAACTCGAGCTCTTGTTGTGGGTCTCCCGCGGCGAGCAGCCTCACTGGGAGCTTCTGATTAGTGGTCGTCCGCCTGAGAGAGAAGCAGGTGAAGACAACGGGCACCTACTGGATGTACTCATGTAGTACAACACGGCCTTCCTGGCAAAGTCGACCATATCTCTGTATGCCTCAGCCACCAGCTTCTCAATCTGTGGCTCTGGGTAGATATCAGAGAGGAGATTCAAGCGCGGAAATGAATACTCCAATTCAGCCAGTGCCTTTGCGATCTTCTCATCGTTCCCGTTCTTGTTGACCACAACCTGGAACCCATTAATATCACAGAATGAGACAGGTCGGGGGACTCTTCATTCACAATCAAGAGGAGCGACAGCGTTCCATAGGCCAAATTTCCATACGGAGCACTTGCATTTTTGACCACCTCCACGATCCCGGAGTATGCTGTCAGAAAGTTAGAGAATCGAGTTATGAATACCTGGAACGCGGCTCCATATCGCCTCGAGCCTGTCTGTCTCCCCTCGACCCAGTTCATATGCGCTGCTCTCGCGTCTTCTATCTGCCTTTCAACCTCTTCCTTGGTGCCTTTAGCTTGAGCCAGAAGTTGAGCATCAAGGCTTTGCTTGAACACAGCATCGCTTGTCGAAACTGTCGCTGCAGCATCTAGATTCTCGCTGTAGCGGAGTCAGATTTTGAGTAAGGACCCGAGCTACCACGGCATATTGGCGAAGACTCACGTTGCAGAGTTGTTCACGCTCCCCCGTCGGAACCAACTTCGTTTCAGCCTCGATGCCGACAGTCTTGATGGCATGGAGACACGACTAACAGTACCATATTCGTTCATGCTTGCTGGTAACGCAAGGACATGCAATTCTCACCGGATGCATAGTGCTTGTACAGGTGCGGCTTGCGATCTTCATATGCCCCTGCCAGGCATTCCTAGTCTTATGCAGCTATGTCCACAAGCCTGGCCAGCCTGATCGGAGCATCATTGGATGCCTCACAATTTTCCGAGAAGCGGACTGTACCCAAGGCCGTTGCAAATTGCGAAAGTCCTGGGGGGCGTGACGGCGCCTTGATGTGGGCAGCAACAGGAAATGTGTCTCCCCGTTACTGGCCATGCTCCAGGGTTGGCAAAATGTGGCTTTGACCGGCTCACTGTTCCTTCACTGCCGCCAAACTCAACGGAGTATGTTCGGCTCCATGCATCCAGCTCTTTTGAGATTGCTGCTCCTCTGAGTGAAGGCGTGAACGAAGGCCCAAGACCTGCCCAGCGGTAGGCTCGGATCCTAGGGATAGCCGAGACACAGCTTGAACGTGCAGCAATTGTCGTATCGAGTCGCCGTGCCTATGGCCGAGCTTAAAATTGGCCCCCCGGCGCAGCGCAGGAAGGCGCTGGCTTTCCATCATCGTTCAAAGCTGTCGTGGGACCTTTGGAGACCCTTCAGACGACTTGTGCCTCACTACACCTTGACCGGTCACCTTAGTTATCTCAGAGCCTCTATACACGTCATGTTGGGAGAAGCAGCTGAATTCATTCACTCCTGAGTTCACAGCCTCTGATCAGGGAAAATGGCCCCGACTACAGCCACAAAGACATCCCAGGTACCACAGGTCTGCAAAAGTTGATCGTCAGGCTCGTAATGACTCCAAAAGGTTCCTATCGCGGCGCCATCAGCCCCGACTCCGGCGCAAGAAGTCTCAGTAACAGGGCAAAAGGCAACTGCAACCCAAGATCGCAGGGAAGAGCTAGAACAAAAATATATTAGTCTTCTCGAAAAACGAGTCGAATACCTGCAAAGCCTGGTTGATTCGCAAAATGCCGAAAAGGTTGGGAAGCTCCCTTGATTTTTTGGCGGATGAACTTCAGTTGACCACGGTATCGCTCTGAACAAGGAGCTTCAAGCTCGATTGCAAAGAAAGCAGAGTGACAGACAGGAAATCATCTCAGCGAGGAGTAGCCGGGTGGACAATTCCACAGACGGAAAACCACCACTCGCTAAGGCTGAAGAAAGAGCTGAACAGCAAACGGTTCGTTCTTGTGTCTCATTGTGAACGTGCCATTCCGTTGGATGGCCTTCCACAGCTTCTGATGGATCCAACTAGACCTTCGACCCTTCCGAAGATTCAAGGTATGCCTATGTTATGAGCAGATGGGATGGCAGAAGCGGGGGCCGAAGGGACACAGAAATCGGTCGATGGAACGAGCTCGACGGGAGAGCTCCCTCGTCCAGAAGGGCGTTCACGTTCCGCCGAGTGATGGACCTCACCGACGAAAAGAAGTTCAAGTATTCCGAGGTGGACGTCGAGTCTCGTGAACTCCGGAGCCTGTTGAAAAAGGTGATTGGAGACTCTTACCCGGGCCAAAGTTGGGAAGGGAATACTATCAATTTGATAGCCCCCTTCGCGCCTGTTGTCCACTATTGGAAAGAGCTCTCTGAAGCAAGCAAGGAGATCAACGCCAAAGACACCCCTGGAATCAAAGCCGCGAGGAAGGATCTTCACAGTCTCCTTGAGTGCATATCGACCTGCACTGAATTGGAGTCCTACTTTAAAACTCGGGATTCAAATCTGGAGTCCCACACGGTCACCTACCAAACCATCTGGACCCTGTTTCGGCCAGGTACCTTGGTCGTTGCGAGACCCTTTATGAACCTCTCTCAGGTCTTCGAGGTGAAGGCGTCACCGGATCCATGGGAAGATCGAAGACTCAACATCGAATGCTGGTGCTACGATTGGAACGGGAGAGAGATCGTCAGAGTTACCTTCGAATTCCCTATTGAAAAATTCAGGGGCACGAAAGAGATCAGTTCTCTGTTCTGTTACCCCTTGGAGTACTATAGAGACGACAAGGGGAACTTCGATCAGTGCCTTCGTGGTAAGCTTTTGGCAAGGGGTCAATGGTTTCGCGAGCTGTGTCAAACAACCGGAGCCAAGCGGATGTTTCAATACGACGGACAAGCATTTTCCAGTAGGAGAAGTCTTGCGAGGGCCAGTGTAAGTGATGGAGTCCAGGTACTTCTGTTTCCCTTGTGATGAATACCATGCTAACCTTTTCATTAACGTCAGGCGGATGCTGAGAGTAAAACTCCTTCGCTGTCCATGAAAGATGATACAGATCTGTCACTCGCCGCAGAATTTCTCATTCACAAAACATTCAAGGCATGATTACATTCATTCTTGCTAGTGATAGGAGGTTACTGATTTACAATCGCCTCCATTTTGTAGGTGAATGGACGATATATCGTCGACGCGGCCGCATATTTACAGTTTGGTATCAAAGATCGTCATCGTAGCTCCGGTGCAGAATTTTGCTGATAGGTCTGCCAGGCCCCGGCATCCCGTTGCTTGGAAAGTATGAGCCCACAGATGTCGAGCCTTCCAGCCAAGCCCACGGTCAAGGCGTCGATGAAGAGGACTACCAGTGCCTCCTATACCCACCTAGGGTGCTGGGATACGCAACCCAACAGAAGATGTGGGCCCAGTTCATTGTCAACAACACGGCCCTTGTGTCATCCGAGCTCTCGAGAGCATTCGAGGACAAGCTCGAACTGGATCAGAAGGACAAGAATATGATCAAGGCGCTCGTGGAAAATCATGAAAGCAGCAAGGATACAAATCAGACGCAGGTGAATGACATTATCGAAAGCAAGGGCAAAAACCTCGTGATACTATTGCATGGTATGATTTTATTGAGCTACGGTGACGAATGGATGAAGAAGTCTTATTAACAGGCTTTTAGGTCCCCCAGGCGTTGGCAAAACGGTGAGTATGCTCAGTGGGATGGATATCAATAATCAAGACCAGACTTTGCTGTCTTTGCTCTGGCTACCTAGTCGGATAGAAGACTGCTCCACGATGAGGCCTCCTTTGTGGTAAATTGAGCTCGAATTTTGACTAACTCTAATAAATAGCTCACGGCAGAGACCATTGCAGAGGCGACCGGGAAGCCACTCTTGGTCGTCACGGTTGCTGAAATTGGTCTGGAGGCGTCGAAGGCAGAGAAAAGCCTGGAGCAAATATTTTACCTTGCCGGGGCGTGGGAGGCAATACTGTTGATGTGAGCCTGTCGACGCAGCTCGCCAGTCTTGGCTCGATGATACTGATGCATGGGCAGTGACGAAGCGGATGTCTTTCTGGAATCTCGTTTTGTCATGGGCGATCCCAACCGGAACGCCTTGGTCTCAGGCCAGTGACAATGCAAGACAGTCCCGCAACACATTTTTGCTGACGTTCGGACCAGTGCTGCTCCGCGTACTCGAATATTTTGAAGGGGTGATGATCCTGACGACGAACCGTATCACCTCTCTTGACATTGCCGTGCAGTCGCGCATCCATCTGGCGATCCGGTACAACGACCTAACCAAGGACCAGAAGATCAAGATCTTCAACATCTTCCTCAGCCAGCTCGTCAAGGACGGCAGAGTGGACGTCGACGGCATCGACGAGTGGATCCGCTGGGTCGGCAGCGAGGCCGAGGTCAACGGCCGCCAGATCCGCAACATCGTGTCCTCGGCGTACCTACTGGCGCGCAGCCAGCACCGGAACTTGCGCCGCGAGGATCTCCAGGACGTCAACGGCATCATGAAGAAGTTCCAGAAGCAGTTGGAGACCTTGACCGCGGCCGCGAGGAAGCAGAATGAGGGCCAGTTGAATACAGGTGGATATGGATAGTAGTACGTAATCTGCATGGTATCCTATTCTGTCCTCACCTCTCACCTCTGGTGGATACATCCTTCGCCTCTCATTAATCATCGCTAACCGCTTTTCTCATTGGCCAGTCAAACTGTATCTGGTTAGCTCAGATGGTGACCCCTTCTCTGATTAGTTCTCTACAGCGGCGAGGCAAAGGCCATTGCAACTCTGTTTGGAGGTAGAGGAACGAGCCGACACCTGAGACCAATTGCGAAAATAGTGTGTGTGATACACAGACTCCCTAGCATGTCTCCCACCGATCGCGCCAAGTAGGCACTTATGCGATGCTGGTCACCGTAATTTAGAGTCGATACCTCTTTATCCCCGTCTCAGGTGGAAGTCTTTGCCGACCCTCAACTGCGCCTCTTCGCACACGACAATCCCGGCCTGATATGGGCATGGTCGCCGTAACGAATTTCGGGATAGTTAAGCATATGACGCTGCATTGTAACGAATCTTCTCCTCCACAAGCGCAATCGTCTGTAGCCCACCGAGCCGACGAGGAAAAGGACACCTAATTAATATCTGTTTTGCATACCAGTTGCTGATCAGGACAAGTACACAGAAGGCGGAGGTCTCCTCCAGTCATTGAGATATTTCTGCAGTTTTGCACGATTGGTGTAGTGCTAGGTTTAGACACTGAGCGACAATTTTTTAGATGGTGGTTATTTCAGGTTGGAGGAATCGAAATATTCTTGTCGCAACCGTCCCCATTCCATATGTATAAGCATATTGTCGTCTTCCGTCTCAAGCTCCTCCGTTGGCTCATCCCATTTGTCATCCCTTCCTGTCTGTCTCTTTTGTTTGCGGCTCCTGCTGCGGCGAAAAGTCCGCTTGAGACATGGGCAGAATTCAGAAATGGAAGATCGTAGAGTATTCTACTAACAGCCAGAGACATACTTCCAACGAGCGTTGACTTATATATCACAGACGCACATGTGTCAACTTTGAGCCATTCCATTCAGGGAGGTATAACAAGCCAGGCACTGACCCGTGATTGCCTGATTAGGCATCTTGCCAGTCATGTGACTTGCCTCCAGATAAAATGTGACTCAACAGAGGAACATGGTGAGTTGAACAGGGTCCTGGAACCTGTCTGAATATATATAGCTTCGAGCAATTTACAAAGGGGGCTCGGCGCTAATCGAAGGCCTCTGGCAGAGGACTAGCGGAGACAGTCATTACAATGCTTGGCAACATTGGTCAGTCACGACAAGTTACATCCCATGACCGATGCTTTCGAGTCGTCGAAGTACAAATCTCGAGCGTTGCAAATGGTCAGCGCCGCTCATAATTATCGCCATGCCATTCCTCCAGCGAGGTACATCATATATTGGCATGATTTGCCTCAGGGCATGTTAAGCCTCGTTCAAAACTACTAGAATTGCACTGCCATACCTCAGAATTAATAAATCATGGCTGCGGTTAAGCGACAAATTCGCCTCTGGGTCTCATGGCATTCAGTGGTGACAACGCACCTCGATTGGGTATCCATTGGGACCAACCAACCCCTGCCCCTCTATGTAGGGCGCATGTGGCTCGTTAAAAGCTCGGCTCAGCCTAGTGGTCTCAGCCTCACTAGCCAGAACACCTTACAAGTCCCGTCTCTCTCCATCAACCTCAGCCGCAGAGATCAGGCAGCGATATCTTCAGCCTTTTGGCCTCTTTTACTTCTCTCCGTTCCTTCAGACATTCAAAATATCGCCCGGATCCATGGCTGAAGCAATTGCAGCATTGAGCCTAGCCTCTACTATCCTGCAGGTCATCGACTTCGGATCGAAGTTCGTATCGACGGCCTGGAAGATCTACGACGTTGGTCACCGCCATCTCAAAGGGCCGGATGAGGTAGCATCTCTCGACGTTCTTAGTAACAATCTCAGCGATGTTTTGCGGGATATTCTTACGCAATCGAGGGCGACTGGCTTAGCAAATGATGGTAATCGAGGCATCCACACCTTGTCGAAGGAGTGCGCAATATTGATCGAGAAATTGGCGCGCTCACTGGATACACTTGGCCTTAAGGATGCGTCTCGAAAGCGGGCTGCCGTCGTCGCAGCATTTAAGTTGGCGTGGAAGCGAGAGGAGATCAACGCTCTTCAAGCAAGACTCAATGACTTCAGGTCACAATTGACTCTGAGCCTGCTTGTTTCCGTGCGGTTAGTAGCTGCATTGATCCCGTTTCCGACCAACCTTACCTAACTGTGATGCTTAGATACTACGCCAGCCAATCTTTGATCCAACAGAATGCAATTCTCAATGAGCTTCAAAAGGCCCAAGGAAGCACCCAAGCCGGTAGTAGTGCCATGAACAATAACTTCAAGACTTCCGATCCCTTCGGAACCTCTGTCTTGAACTATGTCACTTGGAAGCTCAACCAGAGTGAGCAAGCTGAAACAAGACGTTTCCTCAAAACTGAAATCATTCGTGCCATACACGATACCGCCGTGAGCAACTCGGAGACCCACACCTCCGTTATGGGTACAACTGTCCCAGATGAGGCTGATAGGCGGGTTCGTGGGATGTTGCTTCAGAGTCTCTACTATGATAGAATGAATGACAGGGAAGAAAGAATATCAGAGGCACATGAAACAACATTTCAATGGCTGCTCATGGCCAGCGATAGTGACAAATGGGCAAGTTTCAAAGACTGGCTTGAGTCAGACGACAAGTTGTACTGGATCACCGGGAAGCCCGGCTCGGGCAAGAGTACTCTGATGAAGTATATTTGCTTTCCGGTCCAATCTGCAGAAGAGTCCCATCCAGCCCCTCGGTGTCGCAAATTCTTGGAAATGTGGAGTGGCGATCAGCACCTCGTGATTGCGTCGTTCTACTTCTGGAACTCCGGAACGCAAACACAAATGACACAGAGAGGGTTATTAATGTCGCTTCTACACCAGATTTTTCAGCAATGTCCCCAACTCGCAACGTTGGGATGCCCAGATCGATGGGAGAGCCTCAATTTGTTTGGCGAATACCTGGCCTGGGAAGATCAGGAGCTCCGCGACACATTATGTCGGGTGGCTAAGAACCTCGTCCAAGTTGATTCAACCCTTACTCTATTCGTGGACGGTCTGGACGAATTCCAAGGTAAGCCTGAGGAGCTGATCCTACTCTTCAAAACCATCCTCAACTTCTCAAACATAAAAATCTGTGTCGCCAGTCGACCCTGGGTGGAATTTCAAGACGCATTCCAGCACAAGCCGAGTCTCATGCTTCATGATCTGACTCACGACGACATTAAGAGTTACATCGCCTCGAAACTCCATGATGAGCCGATGTTTGCACAGCTTCGACGAAGAGAAGAAGAGTTTGCGGATCGGTTGATCGAGGACATTGTTGCCAAGGCTGCTGGTGTATTCCTTTGGGTTACACTGGTTGTCTCATCTCTCATTGCTGGCATGAGCTCAGGAGACAGGATTTCGGACTTCAAGAGGCGGCTGGACCAGTTACCACCGGACCTCTCAGAGCTCTACGAAAAAATCCTGTTGAGCCTGGACGATTTCTACCTCGACCATGCGGCGCAGCTCTTCTCTCTTGTCGAAACTAGTCTTGTGCCCATGAACTTGGTGCTGGCATCGTTTGTGGACGAAGACGACCCCAATCTTGCTTTACGTCAACCGTGTCGTCTTCTTTCAGAAGACGAGACCGTGCTGCGCATGGAGACAATGCGGCGGCGTATCAATAGTCGATCTAAGGGTCTGCTCGAAGTCAAAGGCCCCTTTTCCACCTCCGAGGGATTCAAATATGAAGATCCTTGGGACCACAACCGTTACACGGTCCAATACCTGCACCGGACAGTGAAAGATTACATTGAAAGTGACAAGGCCCAGATAATCCTGCAACGTGTTGCAAGATCCCCCTTTGACCCTCCTCTTAAGCTTCTGGCTGGCCACGTGGCATATATCAAGCTGCTGGATCTCGAGAGAGTGTCTGCTCTGGATTTCTGGAATCATAACTTCAAGGAATGCTTGAGATTGGCACGTCTGGTTTCTCCCGACAATATTCCCAAGATGGTTCTTCTACTGGATGAAATGGATAAAATGGACAAAGTCGGACGAGCAACATTTCAGGCTTTGAGGGGAATTGTGACGTTGGAGAGGAGACCAGACGTAGAGCATCTTTATTGGACATTTCTAGAGTCATTTCAAGATGAGGATGTTGACAAAAGCGCTCACCGGTTCAGGCCCCTTTTCCTCACTCTGGCAGTAATCTTTGGTGTTGTTGAGTTTGTTCGAGTCAAGGCCGAGGCTGGTTGTCTCATTTCAAAGCCAATTTGCTGCGATACTACTGCACAGGTAAACGACTGTGGCGAATGGTCTCTATTGATGATTGCCATTCAAGTTGCGGCTCAGAAATTCCGCTCAGAATTTCCAGCGAGTGTCAAGGAATTCGACTTCGGTTTTGATCCGAGGCACGGCATGTTACAATGTTTGCTCGAAAAGTCCGCCGATCCAAATTACCTTTTCAACCATTCGCCGCGGCGGAAAACCTCGCCATTGATTGAATCAGTATACCAGTTGATGGTGTTTGGCACCACGTCACATGCATTGCGTCGTGGGGACGACTCCTGGGTCGAAAGACATCAGTTTTGGGTTGAAACAACGCGTCTGCTCGGTCGAGCTGGAAGGCTAGACAAAAGCACCGTCGATCGCGCCTTGGCATTATTCCTGCCGACATGGCCCTCTTACCGTCTTCAAACGTTTGTCCAGTGGAGTCATGCCAGAAAGTCCTTGCGACAATCTCTCCAAACAGTTGTACACGGTGGAGATCCGGACCTCTCCGCGATACTTGACAAGTTGATTCGCCTTGCAGAACGCCGAGGAAGATGAGCTTTGGTTCCCGGTTGTGGGAACGACGTCATGCTCATACTTTGAGCACGCGCTTGAGAAGCGCCCTGGATTTCGCCCGAGACAGGCTCAGGTCTGTACATTCAAACCCCAGAAATGGTCTGCTCACCATCCAGGTTCGATGGCGAGTTGCTCGAGTCTAGGGACGGGGCCGCCCTTTCCCCGTCGCAGCGGCGGTCACCGTGTTCAGGGCTCTCGACGATGTCAACGTCCTCCCTTCTACTTGTCGGCAACGATATCAGGAGTTATGGAACCAGATTCGAATTGATATTGCGGTCAGAATTACTGAGAGCACTCGTTGGAAGAACTCTTGTCGGTGGGAGGGTGTCATGAAACTACTTCTGGGCCACTTGAAAACGTTCTCAGAAAAGACTCAATGGAGTATCTGAGTCGGACAGCATTACTGGACTGAATTCGCATGATAAAGGCGCTCTTGTTGGTATACTCGACCCTTGGCCATATCCCCTTTGGATCTGACACGAAGAGTTCAAGGACACCGAACTTTTTTGCCCCAGGAACCGCCACCCCGCCGCCAGCAATTCTCAGGTCATGGTTGACGCCGAAGGCCGTGGAGGAGGTTCTTAAGTTGGCTTCACAGTCCGTGGTTTCAGTGCAGTCCTCTCCCTACCAGGGAGGGGTCGGGGACTGGACGCATGAAGTACAGTGGGTGATTGAGAAGAAACGAAGTCTTCGTCTCCAGCCATATATCTCTTCTTCGATTCAAGGTGAGGATTGATTAGATGGGGTCTACTCTCCTCCAGCGAACAACTCAGGGCAAACTTCTACGTTGACTGGGGTCCTCCCTCTCCCCCAGAGAAGGACGGAATGTCTACTCCGTACATAAGTTGAATATCATTACTTCGGCGCTCATGAACACGCCGCGGAAATAGGCTAGAGTCATCACTGGTAGGGCGCTTGGGGGTATTGGTTATGTATTCGCTAATAACTTTCTGAACCCTTTAAATCATCGACCCGCGGGGATGGATTTGGCGTCAATACACGAACTGCCCCGTATGTACCTCGCTCCGGACGGAGACATAAAAGGGGATAATCAGCCTCGTCTCGTTCCGTTTCCCGCCCTTTTTTGCTCCTGTAGTTTTGGGTCATTATTTCCATTCTCGCTTGGGCATGCCTAGCCACCTGTGTACCTAGGCTAGTGCCTAGCATCAACGACTCTAACTGACTACTAGTCCTCATAGTAAAAGGCATATATATCAATATATGTCAATCTGTCAAGCCCGAGCGGCCGCGACCAACTCGTCGACCGTCTTCATGGGCTTGTCGTTGTTCTCGCCGACGTCCAGGGGCACGAGGATGCGGCTAACGGCGTTGTAGCCGGCGACGACGGTGGCCAGCTCCAGGATCTCGCGGTCGGTGAAGTGCGTCTTGAGCGCGGCGAAGGTGGCGTCCTGGACGTGCACGTCGACCGTGGCTTCGTCGGTATACCTCAGCACGGCGACCTCCTTGTCACTTAATGCTGCTGTTGCTGCCGCCGCCGTCGACTTCTCTCCCGCTCCCCTGCCCACGTCCCCTTTGGCCACGGCCCGCACCGCCTCCAACGCCTCGGGCGTCACGCCGGCCTTCAGGGCCAGCGCGGCGTGGATGTTCCACTCGTAGACGGCGCGGGTGAGCACGGCGACGCGCGACACGGCCAGCTCCAGCAGAGCCTGGGGCACGACGGTCTCGGTGCGCAGCGCGCCCACGAACGCGTTGTACCCGCTCGCCACGGGCGGCGAGTGCAGCAGCGTCAGGTCCAGCGGGATCAGGGGCCGCGGCTTGCGGCGCGCCGCGATGCGCTCGTAGATCTCGCTGACGGACGGGGGCGAGTTGGGGGGTGGGGTCGATGGCGCGTAGGGGAGGCGCATTGTACGTACTGATTTTGATATTGATGATGATTATGATAAGGACGGTGGTAGTGTGAGAAAATGAGCGAGTGAGTGTGTGAGGGTGTGAGTGTCTGTGTGGTTCGTGTCTGTATATATATATATATATGTATTCAGACGAGGAGGGTAGACTGACTTTGTACAAGGATGGGTTTGAAGAGAGAAAAAAAAGGTGAAAAGTGAGTTTCTTCTGTACTACTTTTGCGGGGTTGAAGCGTCTATTAAATACGTCGTGATCGATTCCCTACGTGCCCGCACACGGCCGGGATCGGAGACTGTCTGAGTGACAGGAAGACAAATGCTACAGAATGGACGGGAGAAGAGGATGAAGCATTCAGGTTCAATGAAACAGAACCCCCCTTTTTCGATGGATATAGGCGAGCCAGCCTCAGCGGATCGACGACTTTGGACCAACCATGGTGCAATCATTGGGAATGTCTTCAAATGTTTAGTACAACTACAGGGATCGTTGGGAGTGCTCAAACTCCGTCCACAGCGTCGAGGGCAATCCCGCCAAAAAGTCCCTCCTTTCCTCCGTGGTAGTCATGCATTTCAACAGAAACAGATAAAAACGCCAGAAAACCCTCGCTGCAAAATGCCTAAAACACGGTGTGAACCCAGCCAGCCTTCTGGCCCGGCTTCAAGGGAGCCAACGTGACGTTGTACTCCAGATCCAGCTCGGCCTTGGGGTCCTTGGACGGCTTGAAGTCGAGCAATAGATCGTCCTTGACCGCGCACACCGAGTCGCTGGTCACGTAGGGGTCGTCGCGGGGATAGAGCTGGGTGGTCAACGACTTGTAGCCGTCAGCGCTGACCATCAGATGGATGTGAGCCGGTCGCATGGGGTGGCGGTCCATGAGCTTTAGCAGGACACCGGCCGGGCCGTCGGTGGGGAGCGAGTATGCGGTCGGGTGGTAGCAGTAGTAGTAGTACTCGCCCTTCTCGTTGGTCCTGAACTTGCCGCGCAGGTTGTTGACGGACTGTTCGTCGTCCTGGAAGTCGTACTTGCCGTTCGCCGAGGCTTGCCAGATGTCCACAATGGCGTTGGGGATGGGCTTTCCGGTCTTGTAGTCGCTGACCACACCGTGCATGAGGGTCACTCTGCCGGTTGGGTATGGGTCTTGGACAATGCTGTCGCCGAGCTCCCGGAATGGCGCGTGAGGGCTCCAGAAAGGTCCCAGAATTGTCGACGACGTGGGCGTCTCGTCACTGTCGAGCATGATTTTGTTGGCCACCTCATCGACGAGCCTGTCGAACAGAAGTTCATGGTTAGCTCTCTCTCTCTCATGATGATTTTTGCATAATCAACAAAGTCTGCACTTACGATTCAATGCCGAGCACATCACAGATTCGCTGCCCCTCATTACGCTTGGAGTCGCTGATCTGACCGATAGCGTTGACAAACTGGACGCCTCGCATCCATTCTTCGGGCGTCAGCTCGGTTTCGCGGACGAAGTCGTGGAGATGGCGGATCAGCTTCCCCAAGACAAATCGGGCCCGGTCGGGGGTCTTGGGGCCCATGGCGTTGATGAGGCTGTCGGTGAAGTTGGGGTCATATTTGTGAGTGGATGTGTGCCCGTTCGTCGACCCGTTCAGGTTGGTGGTCGTGGAGTTTTCAACAACGTTCTGGAACGACATTTTGCCGGTGTGGACGGGGGTGTGTACACAGTGTCTATGTGTGAATGGACTGAAGGTATGCTCTGCAGAAAGACCAAAGGCTGGGGATGTGAGAAGTGGAAGAAGACTGACACCAACCTCAGGGACCCGGAGGCAGAAGATCCATATATATATAGTTATCTATAATATTGTCATCATAGGGGAAAGAACTGCTCCGGCAGCAACGGTCGGCTCATGGCGTCCTATTCGTCGCTCCGCTCAGCGCCGTCAACTCTGGGGAAGTCTGGGATTGTCGGCATCCACGACAGCCACTGACTGCCGCCATCTGGGCCAATTGGGCGAGTGTCGAGTCTAAGCAGGACGACATCATAGGCTGACTGGAGTGAGGACTGGAGTGGCTGTCGGCAAGTTGGTGCCGCCAATGCCCGCTGCAAACCTGCAAAAACACGGTAGTTGGAAGACGAGGAGGAGAGATGCACGTATCGACGTCTTAGCCGGCAATCACATTCGGCATCTGAGATCTGTTTCTCTCTCTCGGCTCTAGTGGCACCTAGAGTGGCATCTTTCTTCGGGTGCTGCGGGGCTTTTCCCGGGGCGTGCGTAGCTGTGGTTCGCCACTAATAATTCTTACTGCGCAGTTTACATACTGTACAGAACCAACCACCACACCAACACCACCACCACCACTAGCACCATCGACAGTAGCATCTCCACAGCCACTCCCCTTGAAATATGTACAGTACCTGGGCCATGTGATCTAGCCCTTCCCTTCTCGACTACGTCTCACAACCGCTGCCCAACATGAAACACCATCTCATGATAGGCACATGGACCCCCCCAGGAGCCATCTTCACGGTTGAGTTCGACGATGAGGCCTGGACCCTCAAGTTGGTCAAGAGAACACAAATCCCCCAGGATGAGCCCATATCATGGATGACATTCGACGTGAGTACAGACAGCATTCGGGGTGTGAGTGTGAAGTGGTACTCTGCTGACCATGTTTCTCGGAACAGCATGCACGGCGAAACATCTACGGAGCTTCAATGAAGAAATGGTCCAGCCATGCCGTCAAAGCACCAGACAACATCTCACACGAGGTCTCCCATCCAATGAACCATGACCGTAGGTTGGCCAACTTCCCCCAGGGTTGATACCAGCCAGGCTCACAACAGGCAGCACGGGCTCAGAGCGCCGACACCAGGACCAGGGCCATCTTTGTGCTGGCAGCCAAGAAGCCGCCCTATTGCGTCTATGGCAACCCATTCTACGAGCATGCGGGCTACGGCAACGTCTTTTCCGTCGACGACCAGGGCAAACTCGACAAGAACATCCAAAACTACGAGTACAGCGAAAAGTCGGCCATCCATGGCATGGTCTTCGACCCCACCGAGACGTATCTGTATTCCGCCGACATGTGGGCCGACAAGATCTGGACACACAAGAAAGCGAGCGATGGCACTCTCACCCTGGTCGGCAGTGTCGATGCACCTTCGGCCGGTGACCACCCCCGATGGGTCGACATCCATCCCAGTGGACACTACCTCTACGTGCTGATGGAAGCCGGGAATCGATTGGGGGTCTATGTGATCGACGAGACCACGCACCTCCCCGTCTTCACCCACGACCTGTACCCGCTTGTTCCTCCAGGTGCGTGCTTACCAAACTACCTTGGAAAGTCATTGGGGGGCTAACCAGAAGCAGGTGTCCGAGACCTCAAGAAGATGTACAGATCGGATGTGGTGTTTTGTTCACAGAGTGGCAAGTATCTCTTCGCAACCGCCCGGTCCAATTCATTCAGCGTGACCGGCTACATCAGTGCATTCAAGCTGGGACCACAGGGCCAGATCCAAAAACAGCTCTGCATCAGCCCGACGCCGAACAGCGGCGGGCACTCGAATGCAGTCAGTCCTTGTCCCTGGACGGATGAGTGGCTGGCTTTGACGGACGACCAGGACGGATGGGTGGAAATCTACCGTTGGCACGACGAGTATCTATCTCGAGTCGCCCATCTGGACATCAAGGAGCCCGGCTTTGGCATGAACGCCATCTGGTACGACTAGTGGTGACTTACTGCACTTTCCCGAGTAAATACTTCCCTAGTTCATCAGCCCCTCCCGTTCACGCTGGTGGCGGATAAAGAGTCTTCCGCCAAACGTGTTGCCCCACGGGAACAGATCCGATGCAGTTTGACAATCGACCACCCACGGGAACGACGGGAATACGGGGGACTGTAGGCAGACACCATGACAAAAGGCATCAAAGCTCGGCAAATGCTTCTGACACTAGACACACACTTCCCGGGAGTCATCTTCTGGCTCGCCATTCATTGGCCTGTCGTGACATCTTCGAGGATTTCAATCCATACTGAGCTTTCCTACTCTCGAGTCTCCAGAACAAGTTGCATATTCAACACTCGACTGTATTGGTGGTGCCACTTGGTTCACGAAAGGAGCCCAACACGGCGTCAATTACCACGCGAGAACACATCCTTGCACGGTCGACAGGCGGGGTGGAAGAGAGTCGGTTCGTGATCTAGCCTGCCCATCATGGCGTCGTCCAGCCCCGTGCGTGGGTTGCTGTTCGTGACCATGCAGCCCAAGGAGACACTGTCGCTGGACCTTTTTCACGACTGGTACAACAACGAACACGGCCCCAATCGAACTCGTCTGTCGTTCATGCCAAATGGGTTTCGATACCGTGCCACCGATCTGCCAGGCCCCAACGCCGGCACGCGCGCCGACCCCGAGTTCCTGGCCATCTACGACGCCACCGACATGCACCAGTTCACCCAGCAGCCGTACCAGTATCTCCGGGCGCCGCCTGGCAAGTCGCAGCGAGAGATCGACGTCATGGCCCAGATCTGGGTGGACCGTCTGACGCTGGATTTTGTCGGCGAACAGATCAACGACAAGACGTTCGTCAAACTCGAAGCACCAGAACATTTCCGCGAGAACGAAGAGGGCAATGTTCTGACCACTCTCCGGTTGCTCCTCACTCCAGAGCAGGTCTCGAGCGTGGGAGAGTGGATTGAGACGACTGTCCTCCCCAAGGTGCGAGACATCCCCGGCTGGAGGAGGACGTCGTGGTTCAAGACCTCCTATCTCGAAACCCGCACCGACGGCAAGGTCGATTTTGTCATGATCAACGAATACACGCCGTCCACCAACCCCAAGGCCCTGCCCGCCCTGTTTGACGCGCTGCCCGTGGAGGTCTCGCAGAGCAAGGCCCGCACATATGAACTCTTCTACACCTTTGGAACGGCAGCACGCCACCTAGCAATCGTAGCATCGTGGACGTCGCCCGACGGAGTCACCAAGACGCTACCAAAGGTCTCACCGTACGGCTCGGCCATCGAATCGACGATCACGACACGCGATGGTGCAGTCCTGCCCTTCCGTCTCGAAGGCAGCTCCGACCCCAGCGCGCCGGTGCTGGTGCTGATCAATTCGGTCCTCACGACCTGGGCCATCTGGGACAGGTTCCTCGTGCACTTCTTTTCTCGCCCGCAGAACCAGAAGTACCGCGTCCTGCGGTTCCTCGCCCGCGGCAGGATCTCCCACAGCGGCACCACCAGTCCCGTGACTGCCGACCTCCAAGCGTCCGACGTCATCCAGCTGCTTGACGGCCTGCGCATTCCTCAAGCAGCAGGCCTCGTGGGTGTGTCCATGGGTGGCGCCACCGCGCTGGCAACGGCCCTGCTCTACCCGTCGCGGACTCAGGCCTTCATCGCGTGCGACACGTCCGCAAAGTCCCCCGCTGGCAACAAAGACACCTGGGGCCAGAGGATCGCGGTGGCGGAGAAAGAGGGCACCACGCTTCGTCTGGCGACGCTGTTTGGGGATGAGTCCCCAGACGCCACTCCACAACCCGTGGTGGGCGAAGAGCTCGCCGAGATGACGGTGCGGCGGTGGTTCGTGCCGGCGTCCTACGACGACCCGGAGCTCGTGCCCGAGATCGCGCAGGTCAAGCGCATGGTCTACACTAACTCGCTGCCGGAGTTCCGGCGCGGCGTCGAGACGCTGTTCAACTACGACTACACGGGTCTCCTGGCCGGGTACAAGGGGCGAGGCGCCTTCTTGGTCGGCGCCGGCGACGGCGTGCTACCCCAGGGCATGGAGAAGCTGGCGAAAGAGCTGGGCTCGGCCGAGGGGAAGACGGCGGCATTCAAGGTCGTCGAGGGCGCGGGCCATTTGCCCATGGTCGAGAGACCCAAGGAGGTGGCGGACTTTGTGGGGGACTTTTTGAACGCCTCCTGACCTTCTAGATTGCACTTTAGACCTGGCAGGTTGAATAGAGAGAGAGACCCTTGCTGGGTGTCACACAGCCTTGTTTTGCCATGGACACCCATCATACGGGAGCATGTGGCACCCGCTTCTGTATCTCTCTTTGTTTTGCTCTTTTTTTCTCTATCCTTGTCATGGTCGTTGTCCTTACTGGGAGGGCTGTGAGAAAACTTGCCTTTAATGGTCCGACCAGGCTCTTCTTCCATGGCTCGAAATCCACTGGATTCTCTAAAGCACATTCCCAATCGCCTTGATAATACCAATTCACTATCGAAGTTCGATAAAAATGGGACTGTCTAGGCAGGAGAGACATAAAAAGGTAAGAGGTGTCAAGAAGGCGAGAAGAGGGGAGAGGAGAGGAGTTCATGTAAAAGCGGCGGCGGTGGCGCCAAGATTTTATAGAGACGCGACTTGCAACCCGCGAGACCCTCACGCGTTACACGCCCGCTTGCGCCTCTATTGTATATTTCCTCTTCTTCACCATCGCCATGTCCAGAGTGCTGCTTCCACACATGCAGTGCCCTCAATGACAGGCTCTTGCTCCCATATTCTGTACACCCCCTCACAGTCTTTCCTCCTCCTTGGACCGTCCTTCCTTTCATGCAACTCTCCTCCGGTCTCATCCTGCGCTCCCCGACTTGTACCTTGAGATCTCCCAAGTCCTTCGTCAATGCGATCATGTTCGCCCGGGCCACCAACAAATATGCGTCATCCTCGACGTCCAATGAGAAGAGGCAGTCTCCATTCCAATTCAGCTCCTCCGCCACGGTCAATGCTTCCCGAGATTCTTCCTCGAGTTCTCTGAAGAGGAAGCTGGATCGCTCCATGAGCACGTCCAGCACCTTGGGCTCTCTTCATCAGCAGCCCTGGGCCGACGAAAACGCTCCTCCCAACTTCATTGATCTAACAGATAATATCGAAGGTCAGCCCGACGTCCAATACCCTGATCTGCGGCCAATAGATGCCGTGATTTATCCTTCACTACCGCCAGTCCAACAAGGCTCTCCGACCGCACCTGCGAGTAGCACTGAAGTCCCATGGTCGTCATCGCCGGCACATCACTATGAAAACCCGAAATCGTCAAGAGATATACCGGAGGCGCGGCCGGTGGGACCGAACAAGAAGAGAGCGCTACCCGCATCATTCACAGCTCAAGTCTCAGGGGCATACAGGGATGAAGCGGGCCAGCATTCCCACAGATTCGATAGGTTCAGTGCGCCACATCAGTTCCAGAACGCGAGCAGCCGTGACAAAGCGTCCCTTGCGATGTCGGACATGCTACAGAAGTCATCGTTCGCCCGGCACCGAACAAATGCGTCTGTTTCAAGGTCCTCGTCTGAACGCACGGTCTTGTCCACAAAGCCGGCCGAAACACCGCCGGTGACCTTCGACACAGTGTCGGCGCCTTTTTTGAGTGACGAGCAGAAAGCTGTCGTGAAGGCAGTCATGGATGAAGGGAAGAGCGTCTTCTTCACGGGGTCTGCCGGTACAGGAAAATCGGTTCTTATGAGGGCGATCATTTCCAAGCTGAAGCACAAGTACCGAAAGGACCCGGATCGGATTGCAATCACAGCTTCGACGGGCCTGGCCTCGTGCATTTTGGAAGGACAAACGCTGCACAGTTGGTCGGGGATCGGGCTGGGAAAGGAACCGGCACCTGAACTGGTCAAAAAAATCAGGCGCAACCAGAAATCGAGACAAAAGTGGCTTCGGACCAAGGTGCTTATCATTGACGAAGTATCCATGGTCGACGGTCTGCTCTTTGACAAGCTCGAGCAAGTGGCACGTACAATCCGAAACAATGGCCGTCCCTTCGGCGGCATCCAATTGGTCGTTACGGGAGACTTCTTCCAACTCCCTCCTGTGCCGGACAAAAATACCACAGCCAAGTTTGTCTTCGAGGCTGTAACGTGGAACACCTGCATCCAACATACCATCCTTCTGACCCATGTCTTCCGTCAAAAGGATGAGCATTTTGCAAGAATGCTCAACGAGATGCGGCTCGGCAAGATGAGTCCTGCCACGATCCGAGAATTCAAGTCACTTTCGAGGCCCTTGGATTTTCGCGACGAGCTTGAAGCAACTGAGCTGTAAGCGTTTTACCGCGTGATCAACCCCGGCGCTAACACTGGACAGGTATCCTCGCCGTGAAGAAGTCGAAAATGCCAACCAGAACCGTATGCGAAAGCTGTCCGGTCAAGTTATGACGTTCACTGCGGTTGATACGGGCACCGCTGACCTTAACACGCGGAAGGCGTTGCTGAACAACTTTATCGCCCCCGAAGTTTTGGAGCTGAAGAAGGGTGCGCAGGTCATGCTCATCAAGAATATTGATGGGCAACTTGTCAATGGCTCTCTGGGAATCGTCCAGTCATTCATGGATGAAGGCACATTCTTCACCTACAAGGATGACGAACCCACCTTTCTCCTGTCCCACGAGCCTGATGATGGAGACGATGCGGATATAAAAGCCGCGCGCGAGAAGATCCGGGAAGCCAGGATGAAGAACTCGACCACGGGTGGCGAGCCTAGGATGTTGTGGCCTATGGTGAGATTCAATCTACCTGATGGTACATCACGCAGCATGCTCTGCTCTCCAGACGAGTGGAAGACTGAAGCCCAGAACGGTGAAGTCCTTGCCAAACGGGTTCAGGTTCCTCTTATTCTCGCATGGGCATTGTCGATTCACAAAGCACAGGGCCAGACACTCAGCCGAGTCAAGGTGGATCTCGGCAAGGTGTTCGAGAAAGGCCAAGCCTATGTCGCACTGAGTCGAGCAAGAACAAAGGAAGGCCTACAGGTCCTCCGGTTCGATGAGCGGAAAGTCATGGTCCACCAGAAGGTGTTGCATTTCTACTCCAAACTGTCTGGCCACGAGACGTTGGATAAGAAGGAAGTCAAGAAAGTCGTGCCCGAAGAGGATGACTTTGGCGACGACTTTACGCTTGAAGAGATGCTCGAGGCCGAGAAGCAAATGTTGAAGGCTGCGGCGTCGTAGAAATGTGATCTGCATAGGTGGACGGTCTACAGCCAGCGTACAAGAAGCGTGTCATTGACTGTGACATGAACTAGTCGATAGATGTTAGATGTGAAATATAGTCCATGATGATGAGCTCGGCAGTGGTTGATGCTCGTGTGAGATGATGACGAAATAGGAAACACCAAACTTTGTCGACTTTCCGGCAACGTTGAAATGAATTGACCGGCACTCACTCTCTCATTGAGCCCCGTTACCTTCTCATCTTTTCACATCTTGTACCTGTTTGATCTACTTCACTCCATGGTGAGCAGCATGAACATATAGAACCGTCCCATTCCATCTGCTCCGCTCGTTTCTCCCTCCCTGAACCATGGCGTCCGACTTTGTGGGCTACACCATCTTGGTCACACTCCAGAATCCTCCCCACGCTCAGATACAGGGCGTCGTGGCGAACGTCGTCAATCAAAAGCTGTTCCTGCAGAATGGTAGGCTTCAACCACCGTTCCAGCTGCGTATATGCTAACCTGGCCGTGCAGTACTTCTATGGAATGGCCAGCGTCTCGCCTCGTATGCCATCGACTCCTCCGCCATTGCAGATCTCGAGGTGTCTCCGTCGCAGCCGTCCGCCGTTGAAGAGGAGGAATTGCCTACACCGATCGCCGCTCCGGAACCCGCGAAGACCGCATTCCCCCAGGTCCTGCAACAGCAGCCACAAAATGCGCCCGTCTTTGTCGACCCCGCCATCATCAGCTACACGAAACCACCCACCAAACTTGCGGTGCCGCCCGCCGTCGTCCAGCAGCCGCAGCCAGTGTCTCCGATCATGATCGCCGATGGGATCGTGAGCAGCCCGTCGACGCGCAGGCCCCGCAACGGCAACGTGGGGAATAGCTCTGTGTCCAGCATCGCGACCGCTGTCCCCAAAACGATCGAGAAGAAGAATACACCGGCCAGTGCCACTCTTACGGAGCCGTTCGATGCGTTGAGCCTAGGGAACAATGTGGCCGCTCCCAAGTCCACGCCAGTGGCACCCCGCGACAAGAAGGCGGCGCAATTTGTCCCCTCACAGACGGGCCCGGGCATCATCGACATGAAGGACGTCAATAACGGCCCGCTCAAGGGGCAGAAGAAGGCAGGAAAGGGCAAAGGCTGGCGTCAGACTCCCTTTATCGAGGAGGTCCCCCGAAAATCTAGGCACAAGAGGGGTCGCAGGGCCGCGGAAGACATAAACGGCTGGGCAACGGAGGATGCTACTGACATCCAGGACATGGGCGACTTTGACTTTGAGTCGAATTTATCCAAGTTCGACAAGCGCCGCGTCTTTGACGACATCCGGCAAGCCGACACCACCGCCGACGCCGACCGGCTCGTGAGCTTCAACCGCAAAGCTCGACCGGGAACCAACGGAGGCCGAAACCTGCATTTCACGGAAAATGTTCTCGACACGCCGGATGGAAAGGACAAAGATCGATGGAAGAGCGAGGCCGGGGAAACTGAGGATGAGACGTCCATTGGGGGAGAGGGTCACCACAGCAGCGGGCGAGGATCCAAGAGAGCCGGCTCGCGACGGCCGATCGGTTCGAGAAAGGGCAGCGTCATACCTCCGCACCTTGACCGGACAGAATCGCCGCGCCCGTTGACTCGAATGCAAACCTCGTCGCCTCTGAATGGATCCGTGTCCGGCAACCGTGGTACCTTCAAACTTCTCAACAACAAGCCCTGCCATTGTCTGTCGCCGCTGCAGATGCTCGAGATAGAACAACTCTGCACTTCGGAACTTGGCCTCACAGAAGACATGCTGTCGGAGAACGCTGGGCGGAGCATAGCCATGGCGGTGCTCAAGATCCCCGAGGTCAGAAGCGTGGTGTTCCTAGTGGGCAATCACAAGTCTGGTGCCAGGGCCATCGCCGCCGCCCGGCATCTGCGCAATCGAAGGCTTCGAGTGACCATTGTCATCCTCGGGGGTGAACGTGAAGAGCTTCTCTTGGAAGTTATGCGGAAACAACTCGGCATCTACCAAAAGGGACAAGGGTACGTGGACCGCTGGGATGAATATCAGACCAAAGCGAGCGCAGGCGGGCCTACTCCGGACGTGATTGTGGATGCTCTCCTGGGAGTGCACGTCACCTTTGAAGAGCTACGGACCGATGACCAAGCCACTGTCCTGGAGATGATCCGCTGGGCCAATCGCAGCTCCCTCGTCATCTCCATCGACGTGCCGAGCGGACTATCTGCCACGTCGGGTCTGTTGACGGAAGTCGATGGACAGCCGCTGGTCATGAACAGTAAGCATATCGTCAGTCTGGGGGCACCAAAGACGGGCCTGCTGTATGGAATGTCGCATGACGGAGTCACGGAGCCGACCTGGCACGTCTGGGTTGCGGATATCGGCATCACGGCTGCGGCGTGGCAGAAGCACGGGTCCCGAAGAAAACACGGCACCGAATTTGGCACCGAATGGGTGGTTGCGGTGAAGTACGTATCGGGCTTACAAGGCTAAGGCAGACGAGAGCGACGGGTGATTCGTCTCAGAAGGAAACCAGGACGAGGGTCAGGGGAAGTCATCTATGTCTGTCTGGATTTTCTATTATTATTTGCTGCTGCTGCGTTCAAGCGATTAATTTGACCAAAAAGCACATACAGGGACGGAGGGAGGAAGGGAGGTATAGGTTACCTATTCGTGGATCTGATTTTGCTTCTGCTTTTTGCGGTGGTGAAGACAAAGACAAGCGCCTTCTCATACAGTATGTGCTTGCTCTCTTGCTCTCTTGCTCTCTTGCTCTCATGCTCTCTTGCACTCTTGCTCTCCTTGCTGCTTAGAGACTGTATGTACTGTGAGCCAGGTCACGTACGGGGGTTCCTTCCTCTCCTTGTTATTTATTAGATAGCCATCTCCCACCCAAAACAAGGGAGACGAAGCCCATTCGATGCTAGGACAAAAGCGTTCGTTCTTTTGTTCGTTCGCTCGATCGCTCGAATGCAGTGTGGCTTTTCTTTCACCTCTCGCGAAACAACCGTCATAACTATCGTCTATCTATCTATTTGTCTGTCTGCCTGTCTGTCTATCCGTCTATCTCACGGCCCCTCCTCTGCTGTAAAGAAGCTACGTCGCTGTCTTCCTTACTCTCTACCAGGTACGGAGAAGGAGTAGTAGTAGTAGAAATAGTAGGAGTAGGAGGAGGAGCAGGAAATGAGGTATGTGGTATGTGGTATGAGGTATGAGGTAGCAGTGAGATACTCGGTACTCTGTCCTCGATACGTACAACCCTGAGCGCAGGGAAGGTGACAAGGCCAGTAGGATAAAGCCCAGGCACAAGGAAACAAAGAAACAAAGAAACAGAGAATAAAGAACAAAGCAGGGCGATATCAATCAATCAATTCAGTGTACTGTTGTTGTTGCTGCTGTTGGCCCACTCACTAATTACTGGACAAGTAACGAGTTCCAGTACAGTACAGTAACCAAGGGCGAGGGCAAGCAAGCAAGAAAGAAGGGAAAAGAGGGGAAAAAAAAGTAAAGGAAAGGAAAAGAAAGGGCCTTAATGTACCGACCGAGTATTACCTCGTTCGTCCTCACTCGATCACTCCAGTTATTAGCTAGCTTTCATCAACCATCAACCCATCAACCCATCATCACACACATCACATACATCAAATTGAAGCAAGCTCAAGTCAAGGCGGCCCGAAACTGCCTCGCTGTTATGCCCCCAGGGCGCTTCCGGGGTCCTTTTTGGTGCCATAGGAATGGTATAGTATGGTGTAGTGTGGTGTGAGCATGACTTTCTTTCGCCGGTGGCAGGGCGATGATCGACGAAGCGAGCGAGGCGAGTTGAGTCACTTTTGTTGCATTCCAATCATCTCGATTCTTTGGCCACGACCCCGAGCCGAGATTCCCGTCCTGTCATTCTTTCCTTCCTTCCTTCCTTCCCTCCTTCTCCTCTCATCTCTTTTATGATCGAACGTTTCCCGTCCGTGGTGAGGTGACCTTCTGCTTCTCCCCCAAATGGCACACTCCCGGACCTCCATTGAGGGCCCGTACTCTCTTCTTTTGCTTCAATCTTAACCCCCCTCCCTCAATCTGGGAGATCCACGGCAAAAAAAGAAGAAGAAAATACATTGCCAATCGCTTAAAATGAAAAACAACACTGCAAAGAAACCCCGGGACACCTGTTCTGATGTGATCTGATCCTCACCCGTCACGTCACGACATGGCCGAATAGCCCATCTCCTTCATGCCCTTGTACCACATCTCCTTGAAGCGGCCATGGGCCTGGCGGTGCGACTTGTCGGTGGTGGCGCGGATATAGTAGCTGAGCATGACGTTGCAGCGCAGCTCGTTGGTCTCGTAGAGGTTGATCACCCAGCCCTTGCCGTCGCTGGCGTCGAGGGCCTTGACGTCGCGGCTCTCGGCGACCCGCACGCTGAACCGCCCGTAGATGCTGACCCCGGACCCCGGGTTGGTCAGCGCCTCCATGCCGTCCTGGGTGCGCCGGATCGCGCTGTAGTACGTCAGGTCGGTGCTGTACCCCGGCAGCAGGTTGAGTTTGTCCGTGATGGCATAGTGCTGGAACTCCTCGAGCGCGTACTCGGCCTCCAGCTCCACACCGAAGTCCCGCGAGAGAGCCCGGTGGTCGACGGCTTTCGGGTCTGAAGCCGGGATGGTCACCACGTTCGTGATCAACGGGTTGAGCCGCGCCATCAGCACCGGGTCCGAGCACATCTTGAGTGCGAGCTCGTAGCCGGCATCCAGCACGTCTTGCGGCGTCTTGCCCTCCGGCGCCGGCGGCAGGAGCAGGTCGGTGATCCAGCCGGATTTGAAGGTTGTTTGCATGAAAGCCATTCCTTCGATCGATAGTTCAATTCGCCAAGGCACGCAGTGATTGTGTGTTGGATGTTTGCTGTGTAGGCGGCTGCTGTAGACCGAAGAATATTCTCCGTGAGACGATGAAGAACTAATATGGCACTGTTGAATACCACTTGGGGACCGAGCGAGCGGAGTCCGGATATCTGCAACCCAATATAGCGAGTGCTAATCCTTTGCGCTGTTCTGCTCCGGATAATCATCAACGGTCTTCGCAGGCCGTCGAGGGTGTGATCACAAAGTACAAATAACCCCCAACGGCGACAAGATCGTGATGGAAGAAGAACCTCGTCGAAGAAGAAGAGTAAGCGTCGGGGAAGTCGTGGCAACCAGCTCGCCGCCCCCAAAGACACGACCAAACCACTTCAGGGAGAATCCAGCGTGAATACGAGTAATAATATTATGGACGGGAGATTAGCTAGACTCGTCGACACAAAGGGAAGGTGCTGTAAGTAATAAGTTGGTAGGTAGCTTGATAGGTAAGCAGGTTCAAGAAAACGAGGTGGACGCCGTAAACAGTGCCCTCCGTGGCCTAAGTAATCATTAGGCAGGTCTAGAGCTGATGGATGAATGAGGCTGGCTGTCGAGGTGTGGGCGTTGTTCAGCCCTAGCCGCAGCTGCCAGCCACTGACTGACGGGAAACACTTGGGACGTGGAATCAAAGTGCTTATTATATTATTATGTTTTCTGATTGTCTGATGGGCGGCGTGTCAAGCCCAGGATAGTTAGTAGTTAGTTTGGGACGCGAGAGGGGGCCGTAAAGAGTGAGATGGGAGTGGGATGGCGACGGTGAGATCTGATCTGACTGACAACAACGACTCTCGATCTCATATCATCATTCATTTCTTTCTTCTCCATTTGCTTGTCCCATTCTCGCCATCCTCGCTAACCGTATCTCTAGAATTACAACGTGCTCGTATGAACGTATGGACGTATGTACGGGCACTACTGCCCATACCAAACAATGGCTTCTTTGCTCCAAGCTTCGCAACACAAACAGCCACAAAGGGTCCTTCGGGATGTCTCTTTCACTCGACCTTTCTTTGTCGGCACACGTCCGTAGTCAAAGACATGGCTGCTTGTCCTCCCCTGCTCTGGGGTCCTCGCCCCGTGGTTGATCCTACTGGCGACTATTTATGGCTCGAGCACGCCCCCGAGCAGCTTGACATCGCCATTGGCAAGTCCTTGCTTGACGCGAGAGCAGTGCTCGATTCAACACAGATTCTGCCAAATTGACGTTCAACCCGGCCGACAAAATGTCGTCTTCTACTAGTGCATTAGGGAAACTCCCACTGACCTTCGGGGTCGAAATCGAACACGCTTTCGGTGTCAACCAGGATGTCGTCGGTACTGACAAAGCATACCGCTGGCTGCTCCCAGGTAATTGCACCATCCATCCCAACACTCCCAATCCTCCGGACTTCGACCCCGGGCGGGAAGAGATCTGTGGCATCCTGCAAGCGGTCAAGATTCTGCGAAGCAAGGGTGCCACCCTCAATGTGATCACGTGGGACAACGAAGACGAGGGGGAGGACAGGGAGCCTACTGACACCGACATGTATTCTCACTGGAACATGACCGAAGACAGATCGGTGAGATATCCGTGGACGGCCCAACAGCTTTACGAACTGTCCGGGGGCAGGATTACCATGTGGCCAGGCTGGGAGTTCTCGGGGTTGGAGCTCATTTCTCCCGCTCTCAAGGTCCCCGAATTCGGCTCTGGTCACTTTCTCCCGAACGGACTCGATCAAGTCAAAGGCTTTCTCGACCTCATGAATGAGCCCCAGCCCCAGGGCACCCCATACTGTTTCCTTTCGGGTCCACAGATGGCTGGTGTCCACGTTCACATCGGTCTGCAACCACAACCTGACCGCCAGCTGGACCTACCCACCGAGTTCCTCCGGCATCTTGCCTTCATATGCCTGGCTTATGAAGATACCATAACTCTGCTCCACCACCCTCAGCGCCATGGTTATACCAGGTCCTACTCTTACCCACATGTCAGGAGCAATCGCTTTGTGGGACGACTGGTGCCACCCTTCCCGCGCCATCGTTGCCAGAAGGGACCCGAGTTCTCGCTTGCAGACGTGTTCCTGCGTCTTTTCCGCGCCCGGGACACCAATGAGCTGGTGGAACTCCTGACCACCGTCCCGTCCGACAACAGCGGGGACTACCAGTACATGGTCCGCGAATGCTTCGTCAATTTCACCAACTGCTTCGACTTCGGTTCGTCGCCGATGAAGAGAACGGTCGAGTTCCGTCAACACCACGGAACTCTGGACGCCGAGGACATTGGCCAGTGGGTGGTTTTCCTCACCGCCCTGGCACGCACGGCGGAGCGCAAAGCGAACGAGCAACCACCACCAGCCGCGGCCTGCACCGTGCCAACGTTGCTCCTGCGGAGGATCCTCACGGCGAACATAGGTGAGCGGGTCGCCCCGGGCAAAACTGACGTGCTAGATACCCCTGCTGACGTCCTTTGGCGTGAAACCATATCTGACGCTCGGATCATGGCACCGATCATTCGCGAAGCGGTCAAGTATCCGCAGCTGTTCCACACCGACACGAGAAGATCGCTCAAGGAGCTCTTTGATCTGATTGAGCTTCCCGTGCCCTATCGACGGTATTGGTGGGAGCGGGCGAAGAGGTGCAGAGCCGAGTGGGCCGCGACTTGGCGAGGCTTGATCCCTTGTCTGGACGTCGAGCCCTGCGCGTTGGAACCGGTGAGGGACAACAAGGGCTGGGCTGCAGGGGAACTCGATGTTCCACCATGGGACGTTGACGCTGACCAGTCGACAGATACTTTTCTTCGGGCAGAACCGCAACCGCAACCGCAACTTTCTCGCCCGAACGTCATGTCCATCGAGGCCATCATGAATGGCTCTGAACCGGTCTCTCTCCCTGAGTGAGAGAAACGTGTGTGTGACATGACATGACACGATGTGTGTGTGTGTGTGTGTGTGTGTTTCGATGAGTAGAAGCGTGCAAAGTGCCGGAGGAGAAGGTAAGTTTGGGGGTAGTGATGGAATCTGTGGCTGGGTAAGGAAAATCTGGTCGACAGACAAAGGTAAGTAAGGGGAAGCAAGGAAAAGGTAAGTCAGTCGTATGATATGGGCGGATTCATTCTCCTTCCTTCGGTAGACCATCCGCGTTCATTCGTTTATTCGTTCGTTCATTCCATATGTCTCTCTCTGTGTATTATTCCCGTTCCGTCTCCGTGAAGGAATCAATTAAGAATGTAGAGATCACCAGGAATCAAAGTTTCCAAACCCTCCCCCTCCCCCTTTTGCCTTTTTCCGCACTGGTTCTGCAGGCTCGTCGTCGACGAACTCGACAATCTCGTCCTCGTCCTCATGCGGGCGCGAGGCCTTGAGATATTTGCCCACCTGCGCCGTCCCACCACCCGACTCCACGGTGCCGTCGTTCCGTAATCTCTTGCCCGTCCAGGTGGTGCGGTCCTCGTCCACGTCGAGACTTCCCTCGTCAGCAGCGGCAGCTTTTCGTTCCGACTTCTCCTTCTCAGTCCGCTCCGCCTGGTTCTTCTGCTTCCAGAACTCCTCAAACGGGTCGATCAGCACGGTCGCCTCGACAATCCGGATCTCGTCCTTGGGCCGGTCGGTGCTATCGACGGGCGCGTTCTCGAGCCGCTTGAGCGTCTCCAGCGAGGTGGCGCCTCCGTCCTCGTCGTCTTCCGCTACTCGGCCGAAGATGGTGTGTTTGTGGTCCAGGTGGCTGGCCGGGCGATAGGTGATGAAGAACTGCGAGCTGTTGGTGTTCTTGCCCTTGTTCGCCATGCTCAGCACTCCCCGCCGGTCGTGCTTCAGCGGGCCCTCGAGCTCGTCGTTGAAGTTCTTGCCCCAGATGCTCGTCCCGCCCCGGCCGGTGCCCGTGGGGTCGCCCGACTGGATCATGAAGTTGCGGATATTGCGGTGGAAGATGACGCCGTTGTAGTACCCCTTGCGCGCCAGCTTGATGAAGTTCCACACCGCCTTGGGCGCGTATTCCGGGTTGAGTTCGAGCGTCAGAGGCCCGAGCGTGGTGGACAGCCGGACGTAGCCCTTGTGTTTGACGCGTCGGGGTTTCAGGATGTACTCTTCGTCCGTCATCGTGGCGAGGGCGTTGGACGTATGCGGCGTGAGGCCGGTCGAGGTGAACGAGGCGGCTGCTTGTCCGGTGGTGTGGCGGGTCGCATTATAAGGGACGGGTTTGGATGACTGGGATACTGAGCTTGTCTTTTTGACTGAGTTGGCCGACATGGACGTCGACGACGATTTGCCATTTTGCGAGACAGCATTTGCTCGCTCGGCCCTGGCCTTCGCGACCGCCTCTTTCGCTTTCATAATCTTCAAATCCGCGGCACTGCCCAGGCTGGCGGTATTGATGGATGCCTCCTCTTTCGGGATCCCCGTGTCCTCCCCGTCCTTCAAGTACTTGAACGAGGTGAGGTTGCGCGACTCGACGTTCTGCGGATCCTGTAGTGTAATGATGTCCTTCCGGGAGAACTCCTCGTCCGAGACCAAGTCGCGCCACATCTTGGGTTTGATGTTGAGTCGCTCGACCGTGTCATACGCGAACACATTCGCCTCATCGCCATGGCGGATGGCCACGATGTGCGTGTTGTCCGTGAAGACCTTGAACGTGACGGGGTCGACGTACTCGCCCGCATCGTTCTTCGCAAAGTGCAGCTTGATGAGGTCCTGCTGTTTCAGGGGCTTCCCGTCCGTCGGGTTCGTGTCATGTTTCAGCAGCCAGCGCAGGATGTTCTCGTGATCAAAGATGATGCCCTCGGCCGTGCAGACGGGCGTCGTGAAGGGCTGCAGGCTCAGGGCGCAGAAGTTGAAGGGCAGCCGCTTGAAGGCCGCGTGGTGGGACGTGTCCGCGCGCACGCCGGCGCCGGCGCTCGCCGAGTAGGCGTCGGACGAGGCCCATTCGGAGTGAGTGATCTGTGTCATAGCAGAAGAAGGCATGTTAGTGAGTTCTGGCTGGCTTCTGTTCAACGAGACGAGTGAGGTGCGCATACGTAGAGTTTGTCGGTCCCTGGAAAAGCTGCTCGTCAGCAGGCTGAAGCGAGCGAAGGAAGGCGATCTGACCTTTGCCCATGTTCCGTCTTGTCTATGTTGACCGCAGGTGAGGATTAAAATTAAGAAGGAAGAGGTTGTTCTGGAGGAGGAGAGAGGAAGTTGACATTGCGGCGGAGAAAATGGATCGCCGTCCGGAAATGGCGTCGACTCCAACCCACCTCAGTATATGCGTACAGAACGATCACAACGATATATGCAACTTCGATCTGCTACGGTATCTTTTCCTCCCGTCCAGATTGAATAATCTGGGAATGCACCAGAACCTCCGTTCTATTCTATAATTCGTGTCCGAGTCTATGTATTTCCTCCACATTGGCGCAAACGATCCCCTCGGCGTAGAAGGAGGAGCTATCAGGGCAGACCCAGGTATCTGAGGTACTCGGCTGGCCCAGAAGCATTCCAGACGTCCCTTTCGCCTTCAGCAGCGATCCACACCAACCCCAGCATCGCCGCCGAGTTGGCGCCGGCTCCCCTCTCAAGGCCACTGTGCCGGCGAGGAACCATGCACATCCACTCCCTCACCAGAATCACGTTGTAGTCGGTGCCCCCGCCGGCTTCTTCGTGGCTTTGTCGGACCCTTCTGAGCAGCTTTTCGTAAGCTTGGACGAGGGTACCTGTGTCACTGTGCGGAGGCAGTCGAAGGACGAAATGCTTGTGAGGGACTGTCGGAATACTATCCGCCACGTCCACCACCGACTCCGCCACATTGGGAAAGAGCTGGAATCCCAGCTCCTGCTCGTCCGGGTATGGCCAGAACTGCATGTGCTTGTGTCCCTGGCTCGATCCGGCCTCAAAGCCGCAGTTGAAGATCATCATGTACCGCCGCCGAAAGTGCTGCAAGATCGCCCAGGCGGCCGACAAGTCGCCCCTATCGAGATCGTCTGTCTGTGGTACAAAATGCCTCGTAATGACCAGCAAACTCGGGCGGTAGACGCTGAACTTGTTCAAGATCAGGAGGTGGGATGGCCCAACTTCCGCTAGAATCTCTTCTGGGTTTGGGTTGAGGAAGGGATTATGTCCCTTTCCCGTCTTCCGCTCGGGAGCGTCTGACGGCGTGATAGGCTTGCGGCGCAGGTGTGGCACGGATCGAAAATTGAGCTGCGGTTGTCAGAGTGCGAGCGGTTTGTTGGGAGTGAGACTAGTCCGGACTTGGTATTCTCTGTTGTGCTGTCCAGCGCAGGGCAGCTGAAGTCACTGACTTACTTTGAACCCCTGGTCTTCCACGGTCTCGGCTGTCGAAGGCTCATAGATCAACTGTCCTTTGGCCACTTGGTTGTCGAATTGGGCGAGTGACAGTGCTTCCAGGCCTGGTGGAAGTGTCGCTGTCTCGCTGGGCCCTGATCGCCCATCATTCTCATTTCGGCTGTCTCGATCCATCTTCTGGATATACTTGTCTTGATCTGTACAGCAACGAGATCTTTTCTTGTAGGGTCACAGCATCAACATCCAAGTACACCGTGGATTTCAATCAAGGACAGTCGTGGACAGTTCTTCGCCGCTGCATCTGGTGGCATATAAATGCCAAGCGTGCTTCACCGTACACTGCCACTATTCCTAATCGGGCCAAGACTTGGAGCTTCCCTGCAGCATCGTTCGAGGCCATTTTTATTTTTCTGGTCCGCGTCCGTCTGCATTGAATCTGCTGTCGCTTCCTTGTATCAACCTTCTATCCTTGTGTGCTGCACTTTTGGGATTTCTCTACCTTCTTTTCTTCCATTCTTCCTTCTTCCGGCGTCGCGATGGCCTTCTATCGCTCGGTTGTTTCTCTCCTGCGCACGTCCCGGCACGTTGTATCCCCCGCTCGAGGTGTCAATCCCGTCAACAGAGTCTTCGGCCATGACAGATTCGCCGCCCGAGCATATGCCACCGTTTTCGAGCGGACGAAGCCCCATGTGAATGTTGGTTAGTAGCAAGGTCGTCGCCTCTTGTCCCGGTCAGATTTCTGACAGTCTTCCGCAGGTACAATCGGTCACGTCGATCATGGAAAGGTAAACCCCTAGCGAGCCCGTCGATATTGAGTCCATCGGCTGATCATCGTGCCAGACCACCCTTACAGCAGCAATCACGAAAAGGCAGGCAGACAAGGGCATGGCGCAGTTTCTCGACTATGGCAAGATTGATAAAGCTCCGGAAGAGCGGAAACGTGGTATCACCATCGCCACTGCGCACATCGAATACGAGACCAGCAACCGGCACTATTCCCACGTCGACTGTCCTGGTCACGCTGATTACATCAAGAACATGATCACAGGTGCTGCCCTGATGGATGGCGCTGTCGTGGTGGTTGCCGCTGGTGATGGTCAGATGTAAGGTACCCGCATTATCGAATAGTACGTACATGAGATTGACTTTGAGCAGGCCTCAAACACGAGAGCATCTCCTGTTAGCCCGTCAGGTCGGTGTCCAAAAGCTGGTTGTTTTCGTCAACAAGGTCGACACCGTCGAGGACCCTGAAATGTTGGAACTTGTCGAAATGGAAATGCGCGAGCTCCTGTCCTCATATGGCTTCGATGGAGACAACACCCCCATAATCTTTGGTTCTGCCCTCTGCGCTCTTGAAGGTACCCGACCCGAGATCGGGGTCGAAAAGATCGATGCTCTGCTGGAGGCTGTTGATACCTGGATCCCAACCCCTGTCCGCGACACTGAGAAGCCCTTCCTCATGTCAGTCGAAGAAGTCTTCTCCATTGCAGGACGAGGCACTGTCGCCTCTGGCCGCGTTCTGCGGGGCATTTTGAAGAAGGACAGTGAAGTGGAGATCGTGGGTGGTCGTGAAGAGGTCATCAAAACCAAGGTCACAGATATCGAGACATTCAAGAAGTCCTGCGACGAGTCGAGAGCTGGCGACAACTCGGGTCTTCTCCTCCGCGGTGTCAAGCGGGAGGATGTCAAGCGTGGAATGGTGGTTGCCGTTCCGGGTACTGCCAAGGCACATCAAGAAGCGCTTGTGTCGCTCTACATTCTGACAGAAGAGGAAGGAGGGAGAAAATCAGGCTTCACTGAGAATTACAAACCACAAGTCTACATCCGGACCGCCGACGAGGCCGCACAACTCAAGTTCCCAGAGGGGACCGAAGATCCGTCCAAGATGGTCATGCCCGGCGACAACCTGGAGATGGTCCTGAAGACCCACCACCCGGTGGTTATGGAGGCTGGTGAGCGATTCAACATGCGAGAGGGTGGGCGAACGGTCGCCACTGGCCTTATCACCAGAATCCTGAAATAGATCAGATGATTGTTGATATGTGCAGAAGCGAAGAAGAGATGGGCTACGCTGGCACCGACGCCTGGAGGCTTTGTATCAAAATATGTCATGTCTTCATCGTGTCATAATTTGGGGTGTACATTTTGTCAGGGATTCGGGTCCCGGAACAGGACGATCATGACCGTGGAGCATTGCGATATTGAGGGAGTCGGAGCTGGGATGGACGAAGCTTGCATATACCAACCTCTCTACTTCAATTCAGAAAAGTGTTTAAACATTCTACATTGTGACATCGATGAGAGACCCCTCGTCGATTCGGTTGCTATATGATTGATGCTGACACGGGACCATCGACTTACGGGGGGGTGTTCACCAAATGACACTCTCCTCAACCATGGCTATATTCATTTAGCACTCGGTTTTCCCTAGTCGCTTAGAATGTTACAGTACCTTGGGAGAATAATTGCCTTTACCGACCTCAGATGATATAAGCGCTCGCTGCCTAGAGGATTTGAGGGAACATAGCCACGGGTTTAGTCTCAATGCAGGGCTTTGCTTCTTTCTGTGCAAGTGTTACCATGATAGGCGATGGTTCAACTTCTTTGTTGACTCGAATCTTGCTACCGGTGGGGGAGGGATCCAAGGCACAGTCACGGTAACAAGCCAACGCACTTCGTCCATGAGTGGTGCCCTTCCAGTATAGGATAAGGGGCTATCAGCCTCGTCACGGGCCCCATTCGCCCTTTTCACCCTGCCAGTCCATCACAGGAGGTCACAGGGGGACCAACAGGGCTGGTTTATGGACGGGATTCCGTTCGTGAAGGGCATTAGATAACTTGATTTGTAAAGTTGTTGCCGGGAAATCCGCCTCCGGTTTAGGCGGCCCGGCCGTTTCGGGTATAGTCGTGGCTGGGCGCGCCGCCGCTTTTAACGGCTATAAGAACTCTCTCCTCCTCCCCTCCTAAGACTCCCTTCCTTCTAACCTATTGTCCTTCTTCATCTCTATCTTCCTAGCGTATCCGTCGTGTATTACGCGCTATAGTCTATATTCTTCTCGGCCGTATTAGACCCTCTCTCGATTCTCCACTAGCTACTTTAAAATCCGCCTCGCCTCTACCTATACATTCCGATCTCCTTAATTCTTAATCGTCGCGATCTTTACGCCTCTTGATATAGTCTATATCGGCCCTCTCGAAGGCTATAACTCCTATATAAAACGTTTAGCTCTACCAGCCGCGTATAGTCTATAGGCTTAGCTAATCCCGTCTATTATTAACCCCTGTACCGAGGATCCTATAGGTGTCACGGTCCCGATGTCAGGAATAGTGCCTCAATTCCCTGCCATAGGCAAAAAGACAGAGAATCCTATCAATTATTGATAGATTCTAGGCACTATAGTAGATAAGGATAACACTCCTGCCATTCATGGCACCCGAACGCGGAAAGACTAGATCTGACCAGATCTGACTAAATCTATTAATACCGTAGCCTGGTATCCTATACTGGGAAAGACAAAGGCTCTCCAAGAAACCTTGAAAGCCATCCAAGGACGATTCCTACGGACGATCACAGGAGCCTATCGGGATACGGCCACGGAAGCTCTCGAGATTGAGACACAGACTGGCGATGTGGATTGGACTGGCGGCATTGTTCATGTGCCCATCTTGGTGAAGCTTGATGACGGGCCTGAAGGCATGATCAGTGCTCGCTCAGGGTCATGATTCCGAGGAGCAGATGTCGATACATACTGATCAGCTTGGTTGACTCTTGATCGATCTGAGTGTGATCAATCGACTGCATGATATTGGTGGTAAACCCTAGATCAGACGACACCCTGTGAGCCTGGCCGTCCGGGACGAAGTAAACAGACTTGTACGTACCGCCTGGACAGATGGCATTGCAGCGAATCTTTTGGTAGCGGAAGCGGAAAGCAACGTTTTTGGTCAAGCCGACCTGCACATCAATCAGTCCAGGGATCGACCGCACCCTTCCATAGCCCGACGAATCCGTGCACCATCCTCCTGCTTACAATCCCTTGTTTGCTCGCAGTATATGCGACGCCAGCCGCCGAGCCGCTGATACCCGCCTTGCTCGTGTCCATCATACCGGCAATGCTGAGCAGAGCAGAGCATCCACATGATCGCCGAAAAGCCTGTGAGCATTCACGCACAACTCGCTGCAGAGCTCCCATTTGACAAAGGTCGATCTGCAGAAAGTCGAAGGCTGGAATATATGCCAGCTCCGTAGGGCGCTTTGACATGTCTACCCCGTAGACCGACGCGCCCAGGTCGAGGAATAGCTTTGCCGTAGCAAGGCCCATTCCAGACTCTGCGCCGGTGATGATGGCTACCTATTAGATATGCATCGTTACCCGGTAACTGACAAGCCATTGTGAAGCTGGCAGTGAGATTCTCGCACCTACCTTGCCCTCAAGGCTAAATAGCTTTTGCACTTGCCATGATAGACGTATGGGCGCCCCCTCTCTACCCCAGGTCGGATCGATGTCGAGCAACAAAGACAAAGACCGTCCACAATGCGCATCACCCTGCCCGCCACCCAGATCTCTGGCACCGGATGTGGGAAACACCTGTACTTATAGTTGAGCGCTGCACAACTGCCTGAGACTTGAAGCTCAGAACTAGGAGACAAGTGTGATATCACTAGGAACTACCTATGAGGGTATGGAAGCTACTTATAGTCATAGCCAGTGCAACTATGATAACAAACCTACATTGCCACACTCCGTTTCTGCACCTTCGCTAGTAAGCTAGATAATCAATTAAGAACTCAAGGTTCCACAGAACCATCAACTGAGTAGATGCAAAGAATTTACATAAGGCTTGACGCTGTCAAGGACAAGGTATGCTCGGTCGAACCCTGGCCAACATGTCCTGTCCCGACCTGGTATTGTGTGTCTAAGGCATTCTCAGGGCCAGCCACCAAGGCTTTGGTGCAAGGGACCGTTATGGAAAAGAAGAAAGCTCCTGCACTGGTGCTGTATCCAACTTGCGGCTTCTCAAACGACATGAGGTCACCGCCCAGACTGACAAGATGGAAAGTCGCTGCGAGCCGCAGAACTTCCTTTCCCGTTAGCCCCCTCCCGCCGCAGGTACTCCGCCATCTGGTTGGGAAGGCTTCTGTTTGCCGTCGGCAAGCACCAGAAACACCTTGACTGCGAAATACTCATTGATACCAGTGGACTCCGGTGGCTGTATTGAAATATTCCAGCCGCAGCTAAGCATACATCCCGCAAGCCTTCAGGGCACCAGAGTCTCGCACCTCACTCCCAGCTCTTCCCATACTGCTCGAAAGCGAATTTCCTACCCGGGTGATCCTCTCTCAGCTTGGCGTTCCCAGGGGTGGCGAACAGGTTCTCTCGCGCTGTGCTCTCGTCCGGGGTCGGATAGTCCTGATTATATCCTCTCTTCTCCAGCTCGGGGACCAATAGATCAACCACGTCCTCCCATGCGCCCGGCACCACCACATGGCCGATGTTGAAGCCATCGACATCGCCTTCATTTAGCCATCGCTCCATTTCATTCGCCACCGTGACGGGGCTTCCTGCGATGAACGTTCCACTGCCCCCAATGGCTTGAAATCTGCCCATCTCCCGCGGGGTCCAAACCTCACATCGATCCGGCTTGGTCGTAAGAGACTCGATGGCACGGTCGCTGAGCCCGGCATAGGCTGGGTGCCTGCGGTCTGTCGGAAACGGTTCGTCGACCGGAAACTGACTCACGTCGATTTTGGTGATGCCACAGAACATGGCCAGGCCACCCTCTGGAATTGCATACTTCCGATACTCCTCCAGCTTGGCCTGTGCCTCTTCGTCGGTTGGTGCGAGGATGGGCGTGAATTGCACAAAGAACTTTATATCCCGCGGGTTCCGGCCTTGACTTGCCGCAAGTCGTCGTGTCTCGGTAATCTTTCCGCGCAGATACGCCGGGGTTCGTCCCCCAATGAAAATGCATTCAGCGTGCTTTGCACCAAATGCCGCACCTGCCCTAGGTTACGTTCAGTAGGATGAACATCTCGTTGTCACGACTTTGCCAGGGAGACTACTTACGGCGACATGCCGGCCTGGAAGAGGACCGGTGTGCGCTGCGGCGAAGGGTCCACCAGGTGGGCGCTCACACACTTGAAAAATCGGCCCTGGTGCGTTATCTTTCGGACTTTCGATGGGTCGGTATAGGTCGCATTGGCAGCGTCTTGTACGACCGCGTCGTCAGCCCAGGAACCCTCCCAAAGCCTGTTGACGTTAGTTGTTGACGGGCGGCATCGTGGTCATGGACATCGCGGCTAGTTGGGGACGCCTCACTGACTCGCACATGCGGAACTCGATCGAAAAGAGCTTCAAACTTACTTGTACATCAAATTGAGGTACTCCTCCGCCATTTCGTATCTCAGATCATGCTCAGGAAGCTGTTCGAGACCAACAGCCCTTGCTGCATTATCAGACCATGATGTCACGATGTTCTTCATACAAGGTCAGCAGCGGTGCACGGCGACGCACAAACACTTAGTAGTACTGACCCAAGCTATGCGGCCCTTAGTAACATGATCCAGGGTGGAAAAGCGCTTCGCCAGTAGAAAAGGTGGTTCGAAGGTCGTGCAAGAGGTCACGCCAAAAGCGACATTCTTGGTAACAGCAGCCATGGCCGAGATGACCTATCGTTGTGGCCAGGTTAGTACCATCTCCTCTCATTTAGCAAGTGGCCGCGGCAGGGACACTCTGCTCTGGGACAACGTACCACAAACGGATCGTACATGGGCCATTGTGTGCCAGCTCGAATGGCGGGGTCATGGCTTCCACGATAGACATCGTGCGAACCGAAATTGTCCGCGAGAAAGAGGGCATTGAACTTGCCCCGGTCGAGCAACTTGGCAAGGTTGATCCAGTAATCCAGCCGATTCTTATGTTTGGATTGATCGACTGGATTGCGCCATTGCCCTGGGCTTTGCATCGACCGTGTCAGCCGCTCCCTGCCTGCGCGCTCCCACGTCGTGCGCCCGAAGGCGAAGGGGTTCGAGCCTCCTCGAGCAAACCTGGGGGAACATTGCTGACTCACCTGATGTGACCAATCCCGTTCATATCAAAAGCATTCAGTAGAATGCGCTTCTTGGGCCGAGGTGCATCGTCCACGATGGCGACCCTCGCGGGTTTGCTTTGGCTATCGCTGCTCATCTCCGGTCTCCTGTAGGACTGAATGATCTGTACTTCGCGGAAATGGAAACATCAAGTACCTCCAAAGAAGTCAATCACCAAACATGGTCTAACCGCGAGCTCGTGGCCCTGCGAGTCCCAACGGCCCATATCTGCTCTGTCGTCCCAGCATAGCGACCTGCGACGTGGCTGCACCTCCGATCTCGCAGCTCTATCACTGTGATCATTTTGGCTATAATTGCACCATCGTCGTCCAAAATGGATACAGCGGCATCGTGCTCCAGCGACCAATGCTGGCGGGACGAAGTCAATTTTGGGTTTTCGAGACTAAACTTAAGTGGAAATACTTGAACTCGTCACGCAATTTCCACGGCTTCGCTCTTCACCGTCGTCAAGAGGGTTTCTGACTCGTTGGACCAATGTCATTGGGTCGAAGGGCCATGAGGATGCTTCCATCCAGCCAGAAAGACTGCAGGGCGATTCGCGTCGAAAACCTTGGATACTTGATTGTGACACTGGACGACGAACCCTCGGGTCGAGGACGGTTTTACTCGGCACCCACACGGCCCGATGGGCTTCTACAATAAATCGTGCCAAAGAATTGCGCGATACACTCAAGTGGCCTCAGTAGAAATCTCTGAGCTAGGCTTCAAAGCCTTATCTACAACTTAAAACGGTGACAAACAAGACAACGCTACTGGTTTGGCCTTGGGCTAGCTCACTCTCTCCTTCACATCGTCAAATCTTCGTGCAAATGCCTCAAGTCTGCCTGACCCGCCTCTTTCAGATAGTAAGTCACCGCGTCGAGGTCGTTGGTCTCGTCGAGTGCCGACCTCCCGTCAGCCCAGAAACTATGGAAGCGGTTTGGAGCCGTGGGTGGCGCCGTTTTCTCCTGAGGATCGGCTCCCAAGCGAGCTCCGTCTAGTGTCTCGAAGACGAAGTCTTCCCACCTCGGGTCCGAGAGAACCTCCAGTCTGTGCCTGGTGGTTCCTGGGTATCCGATGACATTCCTTGCCTTGCCGGTCCCGCCGCCGAGTTTGAAGTAGCTTCGACATCCGTCATTCACGACCGAGTCTTCGAAGTAGCGGTCGACCACCTCGCTAAATTCTCTCGCAGCGGCCACGGTGGGACTGACCGTGGCGTACCGATGCCTTTGTGCCTTGCGGATGACTTTGGCGATGTACGTCGCTGAAATCTCGCACTGGTAGGGCACCGACCCTCCAAAGGCATTACCCTGGGCTTGCAGGACAAAGAAGTAGTTCGGGGTGTCTGGCGCCATGACACCCATGTACGTTTCCGGATATCCGACTTTGCCCCCCGGCCGCCATATCTTGGAGAGATCGTCCCCTGTCTGATTGATTGTCGGAAACCGAGGATAAAATCCATCTCGGAAGCCGGTGGCGAGGATGATCACGTCCACATTTCGGATGTTGCCATCGCCAGTCTGCAGACCATGCTCTGTCGCCCGGACGATTTTGTCGTCGATGAACTCGACCTTGGGTCCTACGATGGCTTCGAGATAACCCGGCGCAGGCGTGAGCCTCTTACAGCCCGGAGCATAGTCAGGAGTCAGTCGAGCCAGCCATTCCTTGTCACCGTGAAGACGGTCCAGCATGGTTGAGAGAAGACTCTCCCGCAGCTTGGTGTTACCTTCAGACCCCAATTTCGAATTGCGATTGTTGACAGCACCATAGTGTTGCTTGTCGAGGTTTTTGCGGTAGGCCAGGTATGCCGCTGGATTTTCTCGAAACGTCCTTTTTTCTTCCGCAGAGTAGACGAGGCCTCCAGGAATATCGACCGAGGCTTCCAAAAGGCCTTTACGGAAGGTCGGGCTAACATACGTTTTGGAACGGACGTAGTGGTCAATGTGTGCCACTCTCGACACAATATTGGGTAGGATTTGTTGACCCGATGCGCCATTCCCAATCACGGCCACTCGCTTGTTGTTCAAATCAAGACTTGAATCCCATCTGGAGGTGTGCAGGACGCGCCCTTTGAACTTCTCAAGGTTCTCAAAGTCGGGATAGAAAGGCTCGTTGACTCTTCCAGGTGCTGAAATCAAAAAGTTGGCCCTGTCGCTGAAGACCTCCCCAGTCGATAGGTTTTTCACCTGCACCTCCCATTCCGACGTTTCTGCGATCCAACGCGCAGACAACACTTCGTGTGACAGCCGCAGACTCGGGCTTACGCCAAAGTCGTCGACAACTCCGGCGTAATACCTCTGTATCTCACTGCCTTCCGAATAGTACTCGCTCCACTGCGTGTTGGGAGCAAAGGTGAGTTGGTATACATGGGAGGGCACATCACACCTCACGCCGGGATAGGTGTTCTCAGCCCAAGTTCCCCCCACCTTGCTGTTCCTGTCGTATAACGTATATGTCAAGTCATCAACCTTGTGCGAAAGCAAGACGGCTGTAGCAATGCCACCGATTCCAGCCCCAACAATGATGGCCTTGATTGGCCTGCCTGCCAGTAATGGCGCAGCATTCGTTCCGATATCCTCGTCCGGTGTGGTTACTGCACTTTGTACTCCTTCTACGTCGATATCTGAACCATCAGAATCGATGAGGGAGGACAGCTTGGAGCTGTCTTGGGAGATGACTGTCATGATGGTAGAGGACTAGGTGGAGCAGAAAGGCTGAAGTTCTGTAGTAAAGTGATAGGGAAAACTTGGATTTCGAGGTGTGATGTCCTGGGTGAAACCTCCTGGGACTCTCTCCAGGCAGACTCGGAGTGGACCGTGCTTGCGTACTGGATCTGGTCCATTGCACGCGCATATGTGTTCTTTGCCGGTATTGCTATGTCTCGTGCCGAACTCCGGGACATAAGTATCCATTGGCGTCTCCTCGGAACCATTAGTCGCTGATTTGACTTATCTAGGCTCAATTTAATGCAGGATAAAGGTACAGGTTTTGTGCCTAGAACGGGATGCGGCCCACAATTCTGAATGCGACTAGACTTGTCAACGGTGTTGCATGTTCCAGCGCTCACGCCGCGTGGCCATCGTGCCAGAGCATACCCTTCTGATCACCGGATCAAGGAGAAAATGTCGGTGGTGTGTGGTTTGATCGACCAAGGGATGGCCGGGAGAAGAGGTTTACTAGGCCGATGTCGTGATCCTTAGCACAGATTGAGAATAAAGGGACCCTTTCACTTCCCGCGCCAGGAAAGGTATTTAGAGACCGTCGGAAGCTGAACCGACCAGAAATGAACTTTGCAAGTGGAAAAGGCATTGTTGGTTCGAAACGGAGGTTCGAAGCAGCCATGTCGAAGCAACAGGAAGAGGTCGGTGTGACTGTTTTCGCCGCCGATGAAGTTCTCAGCGACGACAAGGAACAACTTCCCCCTGCCATTGAAAAAGCAAATGCCCAACCGTCGAAGGATAGGAGCATTTTCGCCTGGTTTGACAAGAACGATGGGCCAGTTGAGCGTCGGTTGGTCCTCAAACTTGACCTTACAATCCTCTCCTTTGCCTGTATGGGCTTCTGGGTACGCTTGTCTACTAGTTCATCAATTGGATTTGGTCGCGCCACGGAAGCTGATACTTGAGCAGGTCATGTACATCGATCGCGGCATTATCGCAAATGCCTATGTGAGTGGCATGAGCACAGGTAAGTGGAGTGCTTGCTTGGTCCGTCGAGGCACCTACTGACACCGGCAATAGACCTTCACATGCTCAAAAACCAATACGTCCAATTGCAGTCCGTGTTCACAGTGGGATATGCAGTGTGAGTTGAGCCGTAAAGACACTTGCAGATGATGGCCGAGCACTGACGGTGGCCCCAGCTCCATGATACCCTCAACGTTGCTCGTGACCAAGCTCCCTGCTCATATTGTCCTCCCTGCGGCGACCTTCAGCTGGGGCGTTTTCACGATGCTGTCTTTCTGGGCCAAAAGTTTCGGCCAGCTTGCCGCGTACAGACTCATCATTGGTCTCGGCGAAGGACCCTTTTTTTGCTCCATTCATTACGTCCTCGGCAGCTGGTACCGGCCCGACGAGATCGTTCGCAGGGCTGGTATCTTCTACATGTCGTCTGGAGTTGGGACCGTGACAACGGGCGTGCTCGCTGCACGTGTCTACAGGAATCTCGACGGGGTTGATGGACATGCGGGCTGGAGATGGATGTTTCTGATCGGTGCCTTGTGCACTTTTCCGATCGCGCTTTGGGGAGCGTGTTTCTTCCCCGGTGCGCTCAGGTCGAAGAAAAGATGGTTTCTCACCGAAGAAGAACATGCTCTAGCACTGCAGAGGATGCGCCTGGTGGGCCGCAAGGCACCGCAAGGGATGCCGTTCGCCTGGTCTTCGGTGAGGCGGTTCTTGGGTCGATGGCATTTCTGGGTCCTTGTCCCGTGGAACATCATCTGGATCCTTGGCATCAGCTGGTACCAACAGCATATTTTCTGGCTGAAGGCGCAGCCTCAGTACTCCACCTTCGACGTGAACAACTATACGGTAAGTGAGGGTCTCACTGTGAGTAACCCGCCGTCGGCTGACCAGCTCCAGGCCATCAGTCCAAGCTTGGGCGTCGTCTTCATCTTTGTGCTCTCCTGGGTGGTTGACAAGTGGGGAGAGCCGGCGAAGATCCCCGTGTTCGGCGTCGTTACGTTCGTGACATTCATCGGGTCCCTCGGGTTCGCCCTCTACGACAAGTCTTCATTCGCCTGGAAATGGTGAGTGTTTCCCGTCAATCTCTGAGACCGAAACTGACATCGGACCAGGTTCGCCGTCTCCACCGGCTACATGCTTGTGTCCCTGTCGCCCGTCATCTATTCACACGCGAACCTGGTGTGCGCAGGCGACGCAGAAGAACGAGCTTTCGTCATCAGCTCGATGCTCGCCACTGGGACGGCCTTCAGCGCCTGGGTCCCTCTCCTCGCCTGGCCGACTATTGAGCAACCAAGGTACCACAAAGGATACATTTTGACCGTGGTTCTGCAGCCAGTATACTTCCTCGTCAGCGTCTTCGTCTTCACCTTCTCTCGTAGAATGATGAGGAAAGAAAAGGCTCTGAAGGAAGCTGCGATTACGGAGTTAGTCGCATGAGGATCACTTGGTTCAAGCGCGGCATTGTCGGTGACATGGTGGCAGTGTAATCGCGCCGGGGATAGAAGCGCAGGATGGGAGTGAGAGCAGAAAGGTGGAGTGGTCAAGTACTAAGTAGAATGGGAAGTCGCAGGCACGAGATACTATGTATTGGCGTATCGTTCCGCAAAGGGGCATTAAAATTTCCCCTTCTGGTCACTCGCCTTTTTTTTTATCATGACACACCAATGCTGCAGTAAGACGAGGCCGCCGCCGATTCATCAAGCATCACACGCTCATGCTACACCATCCTCGACTCCAAGACACAGCTTATAAAGCCAAGGTCGTAGTTGTAAGTACTTAGTACTACTATGTAGTACTAGTACTATGTAGTGCACAAGGCCCGAAACTCGCTGTGGGCGAGTGACAAACATTGTAACTAGAGGTGTCTGCGATGAGGCTGTATACCTCTATGCCAACATTGATACCCACGGCTGCAGAGGTGGGCGGCGACGGCGGTGGCGGTGGCACCCCAATGGTACTACATACTTAGTACTAAACACGAGCAATTGCAGCGCTCCCCTGAGTTGTCATTTCGTGCAATCATTTTGTATTCTGTGTTGATCAGACCTGCTCCGATTGAATGGAATAAACCGCCCCTTCAGCAAGGGATGGCATTTCAATGATTTGTGCCCCGTTGGTACTCACTAGACCGCCGCCTCAACTCGTTCGACTGCCTCCGCAACTCCCGCGACAGCTCCCTCGCGAGTCTGATATTCTCCTCGAGGGTATGATGGCGGACGAGAAGACCGTCCCCGCTGCAGGCGTTCTCGGCTTCACCTTCACCTTCACTGTCCTGGTCCTGGTTCAGGCCCCGCGAGCTCCGCTCGAGATTCTCTTCCAGGGTATGGTGGTGGTGGAAAAACATCCCGGAATCGTCCCGGTCCTGGATCGGCGGCGGGACAGCCACTTCGCTGAGACTGCTGTAGGGGTCGGATGGACGGCGTGGGTGGGTTTTTGGTTGTTGAGAGGCTGTCTCCGCCGTACAAAGATGTTTCTTTTTGAAGAGTGCGCGGAGTTTCTCCCACATTGTTTTAACGCTTTTGGAGGGGAAGACAATGACTGGCTTTTTTTCGTGCGCAATGTCTTACGTGGACTGTGCTCTGGGTTTCACGACTTCACAGGAAAACATGTCGCCTTGGGTACTTTTCTTTTACCACAGCCATGGCTACCAGAGGAGGGCAGCGCATGGTTTTAGAGATAGCAGATCATGAGATGTCGATTGTGGCCGGCAGTACGGTCTGTCGTTGCCGACTCGGCTCGGTTGTATGTATGGAGACGCTCATCACGCCACCTGCCACGGGGTCAAGGGGAGGCAGCCGAGGCATCAGCCACACAGATGGCACGACTACTGCAACCTAGATGATTGCTCGCACTCGCCGGAGGTGGAAATACAAGTACGTCTACAGATCAATGCGGCGTAGTGTCGAAATTGGAATATCTCTAACGGACGGCCAAGCAAACAGCCACTCTTTGTAAAGACTCACGATTACCTGGTCAGTCTCAGGCTGAGCCGCTCAACTGCTCAGGCGGATGATCAAGACACTGTTAAGGCAGTAGACGTAATAATCTGTACACGACGTCCCTGGTCCAGGATGGAGTGCGTCTGTTCTGCCATATTGACCTCTGTAACACTCCCCTGAGAGCAACTCGCTCGCTGTACTGATCCCCAGAACATCGTCCATCATTTCACTTGGAAATGGGCTTCATCTTGCCAATTTGTCTCATCTACGGTGGCCCAGGTGACATTCGGTGCAGTCGTACTGTCTGGACCGTACAAATAGATTTTGATGTGCTGGCTTGTGTGGTTGACGTGAGCATCAGTCGGTGTACCCTGTATGTATTTGACTTTCAAGGTACCCCCAGGACAACCACGATACCAGGTGTATTTGCCAGCTTCAAGACACAGCTCTTGCACAAATTGGTTCTCATCGGCTTTGGACAGCCTGGTCCGCGCACATTGTAAATCATGGGACCTGCCCTATGGAGCATCGACTCAACTCACTCTGCTCGTAGAAGCATCACTGCCTCGTGCCAGAGCAACGGCAGACATGTCCGGAGAGGTGACCTTGATCCTCTGAGGTTTGTTGTCGGCCTTACCAAGAACAGTGACAAAGGTTTGCTTGTAGTTGGTGGCATTGGCACCATCCCGCTGGTCGCATCTTCTTTGGTGCAGAGACAGCGGAGCATTGACGCGGGTATCAGCCAGCCACATACTATTTGCACAGGGGATAGCAAGTCTCCTTGTAGAACCATGCCAGGGAGAGATTCTGAGCATCGGCCGTGTGGTTGTTTTAGACTCGGCCGTGCTACACGACCAAAAGCAGAACCCTGCAGCGAACTGCGCGCCGTCAAGCTCAGCCTCTGCATTCTGGCTGGCCAAACTGTCTTCATGGAGAGCTTGCGAGATGCGTCTCCCCGTGCGATCGTTGAGAAGGAATTCTTGAGCTCAGCTAGCCACGTTGAATCTGGTCGCCATCTCTGATTTTGGGCAGCCGCTTTGGGCCCTAAACAGGTTGCTCGTCTCGAAGACTCCAAATACAACTCACCCGGGGTTGCTGTCGTATTAAGTTCCATATAACATGGTAGACATCGATTCCAGTGTCAGTGTTCTCCTTCGCGCAGACCCTTCAATTCTAGGTAAGGTTCCTCGCCGGAAGGTTCACCGCAGCTTTCGCACGGCTTCACTCATGCATTGTTTACACCGACATCCAAAATGCCCTTGAGGACGGCTTCTACGTGACTGTCCCAAATCACGAGGATCCCCATGCTACTTACAGTGCTGGTATACTGTATGGCCAGATAATATTGGACAATATCCGCCCGTCTTTGGAGTTCATTAACAACCCGGCGTGTCGATATGTCCTCTGGGGCTACTCTGGAGGGTCATTCACCAGTGGCTTTGCTGCGCAGCTGCAAACAACCCATGCGCCTGAGCTTCAGTTCGCAGTCGTGGCCCTCAGGGGTTTCGGTAAAAACCTGACTGATATTCTCGTCTACCTCGATAGAAGCGGAGGAGCCCCTCTCACCCCGGCCAGTTTCATCGGCCTTCTGTCCCAATACCAGGCCGGATGCAAGAGTCTCTTCAGCCACCTGAAGAAAAGCGCCGTACAACGCAACTGGGTTGCTCGCTGGACGAAATAACTCCAACTTCACGGGCCTCCTTGCCTCGTGGGTTAGCCAAAGCTATCATTAAAGATTCCGTGGACCGTGGTCGAGAGTTCCTGCAAGACCCGGCGGTCAAGAGTGTCTTTGTAAAAGAGGCCGTCTTAAAACTCAGGTTGGTTGGCATATATCGATGTACGGATATAAGAACAATGGAGACAATTCGTGCCTGCCATACCCGCGAGCTAACCTCGTTGTCCTCTAAAATTCCTGCATACAGTTCCTTGGGCACCGTGCCTTCAGATCTCCGGAACTTGTTGCGTTGAACAATGAATCCCTCCGCCCGTCCTCGGCAACATGTTGATGGGCACCTGCACCACCTCTCTGTCAGGAAACAACTTCTTAAACAGTCCCAAGGCCGCAGTGTCCTGCCTTTCCTGCCCGAATTTGGGCGCGATGACTGCTCCATTCACGAGGAGATAGTTGGCGTATGATCCGATGACTTCGTTGTGTTTGTCTGGAGCTCCGAGGAGTGTGACGTCTGGTTCCTCACAGTCATAGACCGTCAGCGTTCGGCCCCGTGCGTCCCTCGCAGATGTCAGGATAGAGCGAGCAGAGTTGTAGACGTCGATGGCAATTTGGTGGGCATTCGGCCCGGGTTTGCTGAGGAGCACGACACCCGGCGACGTGAATCGTGCCAGCGCGTCGACGTGGTAGTCTGTGATGTCGAAGCCTTTGACGCCAGGAATCCAAATGAAGTGTGTAACTCCAAGCTTGTCCGTAAGCTCAGCCTCGGCCTCAGACTTAGTGATTCCCGGATTCCGGTTGTCGTTGATGATGCAGCTCTCCGTGCCGAGGAACGTTCCCTCGCCGTCGTGCTCGATGCCGCCGCCTTCCATGGTGAGTTTGGATGTCACCGAGGAGTTGTTTTCGTGCGCAGCTATTTGGGCGGCGATGTTCTCGTCGCCGATCGCAGGGAGTTTGCCGCCCCAGTAGTTGAAATTGAACCTGACAGCCGTCCGTTTCCCCGTCGACACATCTTGCACGAAGACCGGCCCACTGTCCCGGATCCAGAGTTCGCTCACCGTCGCCGGCCTCACCGAGACATTGCTGTTGACCAAGGCTTTTGCCTGAGGGATGAGTTTCTCCCGGGCGTATAGGTGGACGGGTTCGAAGCGGGAGATCGCATTGGCGATGCTTGTTACTTCGGATTGTAGGGCTTCCAGGTGCTCCGGGCTTTCTGCCGATTCCAAGCTGGGGAAGGCCATCAAGGTGTGCGAATGGCGAGTGCTTTCTGCTGGCATCCGAAAGCGACCACCATGGATGCCATTCGAGGGTTCCTGGTCAGGCATATCTAACATGTGTCCTGCTGCGGGCATTCCTGATGGAATTGCAATTGTCGCAGCTGAAAACCTGGAGAGTTTTCGAAAGAATGATGTGGGTTGTTGGACTTTAGTTACCTGGTGACTCAGAAAAGATATAGTTCGAGCAAAGTGCCATGTCGACGAGGTATACATATTGACCGTGATAGAGGCGCGATAGAGCGCAACTTGACGCCATTGGATGCAGCTTGGTTGGTGAAGATCGACGCCGTTCGGTCTATGCCGCTCGGCTAACGACTGTCCCGTGGGGAGTATAAAAGGAATTCTTATTAAGGGGCAACGCGGGAAGACCTTCTGAAAGAGGTTAAGGCTGGCGACAAGGATTCGAGAACTTCCGCTTCGGCTCCATATCTCAAAAGCGGTTAGTCTGGGGCGAGGAACCATGGACATCAACTCTGTATCGCTGATTCATGCCGGGCATGGTGTGTTCCTGCCGAGCAACAGACGGGACTTGTATCAAGCATCGCAGACTAAGAACGATATTCTCACAATCTCCACCAGTGTCAACTGATCAACTCTAGCTATACGCACTGATAGCCAACACTATACTTGTTATAGAATCTGCTTAGCTATCTACAGAATAGTTTGGGGGATCTGGAGACATCCACTATACCTAGTTGGGGAGATAATTAAGGGAACCCATCATCGGAATAGGAAAAGACCGTACTGGCCAATGAGAATCATTTGCGCCGCGCCCTGAGATAGCCATGATTATGGCGAGTAATCAAAATGGACTAGACTCTTCGTGACTAGCGGACTGACAACGCTGTCTGTAAAAGCCTGGACTATTCCTCCAGTCCTGCAAGATTCAGGCTTGATCAGCCCGAGACCTCGAACATACCACTCACTACTCTGAGCGCAAACAACATGGCACTCAGCGATAGTATCGTCGAGGCATCCATTGCCGACTTGTCCAAAGCTCTGTCCAGCGGAACACTGACTTCAGTCGACCTGGTTGCCAAGTATCTGCTGCGCGTCAGTGCCTACGACTGCAGAAACACTGCCCTGAACGCGATTCCATTAATCAAAGAGGACGTGTTCGAAGAAGCAGCCGCGGCGGATGATCGTCGCGCTGCTGGTAGAGCCCATGGCCCCCTTGAGGGAATCCCTTTCACAGCCAAGGACAGCTACAAAGTCCGCGGGATGACTGCGGCTGCCGGCTCGGAAGCTTTCGAGGACCTCATTGCCAACGAAGACGCATTCCCGATTAGGGCGCTGCGAGAAGCTGGTGGGGTCCTGCTGGGGCGGACGAACATGTGTCCTATGGCGTACGGTGGAATGCTTCGTGGCGTCTATGGGAGAGCAGAGAGCCCATATAACAAGGACTATCTGGCGGCTGCCTTTGGATCTGGATCCTCGAACGGGAGCGGAGTCTCTGTAGCAGCATCTTTTGCCGCCTTCGGCATGGGCGCGGAGACGGTGTCGTCCGGCCGCTCACCCGCTTCGAACAACGCGTTGGTGGCTTACACGCCTTCGAAAGGGGTTATATCAATCCGCGGCAATTGGCCACTGTATCCCACCTGTGATGTGGTTGTGCCTCATACACGCACCATGGAGGATATGTTCGTTCTGGTGGATGTGCTTTCCAGCCATGATCCTGAGACGAATGGCGACTTCTGGAGAGACCAGCCGTTCATACAGCCTCCACCGTCTCCCTGGTCGCGTGTTTCAAAGCCTCTGACAATGAGTAGAAATGCTGGATATCTCACGGGAAAGCGAATCGCAGTTCCACAGATATTTCTCAAGCAGCAGGACGGCGGCCCATATATATCCTCAGCGATCGAGCCGCTGTGGCGCCAGGCACGAGCCGATCTCGAAGCCTCCGGGGCTATCGTCGAGATCATTCCGGACCTCCCAGTGTTGCGGACATACGAACAGATGCTACGCAAGCCCGAGAATGAAGACTCGTCCTCGTCTCTCCCTTATCTCCCAGACGACTGGAACGCAACTGAGCGAGGCGTTCTCATCGCACACGCTTGGGAGGATTTTCTACAGAGTAACCAGGACCGGCACATCCAGTCCTTGTCACAAGTGGATCCGAAGCGGATGTTTCCTCACTTCCCACGCGACAATCCCCAGGTCAAGTTCGTCGAACCAACCAATGCCGTCCACTGGGCGAAGTTGGCCGGCTACGTGGCCAACCGGTCGACTGCGGGCGGACCGGGTAAGAGCGCCATCTACGGCGTTCCACACCTCGAGAAAGCCGTGAGGGCTCTGGAGGAAATCCGGATTCGTTTCTTCGAGGACTGGATGTCCGCTCACAACTACGACTTCGTGGCCTTCCCTGCCGCTGGCGATGTCGCCCGTGCCGACGCTGACGTCGATGAGAAGAGCGCGCAGCATGCGTGGACGGATGGTGTCAAGTACAGCCATGGCAATCGAGCGCTGCGGCATTTAGGCATCCCAAGCGTGACCGTACCGATGGGAATTCTGGAAGATTCCAAGATGCCGATGGGTTTGACGTTCTTGGGTCGAGCTTACAATGATCCAGATTTGCTCCAGGCGGGTTATGCATATGAACAGCAAAGCAGGAGACGAGTCGTACCACCGTTGACGCCACCTTTGCCCTCGGATGAAATCTCTGCACGGGGCCCAGTATTGTCGAAATCAAGGCCCAAACTGGCAGTCACGAGGTGTGATGCCAGTCCAGGTCAAGACGGCAACTTAATCGTTTCGATTGAAGGATCCGTGTCTGCGGCATCGGGATCCCGAGACCCTTTCAAGCCCATTCTGGAGATATATGTCGACGGCCAACACGTCCCTCCATCACTGATCTCGATCGAAGCACCCACAGCTACAGACGGAGATTACAACATCTCGAAATTCGTGTGCGAGTACCCGACGCTTCCGCCACCGGTACAGGACGAGCGTAACCGAGTAGTAGGCAAGGTCGCCAGAGATAGCACGATGGTCATGATCATCGCACGGAACGGGGAAGACGGCCGACCGTCTGGATATGTGAAACTGATACATTGAAGGAAGCTGGGCACGTTCTCTCCGATTATTCTCTCATGACCTCATGAAAGAACAAGAAAAGAAGGTAGCTGAAGTTTCCAAGGAGACATCCGATTTGAAGAGCTATACAAGCTCTTGTTCACCTGTAGGGGCACATTGCGTGTACGATTCCTTCCTCGGCTGATCATCAGACATGACTTTGTTGTCTTGAATCCTTTGTAACAGCCCGCTGATATCACATTAAGGACATCCGGTCAAATCCTGGACTCCTGTATACTCTTGAACCCAATTATATCGTCCTTGATCTCGAGCACATTGACCGACACTCTGGTCTTGACGCTTTCCTCTCCCGGCAAGTTCATGGGCGCCGAGAATCCCGCAACGTAGGAAACGGCGTCTTGCACGTGGGGCAGAACCATTTATTTCTCGACTGTGGCTCCATTGATATGAACGCGCGGGTGATTGACGAGGGGTCCACCTCACGGACGCAGACGTTGCAGAACTGGTGATCACATGGGTGGACGCTGTCGTGAAACATGCAATAGCTAGAGAGAAAGCATCTGAGGCAAGATCAGGGCATCCTTACACGCAATCACATAGCCTGACACCACATTTACACTGGGTCGGCCGTCTTGGATCAAGTGAGGGCTCAGTTTTGATGTCTTGGTGCTTATCCATCGCCGAGACGGACTTGACGTTGTTGACTTCTCCTCCATCAATACGATTCTCGGACTGCTCTTCCACGACAAAGAAGCTCCCGCCCTCTTCGAGGTAGCCCATGGTGTCGATTGGCGGCGGCCGGTGGGACGATGTGGGTGACGGCTTCACAGGAGGCTGGGTCCAGGATGTGAATGTGGATAAGTCTCGCAGCTTCAGTGTTCCAGATGTGTGCTGGATGGCGATCGCGATAAATGTCTTGGACTGGGGGAAGGAGGGACATGAGCCACGCCGTAGCTGAGGCGATAAACTTCATCCGAGAACGTAAGGAATTACTTACTGAGCTTGCCACCTGCAGCGAGTCCCATTGCTTTGAAGTCTTGAGTCGTGATCACGGTTTGCTTTTCTGCGTGCCATGGTTCTTGTGCTGGTTAGCCTGGCGCAGAAGCGTTCCTTGGGATGTGTACATCAGCGTGCGAAGGCATGCACTGTGGCACAGCTTGAGCAGCCAGTATGGGCCCCTATGCTGTGTCACCATCGCCCATTATCTGATGAGATACTCCAGTTCTGTCAAAAACCGGTGACTCTTTGCATCTCTTGTATGTTGGGAGCGACTAGCCGGGAATTAGAGACATGCTGCCACAGAAGCTAGTGATACTTACTGTCGCCAAACTGAGGGCAGGACTCCATCTCCAGCCATTGAGGTATTCTGCCTGCGTCATTTGGGGCCGGGGTTCAGGTGGAGTCTGGGTGCCCTCCTCTCTCTGCCCGACTCCAATCATATCCATCAGTGTGGAAGGGATATATTCACAAGCCTTTTCTGGGTATAGCCTTATGGTTTCACCAATTCCAATCCCCAGCTCACGTGGAGATTTGTATTCGTCCAAGCGATTGTTCTGGAGAAAGCGTTGAAGCTCGGCTGCACTGAGAGTCTGAGACATCCATCTTTGTCTTTGATCCAGGTCCGGAGGTTCGTCTCGAAAGCTGGAACTATTTCGATCTGCAGACCTGCGTGCTTCTCTTTTCCCGTCTTTTGACCTTCGACAGTGTAACCAGACCCACTGACAGCGGCTCATTAGAGGACTGTTCTCCTTTGTGAATTAGTCGAGGGAGAACTTACGAGGCATAGCAACAAATTGTCTGACGATGCCAGGTGCGACGCAAATTCCATCGAGCCACTCCGGGCCCGGGACGATCACATAGTCTGGGGTAGCTTCCATATCTCCTGGCTCCTCTTTTGTTTGTTTCATTTCCAGTCCAGAGACAGCATTGATATGTCCCACAAAGAACCTCAATGTGTAGTATGTGTCGGATGGTGCTTGTAGACTCATCCAAAGTGCCTCTCGCTGCCACACCGGCATGAACACTCCGCCAGCCTGCACAATCGCGCCAGTCAGCTTGTCAGAATAAGCTGCAACACTGTGAAAGGGGAAAAGCTCCAAGTGAGCCAGGCAACTGGTGAATCTTTTCATCATCTGGCATTCTGACTGTCCGGTGAAACATGATCTCCAAGCCACCCGAGTCCTTGAGGCTGTCAATCTTGATGCCGTAGTCGTTCGAGTCATTTTCATCTATGTTGAGTTGGATCTGCTTACCGAAATGTCGATTTGTATACGCAATGAGTTTCTCGTCGGCATGAATGGAGCTACTGGGATCCGAAAAGTCGTCTTGAACACCTTTGATTTGCTCGAATTCCTCGAAATGCGGATTGAAGCAACCAGATATCCACACCTCGCCATTTCTAGAGAGCGAATCGGGATTGTCGTAACCGAACTCTATATTTTGGTCAGCTGAATTCGATAGACTTTATATCAGAAAGGCTGGGGGGATCAAAGACCCGTTAACCTATCCCATAGTGCTGAGACTGGCAGATCACTAGGCATGATAATGGTCTCTTCGGAGGTATCAATCACCTCAGCACCATCTTCAGAAGTGACATTTTGCCGTGCACTGGGTTCAGACCGTCGGAGACCTTGAATCCAAGATTCACTTGGTGGGGCTTTGGACTAGAACCATCCCCGAGTTCATTTGTCGCCATGTTCGATCAATGTAAATCAAAGACTGGCCGGTCTAGGGGCGGGCATAACAGAGAAGGAGGATGATCAAGAATGACATGTTATCAGATCAGGCTGGGAGGCAGCAGCTTTCAAGAGACTGGGTCGGTGTTTCTTGAGGCTCAGCCTCACCGAATCAGGCAGACTCGTAAGGCGCACTATTCGCCTGCTTGCATATGCACTGGCTTCACGAATTAACTGTCAGATTCAATATTACAGCCAAGGAAAGAGGTGACACGGGCTGACAAAAGTTGCGGCCTCGTGTCCCTCATCGCTTCATGTGAACACAAAAAAGCTCAGGCACAACATGGAATTAACACTTGGATACCGAGTTCGCGTGGTGCTTGAAATAAATGTGCTAGTGATATCGCTGCTTTGACAATTTCTACGGCGTTGGGCCCTACGTTGGCTCTCCATCATCTTCCGCGACTTATGAAACTGTTCGAGTTCAGCATTACCGGTCACCTTCCAACAATGTCGCTCGGCTTCAGTGTCGGTGACATAATCTTGCTCTCGCAACTGTCCTACAGCCTTTACGGAACGTTGAAATCAGGCAGACATAATGCAAGTCGCGACTTGAAGGAACTGGAAGACGTCCTATTTGGGCTGCGTTGTGCTCTGGATCATCTACGCAATGTAGCGTGTGACATCTCAAAGGCAGCTTCAGCATCTGCATCAAGCGACAGTTATGGGCGGGAAATGCAACAGGCGTTGCATCAAATGATACATAACTGTTCAATCACTCTCGAAGATCTACACAATGCCACCAAGAAATACCGCGATGGCGCCTTGGTGACTCTGATTCCGGCCGATGCCAGAATAGACGCGGTACCTGAGGAATGCGATCGCCTCCAACTGGCCAAAGATCCGTTGGGTCATGGATAAAGACTCATTGAAGATATACCGCGACAGGCTCCAATCACACGTTGATGCCATCAACCTGGTTCTGAGTATTTTCCACTAGTTAGGCTGCCTTGGTTCTGCCGCCCCAAGATTTGCAATTTGTACTGGCATCTTATGCGAAGCTAACAGTGGTATAGGTCGGCGACAGAGAAGATACATGCACACAATAATACTCAAGCAGAGAAGATGCAGGGGTTTCAGGACAAGATGGCGAAGTCGAACTCTTCTCTTGCGTTCCTTGTAGAAGCTATGCATTCAATGATATTACAACTCAAACAGACAGTCCCTGCTGCAGTTCTTAAAGACATCGATGACGGACTTGAGGGTCCCGACTGATTCCTGGAGGAAAGACTAGCAATGGCAGCGAGCGGCATCGTTTCGGAAGGAATTCAATCTGTTGCGGCTCACCGTGCGCCAATGGCCATGTTGAACGCTATATCTATGGGCGGAAGCACAGCAATCTCTGCAAAATCCTCTGTTCCTCTTGGCCACACTGCTCGTACTCTTGTCAATGCCAGATCGGTCGCCGAGACAACAGCACCCTCCTCTATCATGAAGCCGAGCATTATTCGAAGATTCCTCCCTCATAAGATCGCTGCTATCAATATAAGCCGCCAAAGAGTAGGAGCAAAGACTTCGTCGCACCTAGAGTCAAGTCTCATTCCACCGCCGCGCCCTGTCTTTCTGGAGCCAGTTGTTCCCATCGTCACGCAACTGTTCGGAAGGTTTGGTGTATATCTTCACCCCATTGCCACAGAGCACTGTTCGGCAGTGACAATTGGCAAGACAGACCCGTATCCAAGAGTTTGAGTTGTGATCCAATCGTTAAATCATCTGATCAACTTTTTGTCCAGCACTTGTGCAGAGCCTGGTGAGGGAAGTAATAAGCTGACGGTCTTTGAACAGCGCAGCGACTTAGTCGGCCTATTGTTGCAGTTGAACAAGCTGATAGAGACCTCGAGTGCGAATATGAAGGACATTTTATATGAGGTATTTTCTGTTGCACAAATTGACCGTACCTTTGATAAGGTTTTGTCCTTAACAAGCCTTGGGGGGGCCGAAAAAGAGATCGAAGAGTTTAAGGAAGCGAGATCAGCCTGGCTGGGCGCAAAATGATATCTATCTGTTTCCTTCCTCGGTTGAGGGGCCGCGAAACTAGGACGATATGTCTTTCTGGAAAGATGCAATCTCTCGACTATGTAGTTTCGCCACGTGGACTTCCGCAGTGGCCACAACTTGGGGTTGTCTCTCGCATAGAAGGGGTCCGCATAACAACGGGCAGGAGACGTTGCCGTAGTACGTAATATCACTTTTCTTACAAATAATCGCTGACACCAGCAACGGTCAATTGAGACCATATGCTCGATACGCAGACCAGAGATCATCCGTCGTATGTAGGACTGCTTGTTTCCACATAGTATCGCCCGTCACAAGCTGATCGCCTATCAACGCAAAGGGCCAGGCTCAACTGCTGCTATGCATCACATGTAGTCCCTCTCGGTGATATCAGAGCGCTGTCTCACTGTTGCACCCGATTTCTCGCCAGCATTCCACAATATGAACCGGCTCCCAGCAGCAAGACGTCTTCGTAAGAACTTGATTGTTCACCCTGATGATGTCACGCGAGTGAGAAACGAAAGTAATAGAAAGATAATCCATCAAGGTCTGTGCCAAAGCATCCGGGAATTCGTATGGTATTGGAGTCAGGCTCTAGATATCACATGGAGGAAAAGAAGGAAGCAAGGAGTCCACCACACTGGTGGAGATGAATGGCTGCAATAGCACGATTCTCTAGCTATCTAGCTAACTGTTATTGTGGGCTGTCTCTGACGGAGTCTTCTGGAGAGGAAGGAAGTGGGATGGCGAGGTAGAAGTAGCCCTCGGCAGACCTTCCCCATCTTAGCCAGTCACGTCTAGGCGCGACGCGTGACACTAGAAGTTCTACTGAGTACAAGATTTGAAGCTGAAGCAGGATCCCCAGCTAAACCTTCCTTTAACGGGTTCAGGATATAAATGCTCGCCCAACCTTCCTTCTCATGTTAATAGGACATCACGCCAGGCAGCTGAAATTAAAGAGTGTTTCGCGCTTTCCCTGACGAGGATTAGCCACGGAAAGAAGCGAACGAGGTGCCCATGTTCCAGCACGACAATGACCTCTTGACCTCTGAGCATTAGGGTCTCCGTGCCATAGGGTGAAAGGAACGGAGGTGTAGCAGCGCTAGCAACATGGCTATCGGGGCAAGATGGCAAGTCGTTGCTGGTTTTGCGGTACTGCTAGCTTGGTACCTCTATGTGCCCTCGTTCTTTCTTTCTCGACGTAACTCTGTTTTTCGTCCTAAGAGCAGCTTCGGATTGGTTCGGGTGGAGGGCTTCGGCGAACTTCAGGGCTCTGAGGGTGTCGAGTGAGTAGGTGACAATGCGAGGCTGGATTGAAATTGCTCAAGGCTTTGGCAGTCTCATATTTGTGCACGGTTTAGGGTCAAACCCCGACACGACATGGAGAGCGGCAATTCCAACCAAAGAATCTCAGTCTGACTCGCGCGTGGCTTGGGACTACGTTTGGTGGGTGCGAGATCTTCTCCCTGAAGACATCCCCCCAGCCGTAAGAGAGAATGTTCGCGTGTTTCACTACAACCACGACTCATCCTACCTCCGAGATGCGCCACAGATTCTGTTGACAGGGCTAGGAGAAACTCTGGTACACGACCTCGATGCGCTGCTAGGAGAGACCAGACAAGTAAACATGCTCTGCGCCGTTCACATTCTGAGTCGAATTCTGACAACTGCCATACCAGAAGCGAGAAAACCGCAAACTAGTTTTTGTTGCGTACAGCTATGGGGGGCTTGTTGTGAAGCAGGTAAGGGCTGTTGTTGTTCCCTTGTGACCTCTACATTACCTCCTGTGGTTGGCTTTATGCCGTTGATACCACAACCTAACTTTACATGTTTAGGCATTAGTCCACGCATCGGCAATGTCTAACTTTCGGCATATCTCGTCACGGACTACAGGAGTTATCTTTCTCGGCACTCCTCACCTGGGCTCTGAGATGGCTTACTGGGGCCGTACACTGGCAAGAGCACTGAAAGCACATGGCTCCAATCCCGATTTACTTGATGAAATTAACCTCGATTCTTCTAAACTCAGAGATTTGCATAAAAATTTTGTCGCAATTTTCCAGAATAGCCTTGCCGTCGTGAACATCTATGAAACGCGTAGGACAGTCTGGAAGACATGGGGCTTCTATTGGAGTGAGATGGTGAGTGCAACCTCTACAATGATGAATCACCTCTTACAGAAAAAAGACAGTTCCAGAAAGATCAGGGACATATGCAGGACCCTCCGATCGTGTGGTCAATTACCCGTTCGCCTTAAATCATTTTGAGCTCAACAAATATGCCACCAGAACTTACGAGTATCATGTTTTGTCACAGTACATCCTGAAATTTCTACAGCCTCCCAGGCAAGATTTTTTCTCAGTGCCCGTTGCGCTCGCATCAACGTTCACGCCCAGACTGCTTCTGCTAGATGAGATCGATGAGGCCATAACCAAGGCTTTACGGAGCGATGACTCCTCGCAGGTAGTGGTACTTCATGGTCTTGGTGGAGCCGGCAAGTCGCAGCTGGCACGTCAGGTCCTGGAGGACCACCGGACGTCATTCAAGACGGTCCTTTGGATTGACGCCAGCAGTGTCACGACGATTATTTCAAGTTTCGCACGATTCCTAAACGATATTGGTATTCACATCGATGTCAATTCCGATGCAGGCTCGTCGCTAAGTGAGTCTACCACGATACGAAAAGTCACGAGCTGGGTCGTCCAACACCACAGCTTTCAGAGACGCTGGATCTTCGTATTGGACGGTGCGGACGATCTGTCTAAGCCGGAAATTGAAGCAATCACGCCGAAAGACGCAAATGGTACAATCATGATAACTTCTCGAAATCCTCACACTTGCAGCAAGTACATGACCGGGAAGACTTGCTACTCTATCCTTGTTGGGCCTTTACACACCAACGAATCAGTCAGTGTCATCTCGCGCCACCTGAAGCTCAATCATACGTCACTGAGTGCGGAAATACGAAACCTTTCTGCTACGATAGGCGAGATGTTGGGGGATCTGGCGCTTGCGGTCGACATCGCTGGTGCGTACATGTCTGAACAATTCTTTGGCGATGCCAAAGATGCACTGGAGATGTATGTGTCGGACTTTCTGGAGCATAGAGACTATTTGCTGAAGCGCAAGCCTTTTCTCGAGATCTCAGAATACGACCTCACCGTATGGACTGTTTGGGACAAGAGTTTGGACACTATCAGTCGGAAGCACCCTGATGTCGGGGCGGAGCGGTTACTAACGTTTCTCTCTGGCTTTGACGGTTCAAACATCCAGGACGAGCTGTTCCAGCTCGCACGTAGAAGCTTTGCAGACGTGTATCCTCCCCCGAACGCGGGCTACGAACCCGTGCCGACGTGGCTGGAAAATTGGATGGGCTACGACAACAATCGGCGGACCGAAATCCATCTGCGAGAAGCGCAGGCCCTTCTTGCCCGCTATAGCCTTGTGATGCATGTCGAAGGAACTTGGCCGGGCATAAAGATACACAACCTTGTCCAGTGGCGCGCTAGGCAGACCGACAATTGCAAATATTGGGCCGACTGGTCTGCTATATTCTTGCTGGCTGTGGCGCATCAGGTTACTCACAGTCGTGTTAACCGGCAGCTTCGCATTTCCCTTCTTGCACACCTCTCCGCCCACGAAAAGAGTTTCCCTGGCGCTCTCGGCCGAACGGCGCGAAGAGAAGATATCTGGGCCGCACGCTTTATTGAGGTTCTCGCAGAATTCATGCTGGCCGAAGGCAAATGGACGGATGCGGGAATAATGTTCCACCGGGCGGGACTGATAAGGCAGCATCAACAACTCTCCGCGCTTCCGTATATGGGTAACAGTGTGAGACGGAATGACTATGACTCCGCGAGATTGCTCTCCAACCTGGGTTCGACCTTATTGCAGCGGGGCCGCTGGGCAGAAGGCGCCGAGTTGTTGGAAAGAGCGTTAGAAATTCAAGGACAGGATCTGGGTGAAGATAATGCTCAGACTTTATTCACCATGAGCTCTCTCGCAGAAGCATATCTCCGTCTGGGCCGAGGAGCTGAGAGCGTGCAGCTGAGAATCCACATTCTGCAGAGACACGTGGCAACGTTTGGCGAGGAAGCCAGGCAAACAGGGACCAGCCTTTCCAATCTAGGATCCAGTTATCTTTCGTTGGGGGATGGAAAAGCCGCCGAATCGGTTCTACTTAGGTCGATCGAGATTGCCATACGGAAAGCGGGGGTCGACAGTGAGGAAGTCCTGACTCCGATGGCGAATCTTGCGGTCGCGTACACACTCCAAGACCGTTTCGAAGAAGCTCAAGCCTTGTCGGAAGAGGTTATCGAGAGAGTCAAGAAAACTTACGACGATGCGCACTATCTCACCCTGAGATGTATCTCGAACTTGGCCTACCTGCACCATAGGAAGGGGCAACTTGAACAGGCGGAATCGCTGCTCAGGTATCTCCTGGAGGCTCGGAATAAAATGCAGCTCGGGAATCATCCCGAGACATTGGAAAATGCTGCAGCCTTGGCAACAGTGCTCTATGAGACGGGGAGGACTGATGAAGCCATGAACCTGTTGGCAGAATGCGTTGCCTTGTCCATGGAAGCCCTCGGCCCTTCTCATCCGTCCACAATCAAGTTCGAAGAGGCACTGAAAATCTGGCAACACGAGCCAACACTCGCAGAAGACTTTGTCCTGGGCCTGCAGATCGTGTTTGAGACTCTCGAACAAGTCATTACTTACTTGCCTTTGCGGATCTGGCGATTCATAATTTATCTTCGTGGAGAGCAAGGCCTGGAAGAGCTTTGGCAAAGTCTCACCGGGCCCCATGCTAGGATAGATCCATGAATATGCCATCTCCATCGTGGTAGTTGTTGGATCGCGTTGCTCCGAGAAGAATGAGCTAAAGCGAACACCTGATATCGCTCTTAGTCTCTTTTTTGCACCCCCTGTTCCCTATTCCTTCCAATGCTCCAGTGGCGCCGGAGTTGTGTAGCATTGGTGAGCATTGCCCACAATTACATGGAATTATAGTATATAACATATAGTTGGAGACAATGCTTTCGCAATCGACCATAGGATATGGAAAGCAGGGCTTCCCGTCCGCTCAGCCGTTCTTAAGCCATATGCCGGTTAGTTAGTACCACCATGGGTGACCGGGTGGGAATCCTGGCTGTTGATTGTTTTTTTGGTGCTAATTATGCTTCGATTGTGTTTCGAATCTAAGTATCTTTGACCGGGTTTCGGGGGGTTTGTAGATAGGGCCGCTGGGGGGGCGTTGTGATTCAATAGATGGTGGTTCTGGATTCGGGGTTGGCTTCTCGTCTTGAAGCAACCAGCTATGGAATGAACCAGACTAAACAAATTGGCCGTCGAATGTCGAATTGAATGTGCACTATCTGTCACCCTGAGACTTCTTGCCATACATCGCGCAAAGGAAAAAAAGGACCTGTTGCGAGAAGACACAGGTTTTCCTGCCTGGGGGTAGTATTAGAGTCGACATTGCATTGATCTGGGGAACAGCATCGAGGGGGTTGATTTATGCTCGGTAGGATACGACAGGCAGCCAATACCAAGATGAGGAGAAGAACCGCGGCAGTTAAATAACAACACGACAACCCCATGACATAATAATATTCATCGGCTCTCTATCCCCTTCCTGTAGGTGCTTCTCTGGACATTCCGACAAACAGTTTCTGTTCTCTCTGATCGAGACCATCTTTCATTCCCCTGTGCTTCCCCCGCCAGCATATCGCGCGCCTCGCACGATGGAAGGCCGCTGCCAATGCGGCACGGTGCGATTCCGCACGCCCCTGGAAAAGCCCATCAAATGGTACATCTGCCACTGCCACGAATGCCGGCGCCAGAGTGCCAGCGCCTTTGGCATCTCGGCCATCTTCCCACATTTTGATCTGGGTTCCCAGCCCGCAGCAGCGTCGGAGTCATTAGACGCGGAATCTTCTTCTCTCTCGGCGTCAGCAGGGGTGCCGGAAGGCGGAGATGCAACGACGACGACGAGGACAGCAGAGAGTGACTGGATCGGGGTTTACGAGCATTCCCGAACGAGCTCGGGACGTCCGAAGAAGTGCTACTATTGCAAAAAGTGCGGGACGCGGATCATGAACGTCAGCGTCGCCCCGGCAGGCACCAGTAACCCGGGCTTTGTCGCGGTCAAGGGAGGGTGTCTGGAAAGCATCGACGGGGACATTTTCACTCAGGCCACGCATATCTGGACGAAGAGCGCCTTGGTGCCCATTCCAGAGGGTGCAGAGTCGTATCCTGAGGAGCCTCCCCCAAGGGCATAGTAGATGCGATGCTGGGGGAGAGACGCTGAGGCATGAGAGCGACGATGGAGCAATTATTGCGTGGGGGGCTAGGGGTAACGGTAGTCCCTATCAGTTTCTTTGGTATGACTGCCCAATCCTCTTTTCTTCTGCTCTTCTTTCTTTTTTCCATGATACTCGGGACATTTGAGCAAGCCTTCATACATAGTCACGTAAGGAAACAGGCCTGCGCGCTGTAGCTCAGGATCAGGGGGCATTTGTGTGTGTGATGGTGCTGGATTTGCTCCATTTCGGAGCTGTATTCACTCCTTGACATCGTGACTTTTGCGACTGCTGTATATGGCATTCATACAAAACGTCGTAGGCCTTTGTACAATAGTAGTAAGAGTGCGTAGTATGATGTTGCAGCTCCTTCTGCTCTTTTCTCCCCCCTCCCGCCAATCTCCCGCGAGTTGCTGCACGTTCCAGGTCTATTTTCAACGAGACCCGTGACCGAGTATTATGCACCTCACCTCTTCCTCGGTTTGTCTGGTGGGTGCTTTTAACTCGTGGATGCCAGGACGCCTGCGGTCTCGGCGGGACTGCCAGCAGCTGCTTCGCGCTCTGCTCTCCGCCGTCTTTTCTCAATTATAATCTCTTTCCGCTGTTGCAGGAGCTTCACTTGTCTATTTTCCACGCCGGTCAACCAATAACCGAACGAACCCCCGATGCTCGCAAATAACGGGTACACCCATAACGTGCCGCGTTGAAAGAACGGTCTCATCTCTATGCCGAGTTGGACGAAGCGTGTGGCGATGCCTGCTCGACAAACATGTTAAAGACAAAAACCATGGAGGGCACGTTTTGCAAGGCTATTGCGATGGGTTGGTTGCTCACCGAAACCGGCCCAGAAAAGAATCTTGTGAACCATGATGGTATGTGTTTCGCGCCTTGTGCGCGCCTGGACAGTGTGGACAATCTGTCACTGGGGGAGGAGTGAAGCTGAAGCAGCAATGGCAAAAGAAATTGCAGGGGGAGTCGTATGGAATGAGGTTGTCGACGGGGTATTGGAGAGCTTGGGAAGACTGGAGAGCAGCTCAGGTGGACAAACCCTTTCACGCAACTTCTGGACGCCAAGTTAGAACGGCGCTCTGCTGCTTCTGCACTCGACCGTAGTGCCAAGACCAGGAGATGAACACCATCAGCTTTCTGGCAAAGACCACGCACCCAGCACGGGGGATGCAGACCATTTGCTGCCCATCTATTGTATGGTTGCTACTGATTTCCCATAGGGCAACATTCTCTCTGCAAAGCCTCAAATCATATATCGCTCAAGCTAGGCTCGCGGAAGACGGTGTGATATCCCCACCTAGGCCAGGTGCTTTTTTGGGGGGGCGTGTTCTCATCTCTCATCTCTCGATATCCTCTCTATGTATTTCAGTACACAGCCGTTGTTTTCATCCAACCTTGATCTCATGATGATCCTGCCGGAGTTAAGCGAACTCGAACTCATGATGGGACAATGGAAGCCCGGACTTCGCAAGGAAGAAAGATGACCCGAACTTTCCACTGCTTTATTACATAGACGCAAATGCTGACACACCAAAGAACCCTCAATGGGAAGTCCTAAGAAATCTTGGGGCTTCGGGGGCTCGGGATCATGGGAGTGGGCGGAATCATCGAAGACTGGGGCACTTGTTATTGTTGGTTGTAGAGTCTCTTCAAGACATACTTGAGCCTGCACGATAATTCAAGCAAAGGCCAGACAGCTGAGAAGAATTACTATTGTTACCATTGTTATTATAGGGCTCTAATATTGCCAGCTAAGGTCAATTTCCCAATTGGCGTTGGGCTTTTCGCTTGGTGTTCCACATCAATTGTTTGGGCACTCACTAAGCTAGCGGATGACCTGAGCTGCAGCCGGGGGCACCAGAGGGCTTCGCCTATCGTTGTGTCGGAGGCGCACAAATAGGCGCGACGCAGCAAACTCGCCTTCGTTCATCATCATCATCAGACGTGGAAAAATATCCGTGCTCGTCTGTCCTTCATTCCATCATTCTCACTCTCTGTGATGGATGACAATGATACGAGTGTCGAGGGCCATTTTGTGACGGTGCTCCTATCATCTTCCTCAGCTTTCCCCTACGCCACCTTTCAAATGAATTGAGACCAACCACGCGCCCGCAATCTCTCATTCCCCCTCCCCCGGCTATTCCGTTCCGCTGCCACATTTTCACCCGCGTTGACTGATCACCATGAGGGTCCGCCTTCACATTCGGGAACAGCTGTGCCTGGTCATTGGCATCACGAGTCTGTTGTCACTGGCCATCCTCGCCGTCTCAATATGGGTACAGACAGTGAATTACATGAACGATGCAAAATGGGAAACTCTCATGGTCACCGCAAACCTGAAAGCTACCCAAGTAGCCCAGGACATCAGCCTGATGGGGACGTCAGTACAGTCAATTGCCACCAGGAATATTCTCCAGGATTTACTACGTGACTTCAACAATGGCAACCAGACCCAGGCCCTTTACAATGCTATACAGGTAGGTTGATGACGAAGTTGGTCTGCCCCCTCGAGCGGAATTCCTGACGTCAAACTAGGATAATCTTGTGGACGCTTTGTCTGGCGGGACCGACGATGCAGTTCTCCTGCAAGCGGCAGTCTTTCCTCGCAGACCCCGGCCCGAGCAAGGTGATAGTGCTCTGAGCAACGCGACTGGGAGAGGAGCAGCTAGCAAGGTCGTGCTTCCTTTCACTTACAGCAATGGAACGGCAGTCCTGCTCGGCGACGGTGACGATGGTTATCCCCCCCAGCTCTACCCCAACCTCACCTATGGCGATCAGCCATCAGATACCACGTTTGTTGCCTATGAAGGCAAGCTGCTTTATAACAACTCGACATTGTTCCTCGGGCCGCTGTTCCTGCACCACACCAACTCCTCGCTCGTCTCATTCACAGTCCCCGTAAACAACAACACCAGTCGCACCGATGTGCTTGGATGGCTCACCGTCGTCGTTGACGGAAAGGCACTTTACAACATTGTTGAGTCCCCTGTCGGACTAGGTAAGACCGGAGAGGTCGTCATCATCGGCCCTGCTCGTCCCGACAACCTCTTCGCCGACGATGTCGCTGGTCGCACAAAAGCAGAGAATGCCGATGTCCCCCTTCAATTTGTCCTGCCGCCTTACAGTAATCGCCATCCACTGCGTGCCAAGGATCCGTATCTCCCTTTCCCCATGGAGGACTATCCAGCTGTGCTGCGCGCTTGGTCTGACATGACTGGGGAGATCAACAATGCAGGAGCTTTGATGTCCACCCACAACGAGGAAAACAAGAAAATATCGGCCGGCTTTGCCAGGGTATCTTCCGACCTCGTTAACTGGGTGGTCGTCTTTGGCCAGGCCCACAGCGAAGTCGTTGCTCCCATAAATCACCTGCGGAATACTGTGCTGGCGTGCATTTTTAGCGTGGTCGGTGCAGTTCTCCTTGTCTCCTTGTGAGTACTCCTGAATTGATCTACGGTGTCCTGTTATATGCTGACTCGATCGCAGTCCGCTCGCCCACTTCGCTGTCAAGCCGATCATTGCACTCCGAAATGCAGCCGAGAATTCAGTGACTACATACGAAGCTTACGACCCTTCTGAAAAATCGTCAGACACCGATAGCGAAAATGCTCTGGGAAAGGTGGGCCTCCTCGAGGAAAAGGGGTTGGTTCATAGTGTCTACAAAAGGTCTGCGAGAAAGAAACCTCATGTTCGGCCAGTGCGAGTGTTTAAGATTCCCGAGCGTGTGCCTGAACATCGCCATGTTCTCTATGATGAATTAACGGACTTGACGCGTACCTTTAACGAAATGGCCGACGAGCTTACGATTCAATATGGACGGCTTGAGGACCGTGTGAAGAAGAGGACTGCAGAACTAGAGCAGAGTCGAAATGCCGCCGAAGCTGCCAACGAAAGCAAGACCTTGTTCATCGCTAACGTATCTCATGAATTACGCACACCATTGAACGGTATCATCGGCATGTGCGCAATCGCCATGCAAGAGGAAGATGTCGGGAGCATCCGGCAGTCCCTCAAAATCATCTACAAATCATCGGATCTCCTCTTACATCTCCTCAACGACTTGTTGACATTCAGCCGCAGCTCTTTTGGCCAGAACTTTGCCATCGAAGAAGACACATTTCGCCTTGTCGACGTCGGCTCGCAACTCGTGTCTATCTTTGAGAAGCAAGCGCGTGAATCTGACATCAGCTTGCGAGTGGTCTTCATCGGCCTCGAATCAATGGAGCAGAGAGACACTGACCAAGACGACCTGGAGGACGCTATTATCGCTCGGCACGACATGACGGGTGCCATTCAGAAACAGAAGACGAATGTCTTGGCCAAAGCACCCGCAGATCTTGGACCTCTGAGGGAAATAGGCTTGAGGGGGGACAAAAATCGAATATTACAAATTCTGATGAGTAAGTCCCGATCTCATGTTGACTTCTTTAGACGAATTTTGCCCTCCTGCTCTGTCCGATATCCAATTCGTCAGTTACATATTTATTAATGACACTGCTCTAACTGGCGAACAGATCTTGTAAGCAATGCCCTCAAGTTCACAGCCGCAAAGGGCGTCGTCGAAGTGAGGATACGATGCAAAGGATTTGTGGAACCCGAAGCCATGCCTGATGTAGCGTACTCAAATACCACAGCTACGCCAAACACGCCTTCCAATGCGCTACAGCGACGCAATACCGAATACACACCGCCAAAATCATCGATGAAGGGATTACTGTTTGACTTTGAGGTCGAGGATACGGGTTCGGGCATACCCGAACATCTGCAACAAGACATCTTCAAGCCCTTCGTCCAGGGTGATCTGGCTTTAAGCAAGAAACATGGCGGTGTCGGTCTGGGGCTGGCAATATGTTCGCAGCTCGCAGGCATGATGGGCGGCACCATTACCCTGAAGAGTACTGTCGACATTGGCAGCACATTCACCCTTTCTCTGCCCCTGCGCTACACCAAGGAGGTTGTGCCTTCCGTGTCCGACTCTCTTGCGCGACCAAAACCCGGAAGTATATCCAGCAGCATCCAATTTGAGAGCTTCAGCACAAAATCTCGCAGGTCGCGAGACCCACGACAACCTATACGATCGAAACAGACGTCCGTATATTCGACACAAGACAAAGACTCCCAGATGGATGTGCCCCGTCTTGTGGGGTTCTCTCAGCCATACCTTATAGATGCGAACGTGAGCTCAGAACGAGTGGATTCCGTCGCCCAGCAGCCCAAGCAAGACAAAAGGCCAAACTTTACCACTCCCAACAACCGGCTCGCATCCATCATGTCTGTAAAAACACCGGATGAAGCGACTGACTCGGCAGCTACCAAGCTAGAAGAGAAAGCCAAAACCGCAGACACTGACGTGACGAAAGCACCAGCTCTATCCTCAGGCGCTGCTGCGGAAGCCTGTTCCCTCAAAATTCTTGTCGCAGAAGATAATCCCGTCAATCAACAAGTGATCCTCAAGTTACTCAAGCTCGAGAAGGTGACCGACGTTACCTTGGCTGAAGACGGGGAGCAGGCGTTCAATATTGTACAACAATCATATTCTGATTTGGAGGGCTCGAACGAGAAGCCACGGCCTTTCTCGCTTGTTCTGATGGACATCCAAATGCCGCGCATGGACGGGATTGAATCCACGAAGAAGATACGAGAGCTAGGATTTGATGCTCCGATCCTTGCCCTGACGGCATTTGACCATGAAATAAACCGAAAAGCCTGTCGTGATGCAGGAATGAATGGTTTCCTCCCCAAGCCGATCAAACGGACGGCTTTGAAGAAAATACTTGAACAGTATAGTACTCCGCAAGGAAACACGGATGACCTGCAGAATAACGAACGAAAAGACGACGAATGAGTCCACGGAAATATTTTGGAGGTTCAATAACGAACAGTCAAGACACTGCGGATGCACCGACAATCCGACTTACCCAATTGCCATGTCAATCGTGGATACTTTTCCACGAACTCGATGACTTTGATGGATAGAGACAGGACCGAAGATACCGGCCTGACTATCCTATTTGAGAGGGACGCCGTTCAAGCCGCTGCACGAAAAAACCCCACAAAAAAAAAACCGGAGTGCTGCACCAAGCACTTTCGTCAGAGAAGCCCCCAGATCTAGGAGGCGTGAGCAGAAAAGCCATGCATGGGTATAACAGGACTCAGAGGAGATACGTCCCGAGTTGCAACTGTGGGAGGACGCTTGTGTTTCGTGCATCGGAGAGATAGACTATCTCGAACACAAATTGGTAAAGGGGAAGAGCAAGAGGTTTTTTTCATTGGCTTTGAATTGGCGCTGTGTGGGAGGTGGTGGCCCATCGATCAGCAGGGATCTGGAAAATAGACTGACATCTGTCGTCAGTCCGGTGGAGGAAAAATCATGCATGTCTGGTGTTCAAGAGACATCTGTTCGCTGTATATGAAGACCAGATCAGGGTTAATGTACTGTAGAGGCAGAAAGTGACAAATGAACGATTTCGAGTAGTGCGGTTTGACGGTTAATACTTCGCCGTACCAAGCGGCATTTGCACGTGAACGTGAACGTAGCCAAACGCGCAGTTCGCGTCAAACTTCGAACCAGGGAATTTCGATTCTCGCAGCACTTTCACAACAAATTTCCTTCCATCGACTCCAGGCTTGCTGTCGGCAGAATGGCTGATACGGCCATGGCAGATGCACCACCGGCCGCATCCTCTACTCCCTTCTCATTACGGCCTCGATTCAGAATCTCGGACCTCCCTCTCGTCAAAGAGCAACGATCCACCATTGATGCGCTCCTCCTCAAGTTCAAGAAGAAAGGTGGCTACGACAGCCTTCGGAAACAAGTTTGGGCTTCCTACAATACGTCCGATGCGAAAACCGCGCTTACAGATCAAATTCATGCCATTGCGGAAGCGGAAATTGAAAAGGACCCAAATTTGCTCAGTCGAGAACGAGGCAAGGCAGCCACCTTGATCCAAGGCGCCGTAGACCGGAGCGGCATATACCAGGATGTTGAGTCCAGAATTGATCAGGAAATTGCGAGACATTTGAGCACCGTGCTGGATGCCGTGCGTGACATTCGCAGGGAAGACGTCGGGGCTGAGGTAGCAGCTGAAGAGGAGCAGCGAGGCGGCAAGTCCGATGAACAATACACGGCCGAGACTCAAAGCCGAGCTGCTGAAAGAGAGAGGAATAGGGCTCGCATGGAGCAGTTGCTACGTGACACGGCGGAGTTGAAGGCCAAGATCAAGCTGGAAGAGGACCGGATGCGGAAGAAAGACGAAGCAAAACGCGAAGAAGAGGAGAAGAAGAAACGTGAAGCAGAGGCAGAAGAGAGACGCATTGAACGCGAGAAGCGACGGAAGGAGGAAGAAGAGCGAGAAGCCGAAAGGATCAAGGCTCGAGATGAGAGACACAGAAAGCGCGAGGAAGAGAGAAAAGAGCGGTATGCACGGTACGAGAAGGAGCGGGATAAGGAAAGAGACCGCGACCGTGACCGTGACCGTGACCGTGACCGCGACCGCGAACGCGACAAAGATCGTGACCATGAACGAACAAGTGGCAAGAGCACCGATCGGCGAGATTCGATTGCAGGATCAATGACGGCCAAAGATGTTCAAACGGACGAGAAGGATTTAGAGGCCACCGCTCTCGAACTCCTTCTGAGTGAAGGCAAACAAATGGCAGAAAAGTCCAAGCAAAGACACGAGTACAACTTCGACAAGTCTGAAATACACGACAGCTCGCGCAAACATGTCCCATCAGACCGATATTCCCGGAAGAGAGACAGATCTCGAGAGAGCTACAAACGCGAATCCGACCGACGAAGTAAATCCCGCGACAGAAGGCCATTGGTCCAAGAGAAAGAAAAATCCGAGCAACCGCGCCGCAAAAGTCCGAGCAAAGAACGCGAGGAGGGCGAAGCTCAAAGCCAGCGTAATTCACCACCTCCTGATCCTGACAAACGTGCTGTTCGAGAACGACGACCTCGCTCAGCATCGCCGTTAGGTATTGACCGCTATGTCCCTGGGGGCGGTGTCCATCGTACTGAGGAAGAGCGGGAACGTGATCGACAAAGACGTCAAGTCCGAGATCAGGACAAAGATCGCGACCGAGAACCGAGGAGAAAATACGACAGCCATCGCAGTGATAAGGACCGAGGTAGAGAGGGAGACCGTGACCGCCCGCGTGAGCCCGAGCGCGATCGCGAAGGTGGAGATCGTGATCGAGACCATGACCGAAGAGATCGGGATCGTGAGCGCGACCGCGACCGCGACCGCGACCGCGACCGGAACCGGTCAAAGGAAAGAGATAGGGACAGAGATCGGGACCGAGATAGGGACCACGACCATGACCGTGATCGTGAGCGAGATAGGTATCGAGAGCGAGAGCGGGATCGTGACCGAGACAGAGACAGACATCGCGATCGCGAGAGAGATCGTGACCGTGATCGGGATCGAGATCGAGACAGGGACAGGGACCGAGACCGCTCGAGAGATCGGGACCGACGAGATCGAAGTCGGCGTCGTGATGATCGACGAGACGACCGCCGAGATGAACGAAAAGATGACCGTCGCGAAGACCGCCGTGAAGACCGCCGCGAAGACCGACGCGACGACAGAAGACGTGAAAGAGATAGAAGTGATGTCCGCCGAGACCGCGATCCTGTACCTATTGACCGGTATGTGCCAGGTCGGTAATCGAGCATATGGGCCTCATCTTCAGACAAATGTAAAGGCGCGCATAGGGGTGGGTCGTTTGATAGATGAGCCTAGTCCCAAAGCTTGGACTTGGGCTTGGAGTTGTCGAGTTTGCATCTGCACATTGTGCATATCTATCTTCTCTGCATGTCTCCGGTAGCTGAAGTCGGCGCTTGATTTGGGTCTAAGCTCGGGCGACAAGCCGGCGAGAATGGCACGTTCCATCAACATGATACTCCGCAGATTATCACCTTTCTTGGTCCATATAGAGATGTGGGTGAAGTATTGTCGAGGCGAGAAGGACATTCCGAGGATATGGTCGCGTTCTGTCCAACAAACTCATCGATCAATGGTCATCAAGACGATAAAGCTGGGATCGAGACGTACCTTGGGTAATGGCTGCTTGCAATTCTCCTCCACAACACAACAAGCAGATCTCCTCCCAGCACCTGATATCTTTCCCTTCTTCCGGCCGGACTCGAATCAACCAGCGCCCACCTTTCCGGTTCTCCTCGTCCTCCCACAGCGGCTGGACGCCAGCGCGGAAAATGTGGATGCTGTCCTGTGGTTTGACCTGAGACCACGGCAGGTTGTTGAAAATGCGGTAGAATGTGCCGATGTCGGCCACCGAATCAACCAACATTGTCAACTGGTACGAGTCGGGTGAATGCTGGTGGTGGTGATTGTTGTTGTTGCTGGTCGGCTGAAGATTTGACTTGGAGTGCCAAACTGACCAAAGGTATTGGAACGGCAGAGGGCGGAGTTTAGCTATCACTTGCTTATGCAGCGAGGAGGAGCGGCGAGGCAACGAAGGCCGAACGGGGTCGACGACATTGTTGGCGGCAGGAGGTACTGTTGAAGAGATGCCCGGAGGTATAGTCGCTGTCATTGTGAGTGTGGCGCACGTTGAGCAAGAAAGGGCTCGAGGGGATTCAGCGGCAGTAGCAGTAGTGGAAGACTAGGCAATCGATTTCAAGCCCTGTCTCGAGCGAGCAATAGCAGCGGTGGCTTTACTCAAATGCTATGTAGAAGAACGAGTATCAAAAGAAACAGGAAGCAGCCTTTCGATTTGCTAGGCCGATCGAAAGAATAGTCCTAAAAAGGGGGGGAGGGAATAATCTTTTTCTTTCCCCCCTCCAGCCTCCTTCCTCGATCAAATACGACCCAAGCACAGCTGACATTTTCCCTCAGGCCTTCCGCAATCCAATCCTGCAGGAAACGCCTCAAAAAGGACTGCGTTATGCGTCAAAGTCGACCGAAATTGTGACCAGAGCAGGGAAACCTTAGGGTGGGTGGGTGGAAAACGACGTTGTCGTCGTCATCGTCATCGTCGTCATCTGCCATGCATAACCGAGAGGCCCCCTTCTACTCCTCCAACTCGGATCCAAGAGCAGGGCCGGGGGCCAGGGTTCGCGAACTAGAGTTGAGAACAGGGGGATAGGCTGTGGGTTTCTGGTTCTCGTCACTTTAGGCGCCGGATCGGATGGTGGGGATCAGTTGGCGAGTTGCGATGAGAGGTTTCCCAGTGTCAGCGTGAGCTGCGTGCGTGCGTGGTGTTCGTGTTTTACGAAACATGAAACGTCGTCAGGGGCGCGACGTGGATGTGTTGTGAGCCAGATACAGATGTGGAGGTTTCAGGCCTTTCAAAACTTCGTTCTACGCGCCCGGGGGAAGATGGATACTCTACCCAAGAACCCTGTGCGGATGGACCAAGTGAGTTGACCCAATTGGAAAGGTCGTCGGAGCTCGCATCTCGACAAGTGGAGTCTCCCGGATGTTCAGTGCATGCATCCTGTACTCGGAAGGGACCAGCATTACGTGATAGAACTTCGAATGCGAACTGCTGGTCGGTAGCTACACGGTCAAATTCGCGACAGGTAGGAAGAGATGTTAGGGTTAATGGTGTTGGACAACCAATGAGGCTGAGGGTGACGGTGTGGGGCCGTGCAAACAGGATACCTCATTGGACGAGGCTGCGGCGGTTAGGGAGGGCGGGCGGGCGCTTAGAGCATTTCAATCTCGTGTGTAGTAACACACAGTAGTGTGTGCATCGAAACAGGACAGGACAGGAAGGTGGTGTTCTGAGAGGCCGGAGGAGGTAGACTGAAAGAGAAAAGAAATGTACGAGATGGGTGGAGAGATGAGATGTGGTTCGACATGAAGTGAGTTGCACGTCTGTTAGTCGCGGACCGTATTCATCCATATATGCACTTGTGCACCTTCACTCAGTCGTCTACCATCTATATCATCATATAGGTTGATCTGTGCGCCCTTTCCTTGGACACCAAGATAGATGTGTGCATGCCTGACTATGATGGAGTGACTGTGCTGAACGGTGTGAGTACTAGAAGAATCCGACCTAGGGGACCAGTGGAGGCACCGAGCCAGCTATAGTAAGTATACCTGTGTACCGATGAGGACGCTCCACCCATGTTTCACGTGCGACCAAACCACTCGCTGCCCTGCTCACAGCAGTCTGCTGATCTTCATCGGAACTCAATGGAGGTGGTGCGCTCTACCCACGAAGAGTGCAGCACGTTAGGAATGTCCTGGTGGGAGGTTTCGCCACCTATTTTACCAATATGTAGCTTGATCTGGCTACCGGGGAGCTCCTTACCCCAGCTTTGATATCTTGCAACGCGGCAGGACCATGACTAGAGGCACCGGAGTCGTAGGTGGGTTGCGATTGTGGCATCCCTCTGGCTTTCGACTCGCCGATGGCCTAGTTACCTCACTTTGGAACAGCTGAATACCCCCATCATTAAACATGGCGCTCATCTTGGTACCGCGTGAAGTTACACAAAGACAAATTTTTACAGGTGCGGCAATACAGCGATTGTTGTCATTTGTAAATCACCAAAAGCAAAAGTACACTAGCAAGGCCCTGAAAGGACTCTCTCTATACCATCCATGCCTTGAAGTGAGTTTGGGCATAGGGTCGTTTAGTCGAATTGAACAGGAATGTAGAATTCGGAAAATCAGACTTCACAAGCCTCGTTCTGTCCAGTGGCCTTACTAGACATTATCATGGTTACATATCGCTGGATGTTGCTCTCGGTGGAAGCACCCCGTCCATACTTCAAGAGCTGGATGCTGCTCGGGGCCCGCAGTGTTGCTGATTTCCGTCTTGCTTGCGTCGTTTTCGAAATTCGATCGTGGTTCCTGGGCTCACAAGCTCTTGGCGACACTCTTGAAACGGGATGTATTGATGAGGTGGTTACGGGTGTATTGCTTGGAGTTTGGCTATCATTCTTCATCTCGTCAATTTGTTCTGCACTTCGCACGGTTCCAGCAGATTCATGCAATTCTGTTGATGTGACCTTTCGAGCGTATAGCTTGCGCAGCTGCCACAACTGCTCTAGTTGAGGTTCTGGAATTCCCTCCGTGGTAGGGTTGCCGAAGATATGAAAGACGCGTCTAAGTGCGGCCGTCGGTGCGCCACACCATACTCCTGGCTCTTTGAAGGGACCCAATCCTGGTATGAAGCTCCTATCCGCGTTGACGGGGAAGAAGTCTCGCAGGGTGTACCGCCAGTACAGGCCGCCGACTGCCTCAGAAGACAAGAGGTTTTGCCTCTTGAGATATTCTGAATACATCTGTGGTGTAGGAACCATTCGAGGAGGAATGTCCCCATGCCGTTGCGCAATATCGATCCGACTCTGGTAATCCTTGAGCTCAAAATCGATGAAATAGTCCAGGTCGATGGGAATGAAGATCAGCCCCGGATTGTTGAGGTCGTCGAACGCTCGGTGGCACGAAGGGCAAAGAGGAAGACCATTTTGCTCATCTCCAAGATGATCGAATGTTAAGAGACCGGAGGCAACATAGTCGCCGAACTGTCAATAATCAGTCACATAATCAATCACTGACGACGCAGGCCATTTCGTTGCGCTAATTGCTGCGACATACCGAGCCGTCCTTTCTGCCGACAACGGGAGCAATATCCGGCGCCCTTGCACCGCAATGCCAGCACTGCTCGCCACCATTGCGCTCCGCTATCCTTTTCTTCGTCCTCCTTGTGAATTGCGACGCCGAGGATGTACTAGAAGAAATGGCACTTTCCACATCACTTCGCTTCCTTTTGCGACTTGAGCCCGACCAGGTTGTTTCGGCCGACGATGGAACAGGCGGTGGCAGCATTGCAGCCGCAGGAGGAGGACATACGGAGGCGGAAGCTTCTGGGGTTTGACGTGATATCGTTGTTCGCTGGGGAGACACATACACAAATGTTGTGCTTGACCACCTCGCAAGGTGGCTGGAGGGTGATGTATCTAGTTGTCCCGCAGTACTGGTAAAATACATGAAATCTGTTATCAGACGTAAGAATAAACGGGTTAGTACCTGTAATTTTGTTCATAGAGCGAACGTTTGCGACCAATAGTGCGCTAGTAAAGTACGCTAAAATACTAGTGTCTACAATATGTACGAATACAGTAGATACCTAGCTTAATATGGACGCGCTAATGCGCTTTATCTTTCAGCGCCTCTTATAAGAATCGAAATATTAGTGGAAAAGACTGAATTTCAACGGGTCGGGAATGTCACATGAAATTTTTGAAACTTTCAGTAACAACCCCGGTCCCCGCCACGTGCCCGCTTCGAGTCGCACTAACTAAATTTGGGCACGTGGCTCAGCCTTGGCACGCTGTGTCCATGGGTAACAGCAAATGACACATCACTCATTGTCCCTATTCTTAAGGACTGCTGTGAGACGTACAACCTGGAATATCCCCCACATTCATTCGAAACAACCGAGAAGGAGTCAAAGACACTCTTCCGTGGTATGTCCACAGTCAGGTATGGTTTTGCTCCCGCCTTGTGCATTACCGCCGAATGTAACCATCCAATGTACACATGGGAACATCGGCGGACTAATTGTACAAGCAATGCAAAATTCGAGGTTTCTGTCACCTTTCCGCTGGTCAGGAAGTTGTTGCCGTGGGTATCGAGCACGCAATGGGCCAAGATGATAAGTTTATCACGGCTTCTCGATGCCACGGCAGCACGTTCATGCGAGGAAGGGGGCTTCGTGCGGGCGTGCGGACGGCTGTGACGTGATGAAGGACGTTGTAAAGGAACTAGAACGAGACTGTCAAGTTATCGTTACCTGATTTACGTACATCTGGACGATATGGTATGGCTTTTGTTCTCATCAATTCCCGCCCTCCTTCGGCGATCGAACGGTCCGGTGGACTACAACCCGTAAGTTCTTCGTTCTCAACTACCATATCTGCGATCAAACACCCCTCTCAATACCCACCCGGCACATTGTTATAAATCCCACTCGCAGGCAATCCGACAAGCCTATCGTTCGCCTGCGTCGGCCTAAACCTGTCATGGTGGCCCGCCTTCTCAATCCCCTCCGCTTTTGCTTCGACCTCGGTAAACTCGAACTTCTTCTTCGTCAGCCCGTTATACACAGCCCGCGCATACTCGGGCTTGATCTTGTATAGCTGCGCTAGGTACTTGACCTGGATGACCGGTTCACTGACGTGGCTGAGCATGACAGCCGTGTTGTCGTGCAGGTGCTCGCGCTGCGTGGCGGTCATGACGTTCTCGTACAGGTCGCGTGGCTGGTCGTACTCGGTAAGCGGGCGGCCTTCGTGGTAGAAGTGCGACTTGCGCGAGACGACGTTGTCGCCCACTTTGTAGGGCGCCTCGGCCGTGTCTGGGCGGAACTTGTCCACAAAGCTGTTGGGCGCGTACTGCGGGTTTTTGGCGTGGTTGGCGTCGACGCGCAGGGGTCCGTCAAAGTTCAGGGATGCGTAGGAGCCGGCCATGAAGGGGCAGTTTGCTGGTGGGGAGACGTTAGTCCAATTTTGTAGCGAGTCACGACCGACCTACTGGGCACTTGGTGCAGGTTGACGCCGATGCGGTGGTATTGCGCGTCGCGGTAGAAGAACATGCGGAATTGGAGGAGTGGATCAGGACTGTCTTCGATGCCCGGGACCATGCTGCCTGGAGAGAAGGCGGCCTGCTCAACGTCACGGTGGTCTGCGCCGTGATTTAGCTGGGAGAACATGTCGTGCTGGGAGCAAAGTGTGAACTTACAGTTTTCAGGGTTTCTGGTCAGATGGAGCTTGCCGAACTCGTGAAGCGGGAAAAGCTTCTTCGGCCATACCTTGGTCACGTCAAAAGGGTCGAAGCCCAGCTTTTGGGGGTCGGCTTCTTCAGGCTTCATGATTTGGACGTGAGCGGTGTAAGACACTGGCTCGCCATTTTCAATGGCTTGCCAAAGTTCTTCTTTGCTGTAGTCTGGGTTTTCGCCAGACAGCTTGACCGCTTCTTGACGTGTGAACTGCTTCTGTCCTCCGTCGGCGAGGAAATGGTACTTGATGTACACGAACTCGCCGTTCTTGTTGACCCATTTGAAGGTATGGCAGCCGTACCCGTGGTTGGCGCGCCAGCCTTGAGGAGTTCCATGGTCAGAGAAGAACATCATGCCGGCGTGGTTTCCTTCAGGGGTGTTCGCAAGCAAATCGAACGTGGCGTTGTAGTCCAGCAGGAAATTGTCGGGTCGTCGAGCTTGAGAACGGATGACATCTGGACCCTGAATAGGATCACGACAGAAGAACACCGGGAAATTCAGGCCCACAATGTCGTAGTTGCCCTCGCCAGTATAGAACTTGATAGCAAAGCCGCGAGGATTGCGGGCCAAGTCCGGGAATTCTCTTCCCAGAGTCACGGTTGAAAAGCGGACGAACACTGGTGTCTGGACGCCTGAGCCGCTCAAGAAGTCAGCTTTGGTCAGATGCGAGACATCTTTGGTGGTTTCAAAGTAGCCAAAAGCGCCGCTGCCGCCTGTTGTAATCATTAGCGCACGTTGTTGGTTGGTCTGAAAATCATGCTTACAGGGATGTACCATTCTCTCAAGGAGCTTGGATCGGTTGAAGTGCTGCTGCTTCTGAAAGAGAAACGTGTCGGAGGCGACGGGAATGCCCCCAACGGTCTTGCTGTGGGACGCATCGGGGAATGGGATACCCTCATTGTTGGTGAAATAAGGGCCGTCATCAGCACGCTTTCCTCCCTCGCTAACCCCAGTCAATTTGGCGGCCAGAACTGCAGGGCCTTCATTTGCGCCTTGAAAGAGAGAGGTTCGTTGAAGAGCTCTCGGGTCGCCACCCATCTTTCCAAACGCCTTTCCGACGGCCTGAACCGGGTGCGTTGCCATCTCGCCTGCTGTGATGTTTGAAGTCATTCGAACGAGGCTCTTACCACACTTGATGACCAACTTGGGAAACCGGCCGACACGAAGCAGACTGGACATGCAGCGAGACACTGGAAGTACAAATAGACAAAGCGTGCCTGGCTGCACGCAGCTTACCACGGCAGGTCTTCAGGGCATCTTTCTCAGAAAGGGAAATCAGTGGGACCAGTTTTGCATATACTCGTCATTGCGACAGGGCTGATGTGCACGCGGGATGGATATCCAGACGAATTGGCTGGACATGAGGTGCATCATGGCGGGAATGCCATGGTCGTTCGACTGGGGAAAGACGGGTATTGAGTCCGCAGTGCACGAGAGTAGCTGCGCCTCGGAGATAGCACAACGGCGTGCAATCGAGAAATTCTCCGTTGGATGAGGCTGTCATACACACGGTCAGCCGCAGAATGCGAGCCACTCCTCCGTGTAACCAGTGTTGGTTTCGCTGTCGTCATTGTTGTTGCTTTAAGCTTATCCGAGACTTTCTTCGACGGCACAAGGAGCTCCGCTTTTCGTGTTCCTGGTTCACTGTAGCCGTTTTGGGCCAGATACTGTGCGGTGCATCACCCTGAGGTCATATTGTTGCGGAACACACTTCCTCCTCTGTGGCCACATGCACCAAGTTCCGGCGTCATCATTCTAGCGAGCAATGACCCGTCCACAACACAGCATGCGATAATTGCTAAGCAGCCCAATCGCAAACCCACTGTTCCCCCCAGATCCCCGTGACTCCATCACTGTGGAAAGCGTCGGAATATGTCTCTTAGCTTGTCTAATGGCGCCGCCATCAAACCAGCGACCATCTCGAACGGAGACTTGTCTGACGCTAAGGGGTGATCGGATCTTGGTGTCGTTAACATTCGTACCGGGTATGTTCTCGTAGTAGTCCTATGGGAAGAACTGACAATAAATGCTCTATAGATAGGTCTCGTGGCTGCCATCCTGAATCCACTCAAGCTCGTCGCAGGTCTTGCAAGGAGGAAGGAAGAGAAATTCTCTGATTCGTCACGTAGAGCTTGAATGATAGCTCTCGGAATCGATATCCGCGTTTATTTCCCCAGCTTTTTAGTGGCTGATCTTGTCGAGCAAGGACGTCTGGGACTGCCCCGCGGCAAGCAAGGGCTTGACATCCGCCAATCGCAGTTTCCGTTTCGTAATGCTCACTAGAATCCTGCTCTTACATCGTCCGATCTCTCGTTCTGGATATGCTAAAGAGTGGAGGGACACACAAGGTCAGAGACATGAATTATCTTTACCCGTACGAACCAAAGGCCATTCAGAGCCAGTGTGGAGGGCTTCGAACTAGTGTGCCGGAATACTCATCCGAAGGCTTATCCCCCACAACGAGGCACATCCGGGCATGACGCTCAGGGTTCCTGAACTGGTTGGTTCGGATCTCGTTTACGGGTGCCAATGCAAGGTAGCGTGCATGACGGTCCTGAATCAATCGATCGGATTTCTGGACCTAGTATTGCGGACAGCGTTCGAGGCTGGAGTGGCCGCTCCTCATGATGCAAAGTCGTCTTTGTCTCATCATCAGCATAGGAATCCACCACAATGTGCCTGACAGCTCCTAGGCGGCAGAGATACCCGCCTCGTCATTTTCAGCCCCGTTGATGACGCTGGGACACTGCTTCATGCTCAATAAAACGGAGGGCATGTTGCCTTTCTGAATCCAAGCTTCTGTTCCTCACCCAAACCCGATCTTCACCAACCGCGCTACCATTTCACACGGTACAAGATGTCACACCGCAACATCTGCATCACTGCCGTCGACGGCAACACGGGCTCCAGTATCGCTAAGTACATTCTTGAGAATGAGAGCTTCAAGAAGAAGGTCGGCACCGTCACAGGCCTTGCCCTCGATCAGAATGCACCTCATGCCAAAGAAGTCCAAAAGCTAGGAGCGAAGATCATTCAGCACAAGCCAGGTAGAATCAAGCAAATGGTCGAGCTATTGAAGTCCACCGGAGCGGATGCGGTTTGCCTCATCCCGCCGGCTTCGGAGAAGAAATTGGAAATCACACAGGAATTGATTGAGGCGACCAAGAGAGCGGGAATCCCAAACGTGTGTTTCATCAGCTCGGCCGGGTGTGATTTGGCAGATCCACAGAAACAGCCCCGGCTACGAGAGTTCATTGAGTTGGAGGCGCAGGTGTTGGTTGCAAAGGGGAATCCACAGACGGAGGCGGGACATTCACCAGTGGTGATTCGGCCAGGTTTTTATGCCGAGAACCTTCTCTTGTATGCCCCGCAGATATTACAAGAGAAGAGCATTCCATTGCCGATTGGCAGTAACCATAAGTTTGCACCAATGGCTCTAAGGGTAAGTAGCCTTTCCTTCAGTCGTCTGGGAAGTCTAACAGGTTTGGCAGGATCTTGCACAGGTGGCTTCACACGTGTTGACGGGCAAGGGGAAGCAAGGATTCAGTGACAGACACCGCGGACAGTTGATGGTGCTCACAGGTAATTTCTAACGCAACCCCAGCAAAGGCACGCAACTGACATGGGTCAGGACCCAAACTGGTCGCCGGAGAAGAACTTGCGACAGACGTATCCCAGGCTCTGGGTGACGAGCTCCAATTCGAAGACATCTCCGAGTACGTTACACGTCCCATCTCTTCTCGTACCACTCTACGGCCTTCTCGGATATGCTAACATCTCCTTTCTAGGAACGAGGCCAAATCAGTTCTTCAAGAGCAGTCCTCCCTGGATCCTTCTGAAATGCAATACCTACTCGAATACTACTCGTTGGTGAAAGAAGGCAAAACCAATTACATCTCCACAACAGCGTTTCATGATGTGACCGGTCAACATCCGCTAGAACCGCCCGAATTCTTCAAGGAGATGAAAAAGGTGCTCGAGACCGAGGTTGGTGCAGAAAACGGACAGGAGGAGGGCCCGAAGAGCAAGAAGAGGAAGGCGAATGGGAAATAAGCTTAGGTGAATGGTGGCTCGTGTACAGATAATGCTCTTTAAGCTAAAAGCGCTCAAAAGCGCTGCGCCAAGCATGCCCTTAGATATTTATCTGGGTGTCTCTAACCTCTTTTCAACCAATGTCCCAGGAAGCCCGGCGGCTGTCCCCTTTGCCTTATGGTGAAGCAACCGCGTACTGCCTATCGTAGCAGAGCCCGCGCGAGCACCGAGACTTGGCCTGGCAACGTGATTCTTCTGAGAGCTGCCTTGCCAAGACCGTGCCCACCCTTAGATTTCAAGAGCAGCAGCACTGATACGATGAGTACCTTCGTCCACTTCAGTGCCCGTTGGCCTCTCAGCTTCTATTCCCTTTCTCCAGATCCATCATTACTACGGATGTGTCTGTTTTAAATCCGGACACGAGACCCGCCAGCGATAAACTGCAAGACTTCCTGGCACCTATTCTCCACGACCTTCAGATCCGTATCTTCGAGGTTCGAGAGGCCGTTGGCAAGACATGCGCTACAATCACAGATACTTCGAAAGTTCAGTAGCTCCTGGCTCAAGCTAACGCGAACCAGGCTTTCTTCTCGTCTCCCCCTGCCGACAAGCAATGTTCCAGATAAGTTCAAAATCGATCGATCTTTCTCTCTGGCGTGCACTTCGCAAAGAAGAAATGACCGACAGTGCGCCCGAGCATGGCGAAAGTCTTCGAAGCTGGATATGGAAGTCCGAGGAGCGGAATAAGTAAGATCCGGTTGAAGTCACGTTAGTGCCATCTTCAACAGCCAATAGATAGGCCTCGATAATTGGTGACCAATCAGAGACGTGGATGCCTGTCCAGAAAAGCTGTGACTGACAAGATGCCAAGTATTGAAATGACTGTTTGCGCTAGTATCTGGCCGAAGGTCTATGACCAACACCGATATCTCTTTGTAAATTATTCGTAATAACAGCTCGCTGGATAAAAGTTCATGTCAGACAGTTTGCATTTATTTTCATTCGCTCCTCAAGTTCCGATTGTCTGATCAACCGGAACTCATAGATGCCGACTGCCGATCATTTATCGAGTCGGTAGAGTGTCCAGCAGTCAGCCTGTGCAACATCTTCCCGTCTCACAAGATGGCGCAGATTCAGTTTGACTTGACCCGGGCCGAAGAAATCACCCGCTATCAGTTTCGTGATAGAGGGCTTCTTTATGAGGCATTGCAAAGCGCAACCAGAGACCGAGACGAACTGACGGGCGAGATCCATGAGTCGGATGGCAATCGGCGTCTTGCGAAGTTAGGATTTGCCGTCCTGGAGCTGGCGGTGGTAGATGAGTGGTTCAGACGAGGCATGAGCCATCGTGCGTGAAGATCGAATTACACCGTCCTATCTAGCAGTTATACTTACGAAGGTCAGGAGAGCTTGACTTGCTACGGAAGAAATTCCTGGCCAAGGACTACTTGTCCGATGCCGCGCAGCAAAAAGCGTTACATACCTGCCTCTCGATGTCTCAGCGGCAGGAAAACATCGCTGCACCCCCAATGACCATGAAACTGGTCTTGAGTGCCGTAATGGGCGCAGTGTGGCTTGATGCAGACTTGAATCTCAGCGAGGGTCTCAATAATGTGAAGTGGGTTATGCAAACTTTCGGGTCAGTGTACCTTTACTGCTCATGAAGACACTCTATCCACTAGCGTATATCGACAGATTCTTTGACTGGGAGTTCTTGAACGACATCGATTAGAGCAACTATGTACCGCGAGGGTGGAATGTCGAAGGATGATCCCCGCAAGCGTCGGCCGAGCTGGCAGCGTTGATATCTGGATGATCAACTGGGAGAGTTGAGACTCTTCAACTCTCCCAGTTGATCATCCAGATATCAACGCTGCTAGCTCGGCAGAGGCATGCTCGATTTCAGCGGGTATGTCATCTACAGACCTCACCTCTTCTTCCAATAGCTGCTCGTCAGAATCCAATTTCACCTTCAGATCTGCAAGACTGGTCTCCAACCTGTTTCGCTTCCTCATCAGATCCGCGTATGTTAGTTGACTTTGTCTGATCCGCTTCTTCAGTGTGTCAATGTTTCCATGGTGCTCTTTTCTCTTGTCAATCAAACCACGTATTCTCTGTGCTAGGGCTCGAGCCCTCTCTTGCCCGATACTGGTCGCCATCGGAGACTCTTTGGGCCGGCTTGCGTACTGGGCGCAGTCGACTTCCTGTTTGATTCCCAATTGTTTGGTAGACAAGGAAGGGAATGGACTGTTTGAGACAGATTTGGCCGTATTCTCGTGTCTTCGGACCTGAACTCTATCTTGTTCAGTAGAAACGTGCATGGAAGTCTGTCGAGAAGCATGGCGTGCCCCATCTGCGACTGTATATTCCCGCATCGGTTCTCTCCCGAGGAGATCGGGTGGCGCTGAGGTCGCGCGCGAATAGGTCTGAGAGGTCGACACGGAATCGGTAGCCACAGCTGCAATACTGAAGTTCGGCGCTGGGCGATGAGGTATCCATGGTCCACGTCCCTTAGGGGATCCTTCGAGGGGATTGAAGTCTCCAGCTCCCCAAACCCTTGTTCTGGTTCAAAGTCAGCTTTTCAGGTGTGATTTTCTATGAGGAGGTATACCTTTTCTGTTCATGTCTTGACACGCATGCTGGTGATGTACCCTTCCTTTTTGCGCCGGCCCTCTGCATGATATCACATCAAGTCAAGGTAAGGCTCACGAATCAGAAATGGGAGTATTGGAATCCTGGTTGTGCCAAGCTGGTGCATCGATGCATTGCTATTGGAAGTTGCCGATCAAATCGTACGCTAACTACATATGGAGGCATTTGGCAGCCTCATAATATCCTTTGGTCTTCGGTTGGATTTTGGTATATCAGGATGTGATCCATCAGGTCCACGATGGGGGAGAGTCAATATTTGCCTGGTCCACCCGGTTCCGAGGTGAGGATCAAGTTGTTCCGACTGCTTCAGTCTTGCTGATGACTGGTTTAGTTCTTTTCTCCTCTCCTGACTAAAATCGATCGCAGAACTAAAGACGAGATTACAAAAGGTCGCAGTCCGGGATTCCAAGCTCTCGAACAACTGAACGATTTCATCCAAGAGCTCCGATACACGGCACATCGCTCCGAAGAAACGTGGCGTGAAAGTTATGTGAACAGGGATTCACCAACTCATGAAGCAGAAGACTACTTAGAACCACAGATGTTTCCAGAGGATGCCTGTTCAGAACTTGCAGATGTCAACAATCAGGTTTCGCTTGCAACTTCGCAGGACCTATCCTTTGAAGGAGAAAACTCTTTGAATCTGTGCTCCCCATCACATGGAGAGTGCAACTCAGATAATTTTTTGACTTTAACCTCCATCGATCCTCAAGTGATATCAGAAGCCAGCGCATATCAACCTACACCTCCACCTCGGCCTTCTAAAAAGCGCATATGCTTGCCGGAATCACTTGGCGGACACGTCCTTCGCGGAGAAATAACTAAAACGAAATCTAAGGTGAAATCCACGCGTTCTAGTCAGAGGCAAACGAACCAGCCTGAAAGAGGGCGCACCAAGACCATCGCAGTTTGTGCAGAGCTTGACTCTGTGGTGAACAGCCTAATCCTGAGTGTTGCTGGGATCCCGTCCATTATTCAGCTCAAACAAGCACTGCAGGTTCTGAGAGAACGACAGGTGGCGTCGAACATGGGCCCAGCTCTCTCACCTATTAAAGCAATATGGAAACAACTTGATATTTTGGAATCCAGCACTCATGCAAATAATGTCACTCATCGGCTTTGTCTTGTCAGGTTGAACTCACGAAGAAATGAATTGAAAATCCAGTTTGGCAGTGAAGTCAAGCGCAAAAGGCCGGAAACGTCGGTGATCGACAAGATCGCCGAGGAGGTTGAAGAGGAGGACCGAGACAAGGTGAAGAATCGACTCCATGCGGGCGTGATCTGGGACGTGATATGTGAGCACTTTTCAATTGGAATCCTGGCGCTCATACCCACTGGAAAGGCGGACTGTCCCAGCAATGCTACGTAAGTTGTGCTCAAGCTCTGGTTATAACAAGTCTCACGGATGATCAGGATAGAGAAACTGAGCAAAAAGAATCTTGATGACTTTCTCAGACCCGCCAAGAATAGCCGTCATAGCTTCATTAAGGAAGCATCTCAAAAGGCTGAACAGATAATACCATTATTTAAGGGGATGCCTTGTGAGACTGTATTAAAGCTTGAGCGGGCTGGTGTGGGAGAGCTGGAATCTATCCAGGAACAGGACGAACCCAGGGTTCTAGAATTCCTGGATTCAGTTTAAAGCAGAATTGGAAAAATCTACACAATCCTACATTGTGGCTTCTTAAATCCATTCATATTCACCTTCATATGGGCGCTGATCAACCCCGGGCCAGCCACACCAGTTGAGAATAGTGTCGAAATGCAACGCCAGCGCAGGCCTTGGCCTCGTGTATACATTTCCCCCTATGTCTCACCGAGAACTACACTCAGAACTTCCCCTTGCAATCGCAATATAGTGTCCTAAGTTTGTGTCTCTCCTACGATTCTGCCCTTGTGACTTCGGCCTTCTGCATCTTGCCGAACCAGTTGGCGCAATGGATCCTGTTCGAAGGTCCAAGCTGCGGGGACTGTATACGAAGATTCTCGCGGGCAAGGAGCAACTTGGTTCCAACAATGCAAAACAATTCCTAGAGGCAATCATTTCTGAAGAGGATCCTGGGACGTGCATCCAAAGACTGAATGCCAGCGCTACAGGCTTAGGATCTCTGCGCACGGCTTTGGCTAGCAACACATCACTGCCCTTTCTGAATGGAATATTCACAGCTCTCATTCGATATCTGCTGACTCCTGAAATTGTGACGATATGTGGCGGATATCTGGTGCAGCAACTTGCCTCAGCGATTGTCGAAGTAGAAGTAACCTGGAATGCTTATGTTGAAGCAGCAGCCTGTGGGAGCCTGAGCGACGACGCTTTAGACGCTCTGTCCTCGTTCCTTGTCGAGATTCTCTCATCACAGGATACAATCCCTCGCATTATCGAGGCTGGCCAGAACGAGAAGATTCAACAGCGGATGCTTTCCCACCCGACGATGGACGTCCGACTCCGTGCACGAAAGATAGCTCATATGATTGAGACTATCGGAGGTTACAAGTCGGCCACCGTGAATGGGCCCGGCGGGCGTCACGACAATGATTTCGAAGACATACATGCTATCCACATCATGCCCACAGCCGAAGAACTTGCCTCAAAAGATCCATATCTACCACGACTCCAGGACATGGACAACCCCGTTGGACCCACGAGCCTCGCGGCACAATTGGATCGGCAGTTCCGTTTGCTACGGGAAGACATGATTTCTGATCTGAGAGAAGAGCTCGGCCAGCTCAAAGCCCCTGGTAAATCAACTGTTCGAAAGAGGCTGCGAGTATTTAGTCTGAGCCTTGCCGGCGCCCTGTGTGATGAAAAGCGGCAGTGGAGTCTGCAATTCGAATGCCTCATTGGTCTACCTCAAATGAATGGCTTAGCTCCTGGCAAAAAGAAGAAGTTTATCAAGGAGAACCCGAACTACCTCAAAGATGATTCGGTCGGTTGTCTTATGGTAGCCGATCAGTTTTTATCCCTCGCCACCATCTGCCGCGACGAAGTTCTTCTCGACCAGCAACCGCCAGTTCTCTGCCTGAGAATTCCGGAGCCGAGTGTCGGAGACGTGATATCAAACGCGAAATCATCGCTTCCAGTGTCATTTATTCAGTTGAACACCCCACTGTTCTCGTACGAGCCGATCCTGAAGCAACTGAAATCAATCAGAAACCTATCGCTGGCAAAAGAGCTCTTCGCTGGTGCCAAAGATCGCATGGTCAATGAGATCGATTACAAAGTGAACCCGAGACTCCGGAGCATCCTGGAAGAAGTTGAGAAAGACGCCGTCGTCCGGATTGACAAAGTTCTTGGCCTGCCTCGAGAAATCAGACTGGACAAGTGGCAAGCCCAATGCTTCCTTGCTGGCGCGCGACAGAAGGTCTGCACCATCCAAGGCCCTCCAGGTAAGCACCAATAGAGACTGATGGTTGTGAAGCTATCCTCAGAACTGAATATCTGTCACAGGGACTGGAAAATCATTCATGGGCTCTCTGATCGCAAAATCAATCCTGCGCTTCTCGCGTGAGAAGATTCTCGTTGTCTGTTACACGCATCATGCATTGGATCAATTTATCGAGGAGCTTTTAGACCTTGGTATACCGGATTCTGATATCGTGCGTCTCGGAAGCACAAAAAAGGCCACCATCAGGGCAAAACCGCTCTCACTGCGGGAAAATCCTTCAAGTCGCAAACTGACCCAAATCCAATTCAATATGCTACAAAAGGCGAGGGATGCGGTCACACAGAAAGCCCGAGCACTACTACTGGCGGTTGCGCGCTTACAAGGAACGAATTTTTCAAAGTCAGAAGTCTTGGAACATCTCGAATTCCGATCAGAGGGTCCGCCGTTTTTTGAGGCTTTTGAAATACCTTCAATGGAAGGAAAAATGACCCAAGTCGGTAAGAGTGGGCGGAAAGTGGACAGATTCTACCTCCTGGACCAGTGGAGACGAGGAAAGGATGCTGGAATATTTCAACGAACCCATGGCTCCAGATTTCCCGAAGTTTGGAATTTGAAGGCAGCGGAGCGAATTCCGATTTATGAGCAATGGAAGCGAGAAATGATGGAGACCGTGTCAGCACTTGTATGTGAAGCGGGAGAGGCCTACAACAAAGCCCTTGCACAGGTGCGTGCAATCTATATTGAGAAAGACCTTGAAGTAATGCGGCAGAAACGGATCATCGCTTGCACTACAACAGCAGCGGCCATATATGTCAAGCAGGTCCAGTCGGTATCGCCAGGGGTCGTTTTGGTCGAAGAGGCGGGTGAAATACTCGAGAGCCATATTCTCACGGCGATTGGACCTGACACGAAGCAACTGATCCTCATTGGTGACCATAAGCAGCTTCGTCCGAAAATCAGCAATTACAACTTGACGGTGGAAAAGGGCGAAGGATACGACTTGAACAGATCTCTCTTCGAGAGACTCGTGCTTGAAGGCTTCCCACACCAGGTCCTCGTCCAACAACATCGAATGCGTCCAGAGCTATCTGCTATCCTCAAAGAGCTCACGTATCCTGAGCTTTGCGACGCCCCCAAGACCAAAGGACGCCCTGATCTACGCGGATGTACAGACAACCTGATTTTCTTGGACCATCGACATCCAGAAGTGGAACTCGCAGATATACGGGAGTGGAGAGACGGCTACACTCCTTCTTCGAAGAAAAATCTTTTCGAGGGCGAGATGACATGGAAGTGTGTACGATATCTGGGACAGCAGGGTTACAGAACCGACAATATCGTCGTCTTAACCCCGTACCTCGGTCAATTGAGACTGCTGATGGATCTTTTGAGTCAATCGACAGACCCTGTCCTCAATGATCTCGACTCCTATGATTTGGTCCGAGCTGGATTAATGCCAGGAGCATCGGCGGCTCATGAAAAGCCCAAAATCAGGTTGTCGACAATCGGTAAGTGGCAACTAGACAATATCTCCTTAAGCATTTCCATGCAAATTGGTTTCATTAACGAGTGACAGACAACTTCCAAGGCGATGAAAGTGACATTGTGATCGTCTCCTTGACTCGGAGCAATACGAAAAATGACATCGGCTTCCTCTTTTCCCCAGAGCGGGTGAATGTGCTTCTCTCTCGAGCTCGAAACGCCCTTATCATCATTGGGAACTCTGAGACATTCATGGGATCTGCAAAGGGCGGAGAACTATGGAGAAAGGTTCTGGGGATATTCAAAAAGGGCATGCATATTTACGAGGGTCTGCCTGTCCGGTGTCAGCAGCATCCAGCTCACAAAGCCATTCTCAAACTGCCAGATGAATTTGACGAAAAATGTCCCGATGGTGGCTGCGACAAGCCATGGTGAGTCCGTCTCTGGTGCGAGTACCTCTCAGTTGATTGACTCCATCTAGTGAAACTGCTTTGAATTGCGGAGTCCATAAGTGTCCGCAACGCTGCCATCAGCTGTTTGATCATTCGAAAATCCAATGCGAACAAATCTTGGAGATCAGGTGCACGAATGATCATCTTGAACTGAGAAAATGTCATCAGTCGAGCAGAAAGCAGTGCAGCCAGTGTAAAGATGCCGAAGAACGGGAACAGCGAAAACTGAAGCACCAGCTCGACATCCAGGAGAGGCGAAGCCGGCTTGATGCGCTTCATGCCAGCAGAATGGAGAATATCGACCAGCAGATCCAGTCTGTTCGGAACGTGGAAGAAGAGAGGCAACTACAAGAGGACCGCGAAAAGGCTCTACAACAGAGACAACGAGACCTGGAAGATTTGCAACAGTCTCTATCTCAAGAGCCCCCATCGCATGCCGCAGAACCAACCACTTCAATCACAGGAGAGAAGTCTAACGCTCCGCGAACTCCACTTCATAAAAGTCAAGTATGCCCATCACAGTCTCCTAACATTACTCGGCCCGAGCTACAGCCCGCTCCTGAAGACTCCCCAGAATTTGAGTGGCAACGCCAGAAGCGAGTCGAAAATGCAACGAATGACGCGATTGATGCCATCATGGCAATGGCTGGGTTGAAAGAAGTCAAAACAAAGATTTTGGCGATCAAGGCAAAGACAGATGTCGTTAAACGTCAGAAAACCGACATGAAGAAGGAAAGGCTGGGAATGGTCATGCTCGGGAATCCTGGCACAGGTAACCCTAAATTCCAAGGACGAGGAACTTGAACTGATAAAAGAAAGGTAAAACGACTGTGGCAACACATTACGCAAAGTTTCTGACCAGCGTTGGCGCGCTGCACGGGTCAGGATTTGTGGTAGTTACGGGCTCGAGGCTGGCGAACGAAGGTGTCGCTGGGACGAAAAAACACATTGAAAGCCTTTTGAAGTCGGGCGGAGGCGTGTTCTTCCTCGACGAAGCATACCAGCTCACGTCTGGAAATTCTTTTGGCGGTGGAGCTGTGCTCGACTTTCTCCTTGCGGAAATCGAGGAGAAGATCGGTTCAGTTGTGTTTATCTTTGCAGGCTACACAAAAGAGATGGAGAAGTTCTTTGAGCACAACCCTGGCCTCGACAGCCGCTTGCCCCACCGAATGACCTTTGCGGATTACTCGAATGCCGAATTGTTGACCATGCTGGACAAATATGTCGACCAAAAATACGCCACCCGTGCGACTTTGGAAGATGGCACACAGGGTCTCTATGCGAAGATATTAATCGACCGTCTGGGTGCAAATCGAGGCAGACCAGGCTTTGGAAACGCTAGATCTCTCCACAATACCTGGTCGAGGGTGTCAGAACGACAAGCTCAAAGGCTGGTGAAGGAGCGCAAAGATGGACTTTGCCCCGATGACCTTTTCTTTTCAAAAGAGGACCTTATTGGACCTCAACCCAAAGGTGTCATTCAAAACAGTGCAGCTTGGAGAGAGCTACAGAGCATGGTTGGGTTGAAGCAGGTCAAAGAGAGCATCAATAGTCTAGTTGCTGGCGTGGAAAAGAACTATCGTCGAGAGCTCGCTGGAAAGCCTCCCATTCATGTGTCTCTCAACCGAATTTTCATTGGGAACCCAGGAACTGGAAAGACGACGGTAGGAAGGCTCTATGCTTCTATTCTCGCAGAACTGGGATTGCTTTCGAAAAACGAGGGTAAGTTGCATGACCAAATCACGATTCCCCTCGGTTCGAAGGCACCAAAAATTCTTGCTCATTCATTTTTGTTTAGTTATGCTCAAAACTCCCAGCGATTTTGTCGGTGCACATCTCGGAGAATCCGAAAAGAACACCAAGGCAATCCTGAGAGCCAGCGAGGGCAAGGTCCTCCTCATAGATGAGGCGTATGGTCTCTTTGCAGGCGGTGGAGTTGGAAAAGGACAGGCCGATATCTACAAGGTCGCGGTTATCGACACAATTGTTGGCGAGATTCAAAGCACCCCTGGCGAAGACCGCTGTGTGCTACTTCTTGGTTATGAGGAACAGATGAAGGAGATGCTAGATAACTCGAACCCAGGCCTCGCGAGACGGTTTCCCATTAGCGAAGCATTCCGCTTTGACGACTTCGGAGACGAAGAACTTCGACAAATCCTCGACTTCAAGCTAAAAAAGCAGGGCCTTGATGCCACGGACGAGGCGAAAGACGTCGTTATCGGGATTCTATCCAAAACTCGAGATCGTCCCAATTTCGGAAACGCAGGCGAAGTCGAGAACTTGATCGGCCGAGCAAAGGCAAATCACCAAGCGCGGTCGCAATCCTCATCGATGGGCAACGACGATCCTGAGGTGCTATTCTTGCCACAAGATTTTGATCCCGACTTCGAACGAGCATCGCGATCCGGTATCATTTGCTCTAAGATATTCGGCGACCTTGTTGGTGCCCAGGAGTGGACCGGGAAGTTCGAGAGACTTCAGAGAATGGCTCTTAATATGAAAGGTCGAGGCCAGGATCCAAGAGAGCATATCGCCTTCAATTGGGTTTTCAAGGGGCCTCCTGGTAGAGACCAAGTGAACTCATATGTACCGGGGTGGCATCACTGACGGATTTTAGGAACCGGGAAAACCACTGTAGCTCGAAAAGTGGCAGAATTCTACTACGAAATCGACATCTTGTCAACGAAAGAGTACGTCGAGTGCTCCGCGTCCGATCTCATCGCTCAATACGTCGGCCAGAGCGGCCCCAAAACGAGGGAAATGCTCACCAAAGCGCTTGGAAAGGTTCTTTTCGTTGACGAAGCATATCGTTTGTCCGATGGCCCGTTCGGCAAGGAAGCTGTCGACGAACTGGTTGACTGTGTAACGAAACCCCAGTTCAAAGGGAAAGTCGTCGTCATCCTCGCCGGGTATTCGAATGACATCGACCGACTCCTCAACATGAATCGCGGTCTAGCAAGCCGGTTTCCTGAGGAGCTTATCTTCGAGAACTTGAAGCCGGATTCGTGTCTAGAGCTGCTAGAGAAGGAACTCGGCAGGCTTGGAGTCATGATGAGTCTGACCTGTCGAGACACGTCCTCGGACACACATACTCAACTGGTCCAAGTGATTGAGGAGCTAACCAAGTTGCCATCATGGGGAAATGGGCGGGATATCATCACAATATCTAAGAAGCTGATAGCATCAGCTTTCGAGGGAGCCGAGGATTCGTTTGAGCAGCTGGTGGCAACAGAAGCCGACATCCTGAAAGAGCTTTCTGAGATGCTTAAAATACGGAAAGTCCGTGAAGCCAACAAGGAAACAGAACACCCAAGTCCGGTCTTTCAGATGGAAGACGACCATTCTATCTCCAGGCCCAGCTTGTGGCAGAATATCAACACGCCAGACAACGCTGCCATATCAGAAAACGTCATCAGTGCTCATCATGAGGCCCCGACAGAACAGTCTGAGGCGCCTAACGCCAACCATCGCGATCCAGGTGTATCAGATGCAACGTGGACCCAGCTTCAAAGCGACGTTGCAGCGCAATTAGCCGCTGAAAATACCTATCAAGCGACTGTCCTTGACCATGAGCGCGTCATAATCGAACTCGAGGCCTCGTTAAACGAGCACGCGTCAAAGGCTGCAGAGCTCGAACAGGATACTAGTGCTTCCCAGAGAGATCGAGAGACAGTCAACGAACTCAAGCGCAAGCGAGAAGAGGAACGTCTGGAACAGCTCGCCATCAAAAGTCGGAAACGGGAGAAAGAAGAGACGTTAAGGCGGATCAGGGAGGCGGAAGAGGCCAGAAAGAAGTGTGAAGCGGCAGCACAAAAGAAACTGAAAATGATGGGCGTCTGTTGCGCCGGATTTAAATGGATAAAGCAAAAGGGCGGATACAGGTGTGCTGGGGGATCTCATTTCGTCACAGATTCACAGCTTGGACTCTAATGGTGAAATGAACAGCGGTGGTATTTGTGTAGTTTGAAAGAAAACCCGGCTATGACAGTATTTTTGAAGAATCTCCAGTCTCTCCTCTCACACGTAGAACATCGAATTCTGCACGTTCGGATGCAATCTGACCGCATTTGGATCTGGTAACTGCGTCGACTGAGTGCTGGTTGAGCCGCTGTCCGCAATCTCCGGATCAAACAGGCCGCTGAGATAACATCTCGACCGCTCACACACCAAGTCTGCATAATACGCGGGCGGGCAGATGCTGACGGCTTTGGTTGCGCGTCCGAAGAGGTAGCAGAGGTTGTGTGTCAGGTCTTCCAGCATATCAGCAGGGTTGTTGAAGGGTGGTTTGACAGGTCGTCGCCGAAAGATTTCGTCCAGCACAATGTAGTAATGCGCAGGACGAGCGGTTCCCTGGAGAGCGGTGTGGGCTTGTAAAAAGAAGTCCCAGTTTCGAGCTTCAGTGACACCGCGGTCGACAATCGTCCCGTTCCGTGGGTTCCCGGATCTGTCTGCATCGGCTTCTTTGGTCGGGTAGAAGCGAGTATTGTGCCGCTTTCCAACGACGACGATGGTTATATGAGGAAACCCGTTTTTAGTCTTGTCCGGGGGGTATAACTTCTTGCAAGCGGCTCGGAATGATGGAAGTTCTTCCTCGAGAACCTTGTTGTACTGGCCTTCGGAGACACCGTCGCGGTAGACGAGAATATTATCGGGAAGGGACTTGTTGAGCTTTTGCCACAGCTTAAGTCGTGATTCAATCAGCGGCTGAAGGCCCGTAATCATCTCCTGACGGGGAGGTTGAATGAGGAGTTCTGCTGGCCATTGTCCGAGCCAGTTGTCGACTGAAGCCACAATGCCGCTGACACTCGGTGCCGTTTTTGCAGACCCCGGGGAAGGATGTGTAACATCTAAACCAACAATCATAGTTTTTCCTTCGGCCACAATGCCGAGCTTCTGGTTGTCAAGTGAATGATTCCTGCCTCCAAGCTTTAAATTGACCTTTAAAGCGACATTGGCGAAATATTGGTCGTTGTAAGGTTTGACGAACTTTGAACCCACAGTGCAAACGTTGAGTAGTCCTTCTTTGATGTCGCATACAAATTTGACGCAATTGTAGATTCTGGTGTCTTTTGAGGGAAGTATGACAAGCAGGAAGCTTGGTGGCTTCCTCTTCTCACTATTCATGAATAAGTGGATAGACTTGTCGATCTCTCTCTCCACAGTCAAGTGGTCGAGAGTGATAGTCAATCCCGGGGTGTGACTGACGGCGGTAATACCAAGCTCTTTCAATTTTTGGGTAAACCCATCCAGCGCGGTTTGCAGGATTTGCTCAGATCCCCAAGATAAGGCAGACCCACGCATTGAGATTGCGAGGTAAGTCCAATAAGGCAAGCTTGAAGTCGTCGAAAAACGCACGTTTTTCATATTCCAGCTCCCCGCATAAGGGTTTATAGCGCCCTTTCCATGATAGAGGACCCTGGGGGTGTCCAAAACACGGGCGGGAACGCAAAGCAAATTGGGCTTGATCCCAAGACCAAAGTTATTCTGTTCCGTCATTTGTGAGTTACAATGAAGCCCGCAAATTGGAGGGACTCACCAGCGTAGCATTTGTCGGTACCAGCCCCAGTAAGCTCACCCCAGCAGCTGCAATGAACCGGGCGTTCTGCTCTGGTGGACGCACTGCATATCGAATCATGTTCTGCGTTTGAAACGGGCTCAGTTTCGTTGTTGTGTGCTGCCCACTGATAACATCACAGACTTGAGCTGGGAGGTAGGATGGATTTTGTTTGCTTCCCACATTGACCACTGGCAACTTGGTGTCCCGAATGACCAGATTGTATGCTGTTGGGTATTAAGTTAGCGTGTCTCCCATCATCTCTTTTAGGGGGCCTCACTTTGCTTGAAGAAGTTGTAGACGCTGACGTACTCCCCCCGAGTTGCACTGCTGCTGCTGCTGCCTCCTCTAGATCTCTGTCCCTGGTTCTGAGGGCCAGGATCGACACGTGCCAGGAAGAACTTCACTTCCTTCGGACCGGCCCCAAAACTGGGTACTACAGGCCGGTGTGACTGCTGCTGACCATCACGTCCCGATGCGAGGCCAGATATTTGTTTGATGCGAGGGATGAGTCTTCCTCTCCTGTCCTTTCGCTGGATGTGTGTGACGCTCACCGACAAACGCTTCAGAAAATTTTCCAGCTTCAGCTTACTGTCCCCATTCTGAGTTAGGAAGATATTGATGAGCCCTTCCAGGGGCCCTTCTTCAAAGAAAGCACCATACTTGACCTGGACGTTCACAAGAATCCGCGATGTGGCTGCTCGGGTACTCATGAAAAACCCTCGGATTGCTTGTAGCCCTACGCCCAAGTTGAACTTCTCTGTTGTAGCTGCGTTGGAGTAGTGTTTGTGTGCTCCGATGTTCGCAACGTCAGACGCAGCTTTTGGATGATGTCCAATCACAATATTGAGAGCTTGGATCAGTTCATCCTTGGAGCCGAAAAGTGCGCCGCTTTGTGTGGAAGTCACATAATCCACCAATTCTGAAGTGGACAGAGCGGCCGTTTGGCGAAGCGTGATCTGGAACACAGGGGCATTGGTGGTCGGGTCTTGTTCGTGTTCTTGACGATATGGCACCCGATAGTGATCTTGGAGATCCAATTCCACCCTGCTGAGAATGTTCGATTTGAAATCCGTAACGACATCAAGTTCGTGGTCGCTGAAATGGTCCTCGAGCAACAATTGCACCAAACGTCTCGTCTTTCTCGCACCCGGACCTTTACCGCTGCCAATAGGAGCAATATTGATTGAATAACGGTAGAGGAGGAGGTTCCCGTATCCTGTCAATTCGAAATAGTTTGTCCACAGCATTATCTCGTTTCCCTTGGTTCCGAAACCTGGACGTTCCGGAAATGTGTTTGTGAGGGTGGAAGAGCCTTTTGATCGTAGGATATTTGCTTGTATCTCGTCCTCGATTCGCTTCACTGTTGAATCATACGCTATCGCAGAACCTCCATCCACGCTGAAATTTGTCAGTACCTGTCAGGGAAGTCAAATGTTTGATTCCGTACCGATAAACGCTGACCTGGGTTGGAAATCCACTGCCTCTGCCTCTGCCTCTGTCTGAACCTCGACCCCCTCTGTCTAGACCTCGACTCCCTCTATCTAAGCCTCGGCCTCCTCTATCTGAACCCCGACCTCCTCTGTCTGAACCACGACCTCCTCTGTCTGAACCACGACCTCCTCTGTCTGAACCTCGACCTCCTCTGTCTGACCCCCGATCTCCCCTGCCACGCCCTCGAGGGATGAATGGCAGTCCCTTATCCGCACTTTCACCTCTGGATCCTCTTCCCGACATTTTGCAGAAAAGGTGTCGTAAGAATTCAACGTGGGAAGGATGAACAGTTACAAATGTTGAGGTTTCGAGTTGCTAAGAAAAACGATCCCGGCCCAGCCACTGTGACGTAGTGAATTGCTAATAAAGACCTTGTAAGTCTAGGCAACAAGGATTCTCCTGTAATCTGCTGAAAGAAATCTACCCAAGGTGATTAATGGGTAGATGTAGGAGACTCCACTTTTGCGTCCCAATCGAGTAAAGCGCTTTCATTAACATTCATCTCTGCGAATGATTGGGCCAGTTTGAGGTACCCACTCTCCTTCGACAGATGCAACAGATAAATCAAGCTTGACGAGCAGAAACTGTACCTAGCTTTACTCAATTACAGTCAAACCATCCTCATCAGAGATTGAAGTCCCTTTTCCCGATCTTTCTCTCTTGAACCTCATCATGAACGAAACCACCGCGCGCACTCGCAGCTACCAACTGGAGATGTTCGAAAGAAGCATGCAGGAGAACATTATCGTGGCTGTAATAAACACCCAAGAACATGTAGTTCCACGCTGATCCAAAGTGCATAGATGGACACAGGGAGTGGGAAGACACATATGTAGGGACACGATCGAAACATCCAACTTCAACTCACACATATCAGTGCGTTGCTTCGAATAATGGCTGAGCTAGAACGTTGCCCTTTGCACAAGGTCGGTTGCCAGCTTGATATGAAGACCGGAATATAATATGCTGACCGTCAAACTGCTTGTCTGGTTTCTGACGCCTCATGTTGCTCTGTGTGAGCAGCAATATGAGACCCTCCGCATCGGGCTTCCCTCAGCGAGAATCAAACTCCTTGTCGGCAACGATAATGTTGATCGATGGAGTGAGCAGCGCATCTGGGATGCGGCACTGGATGGCGTCCGTGTGATGGTGTCGACCCACAAAATCCTTGAGGACGCTCTTGCTCATTCATTCGTAAAGATAGAGGACCTAGCTCTCTTAGTCTTCGACGAAGGTACAAAGACGTCTTGATCCTGGCCCTGGCCTGAGACTGACTGAGGCATCAACAAGCACATCACTGTATTCGAAAACATCCCGCAAACAAAATCATGAGCAACTTCTACCATCCTAAGAAGAAAGCCGGGTCCCTCGATCAAATTCCACATGTGTTGGGACTCACCGCAACACCCATTGTGCGCTCAAAGCTCCGTGAGATGAAGTCCGTCTCCCTCGTGGTCATAATGTTCGTTGGCTAAACCTTGTCAAGCACGGTCGAACGCAACCTTGACGCTATTGCTGTGACACCGACACTCCATCGTGACGAATTGTTTCACTTTGTCCATCGGCCAGACTTGGTCCCTCTGGTTTACGAAACGGACCGCCTGACCAATGCCAGTACTGCTCTGGAGAGGCTGCAACAAATATGCTCTGCTCATGCTGTCTCTTCGGATCTACTGGCATTACGATCCGAAGTCCCACCCCAGCCTCCGTGGAAAGAGCAACTTTCCAAGTTTCGGACCAAGGCACACCATGTTCTGAACGAGCTCGGGCCTTGGGCCACCGACTTGTTCATTCTCGAATCGATCAAGGTCTTAGACGAGTCGGTTGCGGACAACACTGGCCTCTTAGTCAGCTGGACAAATCAAGAGCATCAAATTCTCACGAAACTCCTCTGTAAAGATCCCGTGCTCTCGCAGCTTCAGCACAATATTGCCCCGAGTGGTGACAAAGTTTCAAAGAAAGTCGCCTGTCTACTATCTTACCTTGGATCGAGAGACGCGAGCCAAAGCACAGCTATAATATTCGTTGAACAACGAGTGATCACTGGTCTGCTGAGCCAGCTCCTTTCCGCCCATCCATCCACCAAGGGGAGTTTTCAGTGTGCGGCATTTGTTGGCATGTCTCAGAATCAGAGTAAAAAGTACAGTTTGCCAGAACTGCTCAACCTGAAGGAACAGCGGCAAACCCTCGCCAGTTTCCGTACGCGAGCCAAAAATGTGATTGTTGCAACCAATGCCTTGGAGGAGGGCATAGACGTACAAGCATGCAACCTTGTCATCTGTTTTGACCTCCCACAGAACTTGAAGTCCTTCATTCAGCGGCGGGGCCGGGCTCGACAGGAAAAGTCCGTGCTCGCGCTCATGTTTTCGGAACAGGCATCCCAAGATAGGCTGGCAGAGTGGAAAAACCTCGAGGACGACTTACAGCGCATGTATCAGGATGCCTCAAGATTGAGAGTTGAAATACTGCGTCTCGAGGAGAGTGAGCAGGTGGGCTACTTACTCAAATCACGAAGTACCAGGTAAGTCAACCCAGTTAACGGCGAATACCTCTCTGAGAAGCGGACAGTGCAATGCTCACTGCCGACGACACTATGGCCCATCTACACCACTTCTGCGGTAAGCTGCCGTCGGAACCGTTCTCCGACATGCGGCCGATGTTCTCATACAAGCAAGGGCCGCCTGGATCGGAGGAGATAACTGCCACCGTCACCCTCCCAAATTGTGTAGACGCCTCGGTTCGTGTTGCCACAAGTCTTCATAAATGGAAGACGGAGAAAAACGCAGCGAAAGACGCCGCGTTTCAAGCTTACGCCGGGCTGTACTCTGCCGGGCTGCTCAACGAGAACTTGTTGCCACTTTCCCATGACTTCGAGATGCATTTAGACCTCTCGGACAAGCTTGGATCCCAAGTCAATATCGAGATGGAATACAATCCGTGGCATCTTGTCGCTGAAGCCTGGTCATCGACACATATATACGACCTTGTCGTGCAGTTTAATTTTCATGAACACATCGAGCGACCACCCCTCAAAATGAGGCTCGCCTTACCCTGCGAAGTGCCTAACCTACAACCACTGAGGGTGCAGTTGGCTGTGGATGCAGCTGTCGATATAACATTTCCTCACGATTGCAGACGAAGATTCATCACTCTGACCGAGAGGGACCTCATGAGGAAGGCGACGCATGTCATCAGCCGCTCAACGCATTCTGACTACAGTTCGGACCACAGAACTGATTTCCTGGCTCTTTTCACCCCAGTAATGGAAGACGCGATGCTACAGGTCTGGCTTAATGCTAACAAAGGGAGGTTCAAGGCAACGGAGCTTGTGAACATCTCTCGCAACCTGATCCCACGTGGGTTCGTCCGGCACTCGACAGATGGACGACAGCCCCAGATTTTCAACTCGTGGATCGTAAATGAGAATACAGCTTCTTCAACATCACATCACATTGCATGCACTCTACTTCCAAGTCGAAGAAACTTCATGATCTCTCTATCCGAGGATTGTGCGGAGGGAAAACCGAAGACGAGGAGCGACAATAAAGAAGAACGCCCGAAGCTCAACTACTATCCGCTCGAGGAATGTACTATAGACCGTCTCCCTGTGCAAATCGCACGGCTCAACATTTTGCTCCCCACGATCCTTCAACAAATCGCGAACGCGTGGTTCGCAGACCGGATGTGCCAAACAATTCTGAAAGAAATCCCATTCCGATCCCGAGATCTCGTCATCACTGCCATCACCCCACCCAGCGTGCAGTGGTGTACCAATTACGAGAAGCTTGAATTTCTCGGAGATTCGGTTCTGAAGATGATCGTGACTGTGCAGCTGTACGACCGCCACAAGAATTGGCCAGAAGGCTACCTTACGTTGAAAAGAGCTGTTTTGGTGTCGAACCAGTATTTGGCCAAAGCCGCGTTGAAAGCAGGCTTGTCTGCATTTATCAGGACGACTCCCATTTCCTGGAAGAAGTGGTCGCCAATATTCATATCGGACGTGGTGGCCAAATCGCCAACCGCCGCCCGAACGGTCCGCATGAAAGTCCTGGCAGACGTTGTTGAAGCCCTCATTGGGGCTGCTTTTGTCGATGGAGGTTTCAACTTAGCGGAAACCTGCATTCGTAATCTGCTCCCTGGTCTGGAACTTGAAGAGATCTCTTTCGCTGTCCAGGCACATAAGGAGCAAGTGATCGCCAATCAAAACCGCCTGGAAATAGTTATCGGATACAAGTTCAGCCATCCCTGTCTGTTGGTCGAGGCGTTGACGCACCCTTCCTGTGAAAGGGATCGATATTCCCAATCATATCAGCGTCTTGAGTTCCTTGGAGACGCGGTACTTGATTTAATCATCGCGTCGCAGCTCATGGCGCACAAGACGGCGTCTCTATCACCAGGAGCGATGACCCGCATAAAATCAGCCATGGTAAATGCCCATTTGCTGGGGTTCTTCTGCATGGAATTCTGTCGTACTGAAGAATTTGAATCTGTACAACGACAACAACAAACGAACGGGACTTTTAGGATTGAGAGAGAAACAGCCGATATCCGTCTATGGCAACTCATGCGCAGTCACAGTGACGCGGTCCAGGATCATCGAATTAATAGCCTCGATCGATTCGAGAAACTTGGTGCGAGCATTCGACGGCAGCTGGACTGCAGTTCAGAATATCCCTGGCTTGACTTGTCCATGTTGCGGCCTGAGAAATTCTTCTCTGACATTATCGAGAGCCTGATAGGAGCCATATACATAGATTCAAAGGGGTCTCTCGAAAAATGTTCATCTTGGCTCGATTACATTGGTGTCAACAAATATCTCCGGCGCATCTTGGACGAAAATATTGATGTCGTTCATCCAAGGACGAAAGTGGATTGGAAGACAGGTGCACAGTCTACTGAGTACAGAGTCAGCAAGATGGTTGAACCGGCGGAGAAATTTCAGTGCGTCCTGTTAGTTGACGAGAAGGTCATCGTTCAAGTTGACGGCTACGATACTTCTGATGTTTCAATTGTTGCTGCTGCTCAGAAGGCGCTCAGTACCCTTCCCTGATATGTCTGCAGTTTATTCTGAGTCGAAGAAGTTGGTACAATCTCTAATTCACAAAGTCTCAATTACCAGGGTCGGAAGCTGATGGTACCCCCTCCCCCAACACTTAAATCACAGCAGTCTTGCGATACTATAAAACTATCTACTTCTCTCCAAGCCATTTAGCCCGCAGCTCTGGGGGAAGAACATCATCGTCTGACGGATGGGACCAAACTGCCAACCTGCCTTTTGCAACCCTGCGGGCCTCGATTCTCCCGTTCACCTGCTTCTCAGCGAGGACATTGAGCAGAGTCAATACTTCCTTTAAACGCTCCAAGATTTCTTGGTTGTCATTCTCCCAATCTTCCACAGCCGCTTGAATATCCTTGATCTGGACGTCCTTGAAAACACCTCGATCGTGGTAGGCGATGATGAAGTTTGGGGCCTGACTAACCCACAACCGGGCATGTATTTCATTCATGTCGATACGGTTATGGGATGCTCTTGTCTTTAGGTCGAAGATGGACTCTTGTGGCAAGACTTCCCCACCTTGACATACTGTCAGTGTTTTGGAATCGGTGAGGCCTGGAGGGACATCATCCGGAAAGGCTTTGGTACGTGCAAAGGCAGAGGCAACGTCCATGCCATTCCCAGACGCGGCCGATTTTCCAGGGACTTTCATCGGATGGTCGTCTTCCAGCTTCCGTGGGAGATATCCGTCTGTCTCAGCTCTGATGATAAGATTCATCCCCCCGAACGAATATGACACCAGCCGTTGATGAGACTGTGAGCCAATACAAGCTGGGTCCCAGTTGGTATAAGCTTCGGGAAACGTATGCCCATAGCCACGGACATGTGGAATGGTTTCACGAGGATTGCTTTCCTTCCTGGTCAGGAACAACGTGTTTCCCACCTTCTCAGCCACGAATCTGAACGTCCTGTCTCGCTCCCCAACAAAGGCGAGCAAAGAACCCATCGTATTGCCGCACGCAAAGAAATCAATCCCTTGTCCATCGAAGTCAGGTTTCATCGTGAAAATGGCGCGAACGGCAGGCTCCGTTGGATATGCGGCATATTGGGAGGCGTTCTTATCTCTGAAGTATGTCCCTCTGTCCTGCTTTAGAGCTGGAGCATGGACTGGAGGTGCCCATCTTGGTGGGCTTCCTGGGAGCAATCAGACGAAGTCAATTGTGAGGAGGTCCACGTACCTGGAACCAAGATTGTCGGCTTGTCTCTTGCCAACCAATTGTACGAGGCTACGTAGGAGGCATCAATAACCTTAAGGACGTCGTCTTCCTCCCCGACCTTGAGAGCGGAGGCGGGGATGGTCAGCAAATGCTTCTGGGATGGAAGTATTGGAGGGAGTTCTGAAAGCGGGCGTTTGTCCCAGTTTGGGCAAGAAGAATGAGTCGCTGCCATCTTTGAATCTGAGCGGCGAGGTAGGTGGTTGCGGAAGAGAGACAGAGGTATGGAGAGATTTCCAGCGCAAACGATCGAGGTGAAGCTTTTCTAAGTGTTCTAAGGTACCGGCTTGCTAGCTAGAGCGAGACAAGTCGAGACGGAGGAGAAGTGTGTGTCCACTTCGTCAAAATCCTGCTTAAGCGACTATTAGGTACGATTTGGGTCCAATCACCTCCGTAATCTATATGTCGCAGCAGAAACCAACCTCTTGCCGTCCTCATCGCCAGCTGCCCGCTGTTTCCAGGCATTCCGTGCTGTAGATTTTATTGTATAGGTGTATTCCCCGTGGAACGTTCCTACGACCAGGCTACTGTATGTCAATTCGGACATCGAGGAACTCCTTGCCAGACGGGAGAAAATCGTCTTGGAGGACATCCTGAGTCCCGGAATGCAAGGATGGGGTTCAAATGTCATGGAGCAGGTACATACTGTAGAACGACTTGCTCCCATCATCCCAATGAAGTCATATTTGGCCGGTATTTGGCACGATCGACCATCTCTATCTTAATTAACACTACCGATACCGGAAATGATCCTGAACCCAAGGAGCCCTTGGCTTTATCTGAACCAGTCTCCAAACCCTTTGTAATGGAAGAGGGTTGAGGTGTTACGTATAGCCATGACTTTGTGAGTCGTTTCGGCATCCTAGGATGTTGAAATGCGGCATCAGAGAATTGGTCTCGAGAGGATCGGCCTGCGCTCCAAATAGTTGTCGAGTTGTGATAGACTGACTACTCCAAGGGTTACCTCCCTCAAACATTATGTGAGGTGGTCTTACCACCTTTCCAGATCGCTGCGATCTCTAGGACCTCCTACTACAGCACCCCCTGAACCCCAAAAGATATAAATGATAAAAACAAGAGAAAATAAGGACAGTAGGCTCTGCCGCAGCAGGAAAAGGTCGAACCCCCCCAAACAAATGCAAGTCAACGATAAGGAACTGCCACATTGTTGCACAGCCTCAATAAGAAGAGATCCAAAACAGAACCTCTTCGGGAAGAGACAAAATCTTGATACTCTGGTTCATAGCTGTATTTTTTTGCATAATCTTAATGGAGTCCATAATGCTGATAGTAGAGCACATGGGACGTTCCATTCTCCAATCTGGTATCTCGAATCGATTTAACTTCAGCGTGGATTTCATACCCCGATTTCCAGCTTAAGCAACTATACTTCAGTCACGAGTAGCTTGCTTTGTCATTCTATTTGTCTTCTTGTACAGTGCAACGCTCGTCGGCGGGTCTCAAGCTGGTATTAAATTATGGCCACAATTGCACAATCCCCGTTCCTCTTTGATGACCTTGATGATGACTCGGCTGATCTTATCCTGCAGCTTCAACTTCACGACCTTGAGGAATTTAAGCAATCAAGAGCCGGCAAGCAGCGGGAAGGTAGCGGAAGCGATGCTGAAATTGCAGCGGGACTCCTGGAAGAGAGTCTGGGCGACCTTCGCACATTCCTAGCAGACCGTCGAATGACAAAAAGCATTGCGCGGGCTGTCCAAGCTGATGGGACAATCCTTACACAAAATGCTCTCGCAGAGGAGGCAGCGCTTGAAGATCATGCATTGGCTCACCGATTGAATGGGACCAACATTGATTCGGAAGTCAAAATCCCTTCAAAGTCGATCGACGATACGACCTTGTCGAAACTTGCTGGCCTTTATGTCTCTGAAGCGCTCGGCCAGACGCTAGCAAATTGCCATATTGGACCAGACCTCGTCCAGGGGGCAGATGAAGAGCCTGAGACATCGACACGGGCTGCCATGCGCAGAGATACCCGCGATGGCAATCTCAATCGCCACTGCGAAGCCTGCCGTGAGCCGAAGAAGTATTTCGACGTTGTTGCCGCTCCATGCAACCATGAATATTGCAGAGATTGTCTCCGCGATCTCTTTGACGCATCATTGACCGATGAAAGTCTTTTCCCCCCTCGGTGCTGCCGCCAGAGTATTCCTCTCGATGCCGTGAGCATATTCTTGACAAGTGAACTGAAACGGGAATTTCAGCAAAAGGAGGTCGAGTTCAGCACTCCTAACCGCACATACTGCAGCCGAACGGAATGTTCACTTTTCATATCAGCCGAGAATATCGTTGACGAAATTGCCAATTGTCCCAGCTGCGCCGCTCGAACATGTACTATTTGCAAGTCAGAATCACACGAAGGCCAGGACTGCCCTGGGGACACTGCGCTTCAGGCGACAATGGATCTTGCGCGAGAAAACGGCTGGCAACGTTGTCATTCATGTCGACGACTGGTCGAACTGGATATAGGCTGCAATCATATAACGTTCGTTTTACGCTACGTTATTTCTCTTCGTGTGACTAACCCTTATAGATGCCGCTGCGGGCACCAATTTTGCTACGTCTGTGGAGCACGCTGGAAGACGTGTACATGTCTTCAATGGAACGAAGACCGCCTTTTAGCTCGAGCAAATCAAGTGGTTCAGCGAGACGTACCGCAACTTCCAGCTAATAACCCAGATCGTATTGGGCGAGTGCAAGAGGCAGCGCAGATACTTCGAGATCGACATAACTGCACGCACCAGACTTGGCGATATATACCTGGACCTCATCGGTGCGAAGAATGCTACTGCCACCTTCCACGATACATATTTGAGTGTGGACAGTGCCGCATCCTGGCGTGCAACAGGTGCAGGTGGAACCGACTTTAGTCCTTGTCAAAGATTCCTGTCGAGGAATGGAGAGGGATAACCCGAATATGCTTGGAATATCTGTCCTTTCACGATGTTCACGCAACAGCACAGTTGTTCGTCTTTATTCTGGGAGAGTTGGATCTTTCACAAAGGTGGCAGAGTTGCAAGTCTACTCCAAGAAACCGGCAAGATATCTCGCAACACATTAGACCAAGAAGACAGTAATCTTGTTCTGGGACATTTGCTTCGCAAGGTCTTTTGTTGAAGCCTGTGACCCAGCAGGTTGCTATAACTCCCCAGAGCAAGAGCGCTTGAGAATAGAAATGCGTCAAAGAAGGAATACTGGGGGCTTCTGAAGCTCTCCCACCAAAAAATCAACGGCGACGATATTGTCGATTAGATCAGAATAGTCTCTGTTTGTCCACGACCATGTCCCAACCATCATACAGCACCGTGACGCAGCTTGCAGGTGACTCAATTTTATGCCGAATTCGAGAAGACAACAGCTATTTCACTCTTTCCCATAATCAAAGCTGGTACTCGAACAGGTTAAGACACAGGGGAGGTAAGAGCAAAAATTCTTGTGGCCACTGTCCTGATTCGATATCAATTCCTGTGAACAAGCCTTGATCTTATTCTAGACGTATGGTCTGGTACAGCCGATTCCCGGTATCTGTTCCACCACGGCCGGTGAACTTGTTGTTAGAGAACCGGAGGGCAATGAGATGGATTCTTTGATGATGGGTTGTCGTCTTTAGGGCCTCCAGTTTCGCGACCGCCTCATTTTGCACCACTCCCGCCATGATAACAATGCGGGCAGCTGCATTTAGAATCTCCAAGCGACGGACGAAGTCGATGACGGTCTGTCCACTATTCACCACCGAGTCCACGAGAATAATGGTCGAAATTGCATCGACGTGTTCTGACTTGACGTCGTCTGCGCGATGTGCATGTAGGAATGAGGCGGCAGGCAAAATCTCACTGACTCCTAGGGCCATCGGCTCCCCCCCACGCATCAATGCCACAATGAGTGTTCGATCTTGCTGCGCAATTCGAGTGCCCGCAAAGGAATGTCCTTGCACATGCTGAATCATGTGCTCTTCAATCCCAAGCAAATCCGGCAATGTTTGGAGAGCTAGATACCGACCAGTCCGCCCGTGAGCATCTCGAAGCGACGGGCCACTGTTGGCGACATCACGCATAGGCGTGGCCAAGATTTTGGATATGCGAGAGTCCGTAAAGTGGATAATGTTCAGCAGAGGAGCGGAGTAGCCAGGAAAGATTCCATTCCAGAATTCAGGGCCGTTTAGGTCTATCAGGGGTAGAATGATCGTATTCAGCCGTGGAGATGCCCCCCGTGCCAGGACGGCTTGAAAAGCGGAGAAGCGACCCTCGTTGATAGCCTGGGCAAGTTCTCCTTCCATGCGTCGACTTCGTGTCTTATCGTCACCAACAATGACCACCGCTCGGTCGGCCCGCGCAAGCATGTCTAAGTCCAAGACACCATCTCCCACGGCGACAACATGGAGGTGATGATGCTGTTGGAGACGCGCCACCAGACTTGCCTTGACTTGAGATGTAATGACTTGGGCGCCAGTCAAAGGACCTGAACCGATGACTTTGATTGTGTCGAATAGGCCGTGTCTTCTCAAGACCTTCTCCCATACCAAACGCAGACCACATGTCACGACCATCGAGACGGCCTGTTTGTCGGTCTGCAGCTTCATAAGTAGCGCTGCCACCTCAGGGTACAATGATATTTGTGCTGCGACTTCCGTGCAAATATCACTATAGGTGTTCTGATCGACCAGTTCTTCATACAACAGCGCCGCCTGAAGAAACGCGGCACTAGTGTAACCCAGAGGCCCGCCGAATATTGTTTTCAAATGATCCTTTTTCACCGAAGGAGCTTCACGTTGGTTAACAGATTGCCAGAATAAGTGGCCCGAGTCTGCAGCAGACAATGTTTTATCGGCATCCAGGACCAAGGCAGAGACGATCGGTCTTGTTGGTGAGCCGATGATACCATCTAGCAATTCTTCGGCTTCTCGTCTATGGCTGTTCTGGTCCCGGTGGAGGAATACTGTCAGCAATTCAGCGACTTTGGGCGCTGCTCGCTCTTGCCCTATTGCATGATAGATAATGCCATTTTGGTAACAGACCAGTCTCAATTGCATTTCTTCGTCACGTTGCCACTGTCGCAGTTGGTCGACGGATAGATCTGGTCGATCTTTGGTAGTATCATGGAGGCGACGGTCGCGGATAGTCTCCACCGCAGTGTTCAGATAGATGATATGAGTGTATGTTTCGAGGTCTTGCTGCGTCCACACGGAGATACAACGTTCGTCCGTGCTCGACCAAAGCATGAAATGCCCGGTGACGATGGCGGTCTTACCATCATTGAGACAGTCGGCCACAATGGTTTGCATGGCGAGCTCACGTGTGGAACGCTTTTGGAGTTCATCGCTGGCTTGAAAAGCCTCCAGACCACCTCGAGTCAGTTTTGATATTACCTCCGAGCCCTCTGTCAAGATGTAATCGTGACTGGAGATTTGCCGCAACGCGTTCAGTACAAATGTCTTTCCAGAACCGGAGAGACCATAAATGCCGACTACAGCGGGACGGCCGATTGGGCAGTTTTTGAAGTCGATGTGTTTTCCTCCTGACATTTTCTGGATTTTCTGGAGGTTTGAAATGATTGAACGAGTCAGACAATCTCAGTTCTGGCCAGAGGGCAATGTCAGGAAGAGGCAACCTTTTTATACACCATCCTACACTTCGCATGTGGCTGAAACTCTTCTTCACCACAGAAGCCCTGATACGCGTTCATCATTTAGGCTGCCAGTCCACCAAATCATAGGCACTGACGATTTAGTTGAACGAGAATCAAGCGAATTGTTTGGCAGTCTTCCAGTAACTGTGGAGACGCACATGCAGCTGAACGGCCAGTACAGACAGATCGCCAGAAATCTACCACTTGGATATGCGTCCCTCATGCAAGCCAAGGGGCTGGGCTCTTAGAGCTATCATGTCGGGGAGGCATCCTGATGGTGACCCGGGCGTTTGGACTTAGAGCAGATTCCAGCGGTACTCATGGGCCAGCCGTCAGGTCTTTCAGGGCGCTTGTGTGATATTTGGATTCGCATCATGCGAGCCCTGGATCTCCTCGAAGATGCAAAAATGTTCAGATGTCGTTTCTCACTCGAACCCAGCCCCAGGCGAGGGAACACTCCAGCGGACTCTGGGGAATCAATGCCTTTTTCTCCCAGACACGCATGGGCCCCCTCTTTGCCAGATGTCTGGCCATCAATTTCTAGATTTCGTACCTCGGATCAGGGGCCGTTTTTCTTACAACTTCCATTTCGATCCTCCCCGAGACCGCCAAGATGCAGGCTCTGCATCTTCAAAAAAATAGGCAGGCAGCCTGCTCTACTGAGGACCTGCACGCTGTTGTGCAAGAAGGATGACTAGGGCTTCTGCAGAGCCTTGTGTTCGAAATAAGCTGAAAGCTTGCCGGTGGGTGTGTCACTAGAGAATGCCCAGTGGTAGTGCCGAAGAAATTCCACAAGTTTGTTGTCCATTTCCAACATAAGCTTCCGAGCTTCGTCTTCATCCTGCACGGTTGTCTCGGTTTCGAGCTCAACCTCACCGACCGTATGGCCAAAGTCGGTTCGATCCAACACAATATTGTATTCCTTGTCTGCGATCCAGGTTTGGCGACACGTGGTGAAACTGGCGAAATAGCTTAGACCAAAGGTTTTGGACATGCCCCAGTCCAGTCCAGTCAGCGATTTGACTTGCGCAGAGATGACATCTGGATCCTCTATTTCCTCGAATTGTGAATTTATGTATGTGCCACCTCTTCTAATCTTCATCTGCCACTTCGCATCTCTTTGCCTTACCCAAGTCCCTGCTTTCCAAAGTCGCCCGTGGGAATCATAGTAGATGTCACGAAATCTTCGACAACCAAGATCACTCAGGCTCAAAAAGGGCGGCTTGCCAGAGTCAATTCGTAGAGGGTAACATTTGAGAGCTGCAAATTTTCTCTCTACCTCCAGCAGGATCGTCGAGGGATTGCGAACCATTGCGTCGAGGGAAGGGGCGGCTTTCGATTTCCAGAGTGAGACGTGAGACGCGTCTACGCGTAGGTTATATAGATAGCAACTATGCCGATACTATCAACTTAGCGAAGTTTATTGGATGCTAGTGGGTGGCTAGCTAACGTCCCCAACCGATTGCAGTAGTCTTCACCCAATGACGTGAACAAAAGATTCTATGGGTGGCACCCACGTGGCTCCAGTGACTTTCTCTCCCAGTGACTTAGTCCAACCAACGTATTGATCGAGCGACTCGTGTTTTTCCCAGTCAGTCTCGGGATGCATTTCGGACACGTTTTGGAATTCTGTGCTTGACCCCCAGGCCCGGTGCAGTGGTGCTTCGGGCTCCGTCTTGAGAGTTTGGGAGATTACACTATCGGTCACGAATACGATACGACAACTGCCGACACAACATGAGGCGCGTGGCGATCTGGTAGACACATGCGGACAAGCGCCCAGCCAACCAACTGGTTCGCTTGATCCAATTCGGTAGGTGTTCGTACCTACACGACTATTCGTCTTCAGGCGGCATGCGAGAGGTTGAACCCATCCGTCTCACCGTCAGACTTGCGTCGTTGCAATTTCTGTTTTCGAATTGAAACGAATCAGGATCGTTCCAGGAACACAGCCACACGTCGACATGTGGGAGAGTTCCTGTGCTGCGAGCCGTGAATGTCACCTTCTACCCGGGCATCTGCTCCAGAAAATGTGGCGGGCATATCGTATAAGTGCCGGTCTGCTGGACTTTGTATAGAGGAAATAAGCTTGCGTGACATTTGCCTCCTCTCCGTAAATTGCTGACTCTGACACTTCTTTCGCAGACTTGCAAGTGAGGAGGCTTGCTGACTGATGCCATATCGTACCAAAGAGGTTGAAAGAACGACAGTTATGAAGGTTTGCGGAACTGAGCCGGTTTTCACGGCTCAAAAGCACATATATAGATGCGGCTGGCAATTGCCCGCTCAGCTCTGTCGCATCCTCGAACATCTCTACTCGACAGGCGCGCACGACTGCTGACCCAAGCACACAACAATGAGCTCTATACCAACACCAATATCACTGCAAATCATCGTGGTCGGTGGCGGCATCTGTGGTCTCTCCACCGCCATCGCCCTTCGCCGGGCGGGTCACCATGTGACCGTGTATGAGAAGTACCCCGCCAACGCGGATGCTGGGGCCGGGATTGTCGTAGGCGCCAATGCTGTTAAGATCCTGAAGCAGTGGGGTCTCGATCTGGAGGCAGCTGGCATGCTCAAATACAAGGCCGGCTATATCATTGAAGGCAAAACGCTCAAGGTGCTAGACATTGTCTATGGAGAGGGCAGCCATGTGAACGATGAGAAGAGCAATGGCGAGTCAAGTTACATGACTACAAGATCTGACTTGAGGTCGATGCTGAGAAAGGAAGTTGAGAGGGACGCACCAGGGCAAGGCACTATTGAAGTCCGGTATGCGACGGAGATCCTGGATTATGACCCAGAAGCACCAGCGGTCAGGTTTGCGGACGGGAGCTGGAAATCAGCAGACTTTGTGGTCGCGTGTGATGGGATTAGGAGCAAAGCTGCAAGAATTGTGTGCGGCAGAGCCAATCCACCAAAGACCACAGGTATTTCGGCTTTCAGAATGCTGATACCAGCTGAAAAGCTGACCGAGGTCGAGGAAAAATTCAAACACGAAGATCTGATCCGAGAAAAGTTCAACGAGGACAAAGGCACGATCTGGTTTATCCGTGGAAAGGACAGACTCGCCGTGTGGTGGACGTGTCGCTTTGGCAAGATTCAAGCCTTTGATATATACATGCCCGACAACGAAAATTATGCCAGCAGCGAGGATTGGACAGCCAGATGCAACAAGCAGGTTCTTCTTGATGAGTTTGGGCAGTGGCATCCATTGTTCGCGGAGATGTTCAGCACCGCCGATGACGATCCGATGTTGTGGAAAGTGTGTGCCAGAGAGCCTCTGGACACCTTGCACAAAGGAAATTTGTGCATGCTGGGCGATGCCTTACACTCGATGCCTCCGTTCCGAGGGCAAGGAGGCAGCCAGTCCATCGAGGATGCCGGAGTTCTCGAAATGATCGCAGCCAACATCACCGACAAGGCTGACCTGCCGAAACGGTTCGAGATATTGGAAAGGCTGAGAGTTCCGAGGTATTCCTGTATCCAAACGGTCTCCACGGTCCGCCAAGACGAGGTCAACATGGAAGAACGCTATCTCGAGGTGTTTGATCAATGTCGAAAATGGTTTGGGGGAGAGGATCAATCTCACCGTGAGTTGGATTCCCGACTGAGTAGATGAGCAGGACACTAAAAAGCATAGTGAGCAGCAGGTCAGCTTTTCAACGATGGATGCTTTCCTACGACGCCCGAGAAGCAGCACGAAGAGCTGTAAGCACAGCTGTGTAGGTATGGTGCCAACACGGAAAAAGGAGGGTATGGTACTGTAGAATGCCTGTTGTCGCCCATGGCGGGACTTTTCCTATTCCGGCGCGCCAAGAGCCGCGAATGTCTGTCATTTGAAATTGAAATGAACCAGCATGTCAGTTGATAGAATGTGCCGTCACTCCATTTTTTCCACATCCAATATAGTCTTGATATCCTCTGAAGTACAGCAATTATGTCAGACCAGCAAGACAGCCGCCCGGCGAAGCAGCGGCGAATCCACGGGACACCACTGCTTGGGCAGACAAGCCCTGGGGAGGATGACGAAGACTCTTCGAGTTCCTCTTCATCCTCGTCCGTACAGCTGCCGACGACTCGCCTTTCTCACCGGCCGCTGAAGGGCACCAACTTACCACTTATGGAGAGTTCTTCTAGTGACGAAGAAGAAATAGACGACGAGGACGAGGACGACAACGAGACGACATCGTCTTCAGATTCTGACGATTCAGACAGCGAGGAGATGTCAGAGGAAGAAGAAGACGAAGAAGAGGGTGAGGATGTCGAGGACGGTCAAACCGCACGTTGCGCCGTGCCACCCAGTCGAGAGTCGGACCTCAAATCTCGATTGCAGTCATTCCTGCCGCAGCTTCAGCAAGCAAATAAGGAACTCGAGAACTCGAAAGAAGTAGCGGACAAACGGATTGACCATGTGTCGGACGATGCCGAGCACTACATCGAGATGGAGGTGGGTTTGGGTGTCTTGTCTGAGCAGGACGACGGTGCCACTCAAATACGACTTCCGCATTTACCCTCCAGCGACGAGGAGGACAATGCCGAGGATGACGAGATTAATGATGGGCAAGACGGTATGGGAAACAGTGTGTTGTCTCGATTACTTGGTGCGAACGGGACAAAGGGGATCAAGCGAAAAATCGAGGAACTGTGATCCAGGGACTGAGGCTTTTTATAATTGTTGATAAGGAGTCTGTGCGGGGAGTGGCGTCTGGGGCAAGGAGTCCGTGGGAGGCAGCAACATGGATGTCACCGATGCTTATTATTATTGGCCTTCTACCGAGTACAGAGTATGAGGAACTTGACATGTAATAATAAAGTCGTTACCGGGAAATCCGCATCACTGGGCCCACGTCTGGGACTAATAGTGAGCCCACTATGTCAAGAAGCTCTGTTTGCACAACTTGAAGTGGTGGCAGAGGATCTGCACGGTTCAATATATAAGTGTTTGACAGAGTAGACGACAAGGAATGTAGACAAGGGGGCGTAGGACTATTCCTAGGTACCCTCTCAAGCTAGGGACATAAGTACGCGTAGTCCGAGGCCATCACGCTCATGGAAGAACCGACTCGCTCTCGCAGGGTGAAGGAGGGACCGTGCCCGTGGTGCCTTCCCAGGGGACCCCCTGAGCCCTCCTTTGGGCCCTCATTAAAACTTGACAGTCTGGAGGGGGGAGGATTTTGGGCTACTGCGACGGTGTAGTCAGCAAGGTGAGCTGGCCCAGCCGGCCCTCAGCCGACGAAAGCGACAAGACGAGGCTGAAAGAGAACGCTGAAAAGATGGTTGCATCGATCATGGGTAGGTGAGCGACAAGAAAGATGTACTCGTCGCCGCGCATCAAACGACTGGAGAAGACAACTTCAAATATGAAAGATGACCAGACGTTTGTGGAGGTGTGGTCGATAAGAACAGCGCAAGTGGCTTTGTGCGAGTATATCGCTTTTTGCATCCAGTGTTGCGCTTGGTTCCTGGATCATTGTGTACCGTGTAGCCTGAGCCAACTGATTCCTTCCATATCTTCGAAAGACCGTGTCTTTAACCACCGCTCAGGGTCCATCTTTGCTAGGTTGCAACCGCCACTTTGGCTGGCGTTGCACGGTCATCGTTCTCCACGAGCTTATGATGTACCGTGACTTGGTGATAGACTACCTGAGCAGGTCAATCCTCTCGACAACCTCACGCATAGACATAAATTTCCCATGCCAACAATCAAGCATTATGGCTCCCATGGGCAGATCCGCCACATCGGGAAATTGATTGCTTTCGTATAGACGTTCGACGCGCTCTTGTGCGTTTTTCATTCCCTTCAACTCATAATTTGGGGGGCTGCCGGTCACAATTTTGTAAATTGCACAGCCCAGGGCAAAGATATCGGTCTGCACCGTGGCGCGGGGCGTTGATGGCTTGTAGCTAAACCACTCATACGAGGAAGTCGGCCCTTTCCCATCAATGCTGCAGCCTTCGAAGTCGATGAGTTTTAAATTGCCGTGAGCGATGATCATGTTTCGGCATCCCACATCAGCCTGGATAATGTTGTAGTCATGTAGGTATTGTAACCCTGTAGCCGCCTGTTTGATCCAGCGATATTTTGTGCGCAAAGGAATGGAACGAGCACTTGTTTGCTCAGAGAGTCGATTTCGAAGTACTTGTCCGCGCTCGAGAACAATAGAACCATCATCCAGAGCGCCTAGAAATTCCGCAATGTTGGGATGGCGGCCCAGGCGTTCATAAACTTCTCGCTCGGCACGAATCTCAGCATCATTGTCGCCCTCACATCTTTTCACCACTCGTCGCGCATCGAGGGCGTACACATTGCCTGATTTTCCAACGTCGATACAGTCCAGTCCCTCGATAGTAGAAGTTGACGGGAAGCTGCGATTATTCACGTATGTCTTCTTCAGCGCGAATGTGTAGCACATGATGAGAGGGAGAGATTCGGGAGCGGTCGTTTATTTACATGCCTACTTTAGACCAATAATGTTTCAACCCTGATGTCACGTGGCTCAAATGACAGACTGCATCTCACGCTGACTTTGCATGATACAGTAGCGAGCTGCAACGAGACGATTCTCTCTAGATGTTCAAGTGCTGGCGGTCCTTCTAGATGACCCTCAACGTTGGCTTTTGCGTTGGAGCAGTCGACATTTTCGGGTATGTACTGGGCTCGTAGACGGCCTTTGCTGAGCTTCACGCGACTTCCTAATCTATTATTTGACACATAACTAGAAAGGATTTCGGGCAACTCACCTGGTTGGGGTATTGACCGAGAATTCGTAGGATCAGTTCCCCATATTCCGTAGTTTTCGTTGAGTAGGCCGGCTGCCTCCGTTAACATAGCGTCCGTGACTTCGCGTCAGTCGAACGTCTCAAACAGTTGCTTTACCATGGTTGGTCTGTGAGGCTTCTCAATGCATTTTACACGAAGTTCAGTGCGGAAGTCGACTGCTTTTTCAGCAGGGTGAGAGGACGACATGGTGGGAACGGGAAGCCATATATATCATCCCCCCACGTCGTATTAGCGGCAAGAAAGGGGATCAATGCCGGGGGTTGTGTTGGGATGTGAAAGGCAGCAATCAGAAGAACAAAGGCTGGTTTCACACCTCTGCTGCCCCAGATAATCTTTACGCGGGGATGGAAAATGGCCAGGAGGCACACTACTAACTAACTTGGCCTGGGCGAGCAACCAAAACTCCCGGTCGTGGCAACGTCATTGTTTAGATCTAACCCGAAACTGTCACCCGAGCCACGGCCACGCGGATTATCCCCCAGAACCACCGCACCAAACCTAGCGCCCCCCCAATGAGCTAGTCGATCGCTTCACCGTTATTTCATGTATGTTTCCTTACATTGCAGATATCGTGCAGTCATCCAAGAGTGCATCCATCTCCTCGACCGAACTTCGACGATGGTGCCACCGTCACGAGCTCTCACTCATGAGGTCCGAGCAAAGACCCCAACACACTCGACCGCCTCGAGTCCCTCTCTCAGGTCCAAGACACCTGTGAGTGTGCCGATGACACCGACGAACAGCACGATGGCTCCTGGCGGCAATGTCAAGGTCGTTGTTCGAGTCAGGGCATTTCTTCCTCGAGGTAAGGACACCATGGCTGCTTGGTCACTTGGCAGATGCTAACAGTTGTCGGTAGAAATCGACCGAGGCGCACAATGCCTGATTGAGATGAACCCACGCACCCAGTCGACGAAGCTGCTCGTCCCCCCTTCGTCCGACCCGGCGAATGCAAGAGCACAGACGCGAAAAGTGGTAGAGGAGAAGCTATTCACATTTGACAATTCATTCTGGTCGCACAATACACGAGACGAACACTATGCGACGCAAGAGGATGTCTATAATTGTTTGGGAGAAGAGTTTCTCGACCACAATTTCGAAGGCTACCACACATGCATCTTTGCGTACGGGCAGACGGGCTCAGGCAAGAGTTATACCATGATGGGCACGCCAGAGCAGCCCGGTTTAATCCCACGAACCTGCGAGGACCTGTTCCAACGCATCGAGTCCAACGAGAGCGCCAATATCAGCTACAGTGTCCGGGTGTCATACTTCGAGGTCTACAACGAGCACGTACGGGATCTGTTCCAGCCTCGGACGGAACCTCCACAATACCTCAAAATTCGCGAATCTCCGACGGAGGGGCCGTACGTTAAGGACTTGACAGAAATCCAAGTCAAGAATTACGGCGAGATCCTCAAGTACATGCGCATGGGCGATAGCTCCCGGACCACCGCCTCGACCAAGATGAATGACACATCGTCTCGGTCTCATGCAGTCTTCACCATCATGCTGAAACAAATCCACCACGATTATCGGACAGACGAGACGACCGAAAGACTGGCTCGGATAAGGCTGGTGGATCTGGCAGGATCTGAACGTGCCAAAGCCACAGAGGCCACTGGACAGAGACTTCGCGAAGGGGGCAACATCAATAAATCGCTGACCACACTAGGGAGAGTGATTGCGGCGCTCGCCGACCCCAAACACGGGCGAAGCCACCCAGCAAAACGGACAAATCGTGACATCGTGCCGTATCGTGATTCGATCCTGACCTGGTTGTTGAAGGATTCACTCGGTGGAAACTCAAAGACCGCCATGATTGCTTGTATAGCACCATCGGACTACGATGAAACCTTGTCGACCCTTCGATATGCGGATCAGGCCAAACATATCCGCACCAAGGCTATTATCAACCAAGATCATGTATCATCTGCCGAGAAAGACGCACAAATCAACGAGATGCAAGAGACGATCCGAGCGCTGAGGTGGACGCTGAGCCAGCAGCAACAGAATGGTAGTGCCTCTGTGATGAAAGCTGTGCAAGAAACCGCCGATGCACAATCGGAGAAGATCCGTGAGTTCACGACGAAGTATGAAAACATGTTGCAGATCATGGAAGAGAAGTTGGCTATCTCCGAATCGAAGGTGCGTCAGCTGGAGGAAGAAAAAGAGGCTTTGAGCATTCATTTGAAGCTTGTGCTTGACGAGCTCAAGAACCCCATCGTCATCAACAAAGATGACACCGAATCTGTCTACGGGAGGTCTAGAGCGCCGACCCCAGACATGATATACGAAGACGAAACAGCCTCTAGCGACGAGGTAGATACAGAGTCCGAGCCCGACGACGAGGCAGCTGAGATGCAGGCGGAGATGGAAGCATTGATCTCTGATTTGGGAATGTTCAAGAAAAAGATTGCTGCCGACCACGAGATGTTCGGCATCACCGTTGCAGCATGAAGCACGCACCAAAACCGCAGGACGAAAGTGAACGTTTTCTCAGTCAGTTAGCGAGGCGTTGGGTCTTCGTGGTGTATGGCGTCCTGGGCTCTTGGACTATGGTCTGCTAGCCGTCACGGATGCCATTGGGAAACTCGTATACATAGTGGAATCAAGCCCTTTACAGCACAACAGAAGCAAATGCATGGACTACCTGCAACACGTGCCCTCATTCCTGTTACATTTCTTGACAGGCTCTCTGATTATTGCCCTCCCCAACATTTCTTGTTAATATGCCATCTCTTCTCAATTCTTAATCTACGGCGTTATACCTCTCGACGAAGCTAGCTACTTCCCGCAGATGCGTCACCCACCAGACGACGGACTGATTGCTCTCCATTGATCCTCCTTGACCAGGTATGCTTTTTGAATACTTAGCCCAGCGGTCAAAGTCAAGCCTCAACACCGCGACTCCCACTCTCTCCAGGGTCTCCTTCAACTCGGACTGTCCACTGCCCATCGGCTCATCACGCATACAAACGCCCACGTCGGCAGCGACAATGCAGTCAAAATCTGTGGACGAGTCGCCAACGTAGAGAATGTCGCCGGTCCCGCCATCTCGTCGTAGCCTTGCGAGGGCATCCAGTTTATCGGCGCTAGTGCGAATACTGACGAAGTCTAGACCGTCGTCCCCGGGACGTTCAACTTCGCAGGCAAGACGGTTAGCAAGAATCGAGATGGAGTCGACTGTGCCTTTCAGAGGCGAGTTATCATCTGCCAGCGCTGCTGATAGACATGCCCTGATGAAGGCAGCGCTCCAGTTCACGCTGAGGATGGAGACGGGAACAGGAGGCCGAGCAACTTCTGCAGTCTCATTCGTGGCATGGCTCGCCAGTGAAAGAAGGTCCTTCCATCCCTCCCGGAGCTCGACCTCATTATCTCGCACTGCATCCTCTGCAGCCGTCCAGATGTCCTGCTTCGTGACGTCCGAAAAGATCCCGGCGTCCTGGACGCGCTGGAGACTCCTGAGCTCGACGTCTTTCAAACTCGCGAGCCACGCGCTTTCCTGGGCCACGGTTCTGCGTTCTGGGCGGGCCGGGCGATACGAGTCCCGGTGCTGCTTGTAGTCCGACATGTAGGCCTGGACGATCTGGTCCCATGGCGTGAGGCTCCTCCGGTGTCGATTATTATTACGCGTGCTGTACCCGATGGCGGCCAGCACGTGCAGCGTGTCGCGCCGGGTCAGGGTGCCGTCCCAGTCGAGGACGATGCGTAGCGGTTTTTGTTGTTGTTTCATCTCTCGCCTTGTTTGAGGGGGCCTCCTTGGGTGATATATGCATGCGGATGCTGGACTCTTATGTGAGGAGGGGAGGTATTTGCGCATTCATCCTCTGTTGTGTAGGAAGGGAATGTTGTGCTTGGTGGTCGCGAATCCCCGGAAAGAAGATCTTGCTTGGCTTATCACTAGCGGGATCGTCATCGCCTTCGATCTCCTCCGGTGACACGCTCTCTCGTAGCTAGATTTGAAGATGTCTACCAAGTATAGATCCTGCCTGATCCAGGCTCTACCAGTCCCAAAACCGAGCTATGCTGCTCTGAGCCAATGTCAATAATAAAACATACAATCTCTTCCTGAGACTACAAAATACTTGAATGGTAGTGAAAGTGCATGGTCAAAAGCTATCCTAAGCCTGATGCTTGCTTGGGTGAGGCCTCTTTATGCTCAGATTCATGTCGCTAGATCCCTCTTCCTCAGGTAGCTCGCACTACAAAATACTCACATGCTCCTGCACGACTTGTTGAAGCGTCTTCGTTCAAATTCTAGGACTTTGCCGAAGGACACATGCCCTTGATTCGTTGAATCATGTCTACGTGTTGCCAGATGCAATCTGGCTCTCTCCCAACTCGTAGTCGTTGAGCGATGCAGTTCCGGAGATTCTTGATCTCTTATATCGGCGTGACCTGATCGGTGCTAGTTTCACACTCAAACATACACACACACACCCCAGGTGTTGTGACAATGCTTTTGCATCCGATACGGTGCTTGCTGATAGGGATTGAATCGGTCAGTTCAGCGTGAATGATGGTTCGTGGCAGGGCCAAGACTACACCCCAGACTGGTCTCTGAATATTTGCTCAACGAAGCCCTTTTCTGGGAAGCGTATCTTGTCTCTGAAGATTTTTCCGGGAAACGCCCCTCGGCGGAGTGCCTCGCGGCCTTGTAATATACTTCCTTAAAACAGTAGTCTGAGGCACCAATTACCTTTTATGGACTTGGTGGCGAGCACTCTGAAGAGGCGACAGGCCGGCTCGGCATATGCGAGACGCCAATCCACCCTGTTGACAAAATCGGTTCGTAGATGATACGCTTCCTCTTGGGCTAGCATACCCCGGGAGGGACTTCCGACGGGATGCCACTCCTTGGTATTAGCAGCAGCCTTGCCTGGACATATTGCATTACATCGACTCCGAAGCTCAGACGCTACAACAATATTTCTTTTTACGCTGCGGGAGATTTGGCGTGTGAACCTCCAATACAATTTACCCAGACGAAGCTCACATCGCTGAATTTGTTCGATCTATCAAAAACATGGCGACAAGGCAAGGTCTGCGAGTCTGCAAGACCAAGCCCCGGGTTTTCATCGTCTCAGACATCTCCAATGAGCCTGATGACGCCGAATCCTTGGTCCGCTACTTGCTCTACTCGAACGAATTCGACACGCGAGGCCTCGTCGCCTGCACTTCGACGTGGCTGAGGACCAACGTCCATCCCGAAGACATGCGCACCATTGTCAAGGCGTACGGAGAAGTGGTGCACAATCTGAACGCGCACGTGCCTCCGGAGAATCGCTATGAGAGCGCTGATTACTTCCTCTCACTCATCAAAACGGGGCCGTCTATGTATGGGAAAGAAGCCCTGAAAGACGACGTGCCTGTGAGTGACGGGGCAGCGTTGCTGATCGAACAAGTCGATCAATCGGCGCAACCCCTGTGGGTTCTCTGCTGGGGCGGCATCAACGTGCTCGCGCAGGCGCTGTATCACGCACAGAAAGCCAAGTCGGCGGCGGACTTTGCCCATTTCCGCTCGAAGCTGCGGGTGTACACCATCTCCGACCAGGACGACACGGGCATCTGGATCCGCGTTAATTTCCCCGATATCTTCTACATCTGCTCTGTCCACGGGTGGAATGAGTACGGGAACGCCGCCTGGACCGGAATCTCTGGCGATGTCTTGCACGACTTCGATCGGGGCGGACCCGACAAAACTAAAATCACCAAGGAGTGGTTGAGAGAACACGTCCAGATTGGGCCCTTGGGCAAAGCCTACCCCGACTACGCGTTCATCATGGAAGGTGACACGCCCACATTCCTCTATCTCATCCAAAACGGTTTAGGACATCCAGAACACCCCGAATGGGGCAGCTGGGGTGGGAGATACACCCGCGTTGATCTGGGCGGATTAACAAACCAATTCCACGACGCAGTTGATGAAGTTGTGGGCATGAACGGCCAAAAATTCCGCAGCAACCAAGCCACCGTATGGCGATGGCGCGACCAGTATCAAAATGACTTTGCCGCACGGATGCAGTGGACATTGACCGATGATCGCAGCAAAGCTAATCATGCACCCGTGGCCATCGTGAATAACAGCACGTCCAGTCCAGAGCCACTGATCTTAGAAATCGAGGCGGGTACGGAGGTGACTCTTGATGCCTCGCAAAGCTACGATCCCGACGGCGACTCCCTGACATTCAAGTGGTCTCAGTACAAGGAACCAACCTCGGCACAGTCACCGATCCACTGGCTCGTTCCGGACATCGAGCTGGTGCCCCTGCAGGATGACCACAGAATCGTGAAACTTACCCTTCCGCCGCCGGAGACATGCGCCGTCAATATCGTCACGGGCAAAGCGTTGGAGAAAGGCATGGCGCTCCATTTCATCCTGGAGGTCACGGACGACGGGTCGCCACGCATGACGACGTACAAGCGCGTCGTCGTGCAGACCACGAACAAGAAGCTCGTCGGCGGAAGGGAAAAGGTCTTTGAGACGGTGACGGCTGCTTTGGGGAAGGATTAGACGGGGTTTGTTCGAAGCTGGAGTGAATGTCTGGGCAGGTAGTGAAAACGAATCACCCTATCCCATCGCTAGACAACACGGTTCTCTTTCAAGAATATGAGACTGGTAATTGTGCGAAGACATGATAGAGTATCGGTCAGGATAACCTTGTCTGCACCTAGAACGGCACCATGAAGCGTATCAGGAACCACCTGACAGATTCTCCTTGATTTACTGTCGTGCCCAATAGTCCTTTATCAGTTGGTGACATTGGGCGCCTGTATGCTGCAAGGCAAAGCGACAGAGTCGCTATATATTATCCTGACAATACCGGGGTTGAAAGGTTTCCTTCAGAGCCCTTCGTACAATCTGCTAATGGCTTAACCGATTGAAGCTGTACATTTGGCTAAGAGAGATACAAAGACCTAACGCATTCTATACAATTACCTCGAGCCAAGTTGCTGCACATTACTAGACGACCACCACCGCCGAGGGGGCGAATCATCCTTCGGTAATGTAACAGCTAGAGAACTTGCGTGTGTCACGACCCAATGATGTCGTCGACCTTCTGCGGCTCGAAACCCCTCTCCTTCTCAAGCATCAACGGGCTTTTGCAGCTCCACGGTGTCCTTGACCACCTCACCCTTCGCCTGGGCGTCCGTCTTGTACGACTTGAACTGCCGGGCGGGGACGCGCTTGGCAAACATCTCATCGATCTCCTCGTAGGTGCGGCCACTGGTCTCGGGCTGGAAGAACCACAAATAGCAGAGGCAGAGGAAGCTGGGCCCGCCGAAGACGAAGGCGACTTTCCCGCCGAGGTTGCCCTTGTCCGGGTTGAACATGTAGGGCAGCACGAACTGCCACATGACGTTGACCGAGTTCTGCAGGGCCAGGCCGATGGCGATGGTCTTGACGCGCAGCCGCGCCGTGGCCGTCTCCGTCATGATCGAGAAGGCCGTCGACCCGATCGACACGTTGTACATCCAGCTGTAGATCAGGATTATGGCCACCGTGCCCTTGATCTCGCCTGGGCTGCCGCCCGTGGCCAGCCCGCCCTCGATGAACAGCAGTACCACCAAGATCGCCAGTCCGTAGAAGGTCAGGTTGCGTCGTCCGACCCGGTCGATCAGGTACGCCGCCATGAGGTTGCCCACGATCGACAGCACCGGCTGCGCGATCTGGATCCGGAAGCTCTCCTTGGCCGAGTAGCCCGCCAGCTGGAGGTAGTAGGTGAAGTATCCCGCGACGAAGGTGATGCCCGTCAGCACCTGGATGATCAGGGGTCCGATGCTGATGATGGTGCGTCGGAGGTTGGACCGCCGGAAGCATTCCAGGTAAGTGACGCCCTCGGTCTCCTGCCGGATCTCTTCGAGTGTCAGCTGGATCAGCGCCAGCCTCTTTTTGCCCTCCTCGCCTTTCTGGCCCAGCATGGCGAGACTCTTAAGCGCCTTTTCGGGTTTTCCTTTTGAAGCTAGCCACCAGGGAGATCTATAAGGCACGAAATGTCAGCGACGGTCGCAACCAGTAGAGGAGTCAAGATATACATACTCGGGCATGAAAGGAGACAGGATCGCGGAGACACCGGCGAAACCGTATTGGCAGCAGAACACCACCCGGTAGGCCCAACGAGTATCGACGTCGCCGGTGTAATTGACAATGATAAAGGCCAAGAGGGGGCCAATCTGGGACGTGGAGTCAGCACTCATGTTTTCAAATTTGTTCACTCTGTCTAAGGCTGTCATAATCCTAGACAATGGCAGGAGGAGGAAGGATGGCCACGTACACCAAAAGCGACGCCGATGCCGACTGTGAAAATGCCTCTCCAGGCATGTGGTGTAATCTAAGCCGTCTGTTAGCCATAAACTCAAGACTCTGCAGCGATTAATGCTTGACATACCTCTCCGACATAAGTGGTCATGACGCCCTGAATAGCGCCGACCGCAAAGCCGTTCAAGAACTTTCCACCGAAGAAGACCGGATTCGTCGTCGCAGCAAACTCGATGCTGATGGCCGCGAAGCTGATGGCCAACCCGCCGATCAGGGTAAACTTACGGCCAATGATGTCGGCGATGGCGGCGCCGCCCAGCACGCCGACGATGGCTGATGCCACGGGGGCGGCGTTGAAGGCCGACTGCCACTCGGCAGGCAGGACGTAGTTGCCGTCGAAGGACGAGCCGAAGTCCTTGCGGAACTCGGGGATCCCCAGCACAGACCCTCCCGCCTGGACCTCGAAGGCCGCCAGGATGATGGTCCAACAAGCGTAGACGCACCAGGCGCACGACCACGGGTATCTTTTCAGAGACAGCCACACGCCCAACTCGTGATCTTCCTGGTTGGCCAGGTGGCCGAGCTGCTCGTCCGCGGTGACCTCCATGTGGTCGACGCTGAGCTTTTCCTTCCTCGTGGCATCGAGGGATTGTCTCTCAGGGTCCGCCGTCCCGAGTTGGGAGATGTTGGGGTTCTCCATGAATAGTCAAGGCGGCACAGGTATGAATGGTTTCTTCTTGCTATTAACAAACAGCAGGACTCGGTGGTGGAAGAAATAGTAGCAGTGGGTGAAGGTCAGACAGCACGACAAGGGACATGATCCAGCGACAGCAAGAGCAGCAGCAGGCACAATGGGGGAGGGATATGGAGGTCCTTTTCTAGAACCAGATTCAACATGCAAGACCCCATGGGCAACAGGCACGCGGCCTGCAAGCGAAGGGCGGAGGAATTGCCGAAATTTCTGCCCAGGGTTGTTGTGCGGGTCGCTGGCCACAATTGGTGCTTATTCTTGGAGAGATGTGGAGACCGTGAGCGGGTATTGAGACTAATTGGGAAATGTGAGGCTGAAATGTCCTAAAGAGGTAGGTACTACCACTGTAGGGAGCTAGTCTCCTGATGCGTGAACATGGTTTTGCTCAATCCCCCTTCTGTCTATGTCCACGCGACGTCGTACTATATGGTGGCCATGCCCGAATGGGATATGATTTGTACTGCCCCAGGTAAAGTCATGCGTTACCCCAGGCTCTCCACTACGAACTGGGTCGGAGTGTAGCCTGCCGAGTTGATTCGCCAGTGCATATGCAAATACTCAGGGCACGCCCACCCGTCAAATTACCGACGAGTGTGTGCTCTATCCAAACCAGCGAGCTCTGTGGATAGCTCTCTTCTCTGTCAAACTTCCCTTCGTTAGCCCTTATGAGCTACCGAGACGCCGAGTTTGAAGCATGGAAGTGGCTGTTGAGATGTAGAAGTTCGTAGGCGTGCTACTGTAGATTACCACCGGACGCTACTATGCCGTTGGTTCTCGGGACTGTTTCTTCGTGATCTAGGCTACAGAGGGTCCTCTTGCAAAGCTCACAAGCGAAATAGTGTAGAAAGGCATATTCCTTCGCTCAACCGTGACCTTTTCATAGTAATGACTTCGCTGCAGTCTTTTGTGGGCAATTGATCGAGGGACTTGGAATCCTGGAGTCCTTCTACGTAAAGAGGAGCAGCCCTGGTCCCTGGCAAGCGCCAGTTATAAACACCTCGTACTATTCTATGGGTGAACGAGGGGAGAAAGTGAATCACAGAGCCCCTGAGCCAGACACTTTTGGAATGACCGATGAACTGTGGCAATAGCGGAGATAAAACCGTCCTAACTGAGCCAAAGGGGGTGGGAGGCGCTTTTGACACATCAACATTAGCATTGAACCCAATGACAGAACGTTGCGACGACGTGTTTGGAATTGCCTGTTGAATCAGCTGATTGTTTGCGTTGTGGGCAGTTCCAAGGAGCGCTCCAGCTGCTCGAGCCTCTCCATTGATGCGTGTGCTGCTTTTGTGGAGCGACGGTATTGAGACAGGATGAGTATTACAGCAATTGCCCAAATTTTGCCTTCGAGTCCCAGACGTCGGCCAAACGAGAAAGTAGTGCCTCGAGCTATTTTGCCTCTCTCTTTTTTTCCCCGTGCCGTTCTGTTTTTGCCCCGCTTCGTAGCCGCAGCAGAGGGGCTTTCATTGATCGACGACATAAGCTCCCGGAAGATGAGCGGTGCTTAAAGATACCCGAAGCAGCAGGCCAGATAGCGTAGACTCCGAGCGAAAAGGTGCTGCTCGCATTATGGGCTCTTCCTATCCGTCAGAGGCTCCGAGGTAAGCCAACCCTATATGGGCAAAGGATTCAATTGCCGATACTTTCGCCCATGTATGGTGCCCCCGAGGGCCATCAGGATCGGAAATGACCACCCCGTTACACCGGCTCAGCTCAGTCCGGCGAGCCAACTGTACGCGACACCCCGACTTGGCCCTCGGGCTGTCCTCGCCGCTGGCTTGTCGCTTGCACAAAGCCGTGCTTTACCAGTATCGAATCTCTGCTTGCAGACGTGCCCCCCTAGTCGCCAATCTGAAAGATTCGGAGATCTTTTCAACTGGTTCTCACGTACCTAAGTAGAAGAACCATTTGCAGTGTTGAACCTCTCTCGCGCCTCCAATCTCCCAACATGGCGCCCTCAGCGAGCCTCACGAGCTCTCAGCTCATCAATGGCGACATACCAGTCCCCAAAGCGCCTGTCGCCAGCGTAACAGAAATCTCGAACGGGGATGTGGCGACTCCTTCTGTTGACGACCAGAATTCTAGATTCGCCCTGTACAAGAACCCCTCTCTCTTCGTTACGCCAAACCACACTATCCATCTCAAGGAATCTTCAATACCGAGGATACGATCAACCGAAGTCCTGATCCACGTCCGTGTCACGGGGATTTGCGGTTCAGACCTCCATCTGTGGCATCGAGGAGCCATCGGACCTCTCGTTGTCAACCACTCGCACATTCTGGGCCACGAAGCATCCGGCGTGGTCCTCGAGGTCGGCTCAGCCGTCACGCATCTTGCCCCGGGGGACCGAGTCGCGATTGAGCCTCAGGTCCCCTGTCAGATGTGCTTCCTCTGTACATCCGGCAAATACAATCTGTGCGAGAAGGTGGCCTTCTCCGGCGTGTGCCACGGCGGCACCATTAGGCGTTTTCTCGCCCACGAGGCTCGTTATTGCCACAAACTCCCCGATAGCATGACCTTCGCACAGGGTGCGCTTCTCGAGCCGCTGTCTGTCATTCTGCACGCCATCAGACAGTGCAAAGGATCGATAGGGATCGGTCAGCCGGTCCTGGTGTGTGGCGCCGGTCCGATCGGTTTGATCGCGTTGGCTGCCGCAAGAGCGTCAGGGGCGTGGCCGTTGGTGATCACGGATGTCGAGGAATCACGCTTGGACTTCGCGAGGCAATTTGTGCCAGGATGTCAAACGTACCATGTCCAGCCTTCGAAGAGTCCGCTACAAGCGTCGGAGGAGATCAGATTACTCTTCGGCTGCGCGGGCGGTCGCGACGTTGAAAAGGGCATCCCTGATGCCGGCGAGTACCATGCGCCGACAACAGTCCTGGAATGCACGGGGGTCGAAGCGAGCGTCGTCACGGCCGCGTATAGCTGTCGGCGGGCCGGAGTGGTCATGGTGGTCGGGGTCGGGCGGAGTATCATGAACAATCTCCCCTTCATGCACCTCAGCCTGGCGGAGATCCAACTCAGGTTCATCAACCGGTACTCTGACACCTGGCCTGCGGGCATCAACGCTCTCGCAAATGGTCAGGTGCTGAATCTAGACGCCTTGGTGACGCACACGTTTCCGCTGCAAGAGGCTGTCGAGGCAATGAAGGTGTGCTCTGATCCTACGAAAAGAAGCATAAAAGTTCAAATTGTGGACGATCAGGAGATTGTACCGTAGCTGATATCAGGTCTGGATGAACTTTCCAGAGAGCTGCCATTGTTTAAATATTCAAATATTCAATGATAGAAATAGATTTAGGTACATGCGTGGATTGACCGCTTCATCGATCTTGAACGTCCTGAAGTTTCAGTAGCCAAGGGAGATACATCCTTATACCACCACTTACAACCCCAACTGCCTTCATGCGAAAATCCGCAATGGTTTGTGGAGATAAAAGCCAGGATCGTTGAACCTAAGCCCCTTATCGAGAGCGCTAATCGCTTTGATCTCCTCCTGCGTCAGCTCGAAGCTGCCACCTCCCACTTCCAGGTTCTGTGCGAGGCGATCGATGTTGTTGGACTTGGGGATGACGGCAATGTTTCGCTGCGTGGCCCACCGCAGCAGCACCTGAGCCGGGGTCTTGTTCGTTCTGGCCGCTGCTTTCTTGACGGGCTCGACGTCGAACAAAAGAGGGATGTCTTTCGCCCTCTCTCGAAACGCGGCCGGCAACTCCAAGAAACTCTGCGGGCCGAACGAAGAGTAGGCAGTGATGACGATCTTCTCTTCCTGCGCCAGCTCGATGAGATCGGGCTGCACGAGATACGGGTGATGCTCGATCTGGAGAGAAGAGATCGGGTGTCGGCAGTATGTCTGGATGTCGTACAGTGTCTGTGCCTGGGCGTTGGAGATACCAATCGATTTGACGATTCCTTGGTCCACGACCTCCTCCAACACCTGCCACGTTTCTTGGATGGGCACGTTGGCTCTCTCAATCACCTTCTGCTCTGCATCCATCCACCAACCCTGTTCGGTCAGTACCTCGTTTGCCAGGTAATCAGGTAACTGTGATGGGGTAAACTCACTGGATATCGCAATTTCTCTGGCTCAATGTACTTGAGTGCGATGGGGAAGTGAATCAAGTACAAGTCGATATATCCCAGACCCCAAGCTTCATTCTGGGCCTTGGCCATCGCCAATGCATGATCACGTTGGTGGTAGTTGTTCCAGAGCTTCGTCGTGACAAAAATGTCCTCGCGCCGGACCAGTCCCTCGTTGATGGCACGGCGAATACCCTCGCCAGCCTGTTTTTCATTTTGATAGTCATACGCGCCGTCAAAAAGCCGGTAGCCAGCTTTGATGGCCTTTTCAGAGACATCAGCCCTGGCCGAATGAGATAGTTGTCTATGGCATACTCACGTGATAGACGGTGTCAGCGGCCTTGTCGGCTGGGACTTTCCACAGTCCAAAGCCGACCAGGGGCATTTTGTGCCCGGAGGCTAAAGTGACTGTATCCGAAGCCATATTCTCTGGATGTCTAGCTGGGTTTGTCGTTCCTGTTTGCCTCACTCAATGCGAGAATTCTCGTTGTGAGGACGTTTAGCAACACCTGCTTTTCCTCTCGTATGGCAAATGTTGAAGCCAAGGAGCGACTTTGAATATCAATCTGAAACTCACAGCTCACAAAAAAGATTGAGTTGGATCGTACACGTGGGCTATGAATTTTTTACACTCGCTGGTTCGCGGCAGTTGGCAAAGCCAGCAGGTCATGACGAGCTTCGACGTCACGCAATTCGGCGGAGAAGCGGGTTGCGTTCCTAGTGGACCAAGTGGCTCTACCGGGAGTATTCTGGTGGCTATTATTTCCTATACAGGCCATAATAGGCAAAATAGATTATCTGCCCCAGTGGCGGAACGACCAAAATAACCACGAAACGGGGGCGCCTCACTCCTTCAGACAACCTTCGTTCACCGCGGTCCTTGAGAGCCTCGACTTGCATATCTCATTTGGATTCACTGTGTACAGATTGTCTGGAGCTGATGTGCCCAGCCGGTGCTGGAAGGCCTTTGACGCCGTCTCTGACTGGCTAAGGTCTAGTATTTCGTACTCGAACCCATGACTTGAGCGACATGTACCGCGATTGGGAACTGCCGTTCACAAACATGGAGGAAAGTTGACCATTTCATTCCGTTTCATAACATCCCCCGCGTGCTTTTCACACCTTGACCCTACAGCACGCTTTTCTTCGTGATTTCCATTAGGGACCTCTCTGCAGATCTTGAACAGGGACACGCTGCAGTCACCACACAGCATGAGCCCTATTGCTGTTCCCGTCGAGGGACAGTCAATGCAACTCCCCGACGCCGACTACAAGCTGGCCAACAGTGTGAAAAAGGGCCAGACAACATCAACAACGAATGCCTCAACTCAGCTGAGCCCCGAAGAAGAACTGGTGTTGAAGAGCTTCAGAGTGCTCATCGCCGACCTATGCCAGCAATTCAAAGGCGGGCATCCAGGGTACCATCATCTTATGCACCGTCCTTCTGAAGATCAAAGGCTAAGAATTCAACCAGAGGCGCGATGGGAATGGCTGCCATTGGTGTTGCGTTGTGGAAATACGTGATGCACTACGCGCCGCACAGTCCAGATTGGATCAACCGCGATCGGTTTGTGCTGTCCAACGGCCATACCTGCTTGTTTCAATACTGCTTTTTGCATCTGACCGGCTACAAGGCCATGACGCTGGAACAGCTGAAGTCATATCATTCGGATCGGACCGACTCGCTGTGCCCCGGCCACCCGGAGATCGAGCACGAGGGGATCGAGGTCACCACGGGTGCGCTGCTATCATCGCGAGAAATCTATCAAAATGCTAATTGACGATCAGGTCCACTTGGTCAGGGCATCGCCAATGCGGTGGGAATGGCCATGGCTTCCAAGCATCTCGCGGCCAAGTTCAACCGACCAGGCTTCGACATCGTGTCCGACCATGTCTGGTGTATGGTCGGTGATGCCTGCCTCCAAGAAGGGGTCGGGCTCGAGGCCATCTCCTTTGCCGGGCACATGCGTCTGGGTAACCTTACCGTGATATACGACAACAACCAGATCACCTGCGACGGCCCGGTCAGTCTGACCAACACCGAGGACATCAATGCCAAAATGAGGGCTTGTGGCTGGAATGTGATCGAGATCGCAGACGGGTGCTGGGATGTTCGGGGCATCGTCAAGGCTCTGGAGGCTTCTCGTGTCTCAGACCGCCCAACGTTCGTGAATTGCCACACTGTCATCGGCGTCGACACGGCCGTTGCTGGGGACGCCGTGGCGCACGGAGCAGCGCTGGGAGTGGACACGGTTATGGCCCTCAAAAGACTCTACGGGTTCGATCCAGAACAGCGATATGTCATCCCCGACACGGTTCGCGAGTTCTTCAGTGGGCTCCCCTCCCGAGGACAGTCTCTGGTGACCGAGTGGAATCACATGCTCCAGGAGTACAGCCAAGTTTACCCTGACCTGGCCGAAGAATATGCAACACGCATCAGTGGTCACTTACCGGACAGCTGGGAGTCTCTGATTCCGCATCCCCTCCCCTCAAAGCCGACGGCAACCCGCGCCGCGTCAGGATTGGTCTTCAACCCGCTCGCTGAAAGACTTGACCGGTTCATGGTTGGGACTGCCGACCTGTCTCCGTCGGTGTACATGAGCTGGAAGACCAAGGAAGATTTCGAGCCCCCTTCTCTGGGGACGGGAAGTTATTCTGGGCGGTTCATCCACTATGGTGTCAGGGAACATGCCATGGCGGCCATTTCGAATGGGTTGGCAGCCTATCATCCTGGGATGTTCATTCCGGTTACATCAAGGTAAGAAGACGGAGTGGCTCCATGATGTCCCCGCTCCCATAGTGATAGCTGTACTAATGACGGATGCACCAGCTTCTTCATGTTCTACCTATACGCAGCTCCGGCCGTCCGAATGGGCGCGCTGCAGCACCTGCAAGTCATCCACGCCGCGACGCACGATTCGATTGGCATGGGCGAAGATGGGCCGACGCACCAACCCATCGAGCTTGCCGCGCTGTACCGCGCCATGCCGAACTTGCTGTACATCCGACCGGGAGACAGTGAGGAGACCGCAGGTGCCTGGATCGAGGCCATCAAAGCCAGACACATGTCGTCCATCATCTCCACGTCCCGCCACGCGCTCCCACAGCTGACCGGCCTGACCAAACGCACCGAAGTGGCCAAGGGCGCGTACGTCCTCGAAGAAGTCGTCTCAGGAACCGCCGATCTGACGCTGATCGGCGTCGGGGCCGAGCTCAACCTCGCCGTCCGCGTGGCGGCCGAGCTGCGCAGCTCCTCCCACGGTCTGAAAGTGCGGACGGTGTCATTCCCGTGCCAGCGCCTCTTCGACGCCCAGCCGCGCGCGTATCAGCGCCACGTGCTCCAGCGCCAGAGCGGCGTGCCCGTCGTGGTGATCGAGGCGTACGCGGCGAACGGGTGGGAGCGCTACGCCCACGCGGCCGTATGCATGAGCACGAAGCGCTTTGGCAAGTCGCTGCCCGGGCCGAAGGCGTACGAGTACTTTGGCTTCGACGTCCCCTCGATGGTGGCCCGGATCGCGGGATATCTGGACGATTGGAAGGCGGATCCGGACTTGAGGCATGACTTTGTAGAATTGACGTGTGCGAAAACGGATGCATAGAAGGGGGGCAAGGGGGACTTTGGGCGATAATAATGCAAACAGGCTCTGGTATGGCGCCGGTGTTGGGTATTATCATGCTCCATCTCTCTCCTATATATAAAAACATGACTGTCTGCCAATACTTGGACATCCCTCGTATCTACCGAAGGCTGATATAACGCCGTCTTCTTAGACGCCCAAGGAGAGAACTCCACGTTTCTCCTCCGACGGTGGCCATTTTGTGGGATTGAACAGTACGCTATAAAGACCATACGCCACGATGTCCCCCCAAGAGCAAGCTATCCAACTATTTCTAGGACATCCTCATCTGATCACTGTACGTTCAGGCACATGAGCTTCAGAAACCACTGCTCCTCAGTGATAGTCTGCGAGCACAGATCCTTGAAATTCTCCAGCGCGACCGGATCGACGCCCGTGCCTTCATCCTCGCTGTCACTATCGTCGTCGTATTCGTATTCGTGGTGTGCACCCGGTCCGAATCCATGCGCACGGCCCAGATCGTCCTGCGTGATCTGCGTGCCGTTCACGATCCACCCGGTGTACTGCGGGAAAGCGCTGTCAGGCGGCGTCTGCGGACCCAGATCTCCCTGCCGAACACCCCCGCTGATGCTGGTCGGGTGTTTGGTGCTCCCATCGACACAGTAGGGCGACTCGATCACGTCGCCCACGCGGTTCCCGAACGCCAGCTCGGCCACGCGGCTCCACAGCACCTTGTCGTCCTCGATCATCTCGGGCGTGTACCAGATGCGGCAGTCGGCGGCCTCGTAGGCGAAGTGGAGCGGGATGTTGTGCGGCTCGCCCAGGCGGTAGGCGTTGAAGCCGTTGACACGGAGGTAGGTCCCGAAACGCGAGGCGGGTCCGTAGTCCCAGTTGTCGAACGTCGGGTCGGCGGAGTCCGGGTTCGCCGTCGTCTGGTTCTGGTACGCAATCAACATGTTGACCAGGTGAGGGTATTCGAACAATCTGCTGCCACGCACGCCACCGATGGTTTGCATGGGGCCTGTCTGGGGCCGGCCGCCGATGACGATGCTCATGACGCGGAACTTGTTCTTCAGGTGTTCGACGAATATTGAGCATGCCGACGCACAGATTCTGTGGTAGCGTGTTAGTATACGGCTCGCCTTAGAGGTAACGTTAAATGGGGTCCTAAAGGAACGTAGGGTCCTGTCTATGGCTGGAATACACCTTACCCGTCGGTCAAGATAATCATGTTTTCGGGGCTGTACGGCCACTGTTTCCCCGGAACTGCTTGCGTGAGGACTATCTCTGAATGGTCGATCATGGAGTACTCGTTGTTGGTATAGTTTTCCTGGAAATACGAGGTGAAATACCCGGGACCCTCGCGGTAAGGGCCGTAGTAGTGGTCCATGTTGTTGAACGGCTTAACCTTTGGCGACATGACGGTCTGGTACGCCCAGGGGGAATAGGAGCGCTCGGCATCGACTTCAGTCACGTCGGTTCCCGTACTGGGATCTGCGTTTTCGGCAATTCGGGTCTGTTCACTGAAGTACTCGACGATGGCCTTTTGGGCACCGTTGGCTCTCATGCTGGACTTGGTGTCGGGCGGCGTGTCGGGGAACAGCTGCACCATCGTCTCCAAGCACAGTCTGACAGATCCGCCCCCGTTCTGCCGCAGGTCGATGATCAACTTTTCCTTGCCGAGCTCCTTGGTGGCCTCCAGGATTGCTTGAAGGGTTTTCTGGGATTTGGAATCTGACCCTCCAGAGTCGGCGGGGGAGAAGCCGGAGATGGTTAGGACGGCGACATCATCCGGGATACCGTCGCCCCAATACCCTGAGATTGCGCCAGCGTCGTCTGAGTAGATAGCAGGCGCGGGTACTTGCCGCTTCACTATTTTCCTTGGATGTGCAGAAGCGCTATCGCTATCGGGGTCGTCCTCGCCATCGTCACTAGAGAGGTCGACAGTTTGGAAAAACAGGGCATACATGTCGATGGCGTTGGCAACTCCTGTCAAATTGTTCTTCCTCCAATTAGCGTAGTTTCTGAATGGCATGACCGATCCATTTTGGAATGTGTAGTTTGTGTAAGGTCCAGGGTAGAATTCGGGGCTCTCGAAAAGCCCGTAGGGATGCATCATGCCGTTGTACAAGGAGTCCAGATCCTGGGACGTGCCGGTCAATGACTCCACCTGCAGGAATTCTTGAACATCGATACCGTTGATTTTGGTGATGGCCGAATAAGCATGGTCGGATCGGAGCTTGAGCTCCCCTTGTTCTCCCTGGTAGAATCTGTCCCCTATTTCGTACATTAGTTTCCATGCACTGAGTCTCGCTGGTGTCTGTCTGTATCAATCCGCAGGTTGGGGGATGGTGGCATATTCTCATCATCATCGGAGTTACGATGAGGCTCCATTTCTGTGAGATTGAGGGACGGAAACTTAGGAAGGGCATACATAGAAGGTAGACGGAGGGTATTTGTTTCCCATCTTCAGACAGCGAGATCAAGGGAACCGCATCTGGCCGTCGCTCGAATGTCAGCGCGTTCAACAGCGGACCTTTCGTTATGAAATGGTCGTCTTTGCCCAGCAGGGTCATGGTATGCAAATCAACCTGCAAGTCGTACTCGCTCGAGTATTGGTTGTTGACGAGCTTGGTCCAAATTTGACTCAGGACATGGACAATGTCGACAGGCGGGAAAAGCCATCCGGTAGTGGGAGCCGACAGATAGTCAAGGGTGCTTTGCATCTCCAAGTAGCCTCGAAGACTCGCAACCAATGCTTCCGCATGCTCTTGAATAACCGGTATAGAGCTTAAGCATTCATATGCCACTTCTGGATCAAGCAAGAATGCGAGGAGGTCGCCTAGTCACGTTAGCCGAGAAGGGCAGTGTAGTGGCCAGAGAGCAATACCATTGTAGTAAGCTTCAAAATTGGCTGCAATTTCGGAGCAAGCATCAGTATATCCAGTCTCTGATCGCACGAATGCCCCCACTACTTGTCCTGCCCATAAAACCTGAGTCGTGACCCGAAGCAGGAGGGACAGTGCCCGAGAACAAGCCGGAAACAATCGCATTTCAACGGGATTATGGGATTACCAGTCTCTTTTTAATGTCGGGCGTTGGAAAGGAGAAGATCTTCGTTATGATAAGAAGAGATGGCAGAGAATAAAGTACAGAACACAAAGCAAAGTGCTCAGGAGGACTTGTATCTTCTTTCAGACGTGGACGGGCCGTGATGATGAAAAATGCTCACGCTGCTGAACTGGGAGATGGAGCGACAAACCCTCTCTGGATCGCTTGGTGGGATAGGTCCAGTGATTGAATGGCCAAGAGAGCCCGCTCGGAGGCTATCTCAGCCGCAGACTGATGAGGGCAGTAATATGCTCCTTGAGCCCGCCATCGCAAAAGATACAGTGTGTTGAGTGGCGTCCATGTGAAGAATTGCCTACCGACACCCGCGGTATTCGATTGTCCCTGTTCCATAATGTCCTGAATGTATTTTTGGTTGCAACCACTGATCTCCGATTAGTCCCTCTCAAGGAGGATGGGAGGGAGGAGCTGAAAATTGTTCGTATTCGCAGCCGTAGGGCGGAAGACGGTCTCATGCCAAGTGACCTGCCAAGTGACCTGCCAAGGGCAGGGCGGAGAGCTTCCTCCATTTTAGAAGTCTAGCCTCACTAGCCTCAGCTCCAGGCCCTGTGCTCCTTATGAACGTCAGACTTGGCGCTATGAGCCCGGCCACGTAGCTTGCGGTCGGTGATACTATCATTGTCGAGGTACGGGATACATACGAGTCGTCGTAGACTTCCTTAGGCAACATCGACAACGATCAGACTATTCTAACTAGAACATTTGCTACACTTCCCCCGTATAGATGGGTATATCTGGACAGGCTCTGAGGTAGAAAACCCCATTTCACAATGACCCAGTCATGGGCACATCTCTAGCAACATGTCGAGAACATAGGATCCCACTGTTATGTCAAACCAGCGAACATCAATGCTAGCAGGCCAGCCAGAAGCCAAATTTCTGCGAAGCTGAGCCTCATCGTGGGAGGCGCTGCGGATGCCGAGGTGGGTGAAGAGGCTGAGGCTGAGGCTGAGGACGTGGAAGGCGATGTTGCCTGGGTTGGAGAGGTGGAAGCCTGCGTCGAAGACGGCGCTGGTGATGCAGAACCCTCGATAGTGTCGAAGGCGGGATCATCTGCGTACTGCGCAGAGACACCCGATGAATTGCTGCATGCCGATGGCGGCGTGCCAACTCCTGCAACGAAGTTGACATGCATGCACTAAAATGTTGGAAAGAGAGAGGTCAGCAAACCATTCGTTTATCTAGAGCCCAGCTCTTGAGTCACCATGCACTTATGGGAGAAGTTTATACCTGGTAATGCACGCCGTCTTCCGCGTCCTGGATGACCTGGAGCAAACCCGCCGACCCTGCCCAGGAAGCTGGGGCTGTGATGGCGGGTTGACAGAAACTGTTCAGGCCAAATTCTTCGACAGTCGGGATCAGGACAGTCCAGTTCGGAGCCGACAGGGACGTGCCCTGCAGTCCACGGTAGGCGAAATATGCTTGTGCATGAAGGGTCGTGAGGCCGATAGCGTCGCCGCCGACGTGGAAATCTGTGATGTTGTCGGAACTCGAGGGATTGAAGCCACCGCAGGGCGATTGGTCCTCATTGTTGATGTTGTTTCCCAGAGGTGGCGGAGTGAGGATAATGAAGTGAGAATTACAAAGTGGCAGGAATACGAGGGCGAAGAGCGAGGTTAATTTGGGAACTCTCATGGTTGCTTGTCAGTGAGCAATCCTTGGTTGAGAGAGACAGTCTCAGCAGGGAGGAAGAAGAGAAAGGGTAGAGGGCGAAAGCGGGAAGCGCCTACTGTCTTTCTCGGAAGACATGATATTGAAATACAGGGCAGTGTGCATTGGTATCCGAATAACCGTGATGCTGGTCCCTCGTGAGAGGGTTGGTGTTTAGAAAAACTTGCTCACTTTCGCCCAACTTCCGGCTTGGTGCTAGCCTTGCAGACTAGTTCGTTCACGACCACGACGAATGCATTCTTGATAGGACAAGGGCTCCATGTGGCTTGCAAATGAGCGACGGAGCGTCGAATCCTTATGTGCTCAACAAGCTTTGGACTGGAGAATGAAACGAGCTTGAGCAAGATAAGCATTGTGCCCATAAATGCTTCGCGCCCGCCCTCAAGAATGCAAGAATGCAACACGACAGTCGATCTTGCACAAAATTCTCCCAGGGGAAACTCATTCGATCCGATATTGACAGAATGCAGCCAGCTGTGCTCTTTGTTGGCATCACGACCCTCGTGTCACTGGTGTCAGCTCACACCCAAATCTGGTATCCTCAGTGGCGTGCCGACTCCTTCGACCTACCGTTCTCGCAGAGAATCTACCCCTGTACGTGCCGACTTCATCTCACTGAAAAGCATCGGATACTCACACAGATTTCTTGGGATTCTAGGTGCCGGAATCTCCGACAACTCAACGACGCCGCGAACGGAGTGGCCTCTCACTGGAGGGTCTCTCAATGTCACTCTCCACGACGCTGCCGCCTACATCTTCATCAACCTCGGGTTCGGTGTGAATTCGTCTGACTTCAACATCACACTGTTCTCTGCTCCGCTCAACGAGACCGGCCCGGGAAATCTCTGCTTCCCCAAGCTCACATTGCCGCCCGGTCTCCCGATTGAGGAGGGGACGCAAGCGTCCATCCAGTTTGCGACTGCTGGCCATAATGGTGAAGGCTTGTACAATGTACGTATAGCTTTCAGACTCCCCAGGGCACCCTGGCTGACTGATTTCATAAACAGTGTGCTGACATTACCTTTACCAACAACGCCACCCTGCTACCAGCCGACCAGTGTCAGAACAGCTCGACCGTGAGCGTGACCACGCTTGGTTCTTGCTCATCCCCAGCAACGAATTCTAGCCCTGCGTCGAGCTCGACCACCGCTTCAAGCTCATCTGCAGCAGAAGTGTTCGCTCCATCGGCATTGATGGTCCTCCTGGCGAGTCTGTTTGTTGTCGTGTTGTAGGCTCTATCACCAACACGACCCCCGCATGTGGAGAGAGAGGGAGAAAAGAGGGAAGTGAGGACCCTTGGTGACAGTATGTCGCCTGACGGACAGACGAGTAAATGGAGAGATAGGGAAGGGAATGGAGACGAAATTGAGAGAGCGAAGAGTGCACTGGGAGTCTTGCTGGGCGGAGAAATAGCCGAAGGAAGCAGTGGTAATGGAGCTAGTCCCGAAATGGCCAATATCATCTGTCGGGGCCTCGTTTAGGACCTCGACTTGCCCGTTCTTAATTGCTTATTCATGCAGTTTAAGCAGAGGAAGACACGTATTTCTCTTCCCGTGTCAGTTGATGCCGGTGTGCACCGTCGTACTCAAGCACAATACACAGAATTGCGGAGACTTGAGCTGTAGACAAATTCCAGAGCCGAGACACCGAAACACCGAGAAACAGCGTCCAGTCAAACCTCAGGATAGAGCCTTTATTAACCAGTTAGGCTATTCACTGGCCTTGAGCAGCTACACATTGACCCAGCACTCTGGCCAAGACTCCAGCCATACTCTAGCTCTCAAACTAGTCTTCCTCCTCATGGAGTTGTTCCCGAGGTAGTTAACCGAGGAGGGTGCGTGGGGGCCTGGTGCCGTTTGGAGATTCTAACGAGCTCACACGAGTCTCCCACAGTACCTTCGAATAATTTTGTTGCTGGGGACCTAATGGGAAAGATTGAGCATCCTGGGTCTTGAGTTGCTTATACATTGAGAGCTGACGGCCCATTGCACACCATTGGGACCATTCCTGACCCACAGCCTTCGATGAGGCCTCTGGCCTGTCTCAAGTCGATACATCAAAGCTCGGCGCTTCACCGCAACCCAGGGGCCTGGTGGACAATAACTTGACCTTCAACCCTCTACCAGCTTTTTCTGATTTGTATAGTCGAACATGAGTACTTCAACCCAGACCAAAGCTGCCAAAGCCAGGAGCAGCTCAGAAATTCGGTTCATCTCGACGAAGCCCATCAAGAGACGAGCCTCACAGGCTTGTACTCAATGCCGTCATCGGAAGGTCCGATGTGACTACATCTTTCGTCGTCCCGCGTCCTGTACCAACTGCCGCCTGGATGGGACAACATGCGAGGTGCCAAAGAGCAAACGGCGAAGGTGTGTTGACTTTTCCTTGGATGAGGATCACCAGTTGACGTTAGTTTTAGGTCCCATTATGTGGACACGTTCTGTTCCATCACGCCGGCCACGCTCCTTTCTCAAGAGGTGGCCGCGAGCACACCCTGGCAGGAAAGTACTTCACCTTCTGATGATCCAGAAAGTGAGCTTCAATGTGGTGGCCATGACAAAGGTGTGCTAGGCCCAGCCAAAGCCCACTGCTTCCCCACTAATTGATGTCTTAGATATAATCCCTGGCCTTGTGCCGGAGCCCCAGGCGACTCTTGAACAAGCAGATGAATCCATGATGTGGAACAGCCTGACCGACCAGTTCGATCCGACCTCACAAAAAGACCAGCTCTGTGAGGCAGTACCACAGATTGTCTTGCCACACTATCTCCGCCCGGTCCCCAAGCATATTTCCGACGAAGACCTCGCCTACCTTCAAAAGAAAGGGGCATTTGACATCCCAGCCACCATTCACCGCAACGAGCTGCTTCGGTGTTACATCCAATACGTGCACCCTCTTCTACCCATCATCGACCTCCGCGATTTCCTGCGTGCCATCGACAAAAACGACCCTAGCGATACGTTCAGCCTGATGCTGCTCCAGGCGGTCATGTTTGCCGGCACCACATTTATCGACATGAACTACGTCCCCGGCTACGAAGACCGCCGTGCTTACCAGAAAGCATATTTCCAGAAGGTCAAAATGCTCTACGACCTCGACTACGAGGAGGATCGAGTCACGATTGTGCAGTGTGTTCTGCTGATGACCTATTGGTATGAAAGCCCCAATCACCCCAAAGACATCTGGCACTGGGTCGGCATTGCCGTTGCGGATGCCAGATCCATTGGCCTCAATTGTGTTCCCCAGGACAGTTCCGGCACCGTCCAACAGAAGCGACTCTGGAAGCGAATCTGGTGGGGCTGCTATATGCGTGACCGGCTGGTTGCGTCGGGGATGCGGAGGACAATGAGGATCAAGGAAGAAGAGTGCTGCGTTCAGGGGCTCGACATTGAAGACTTCGAAGCATGCACCTCCCTCTCTGATTTCGAGCACATGATTGGGTCCGCGTGCGCGGTCGGCAGCGGATCTACTCACGCCAACCTAGTCCGGCTCTGCATTGCCTTGGTCGACCTGTGCAAGATCGTGGCGGACATTTTGACTTTACAGTACGCCACGCCATCGCAGAAGATCGGCGGCACTCACGCGGCCACGATGAAGCTGCTCCCCAAGGAGCCGTCCACCGCGACCGAAGTGGGACGGCGCGATCGGGACCTGGAAACGTGGTACGAAGGGCTGCCCGTGGAGATCCGATACTCGTTTCCAGAGACGCAGGACGACAGAAGGCCCATCAGTGACCGTCTCGTCTATCTACACAGCGCCGTGGTAGCGAGTGTCTACGCCGCGATCACCAGCACGCTGCACCGACCGCAGTGTATGATTGGTATGATTGCCCCCTCGGAAAAGCACTTGACGGAAACCCAGATGACGTCCAAGATGAAAGTCTACGATGCTGCCCGCAAGGTGGCGTCACTGTACCGGGACATCGTCGCGCGCAACATGACCGACAGCGTGCCCAACACCAGCGTGGCCGTCCTGCTCCCGGCCTGCGTCGTCCTCCACGCCGATGCTCGGGCAACTGAGTCGCCCACGTGTAACGAGTCTCGCGCGTGCCTGGAGGATTGCGTCAAAGTTCTCCAGCGCCTCCGCGACACCTTCGCCTCGGCAGATTTTGCACTCTTGGTGCTCTCGCAGGCGATTCAGAAATTGACCCCTGCCATCCGAGGCCCGACATCTCAGATCGCAACCCCTCCGCAGTCGACAACGGACCAATTGAAGCCCTATCCAACGCTTGGCCCGTCGGATCTGGCATCCATGAATCTTCTTCAATCACCCCAGGAAAACAAGCCCCCATCGAGTTTGGAAGCGAGTCATTCACAGCCCTGTCTGGTCTCGGGAGGAGAGATGGATGCGGAAGAGGCACATTTGATGGAGACTGACGATCCAGTTGACGAAGCTGCTGGCCACAAGGAGAGCCAAATCGACGACGTGTGCGCGTATCTGGAGACCAACCGTGTGAACGACCCGTGGTGGGACGATCTCATGAATCTTTGAGCCGATTCGTCGTGGTCCTCTTCCAGACACCACCAACACTAGTGAATACGGTAAAGTTTTACCTATTCTTAAGAGTATGGTCTGGTCAGCTATTCCTTACTAATAGCTGCGCTATGATTGTGGGGGGGTCACCAACGTGCTATGGGATTTTAGTCTGCTAGGTCAAATATCCGGAGTCGAGACTGGTAATTCGGCGGCGGGGAAGAGGAATGCACCAAAGGAATCATACCCACGACTGGGGAAGACTTGGAACCCTTAATGACCGCGGATGACAATGTCATGATAGTAAAAAGGCGAGGTAATAACTACTGTAGACGCAAAGAATTTGACCCAAACAGACAGGCCTACCACGGACCAGCACGAAGAATGAAAATGCTCCACTAACTTCGGATGACTCGGCTTCCCAAGCCTCCTGGGCGAAGCTTCCCGCATACACTTCGACGACAAGAGTATAATACGGCCAAGATGCTGTCCAAGCGAAGCCTTGGCGGTGCTGCTGTCGCTCGCAAGGTAGTCGGTGGTCATGGCGGTTCTTTATCTCCGGCACTCGTTCTCCGGGCAGTCGGGCCATGGATGGATAATTGTCCCGGATCTCTCCTCCGCACTCCAAATGCTACTCCGCACATGGTGGTATCACCACGACCTCGTGCCTCCTGTTTAAAAAAGCGTCGTACTGTAGAAAGCAAGCCAGGATAGCAGAGAGACAGAGAGAGACAAAAGATTGACATGCACGCTGGGAAAATCAGGCCGCCGTTCTGAGTCCGACCTCAATGTTATCTTTCTGTCAAGAACTTGGATTTAAAAGCCGACCCTGGGGGCGGCACGTTTGAGGCTTTCCCCGATACATAAAGTCCAAGGTCCAATGTCTTGGCGTGCACGGACCACAACCCCATAGGGCGGAGACCTGGGGAACGTGTGCCAAGACTTCCGGGCTGGGGAGATGCCAAGCCCCGAGGGGAAAAAAGGGGCGTCCTTGGCGCCTGAAGAGAAGGGTCACGGGGTTACCATTCACCAACAAACACTCGGCTCGGAAGCGAGGGGCAGGTAACAGAGCTTTTGCTCGACAGGAGGGAAAGACTAGGCGATAGAACGCCCACACAACTTTTATTGTCAACCCTGGAATCACTTTTCCCTCTACAGATGCAGAGGATTACGATTGTATTATACTTCCCGCTTTCTCAAGCTCCTGCCAATAGACTCACGCTTTCGATGAGTTCAAAGTCGAAAAAGTTCTCGATACCGGAGAACAGGTCTTGACCCCCAAATTCAAAAGTCAATCCGAACGGATCCCGCGGGGTGGAGGCGCCGTGACGATGCTGCTCGGGGGCTTGTTGGTTAGGCACCACGCCTTCCATAAAGCTTGGAGTGCCATCGTTTGTGAATCGAGACCGGCTCGAACCCACTGTGCCGGCCGGTGATGCAGCATTCTCCTGTCTGGTTAATGGGGCCGCGGATGAGCCTTTGACCGCTTGAACAGCGGACTCGACAATCCTGGTGATGTCTGTGGCCGCCTCGTTCATTTGTCCAAGTTCACGGAGGATGGCTTGGCACGTGTCGAGATGCTCCAAAGCTGAATCTCGTATGGACCCTGCAGTCGACTTGGCGTCCAGGAGATGGACAAAGACTGCCGTACAAACCGTAGCTATGCAAGTTGTTGGCAGCGAGGGTGTCAACTGTTGCTCGTGCAACGTCTTGTGGATGGACGTGATCTCGTGCGCCGCCTGCCGTACTGACTTGGTGTGTCCCTGAGCATCCAATGCCTCGTTATCGTCGAACCAGTCTTCCCCAATCTGTAAGCACTTCGTCCAACTGGCGACTGATACCTCACCCTTGTGCAGCATTATCAACGCCATAAGTTGGGTCAGGTGTAAGATCGACATGGTCATCTGTAGCGACCTATCCGCATCTTCAGACAAATTCAAAGCCGTATCAAATGATGTTAGCTCCATGGGTAGTTGAAGTCGCCAGTCTTTGAGTTCTGATTCAAGCTGCCAAATTCTTGCATTCCGGTTCCTTTGGCAACTGACAAAGTCGTCATTGGAAGAGGCCAGTCTGAGAATGCGGTAAATTATGGTTGCAAGCTTTGCCTTCTCGATGTATGCCATCTCAAGGCGCCGTTGGATCCATGGATCTCTCCGGAGCTTTCCAGTCTCTGGTAGATGCGTATAATTGCAGAGTTGAGAGGTGTTTGTGAATGCGTCGTGCTGAGGCAGGGCCAGGCGATGAGGTGATATCCGCGGCGGTCTTCCCAGCGTCAGGCACACATCGCACTCTTTCATGATCAGAGTCCACCAGAGTCTTTGCCGCAACATTTGCTCATGTTTAGGAAGGTTGCTATCACTCTCGGGCGCATGAAGCCTCAAGGAACATGCTTGACTGATCGCAATGCCCAGCCAATAAAATGGGTCTCGAGAGTGCTCATAGCTGCCCCAGCTGATGAGTAGCATGGCTGCTTGGCATGCTACCACGCGATCCGCTTCGACGTCCATGTCAAATAAGACCTAAACGCAACATTAGGCATGGGCGTCTGAATGGGTTCTGTTTTCTCAAGCGAACCTTGGCTTTGGTGTAATACTGTTTTCTCACAGCAACTTTTGAGTCAAACCCGTGGTCGAGAATTGTCTGGATATCGACAGCGGCTAAGCCAGCACACATGACAGCGTGATACAGAAGTAGAGATATCTTTTTGGACATATCTCCGAAAACGATGTCGACAAATTCATCAAGGTCAAGGACCGGGACCAATGGGTGGATGAATTCTGCGTATCTTCGGATGACGATCTTCTCTAGGTCCCTGGACAGAAACGTAAAGCATCCACGGGCTTGTAGATATCGCAGATCATCCTCGTCCAGGTGGGATGGCAGAGACTTGATAAATCGAGGGAGATAAGGCATCACAACAATATCACCTTTGTCAATGGACTGATTGGAGTAAGCGCCTGGCGAGGGTTGAGCAATGCAATCAAGCTCAGCAGACATTGCGTTTGATAAGACTGTCCCGTGACCGCCTTCTGTGGACTGTATATCTTCATCCTTGAACAAATCCTGGTAGATGTCTGTAGATACCTGAGTTACATTTGCGTCTGGCGAAGCAAGGATCATGGGTGCCGTCAGTGACATATTGACTGTATCATATGGTCTGAAACCAATTTAGCGAGGAATCCTTAGTTGAATAAAGAACGACAGCGTACCTGCGGCGCTTACTCTTAGGCACCTCGCAGACGATTCCATCTAATCGGCAGTTGGTGCATGACGCAGGTGACTTCAACACATAGTCGCAGCGGACTTTCCGGTTGCGACACTGAGTGCATGCCTGGGAGGCTCTCTTCTTCACGGGTTTATTTGGGATGAAACGGACACCTGAAGAGTCCTGTTTGTTGGAAGCTTTCGAATGGTGCGACATGGGAGAGCCTTTGGCTGCGTGGCAAGCTTCCGAGAGGTGTTCAGACGTGCGTTGAAGTATGACCCAGCTGTTGGGCTGAAAAAAGGCAGAGACAGGCTATAATTGACTGCGACGGGTGCCTTCAGAGATGGGAGGCAGCTCCATAAGGTGTCAAGTTATGTCTGTGTACCTAGGTATTTGTCGCTTTGTTAATACTTTTAGAGTAGACATTGAGTCTCTGTCTGTATGGTTACCACGAACATGAAAGTTGAGTCTGTCCTGAGGGCTAGCACCTAATTCCTTTCGTGGTTTGGCTGCCCATGGGACTCCGCTCGGCCGGTAGTGGAAGGCGAACGAAATAGGAGTGTTGCCGCGGTTAACTGTTTCTGGATCACGGAGCACGTCACGTCGAAGAAATATTTCGTCTCCGTCGTTGTTTCGTCATTTTCTCCCGCCAATGCAAAGGAGAATTGGGTGCTATTTTCTGCTTGTGAACGAAAATGATGTCAATCATCGATGCTATGAGTGTCGAATATGGTAATTTCCCGTGAAAGGGAAGCATAATTTCAAGACTTATACTGGCAGCCAGAGTTAGGCTAAGCTGTACGGCAAAAATCTGGAAACTGGAGAGTCGTCTCGAAAATGATTGTGTCAAGACGCAGAATCGAGTTCAGGAGATCAGAGTGTCAAGACAATGCGTTCGCGATTCCGAATTTCCCTTCCGAGGTGCTCGAATACTTCATCAAGGAAGGCCTTGGACGACTCCCAAGCTGTGAGTGTGTTGGTCTCCGTGTTTCCAGGCTTTTTGATAGCCATCCTTCTCTCGATCATGTCTCACGGCTCGAAGACATCCCTTAAAGAGACACCATGCTCTAGGGGTCGATGAGCACTTTGACGATATACGCCTGCATCAGAATGCATGCAGAATGGAAGACGATAGTCTTCTCCGAGAAGCGGATCCCAGAGGAGAAATATTTTGATCCAGTGGAGGGGAGATCGGGGTGAATGTCGATTTGATGCAGGACATGTAAGGGTATGATGCATTGGTTCGACTTGGGCTCTGGCCCACTAGCAGCTGCCCAGGCTGGAACTTTTCCCATAGTTGCTGTTCCCATTGGTTGTAGATGCTTCCGTCAACCTGTTTTCTGGAAGGGCTGGTACGTTTCAAGGGAGTTTTATAGCTGGTTGGGGGTTGATAAGACCAGAAACAGACCTGGCATACGGCATGACCAACAATTTCAACAGACCTCTCCAAGGGCATGAAAGGTCGTTCACGCCACCGGGAAGATCTACTGGAAGAGACCGTCCTTCCAGTAGATTTTCTCGGACTGTGGGGTATCGCAGGGGTTTAACCCGACCGTAAACGAGCCTAAAAGAAAAATCCAGTTCCAGCAGCTCTTCTGGACAGAGGTCATGCCACACGTCTGCTTTCCGGAGCTAGGACTCTCAGACTGTCATGATTCGTCTTCGACTATTGAAGCTGTCCCAGAGATGAGGCGGAGGCGAGGCGAATACGCATATTCGTTGACCTGCCAGAAAAAGAATTCTGACACGACAGAAGTGTTTGCATTGACCTCCGAGGAGGAGGGCGAGACGATCTTCGCAGATTCCTCGATGACATTGCCATGTGCTCTTATAGGTACTGTCTTGCAATCCCGATCGGCGGCAGAAATCCACCATATTGGAAGCTCAAAGCCAGGAAGCCATCCCAGGCTGAATCGGTATTGGCACAGCATTTTGTGGAACGAGCACAAGTACAAAGCTCGAACAGCAATAACCGTAGTCACGAGGATGAAAGCAGGAGATATGGCTTGTTCCAGCTTACGATTCTTCAGCAATCGTTACTTTAGCATGGATTGCATCCTGGTCTAGAAGACGAGGCTGTAAATGTAGCACTTCCATGGCTTGCGCTCCAGCTTCGTGTGCCGGTGCCGCTGGTGGAACTTCATGGGCACATTGTTGGGGCATTTGTGTCATTCTCAAGGTATGTCACAGGATCGTCCCATCGTGCCACCAAGCATGTCGAATTGGAATCTGACGCGAAGTCACGTGGCACAAGCAGGAAAAAGAATTAGTATGTGGAGTCGCGAGTGGCCGAACTACGTCCACTGCGCAGTCAAGAATGACTCAGTTGCACCAACACCAATAGGACCTGCTCTCTACTCATTGTTGGACGTTGTCTTCTGCTCTGATCCAAGGATTCCTTCTCCCAAACTATTAAGGGTCTATAACCCAGCAGCCCGCCAGCGATGGCCGAATCAAAGCCAGCCGCGGCCAGTGCGAGCACCCTTCTCAACCCAGAGGCAGCCTCATTCACAATGCCCCCTGCCGGAGGAGAGCCACGTCTTAACGGAACAACTCAGAGTACTCAGCCGACAACGATGAATGGAAATGAACAAATCAAAGACTCCAAAAAACCAAAACCCCGGCCTGAGACGGCCCCTCGAACGACCACAGAACAGAACGTCGCGGAAGCAGGAGCAGGAGTAAAATTAACAGGCGCGCAACTAAAAAAGCAGAAGGCGGCTGAGAAGGCGGCAAGAAGAGCAGAAAAGGTAGCTGAGAAGGGAGCCCAAGCCGTGGCTGAGGCACAAGCCCAACCTGCCACGTCAGGAACCAGGGCGGAAACGCAGCGACGGCCGTCGACGACGAAAAGAGAAAGCGACACAGGTTCGCATCATAAACGGACACCGTCTGGCAAGGCTCTGCCTATCCGAGGCGCGACCCAACAACAGCTGCAACAACCTCCAGGCTCGACGGTTCCGGAGAAGGAGAAGCGTCAGGAACTCAAACGTGTGTCCATGTTCTCTCACCTGTACCCCAAGGAAAAGAAAGCCACACTTTCGGGCGCCGGTCGAGAAATACATCCCGCCGTGATATCGCTAGGATTACAGCTCCGCGACTACGTGATCTGCGGCGGAAACGCACGTTGTGTTGCTACCTTACTTGCTTTCAAGAAAGTCATCCAGACATATACCACTCCTGCCGGCGTGGCGCTCTCTCGACATCTACTCACCCACCTCAACCATCAAATTGCATACCTCCGTAATGCACGACCACTAAGCATGAGCCAAGGGAATAGCATCCGATGGCTCAAGAACTTGATCTCCACACAATCTGTCGACGCGACCGACAGCGAAGCCAAGCAAAGTCTATGCCGGGCCATCGACTTGTTCATTCGTGAGAGGATCACGCTGGCCGATGAAGTGATTGCCCGGGAAGCCGGTGCACGAATCCAAGACGGAGACGTGATTCTGACTTACGGGAAGAGCAGTATCGTGGAGAAAACATTTCTCACGGCGCATCAGCAGGGGAAGAGCTTTAGTGTCATTGTCGTCGACTCGAGACCTATGTTTGAAGGCAAAAACCACGCACAAAGCCTCATACGGGCAGGTCTTAAAGTGCAATACATCCTCCTGTCTGGTTTGGCCGATGTCCTTGACAACCAATCTGAATCGGTCACCAAATGTTTCTTAGGTGCCTCGGCGATGCTAGGGAACGGGAAGCTGCTTTCTCGCGCTGGCTCGGCTGTCGTTGCTATGATGGCCAAGGAGTCGAACAAGAATAAAGGCCGAAATGTTCCCGTTATTGTCTTATGCGAGACGGTCAAATTTACGGCAAAGGCAGCGCTTGACAGTATCATCATGAATGAACTGGCCGAGCCAGATGCGTTGGTGGAAGCCCCCGAGGCCGAGATCTTATCATCGACGAAAGCACCTCAGGCAGCCAATGCGGCAGGAAAGGGCGCCAATAAAAAGCCGACTCAGCAAAAGGACAAGAAGGATGACGATGACGGGGATGAAAAGAGCAGCTCGTCGAGTCCTCGAGGGTTGGAGGACTGGAAAGATCAACCGAATCTGTTTCTACTAAATCTCATGTATGATGTAACACCGGCGGAGTTTCTCGACCTCGTGGTTTGTGAGTTGGGCAGTTTGCCGCCTCGGGCGGTGCCGGTGGTGAATGGTGTGCATGGGGACGACCAAGCATTGGCATGATGACTGTGTTGGAATGGCTCTTCGTGTCCTCTTTGGGGGATTCCATCAGTACCTAACTGGCACGACTAATTATGACGAGAGCATATCGGATCTCAAAAAGTAGGCAACCCCGTCAAGCAGCACAGCAATGTATGAGCATGATACTCCCTATGACTGGAACCCCAGCTACGTAGCCAACTCCAAGTCGAAGTGTCTGCAGCTCCAGTCGAACACGATCAGAAAAGGCGTGAAGTGGTGAGGACACGAATATAGACATGGCAAGGAAAGTGACGTGGGATGGCAGAAGGAAGAAAAAAATTGGAAATTGCCAGATGCGGAGTACATCTATCTCATAGACTGTAGCCGGCCGGGTCTGTTTCACCGTCTGGCAGAGACACCATGACTATGTAGCATAGCATAGCGTGCCCTGTTGTTTTCTTTTCTTTTTCTTCCCCGCGAAATGCCGCAAAGGAAGCCACAGTCAATCATGACTCCATTGAGTAAAATAAAAAAAAGCCATAGACCCGTGCAAACCACCCTCGTTGACGGTAGCGTGTCTGAAGAGTCCTCCCTCTCCCGTCTCGCATCGCAGCCAGCCTTGTGAGGTGGGATCCTCACTCCGCAAGCCCTTTCCTTCCCATTTTGCTTTTCTTTCGCTGCACGGCTCTGCTCACCGAACCCCCATTCCGTTCGTCATTGAGGGTTTGTGATCTCGATTCCTACCCGGTTGACAAATTGGCAAGTCTCGGGGCGTGGAACTTATCGGTGCTGTTCGCGGGAAGGTTCCATGTTAGCCAAACGTTCTGTGTTTTCGTCGCGATACGTCCAGGGTCTCCCTGCCCATCTTGCGCACGTACCTTGATGAACCCGATATCCTGGCTCTTCTCCCGGAAGCACTGACGGCAGATGTTCAGGCCGTATTTGCGGATCAGACCGGCTTTGTGGGTGCAGACGCGGCTGCGAAAGACGGAGTGGTTAGTATATGATCTCCATCCACGTCTGAATGATTATTATTCTTCGACTGGTGTTAACCCGCGGGACATAGGTCTATCGATCGCATTGACCCAGAGTGCCTGGCCCCATCGTTGCAAGACGATCTCAAGACGATTCTTTTTAATCAGGCAAGTCTCATTGAATCCAGTTCCACAATCCATCTCTTTCACACAAGTCTTCCTTTCGGGGTTGTAGGACGACATAAAACACGTACCAGGCGCGAGAACCCTTGCCGAAGTTTCGGGGACGGGAGTACCAAACGCTCTCGTGAGACATGGTTGCGGTTTTCCGTCTAGGTCTCTTGCGTAAAGAATCGGACGTAACGTTCGGTTGGGGCTCTGGTCGTGGAAAAATATGTTAGAATGTGTCTCGCGGGCACGCAAAGTTCTCGGAAAGGATTGTTGGATCTCGCTGATATGGCGCTGATGATAGAACGGCCGACCGCATTCAGGAGAAAGAAGACTCACTGTTCAAGCTGGCGACAACTAACTGATCGTTTGGACGGTGTGGTGGAAAGGCACTGCAATTGTTCGAAGTTGTTGAAAGTCCGGTCGGAATTCAGAATGTGGGTTCCGCAATGCCAAGGAAGTCGCACGTCACGTGCGGACGCTACGGAGGTCGATGTTCATTGGTCGAAGCAAAAAGGCATTGCTTCCCACCATATACGAATTGTTCATGATTCTCCTAGAGTATGAGACAGTGGCAGTAAGCTAATTGAGGCTCTGTCCGTTCCAAAACGCTCATTCTTTTCTGCTGAGTTCCTGCACCTAAATTCACGCACCGTCTCTGTCAAATATGTGAAAGCAGCCTCTTAGCCAATCGGCGCTGACTTTGGAACCTGCATTGGTGGCAGGAGTTCGTTCATCACGATTCACTAACTACCTGGTCTGGTGTCGATTCCCCAGCAACCGATGACTCTCCGCATGACGGGTCGGCATTACTCCCCGGTCCAGGTCCGATGTGTTCTTGCGTGACAATGCTTTTTTCTTCCAAGATGCGAGACCCCTCAACAAAAGGCTATTAGTTAGGCCTGGGCAACTCTCGTGGAAGAGGTTTTCATACGTTCGGAGGAAGAGAGAAACCCCCGTGAGGCCTGAGAATCCGTTGTGTGGCAACAATCATTATGCCAGGCCTCAGAATCGCCTTCACAGGTGGGTCAGGCAAGGTTGGCCGACATGTGATCAAGGAACTACTTCGCTACGGCCACCAAGTCATCAACCTTGACCTTGTCGACCTTGCGCCCTTGTTCAAGGACTTCCCCGAGCTGCAGGATGTCCACACCATCAAATGTGACCTCACCGACAGCGGCCAGGTGTTCAGCTGTCTCAACACGCACATGAAAGTAGGCGAACCTTTCCCCGCAGAAACACCACGACCTCCAGACGCGGTGATCCACTTCGCCGGCGTCAATAAACCGATGATCGTCTCCGATGGAGAAACGTTCCGGATCAACGTCATGGGCACCCACAACGTGATCGAGGCGGCGTGTAAGCTGGGGATCAAGAAGATTATCATTGCGAGCAGCATCACCGTCTATGGCGTCGCCTTTGGCCAGGGAAATTTGGAATACGCCTCCTTTCCGGTCGTCGAGGAAGCGGATTGTAACCCAACGGATCCCTATGCGCTGTCGAAGCTGTGCGGTGAGCGTACTGCGAAGAGCTACGCGACGAGGTTCGGCGTGGATATATACTGCCTCAGAATCGGGAGGGTGTTCGAACCGGATGAGTACAACGGTGACGTGTTCCGGGGCTATGTCCGCGAGCCGGAGAAGTGGTTTCAGCATGGCTGGTCCTACACAGACGCGAGAGATCTCGGTCAAATATGCCATCGCGGGCTTGGGAAGTCGGATCTCGGATTCCAGATTTTCAACGCCGTCAACGACACCATCACCAACTTGAGCGAGGATACGGCCCTCTTCCTGAGGAAGTTGTATCCGCATATTCCGCATACGAGAGAGCTGCGCTCGGGAGAAGCTCCCATCAGCAATGAAAAGATTCGGCGGCTGTTGGGCTTTAAACAAGAGCATGATTGGCAGAGTTACTTTGGGAGTGATATGTAGGTAGGACTTGTGGCCGTTCGCTGGCGTTGTTTGGCTGCATGGTCCAAGGCTTTAGGGGGGTTGAAAGATGGTATTTAAAGAGTAACGATGGACTACGTAAGCAATTTGTCTTTGCACGTCTTCGTGCAGCATTTGACGGAACACTTGCTTGTGCCAAACTTACAGCAGGGGGAGGGTTAGCGACGGAAGCACAGGTACGTTCCACTTGCGAGGGAAGGGTCATAGGAAGCCGCGTGGCAATGTCATCAAAATTTCATTACGCTGATACAAACTCCACGCTTTCGTACAGATATCCTGCTCGCCTTTCCTCGTCAATAGGTTGAATGAAAAAATTGATTATGGTACATGTTTGCCGGATAGGGCATTTTGTGTATGGTCGAGATGGGATTTATAGGCTTCTGGCACATCCGTCGGCGGCGTGAATGTTCAGAGGACCCTTGCACGTCCATCCGCGTGGGAACCCATCTGCGATCCACCAGATCTGGTAGCTGTTGATCGCCGCCAGGGTGCCTGCCGCATCCTGGCACGCGTAGAAGAAGTTGCGTCCGTGGTTCTGCAGGGACCCGTTCCACGTGAAGCTGAATTCGTTGGTGCGGACGCCGGAGGGCGGGGAGCCGTGTGGCGTACTGAATCCGACGGGCTTCGACTGTTGGGGCACCACGTACATTTGCTGCCAGCCAGTCGGGCTGGTGTGGATGGACTGGAAGGTCAGCGTGTCGATGCCGTTTTTGGCGCCGGAGACGATCAGCGGCTCCGAGTAGGATTGGTACTTGATCTGTCCAATGTAGGCAGAGCTGTTGGCGTAGAACAAGCTGTAGGACTGGAGCTCGTTCATGTTGAAGCGACCACCCCCTATGGCGAGGTCGTATGTGGGTGCGGAGCGGCGCTCGATGTCGCTGACTTCGGGTGCTTCGATGGGGATAGCCGTGGTGAGGCCGAGCAGTGCTGCGGTAGCAGCGAGAAGGACGGTTGATTTCATTGTGAACGATTGGAGAGGGTGTTACGAGTGACCACTGAAGTATACTCAGTGTAGTAGAGCTGGTGTGTGAACAAACCTTGCTTGAAGTGTGCCTGTACTGTACTGTCTGACAAGAACACCATCTTTATATAATAAATTTGTCACACGCATGGGCTGATGTACTTCCATACCTATCTACCCACCTCTCTTCGCCATTAAGCTAGGGGCAAAGAGATCCAAAACATAGGGAATCGGAGAGTAGGGAATTGACCAGAGGATCCCTGAAGGAGGGTTTTCTCCAAAGGAAATAGTTGCGCTAGGAAGAGCATCAACCGTGCGATGAGCTGAGCAGATCATGCTATTAAAAGGTATTGGGCGAAGAATCGCGGCTCGGCATTGCTGAATCACACTGGCATAACACCACTTAGCTTTCGTCTCTGACATTAGGTTGCAGCCGTCACATCCTCGCCAGCGTAGGACTGGGAAAAGCTGTCGAGAAAAGGTGAGAGGATCGGAAGAGAGGCAGTGTGCATCTACGTATGAGATGCAATGGATTTCCTTCTGCTGGACAAACAAGGGCCATGGTTGGAAGATGAAGATTAAGAAAAATATCTCAAAGAAAACATTCGCTATGAGAAGCAAAGGAAGTTGGCGGAAGCTCTTGGCCGAGTTGCGGGGATGGCTAGACCATTTCGGGAAAGGCGCGATATTTCACCTATAACGATAATCGCGCGATAGTCAAACCACCACCAGCACTTGCTGTTCACCTCCAATAAGAGGACGCATCTCTGTTTCTAGTCGCCATCACAAGCCTTCGTACGTGGTGCCACCGTCTAGGTAATGGACACACAGCCCCTTCTGAAAACCCGAAACGATGCCCTTGACACAGTGTCTCGGAATGATGTCCTCCCTGCCACCCGCACTGCTATCCTGTGTTGATTTCCTCTTGGCCATCACCGCGTTACCGCGATGATCACGCGACTCAGGGCTTCATACAAAAGCCCGGAAGATGCTGAGCCCCAGAACCCGTGATATTCCTTCTCACAGTACATACTTTAATGGTCTATATCTCACATGATCCCACTGTCCCTGGGTTCCCCAGACTAGACGCTACTTGTTAAGTCTTTAATTATCCCAGCCTACGTCGAAGCATATTGAATGGTCTAGGGCTTGGCTCTACCATCAAACAACGAGTCTACAAATACTTGAAAGCTCACCGTCACTAGTTTTGAGTGTCAACTTGAAGATGGACACGACAGTGGATGTCAAATCGATTGGGAAGCTCATCCATGCTGGATGCAAGCATCACCATTGTCGAAAGCACGCGAATGACTTGATATCTGAGTCCGTACAAACACCAACCGCTGCACCGAAGGTTGGAGAGGAATGGCCTCCCGAGTTCTTGCACTGTGGGATATGGCCACCACTGCAGCAGGCGTCTGAGTCCGAATCTGAGATCAACGCACCCGTCAGACCCAAAGTCAAGGCAATGAAGCAGAAAGCGCACGTCAAAGTCTATCCGGACAACATACCAGACATCGACGGGGGCGGCAGTGACAGTGAGTCTGGATCAGATGATTCAGACGACGATGAGGATGATGACAAGGTTGCCACTCCTGCAGAGCCATTGACCGTGGATTCGACGGAGCTCTCAGACGCGATAGACACGTTGAAAATCACCACCAACGGTGCAGACAAAGAAGGGGATCAAAATGGGAACGAGAAGAGTACGTCATCGCTGCAATTGTCACGAGTTTTTCTCTCACCGCTTACCCACCGGCGTTTGTAGGAATGACCAACGTCATCCACGCTCTAGCTAAAGCTCCATACTCGGTGCTCAAGCTCGTCGCCAGGCACGGCAACAGCGATGGAAGTCCACGGAGAGGATACGATTCGAGCAAATCACCGCGCAACAGGCTTTTCGACCAAGAGGTCGTCGCCGAGGCCCAGGCCCGTGTGGAGATCGCCGACTATCTGGACAGCTTGATTGACCACGGCGACTACGAGGAAGGTTACGGTTGTGTGTGGCCGCTCGAAGAGTACCGTCGGTCCGGATGGGCCAAGGAGATGGTCGCCGCGTACCCGGTGGAGAGTGCCGAGTTTGTACGCAAGGTGCATCAGGAGTGCCACAGGCGACAACAGAACGAACCCGAGCCAGATTGTCTCTGAGACGACAGGCATGGTGATGATGACGACATTACTTGTATCTTCACGACCTGTCTGTCAATGTACATATTTGGAAGTGCACGACGTGGACGGCAGTGCCGGGACATGGGAATATCTCGGGGTGGACACCAGGCGGAGTTCGACGGACACTACGAATGGCTTATGGTTTCTGTTTATGGCCATTTTTTCTTTCTTTCTTTCTCTCTCTCTCTCGGGCCAGAGAGGCAGGCCCATGTGGTGGAAAGACAGACGGCCAAATGATTGAACGATAAGGTTGGCAGAAATTAGGAATGATGCACGCACTGGTCCATGGAAACCATCAAGTCAATTTGCTCGAGTGGTGAAGACTGCCACCCTCCTCGAAGGGGAAATGGTCCTTGCCCTCGACCGACCTGCAATTCCTCAAGCTCTCGGACAATATCAAGTCTGCCCCCTCTGCTCCCGGGTCCCCTTTGGTCTTGCCTTGCAGTCGTGCACGCACCACAAACTCGCAGCATGCGCGCGCCTTTGGCTTAGATCATATCAGCTGTCCACACTTCGTGGGGAAGCGAACCATGCGAGAGTCAATAGCTCCTCGACTGTAGATCCTTGTAATGGAAGGACATATTCCCACACAGAGGGGACAACGGGATCTTCTGTTAGTCCGAGGTGGAGTGGGCGGGGACACCTGCCACCCACCTGCTATTAGGGACACTATATCCGGCGAGCCAGTACCTAATTACCACTATAATAATTAAGTTTGTCACGCTTGTTCAACTACCTTACTTAATGCAGAGGCCCGAGGCGCCTCGCCTATTAATTATTACTGTACATACATACCCCACGCTTTTGTTTACTGATTCCTCACCTGCACCGTTTCGATTTAATATTTCTTGTCAATCGTTACATCCACCCTCCCATATCACAGACCATTGTTGCCCACGTCTCCTACGATCCCCCAGAAAGGCCACCCGCAGGAACAATGGTACGTCCTTCCATTCCACTTCACTCACTGCCCAATCCCTGACCTCACGCCCCTCCCTGCCTGTCAGACTCTCCTCCGTTCTGCTGTGTCTCTATCCGTCAATGTGACATAAGCTAGCCCCTCAACTAACCCTCGCCGTGAAACCTCGTTTCCTAGACACGCGACTCCTCGGCCACGTACATCCACCTGCATGCGTCGCGGCTCGCAGACGTGTTTGAAGAGTTCTGCCGGCCGCCGGCGTCGACCGTGTTCGCCCCGTCCACGGTGGCAGGAGCAGCAGCAGCAGCAGCGGGAGCGTCGAACCAGGGTGCTGCGGGTGCGGGTGCGGCGGGACAAGCCACCGGCATTGGCGGCGGACTAGCACAAGGCCTCATCAACGCCCACCACCACGCACAGCCCACGTACGGCACCCTCGCGGACGGCAGCGGCATGACCGCCCTGCCAGGCCATTACCTGCCCTTCGAGGAGATCACGCTCCCACCGCACCTCATGCCCGTCAACCCCGAGGACGAGGACGACGTGGTGCCCGACATGCACGCCGCCTTTGGCATCAACCGCGCCCTGAACCAGAACCAGTCCTTTGGCGTCATCGTGCCCGGGTCGGCGGCCGCGGCCGTCGCGGCGGCGGGGGGCGGCGTCGGTGGTGGTGGTGCAGCAGGAGGAGGAGCACTGGGCACAGATGGAGCGACTGGTGAAGCCAGCCAGGCGGGTGCAGCGAGGGAGCCGGTGTGGAGAGATCTAGGATTGGATGCGTTGGTGGCTGAGGCGCCGCGGAATGCGGTGTCTACAGTTGGTGGGCCGGGGGCTGGACGCAGGAGAGAAGGGAGAAGGACCGGGCTATTGCTTCTACGGTGATGGCTGGATAAGGACGAACAACAATCGAGAGCATGGCGCCTGGATGCGGTATTGGGTCACGGGCCACGAGAAACACGACATGCATGCATGCATTCATTAAATCCGCAGCGCGAAGCCCAGCATTCTATTGATACGGGCGGCCGGATCAGCCCTCCCCCAAAAAACAGAACCTCTATGGGGTGGAACAAGATGCGGGCCAACCACTATATTCTTACGACGTCGACCCTCGCCCGTTCAAACACATTATGGGTCACGGCTCGCGCTGACTTTTCCTCCTCGGACAAGATGCGCGGATGTAGCGATATCTGGGAGTACGTCCCTGCCGCCTTCCGCTTGGACAGTTGTCCTGGGTTGATGACCATGACGCTGTCCACGACCTGCACAACAACACCCCACTATCGTCAGCTCATTTCGAAGATACCAGGATCGAAAGGATGGAGATATTATTTGAATGCTTCGGGACAACATACCTTGACGGAAGGGGTCAACATGCTCGGAAGAATGAGCACGTCCGGCTTGACCTGCATCCATTCACCGAGTTTGAGATATCCCACGTCCAGACACGCGCCGGTCGCTTTCACGATGCCGTTACTGGACAGTTTGTCCCTCGACATGGGCGGGAACAGCGGAAAGAAGTGCCGCTGGTCGATCAAATACCCAGGCAACCGGGTCAGGAGATCTTGGCCCGGACCATGGGACAGTTGCTCGCGACTGAGTTCGTATAGAATGTCTTGTGACGACACCCCAAACACCACCTCGTTTAGTGAAATGAAAGACGGGTTTGGAAGCATGGTGACCTGCTTGGGTAGCGCGAGGTCTTTCTTCGTGAGCCGTTCCTGTGGCCAGCTGACGTGTTTGCTCATCAAATCCCGCGTGCTGGGGATCATCACCACGGTGATGCCCGGGACAGCCGAGCACAGACGCTGTAGGGGCGTAGAGATCCAGAGTCGGAAGAGGGCGGCCAAGCTGGCTTCGTGATCCAGCCCTCGCACGTCAGGCAAGTCGAAATCGCCCGATGCGAGCATTGGGTGCTCGATGTCGAGAAAGGGCCCCGCCAGGATGAGAGCGTCGGCCATTGATTCCTCGGCTTTCTCGCACAGGGCCTGGAGCGGTTCAAAGTCGAGGTTGTCCTCGGCGGTGAAGGGGCCGGAGCTGATCATGATGTTGAGTGGGAGAGGAGGACTGGAATTGTCCGCCGACACGTCCAGGCGCTCGTTGATCGCCTCGATGTTGCTGGGCAAGGAGGAGGGCATTGGCAGCTTCGGCAGCGAGAGCACTTCCTTGACCGTAAAGTACAGCCCGGATGCGTTCGTGCCTCGGAGCGCGACGATCTGGCCCGGGAAGAACTGATAAGACGGCAGCCCGTCCACCTTCAGAGGCACGCGCAGGCCCGCGCCCATGCGTCGGGACATCTCCAGGACGAGCGACGCAGAGTTCAGCTTGCCATCGGCCGTGTCGCATGCGATCCTGCCCACCGCCACAATCTCGCTGGTGCGCTGAGCCGCCGCATTCCCAAACGCCGAGTCTTCCAAGTTGTGGGCTTTCTGGACCAGGGCCAGGAAATCGTCGATGCGTTCGTCCAGCACCTCCGACGACTCGCGAAGGCGCATGGCCATCGGCTTATACTGAAACTTTTTGTATTCCGTTCCCGAGACCAGGCGTAGTCGCGCTTGAGAGAAAGGCGCCATCGGTGCTTCGGCGGCGGAGAGGTGCTCATTCAGCGTCTCAATGATTTGTCCCGCATTCGGCCGTTCTGAAAAGGGGATGCCTCTGTCCGCAGTTAGCCAAGGGACGTGTTCAGAGCACTGAAGGAATGACATACGCGGCTGCATCGAGTTTCGCAGCCTTCCCCGGTGTCCTGTTTGTCGTCTCCGGACGGCTGACTTTCCTGGGCACCGGCGAGTCGAAGTCCGCCTTCCGCTTGACACTGCCGTTTCGTCGCGAGATAGCATTGGGAGTGAGCTCGTCTAGCCTGTACTCTGCATCAGCATCCCCCTTCTCTCGGTCGAAGGGGAAGAAACATGTCACAACATACATCCCGAACACGTCTGAAGTCCCCACAGCCCGGGGCGTCGCATGAACGAGACTCTTCCGCTCAGACTTGATCGCGGACTTGGGGGCAGTGTGCTGAGTCCGCTCGCCCCTCTCCACGGAGTCTTGCACGTCCTTGGCAAACATGCGCGCCGTCTCGATGTCCAGCTTAGTCTCCTCGCTTCCCATCTTCAGACAATACACCTCCCATTTTATAAACAGCTCGTCCGGGGTAAGGGAGTGGATGCGCAGGATCGACTCCAGCGCGCCGAGGATGTCCGGGGACAGGCCGTTCCCGGCGGGATCGAAAACCGCGTTGAGGTTTTCCTTCATGGCAGTCATCGTGACGGCCGACGGAGTTCTCACAGTATGAAAAAAATTCAGTCCGTCAGTCTCACTGCTTGAGGGCGGTGGTGGTCGTTTGTCGATACTGAGGCGGAGAGAGTGTTTGGACAATTGGACCGCAACGCGATGCAGGACGCGTTAATTAATGCCAAGATCTGGCGTCTCATCTAACCTATTTTAATCAACGGGGCCTCCGGGCTTAATTATATAATATCATAGCTCATCCTTATGAAGTATTGAGAGCTTGTAACCAATTCCGTAATGCACTTGGGACTACAGATACCGAACAAACCGTTCTTCAGAGCCGGTTCAGAAATGTGAGAAGTGTCATTAGCTATCGGGTACGGCCATATTGTCATATCATGTGCCGCCTCCATCGAGCAGCCGACTCGTCTATTACTATCTTGGTCAAAACCGACATTTCCATTCCTCTTATTACCGTGCCCGGCTGGATTGTAGGTCGTTGCGCTCGTATCCCTGCAGTCAGCCGTGTCGTTGCAGCGCCGTCCCGAAGACTCCAAGTGCAACGCCAGGCTATTCCTCGAACTTTGTGGTGTCCCTGTATCCGTACTCACCCCCGACCTGTCGGCGGCAATGCGCAAGGCGTCGTCAACCCAACGCCCTTCATGAATCCCGTCCCGTTTTTTCGCTGAGGCATTCACTCATCAAAATTCGTCTGCATGTTCCTTGGTAGCAGACAGAGTTATCATGCGCCGTAGATCTTCTCGGCGTTGACATGTCCGTGCCCAGCGCCGTCTTTCTCCTCGCCGTCTACCAGCAGATAGTGCAAAATGTCACTCAGACTCAACACTCCTTTGAGGTAATTCTGCTCGTCTACCACCATCAACCGATGAACCCGGGACTTCTTGATCGTTTCAAAAATGGTGTCTAACCCGTCTTCGAGTGAGCAGCAGTAGATACCGGGATGATTAGGCGAGCGACAGCTGAGAGCTTTGCCCACGGTCCAGGTCAAGTTGCCGTAGTCGCCGGATTTGAGGATCTCAATCACGTCAACAGCCTCGAAGACGTTCAGGAGCATACCTGCGGAAGCTCAGTCAGTATCACTCAGATCGAGTCAAATAAGGCGACGGGAATCATCCGCGACATACCCTCCGTCGTAACAACCGGCACACTACTGATGTTCTTGGTGACCATCTCATCGACCACATCCAGGACCGTGGTGTCCATACTACACCTCACAATGCCGGTATAGGTGCCCAGTTTGATCATCTCAAGGGGCTTTCTCAACATATCCGTCTCTTTGACGTTCATCGAGATGAATTTGAGGATACGGTATTGGGTGATGACCGAAGTGACCATGGTGCGTTGGGTGTCGCTGTCATAGCTGACTAACGGTATTCGACGAGCACGCGAGACAAGCTGTTTGCGGAGAGCATCATAGAGGATAGCTTCGGGCGAGGCAGAGACCGTCTCGGGAGGTTTGACGTTGAGGACTTTCTCGACATCTTGCAAAGAGTCAGTTGTGCGCGATCTTGAATTCAGGGTCCGGTCTAACCTTTTAGATCGCTGAGGAGCAATTTATCGACATCTTTCAGCTTATCGGCGTGGACATTGTAGTACCTGACAACGTTGAGGTAGTCGTTGACGGTCAAGAGGCCAGCGTATGTGGAAGTATTCGAGTCCCAGAGCGGTGCGGAGACAATGCCTAAGAGCACCAGCATTAGTACAAATTCCCCTCCATCATTCCTACCCCCAGAGCTGAGGACATACCACACTGGACCATGATCTGTAAGCTCTCCTTGACCGTAAGGCCGACATCTAGTTCAATCAGACGAAAACTCAAAGGTAGCACATCGTAGCATTTGCGCGCTCGAAGAAAGTCTCGTATTGCCTGGATGCCGGCTCTTTCATCTCGGTCTATGGGACGCTCTGTCTTCGGAGGGGCAGGAGGAGGAGGTATGTTACGAGGAACAGCCTTAGGCCGTAAAAGGTCTGATGGTCTGAGGAAGGTGGCCTCGGCGGAAGGAGGAGGAGAAGGAGAAGGGGCGTTATTCTGAGTATGCGGGTGGTGGTAGTGTTGTTGGTGGTGATGAGGGTTGTGCTGGGACTGGTGGTAAGGCCCTGTCGGCTGGCCGTTTGGCGGGGTAGAGCGCGCATGCGAAGGCGGCTGGGTCACCTCTGTGTCGTCTGCCATAGCGACCTGTCAAACCGCATCTTTTTCCTTTTCTGCTGGGACTCGCAAACTCTGCTTCTCGCCCAGTGGTGTGCGATGATGTGTGGTCGTCGAGGGTGCAAGAGACAAAGGATGAGCAAGAGTGGAGAAGGAAAAAAGGTGGGCTGGTGTCACACGAAAGGATTCCCGTAGGGCAGAACCGTTGAGGAGTACGGTAATCTAGCAACTTGGGTAGACGAGACTTGGAAGGATGGATGGATTTGTGAATGGCTCCCTGTGTGCAACAAAAAGAACACGAACCTGCGAGATGCACGCCATATCCCGTCCTCCCGTCCTTGCGTCTTTGGGCTCACGATTCAGGGCTGCCAACCGGAGCGGTAGTCCGAGCAAAGCGGAGGGGGGGATAATCAGGGATGTGAAATGGAGGGGCAGAAACTGGAAATAATTAATCCGATGCCTAGTGAGGCCCCCGTGCCCCCCCAATAATTAGCATAGTGACATGTGATTCCCATGCCCATCCCTATGCCCCTGCTGCAGGTATTGGTACGTATCCCACGCAGTAGTCACAAGACAGTATGCCTGTTCCTATCATCACAACTCCTGTCCCTGTTCTATTCAAGGCACTCGAGAGAATGCAGGGTGTGTCCATGTGGCCAATCGGTATCTCATGCAGATGATTGCTGTGCGTCCTTCTCGCGTTCGGCCAGCGACTTCTCGCCTGCTCCCCTGAGGTATTCTTCATATTCACCAATTCGCTTGCCCCCTTCCTCCCATCGGCGCCGATACTCTGTCCTCTTCCATTCGCAGAGGTCATTGAGAGCGGGCCAATACACGTCGTGGTCGTACTCGAACTCGACGAGTCCCCCACTTTCCTTCAGCAACTGTTCCCGGGGCACATGTAGTCCCATGTCTTCATTGAACTTGATCTTCTCCCTTGTCAATGGGTCGATGAACGGTGTGATCAGCTTGAAGAAGCCCCAGATGTAGAATGGCACATTGGTCACAAGAGCACGGCCCAGTCTTTCAGGATAGTGGTTCTGCAAAATGTTCAAAGTCTGCTTGCCCTGAGACAGTGTTGCGCCCTGTCCGGACTTGGTCTCGGCAAAATTGATGAGCAGAGCGAGAGTCTCTTGCCCTGCTGGCATCAGGTCAATCGCCCGTTCCAGCATGAACACCAGGTGCTGGATCTGCCGATCGCTCCGCTCGGTATTCTGTTTGGATGGTCGCAGGTATTGACAGGTCCGGCCCTGGATGTCCCACCCCAAGATCACCTGTTTACCAGTCGCGTTTTCAATCGAGATGTACTCCTTCGTGTGCTTCTCCAATCCGTACTCGCGTCGCCAGATCAAAGTATTCCTCAGTCTTGTTTCCGACTGCGCCACGTTCCAGTTTGTAGCCCTCAAGTAGCGGAGCAAGCATTCCCGAGTGAGGAACATGCGTTCTGAGTCGGTCAAGGGTGTAGACTTCGCTCCTTTCGCTGAGGACTCTGGGATCTCGGTCCAGCCAGACACGTTCTTCAAAAGAGCGGCATATTTGCCTTCTTGTTCTGTCGTCAGCGCTGGCTTGGGACAGGGCTGTGAGGTTTCGAGCGGTTCGGCTAATGGGGTCTTGATCAGCCCGTCGGCGGCGGTTCGTGGCAGGGTAGGCGGTTTCGCTGCAGGGGCTGCGGGCGTGGTACCATCGTCATGCTGCTGTTCTGTCACCGTGGCGTTTGCTGCAACGGCGGTCTCATTGACATCTTGGGCTTGGTTTGGAGGCTGTGTCGTGGTCGGGGTGTTACCGTCTTCAAGCTTTACTTGGTCAATGCCAGATGCCAGATCTGCGGCGGCCTTTTCAGGGTCAGTCGGCCCGCTGGGCACTGGAGTACTGCTCGCAACCTTAGCCGCCATGTCGTATACAAACGACAAGAATGCAAATAAAAGGATCGGCTGGATCCTGGGGCACGGTAGGTTCACATTCTGGACGTAGATAATAAATTCCAAGATTGTTGGGGAAAGTCGGTAAGACTAGATCGGAAGCCCCTGTTGCCGGTCAGCCTGATCAAGCCACAACCGGCCAAGTCCTACAAACGAATGTCAACGTAGTGGAAAAGCTGGGGATGTCATTCATTTTGCTCCGATTCGGGTTCTAGCTCTAGCTATGAGATGCAGAATAGCAGGCCTTTGTGGCTTGGACCACCTCAGCCTCACTAGCCTTTGGGGACAGGCCCGCACAACATCCTTCATCCTTCGCCGCAAAAAGCTCGTTGGTTCTGGTCGTTAAAACTACTCTATCAGTAGCACCATCTAATGACCTTGCTGTAGCCCGTTTTACGTGACTTTGGGCACCTCTTATTAGATCTTGAGCTCTTTGGCATCTGCTGGAGGCTGAGCTGCGTCGTTCTGAGAGAGCTTGCGCCATTTCAGCCGAAGAACTCGCTTGACGCCCTGTAACTCAGTTGGAGACTCTGGTCCCAGAGTGATGTAGTTGTAGCCGTCTTCCTCGAACATCTCGGCGCATCTGATTTGCAGGGTGTTGATCCAGTTGGGCTGAACGCTGATTTGAGCATGGTGGACGATCTTTTGTGGCTTGCCATGTTCTTCGTCGAGGTAGAATGGCCCGCAGTACGCAATGGTCTTCTTTGCTGCGTTGGCCAGCTCTTGAGTAGTTCCCTCTCTCCAGTCACGATCGAACGATTCGAGGTCCGCCTCTTGTAGCAACGCTGCCATGTAGCCGTCCTTGCTGTACATGATCTGACCTTTGCAGTCCTTGCCCATAGGGTAGATGATATCTTCCGGATCATCAGGGTTGAAGGCGACGTACGACACCAGACCCCAGGTGCCGATGACGCGAGACCGGAAGGATGCCATGTCGGGAGATCGGGACTGAGTGCTGTCAGACATGGTTTCTGGTAGGGGTTGAGATTTGGGAGGCATTGAAGACTTGATCTTGTTCAGGTTGAGAGAGAGAGAGCAATGCGAACAGATCGATCGATAAAACGAGTGGGAGCTTAGTCGACGAATATAGAATGAAAGCAAACTTGGAACTTCAGACGAGCACAAAAATCGCAGGAACTGACCCGTTCGCAAGAAGAAGGAGCATGCCAGTCCGTATCTAGCAGCACATGGTCCGGTACAATTCAACCATCGATGACGCGCTTCAGCAAGACTTATATCAGTTAGAGGACAGTGTCATCGCATTCTCACAAGCACAGAACTCCTTTAGCACAGATCATGCTCATATAATTCCGTGAGGCAGGCGCCGTTTCACCCATCAATGCTGCTTCGGCACAAAACTCCTACCATCTCGTTATCTGGTTGTAAGCTCACACTGTGTCGTGATGATTCACAGGTGAGAGTGAAGAGAGAGAAGTTTGAAGGAGCAAAGGGAGTTTGCCTCAGTGAATTCTCACTCTCCATCCTTGTATTTGGCCGCAGTAAAGCCGACAGCTACGTAGTTGTAGGAAATTCACTTGCTCCGCCGTACTACGACGTCAAGGAACAATATGCGGCCTTTGTTAGAACTGTGTACCCCGTCAATTCTGTTGCCTGAGCAGGTCTCTGGTCTGAGCGCGGACCTTTTCGATCTGTGGCTCTAGTTGCTTGCTTGATTACACCTTGTGATCTACATCCACACAAAGCCACCACTCCCAAGATGCCGCCGCCTATGCCTAACCCCGCAAAGCGGATGACTGCAAACCCTGCACGACCCGTTGCAAGGTATCGTCCCGGCAAACCAGTTGCGGAGCAAGAATCGTCTGACGAGGATGAAGAACCAGAGGAGGAACAGCAGCGACCGCCACCGCAGAGGAAGCCACAGGCCACCAGACCGCAGCCGTCAAGGCCGCAACGACCCAGACAAGAGGAAAGCGATGATGATGAGGAAGGCTTTGTTACAGACGAGGAGGATGGTGCTGATGCTACTGCGGCGAAATCAGCGCAACAGCCAGTCAAAAGTACAACCTCTACAGCCGGAGAAGCTCCCATAAAGCGCGAATCTACAAGAGAAGAATCCGAGGAGGAGGAATCGGAAGAGGAGGAGTCCTCAGAGGACGAGGAGGAAGAAGAGTCCTCCTCCGAAGAAGAGGAGCCTCGGCGGAAATTCCAACGCCCGACATTCATCAAGAAATCAGACCGGAAACCTTCTACACAACCCTCCAATGCCTATTCAGAATCTCCTGATCCGGAAGTCGACACCCAAACGCGTCGTCTGGCCCAAGCCGAGCTTCTGATCAAAGACAAGCTCGAACGCGACGCTCTCGCCCGGGCCCAGGGTAAAAAGGCATGGGACGACGACGACGAACTCGTGCCGGAGTCCATGGTAGACGACACCGATGGCCTCGACCCTGCAGCCGAATACGCCGCTTGGAAGCTTCGGGAACTCAAGCGTCTGAAGCGAGACCGGGAAGCCCTCATCGCCCGGGAAAAGGAGCTGGAGGAAATCGAACGGCGTCGCAATTTGACCGCCGAGGAACGAGAGAAGGAAGACAAAGAATACCTCGAGCGCCAGAAACAGGAGCGCGAGGAAGGCCGGTCCGAGACCGCATTTCTGTCCCGGTACCATCACAAAGGCGCGTTCTTCCAGGGTGACGAGACGGCTGAGTTGCTGAAGCGGAGAGACGTCATGGGTGCACGGTTCGAGGATGAAGTCACTGACAAGTCCATTTTACCCGAGTACATGCGGCTAAGAGACATGACGAAACTGGGAAAGAAAGGACGAACGAGGTACACAGACCTGAAAGGGCAGGACACCGGCCGGTTCGGAGAGGACGTGAAAAGATGGAAGGGCAGTGGTGGTGGTGTCGGCAGAGGGTCTGGGACTGGGACAGGGGCGTTCGACACGAGAGGCCTCGACGAGCGATTCTTACCCGACGATGACCGCGGAGGTGGGAGGACCGGTCCGACAGGCGCAAATGCAAGTGCTGTTGCTTCTCGACGCGACAGAGGAACCGATAGGAACAAGGACGGAGACTCCCACCGAGACTCCTATCGGCCTCGGGACAGAGATCGGGATGAGCGAGGTGACAGAGACCGGGACCGAGACCGACGAAAGCGATCATACTCGCGATCCCGATCGCGCTCGCGGTCTCCTCGACGGCGGAAGCGGGAGCACTCGTATGAGCGAGACTCCCGGGATCGCGAGCCCTACCACCAACTAGAAAACCGTGCCAGGGTCTGAACATACATAACACACGTAACACACTGCAAGCCCCTTTTTTCGGCCCTAGCGATGGTCGAGCCGTCGCGCATGGGTCGTCGTCCCTTGCCGCCTTGACTCGAGTTGACGAGAAAAAGAAGAGACAATAGCCTCGCCAATACATATGCCCACGGCGTCTGAGATACGAACGAGCCTCCCCTTGGACATATGTAAGTCGTGGATGGTCTATCTTCCTCTAAAATGAGCAAGCAAGCAGAATGCTCCGGAGTGATGTTCTCGATCCACTGCACCTCTCTGTCGTCAAAAGGAAGGCCTTATCTCATTTGGATGAATGGTTGGGTTGATTGGCCCTCTTCCGTTCCTGTCCCGCCCTCCCTCCCTCCCTGTCAGGACGAGAAGCGAAGTTGCCTGCTTCCTATATAATCACAGAGTATTCGAGTAGTCGTCATCCCGCGCAAAACGATGTTCGGCCGCCGTCACAAACTGGCTGTTATTATTGCCTCGCTGTCTCTCATCACATTGCACACACCACACACACCCACACACACACACACACACACACGTTCTCACGAGAGACTCACAGCGCAGCGTTTGGACATTGTCGGAGCCATGCAACCGAGTTGGCGTCTGTATGCCGCCTGTCCGCGTAGGGTATAAAGATGCGTAAGACTCCTCCTGCTTGTCTCAATCCTCTAAGCCTTTTTCGCCTTCGCTATATCTTCACATTTCACAGACGCGTGGCTCCAAAGCCAGGACCGTGTCACAGAGAGAGAGATAGAAACGTAACGTCCAGAACATTCGCACCAAACCCCGATATATCAAAAATACAGAGGGGCAATTACTGGGGAATCAACATGGTCATTTTTAGGTGAATCTGACTGGTTCTGCACGGACATCTTTGTGCCTACGACACCTATCGTTTGACATGCAGGGGGCTCTTTCGAACCCTTCGATCTTTCTCTAGGACCGTTGGTTCGTTCGCCCTCCAGCCAAACGCCCCAGTACCTTGCTCTCTGGGAGTCCAGTATTGTCGGCTCTGCAACTAGGAGACCAAGCATGCGCTCTCCCCCGCAACCTTCATCGACACCATCGCATTTCCCAATATCTGTGTCGAGTTCGACGGACACTTGCGCAGGTACGGGCATGAAATATCCTGTTCTTGGTTCGCTTCAGGACCGGCATTGCAATGGTGTTTATGCCGGTAGACCTCCCAGCCACTTTCCCGACCGACCTCATTCGACTTGAGACGCCTCCTTTGCCGTCCCAAGGTTTTGGCAGGTAGACAAGGAACTTCCAAGTGCAGGGACTGGCGTCTAGTCCTTGCTTCTCTGTTCTCCCCCACAGTAAGAATGCGTTCACTCAGCGTCGTCTGACATAACGATAGAACATTGAACAGCCACCTGCTGACCCATTGTGTTACGGACCATGAACGAATCCAGGAGAACAATGATTCAGACAGGATGTCGGGGACAGACCATGATGTTGGAGCGCTGTGTGCGGGCCGGGAGAGTAGTGGGAGGCTCTGCTGTATATACATGGCGTGTGCCGCTCGGAGCAGAAGCATCCAGCTTCGTCTGGTACAACGCCGCAAGCCTCGAGCTGGACTCCTTTGTCTGACCATCGATTGAGGTTTCGTGGGAGGCAACCATTTTGAGCTCATCCCTTCGTCCCTCTGTTCTGTTTGATTTCTTCTCCTCTCCCTCGGGTCCAACCAAGGCTCTCTTTCTTTTCTGATTCCCCACTCCCTCACTTAACGCCCTGCCTCTCCAACTCCTTCTCCCGCTCCATCACGCTTTCATCAAACTTGATCAGAAACACCGTCCGGTTGGGCCACACCTCGGTGCCAGTGTTGTGCGCACTCGCCTTGCAAGAGAAGCCTGCGCCGTCACACACTCCCTCGATGATTCCCGCAATGTACGCCGCCACACTCAGCTGGGACATCTCCTTGGGGACCGAGATATACTGGTTCGTGAGTGGGGTGTTGTCGATAATCATGTATTCTCCCGGGTTCGTTGTGGATTGTTCGAGGGAGTCGGCGGGACGGGAGAACAGCAACGGGTAGAGCTTGGTCGTCAACAATGTCAGGAGGGGTAACAGCCGTAGTGGTCGAGTGGCTCCGGCGCCAGAGCTGCTGCTCGACGACCCTCCACCGGACGAGCTCGACCCTCCCAGCGGTGACGCCCGGTAGAGTAGCAGATCCAGCAGCTTCAACCCCAATGGATATCCTTGCTCGTTCAGTCTCTTTTCGAAGTCCTGTATTCCCTTCACCCTCTTGTGCGCGTAGGCCACCATCTCCATGAACAGGTAGGCGAAGCTGGCTCTCGACAATTCGGCATTCCGAGAGCGGTTGAGGTTGCGGTCGTATATGGTTTTGCGGGTCGACGGGTAACGTAGGGTCGAAGTGGACGTGATGCTGGTGGGAGTGCCCGATGTCCGGTCGGGGAGAGGGGTACCGGCCACGGTGGACGAGGCAGAGTATTGGGAGAGATGTCGAGAGGGGGAGCCGCTATGTGAAGGTGCGTAGTTCGAGAGGGATGGCGGAACAGCAGACATGGCCCTGGCGGTGTTTGCGATGGAGGCAGCACACAGGGGACAGAGGTAAATCGGTTATGCTATCGTACTGGTGAATCAACGAAGCGAACTGGTCTCCAAGCGATCACTGATAATGTTGATTAACATTCATTCTTCTGCGTATTATTGTCGGGACGCCGAAAGTGGAAAGCGGCCGCCGACCACTGCGATCTTCCCACGTATACTAAATGACATTATTTCAACCTCATCAATCGATATTCTGTCCATTTTCAAGAACGAACCATGTCAATATCCCTGTCTACATAACTCTTCATGTATTCTCCTATTTACCAGGACATTCCTTGCGCCAACATTTAGATCTTGCTCGGTACATCGGGCCACGAGATAGTAAAGCCAGTGGATGCGCCTGAACCTGGCAAGGTCATAGGAGGCAGGAAGAAGAAAAAAAGGGCATTTCGGGAGATCCGAGCGGGCGGCCGTATTATTAATGCAACAGCCTCATCCTGTTTCTTGGGCATGCTGTCTAACGCGAGCGTTCCGCACCCCATGCCTCCAGAGTGAAGATCATGATAACCAACTCGATCACAAGGGTTTCGTCACTTTACATCGTCATAAAATCTCCCGAGAACTTGTAGAATCAGATTGATCTCAGATAGCTTCGCCTGATCAAGCCGCTTGAGACGATACCGATTCCTCTCCTCATCAGGTTTTCCTCGAGACTCTATCCATATATTCTCTTCTGCGACCCTCAGATCTTGGGCCAGGCTCAATGATCCAGTGAGCGTAATCGTGGGCTGCGTTTATCTATAGCTGTCTCAGTCGTCTAGGGTCTCGGATCCGGTTGTTGGTCTTGCGGTTATCATTTCTTGGTGCGTGCCTCGTTTATCGTCCCGTCACCGTCCCATTCATGAAACGCCTTTTGTCGTTGTCTGGAGTTCCACTGTAGAGTCCTTGAAATGCTATTGACCCAATCTTCGCTTCGGCGCCCAGGCGGCATGACGTTAGCAAACGGATACCTAGAGGCCGAGATGGTCACATAATCGCCTGGAAATAGCTCAATTCTATCACCGGGTCAGCCCAGCTTCCCACCATACGCGGGCATGTGTATAAAGTCTCACCTCTCCCGCCCGTCAAAACTTGCCCACGAGTTTGACCGTGCATCAAAGGGAACCCCCAGTCGAAGAACAATGGTGTCAGGAAGAATGATCGGTCTGAATGATAAGGTATGGGCGCAGATTGCGGTGACGAGAATAACAGGATTCTCGGGATGACACAGGGAGCCTCCAGCAGCAAGATTGTAGGCAGTGGATCCCGTGGGAGTGGCTACACAGATCCCGTCTGCTTGCACAGTCGTAAGGTGTTCTTCATCTCCGAAAAGTTCAATGGTCGACATTGTCGGGTTTGGACCCCTGTCAACCACAATGTCGTTCAGGATCTCAAACGTCCGGTCTGGTCTGTGGGTATTTCGATCATCGGCTTCCTCTCCGATCAGTTCTTCCACGATGTCTCGATTTTCTGCGTCGTCGACTCGCTTATGGGTCCGCATCACAGTGCCTTCGAATCGCAATCTCAAACTGATTGTCACTCCGTCCTTGAGAGCCTGTGAGAGTATGTGTTGATAGTTTTCAAAGTCGAATTTCGTGAGGAATCCCAGAGAGCCCAGTGCAAAGGATAGAACAGGTGGTACCACTCTTTGAAACAGCCAACTCGCATAAAGGACTGTCCCGTCTCCCCCCAGTGTTACCACAAAGTCAAAGGTATGGGGATGCCTCCGAGCTAGCTCGGCGTCCCAATACCTCAAACGCTCGCGAAAGGACGGGTCTTCCGCACAAATGCCCTCAGCATCGAATGCCGGGTTATCTTTCAGGCTGTCCTCGACATACACAATGTAAGGCACGGACCTATCCTTGGAAAGTAACCACCTCGTCACCTCTTTCGTTTTGACAATCAATGTCTTGTCATAAATCTTGGTGAGCAGGAAGATGGCTCGGACCCTCAGTTTGACCTTTAGATTGCCCAACCTCTTCGCCATTGTCCTTACACTCATGGCCATATCACTCAGTTGTTTCTTTGTGAGCAGGCGCGACTCGGTCGCACGGGCCTCCTCTTTACTCAAGGCCTGTCCATTGGCGTCCAGCTTCGATGCAGGCTCTAATTCGTCGATCTGTTCGAGCTTTGATTCGACTTTGGACTGAGTTAGCGAGCTTTTCTCGACCAGCTTGTGGACCAAGCACTGGGATTTGGTGCGCTCGGCTTGGATCCTTTTCGGCTTCTCGATTTCAGGAGTTTCCGCAAGCACAGTGGAGGATTTTCGACGACGGGCGACCTCATTGTCGAAAACAACCTGGGACAAAGACGAGTTAGGTGGCGCAGTCCGAATTACCACAATACCCACATTGGCAAACTCACTTCTATCTTCTTGTTGTAGTCATCCTCACTGCTAGAACCGTCCTGGGGCTATTCCCAAGATCGCTGTCAGCATTGTTACTGCTCAACTTATGAAGCTGGACATACATCGTCGGGCAGAACCTCACTTATCCTGCGGCTCACCTGAGGGACATCCCTTTGTCCTGACATGACGGAGATTTGCAGAGATAATGAGGGCAAGTCGGGACTCTGCTCTACGACTTCATTGCTGTAACACTTGTATTCGAGCAATAGATGTCGACTTCATGGTGAAAGTTTAGCCAAATTCATCTATGCGCAAGGAGTCTTGCGGTACCGTTATCCAATGACGCACTTGTCCCCGCCGTGAGGCTTATGTAATACCACCACCAGCTGCGTCGATGACTAACCAATCTCCTTTTGGAAGCAACCACCACCTTCAAGGACTTCCCTGTACAACCTGGGAGGTCCTTTCATGGAGGATTTCCAGAGTCTGAAATCGACACAACTGAACTTGAGCCAACCGGGGAAACGACAAAATAGTAAGCTGGAGTAATGTTGCCATCTAATTAAAAGCTAAACGCCTATCTGTAAATTGGTGATGCTGCTGGGACATCGCAGTACTCGTAAAGTCCAATACATATGCAGCTCAATCATTTCTTCACTGGGTATCATATTTTGGGTTGCTTTTCATTAAGTCATAACTTTCGTTTCCGCAGAATGATTGCGAGCCCTGTTCTCAGAGGACAGGGACGGCAGGGGTTGTTCCTTCGGTGGACGGATCTCGGGTAACGTGACTGGAGATGTCGGAGGCTGTCTTTAAATTCATGGTTGGAATTCCCATGGCCCCAATCTGCGTCTCGGAATCCTCCGCCAACGCCTTGACAGGCGAGCTGCTACTGGAAGAAGCAGAGTTGGAATCGTGAGAAACCTCGCTGGATGGAGTGAGGTCGGACTCCGATTCGGCCATGTCGTCGACATCATCATCAAAAAGTCCAATGGGCCGCGTCTCTACCTCAACCGTTTGCTCCAGGTTAGGGTGATCCTCCATCTGCTGGATAACCTCGTCCAGGCCTGCATCGGTTGCAAGCGCTCCTTTTGGCATTTCCAGTTCTGGTCGAGAAGGAGGTGGTGCACCAACAGTTTCGTAGAACAGCATGAATCCGTTTCCCCGAGAGAGGACTTCCTCTTCGGTAATCCCGGTCACACGCTCGTCGTTGAATGAATACCAACCTTTATCTCGTTTCCCCAAGGCAATGTAGTGACCATCATGATGACTGCCGTAATGCGTCAAAACACATTTCAGCTCGTACACGGTTTCGATCGAGTCATCGCTCTTGTCCAGGGGAGCACACCAACGACTCAAGAAATCCAATCGAGCGGGGAAACTCACAGGTGCGGTGTTTTTCAGCTGATTTCCGTAGTTATCGAAAATACTTCGGTTGATGTGGAGAACCAAGTCTTTGGGCAGCCGTCCAACAGTGATTTGCTTTGCCTTGGTACGCAAAACTGGCTTTTTCTTCTCCTTTGGCTCGACGTTGGATCGCTCTGATCCTTTGTCCTCGTCTGCTGTGGATTCCATCTCACCATGCGCCAGCTTTGTGCAATTCTCACATTCAACATCTTCAACTTCTTCTGGTGCTGTATATTCGTCGAGCAAATCGGTGATATCACAAGCCCCTTGTAATCCCAGGTTTAAGGTCATGCAGTTGAATTGCGTCAAGGAGAGACCCTCGGTGAAGCCACATATTCTACACTCAAGACATTGTGCAGTCATGCCGTCGATAGGATTCCGCAATCCGAATTCCCTCAACCCTGCTGCTGGATGGCCGCCAATTCTGCCAGTTGATGACCCTCCGGAGCAATACTGTTCCCCGTGCGCATCTGACGAGACAACCTCCTCCTCGAGTGCTCTGAGGCATTCCAAACCCGCAATTGTAGACCGTTTCAATCTGTGGACGCATTGGTTGGCCTCTTTTTCCACCGCATCAAGAACACGTGAGAAATACTCCTGGGCATCCTGCTGTTGCCAGCTGTCCATAGATTTGAGGATCCTAGGAGTCCAAAGGACGGTAGAGGGAGAGTTCGGATTAGACAATTGTCCCAGAAAAGTGACTAGAGCTCGGTGTGTCGCCGCAGGAGTGTCGGATCGCTCACACAATTCCAGGCTCCGCTGTAGATATTCAATGAAGGCCGGCAACGAAGCCAAACCCTGTAGCACGCTGTTTTGGTAGCAGGAGTTATCCCAGTTTCCCAATCCAGGAGGCCCAGTTCCGTGTCCCGAAGACCCGTATGAACTGGACAGGCTCCTAACCTGTCGAAGTGCAAGGGGCAATTGTGGTTGTCCCAGTATCACCTTAAAAGCCTCCTGTTTTGCAACCATGTCCCCAAAGTTTTCCTTCTTGAAATTGGCTTCCTCCGGACGCAGACGACCCAGGCGAACCATGCCGTACTGCATCGCGTAAATTAGGGGGGAAGGAGTGATGCAGACGACGAATTCGTAGACAGCTCTTTTGAAGGTCGAAGGCCGCGCGTCGAATAAAGACAGAGCATAATATCCCAGAAGCAACAAAGCAAATGTAGAAATGATCTTGGTCCCAGTAGGGTAGGAGGTGATCCGATGGTCAGAGGGCACGTCGTAGAAGGGGCTCTCGCATGCCCTAACCGGGAGGTTGTTCATGTCGAACCAGACAGTGCGAGAAAGTGACCGACAGGATGAGGCAGGTGGCGTGCAGAATTGGTGGATGCTTTCCCATCGGTGACAGTAGGAAGCTTTTCACTCTTCGGCCAAAGATTTAAAGGGGAGGTGAATTGGGTCCGTGATCACGACAAAGGCTGCTTTATGGATGACGAGTAAATTGATATTATTTGCATCGCTTCACCCGCTCACGTCTCCGGGAGGCTTGGCAAATTAGAATGAGGTTTCATTCCACGACAAGAAACCAAGTATGCGCCGCGTATGCTGTGAGAAATATGTGCCTGCGGCTTTGAGTACTACGTGTCATTATCGTCCTCTAAAACTGTAGATTTGCGCTTCAGCGCATTTCTAGTCCTTGCTGCAGGGGCGCAGTCGGATTCCTTCTGTGCTGTGCCCAACCCCAATGCCGCCTTCATTGGCACAGCCTGACTGTCACAACCAGGTGTACCTGAAGCCGACGTGTCAAGAGAGTCCCTCACCCATGCTGTCGCATCTCTTGCCTCTCGTGACGTCCGCCGCCTATCTTCGAGTTCCCTCAATGCACGTTCCGGGTGGCCAGTCACATTCTTGACCCACCACCTCTCCCAAATCCAGTCCAGGGCCTGCTCTGTCATTCTTCTCAGATACATCAGATTGGGCATGTCAGCGTGTGTGACCTGATGACGGAGATCGACGAATCTCTGGGGCATCCCGATCGTGGCAGCGTGAGCATACATGGAGCTTTCACCTTTGGCAGCACTTGCTGAGAATCGAGTCACTTCTTCTCCCTCAGGAGTATCATCCCGAGCCATTTCGGCAGCATATGAACGGGCGACATCACGGTCAACGAATCCATTGACAAACCTCGCAAACGCCATAGCATATATGCTCTGCATGGCTAGGTCCGAGATGGTAGTAACGGATAACGACCTCCGTGATTCATCGTGGATCAAAGCATCGGTCAAGCTTGCCGTTGCTACCAGCGCCGGAGGTAGGTGGCCGGCCTTGAACAGCCAGAGGTTGACCCTGTCAATAGCACGCTGCCTCAGGTCTTGCGAGGTGTGGGATAGGATGGTGGAATACAATTCCTGCTTCGCCCGGTCCGGAAAGAACCAGTCTCGGACCATGGCCAGTTCAGAGTCGTGTCGCCAGGGCGGAAATTGCAGTGTCATGGTGCAGAGAGCGCTTTGGGCTGCCAGCATGTATGGGGCTGATAGGTTTGCGGTTTTGGAGGTCGGGATCTCGGGTCACAGCCGGAGAGAAAGGAAGGTTGGACGGGATCAGGTCGTGATCATCTGAGATTTGTTGGGAGAGGTGACATCGGAGCGACAGAAAGGGCGCATATTGAATGGTGCAGTAAGAGGACACGAGGGTTATGCAGGCTTTTGCTCAACGGTTTCTGGTTGATCCTCCGGGGAAGGACCCGTGAGGTGATGCAACGGGGAGAAAAAGAATGAGCTGTGAGATAACGAGTTTGGTGCGGCGTTGTGCGTACACGTGACCCCGGCTACTTGAGCCAATGACATAGCGTCAACGAGGCCAAGTGGATATCATGCATGTGCCCTGCTTTCATTGGCTGGCAATCGAGCACATCCCTACACCCGCCTGCAAGATCTACTCGGTTACGAGGAATGCACTTGTTGGAAGTCAAGGCCAGAACAAACACGAAGCATCCCTTCTCTGAGTTTCAAGGCGCCGAGGGCAGCAATGAGTTTCTTTGAGTAATACATGATATCTTCGAAGTACCTAGTGATCTAATTTGTACATAAGCCTGGTGAACCTTTCAAAAGGTCGTCACGAACTGGGGTATCATGGCTATAAGACCAGTATGTGAACGCTGCAGATTTGCCAACAAAACCCACGCCCTTCACCAAGAGACTAGTCGTAACTGTCGTCAAGTCGTCGAATTCAAGCCCAACCATAAGACTGCCCAGAGGGGTAATAGGCGCTGTTAAGCTGCCTGAGTGTCGAAAGATATTTCATCGCTAAGGAATCCGGCTGTGCTTGCATCCCAAATGTCAAGTGGTCGGCAATAGACTGTGCCTTGTATTCGGCGTTGTCAGAGTTATCCCACAACTGGCCACTGTTTTCGTCCTCCTGCTGGGCGTCCTGGAGTCCAGTCTCATCCTCCTCGGCATCTTCTGTGTCGTCTTCCTCCTCTTCGTCTTCCTGTTCGGCCGGTTCAAATGACTCTTCCAGCTTCAACCCTTTCCTGCCTGAGCCTGCGGAACCACCAAAGAGCAAGCTTGATGATTGGACTTCTGCAGGTGAATCGTACAACCCCATGCCGACCAATTCCTCCGCGTTATCCTTCAGCTTCGAATCGGTGTTACCAAGCGATAACGTGTCAAGCCCAAAATTCTGCAGTGGGAGGCAGTCCGGGGAAGACGGCGCCGTTTGAACATTTGGCGCCATGACAGGTTGGTTGAAACCCCACGCCGGCTGTACAAAAGATTGTTGAGGATAGAGCGAAAAGGAGGTCGAGTTGGACTTGGCTTGTTCTTGGCCGAGCCACATAGATTCGAGGTAGGGTTGATTCTCATAGACCAAACCCGGATCTCGGGTGGAAAGCTCATCAAGAGGCGTGAAGGGTTCTTGGATCTGGGGTTCGGTCATGGACGGGTAAGAGATAGGCGTCACGAGGCCATGGACTTGAGCCGTCGAGAAATCCCAAGTAGACAAGTCCATCTCATTGGTAACCGGGTTGAATGTAGAGTTCAATGCCTCGAAGGAACTAGGATGCCAGCTGACCGGTCGCGAGCGAGGTACCTCCGTATTCTGCCATTGTGTGCTGGACCGGAGATGGTCGACAACAGATCGAGTTCTGGACGAAGTGGCGGCGGCAGTCATCGTTTTCCTTCGCCCCAATGTCCGAGGACTGCTGTTCCTGCTACTCGGTTTGACGACTTTGTTGGGTCGGACAAAGTAAGAAGATACATCAGCTGAGACGGTAGGGTTGTATATCGTTTCGGGAGAGCAGTGGTATTGCTGAAAGGCGTCCATATTGTAAACAGTGCTGGCAGATAGAGAGAAATGAAAGAATTGGGTAGTGCCGACAGTCCATATCTATTTCCCGATCGAGGGAACAAACGGACTCGTGGCAAGGGCCAAGTTGATAGTGGATATGGTCCCAAGGGAGACAAAGCAAGATTAAATTGGTACATCAGTCGCGGCGAGGAGTAGCTGGCTGCCGCAAGCAGTAGCCAGAGTTAGTCAATACAAGTAAGTGTATATGGGTCAGGGTTTGACGAGGGTGGAATAGTTTGACCCAGGAGCCAGGGTTTGGCGAAGGTAGAGGGCGCAAAGCCAAAGCATGACGAACATGACTCCAGGACAGGTACCAGCAGGGGATGGGGTTTATTGGCGGGCCGTAGTGGATTTGTCTAGGGTTAGGACCAAGGGGAAGCGATCAGGCGAGATGCATAAAAAACGGGCGGCTGCGGTAGCGTAGGATGTGGAAACTGGGGCAAAAGGGAATAGAATGGTGGAAATCGGGAAAAGCCTGGCTGGGCCGGCTGGCGAAGCCATAAGCACATATTTGCGTCAATCTGATGGCCGAGGGCAATCTGAAAGGGAAACAGTCCCACCGATGGAGAGGAATGCAGAGCGGCAAGGGAGCCCATCGACTGAACAAACGGTCAGCGTACGAGGTGTGTGCACCGTAGCAGTCAGTGGATGGGGTGGATGGCAGTGTTGGGATGACAGATATGACCGCTGCGCTGGAAGGAATTCGCAGCAGCCTGGAACCCAGGCTGTCAGAGTTGTGTGAAAAAAGCCATGGGCCATTCGTGGAGGCCAGAAGTGAGGTCAAGGCCGACAAGTATCAGGAGGAGGCTATACTGTTAGCTCTAGGTCTGCTGGCGAGTGGGCACTGTATCAAACGAGCGCCAGAATCATTCCGGAGACGGGGTTCGAGGTGGCTCAACGTGTGAACCTGGTCAGACACGGAAACAGAGAGGGGAAAGGAGCGGAGGTGGCCCGAAGAATCGTCTGCTGCACATTGCACAGCCAACGCCACGGTGGAACATGAGGTTCGACAGGAAACGCGGCCGGCAGACACGGGATGACGCGGTTACATTCCTCGATTGTGCGTGTTTGAGAAAAAGGCCAGATAGGGTGGAAAGGAGTCCAAAGAGGCCGCAGCGATGCGTGATTTGGCGACAACACGGGCTCCTGAGGGTGGATGGTCACAAGTTGATTTCCCAGAGCTGGCGCAACAATCCTCCATGGCTCGTTTTTAGTGCAGCAGGGATATTTCCATGTCTCGTAAAGCCCAGCTCTTTCTTGCGGTGCCGCACGCACGGTCGCTCCTCGTAAAATGGACTAGGTTCGGCTTGGAGAGGATAATCGCGAGGCAGGTCAAGATAGAAGGAGGGAGAAGTTTGGCAGGGGCTGGAGCCTTGGTCGATAGCCCACTGGTTGAAGGTTAGCCGCCATCCATCGGGTCGGGAAGGGTTTCTGAAATTAGCGGAGTGGGAACTGGGCAAAATGGAAGCAAATCGAGAAAAACCCCCATGAGTCAGGACAAGGGTAGAGGAAATGTGGGACGATGGGCGCATTCAGAAATGGAAATGAGCATTAGCAAGTGAGAAAAGCACGAGAGGTCAAACGAAGAGAAAAACGGGCCGAGGACTGCCATGTGGTGTGGATCCCGGGCATGCGCCCTTGGGGCTTTTGCAATAGAGATACAATGGAACTGCATTACCCGTACATGCAAAGTTGATTTGACTAGGTTCAAGGGGGGAATTACGTGGTTTGGCACCGAAGGTTGTAGCTGAACGGAGCTTACCTGGGCGTGTGTGCAGAAAGAGTGGCGACCCCGTGAAGACCCGGGACTGTTCCCCAACTAGGTTACCAATGGAGGCGCTGTACGAGGGAGGCATGAATATCGAGGAGCGACAGAAAAGCCAAACAGGGGCGGGCAAGAAGGCCTAATGGAGGAAGGATGGGCGGTTTCGAGCCCGTCTTACTTCCAGGTTGTCCTCCTCTGGTGCCGCTGCTCCTCGTACAGGCAGGCACCTGGCGAGTGGCTACTGACCGGCGGGCAGTGATAGAATGAGCGAGAAACGCGCAAAAAAGAAGTTGACGGTGTGTCAAAGTGTCTGTGCATGATGCATGCAGCCCACCGTCCGCCGTCCACAGCCCCGGCTTCCAGGCCCTGGGCCAGGCTTGCAGGCTTGCAGACTTGCAGGCTTGGAGCTGCCACTCTAGCCCCCTGTCAGGCGTGGATCACCGGCACACGGCAAACTACATGGCTAACTTTAAAACAGGATCAGCTGTCTTCTAGGCGGTCGGTGCATTTTCCAGTAATGTCATTGGTCGGCACACACTACGAGGACAAGTTGGTTCACCGGAGATTTTGTGATTGTACGCTGTACGAAGGAAGCCTGAACGGGAAGGAGCTAGGAGGTGCAGGGTGGCTTGGGCGCATGAGTTCGCCTAGAGACACGACGGGTAAAGGGAGATGGATGCGAGAATATGGAATCGTGATGTGAGGGATGGGTGCAGGCGAGGGGGCGCGCCCGAGGAGGCAATCCTGAATGAAATGATGTCCCTCGTGCGGGTACCCTGCTAGTTAAAGGAGTCCTCCAGCTAGGCGCTTGAAGCAGTCTAGTAGGCTATCGGCTTAACTAGGCATAGCTATTTCCCCTCGGATTTACAGAGGGTCTACGAGTAGTGGCGCCTACGGTCCACCCTACGACACTTTTAGTGCTGGAGTCCAGTCATTTGTCTGCTTGTATTGGTCCGTTCTCCCCCCATCCATGCCGAACGCAGAAAGAATCTGAAGAAACTTGCGATGTTTTTCCTCTGACTCGGGACCTGCATCGCGCCTCTGGGTATCACTTCTGCCAATCCCCTTTCGCACGAGCCGCTCTTTTCCTTACGCCTCTGTGGAGTCAGTCGCCCCCTCCCGCACGGCACCAAAGGACCTTACTCCATCACCTTGTCTTCCCTGCTTGATCAAGATATGTTGTAAAACCCTAATTCTCCCTCGTCTACTCCTTGACTAACCAATAACATACTCCAGAGTCTTCGGATCTTCCTTCAAGCTCGACCCTAAGTGCAGACCGCCAAAGGCAGCTGACCCCAATTCTCCGTCAATCGTCCCTTCACCCCTCCAACCGATCGCCCTCCAAATCTAACCCTTCTGTCGGTGAACCGACCTTCCTTCGTGGCCAGACTGCTGTCTCGCCAACAGGAGCTAGGGAGACCGATCACCATTGAATGTCTCTGTCTGGAACAGTGCGTCGCATCTGGAGGTGGATGGGTGGCCGACAGGTTACCAGTCGATGTCCATCACACAATGGGTGATTTAGGAGCACAACGGTTTCTGACTCGCCCTTACAAATTCGATACGAAGTGGCATCGACACCTTGGCAATCCTAGATCCCGAGCACAATTTTGGCAGTGTCGCCCTTGGGTGGAAGCGTCATCAGTGGCTGCAACAGCAACGGGTCTCCACCGTCTGACAAGTTTGCTGCGTAAGGGTAAGCTTTAGGCCCGAAGGGCTGACAGCCCGCTCGAGCCTCCCAGCGGCCAGCAAACCCCTTCCCGACCCTATGAGGAAGAGTACACAAGCTGGGCCTCTGAGACCGAAATGATCCCAGTGGCTTGTCGGCAGGGCTCGCGCCACGTTACCTCGCTTCGAGCCTACCATTCTCTTTTTCCCCGTCCACTTGCACGCAAATGAGCCAAATTCCAAAGATGCCGAGTGCCAGACCAGGAGCCCTGCTCGCCTTCTCTGTGCCGAACACACGCCCTCTTGGAAGGTCGATCGGCTAGCTGCCGGTTTCCTGGCGTCCATCCGAACACCATGCTTGTTGACCATCTGTGTATTCTACGATGTGAACGGACTTGCCGGCATGAGAAGACAGTCACGAGCGGAAGCAATCTCTCACAGAAGGTGGTGGGTAAGTCATAAACGACCTGCACGAGGACTGGACTCTTGGACGCCCTCCGGAGCCAGTTGTGGTTCATTTCGGAGATCGCGCCAGTGGCCCCGTACATCGTACTGCACCCTACAGCGACGTTTTGTACGGAGTACCTCGTATGCGAGTAGGTATTGACCTCCAAGCGATACCAGCAGCTAGTCGATTGGTCTGGTAGGGGCTTGGGCCCCTTTCTCTGGTCCTGATCCAGTAGTCGGGACGTGCAGAGGACGCGCTGTGACAATGTGAGCGGGACCCATTTCCGTCCTCCTCAGATAGATCCGGTGGTGTCATTATGACCTCCGTGCTACCACTGCCAGCCAGGGTTTGAAATCTCAGGTCTCAGCCTAGTGCGTCGACTCGTCAGAAGCCGTTCAGTGGCAACCATTAGACCTTGGCGAGCTAGACAAGAGACTCGATGCTGAGCTAAAACTCAACGATGACAGGATATACAGCGCTCAGAATTGGCCTGGGCCCTTACATCTGCGTTTGACCTCAGTGGATAGTATGGACACCATCAGCGGCAAAATGATGGATGTACTTGGACAGAATACTTGTACGGAATCCCAGGTGTTCCGCAAGGATGCTTCAGGTAAGAAGGAACCTGGGGTCCAGCGCTATGAGCGGTCCACATTAATAGGCCTCCCGGATGCTCTAACTCCACTGTCCACGTTCTCAGTTCGCACGATTGAGCCCCTATCATTATTACGAGTCCTATCCGCAGCCAAAGCCAACAAAAGAGTCGAACGCCGCTCCAGCGGACTGTCTCCCCTGGCTTCCCTGCAGTGTTGAAAGGTTAGCTAGCTCCGCAGTTCTGCAACCAAGTCAATCCTAGTTGGAACATCTTTTGATGGTCGTGTGCGCCAACAAATAGCCACAAGCCCCGGGTTGCTGACGGCTCAGAAGGCGACGTCGAGACCTTATCGACAATCCTGTCACGTCCCCGACCCCCAGTTTTGCGCAGGTTCCCTAGAGTGGACCGAGACCGGGGTGTGCACGCACGGCATCGCACGGATCAGATTTGGGCACATCCCAAGGAACAATGACCGTGACAGACCAATCGAAGCGCAACGCGCCAAAAGAGCCTTGACGACAATTCAGGATGATGGACGGGCCCACCTACCGACCTGAGCCACTGTGCCCACGGCTCCATACGTACAGTACAACCTCGTTTTTGGTCTGCCGGATTCGCAAGAGAAAAAAACTTTCGGAAGTTTGCAAGATTACGAGTAATGTGTTTGTGCGCGTGTGAGACTACGCCACCACAGTTTTGTTCGCAGACTTTCCGAGAGCTGGTCCTTTTTTCAACTCTGGCTCGATGCACCATCTGTGACACTGAGACACCTGTGCTGTTTTCATCTCGATCACGGAAACAAACGTTGGGAGCACATGGGTTCGCGTCATGCTGCCTGCTCGTGCCAGGGGACGGGTCTCCATTTCTGACACGATTTAACTCGATATGTTTTCTTCTGCAGCATCCACAGGGATGATGTTCATTGTGGTTGCAGCTCTACTGGATTCTCCGCTGCAAACTCTAACCCAGGGAGTTTCGCTGTTGCGAGATGAATTTTTCTGCCTATCAACTCCCTGCCCGAATTCGTTTCTGAAGTGCAGTTAGTTGGTATCGCCCATGACCATCCATACGACAGCTTTTTCCCCTAAGGCATTTCCGATTGCCGTGCGGAGTCCTCCGCCCCTTGTGGATTCTGGGTCAAATTGAGGGATCGACTTGATTCAAACCTCCTTTTCTCTTAATAGGCACAGAGAATATAGGTCCGATGACTTCGACAGTTAGGTGGCAGGCGGCAAATCTCAGGTGAGGACATGTTTGACCCGGAACCTGGGAAGATGACGTTGGTCGAGCTGTGGAACCGAGGCCTGATTACGGAGGATTTGACCGGTGGGAAAACTCGAAGCAGGGGTTGCGAAGTGTGTCAAAGTGTCTAGCATCAAACACCAATGCACCAACTCGTATCTCTCCAGTGGCGATAGCAGGCGTGACTGTCCGGACGCAACGCAAGCACCGTGACAGGACGAGGGTACCAAAGGCAAGTTCTTGTCAAGTCAGCCTGGACATCCATCCCCACAGCCTCCCTGCATGCTGTGGGCCTTCTACTAATAGTACCAGTCTTGTTGCCCCAACACACGCAAGGTTGGAGGATGTACATAGGATGGTTGTTCTGGCCCCTCCGAAAGGCTCGTCTTGCACATCTCAGCCTAACTAGTTCCTGTCCGTTCGTCGATCACATCCCACCAGACATTGACCATCGCCGGGCTAATCATGGGACACGTCTGATCAACCGAGAGTGCCAGGACTGGGCAGGTGTGATGAACTGACGCACCGTCTCTTGACAGGTTGGATCATCCATCGCCTTTGTGCTCCTGCAAGGGGGGAATTCCAACCCGTCCAAAAGGTTCTTGCAGCGACGACAAAAGATCCCAGCATTTCCAGCTTTCTTCTTTCTCACCGCGACGAACGGCTCCAACAACCTCGTATCTGCATTGACAGAAAGTCTACTCACTAACTTTCAGAAGCGAAGCATTTGACACGGGCAAGTTTTATGTGCTCAATTTTCGAAAACAGAACGATTTGGCATTGATGCTCCGATCGATTTTCCCTCTTGAGAGTGCCCAGGAACTCAATCGGCTACTCCATTGTTCACAATTTCAATTCCCGAAGCCAAACAAGGCAAAAGATTGCCATTTACTGGAGCATCGCAGACTCCTTACTGTGCAGGCTGATCAATGCAGCCAAGCACATGGCTCGCATGGAGCATCTTGAAGAGTCTTAATGTCACCATCTTGAAGAAGGCGTCCGAAGAGCATGAGTGTTATCCTGGCACCCTGGGCAAATCTTATTTCCTCAAGCGGACGGATTCCACGCTGCTACCTGGTTGAGACGTTCGGAAATGCTTGCATCTTCAAGCCCAGCAATTCCCAGAACCCAATTGCTCCCTTGGTTTCTACGGAAATAGCCCAACCACCCTCCCAAATGAGTTTGAACGGCATGCATTGAATAATGCGTTCTCTGCACCTCCTGCCTTTTTCCTTCGTGTCGGCTAACTACCCGGGCTGTCTACCCGAGTCGATATTCTTGATCGGCTTGGTCACTCGGTCGCACAGTCTTCCCAACAAGACCCTTTGTCCGCATAGTTGTTTGCCACCGCGAACTAACTTCCCATTCCAGCCCAATGTCAACCAGGGTCATTGGCGATGTCTGGCATTTCTTAGTAGCGATCTCATTCCTGCATCCAACTCTCGTGCATGGTAACCCGACGCGTCGATCTGGGCATGCCGAATGCCCCGTTGTCACTCATCAGAGAAACCCCGTCATTCCATGGTGCTCTTGACGTCAAAGGAGCGGTAGGAGAATGCCGAGGGCATACGAACCGAACAGTTTCATTCGGGGATGGACTGCAATTGGCGATCTCTGTCATATTAACACTTGGATTAACCACCCTTAGGAAGTGGTTTTCTGTGTCGTGCAATGCACTGTTGTGTCCCGTCCTGTCCCGCCCCTCTGCCGTTAGGGTTCATCTGGAACGTTACCCCGCTTATACACAGGTATCACATGCCGGACAAGAGAAAAAATGTGACCCCCATCGAACCACCCTGGGTACTCCGTACAGTTAGTTATAAGGAGATTTTCCCCACAGCCAAGCGCCCAAGCGTGAGCGCTAACCACCAGCCTGATATCGACCACCTACCATTGACAAAAATACTTTCCATACTCTGTGAATGCCTCAATGTCTCTTTGACCCGTACACAATTCAAGATCCGACGCTAAAAAAAAAGAACACTTTGACAAAAACAATCAACAGTCAGGGTTCCTACCCGGTCACCCATGGTGGTACTAACTAACCGGCATATGGCTTAAGTACGGCTGAGCGAACGGGAAGCCCTGCTTTCCATATCCTATGGTCGATTGTGAAGTGTCAACCTGCGTTGGAAGACTATATACGACAATATTTGTGACGGGTTCCGGAAAAATACAACGGAACATATGCTACGAGTGATTGATTGATTGATTTCAACTTGTCATGTAGATTGAGTGGTCCGAGGACGGTCCTCCTGGGCCTTGCTCTGCAAATCAGTGGTCAGGAACGTGGTAGACAGGTAAGGCATTGACTGGAGATCCCTGCGTAGACACCTATATCTTCTCTACCGACATCTCGATTCCCTGTTTTCTTTTATTGGCCCGTACGGAAGGAGGAGTAGTACTATATCGGGCATGAGCATGCGATACTGTCCTAACAGCATAATCCATAAATCCGTGTCTCTCAATGCTGCCTACCCACCTGGTAGCTACAGCCTGTCTCTACCTTCTCGTCTCCCATGGTCGCCTGAGGCAGTCGACCATCCTATGTACTGTAGGTACAGGTATATCGATCCCCTTTCCCGCTCCTCGTCTACTATGTTCCACACGAAACAGAAATCTCAGATGGGCCGCGCCTAGGAAAGGTACCGACTCTTTACGCTATCACAACCGCAATCGCCATCGCCATCATTTCACCATCTCTCGATCCCTCAGTCAGACACTGCCCACACCGCTGCGATAGAGCCGGCCGTTCTGTCAACTATTCCTAATTCTAATTCTCCTTCTCTCTCTCCTTCTCCTTCTCCCCTGTCCGTGTTGCTCTCTCCAAGATCCCGTCAAAGGTCCTCTCCAGGCAAGCGGTGGACAACACAACACGAACCGTAGAAAGTAAGCACATTGCTCGACAAGGCTCAGCGATTTGCTCCGGCATTGGAGGCTACGAGTATGTCTCGTACAGGATACGGCAGGCTGTGGGTGCTTGACACAGACAGTCTGAGACTGTATAACTAACTCCTCTTGTCAACCTGCCACGATACGAGGAGACGTGGAGGGGTAAGTAAGAGTGTCGAGAGAAATATCTAAAAGGCGTCTGTGGCTCGCGTCGAGCCTGAGAGGGCACATGCACAACACCCTTAGCCACAAAAGAAAAGAGCGAAGAGAAGCGTCCAAGGGCAAGATCATTGACACAGATATCGCTTGACACCAAGGCGCAACTGCCATCCAAATTGTCAACGCGTAGAAGGACAGTCCGACTGCAGAATGAATGAAAGACCAAGTTCTGTCATGGCAGGTGTCGACAGAGAGAAGAACCTCGCAAACGAACGAACTCGCAGCAACAACACGGCTTATTCCCAGATCAGAGAATCGGTGAGAGAACATGGGAAACAACACAACGTAGGGAACACCGAGCCACAGCGAAGCTCGCCGGGAAGAGAATGTCCAAGGCATTGGCACACGCTACACCAATGGCCCTGCCCCGCAGATGAAGAACGACATCAGCAGAAAACATATCGGGTTTCGAATCATTGCACGTTGGCGAGGAATGTGAAGAAAGGAGCCACCTGCGGCACTAATGTCAAATGAGATGACCAAGGTGAGCAGAACAGAGGTAACAGATTGACTTTCAATAAAGCCATGTCCATGCAGGACACTTTGTACTCCAATTCCAGAGTTGCTTCAGGCATTCACGATTGTATTTTGGTTCGGTCCATATGCTCTTCCCTTCACTATCCTGCCTGTGGGCGACTCCCTTTTTAAGGATGTTAGATCCATCTTTCCCGTCAAAATAATTATCCCCAGTCTTCCCCATAATCATCCTAGCATCTCGACATCAAGACCGATGGCTCTCATGAATAGGTTAACGTTCCCCAGTCGAACGCTCGACATTTCGGCTGGTAGTGTCTTGCTCTGGAGCACCGTCTCCATAACTCTGTCTTTCACACCGATGACCAGCCTCTGTTGTTGGTCCGGGCTGGCGCATATGCCGATGGCAGCCAAGAATTGCCACACGTACATGTCGTCACCAGAGTTGACCGGACCAGGAAATAGTGAACCAAGAAGAGGCTCCAACATATCAAAAAGGCGGCTGTATAACATGGTCCACTGTTGCCAATCCTGGTCAGAGACTGACCCGGCCTCTTTCACCAATTCGGCGCGCGTCAACAGCATCGTCAGCATGCCAAGTCCAATCTTGGTGTGTGCAACAACCGAGATGTTAGTGTGGTCGATCAGAAGCCCTAGCAATCCGGTGATAATATTGACGGGCACTTCGCTAACGTGGGATAACAAGCACGGCATGACGGCTTGTGAGAATAACTCGACTTCTTCCCGCACGAGTGTCGGAGGCTGTAGTTCACCAGGGGCGGGACGGGCGTCCTTGACCACGTCAAGCTGATCGATGTGGACCACAATCATGGTCAAGATGGTCAGTCTTTTGTCCGCATCAATCTGATGGAAGACCCGCGGGATGGCCTTCTTCCCTTTGGAAAATGACAGAAAAGCAATGAAAGGGTGAGGAATTGCTGATCCCGGGACGATAGGATCAAGAACCTTGAGATCTTGCCATAGCGTGTTGCCCAGCTCCTGCTGCTTGTGTCGCCATTCAAGATGTGTCTGAATGGAATTCGCGTTGCCTTCGGTGGGTGGAGGTGGCATTTGTCGTTCGTGATCCTCCATGCGCATCAAGGTCGTATACACAGCTTCAATGTTCTTCAAAATCGTTTTGCGGTCACTCGCACTTACGCTGCTTCCCTTTTTGGCACTTGTTGGTCGGGATTCAGTGCCCTCCTGTCTCTTGATATTGAGCAGTGGCTTTGGTGTCTTTGCGTTGCTGAAGGAGATTTTACCCAAACTACCTTCGATGATCAGCTGCTGATTCTTGGGTTTGAGCTTGGCTGCTTCAACTGCACGCTGAACTTGTTGTTGCATTCTCTGCATGTGGTTGTCTCCATTGATCTGTTGCCGTCTACCGCCCACGCGAGTGCCCGTCTGGAACAGATAGGTCTGCGCAAAGTGGCCCAGCGGTTGAGTAGGATGTTGTCTTGGAGCACCACGGATTTGACTGTAGACCTGGTAGTAGAAGTCTTCATTGAGGGCAGCTTCGGGATTCGAGTCCGTCGAACTCCCCGTCGCCGCCACTAACTGCTGAAGTTGGATTCGAGTGATGAAATTCTTATCCTGGGGAGTCATCAACCCGTTACCTTTGGAAAGCAGGAAGATCTTGTGATTCCTCTTTGCCCTCTTGGCGTCTTCTTCCAGGTAAACTCGTCGCTGTTCGTCGGACAGCTCCATCAACTGTTGAGGGTGAGTTATCACCGGCAACGCGCCAGTTCCTTGAGGTCCGAGTGGTGGGACGGGTTGAGACCTGTCGAGGCTTGGCTGGGGTGAATGACGGGCTCTGTTTGGATTCTGTAGAATCTGGAGAGGCTGCTGAGGTGGAGGCTGGGGTGCACGAGGATGTGAAGGCATGCGATTGTGGTTTCTAGGACCGTCGAGAGGAGGTTGTGGTTGAGGCTGAGTTGGCAGGCCGGGAGGAAGTCCCATGGGCTGCTGGTATGGCTGCGGAGATTGTGAATGCATTGACTGAGGTGGGAACGGGTATGGCTGGTGTTGCGAGAATGAAAGCTGTGCCTGTCTCGCTTGAGATTCAGCAAGCAAAGCCGCCTCAACCTGTTCCAGGGTCATCATTGGAGGTTGTGACATGGATGCTGGTGGAGGTGAGGGTTCAGGAGCAGGGAACGAGGCTGGAGCAGTGCCACGGGCCGTACTGATGCGAGGATCGCCGGACGGAGGAGCAGCTGTGCTTGACTTTGTGCCCCAAGCCCCGGATTTCGCCTGAATGTCTGGAATATAACCCGGATCTTGATATTTCTCATAGCCGGTCCTTCTGGCCTTTGCGGGCTGCGCGGGCGCCGCTGGCTGATGAGGTTGTTGCAAGCTGTAGCGCATATGCTCCTCATTGATGACATTGGAGACTTGAGCCGTTTTTCCAAAGAAGTCATAATCTTTTCCCACCGAGCCCTGACCGGTTGCGCCTTCAGCGCCACCACCAAAGGTATCATCGTTGAAGTCATCGCCGGCCTCCTCGAGCTGATCGCCTAGGCCATCGTAGGTATCTTCAAAGTCGAGACTGCAAAAAAAGAGAATTTAGAAACTGTATGTCTTGCTTCCAAAAGACGTGTCACCTACATCTCGTCCTCATTATCGTGAAAGGCCTGCAATTTCCTCGCCTTTGCAACTTCGGCGAAAGGGTTTGTGTGTTCGAAAATACCCTTGCCCGCGCCCTCAGGTTTGTCCCTGGGGAGGGAAGTGTCGAAGCCAAAGAAAGACATGGGAACGGTCCCCCGACTGAGGTTGAATTGACTAGATTCTGGACGGTAGTTTTGCTATTCTCACCCCGCCACAATCCACCTTTTTTCTCGACAGTGGCCAACGCGCAGTGCCTATTCGCATGTTCCAGAAGAGGAAGTGAAGATGAAGAGCAAAGGTACTATGACATGGCCCGGAGGAGTTGGCAGAGTGATTCCCGTTGCTATGCAAGTCAAGGATCAAGCGACGGTGATGTGGATGGCGAGACACTCGTATTGATGGGATTGTGTGGGATGTCGCAGTATGGAAACGGCAGGTGATGATGGTTGGATGGGCAGCTAACTGCAATCGGTGAAGCAGACTTGTCTCGAAACGGGCGAGCCTGGCGATTGGTGAGGTCTTGGGTGCTAAGCCTCTAACCTCTATGGAGTACAGTAGTTGCAGCCTTCGGGGGCCCCTTCCCGCCTAAGTTACCTAGACTTAGCCTATTAGGCGGGCACGCAAGCCATCCCGTCACTCGTTACCCGAATCGCCCAGGGGGGCCAGCTACCAAAAAAGCAGCCCACACCTTCAGCCCCATGTGCCTGTAAACTGGAATTGAGGCGTTCCTATTCCATTGCGGCAGAAAAGTTTCTGGCAACACGTTGTCTCCAGGCTTGCGCGTCGTCCTGCGGCTCTCCCTATTATTGCGAATCTGAAATGTTTCTTCGACCTCCTTCACTCCTTTAACACCTTCACGTTCTGACAAACAAGATTTCTTTGTTTCCAAGCCTTTGCCCTCGTCGAGTTTTCGTTTCAACGTTGGGCTGCTCAGGGTCACGTCACTCCGCCTAGCAAGCCTCATGTCCTGATCGCACCCGTTTCTGGCCGCCGATCTTGCTCGAGCCTTACTCGTCTCTCCAGTCTTTACTGCCAATACGCCTGCGGTCGGTGCCTTGGGCCGTTTCCTCATCTCCTCATAATACTGCCGGTCTCGTCGTCCACGATGGCAACCGGCTCGGGGAGATATCTTCGTTATATACTATTTGCTGTTTTTGTGAGTTACACGCAGACCGGCGAACCCAGGTCTGTGACATTACATACTGACATGACATGAACAGGGAATTGCCATCCTCTACTTTATTTCCACCTCGTCACTACCCTCCTATGCTCAACCACTGACGTCGGGCACCGCCTTCTCGTGGGAGAAACCTGAAGAATCCAAGCCGAGTCCGATCTTGAATGATGTCGCCGATACCATTCATCTCCCGCAAACGACTTCTGTTGCGGAGACCTCGCAGTCCGTGGAAACAACGACTCCCCATGTTATCCCTACTATTCCCTCGGAACTCTCGCCTCCGGCTCCAGGCGAGCGAGTCAATGCGACCTTTGTGACGCTGGCAAGGAACACCGACATCTGGGAAATTGCCCGCTCGATCAGACAAGTCGAAGACCGATTCAACAGGAATTACAACTATGATTGGGTTTTCTTGAACGACAAACCCTTTGATGAGACATTCAAAAAGGTCACGACATCCCTCGTCTCGGGCAAGACACACTACGGCGAAATTCCCGTCGAACACTGGTCGTTCCCGCCGTGGATTGACCAGAAGAAGGCTGAGGCTGTCCGGGAAGACATGCGCCGCAGGAAGATCATCTATGGTGACTCGGTCAGCTATCGACACATGTGCCGGTTTGAGTCCGGCTTCTTCTTCCGCCATCCACTGCTCCATCAATTCGAGTACTACTGGCGAGTTGAGCCCAGCGTTGAGTTGTTCTGCGATATCCATTATGATCCTTTCCGGTTCATGAAGGAGAACAAGAAAAAGTACAGCTTCGTCCTGAGTCTGTACGAATATGTCGAGACCATTCCGACGCTATGGGATAGCACAAAGAAGTTCATCAAGGCGCATCCTGAACACATCTCTCCTGATAACTCAATGGGATTTTTGAGTGACGACGGAGGGGACACCTACAACAAATGCCACTTTGTGAGTTCTCCAAGAAATCCTTTGCCCTTCCATTGCTAACTTTTGGTAGTGGTCGAACTTTGAGATTGGCAACCTCGACTGGCTTCGATCTAAAGCGTACATCGACTTCTTTGAAACTCTCGACCGAGACGGCGGTTTCTTCTACGAACGTTGGGGCGATGCTCCCGTGCATTCGATCGCCGCTGGTCTGCTTCTGAGGAAGGACGAGATCCACTTTTTCAACGACATCGCCTACTATCACGTCCCCTTCACACACTGTCCAACTGGAGATGACGTCCGCCTGAAACTCCGCTGCCACTGTAACCCGGCTGACAACTTCGACTGGAAGGGATACAGCTGCACGTCTCGATTTTTCGACCTCAACAAACTTAAGAAGCCCGATGGGTGGGAAGCCCAGGTATGACTAGCCGCCGGCAGTGTCGGGAGCCCGGGCAACGATAATGGAAATGGCGATGGTAATGGCAGCACGCAAATCGAAGAGACAGGCGTTTCTCTCTCGTGGGAGATTTTGAAATATGCATGCTTAACGTTTAGCGTTGGATCTGTCTTGACGATTATTTTGATGAGAATTCCCTGGACGAGAAGCAAGTTGCTTTCGTGGGCGGAACGCCTTGCGCAGTGGCACGAAAGCGGACTCGCCCGCGATGAAGACGAAGATTGGTACAAAAAACCTGAAATGCCTTCAAAACCGGAGAACTCAAGATGAGCAGCTGCTTGAGAAGAACAGGCTGCCGACGACTGCTCGCTGCATTATGAGGTTTCCCATGCTCCTAAAGAGGTACTACCGGTCTTTACTTACCTTTAGGCACCGCTCACGGCCTCGTATACACCAGCGGTCCCTCGTTGGCGGAAAGGATTTCGCTTCACCAGGACAGATATTAACACTTTTCTTGTATACGGACCCATTGAGAGAGTGGCCAAGCACCGAATGCCCATTCATCAACGCGAACGAAGGGGCCACTGGGACTGTTGAGATGACGACTACTTTTCGGAGCCAAATTTTTTTTTACCCTTTTGCATCAGAGGCGTTGGTCAATCGGTTGGGGCTGCGGAACCATGGATTGGGTTACTGACACAATTGGAGAGAGGGCCAAAAAAAGGGCCTTCGTGGTATAAGGGAAGCGAGACGCCACTTGCCCCGTCTCGTCTGACATTGTATTGTGATGGAGTTGGGCTGGAGTTCGAGACAATTGAGCAACTGAGCAATTGTGAAAGAAACGACTTGGAATGCCCTGGTATCGATATTGATGGCAAACGAAGGGAAACCCTTGGGACCAACGCACACAATGCACAGACAAATTCACTGTACTGTAAGAAAATTAGACAGCTGGGGTATACGAACGAACTTGGTACATTATTTCAATTCAAGACGGCGTTGTACTTGAACACACACCAGAGACCACAAAGCTGACTGCCTTCCTTGAAACTCCTTGTCCGTATTTTCTGTGGCCCCTCCCGAGACAAATGTACACTACTACATTGTATGAATGCTACAGTACATGCATGTATTGTGTTCTAACAGCCCGTCAACGGTCGATTCTCTCCAATACTGTGTGCAGCCTCATCGCACCTTGTCCTCTCGTCGCAGTGGCATCATCGCCTCTCTGTTCGGCCCCGCTCCCTCCAAAATCCCCCAATTGGAGGTGTCTTGTCTGTCTGTTTGTCTGAATTCACGGCACTTGGGCGACTAGGAGCAGGTCTCTATTACATTCAGGAGTTGTAGTTGTCGGAATGGACGGGCCGGGACGGTCGTACTGCGCTGTGGGCGGGTGCTGAATTTACTCTGAATCGGATGTGGGCCATGATTTGGGACGCTGTGCTGTGCTCTTTACGTCGAGTGTGCATGGAAAAAGGAGGTGGAGGTCAGGTCCCGTCGATGGATCGGAATAAGGCCTCTCGTGCCCAGCACAAGGAAATGGTAAACGGGAGCTGCACAGGGAAACATTCGACATCGCGCAGTCCCCCTGTCGCTCGTGGCCCTCGAATCGTTTGTTACGAGCGTCTCCATTTGTCAAAGACACGGGGGTCTCGATTCTTCCTCGCTCCTCTCTAACGCCCTTCCGCTCTCCCGTCATTCCGCCTGTCGACGCTGCCGCCGGGTGAATTGGTCAAAGGTCTAACGTTTCCCCCAGAGACCACAAGCCACGATCATGTCGTCTTCGGCTTCTTGGTGCCGTATTTGGATCGGCTGGTCATTCGTGTAGGCACACCTCCCTGGAAAGCCATCAAAAGGCACGACATCAGTAAGATGCTTCTCGAAAAGAGCATAATAGCACTCACCAAATCAAAAGCCCCGCGGACCAAATGGTACCGGACACCGGGACAATCCTGACTCCTGCCGCCGCGGACCAGCACGACACTGTGCTGCTGCACATTGTGGCCCTCGCCGGGGATATAAGCGGAGACGACGCGGCCGCTGGACAGGCGGACCTTGGCGGTCTTGCGCTGGCCCGAGTTGGGCTTCTTGGGCTTGGTGATGCCGACCTTGAGGCACACGCCCTTCATGGCGGGCCGGTGGGCAGCGCTGAGGGCCGGCGACACCGCGTGGCGCGGTTTCTTGGGCTTCCGCGACGAGCCCAGCCGCGTCCGGATCTGGTTCAGCGTCACCGCGCGGGTGGGCGTGGTTGAGAAGGGGGCTCGCTGCTGGTGGCGATGATGCACAACAGGAGGAGGAGCAGCAGCTCGGCGGAGGACCGCTGCTGCTGGGGTGGACGATTGTGTGGCGGCGGGAGCTGGGATTGTCAGACGTGTGAGGGTTCGGAGGGCGTGCAGGGCCCCAAGGGAGGGAACAGGATGCATGTTGAAGACGGACAAGGAAATGGGCAATCAATAATGACTGGAAGCTGTGAAGACAAAATGTCGCGGCGACGCATTGAAATTCGAAGCTGCAGTTCTGGAATTGGCACTAAGCCTAATTCAGTCCTTGCTGGTCCACGCTTTTTGTCTCGTCTCCCTTGAGCAGAGAATGGACCTACGAGAGAATTCATTCTTCCAGTAATATGCATCTATCCTCCATTCATATATAATGTATATGTTCTGTTTCTCTAAAGAAAATATATATACTTCGGCTGCAGCAGCGATCAAACTCAAAAATGCCCGAGACTTCGCGACTTGGGAATCGTGAAAGCTGTGTGCCCCCCATGGTGGTAACGAATGCTCCAACAAGCTCAGTGCTTGCTCCCTGAGAAGATGGACTTCCTTCTTCTCATGACGCCATCCCTTGTGGTTTGTGTGATGCTCGATATTTTTCCATCCCTCATGTCCGAATCCTCGAAAGGACCAAGGAGACGAACGAGCAGGTCGGGTGAGGAATCAGGAAACTCTGCGTGTGCCTCGCCGTCCGAGTTCATGCTGCACCATATCGCTTGCCGAACCTGCCTTCCTGACCCTGCCTCGACAGTCCGGTTCCTTGTCGTATTCCCCCACCGACCCCTGCTGAACCCTATTATGTATCTCTCCTGATCCCACAGTACCCTTGCCTGTTTGCTCGCCTACTCAAGCCTCCCCTTCCTCCTTCTTCCTCTTCTCCTCCTCCACCAGCCTCTTCATCGTCCTGAGATCCTTCCAGAACCACACCTCGTCGACCAAGCTGCCGTCGCGGGGGGAATAGCCGTACTCGCGCACGACGCCCAGCCGCTCGTACCCGAGACGAGGGTAGACGTGCTCGGCGTCGGAGCCGACCTCGGTGTCGAGCATGAGGCTCCAGCGGCCCCGGTCCACGGCGACACGCTCGAGCCGCGCCATCAGCTGTTTGGCAATGCCGCGGCGGCGGTGCAGCGGTGAAACGAAGAGCTTTTCCACGACGGCGCGGAAGGGCCCGGTCTGCGAGAAGGGCGTGGCCAGGGAGACGACACCCGAGATGTCCAGTTGTTCCGAAGCGGCTGTAGGATCGTGGGCACTGGTAGTAGGTGCAGGGTTCGTCGACCGGGTGACAATGGGCCAAGTCCTCCCTTCGTCGTTCCATGGCGCGGGAATGTTTTTGTCATTCGTCCGATCTCGCACCTTCGATAGGCAGATAATGATGTGTCGCTCGCCCCGGCCGACCTCGCTCAAACGCTGCTCCCACCACTGGTACATCTGCGGGTGTGACAGCGGCGGGAGGAACGTGGCCAACGTGCCGTCGTTCAAGATGCACGAGGCGTGCAGGTGGACGATGCCGTCGAGGATTAAGGCGACATCGGCCGTCGAGGCGGTCAGGAGACGGATGCCCGTCGACAAAGGCTCAGACATCTTCTTGTCCGGGTTTCTCCTTAGTGTCCCACGAATATAGAAATTTAACTGGAAGACGACTAAGATCTCAGGGCGATATGACTTGGTTTCAACGAACCCCTCGACGACAACGGGGCTCGACTCGCGGTTTCGTAGGGTCAACTCTCTGGTCTTTTTGCCAGTCTTCCACCCCAGTTACGGTTGTATGAGATAGCTCAAAAGAGGAGATCCGACAAGCACGAGATTTTCTCCTCGCATATTAATTGATATACTGCTGGAGACTGAGTCCTTACCTCCAGTATCCCACGACCCGGCGCGTAACGTAGTTTGTGATCTGCAGGGTGTGTCTTTGTCACGGGGAAACTGAAGCGGGTCTTCTGGATGGCGCAATATCTGATACGTTACAATTGTACCGACGCCACAGCTGAGTGGTCGATACATAGTGCATTAGTTCCAGGCATCAGCCAGGCAGAGGCGCAAGGAAAGGATCTTTCGAGCAAGGGTTCGAGCCTCAAGAGGACATCTCCCATAATAACGTCCAGCACCCTATCCCAATGTTTGTGATGGCGCCACCACGAAAACCGTCTCTGCCGATAACGGATCTATCTGTATCTATCCTGCCCAGGGACAGTCTTGCCGGGAGTTTCATGCCTTGTGGTTACCACTCGCTGTCATACAGGGGGTTCCCAAAGCCAGGATAGTGGCTCCTGGAATTCGCTGCTCATGGCCCGTGGAAGCCTGCAGGTCTCGAGGCGCATGGCTGGTCACTGTTGCCGAAAAGACCGAATTTGGCTGGCTGTATATCCCATTCGTTTTAGGCGCGCTCGATGTTGGTCTGGTTTTGGTAGAAGCAGAACCAGACCCTCGAAAGATTACTACGCCCGTCTCAAACCCGTCGAGTACAGGCCCTGGAGGTATTGCTGTGTTGCTCCACTGAGATTTGAGCACGATCTTCCAAGCATCTGAACGAGCTCCTGGATCATCTCCTTAGTTCTCATGGCTTTCATTGTTACTGAGCCTGTCGACGCATTGAAGTGATAGGTGACTTTCTGACCGCTGTCATCCCACCAGTCTATCGGCTCAGGGGCTGAGGTAAGTTCAGAATAGTCAGTCCAATATCATTTGACTTGACAGTGTGTGTAGATATTCTTCTCCAAGGAATTGAAAATCATCCAGAACACATTTATCGACACGCCACGAGTCATCGAGCACCACACAGCCTTGTGCACTGCCCAGTCGGCTTCTGACCATATTGAAAGTCATGTAGATCTCAAGTTTCTTCTCGCTCGTAAAGACTCCGCTCCATGTAAGCAATCGAACTTCACCGTTGTGTGACGCTTTGAATAAGTTTTTTGTGGTTGGCCTGCTCTTGTTCTGAAGCGAACCGCCTCATCCCAGGAAGTAGACGGTCGACATTTTCCAGCTGCCTCCGAAGCTCCCCAAGGTCCCCGCGCTCCCGAGTCTGCGGAACCCTTGAAGCAACTGCAAGCTCTCAAGCTCTTCTGTCGTCTGCCGGCTCTCACGCCCCAGGAGCCTCTGTTGTCGCAGACGATCCAATTCAGCCATCTCATTGTCCAGATTCTCGTCGTTACGCCCAGAGCCCTGCGGAAGCTCCTGTAGCGGCGGTTGAAAGAAGACTGCCAGCAAGCTCCGCCCCCATAAATTGCCGGCGCACTCGAATCCTTTTCGTTAGACTCATGATTTCTCTTTTGAGTCCCGCCGGATGTCGCCGAATTCTAGGGTATTCGTGATTCTACCATGCCTGCAAATGCTCTCGAGCCTTGTCAAGCTGCTCCAGTATTACTTATGTGGTCCACGTCTGGCATTATTTTGTCTCCCTTAGCAGAGCCGGGTCGTTCGGAATATTCGCCAGCGGCAGGGTCGACGTCCTTCGACTGAGTTGGATTGCTATAGCTGCTGGTATATTACGGTATTTTCCTGTCCCACGCGAAAGATCGGGACCATCTCTTTCACCACTGCCCTGGCTTGTGTTTGGCGGGACTTCTTACTTGTGGATTCGAAACTTGTGCACGCGTGCTCGAAGCCATGGCCGAATAGTAAGCACACACCTTGGCAGATCGGGGCGCCGAATATGCTCGTTCATATGACCTTGCTCTTGGAGGACACTCTGTAGTGTTGGGTTGAATTTGCGACGTCAAACTATTGACAAACAGGCAGACGAGGCTGAGTGGAAAAGGAGAGCAGTTGCGCGTTCCGTCCCGTGATCTCGCTGAGACTGTTCAGGCGTCGTGTGAATTCCACGAATAGGATCGATCAGTCAAAATAGGCGACGGACTGAACATTGCGGTGAATGGGGTGGACGAGGCGACATATATGCGCTGATCACTACATGTTGATTGAAGCCGAGGCCGACGTAGCTGGCTTTTTGGGTCCAGTCAGAGCGTCTCGTGTCGTCCACACAGGGTTGTCGTTGGCTAAATCGATTCTCAAGCGTTTGCGCCCGCCAAGGGACGGAGTATACAACATGTGTCAAGCCAAGCAGGTTGTGAATACGTTCTGTGGAAGAGAGGTCCTCCTCATGGCCATATCTTTCGTATACGCAAAGTGAAATCTAAACGTGCTTCGGTATTCCTGAGACATTCTCGAGCGTCCAGGCCTAACCCTGCATTTCTAACCCGCCCGTGCCATGGATGGTTTCACCAGTGAAGTATGAGCCCAGGGGCGAGGCGAGAAATACGTAAGCTGTAGCCATTTCAACGGGCATCCCCGGTCGCTGGAGTGGTGCCTCCTCGACTCCCAGAGCACTCATTGCTTCAGGTGGGTTCCCTTTCGTCGCGGGCTGAAGCGGAGTCCAGCTGTCATCGTAGGGAAAAAGTCAGTGATCTATAAGGCTGCGACGGTAATGAGATGGTACCGAGAGAACTGCAGTGAACGTACATGATTCCAGGTGCAACAGCATTCACCCTGATACCCTTGGGCGCCAACTGCTGCGCCAGACTTCTCGTGAACGTGGTGATAGCACCCTTGGTCGAGCTGTAGTCCACCAGCTGGGGATTGCCCATGTATGCAGCCACCGAGCTCGAATTGACGATGCTTGATCCCCGCTTCATATGGGGTAGAGCATATTTGACCATGGCAAACATGCTCAGGATATTGGTGCGAAAAGTCTTTTCCACCACCCCAAGATCGATGTTTTGGATATCGTTGCAGATCTCTTGCATGGCCGCATTATTGACGAGGACGGAGAGCTTGCCGAACTTCTTCATGTGTGCCTCGACAATCTTCTCGCAGTTCTGTTCCGAGGTGACGTCCAGGGCAAGCGGTTGGGCTTGACGGCCTGCCTTTTCGATCTGAGCTTTTGTCCATTTTGCATCCTCCTCCTCTTCGGGGAGATAGACGAAGGTGATATCAGCACCCTCGCGAGCCATGAGCACAGCAACAGCACGTCCAATTCCAGAATCTCCGCCAGTGACAATTACGGCTTTATCTTTGAGCAGGCCCCGGCCTTCATAGTCTTTCAAACAGGGAGCTTTCCCTTCATCGTCCCAAAACTCGAGTTGCGTCCAGTTGGCATTTGGTGCAAGTTTCGAATCCAGTCCTTTGCCGCCCTCTTGATTTTGTTCCTCCAGCGAGCTCGCTGGATAGGCTGTCGGAGGGGCCTGTGGCTTATCCGGCATGGTCATTCACAAGTCTACTTAAGGAATCTGTAGTTGAGCAGCCGTAGAGATGGGTGAGCCAGTAGCCGTCACATAGATTTGGTGGAATTTATTCTTTCCTCCATGTGGACATGACATCAAGATGATCAGAGGAAGATGCCGTCATGGGTCAGAATGACGCCACGAATCAGCGTTGCGGAAGCTAGAAATCCATACTTTTATATCTCGGCGCTCGTGCCCGACGGACTCTCCATCCTGAGGTTCATTGAGCAGATCATTCTTTCCTCTGACGTGGGGAGAGAAACATCTGTGGTTCTATACGTCGACGATGGCCGGGATGCCACGGTCCTGTGGGGCAGTTCTGGATGCAAGGCTGGTCGCAATTTCCGGATCCGATCGGCCAAACTCCTCTTAACGATGGCAAGATTGACAAGAAGATTGATGATTCACATGGAACCACGCGTGGTCACTGCGGACGGTTGAATTTGTGATAGATCGTTCATATTTTGTTTAGGATATGCGTCGTTAGGGAATCTAGGCGTTTGAAGCTCACCTGAGTTCGACGCGTTAGGTGGCATCCGGTTCAACCGGCTGGCTCGCCAGTTTGCACAACTTGGCTGTCAAATGCTGCGCGCCGGGTGGAGGATAAAAGAAGCAGTGATTCGACTTGGGAAAAGCTTTGTACGCTTAATCAGACACCTCTTGGAATGTCAAGATGAGTATCGCTCTAGCATCCCAGGTCATCGGATTTATCTCCTTCAGCATCACACTGGCAACGTTGTTGGGTGCGTAATTAAATCCGCAACGGACAGCTCCCGCCACAATCTCATAATATCGCAGGGGTGTATCGGGATCTTATATCCACGATGCGCAAAGCTGACACAGCCATCCCGCTCATGCTGGGCAACCTTCGACAGGAGCTCGAAGAAGAGAGAGCTCTCCTCCGCTATCGATGTCGCGAAGGGGACCCATACGGCGTCTTCCCTTCCCTGCGCAAAAGGACACGGAAGCAGCGGGAAGTCTCTCAACTCCTCCAAACGTCAATCGAAAAGATATGGCAACAGTTCAAGAACATCGAACGTCCATTCCTCATTGCGAACTCGCTGCGTGCAGAGCAGGTCCGGAAGGGGGATTACTGGGGTGAAAGCGATATTGAAGAGAAACCCCGTGCCAGACCGGACAAGACCAGGACAAGGGATCGAATGGATTTGGCGGAAGCTGGATTTGCTTCAGATCAACAGCCTCGTTACTATCGGACAGACCTCACTCATCGTTTCATCTGGTGGGCCCTACTCCAACGCCTGCACTTCGAATTGGACTGACCACCGCTAGGTGGCAGAGTATATCGGCTGTCGAGGACATGATGAACCAAGTTCAGCGTATTCAGATCCGCAGGATCGAAAGAGACGTCTTTGAGACCGACGAACTGGTGAGGCGCTGCTTGAATACGCTAACAGGCCGAAGGGGCCGTGGCGGAAGCGCACGTGGCAGTTCCAGCAGTAGTGGAAGTGGAGGCGGCGGCAACGGTGGTATCGGAGGCTTCAAAAGGCGCAATGTGAGATCGAGAACAGGCAGCGTAATGAACTCAGGTCGACGTGCAAGTGCGGCTGGTGAATATGTCCGAGAGGTTGAAGAACGGGAAGTCAGACGGGTACGTTCGGAGAGTGTCAGATCTCGAGATGGTGAAACCGGCAATACAGGACAGCGTCGCAACCGAAGTCCAGAACCGCGGTACACGTACGAAGTTATTCATCCGGGAAGAGTCTTTGTTGATGTGGATGACAGTGAGCCTAGGCGGCGAGAGCGGATTGTGCCGATGAGAGGCTACAGCCGCGACCGTAGTAGAGGCAGATAGATAGTCTGGCACCGAAAGACGACGAAGCCGTTTCCTCTCCGGCAAAAAGATGAGGCTTTGGATGATCCGTACACCTAGAAGGCTCTCGTGCAAATCCTTGCTCGACCAACACTTGACCGTGACAAAGCAATCATTCCTCTCTCCAGGCATTGAATTCTTCCTCGAGATGAGCTTTGAGTAGAGTAAATTTATTCCCAAACATCTTTTTACAGCGCCAGCACTTGTAGTCTTTGGTCAGATTTGCGTTCTGATAGCTTGTTTGGCGTCTGATATCATCCTTTGCGAGCGGGAAGTCCTCGAGCGGGATAAAGAAGTCGGTATTGAAGCTGTTGTAATGCTTCCGATGCTTCAGTCGATCCGAGTGCATGTCCCGGCTGATGATGTGGATATGCAAGTGATTCATCGAAGGGTGCGCATGGATTCCGACTTTGAATTCCTTAGAGAAATCTCGTCCAGGCGGCAGTTCGTCTGGGGGGTTATCACTTTCCATAGCAGCAATGCGATCCTGGCATGATTTCGAGTAAGGACTGATCAGTCTGGACAACTCCGATGCCGCCAACCGGACAGCTGTAGCTGCCTCTGTTCGCACCATGTCCAGAAAGTCCTGGTCGTCCAAGGCATCCCGTGGATTCAGGGTTTGTTTTGCTGGGTCTCGTGGCAGAAGAAGCAGATGGACTGTAGCTTTTGGGAATGCATCGCGAACCAACACCGTCTTGTCACTGGACAAAATGACAGTTTCCGAGGAGAACTTGGCCGGCTCCAAAATGTACGCGAGAAGGCCATTTCGTGGATCGTTGGAGCGGCTGAGCTTGCCGACATGCTTGAATTCGTGTGGCTTTGGATGCTTGTGTTTGGGAGACATGAGTTCCGAGAAGGCGTTGCGCTTGGTGGCGGAGGCACTGGGTTTTGATGCTTCCTCAGGCTGCTCGTCATCGATGTCTCTGGTCTTTGATGCCATTTTGTATTTTCTTCGGTGCTGATGCTTGCAAGATGCAGGGACACAAAGGGACAGGAAAAGGACAAAAGGAGGGCAATCCTCCAAAATGTTTTGCTGGAGGTGAGAAAAGTCCACTGGCTCCCAGCAGCAGCAACCAACCAGTTCTCCTACGTTCACAAATAACAAATAACGCCGACAGGAAGGTTCAGAACATGCAAGTGAAGAAGGAACAAGGTGAATTTTCACGGTCCAGCTCCTACCACCAGACACCACCGTTGTCGGTCACAAATGTCACAAATCTCGGCGATAGTGTAGGTTCGGGTTACAAGATTGGTGCTTCGTTCGATACTGATCATCTCATTCTGGGAAGAAAGGCGAGACTAGATGGCTGCCTTCAGTAATCTTCCCTCTCCTTCGGTCTCTCCCCCTGTGGGATGTCTGCTTCCTGTATCTGGTGTAATGACTGCATCCCATAAGAATCAAACGCCGTGGCAGAATCATCCTCCATGACTGCCAAAACCTCCCTCCCCTCCCAATAATATGTAAAAGAAGATAATCTTTCAATTTTGCGGCGCAAGCCTTAAGAAATCTTGATTCTCAACGACTTTTGGGCACCCCAAGAAAAAAATGCAAGCCAAACCAGTCAGTCCATTTCCATTCCACGAGAGACATATGCACTCTTAACTCCGTGCAGTCAATGAGCCCCAGCAACCCCTCCTTGCTTGTGGGATGTGTGATGTTGGTATCGCGCCATGGGCCACCGCCTCTTTCCCCCAGTCTCCATCTCTTTACATGACCACACACCGGCTGCAGCAGCCTGCGCTCTCTGCTTGGTGGTCCATCTCCATTTTTTGGCCAGGCCCAAGGGACATGAGCCCTGGCGCGCCACCGGGATACCCTGACATCTCTCGGTTGTATCTTCGAATTTCTCGAACGAGGTCGTAGAAGGCATTGTCAACGTTTATTCGGGATTTAGCAGAGGTTTCGATGAATTTGCAGCCAAACTGTCTGGCCAGCTGAGCGCCCTCCTCCTTCGAAACCATTCTCTCCGACTCGAGATCACACTTGTTGCCCACGAGAATGATGGGGAAATAGTCTTTGTCCTTAACTCGGAGAATCTGTTGCTGAAAAGTCATGATCTCTTCGAACGATTGTCGCGAGGTTATCGAATAGACGAGTAAAAAGCCTTCGCCGGTCCTCATGTATTGTTCTCTCATGGCCGAGTATTCTTCTTGACCGGCCGTGTCCAGAACGTCGAGGAGGGCGACTTCGTCATCTATCATGCATTGCTTGCGATATGAGTCTAGCCATGTCAGCGTGCTTCCCAGCTCTTCGTTCCCGTGGTCGGTCCGCACCTTCAATTGTAGGGTCATATTCGTCGACGAAGTGGCTTTGAATCAACTGGATGGTCAAGCACGACTTGCCCACGCCTCCACCGCCTACCACCACGAGCTTGTACTCGCGCAGGAACTGTAACGGTTGCGTTAGTTGTGACATTTTTCGTTTGTGGTTACGAGGAAGAAGGGTAGAAGATCGGGGTCAAAGCACCTTTGAAGCCATGACAGAGAGCTACAGCCACAGCTCGGGGGTCTCGGGGACGAAAAGACCTCGCCAGAGACAGGTATTCCAAAAGCGTTAGGGTGGCGTTTTTTCCCAGACACTGGGATGTTCAGCGAGTACAAAGGCAAACCAGGAGCGCGTGGCTGAAGGATCTCCGACAAGACGGCTAAGGGCGCAGGCGAGACGGGTTTCGGACGTGGATCAAGTGATGGGGGATCGACGGGAAGGGTCGATGGCGAGAATGAGAGACGAAGGTGGTGGTTATCGGTCGTCGTCCTCCCTAGCTCTAAGTGAAACGGAGGTGTTGAAGGACTTTGTAACGGCGACTTGCGAAGTTACCGCAGACGAGGCGAGGAGGGAACAGAGACGGAGGTTTCGATAGCTCAGCAATATTCGAGGGGTTCGCGTTCGCTTGCGAGGCTCGGTTGAGGATAGTTCTTGGGTGAAGGTTCAGAAGCGTCGTGCGAAAGTCCAAGAACTGACGGAAACAGCGATGGTGAGTCGTGCTCGCAGAATGAACGGTGGAGAGTTTTTGGGTCAAGGGCAGGAGGAGTTTAGCAGCCCAGGGAGGTTCCGGGAGTGGCTGTACTGAGGTGGTGTGGATGTGGACTGAGACTCTAGTTTGGAGACCGGGGTCAAGGATCGCAGGGAGAGGAGCTGGGACAAGGGGTCCAAGTGAAGGGGAGGCACTGCAACCACTTTATCACACCAGCTTGTGTGAGTGCGTGCGTGTGTGTGTGCGTGTGCGCGTGCGATGGGAGGGGCCGGCTGTGGCTTTGTTTGACCAAACACGGAGTTGGTTGAAGTCTTATCGTGGGCGTTCTCGCGACAACAAAACTATCTTTTCTCCAAAGATTCAATAATACGAAAAGCGAAAAGGTGGCCGTTGAAGTACGGCAGGGGGAGAAATATGTTGATCCAAGACAGGCGCCAAACCGATAGCAGGGCAACTCGTCTGCCTCGCCTGCGCTCCCTCCCTCCACCCTCCCTTGATCGGGCTTGTTACTCGGTACTAGTACATACTTGCAGTGTTACTCCCACAGCTCCAACAAGAACCAAACAATAGGCAGGTCAGCCATTGTGAACTGCACGAGATACTGACTGCATACCTAGGGAGTTATGGCGCCGTCTTCATCTTCGTCTTCGTCCTCTTTTCCTGCGATCTATCTATCGCCTTTGCCTTCCTTCCATCCACGCATCCAGGGAACGCAGCCATCCCACCTCTCCTTTGGTTCCATGTCTCGATCAATCATTCTTCCCCTATTCCCTACCGAAAAAGAACGGCCCTCCGCTCGCCTACCTGCCGCCCGCCAGTTGGTGGAGTGCGGCCGACACAGGCAATGGGACATGCCCCCTTAGCGTGGTGCCCATGTTAGTGCTAGAAAATGTCTCCCTCCCCCAGGAGGGTCTTCATCGCCTGCATCCAACCATGGCTCCCCAGGAGATCCGGGTGGGCGGTAACCGCTGAATACCCGCCCGTCCAGTTCCAGCCAAGCTTTGGCTCTTGATGCCTCTACCCAGCCGCTGATTCGGCGGCTCATCGACCCATCACACCCGTTCACACGCCGTCCTGAACTGGCTTTCTCTAGCACCGCGCTTCTATCCCTGGCCGATGAACCAGAAACCTTCCTTCTCGTATTGGCCTCTCGGTGGCTTCCATGCGTTCGGGACTCTGTGTTACACGTTCTTACGTCCAGCCCGCAGGGGGCAAGAAGCAACTACTCGGGATAACGACAACCCAGCGTTCGTTCGCAGGGGAGGATGGCCAACCGAGCTACGATCACCGTTGTTGCATCCCGGTCCAAACCACAAGCGTCATAGCTGCCCACAAATGTCATTTTTTCCCACCCCCTGTCGGAAGGGGGAGGGAAGCAACCCACATAGCAATCGGGCTTGGCTGAGGGAAGTCCGTTGAAGAAGGTTTGCTGAAGGCATTCATGTCAAGGGCAAGACGAGTATTCCTGGGACTGGCATTGACTCGATCTTCCACCGGCGCTGGGCACCCTCCAACATGAAGGAGGACCTGGACAGCTACCGACAGAAGGAATGAATGACGGGTTGCCGATCATCGAACCCCTTGGACCTCCACTTGGTCAAGGTGACATTCTGGAAAATTGCCCGAATCCGAAGTCTTCTTGATTCGTCCAACAGCGCCACTCATGGCATTCTCTGGCTCGACACTGATACCAGGACGAAGAGGGTACCAGCAAGGCATGACGACCCTGTGCATTGGTGCATTGATCGCAAAGCTTCTGCCCACGTGGTTTTCCATGTGTCACATCCGATTGCCACCTCATTCACATGTCGGCTGCTGTGTTCTTGCGATGTCGCCCCCAGGTATCTATTCGATATGCATAGCACACTAGCGATGCGGGCGACATCTTGCATGAAATAAGCCTGCGAGACCAGCGACGACCTCGCTTGCAAGATCCGGATCGAGGATTGCGAGTCTCGACGCAGCGGGTAAGAAAGAAACAACCACCATGACATACGTTTCGGGAAGGACGATGCAGAGGGTTTGATCATTGTGGTTCTAAGAGGGCATCATGCATCTTTGTCCTTCCTCACATCGGTCTCATCGTCCGTATCATCTTCGCCCTCTACTCTGACTCTCATGCCTTTGACGCCCTCGGCCACCTCGGCCTCCAACGTGTCCATGTATTCTCGATCACTTCCCACCAGGGTCACCACGTTCTTATTCTTGCCCCATCGAGGATAACTTCCCACCTTGATGCCCTTGGACTCGACTTTGGCGGCCAATTGAGTAAGGTAGTCTGCGACCTGACTCTCCGCGAGTGGAGTGCTAAAGAGCATGCGATACATTCCCTTCCCTTCGGGATCCTTCAGGCGAGGAAGGATGCGGGGCTTCATCCCATCCAGCAGCGTCTCGAATATCCTCGGCACCCCAGGGAGAATATGGATGTTACCGTTGACCACCGAGATGGGGACCCAGAGGTCCTCCTTGACAAACAAAACCTGCTCCTCGTCGGGAATATTAGGGTCTGTAGGCAGTTGGGCCATGCGCATCTTTGCTGTCCGAGCAGGTGAAGGTACATCCCAGTCAAAACCTGGTTGTGATTTGTGAGGTCTCGAGTACTTCCTCATTTTAGCCCAGGTCGGTTCGTGTAATTTCAACTCCAGCCCAAATGCCTTGGCTATGGACTGGTATGTTATATCATCGTGTCTTTCAATTCGTCAGCGGTGCACAGCCGGTCCAAGAGAGACTGCTGGGAAAGACATACGTGGGACCGATCCCACCGCTGGTCACCACGAAATCATAATTCTTTGACATGCGCCTGGCTGCCTCTATTATCTCGTCTTCATCGTCCGCAATGACTTCAATTCGTTTCAATTGCATCCCCAGGGAAAAGCAGAAGCGGGCAAAATATGCGGAATTGGTGTCGACGGTCTACAATTTGTGCACAGTTGTCAGTTCTTTCTGCCTTCTCCCAGGCGACCATTGGGGACGAGCGTGGGGCGCCACCTGACCTTTCCACCCAGAACCTCATCACCTATAACTATACATCCTGCCGTGTGTATCAGTCCCTTGCCAGGCGCAGAAACGGCGTCGGCATTCGATGATGAGGTCATTTTGGAGGCCGAGGAAGAGGACCAGGCGGCGGCAGAGCGGTGCGCGTAGTTCGGCAGAGGTCGTAGGAGGTGTCTTGCGATTAGAGAGAGGCGAGAGAACATTGAACGCCGAGAAGTGGGGAGCGAGCAAAGGTCGTTGTGTTTGCACGGTCTATTCGCATTGAGCAGTGGTGCAGGTTGAAAGATGCAGGGCGCAGGTCGATTGTTCTGTAAGCCGGCAGAAGATTGAGATGCCCCACCACCATCAACCATCGACCATCGATCATCGGCCATCGACCTCCATCAGCCTGCCATCAAACAACACATTGCTTCAACGCTGACGGCGCGTTGCTCAAGCCACTTTGCACCCACTGGAACTACACCAAGTGCTGTGAATCTCCCCGAAGCATATCCTCGAATCAACCTGCTCTCTGTGTGAAGTCTCGTTTCTCCAGCACTCACTCGACAAGCTGAATACCGAGGGCAGCACAAGGCTGAAGGCTGAGCTTTTTCGATCTTTGTCGTCGGTGTTCCCCTCGGGAACAAGCAGACCGGATCACACGGGATAGACCACCATCCTCCTTGTACAGGCTTTGGTCGAGTCGGAAAGATGGTATCACTCTCCATTCCACTACTACATGGCTATGCTCCTGAGCCATCTATCCTTCCTCTCCTCCCGGCAGCACGGACGCTGCATATCTCTCGTGCTATCCCGACTGACCCAACCAGTCAGAGTCGAGGCTCTATACCTTCTCGCAAGAGACCAAAGACCAGCTACGCAAGTTCCGGCTAGGCACGTCCCGGGCGAAGACGCCGCTGGCCAAAATCTGTGAGTGTCTCTGACCAGAAGGATTTTGGTTATCAGTCGATTGTGTGGGCATTCCGATACTTGGAGAGGAAAACTTCGCGTGAAGGGGCGCCAGAGTGTTCTGTGTACGATGGACTCGCCTAAGCTTGGTGACCAGAGTTATTCTCGGGCACCCCTTCACAAGACGCACGACCATCAGACGCTGACTCTGCTCCGTTATTGCAACCACATTTAGACCAAATCGACGCCAAAACCCAAGAAATCAAGCCCTCCTCCGATGACACATACAGCGACATGCTCGAGCTGGCGGACGAGCTGCCAGACTCGTCGCCACGTTTCATCCTCTTGAGCTACCCATTAACCTTGGTACGTCTCTCTTCTGCTCCCACGGTTTCCCCTTTCACGCCATCAGAGCTAGCAACCAAACCGTCGGAAACCCTCACGACATATTCATACCTTTGCCGATGGCTAACCGTCTGTCTGTGTACCCCGTATTCCAGGCCTCGGGGCGCCAGTCCGTCCCCTACGTCCTCCTGTACTACTTGCCCGTGAACTGCAATCCCAACATGCGCATGAGCTACGCCGGTGCGGTGGAGTTGATGCGCTCGACCGCCGAGGTGAACCGCGTGCTGGAGATCGCCGACGCCGAGGACTTGCAGGAGATCGAAGGGCGGTTGAAGGGCGAGGATTGAGATAGAATTTCCGCTGAGGTGCATCATCCGATGAGGAGGGATGTCCTCACGCCTGTATGTACGTAGGTATGGATGGATGGAGAGGAGGATGGGGAGATCAAGAAAAGGAGAGACAAGTACAAGACTACGTACTACAAGGCTAAGGAAAGTGTTCTGTTTCTTCTTCTTCCTCTTCTGCTGAGATCGATAAAGGGCAATTTTATGATTCATTGCTACATACCTCATCAAAAGCTGAATTCGTTCAGTTGAGAGAAACAAAACCCCCCCGAAACGACGCCGTCGCGAGCACAACAAAACAGCCCCAGATAATAGATAGATAACCCTGAGTGAGACACTCTCTCCCGGTAAGTATTCAGAGGAGAGGACATGCATAAACAGATCCCTCTTTCCGGCAATGGTTTGTTTGTTTTGTTTCTTTCCAACCTCCTCCTCCGATCGCCTGCAGAATGACGAACCAAAACATCGCTGTGCTACTGACCGCACGTTCTTTGCCTTCTTCTACAGCTGCGATCTCACCCTCTCGGCACCGCCACCCAGGCCCGTCCGGACGGTGAAGCCCTTGAAGTAACCCTCGAGCGCCTCGACCGTGCCCGGGCCCTCGGTCAGGCGCACGGCGACGCCGACGTGTCCGTCGGGCCGCACGACCACCACGGCGCCCTCATCGCCGGTTAAGCCGACCTTGGCGTGAGCCGAGGCCTTCGCGTCCAGCACCTTCATGTCCCGGCGGTCGTCGGCGTAGACGCGCGCCGAGTAGTCGCGGAACAGGGCGGGTAGGTCGGAGATCTCGATGTCAGGCCGCTTGGCGGCGAGGACCAGCGCGAGCGAGAAGAACCGCGAGTGCGGGTTGTCCATGTCGTGGTGGTTGTCGCGCTGACGGTCCTCGCACCCGAACCGCGTGTAGAACGAGTCCGGCGCCGTGAGGTGCTCGGCGAAGTCGGCCAGCGCCTTGTGGGCGCCCTGCTTAGGCGACTGGGACAGCCCGGCGTAGATGAACAGACGGAACGAGCCGTTGAACGGGATCTGGTTCTCGAGGTGCACCACGTTGGCATCGACTACGCGGGTGACATTCGAGGGCGGCATGATCCGGCCAGGCCGCAGTTTGGGGCTGTCGGTGATGATGAGCGGGTGCTGGAAGGGGTGCTCGGCCGAGTGGTTGAAGATGTTGGGGTTGTACGCCACGCCGAAGCCCGAGGTGAACTCGCAGTTGGCCTTGAACATTTCCACGAATTCGTTCTTGTGCTGGCCCGCGTCGTGCTTGTGGGCGTCGTCCACCTCCGAGGCAGTGGGCTGCCGTGTCGAGAAGAGAGCGGCGTACTTGTTGTCGAAATTGAGGAGCGTCTCGGCGATGAAGCGCCGCTCGACTTCGTATGTGGACAGGATGTCCCGTGAGGCGAAGCCGGATTCCACCAAGTGCATTTTCCATGCAAAGTTGATGGCGTCGTGGAAGGCCGTGTTCATGCCCTGCCCGGCCTTGGGGGAGTGGGTATGGCACACGTCACCGCCCATGAAGACGCGGTGGTCCAGCGTGTATTTGTCGGCGATGCCTTGCCCGATCGGGTAGACCGAGTACCATTCCACGCGGTCCCAGATGCAGTAGTACGGCTGGAAGATGCGCTTGGCAGCAGCCTGCACTTGTTCCACAGTGGCTGTCTTCCGGGGTGAGAAGTCAGGGTCTGTGGAGCTGGCGATCTGGATATAGAGTCTGACCATGTTGTTCTCGCGGGGGATAACCATGATACTCCCATGATCGGAGTGAATTGTGCACTTCATCTTGATGTCGGGGAAGTTGGTGCGGACAACACCATCCATCACCCCCCACACGTGGGAGATGGGGTCTTTGTGTCGGATTTGAACACCCAGCTGTTCGCGAACAAAGCTCCGGGCCCCCTCGCCACTGAAGAGATATTTTGCTCGAACAGTGTCGGTGACGTTGCTGTCCAGGTTCTTCAGGTCCACCTCAACAGGATACTCCGGGTTCTTGTGATTGGTCTCGAATCTCGTGATGGTCCACGGCCTCTGGACCTTGGTACCGTTCTTCTCGAGATCCTCAATGAGGACCCGCTCGATCAAACCTTGGTGAAGAAGAGCCGTGAATGGATATCGGGCGTCCAGGAACTCCGGACAGCTGGCCCAAGTACCCGTCCTCTCGATCTTCCCACCAGGGACAGGATCCCAGAATGCCACTTCAAAGACTCGTGCGGGATCATGGGCCATAATCTTCCGTTTCAGCCCCATGTTTTGGAGAATTTCAAGTGACCGTGGCTGAATGCCATCGGCTCGTCCGGTTGCTGTTGGGACGGGTCGGTTGTCGATGTGTCTGACTTTGTAACCCCATCGTGAGAGTGATACTGAAAGCAATAAACCCACGGGACCGGCACCGATGATTACAATATCGTACAAGGGTATCTCTGAAGGCATTTTGAGGTAGTGTGGGGAAGATGGGAGGACAAGAAGCGGAGGCGCCGTCAAGGTACAACTTGGGTCAAGGCAGACAAGCAGCGCACTTTCAAGCTCTGTTTGGGATTGTTGCACAGAGGGCGAGGTTGATGATTATGAGAAAGAGAAATGGGGAAGAAGAGTGTCAATTTATTTGAAGTCGATCCCACAGACACAATGCTCGGCTTCGGACCATGGCAGATATCTGGAGGCCCGGCCCACGGGGCCAATACAGGTCTTGAGATCAAGCGAAGAGAATGGCCGTTTCCGAACCAGTCACCGAAACGGTTGCCGCTGGCAGCGATTAGAGCTGGAGGTGGATTTGTGGGCGTATGGAGAAGGAGGGCAAGCTGAGGGTGTTATTCCGAACTGGTCCAGATCCCCTTCCTGGGGGGGTCTTTTGATTTGATCAACCACCATCCAGGCATTAGCGACACTTGGAAGGCCCGGGTGGCGGCCATCGAGGACGTTGTTTGGAGCGCTGGCAACGTCATGGAGGATGCAGAAAGGTCAGACAGCGGCATGAGCGGTAGTCCCCCGCAGAGTCGGATATGAATATCGGCAATCTCGACTGGTCACGTGCATCTGACGCGCCAGGGGTTGATGGTACACGTGATCAGAGTTAAGCGCCTTGGCAGAGTGCGACCTTCTTTCGACTTCAGACACACAGCTGAGGTTCCCTCCTTTTATCACGATCATGTGTGCACATGAGTAGCAGAGTGAGTGGTAGGTGAAGTGATTGGGAGAGGGAGACTCTTGTGCATACCTAGGTATCTTCTTCGGGCTGCATGAGATTCTATACGCCACAAGCATTGTGACAGGCAACCCGTGTAATGGTTCATACTTGACCCGGGAAAGAGGAACGTTGCTGTGCACATCTGTCTGTCGGGAGGTATCAATAATGAAGCAGATCAGGGCCAACAGAGTCCAGGCTGATGTGGATGACAGCAGGGTATTGAGGATGAAGTGAGCTGAAAGTGAACTGAGAGTGAGTTGAGTTGAAGAGTTTGCTTGTGGCTACACCGCCCAATACCTGAATTGGACAACAAAATGATGGCCACCTGCACAGCCAGCACGTGCCTGGACATGACTTGGCGTGACCTCGTCGTCGCCTTCGGAACCGGGTCGCAAAAACAATCCTCCGATATAACTTGGCACGATGCCATTGATCGCACCGGCAGCGATATCATTCAGACCAAATTCAACTCACCACACAATCTTCATCTCATCCACAACACTCATTTTAATCGCCTCTGCAGGTCGGTCGCGGCGTCAATCTTTTTTCATCCCTCTCACCGTCCACGTCTTTGCTTTCGTGTTCCGACCCTGTCGAGACTCTTGTATTGTCTGCATTATGTCCTGATCGTGTTACTGTGCTTTCTCACTTCTCACTTCTGCACCTGTCCTTTCTTTTCTTTCTTTCTTTTCGCGTTGCTTGTTCCATCCATCATCATGGACATTACGCGTCGTCGCAACTTGAATGCGACAATCCCTTCGCCCTTGCTCAACAACCTGAACCGAGTGGAGGACCTTGGTTGTTTTGATGAAGAGGAATGTCGCTTCTTCCTGCGAGAAGTTGGCGAGCGCGTCGTGCCTGTCTATCCCTTTTCCTTCGGCATGGAAGAGGTGTATAGCTTGATCATCGAGCGATATGGATATGCCGGCCTTCCTGACGTGACAAGCGTTCTGCAAGACCTCCTCGAAGACGAGCGAACCGCATCTGGCTTGGGAGACGATGGCGACGTCTGGCGCTCGTGGCGTCACAGTTGGAGACACCGAAATGTAAACTGCTCGCCCCTTTGCTGAAGTGAATGACACTAACATTGCTCACCAGGATGACGCTCTCAACCCCTTTATCCCTAAGGTGGGAAGCTTTGTCCTGCAGCAACCCACCCAGCAGCACATTCGTCAACTGAAGGCAAAGAATTTTGTCCACCGAAGCGAACAAGCCCAAAGACTAGAGCGAGCCCGTCAGGCTGAAGAGGCTGGAAAAAGAAAAGCGTTGGTCGAGATCTCTCCGAACCAGAACAGAAGAATCGAGTCTCGTCCCCGCGAGACCCTCACCAAACCTGTAAAGGCAGATGAAGAGAACTCGTATCGGCTTCCTGCTACCACATATTCCCATCAGAGAACCAGAACTTTGTTGGCATCAGAGCATGGGTCGTCGCCACCACCGCTGGAGCAAGTGACGACCAAGCATAGTGGCTCGCACGGCGCCCAACTGTCAGCAAGTGGCTCTTCGCAGCAAGAATTCATTGAAGTGGATCTTTCATTGGCCGATGCAGACGTCGATCCAGCTCTCTTGGTCTCCTTCGAGATGCTCTCACCCGGTCAGTCGACTTCGGAACAAAGCCCCACCCTGAGAGGCGGGCAAGGCGAAATCGTCACTCTTCAACAGATCAACTCCACTCAAGATACCAAGTCCAGCAAAGAACACAATGTCCAGGGAAACAGCTCACCACTGTCGTGTGTGGCATCTGTTCCAACCCGCGTTGGTTCTTGTGAGACACACGGGAGTCAAGGCATGACCATGACAGAGGCTTCGAGCCCACCAACCTCTTCCGGTCACATCGAGCCCTCCAAAGAGGCGAGCAAAGCCGACAAACAAGAACCTGTAGAGCACCACAAGTCAGCAGAGAAACAGCGCAAACTATCGGACGGTCTCAAACATTTCGCCAGACGCCCCCTGGGTGACGGTCTCGACCCGAGCAAGAGAACACGCGCTGCCAATCGACAAGCAAGAGTGTTTGATGGGACCATTTGGCTGCCAAAGGTTCGCAAGCGGCACTCGTCACACATCAATCTTCCTGCCGATGAAGAGGCTGTGGTGGAGGAGAGGAAGAGATCGATTGTGCGACGCAGCCTCACCCCGGTCTGGCAGAAACGCGATTCTTCTCGCAACAGTTGGATGGAAATTTTGCGGAACTTGTTTCGGACCGAATCGACTTCTAGCCAAGCCAAACAGTCCAGAGCTGAGAGTATCTCGATCCAAATTCATCCCACACTGCCGGATGTGATCACGTCCTCAAACAATCAGACCATCATCACTGCCACCCCCATTCCCGTTGAGCACGAACACAAATCATCTCCACTGGGCCTTGACGGAACCGTCGAGTCGACATCCATCATGGACTGCAACAAGCCTCTGCCGCTCAGTCCTGGCGAAATCGTCCGCTCTCTCTCGGCTCACCCAGTGATGCCTCGCGGCTACCAAACCAACTCTGCAACCCTCAACGGTGCTGTTACTTTAGCAGACCCCAACAATGACTCTCAAGCGCTGGCTGCTGCTCATCGCATCAAGCGCAAAGATGTCCCTGTCAAACATCATCTCTCGCCTGTTCGCGAGGTCAAGGACACATCTGCCGCACACGCCGCTGAGCCTCAGAAGATAGAACAGCCACCGCTCTCGTAAGGAGTCTTTCCAAAGTTTAGGTGATTGGTGACGGGAGCTGATTAGTTGCGAACAAGGGCGATCACGTACTCTAGCATTGCTAATATGAATCCATTCCTGGACCATCCTGCCAATGATATTCCTGTCACTCTTCCTGCTGTCTCTGCACCGGAGCCTCTCTTTGCCATCCGTGGAGAAATGCCTGCGCACCTTCGTGGCTTTCCACCCAATGTCCCTGAAGATATTGCCTTCTCCATCCGTCAACAGTTCCCAAACTACTGTCTGCCACAACCTCGTCCAGCACCCTCTGAGCACCAGCCCTCGAAGTCACGCATCTTGTTGACACCGATCAAGAACTTCATGAACAAGCGAAGTGACCCTGAGGAGGTGATGACACAAGGGACACCCACCCCAGGCCAGAAGAAGAAACGCAAGAACAGTTTACAGAAGTTTAGTGATTTCTTGAAACACCCCTTCATGGTGAGTTTGCTCACGACCGCGATCACGACATTCCGAACATTGTTTTTATATACCAGAAAAGAGGAGAATTCTGGCTAATTTGGATGAAAACCAGTCTCAACCACCCACCGACACGGAAAAAGTCGACAAATGGATGATTGAAAGTGCCGCTGCCACCGCGCCTCGCTCGCCCGTGTCTCTCGAACCCGCCACGCAAGCCCGCATCCTCGGAGACATCGAACTGTTCCTGGTCACGGCGACGAACAACTTCCTCGTGCACGAGGCCAACGCCGCGCGTCTCGACGCCGAAATCGTCTGGCGCTTCAGCCGCGACTGGAAGGCCCGTGGTCTGCGGCCCGTAGTCGAGTTCCTCTACGACTGCCGCACGCAGTACCATCTCGTGCTGGCCAACATGCACAGCGTCCAATTCTCCGCCACGTGCGAGCGGTCCTTCTACCTGCGCGACTCCGGCATGGAGGCGTGGGGCGCCATCGTGGCAGACCTGGCCGTGCACGCGTTCTGCCTCCCCGACGACGTCGTCGTCCGCCACCTCTACGCCCTCCCGCAGGTGCTGCGCATGCTGCGGGCCCCCGAGTCGGCTCTCGCCACCGCCCGAGGCCTTCAGCTGCAGACCTCGGCCAAGATCAACGAGCGCCTGGCCACGGACCGCGCCCGCAAGGCCGCCCGGGGTCCGTTGGCCGTCCGCGTGCCCCAATATGGGGACGGGCTGTTCCACCGGCGCGACATCAGCGTCGGCTCGGAGGAGGATGTGTTTGGGGGGCTCGAGGCCGTCGTGGCCAACATGTCGGCGCGGGCGTCGCTTGTTGGCATGCGACGCTAGACGGAGCTGGCCTGGTCGTTCGCAAGGGCGATCAGACCGGCGTCCTCTAGACGTCAACCGGTTTCTTGTCTTGTGGGGGTTGTTCTTCTTCGTTTCGTGTCAAATGAACATGTTCATCGTGCGGCGGCTGTGAAGGGGAGGGCCGTGCCGTGCCGTGCTGAGTGAGCGTCCTGTCGCCATTTCTCAATGGCAGAAACGTGTGTGTCTTGTCTTTTTTTCTCGATCTTGGGAAAAGGTGTTGTTGGCGCAGGGTGGCGGCGGCCCGAAATCGCCAAAACAATGTCTTGAATACAAAAAAAAAAGAAAGAAAGCCAGGTGGTTCCCTTGTTCCATTGTTCCATTATCTCTCTCTGTGTGTATGTGAATCTACCTCGCTGTCGTCGACCCTGCTCATCGCGATCCCATTCCGACTCGCAATAGCGGCCGCTGCACATGTGTCGACGACGTTGTCCACGTACCTCGTCGTCGCCGTGGTATGCCGGCTCCATCGCTCTCGCCACTCCAGTGACCACAACGACGCCCTCTTCACAATTGTCCTGTTACTAGCCAGCTCGCCTGAAGCTGCCGTATCTCATATTAGCCGGCCGGATCTGCCTCGTCCAGCCTGTTTCTCATGCGTGCGTGAGCTCCATCGGTATTTGTCCTCTCAACATAAGGGGAGGCGAGCGAGAATACTGTACATCTGAGCAGTGCCCGCCCGTTTCCTCGTGTCGTTTTCTGCGCGGTGGTCGGTGGTCGGCGGTCGGCCTCCCTCTCACACGCACATCATCCGTTGCGTGGCGTGCAGGGAGGGCCGATGGGCTCAGTGCCTGCCAGCTACTCTCCTCAGCTGGCTCTGGTCTGAGCAGCAGCGAGTTAAGGGTGATAAGCGAGGGAGCGACAACTGAGTACCCTGACTCATCTTGGCTGTGATAGAGGACTCCCCCGTCAATAGATATCTTAATGACTGATGAAGATAGAGTGCCCCTTCGCACTGACATGGAGGAACCCCTTCGACGGATAGAGCTGAACCATAGGTATTCTTAGTGATCACGTCTTTGCTCACCAGGGTGGCACTTGAAGGTACATGGAGAGAGATGTACAGGCGTTGTTAGTCGAGAGCCGCACTATTGTTATGAATCCAGCATAGCGCGTGGTATCACGTGCATCCACCACAGAGGTCGATAGCTGCCTTCAGGCATTCCACTTTACTAGATTAGGACTAGTCTACTAGTGCATAGCTAGACGACGTCCCGGTGCAGAAAGTTCAGTCTTACAGTTTGCTCCCGCGAAGAACATGCCGTGTACAAGTACACTCGTGGAACGTACGGCCTGGTGCAATAGCCAAGCTCAATGAGAGAAGGATCACAAGTAGAATACAACAAAGGAACAGGAGAAATAGGGAGAGATCGGCATGTCAAACAAATTCATTTTCTCTCCGACTCCTGATCCAAAATGCTCGTGTCTTCATGCCCGATCTATGTACTCTCACATGCCCATACGCTTATGAGAACCCAGCGTCTCGTCCGGGATCTAATCCTGCTTGATCTTCAAAATCCACGAAGCCAGATAATGCAGCCAATCCTGTATAACACCGCACGCATTCTTCCACGAGCGGCTTCAACACCTGGTCCACTTTGCCACTTACACCTGCGTGCTTTTTGAATACGCCCACCATGTTTGGCCGATATTCGGTCAAAAAAGAGCGGGCGAGATATTGAATCTGCTCGTTCTGAACACCTCTGGAGAGGAACGTGGAGAGAAGAAGGCGGAGGGTTGATGACAAGAGGACATAGTACGTGCGGAGGGCGGATGCGACCGAATCCGGACCATAACTATTCGCTTCACCTGTGTCGGTAGAGGTGGAAGAAATCGAGATGCCGAGATCGGGGTCTGCTCGTAAGAGGTTGGAGTCGCGAACAGCAGACATAAGGCCTGCATCGAGGAGAGCTCCTGCGCCGTCTCGCGTGCGTGAGATCTGCAGAAGGAGAAACATGCGTGCTTCGAAGACGGACAGAAGGTAACGTCGATCTGTTGATGGGACGCGTTAGTAAGGGAATAACAGGCAGGATCTGACTTGGTCTGAGTGAGGGAACCTACAAAGTGGCTCCGAGCTCTGAAACTCTGCCGCGACGTGCTTCAGAGGGTCGACTAGGATCTCTAATACGTTGGCCTTGACGAATGAATCGAGAACGAAGTTAGACTTCTCTGAGCGAGCCAGCGAAGTAAGACATGACAGAACATTGAAGGCGTTAAGCCTACAAGCATCCACACCGTCTTCCGCATCATCGCACAAGATTTGCACGACGCGTTGGCTTGCTGATCGGATACAGTCCATACTGTTACGTCTTGCTTTAGCGTCTGCATCTGAAACATCGCCTGTAGAGGATGTAATGCGACCCAGGTACTGCGAGCAAATGCTGTAGAATATCGTCCTGATGGGTGTGTTCGAGTTGGATGCCGCAATGCCTTCAACAGAGGCACGGAAGACTTGAAACAACTTCTCTGTGATAAGATTACTCATTTGTGTGTTTCCGAGGTCTGTTTGAGAGAGGGAGAAAAGCAAGGCATCAGCGGCACGCGCTAGCTCCACTACCTCTTCTCGTCCATCGACGATAAAGACATCGAGTTTGGGAAGCATGACCTGTAGTACACGCAAGATAAATTGCGCCCTGGGTGTGGCTTCCATGGGACATCCCTCGATGATGGCGATGAGCATTTCCACATATTCATGTAACGCATCGCCTCTGGCCTTATGGGCCAGGATAGACCGGTTTCGAGCTTCGATCCTGGCCAATATAGTGTCGGCTTCGTCGATCAAAATTTGCTCGTCGATTTTGCTGCTGCTCGGTGTTGTTGCCTGGTTTCGCATAATATCGGCCCGGTAAGCATTGAGATACTCGCGGATCACCTTGATATCGTAAAGGCTGGGCTGACTCTCGGTGGCCTCGGTCAAGTAGATCTCAAAGTCAACTCCCACGTAGAATTGAGGGTCCAAATCTAGATCGACGGAAAGGTCAAGCTCGAGGAAGTCAAAAAGAGCGAATACATCAGGATTGGTAATGATACTGCCGTCCATGTTTGTGGTCTTGCCTTGCAGAGTAGACAAGATCTGTCGCAGAGTTGTCGACAATCCGTCCTGCACCGCTGCCCGAATTTCAGTGGCAGTGTAATTGTACAGAGACGCTCGAAAGGTGAGAAACTCGGTCAGAGCTTCAGCTGATGTGGTATACCAGAAGGCTGGCTGAAGCACACTATTGCCGTCCCAAAGAGTTTGCTGATGTACGATTGGTAGGCTCATGTACAAAGATTGTAAGAATCGAAAACGGCGGAGTTGGCCTACAACGATTGCAGTTGATATCGACGACGACCATAGGTGTCTCAGAACACGCAAAGCGGCTGCTTTCATGTGTATCAGCCAGGATGACATGATACCAGCCTCATCATCAGGGTAATCCTGGGCCAGATCAATAATGGAGTTGAAAACAGCAGTTGCTGCGTCGATGGAGTCGGACAGGGTCAAGCGTTCACCCAACCTAGCAAAACCTATCAGGAGGTGTGCAACGTTCGGGAGATCGGGCTGCGTTTCGAGGCATGCATTGAAAAAGGCCAAGATACCGTCTTTAAGGAGGTAGCTGACAGACTCGAATCCTTCCTCAAGCTCCCGGACATCGAACTGCAGCCTTACAGACAGATTTTTTGCAATCGACGCCAGCTCAAAGGTCGGGTCTGGACCTAACATATCCACAACCCTCCGCGTTCGGCCGAGTGTAGGATCGCTGGCCAGGAAATGATTGTTGAGCTTCGGGGAGCTGGAGAGCTTTTGTAGCAGAGCCAGAGCGCGAAGTGCGAGCTCAGAGTGCCCCGTAGCGGCAAACTGGCAAAGATTGAGCACGGTCTCCGGGTTCGCAGCCAAGCTATCTTCTAGGCCGTTCAGATTTGGCCGAGCAAGTGGGCCGTCTTGTGCTGACTGGGATTGCACCAGTGGTCTTACTATGTCGAAATAAGTTGGCTGCAGGTCAAGAACACGATTGACGATGTCAATAGAACGTTGTAGGCTGAGGAGCAAGGGCGAATCCGGAAGAGCCGCTTCTGCAGTCTCGCCAGACACGCGGAGGGTTTCCATTAACGGCTTCGTCATCTCACTGCTGAGGATCCACTGCATAAGCCTCGCAAACGGACTGCGTTGAGCATATGAAGCTGCCTCCGGCATCTCTTGAAGAGCATCATGTGCGGATGTCGTACGGTCAAGCATCGCCACATAGTCTTCATTGAACCCCTCGAGGCCGACCGCCACGAATTCGAGACAGTGAAATAAACCAATTGATCGTTGAAGCTCATCAGTAACTTCTAGGAGCGCCTTGGCAAAGACTTGGCCGCATACGAAGTCGATGTAAGGTGCTATTCCGGGGGCCCTGTACGACGCCCCGAGATCTTTGGGAAATGGAAGCAGATCAGTCCCGAGCCCCGTAGAAGGCAAAGAGACAACCAGGTCGCGTAGGAACACGACAAAGGCGTCGTACTGGTCAAATGACATCGCTATCGAATTGAGGGTACTCTGTAAGTTCAGCAACGTTGGCTTGGGAGGTGATATCGTTTTGCTAGCGGCAGATCGAGCCCTATCGTGGCTGTTTGCGGCCCACTCGTCGACGATCTGCCACAATGTGGCGGCAGTTTGAGCAGTTTTGTCGGTGAGTAGCGCGTCCAGTGCAGCAAAAACACTTGCTCTTAAATAGCTCGGCACTGGACCCGAACTTAAGACCAGCAGAGCTTGCGGGAAAGCTGGAGTTACGCTTTGTAGAATGTACTGGCGTGTACCACTGGGCTGTCGACTGAGGTGTGCGAGCAAGCGGAGATAACAGGATAGCATGACAGGACTCTCCACCTCATTCATGTCCGTGGCCGGGATTTTCTGAACATTGGGGAGTTGGGATGTGACAGGACGTTCATGAACCTTCTGTGCGTAGAGTTCCAATTCGGCAAAGATTTGCTGATAATTCATCGAAGGGTTGCGTCTGCCTCGTGTTGAAGCAGGCTGTGAGTCGTCCAGCAAAAATTTGTGGGCAGCTTCCGCGCACTCTTTCTCTTCCGAGATCGAGCATAAGAGCTCGCAGAAAGCGCTCACTCTCGGCACTGTTTGTCTCCGGGATGCCCACTGCAAGAAGCCATACAAGTTACTGTCGGGGTCCTCCCACCACTGCTCAGCAGCCTCAGGTCTGCCCTCAAAAGCGAACGAGATGAGGATAAGGAAGCATTCCAGATGGAGTTTGCTGACGCTCGTGCCTTGATTAGCAGGTGGTAAGCCTTCTTGCATTGCCGTCAATTGATTCAACCGCTGGTCATCTTCTTCGGTCCTCAGTTTTCGAATTGAGTCCGGCATATTGGAAATGAAGGCCTCGGTAAAATTCTCGAGAGACTGCATGAATTCCAAGCGAAAGTAGGGGGATGTCTGTTCGCCTTCGAGCGTGAAACCCGCAGTATCGCTGAGAAGTAGAGCCACCAACTCCTGCCTAGCTGGATGCCGCCAGACATCTGAATTGGTGCTGGTACATATTGCCAGCATGAGTTCCAAGGCATCCTCTTTCAATGCCGCCTTGACTGCATTTGCTCGCTTGTCCGCTCCTGCGTCCTGGTCGGATAAGTCGCGGAATTGCCCGCTGTATTCAACAGTCCACCAGAGACTCAAGACCGCCTGGAAAGGTCTGATAGGAGCTGAGGAAGCATCTTGTGGCAGTGTCCCAAACACAGAGTCGAGGGAGGCAGTACTCTCTTGGGAAAGATGGCTCCCCGGAGAACCATATTGCCGAAATGCCGCGGAAAATGCGGGCAGATAGTGGACGAGATTGAGGTCAAGGCGGTTCCAGCGTGGCAGTACACCGTGGAGCTTTCGCAGATCTTCCTGGTTGGTATAGTCCCCTTGGAACAAATACGCGAGAATACAAGCAAGTGCCTCATGCTGTTTGAACAGACTGTCTCGCTGAAATTCTAAGGTTGCATAAAACTCGGGGCCCCGTGGACCACCTAGAACCGCTTTACTCTGCAGTGCGTCCGCAACCTTGGCTTGTAATTTTTCAATATCCTCCAAGGTCCCCAAGCATTTTCTGGTGAAGATTGACCCGTTGCTGGGAACACCACCATCAACCTCCAACACCTGGGCGACGGTGGTCTCAAAGACTCGTCTGAAGCCATCACCTGGTTCCAAACCGAGCGATTGTTGGAGAGTAATTCGGAGGGACTGAAGGAGGAGGTCTCTGCCGTTGTGAAATTTGCTCACTGCGTCCATCACAAAGGATTCCGCTGTGGTGTTGATATCGGTCTGGCTTTGGATAAGCAGTCGTCCAGCCTCAATTTCGTCCAGGTCAAGGGTGGTTGCAATAGCACGGCTGATGTGTTTGAATTCATCATTGACGGCATATTCCTGGTCGTCGACGTTGATTTTCCCTAAATACGAATCAGTGAGCCGAACGCGAGAAAGGGGCCAGGTAATATCACACCGTTATTGTAGGCATCTCGATCAGCACTCGTGGGTGTGCTTTTGTCCAGCAACTTCCTGAAGTCCTGGATGCTGTCCTCTAGTTCCTGCCATAGGCGGTCGATGTTGGCCAGTCGGGTTTCGGTGAAGGCGACAAGGTCAGCATGGAGACCTTGTAGACGCGAGAGACTGTCCATGCTGAGTGTAGGGGCACAGAGGTCATCTGGAAGGGAGAAACGCGCAGGGAACTTGTTGGCTTGCGGCACGTTTCCTGCGCGTCTCCAAAAAAAAGTCGAAGCGCGATCGCAGTTATTACGCCTGTCGCAACTTCCCAATCAGGTTAGCGCTGCCAAGCTCGCAGCACGCCTCGCTTTCACCATCTGCGACTTCTCGTCTCTTTGCCGCCAGGACATCGCAAATGTATCTTGATCGTGGGACATATGTTATCTGCCTGGCTGGACCATGACGCTTGCTCCATACCAGCCCTACAACTCTACTGGTCGGAGATATGTCGGAGGTTAACATTGGGACTGCCGTTGGTACGCATTCCACATTCCTCGGAAGGCCCCCTACCGCTCAGCCTCGCCGACTAACCATATTCTATTGCGTGTCACAGCAAAAATAGGGGCGGACAGTCAGAGAGTGAGGAGTGAAGGGCTTGAGGGTAATGCTGATGCCATCTGACCTTTCGGAGCTAATAACATTGCCCTAGAGCTCAAACGCCTCCTAGAAGAGCAAAGGAACTCGTAGGGTCGCTGGTCCCTCCATTGCTCCGCTGGCTGATATAATGACTTAGGGTTAATATTGAAGAGGAGATCTTCCATAGGATATTGGAGCTTCTCTATCAGCTGGTATCCAAGGAAAAGCCAGTATTTCTGCGAGCTACCACCAAGCCAACGACGAGGAACACTGCTGCCTCTCGTTTGCAAGCGGCGTCTGCTGCACTTCGCTTAGTAGTTGAGGTTGCAACCCCGAAGTTTACTTTCCGGACTGCTCTCTCAGTATTGGACCACATAGTCGACACCCTGCCTTCGCCGGATGGTTCTCTGTGCGAGCCCCTCCAGAACGACTATCTCAAGAGCTTCAGAATCTTACTTGGCTATGCTCCACATGGAGAACACATGCGGCGCAAACAGTGGCAAGAATATGTGGACTTTGCACTCGAATGTTTGACGGTAGGCCTCGATGATGGCCCAGTTGACGATGGTATCTCAAGCAGTAGAGATGTCAGTCTGACTCCACGGCATGGTCAACAGTTATCTGTGCGACTCAGCCACACCAGCTTCAGGAGCACCAGTAATGGAACTGCCTCGAATTTTGAAGATATTTGGGCTGTATTGAAGTACTTGACGGCTTTTGCCAACGCACCAGTCATGTCACGAGCGGCAAGTATTGCTGAGAAAGTTCAAGACTTCTTGCAGGTCGATAGGAGAGGTCAAGAAGGAGCATTTGAGACTGTGAACAACTTGCTTTTTGTCTCTCTCACTGAAGATGTCGCCTTTACACAGACACTGTTGTCTAGCCTTATTCCCGTCATTAGGCGATTGTGGCCAAGCAGATCTATCCTTCTCCAGCAGCAGATGCTCGTAACGTTGTTCACATGTCGATATTTGTTTCTTGCCCCAAGCGCACCCTGGCTCGCAATCGATTCAGCGCTGTTGGAGCCGCTCTTGATCACGATCTTGTCAGACTACCGCGGCAGAAACGAGAGGGACATCCTACACTTTGACGACCTGCAGCCAATCCTCTCCTCGGAAAATACTCCTCTGCAGCTCAAGCAATTTAAACCTGTTCGAACTTCTCCCCGCGCAGTAACCAGCTGGTTTATATTGTCCATCATTGCATGTCTCGTCATTGGGTTGAGTCTGAAGAGACATGCTGAGACTGATTCAGCTGATGTAGGGGAAGTTCCCCGAAAGCGACAAAAGATCCAGAGCCGTCTAGATGAAATTCTTGAACTAGCAGTCGCGGGTTCAGGGCAGGAGAAGCTAGTCGCTTTGCAGATTATCTTGTTCCTCTTTGATCAGCCCGGGGTCATTGAGCAAGAATGGACCAAGGACCTGTACAAGTTATTGCCCGACCTTGGCAGTGAGGACCCAACTATTCAGACATGGATTCTCCTGGTATTCGCACGGTACGTCATCTTCCCGCAGTCCAAGTTCAATGGCTCATCACAGTCCAGACTGGCGATCGGCAATGCCAGTCGCGATAACGAACCCTCAGAGTTCTGGACACAAGTGTGGGATGCAGCGAGTAGAGCAACGACAGTGACCGCTACAACGAGGGCTGCGTGCCATGCACTCGATGTGCTCCTCCGGGTAGGGACTCTGGACTCTTCAATGAGCACAAACTCGCTAGACAGTACCTTATTTGGAGGTGGTAACAATGGCCCCAGCGGTCTCACGGACACTTCTCTCATCTTGATGAGACGTGCGCTGCGCTCCAAATTCTTTGACAACGAGCGGCGTTTTGAGTCTTTTGGTTTGAAGGTTATTGCCTGGCTCTCTGCTCGCTGGACTCTCCGTACGTTCGTTCCTGTCGGCCCCCTGATAACTATGATTAACTCTCTCCTGTAGCTTCGAGCCTTGATCGCCTTCACAATGCACAAATGGTTTTTCACGCCAGACCGGAGCTTTTGTTCTCTTTGTTGAGTACGGTGTGTGGCTTCACAGATGCTATTGCCGCCAGTGAGGCTTGGACTGAAGCCCATTCGTCGTTCGAGTCAGCGCTGATGGCGTCAGCCAATCTCGAATTTTTACAATATCTTCTCTCCGTCCCCTCCCCAACCGTCGAGGCAGATGAGGATCTCAACACCTTGCCTCGCCAATTTGAGACGTCCGCCATTGCTCGCATTTTCCGAAACGTGATGGACTTCCTTGCAAATAAGACGAGAGATTTCGTTCACTCATGGAAGGCAATCTGCGACGAGCGGACTTCAAATATTGGAAATGACATTGTGGACGTTCTAGGTGTTGTCTCTGCCGTCTCCTCTGCCTTATGGGTCCGTTGCAGTGGTCAAGCTCCCGGTTACAGAAAGCCTTTGATTCTGAATGAGAGTCGCCGCGTCCTCGCGGACTTTGTCGTCACCCAGACGATCGATCGCTCTCGAGAGATGGCCAATCGTATCTGTGCTTGTATTGTCACCATCCATAAGCAGCTATCTGATAATATTAACGGCAACTGTGGCGAAGAATACCAGGCCATCATCGAATTTGCATGGCGTATTGCTCGCCATGCTATGTCATCGGCAAGCAAGAACAATCCTTCGGACTTGGACTTCTTGGATGATGATGTATGGGACTCCCAGGCAACTCAAAGGAGCCAATTTGGCGATGGTATCGATATTTCGAGGCTGGACCTTCCGGTATGCAAAGATTCACTTGCTAGGCTGGCAAGGTATTCAGTGGAGTTGACATTGGCTCTTCAAACGGTGAAATCCGAGGGAGTTCTTGACTCCGCTGCAACTGGTTTGGTCATTGACGAGGTCTTGACGCTTGATCCGCTTTCGCTCATTGCTGCACGAGGGGCGGTGCATGATTTTCTCAGCTTGAAAACGGCAACCGCTCGCGGAGACGCCCATCGCTTGCTCAAGAGACTGGCCGAGTTATTTCTGCAGGATGAAGTCTTTGAAAGATGCGAGCCTGCACTGTGTGTCTGTCTGCACACCCTGGAAAGTTTCATGGATCTTTGGACAGCTGAAGACGAAGACGACTTGGCAGACACGGCCTATGATATTTATTACTGGTTTCTCAAGACTATGACCCGCAAAGGGGTTGCTTCTCCGAGAGTTCTGTCGACACTGGCGGGCGTTTTGGATGGTCTGCTGCGCAAAGATGCCTCTTATGGCAGTGAAGACCTACCGTCGCCTCGCACAAGCCTGCTGAGCATCTTGGAAGTCAGTGACGCAGCAAACCAGTATCGGCTTGCAGATAAATTGTCTCACATCTTCGAAAAGTACGTCCTGACTCAACATGAGGCAATATTTGATGACGTTGTCACCAAATTACCCTCGGACCCCGACAACAAAGAAGGCATCGCGGTGCGCTTGTACATTGTTTCTTACCTTGGAGCTCGATGGCATACTGTTCTCCGGCAAGCCATGTATCACTTATTTGAGACGGTTGCACATGTACCTTCAACGACAAAACTGGGACGTGGCTGCATCGCCAGAACCTGCGCAGTGCTCAAACTCCAATGTCCGAGACAGCTTTTCAAGCTGTTCTCTTCCCAGATCTTCTACACATGGCTATCACAGGAGACCCTTGCCAGCATGCCTTTCCAACTGTTCGAGTACGCTTCTTTGCAAGAGATGGCTGTTGACAATGCTGGGGAGCTTACTGGGCAGATCGCCCTTCGAGGATTTCAACACTCGGAAGAGCTGGCTCAACTGGTTGGTCAGGATTGGAACCTTTTACTGAGCCAATATTTTGCCTACGCCGAAGCATACACACTGGCTTCAGAAACCAGCGTGCCAAAACACGACCGTCTTCATGATGGCTCGGAAAAATTGGTGCGCAAGCAACTGGGGTCACAATTATACCTTCAACGACTTCGCGAGTGCCTCCCAGACATTATTTCCTTGCTGGTCTTGTCCCTTCAAGACGATCGGGGCATAGAAAAAGCTCTCCCGAGCTCTAGCCTCGCAATTTGGCAAGAAATAGTAAATGATTCTGGTCAGAATCTCCAGCTACCGCTTGCTCAGCAGCCATGCTTCCGAGCACGCTGCCTTCCGGAAGAGTTCAAATACTTGTGCGGAAGACTCGATCTGGAAGAAAGCGACTTGTTGACGTCAGGCTTCTTGGTCCATCTGTACAGACAACTTTTGGACAGAGCAAGGCCGGCGTTGGGGCCGCTACATACCTGCAGCATCATCCGCAAAATTCGCATCGTAGTGAGCCTTGCAGGTCCTATTGCTTGGGAAGGCTATCCACTGGAGATGATATTGCATAATCTGCGGCCCTATCTTACTGTTTTCGAGTGTGCTGAAGAGACGATGGGTATCTACCGCTTCCTGCTTCGTCACGGAGCACAATCTCTAGCCTCTCGACCTTCATTCATCGCTGGACTCTGCGTCTCCATCTTCGCCTCCCTTACCGGCTTCATCACATCTTCTCAGGATAGTACGACGCAAGAAGATCATTTCATATCAACAATGACGACGGCTCAAGACTTTCGAGCTTTCTTGGGGCAATACTTGGAATCCCTTAAACTCACAAACGCGGATGGCGAAACACAGCGAAGGTACAAGCGCATCATTCGGCATGCAAAAGGCTTATCTCAGAATGGGAGCAGTGCGCAGAGCACAAGCGAAGGAAAGTTGCTTCATGCGTTACTATCAGACCAGAACTGCACGAATCCTCTTCTGTCGGGCTTCCATTTTGATCTCTGCATTAAGATTCTGTGCCAGCGGTTTTGTACACCATCAGACTACCAAGACGACATACTTGCCAACGACGACGATGCTTCCCGGTTCTCTTCTTTACTGGAAAGTCTGTTGACAAGATTCGATTTAGACAAACCCTTCCGAATCTGGGCTGCCCAAGGGATTGGTCGGGGCTATCTCATGCATGGGTTAACCTCGACTGCCTACAATAAAACACAGCCTGTACAAAATCAGCCACCCGAGGTCGGACTCGAAGCGGTCTCTTCCTACACAAATATCATTCGCTACCTTGTGAATCTACTCTGGAAGTCTGATTACCCTACTTTGACTGTCGCCGAAAATACTCTACAGCTCATCTCTAGCAACTTGGACGAAGCCGGTGAACATGCCTTTTTGGCAGCTGATTTTGACACAAGGATTGTGCATGAGTTGAGATTCGAGATTTTCCCGTGCCCTTCTGCGCCTCTGTCCATGACGACTGGCCTTAGAGGTAAACCAGAAGGAGAAGCCGACGATTCTCACAGACTGCCGCGAGAGTGGGCCACAGAACTGCTTAGCCAGATCTCTGAGGTTGCTGCTGGCGACCCTGTGTTGAGCTTCCTTCAGCCTCTGATCTATACCGTCCCTGATGCAGCCGGTATCCTTCTCCCATATAGCGTCCATCTCATTCTACTCCGCGAAACCGACTCCCAGCAAGTTTTCCATGATCGGCTGTCTGAGGCTTTCTCCGCGGTCCTTTCGCCTGGGAAGGAGTCACCCACTGAAGGCAGGAAATTGGTTTTGGAAACGCTCTTGTACCTCCGAAAATGCCATTTCCCGAATGAGACCAATATGGCAGCACGAAACTCGTGGTTAGAAGTAGACTTCAGCCACGCAGCTATTGCCGCTCGTGACTGTCAACTGTGGCATGAAGCTCTACTCTTCTTAGAATTGCACTATTCTCAAGCCCAACTTCAGACAGGTCGGTCCTCTCGGAGGTCGTTTGCGATGACCAACGAGGTCTCGATGGACGTTTTCTCCAAGATTTATGAAAATGTCGATGATCCTGATTTTTTCTATGGTAAGCACCAGACCCACGATCTAAAGTCAGTTATCAGCAAAATGAACCACGAAGGGGCGAGTCAGAAGTCTCTATCTTTCCAGAGCGCAATGCTTGACTCTCAGTTGAGACTGGAGGAGTCAGAGAATACCATGGGTGATATTGCCTTCACAACAGCATTGACCTTGAGTGCCGCAAATATGCAGGGTATATCAGAGGCGGTAAAGCAACATTACGAAGGGCCTCACAAGACCACCTCGGCCGATGATAACTTGGTCATGGGTCATTGGGATCTATTCTTGGGGAGTGAATCGTCTTCAACGTCGTCGGCCTTGTCATCATTGTTCCGCAATATGCATAGCATATCAAACAGGAGCACTCTGGCTCGAGAGCTGGACCTGTTGTTGCTGCAACATGGAGATATATTCCGAACAGACGGCATTAAACGAAGCCATCTGGGCGAACTCCATCCGAAATTGGCAGTCCTGGCAGAAGCGAGGCAGATCTTGAGTGCAATATCGGCAGATGCCCTCGAATCGACTTGTGCGGCGATAAAGGCAAGAGATCAAAGGATCAAGCTGGCAGAGTAAGTGCTGCCACATACAACATCCATGGTGACTGACCGCAGCAGATTCAATGCATTATCACCAATCTTGGCTGGTAGAGAGGCCGCTTTCGCCGCCATCCGTCGAAATAATCACTTACGGGCTGCATTCTCATTGACCCTGCCGCAGGCTCTGCTATTTGAGGTTCAGGTGACTCGGCAGTCTCTGGACATGGCGTCCAGTTACGAGGCGTCGCAGTTCAGCTTGAATCGAGCCATGTACCTCTCGCAGCTTGCTCAGTTGGCTGAAAGTGCAGGACTGAAGATCGACGTCGCTATCAACTACGACCTTGCCAAGACGTTGTGGGCTCAAAAAGAAGTATCAGCCTCCATTGGCATCCTGCAAAGTCTGGGGGACCGCAAAGACGCTGCCGCACAGGCCATCAGCGTTCCGCGAGCCGACATTCTGACAGATCTAGGGCACAAAATTGCCGAAGCTCGTCTAGAAAAGCCGGATGAGATTATAGAGCGATACCTGGCGCCAGCCATTCGAGAGCTCCAGGGCCCTCGTATCGGGTCTGCTGCTGGCCGGGTGTTTCACAACTTTGCTGCATTTTGCGACATGCAATTGCAGGACACGGACAACCTGGACGACTTCACGCGTATCAGCAAGATCAGAGATCGGAAAATGCACGAAGTCCGCGAACTGGACAGAATGGTTAGAAAAGCTAAAAACGAGCAGCAGCGAGCGAAGTTGAAAACACATCTAGCCAGAGCCAGAACCTGGTTCAAACTCGACGAGGAAGAATGGAGAAGAGTTTCGCAAAATCGAGAGAACCTCATTCTTCGTTGCCTCGAGAATTACCTGCTGTCGATGAGGGCGTCCGACGACTATCCCAGTGACACCCTCCGTTTTATAGCTCTGTGGCTCAATCAAGCTGAGAGTCCAACAGCTAACGCTGCTGTCCACAAGTACCTCGCATCAGTGCCTACTCTCAAGTTCGCTTCACTCGTCAATCAGCTGTCGTCGCGCTTGTTGGATATCCAAGATGATTTTCAGATACTTCTCAAGGATCTCATGTTCCGCATCTGCTCTGATCACCCATATCACAGCTTGTACCAGGTCTTTGCAACAAGCAAGTCGAAAGCTCCACCCGGGGATGAAGTGGCTGCTTCCAGATTTGCCGCAGCCAACATCTTGACCGAACGCATCAAGCAAGAAAGCACATCCTCGGCCATCTGGACTACTGTCCATAATACTTGTGTTGCACTAAATCGAGTAGCCGTGGAGGGGCTTTCTGACAAAGACCTCAAGAGTGGCTCGAAACTCCCGTTACGGAAGCTGCAACATGGTACAGCGTTAGAAGCTCAGATCACGAAACCCACGACAAAGATCCCTCCGCCAACCATGAATATTGCCCTGCGAGCAGATCGAGACTATTCAGATGTACCGACTTCGACCATGATTGACCCTATGATTTCTGTCGCCGGCGGTGTATCGGCCCCGAAAATTGCGACCATCACGGCATCGGATGGGTCTCGACACAAGCTCCTGATGAAAGGAGGCAACGATGACCTTCGGCAAGACGCGATCATGGAGCAAGTCTTCGAGCAAGTCTCCAACCTTTTGAAAGACCACCGTGCCACACGGCGTCGCAACTTGGGTATCCGCACCTACAAGGTTATCCCACTTACTAAGAACTCGGGCGTCATCGAATTTGTCCAAAATACTATCCCTCTCAATGAGTATCTGCTCCCTGCTCACGTGCGTTACTACCCTAAAGACTACAAAGCCAGCCGGGCCAGAAAGGATATCTTCGAGGCGCAGACCAAGAATCACGAGCAGCGCGTGCGGGCTTACCAGATGGTTGCTGCCAATTTTCACCCAGTCATGCGGTTTTTCTTCATGGAGAAGTTTCTCGACCCAGACGACTGGTTTTATAAGCGCCTGAATTACAGCCGGTCTACTGCTGCTGTGAGCATCTTAGGCCATGTCCTTGGGCTGGGAGATCGACACGGACACAACATCCTCCTTGATGAGAAAACCGGAGAAGTGGTCCACATTGACTTGGGCGTCGCCTTCGAAGCGGGCCGCGTTCTCCCGGTGCCCGAAGTTGTGCCCTTTCGACTCACCCGCGACCTGGTAGACGGGATGGGCCTCACCGGAGTGGAAGGCGTCTTCCGACGCTGCTGCAATTTCACCCTGGAAGCCCTCCGTCACGACCAGGAAGCAATCATGACCATCCTGGACGTCCTGCGCTACGACCCTCTATACTCGTGGTCCATCTCGCCTCTCCGTCTGCAGAAGATGCAGGAAAACAACGACCAAGCCGCTGCGGATGCGGCCAGTATGGCCGGCGGCGGACCGTCGACGCCGTCGACCACCAGTGGCGTGGGTTCCACCTTTGCCGGTGCAGCCGACAACAACGCTGCCGGGGTGATTGCGGCGCGCCGAGAAGAGACCGAGCCCTCGGAGGCAGACCGCGCGTTGACCGTGGTGGCGAAGAAATTGGGCAAGGCCCTGAGCGTGGAAGCCACCGTGAACGAGCTGATCAGACAGGCGACCGACGAGAGAAATCTGGCTGTGCTGTATTGCGGGTGGGCTGCTTATGCGTGATTGTTTGTTATCCGCACTGCGGACCTCGACACTCATGATGCGGAGAAATAGTGGACGGGGTTTAATGATGGATGGAGGGCACGGGCGAAGAAGAAAGCATCGGATATGTATGTGTGTCGAATATGCTGTTAAACATTCAACACAGAGTTTGCAGAAGGTTCTCCCTCAAGGAGTGTGGATAGACATGACATGACATGACTTGATGAATCACGATCGACAGACAGTATGGGAAAAGGCATAAACTGAGAGACAGTAGGACTTGATATGATTTGATTTGGCTTGTATTGACTCGATAAATAAACAGGCTGGCGTTCACGATGCTTCCTCCACCGTTGCTGATTGACCAATATCAAGAGATTGACCTACCTACCTCCTTACAGCCCACATACATATGCACCCAAGGTCTGTCTGATAAATGTATAGTGTACAATGAATGTACAAGTCACAGCCCCGTTTCCCTTTTTATACATCCTTTCGCTTTATTTTTTGGGGGGTTTTGGTAGAACCCGTTCGAACCACCCATGAAGATTGTAATAGTGACCAACGCACATCCAGATCCAGGTCCAGACCAAAACAAGAGCTGGGTAATACATACATATATATATACATCGGCCGTGATGTACCAGCATTGTAGACGTAGATTCATTCGGGCGATTCGCAAACAAACTGGACAAGAGCACAGGATGCATAAACGATACCATCATATCAGACCTCCCATCCATCGTTTGTCCACTGGCTCGACCACTCTGGGGCTTTCTTCTCCGTCAACCACGGCTTATGGCCGGCGCCGCTGGCGTGACCTGCGCTGCCAAAGGCCTTCTTGTAGCCCATGTCCCACCGGTCCTCGACCTCCATCAACATGGCGCGCTGCGGCTGCGCGTGGGGAGGAATGGGGACCTTTGGTTTCGGACGTCTCCCGCGCGGTAGCCCTGAGTTGCCACTGCCAGAGCCAGAGCCAGAGCCAGAGCCAGTAGAACGCTTTGTCGTTGTCGTGAGTGCAGGGGCGTCTGTCGCGGAGGAAGAAGAGGCTCCTTCGTTCTCCGCTTCCCGGATAATGGCCTTCAATTCTTGGTCGTCGCTGGTGATTTGTGCCTTGATGTAAGCAATGTCGCCCGAACTGTTTAGGCTCGACATCACGCTTTGTCTCGGCTTGTACGTATACTTGTCCAGATCAATTGGGCCGTCTTTCGACACGATGGACGGGTTCAAAAAAGCCTCTTGGCCCTTGTCGAGCAATTGATTGATGTCGAGACTCTCGCCATGGGGTATCTTCTCTGGATGGCTGGGTGTTATGCAATCCATGTCGACTTCCTTGCGGAGAACATGGTCAATGTCCACTGCTGAGAAGAACGCACAAGATTGCGGAAGATCTTCGATGCCGATTTGTTGTGAGAACATGGCCCTTGTCCATAGGTTACTGATTTGTAGAGCCATGGCAGCTCTATATCTGTCCTCGTGTTTGACGAGGTATCTGATTTCGTCGTGCACGGTAATCGCGAGGCGAGCGTCCAAGTTGAAACGGCGAATCAAGTAGTCCATGCTGACGATGAGAAGGTGGAGGTAGTCGACGCCAGAAGATTGAATGGCCCAATTGATCCGAGAAGTCATGAATGAGCCTTGGTTGATGAACCTTCGCATAAGAGCTTCAGTGATCCCTGCTCCCAGCACCGGGGTGCGAGGACGCTCTTGCTCGGCGAATTCTTCGAGTTTGTTGAAGACAAAGGATTCGGTGCCTCCTCGCCAGAAGCTGCCATTGCCGAACATCTTGCGCCTCGTCCGAGTTCCTTTCGTTTCCTTGTATAGTTTCGTGGCAATGTCATTTGTTTGCTGTTCCGATAGAGAAGGATTGAACTGTCGAAGAAGAGTCGCCGCGAATTTGAGGCCGGCGCCGTAAATACGACCGTAGTTGAACACTTTGGCATCATTGCGAGAAATTCCCAGAATCTTTGCGGTTTTGGAATGGAGATCCGTTCCAGCAGCTTTGGTCCCTTCTAGAGTCATAAAGCCGATTGCGTTTCCGCCATGGAGCTGAAACTGGGCATCACCCACGACCGACGCGATCCACAGTTCCTGACTATCGACATCGGCACCAACAAAGCAGTATCCCGTGGGTGCCTTGATCATTGCCTTGAGTTCCGATCCCACTCTGTTCGCTTTGGCGTTAGAGGCAGTGAGCCACGTATTCTCCACAGCACGACGAGTAATGGTACCCATGGGGATGATCTGAGGAAGAATAAATCCCTGATCAGACTTGCCGGCTAGACTCGGTTCTCGATCGGCTTCTCTGACAACCAATTGAGAAGTAATCCTATCCCGGGCCGAGATCCAGTAGGAGCATGATGCATTCATCTCCAAAGCTTCCTTGGCCAGTGCGAATTTCGATGACAATGTACCTAATTCAAAGTACTGTAAATAGCCCTTTGCCAGTGGCGATGCACAACGCGCTGTCGGGCCATCCTTGTGGGGAAGCTTGAAGTACGTATGCCGGAAATCGGACTTCAGCCTCGGATTCGTCTCTTCTGACATGTCGCAGCTGACCACGTTGCTGTGCTCGTATTTCCCGGTATCTTGATTCGGGACGCGGAATGTCCAGCCATGTTTGTCAGACCATACTAGAGGATAGCCGTCCCAAGACAGTTTCAACAGCAGCGGAGCAATCCTCGTCCGTACTGTCAAGTTTATTGGGGCCGCATTAGAGACGAACAGGTCTCGGTACCAGTTAGGGGCGCCAGGTTTCTTCTGCCTAGCGACAGGAACGGGTTCCTCGCCTTTCTTCTTGGCTTTCTTGTATTTAATCTCTTGGCCTGACCAGTCCAGCTGATTCAACCAAGGATCATTATTGTAGACCTCCGGCTTATCCTTGACCTCCAAAGCCGCATCTGATAGTTGTAAAAGCCGCTGCTCGACATCTTTCAGTCTCTGGAGATATGTCTTCTCGGCTCGCTCGATGTACTCATCCCAGGACTTATCAACAGGCAGGATGACGGAGGACAAATGCCGGAGTGCGGCAAAGCTGACAGGATGTGGACACGTTTCGAGAAAATTGGGGAAAACTTTCTGAAAGACTTTGTGTGTGATGGCCACATCGGCCGCGCAGTAGTCGAGCAGTTCTTCGATGCGCTGAAGGATGCCGTCTCGATCCAACTCACCAAAATAGTCTCGCTGACTCTTATCGATTGTAATGCCCGTATGGAACTTTGCGACATCCCGCAATGAGTTGATGGAGCTTCTGCCAACCCAGAGTTCCTCCTCTTCCTCGCTCAACATTTTACTCTCAAGCATCGTCTGGAGCTCGGCTGAGTTGTGGTCACTTGACATTTTGTCCCGCAAATCCCTATTCTTCTTGTGCTTCATCCAGGTCGGCCGCTGCCTGGAACACATCCCGTTGACAGCGACATGCAGCGACATTGTGTCGATGAAGAAATTCCGCGACTGGTGTAGATCGTACTCCTCCTTAACTCTCGCACGGTCATACCCGATATTGTGTCCCACGACGATGCGCGGTTTGCTTGGATCGCCCAACGGTATCAATTGTCTTGGATTCGTTGTTTCACCCAACAGCCAGGGTGAAATCCAAGCATACCAAGCCGTCGGGCTGGCAGCAGTGGCCATGACAGCGAACGGTGATTCTTTCCACATGGTTTCTACGTCGAAAGATAATATCGTCTCGTCTGGCGCATCCACCTCTTCTGTCGTCATATCCGAGTTGTATTTTGTCCATCCGCTTCGAATTACCCATTTCCGTGGTCTCTGAGGGGTGTTTGCTCGCACAAATGCCTTGCCGTATGACAGGTATGGCTCGGCTGCATCGAGGCCCAGCTTGGTAAAGTGCTCGTCCAAACTGCTGCCTACGACCGGGGGCACATCCAACCCGATAGCAGGGGTATTGTCCTGGTTTTTTCCCAATAGGTCATGCCGTCGGAGATGATCCTTGGACAATTCGACCAGCTCTGGACGTGGTCGCGTGGCACCAGAAGGGAAGACTTGGGGATGAAGGTAGTCGCTCAATTGCTGGATACCGATCTCATTATATCTGGGACTCGCGACCCGCGCAAGTGACTTTCGATCGGTGGAAGAATCATTGACAGCGTGGTCAACGCCGGAAGCATAGTGTCGTCGTAGGATGGCGGCCGCTCTCGATGCAAATTGCGGACGTAACCTGAATTTTTGCGAAGTTCTGATGTAGCCCCGCGCACACTGCGCGGGCGTAGGAGGCCACAGCATCTATGCGACTGTTATTACTTGGCTGCTCGACATGGTGAGAGGGAATTGAGTGGGAACGTCAATGCAGGAGTCTTGACGTCGTAAACTCAGGAGGCGAACACGCGATGCGATGCGCAGTGAAGACACAGGAGTGCGGAGAGATAAGCTTTTCTTATCGCCACGTGACGCCATCCTTTTCAACATCGTCCCTCCAGTGCTTCTACCTTTACCTCCTTCAACGATGCTATTTACACGCGGATCACTGGGCTTGGAACCAAACAATGGCGTTCAATGCCAAAAACCTAGAGTATAACAAGCAGGAGCCCGCCTTTCTCCGCAGATTGAAAGGGGAAGTCGGAGGCCTTGATGGACGACACAACGTACAGCTCCCTCGGCCAAAGAAGGACAGGCTGAAGACTGGTGACGATGATGAAGACCAACCGGTGATCCTCGATGAGCGGGGTGAGCGAGTTGAAAAGGCCGAGTTTGAGCGGATGATGAAAGGAGGAGAGGACACGGCAAAACCAGAGGAAGGGGAGCAAGGGGGTGGCACTGGAGCCCAAGCAGAAGGAAACCCAGGCTCCGAGCACCTTGAAAGGCAAAAGGTGACGGAGATTGGCTCTGCAACGAATGCAAAGAAGCGGAAGGCTGGCAAGATTGTGGGAGGCGAGGACGAAGACGGCGGGGATGTGGTGGACAGAGCCCCGAAACAAAAAGATGGCACCAAGGAGAAAGACGAAAAGCCTCCTGCGGCCAAGACCGGACCGGTTGCACCAAAAAAGAAAGGAAAGAAGATCAAGTTGTCCTTCGACGATCCAGATGGATGAACGATCACTCCAAATTTCCCACCGCCGGAGAGCCGCTTTGACTGGCCACCGCGAATAGGCAAGTTTGCGAGAATCGAGCCTCGGAAACGACAGCACTCCAGAGGTGATCTGAGTGGAAAGCAGAGTCTCGTGGAGTCCTTGCCTGGACGTACAGGACTTGCCCAGCCTGGGAGAATACCAAGGGACAGGCTCATGCTTCCTGGGGAATGGAAGTTTCAGAACACCTGGAAGTCCTGCTGCCAACGACTAAAAGCAGTCCTGGCACGTCCGTCTCACAGGACTAGTTTACGCGAGTTGAAGGGAACTCTCTGGTCTGAGCTGACTGGGCGTGATATGGCCACTTGCTACGGACATGGCCAGGCTCAGCACGGGAGACAAGACTACCGAAGGTCGGAAGCATGCCGCAGCTTGCGATCATGGATTTCTACCGTGTGTATACCGCACCCCAAGGGACACAACAGTCGGAGGGCATTCTCATCCCATCTCCCGCATGATCCGCCCGATTTCTCTCCGCGCAAACTTTTCCCGCTCGGGCTGGGGCATCTCTGATCCAGCCTCGCGGATCGCGACGACTCTCTCCATCAACACCTGCAGCTGCTCGACCTGCGTGTCTTGATCTTCTTGTTCCCTCTCGGAACCTCCTTTGTTGTCGTCGTCACTGTCGTCATCGGCAGCGTCAAGCATCGACATCTTCAGCTCCATCATCTCACGCTGGAGTTCGTGATCGAACCCCAGGAGCCCCGTGCTGCCGTCTCCGAGCATGTTCTTTGATGTAGAAGAAAACAACTCTCCAGCATCCTCGTCTTCGTCGACATCTGCAAAGTCAAAATCTCCGTGCCCATCTGCCTCACCGTCCGAATGCGGCGACGCAGACCAGTCGACCGCCTCCAGTGCTTCGATGACTCGCTTGATCCCGGTCTTTTCGCCGAACTCGTTTCTTTCGTCCTCCCCCTCCTTGACCGATTGGCCATCTTTTCCATCGCCTGCTGCCTCAAGCTGACCATCCCACGCGACGAAATCCCACCCCAGTAAGCCTTTATCCGATAGACACACCTCCTCCAAACGTTCCATCGTCTCGCGTAACTTGGCGTTGGTCACTGTCGACGCCGTAGGCTGTAGTACCACGAGAGACGCAACGTCTCGCCCGTAGCTTTCGTCCTCGATCGCCTCGCGAAGTGCATGGACAGTCTCGACGAGCGAGGCATAAGACTCCAGGATCGATGCATTCGACGATTGTAGTGAGGCGATCGGGAGGATGAGAATTAGTCCACCGAGGACAGTGCGAACCTCTGCCGCCTCGGACGAGAGCATCTGCTCCCTCCACTCCGCAAGCGTGGCAGAGTCGGACTCCACAGACGCCTGCTTGCTGTCCCCTTCTGATTCAGCATTCTGCTTCGGATCCTTTCCGGAGCTCTTTGTCCCTTCCCCTGCTGTGGAGGGAGGAGGTAGTTCATCACACCAGATGCTGACGTCGGCGCTGTAGTATTTCGTCCTCAGCCTCAGGGGGGGGTGGGCAGTGTACCCCGCAAAAGAGGTGACCTCGTCCGACGGCTTGGAGCCGCTGATTGCTTCCAGAAACTTGGAGAACGGCGGCGTTGATTTCGTGTCCGGTGGTGATGGGGACAGTATGAGGAGGCGGAAGGAGGAAGGCTTTGTGGGTTGTGGCGGGTTGGACGCCATCTTCCTTGGGTGGCTTTTCCCTTCAGCAAGGGCTGGCTGGTGCTAAAGCTGTCCTCGGTAGAGACGGTTTGAATGATCAGGGGCAAGGATATTTGAATGCCTGAACTACTACTAATGTGTCAAGTTCAAAGGGGGTTTTCATTCTGATGATATTCAGACTTGGCATGCCATGTTTTCAAATGCATTCGTAAGCGAGGCTGCAACGCCCTTTACACACACCATGCAACTCGTGGAACTCGTGTTCTGGCACCAGGAGTCCTCCAACTGGTGGCAATCTGAATTCGTGCTGCATCCAGTTGGGCCATCATTCATACATCTCCCATAGAGCGGCCGTATCTTTCCAGAGCAATATGTTCTCTCACACCCTTTTCTCTCCTTCGCTTCCTCCCAGCCGGCTCTGGACCTGTGTCTCTTGGGCGCAGGAATTCTTTTGCACGTGTTGGCCCAAAGATTGATTGCGAATTTCGTCAAGAAACCCGTTCCCGATTTTCATTTTCATACCATCCGGATTGCAACCGTGCCAGCTTAATTCCTCCTTCCTGCCCTCGCCCGGTTAACCGTAGCTCTTCCTCTTGCCAGGCCGACACCACGGCCTCTGGTACCCCTCGATCTGAACATAGGCGCATTTCGAAGCATGTCAGGGACGATGAAGAAGCGGACGTGGCTGCCTCGGATGTAGACCTGGTCAAGATGCGACACTCGGCCGTCGCGCGCTGTGGCCGTGATGTCTTTGAGTTGGACGTTCATGTTATCCTCGGCTGTTCATTTAGCAGATGTTAGCCTCAGTGGTCAAGTGCAAAGGGGTTGTGGCTTGAAGCAGGACAATCCCAGAGGAAATGGAGAACTGTGCACCTTCAAGCAGCTTTCCTCGGTAAACTTGACCGGATGTGAGTTCCAAAGTCACTACATGGCCCTGCGTAACGCATTTCCCATCAGCACAGTCCAGGTAGACAACAGAGGTGTTTGTGACAATCTCACCTGTGCCTCATTGAGCAGCTTGATCGGAATGCCGATGGTGGATGTGAGTTTGCCCATGTTGGGCGTCCGGGCAGTGACAGGCGCTCGGCGCAGGAAGGTGATGCGGTCAAGGATCGACGGGCAGACACGGGCGACAACAGCACCAACACGACGAGGATGTTTGAAGCGGTTGTGGACGTTGAATGGAGGCTGGTTGTCGGTTTGACAGCGCACCGCAGCCCACGAAAATGAAGGCAACATTTGACATTTTGACCTGCATGACTAAGTCCGACTTATCTCCGTACAGTCAATAGGCACTTGATCTTCACCAGAAACGAAGCTCCATCCTGCGCATTGATTCAACGTGCTCCATAAGAGACGGAAGATCAGCCAGTCTTCGGCCATGCCACTCTTTTCCAACGCGCCAGCGCTTCGCCTGACCCTAGCCTACGTCCTGGACGAGCCGTCGTGCCTCCTCCCGCACAGGACCATTCCGACTCTTCTCCCACTCCCACTACCAATTGGCCCGTGGCTTCCCTCTCTCAATGCCGCCGGCAAGAAACCTACCATTCGTGCCCTCGTCATAGACAAAGACAACACTCTATGTCCACCGGAGACGGTTAAACTGCACCACGCGTATCTAAACAAGATCGAAAAGATCAAGAAAAGTGACGAGTTCAGCCACAGTCCGCACAGCATCTTGATTGTCTCCAACACCGCAGGAAGCTCCTCGTCGCCGGAACATGAAGCTGAGGCCAAGCAGTTGGAGAAGGAGCTGGGACTTCCCGTGCTAAGACAACACCCCGACCGGAAGAAACCATTCTGCGGACCAGACATTCTACAATACTTCAGGGACCATGGCGTTACAGAGGACCCCAAAGAGATCGTCGTTGTGGGAGACCGATTGGCCACTGATGTTCTGCTCGCCCGTGAGATGGGTAGCTGGAGCATCTGGGCCCGAGACGGATGGCGCAATCCCGAAATACCAGGGCGAGACTACAGAGGCTTCTTCAGTAGGATCGAGGGCCGCTTCGAACGATTGATGCGTGGCGGGCTGGGAAAGGTGGCTCCACTACCAAAAACGATATCATCACCGTGAGGGAATACGACAGTGCCTTGAAACAATTCCGATACGAGGCCAACATTGATCTGAAGCTAGCCATGACGAGGGGCCTTAACGCCCCGCGGACCGATGCCATCAATGACCCTCCGAACGCCGCTGTCATCGGGCACGACACCGTTCTTAATGCTTCCCAAAGTGATCTCCATCGACGGAGCTCCCTGAAGTGACAGTCGGCGTTCCCCTCACCGAAGAAACATAGGGAACAAGAGCCTTGATATCGCCTGGGCCAGCAGAAATCACTCCTGGCAGCTCGGACACATTACTAGGGAGACCGAGATGGGTGGTGCTCATAGACGCCGGGCTGGCGAACGGCATCGAATTCGATCTGGCCGCCAAGTCCCTCTTGATGAGGACACTGTTGTCGGACGTAACCCTCCTGCTGACGATCTCGGCCACGGCTTCCTTGAGCGAGAATCTGTTCTCCTTGACTCTCACTTCCATCCGGCCGGCAAAGGGGACCCTAGTCCAGTTGATCTTCTCGTCCATCACGGGCAGCTCTGCGTCACTTCCGTCCTGGAGAGCGCCGCCGAACATCATAAACCTCACTCCTTCGAAGAAGACGGTATGGCTTGAGCCGGAATTGATTAGACACGTTGCGCGTTTCAAGTCGATTTGGTGCCGCGAGCACTTTGCCCGGGTGGAAATGATTGTTTCGATGGCTTCGTCCCGCCCAAAGGTCCTCTCCGACTCATTCTCGTTGTCGGTGAAGTCTCTGGCGAAGAGACTATTCAGATTGGCGCGACTGGGATTGGGGTTGTCATATTCGATGAACAGCCTCTTGAGGCATTGGAGGCCTTGGGGTGACTTGCTGGTGATGGCGTGGTACGAAGCGGAGTGGTCGTAAAGGTGGACTTTACTCATAGTGGACTGGCGATATTTTGCCTATTGAACAGAGACGATTCGCGTCTCTGTTGCGTAACTCTGGAGTAAAGCCCACACTTGATTGTACGTAGAATGAAGTTTCTCCCTGATGTCTCCTCTTTGATATTTCTACAACACAAAGTCCCTGTTTTGTTGTACAGTCCAATATGTCGTCGAGAGCCTCTGCTGGGGTTTCACGGGCCGTTTCAAACGTTCAGGCCACCTCCTTGGATCACGATTTGGCCCGGCGGCGATCCCTGGTGAGTGCAATCTTAATGCTCATCTCCACAAGTAGCTAAGCGCGTCTATCATTAGCCAGCTGAAAACACGGCTGGTACTGGCGGGTTAACGAGGAGAAGCACACGAAGCTCATTCGTACGTAGCAGGAGGTACTCTGGAATCTGGACTACCATTATTACGAGGTACGCTGTACGTGGCCTCGACGCGTTTTGCCCCCCTTCCCCCTAACGGTCTGCTCTGCCTCGGACGCTGCGCGCGTGGAACTCGTGTTCGTAAATTTAAAGTTTCCGTCTCCGGCCCCCCGGAAAAAGGAACTTGGACTACTATGCGAGATAATTACATACTGTAGAGATGCGCCAGCCACTACCTCGTACTGGTGCGTAGGGTACGACGGCATGCCTTTGCCATGGGGAGTCAGTCCCTTGCTCACTGTGTATGTATTCCGTACCTGGGAATGATGAATGTCCTGTACTGTGCAGATCAGCGGGTGCCCATTCGCCTCAAATTTGGAAAGGGGGTTTTTCCCCATCAGCCCGCTGGGCCTCAGCAGCAGCAGCCATGGTTGGTGCGTTGTTCAGGTGGTCTTTTAATCTTGTGCTTGTGCTTGGCTCGCCTTGTTCATCAGTACCGAGCACTCGTCAACACCCACCGCTTCTTCAGCCGCACGGTTCGTCCTCATCACATCACAACGTGTCTATTATTCCAGCGCCTGGGCCAGGCGTGAGTGGACGGCTGTACCGCTGCTGAAGTTGGCTCACAAAGCGGGTGAGTGGGTGGCGCCATATCCTCTTTCATTTTTACTACTACCTCACCGCTGGTCTGCGCGACGAGACGACCGTTGGGACAGATAGGCGGAATTTATCTCGAACCGATCACTTCGTGCCCTCAGCTCAGGCGGAGGTGCCGGATACGAGTGTTGGCATTTTGAACAGCTCCGCCGAGACACACGCGAGAACAGGAAGCAAAGCTCTTCCTGACTCAGCCATATGAGGACTACTCTGGGGGTTCTCAAAGGCACACTGAAGGTTGAGGCTCTGCCGACCTATCTGTCAACTGAATGATGCACTTGTCATATGATTGGAGTCTTGTGGACCGATAACACAAAACGTCGAGAAGAAGATCAATATCCGTCCGTAGAGAACCCAAACCAGCCCGTGGGGGAACTTTAGGCTCTCTGTGAAAGCACGCGTCCAACATCTGGTAGTGCCTCTGACAAATTGAGCTGATGTATGTACATACCTACCTGGTGGATGAATTTATACAGATCGAGGCTCCGAAGAAACAACTCACAAACTCAAGGCTCACACAGATTTTAAAGATTATTACCTCGATCTCTTCTCAGAGAGAGGCCTAATTTCTCCTCGGAATGGAAGAACTCGCACTCCGGCCTTGCTGGCTTGCTATTACTCTGCAGAGCACATATCCACTTCGGGGGCCGAGTCACCCATTTAGGCTAGTGTGGTGGACAAAAAGCGCTAGCCTCGGCTACAGTTGCCGAGCCTGTCCCGCAATCGTTCTAGCGTCCCGCCTACTACCTAGTCTGTCGAAACCTTAGTCCCTCCTTTTGTTGTCTAGGTATGTATGCTTACGACAAGCCTTGCAGACACTAATATGTCTCCATAGCTTGTGTCGATACTCACAATGCTGACTTGCTTGAACACGTATCGTGGTGTCCGACGGGTCGAAATCGCGTTCTTGAGGCACTGACAATGTTCGCCGGCATGAAAATCCCCACGCCAGTCAATACTTGGTTCGTACCAAAGCGCAATGGGCAGCAGCTGAAGAAGATGATGATGATCTCGCGATGCGAGCTGAAGACGAGGATGACGAAGAAGATGACTTCGTGATGCGTGAGACATTTCCCATCGGCGAGCGGCAACAATAATATACCCATATAAGTACGGGGATACCGAGGTGCGGAGTACGTAGGTAGGGAGGGAGCGAAAAGCCCCTACCCAAGCCAACCCTCGAATAAGCAAAACTCGTCCTCGAACCGGGGCTGACCATGTCGCAGTCGGGAGGTTTTTTGTTCGACCGCCGAGTACTCGGTAGAGAGTAAGCATCGATTGCTTATTAGCTCAATCAAAAGGACCCCCTTCTCCCGTGAATTACGGTGTCGAAATTGACTACGGGCCGGCATTGGAGTGAGGTGAGCATATCGCCGATATGGGGCGCTCACTCTCATATTTGATCATACTAGACCCAAAACATAACATACAGTATCCAGGCGTGTCTCCCTCGTGACAACATGCGCATGGGTATACCGCTCCAGGATGCCTTAAACCGCTGGCAATCAAGCGGAACACTGGATCACTGAGCCTGCCACAGAACTCCAAGGTGCGTGGTAGGGTATTCCCTATTGATCCGAAATCGGCGTCGGCGATCTGTCGAATCTCTCTGTGTATACAAACATTTTTCGGTAACGCGACAATACGTCGTAGCTTAGGCCCGCTCGGGGGAAGAAGGGGAGGCGGGTGCAGACGCCACTTTCTCGTCCATCAACATCCAGAGATCAGGAAATGGAAAAGGGACATGGTTTGAAATACAGGCAGAACGGACTCGCCTAACTCCCAGGTCGGGTTTGAAAGGATTTGTCATTTGTCTCACTGACGCACAAGTCGCCAAAAGTGAAAAGCAGAGGAGAAAAGAGCAACCATGCCAGACCACTCCGGTATACCTTTCCCCCCAAAACTACATCGGTACTCCTGCACATATTTTATCCTGGTGAACAAAAAAGAAAGCACCCAGTGTCTTTGCCCTCAGTATTCGGGTTGGGAACATCCCTTTTGCCAGAGCTAGTTGAATAGAGCATTCTTGTCCACCGCCTGTTCAAATCTTGTCAGCTTTCCTCATCTCTTCACGCACACAGGGTCATAGAGACTTGTCTTTCCACTCACGTTTTGCAACAGACCTGGAACCACTTCTGAGCTCTTTCGGGGGGTGAATGGAGAAGGTCAGCTGTAATGTTCCGTCTGTACACCGACTGGTTAGGGAGCTGGAAGCGGAAGCCGCTGTATCCACTCAGGAGGTTGGAGGTCGCTTACGGTGGTGACGCCCTCGAGTTGCACGGCGACATTGTTCATGGTAAACTGCAGCTGCTGGTCGAAGGAGAAATCGACCCCGTCGTTGTGCATCTGGTCCAGAAACACGAAGATGTTCAGGCATTTTCCCTCGCTCCGCAGCTGGTGGACGCAGCTGGTGACCAGGGGATCACTCCAGACCCCGCCACCCGCCGAGTTGCCCGCGGTCTGAATGCTGCTCACCGCCGCGTGCAGGTCTTCCATGCCCTGCTCGAGGTTCTGGTCGTGCGAGACGTCGGCCCCCGAGCCGGAGAGTCGTTGGAAGAACTCGATCATACTCTCGTACTGCGTGATGTCGATCATCGTGTTGATGTCCTGGGATACGGCCTGTATCTCGCTTTCGAACTGGGATGGGTCAAACGTCTCGGCGGTCTCAGCCATTTTGTTGCTTCAGGAAGGCGCTCGCTCGGGTTTCAAGTTCTGTCGGAGTGGCTTGCGAAGACTGGAGTTCGTTCTGGGGAGGATTGATGGGAGGAAGATTATTGCCTTCTGTCCGATGCACCTGGGATTTCGTCCGTCTTATACTTTGTCTGTTCGCCTGACCCCCTGAAGCAGGCGATGCCCCACCAGTGTCTGGATGGCGAGATGCTTCCGCTCAGCCATAATGGAAATAGTATACTCACGTTATGCGTACCTGCGGGAATAGCTTACTGGCCGTATAAAAAAAGCTCATCCCTTGCACGAAGGGGTTATGACATACAATTCAGGCCTGAGCCATCACTAAGCAGCCCAGCCCCAGGGAGGAACGGATGATATCTCGCTGATTCTGCAGGACCCCAGCGGTCATTCTGGTATCTGGTCCACCCGTGTTGGGATATTCGTGTACTTATGCGCCATGCGCCAGCAGGGGGGTAGGCAGCACGGGCGTCGCTGTCTTCCATGGTTGCTGACTGACCCCCACAAAGTCTTCGGTCGGGGTCAGCAACGACCCTGATGGACAGGAATACGAGACAGTGAGAGTAGTGTAGCATCTCAGCTATACAGTGTAAAAAGGCCCTGGCGCATTGGGTGAGATTGTGGCCGGAGCAGAGACGACCGATTCGTCGGACAGGCAAGAAAGCGTGTCGACCAATGGCTTGACACACTGCCTAATGTTCAGCATTGTGCCTTAGTAACAGGGCATGGTGCGTTCGTGAATGCAGAGGATTGCTGGCTTCAGAGGCATAGACGTGGCCCCCAACTGGTAGCATAGAAGAGAGTTCGAGACTTCAGATGGGCCCCATCAGGCCCACTCCTGCCCATGCCGTTTCCTTATGTATTTCAACCCTGCACAAGTCGGTGGTGGTTGGCGGTGCCCGGCGGACTGGAGATGATGTATGGTCATTCTCAAGAACTTTCGAATCCACACCGAGCTTCCGAGATGGTGCTTGAAATAGTAGTGGTTAGTGGCCAGTGATTTGGGCGAGGTCGGATCGTGGATTGTATGCGTTTTGCACCACTTGTCGTCCTCAATCTTTCGCGCACTCGCTCATGAGGACTGAACACCCGTCCTGTCGCAGACAGAACGGTTCATCCGCGCAGGAGGACTGAGTCTGGTTTTTGGAACGCAGCCCGCAACTTGCTTTTCGGGTCCCCGTAACAGAAACGTGGTCTCACCCCCGGCAGTAGTCAGAGATAGCCTCCCTCTAACACGGACGATCGATACCGTCCCCTTCGACCATGACGATGTTGAAAGCAAGAGGTGTGTAGTACCGACCCCGGACACGTGAGGCAGGCTTGCGGCCATTTGCCAACAGGGATCCATACCGGGCTAAGGACGAGTTAGAGCATGGGATCCCTATCGTCGAAGAGAATTCATGAAACAAAGTGCCCTTGCTTTATGTGGAGCCGGCAGAGTTCCGTCAAACAAACACCACTTTAGACCTATTCCGTAACCGCTTCGTGTAATATTACTTGAGGGAATGTCTCCGAACGTCGTTTTCGATCTCGTTTTCGTATACCCTCGTTTTCGCGTAATCTTCGGCAGAATCTAACCACACCAGATTTGTGTGGGAATGGATTCTCTCTAAGATGGAATCTATCTATTAGTATAAAATCGACCTCTATGCCGTCTATTTCACCTCGCCGCTGCCTGTTTCGTATAGCCAACCTTAGTGTTTATTTCAGCTGAGGTCGGAAGCCTTGTTACTTCGATTCCACCAGCCTAGTAGTCTGTCGACAGACTCGCCTACCTCTGCCACTGCCACTGCCACTGCTAATGGCAGGAGGCGCTGTCGATGGTGGCAGATCGCGTCACAATTCAGGAGAGTCCTTAGGCGAAAGCCTACGGCGCGGCCGTGGCCGATCTACCGTTCGTAGTGCTAGTTATGTTCGTCCAGTCGATCTCGATGGCGGAGGTCTCTTTGGTACATCTTCCACTTCTTCCTACCTAGTATTTCTATGGGATCCGGAGTCCGAGAATGCCTCTGTAGTGCCTGAGCCATCGGAACGACTAAGCGAAAGAGCATTAACAGCGTTCTCAAGCGGACAGCGAAGGTGGTCCTGTCAGCCTTGTCTAGCACGCCAGGGAGGTGAGGCTAAAGGTTCCTGGTCATTGAGCTGAGAAAGACGATCACAACCACCAAGGTAAGCTATATAAAACAGGCGGCGACGGGGTCAATTTTCAAGATTTATTCAATATATCATTGTGTGGCTAGCAGAAATAACCTACATAAAGGTTTGGTGTGGTTAGATTCTGCCGAAGATTACGCGAAAACGAGGGTATACGAAAACGAGGTCGTAAACGATGTCCGGAGACATTCTGATACTTGGCAATGCTGATGATACTCCGGATTTGGTAGTGGAGGAAGAACACACCCCCTGCTATGCAGCCGAGTGCACCAGGGCCTTAGTGCTCGCCCCAGGGACTGGCCTCCGTTGTCAGTATGACTGTCGCATTACGTTAACGCCAACTCATCACTCTACTGTACACATCTTTACACCGACGTGTACAACACACTTTTGTTTTGGAAAAGACAAGCGGCAGGAACGAAGGGAAAATCAAGATAAAAGGTAGTGGCAGCTCACACAAGGCTAGCGAATCAGCGCGAGCATGGTGGATCCCGGAATCGTGTTAAAAGAGGCTTCCCGCAGAACCTCGTATAGAGGGGGTTGCGCCCAGTCGGAAGGCGGCTTCCTGATGGGGGAAAATCTTAAATTCAGCTCCTCCCCTCCCACTGACTAGGCTCATCTCACCGGAGAAAGTGACATGGAAGTAGCATAGGACCCTCCAGAAGGTCAGATTGTGAGCTATCCAGCAGCTCCAGGGTATCTTACATAGCCTGTGTGTAATCACTTTCTCTGGCGGTGGGACGAAGCATGAGGGCTAATTTGGCTGACTGGTGCTCGTGATTCATCGCTGTGGCTAAATAATAGAAATCACATACATGTAGCAAGCTGGGCAGAATAGGTTTTTTGCTCAAGAGAGTACGAGGCAAGCCACATCTTCCGTCGACTAATCACTAACCCCTGCCAACACCATGCTCCCCAGCCAGTCAAAGACACACTCATGGAAAAGGTTTAGACAGTCGGCTTCGTATTCATCATCATCATGTCACTGTCACATTCATTCATTGCCAATCATCATGTAAAGAAGAATCCCATTCGCTCGTTCCATCGGGAGCCACTATCCCAGCGCCGTGCCTGGAAAACACAATAAATCGAAAGCATAGCGGCCAGTGATGTGAATTTGCATCTGACCATCCCATGCTTTGCTTCGTGCATATGCCGTTCTCTTTATCCAGCCCATCTGAATGTCCAGATTAACCCATTAAAACCCTTCTTCGGAATCAATCGTTCTCCCCACAACAACGAAACAACGTGCTGACATTTTTCTGCCGTGTCGAAGAAGGAACCTCTGACAGCACACGGCAGCAGCTGCTGTGCCAAATCTTGCACCAAGTCGCTTAAGGCCTGCCACTTCTTGTCGCCCGTCTTGTTTTTCTGTTTCATACCCTGTAATTCGGCCGTGCCATTATTATGAATACGACGAATGCTCCAAACGGCGTTGGTCGTGTCATTCCTCTCAGCAAAAAGCCGCAGAAGCATTATGTCTAGACGAATATTCCATTCCGGCACAGGCGACGCACATGGCAGACGTAGTGCCAGAAGACCGCTGGTAAGGGCAAGGTCGCGGGCCAGTTGCGGCTCAAGACGAGTCGTTCTTGGAATGATACATGTCGGTGATGGGGTTGAGACTGTCGTTGTTGTCTGTGTTTGTTCAGGTTGATGGCCTGTGGAGATGTCCTCAGGCATCTTGCCGCTTTCGCTACCGATGCTCGTTCGCGCCTCGGAGGTTGATGCGATGGATGAGGTGTCTTCGTGGGTAGCCGACGCAGAATCGTCCAGAGATTGACCATCTTCGTGATTTGAAATCTCGGGGGGTTGATAGTTGTCACAGCGTATGAGCTCAGGAGCAGCCGTTCCTTTTGCCGGTAAACTCTGCAGTCTTTTGGATATGAGCCGTGCTAAAGCGCCGCTGCGAAGCTCACACAGCCTGTACGCACTGACGGCAATCAGCTTGCACACGCGATTGATGCCATCCTTGCTCTTCGAAGACACATCCACCAGTTTGCTTGTTCTGGTGCGTACAATGCTGGAAGCCTCATAACACACCCGCTCGAAAAGTAGCTCGCCACTGACAAAATTCCCTTGATCAACGCAAATCTCGCCTTGTAGCAGCACCTGCTCAAGATACGCACAGATGGCTTTGTAGGTGTGGAGGTTGGGCTCGTTTTTGTTGGCGAGGACATGTTTCGCAAGCTCGTCACGAAGACCCGTGACTCGGCTGTTGCACGAGTCAGATGTTACTTGTGTCTTGCCTTCTGCTATCGTCTCTGGGGCAGGACTATGAATGCTGATCGAGTTGATGTGGGTATGCAGCCATGGCAACACAGCAAATTTTACAAAACTGTCAGTTCGATAACAATATCGTGTCTCTGCCGATAGTGACAGGTTGTATCCCATGCCCCGCGCAAAAGGACATTTGACCATGATCCAAAGAGCATGCATGAAATCCGCCGAGTCCTTGTAGCTGCAAATATAGAAGGGAGCATCCGGCTTGGTGTTGCCACCACTGAACAGCATGACGGGGTCAAATCTGGACTCGTAAGGCTGCGACGGATCATATGGGACGCTAATCAGCCTGGACGACGGGAAGGGCCCAAAGACTGGGATGCCGTAGTTCCTCAGCTTCGCACCGAGCCCTCTGATGCCCGACTGTAGACCAACCACCTTGTTCTCCATGTACAACACTGTCTTGCCCTCCAAGTACAGCTGTTTACATGTCTTCAGAATGGCGGGGTGCAGGTGGCAGCTAGTTATGACCGGCGGACTTCCATTGATCTCTTGATTTCCCTTGTGTTTGAAGGGTGCGGCCTCGAGAATACGCCTCGGATTCAAGTAGAGCAGTTCGGAGATGCTGTGCTGCGGCGGGCGGCGAGTATGGGCCTTGCGGTTGCGATCTATGCGCAGGAGGTAGCGGAGGATCTTGAGGCGAAGCTCAACGGGCAGGCGCAGCAGCGGAGAGGGATCTGAGGGATCTTTGAGAATTTCATCCTGTTCTTCCTCTTCGTCTCCATCACAGTCGAAAATCAAACGGAGGGTCAGGACCTCCCTCGAAGGTAAAGGCATCTTCTGTGCATTGCGTGTCCCAAATCGGACGGTGAGGCTACGCAGACATAGGGGCAGACTTCGCCCAAGGGTTCGGGTGATGGGGGTCGGTCTGGACAAAGTCAGGTGTTACAAACTTGCACCAGGCATAGCGCAGATAGCCGGGTTGGATGTTGTCGACGGCAGCTGGACTCTCTGTATGATTATATGAGATCACAGTGGCCTGGACTCGAGAGAAGGATGAATGCCTCGAGCCTGAGCGAAAGCGGGGAGCATGTCTGGAGATGAGGTGGAGAGGATGAGGAATGGTAATGGGGGTTCAAATTGGGTAAGTGAAAAACATTTAATGAACTGACAGTCTAGCGAGGCATTCTTAGTAGATAAGATTCAGCACTGCAGCAAATTTGCAACAAGATAGAAGAACAACGGGAATTAAGCAGACACGCAGAGAGTGTATAGAAAGGCGAAGAGTGTCACGCAGCCGTGGAAATTCTGATGTGACAGCCGAGTCGGCGAAGCGAATGGAGTGATCACCGCACGAGCCACAGGCCTTAGTAAGCATTCTTCCGTGCCCACGTGGAGCGTATACCCAGCATGAGGATCGATCATCAAACGGGATATCAAGCCATGTGAAGCAGCTCCAGGTCACCATAGCATGTCACAATATCTTCATGTGCTCGCTATCGATTGCAGTCTTAACCTTCTCGGTCAGAAGTGCCAAAGCAATATAAGCATCTTTACTCGGGTTCCATCACTCATGCATACATTAGAAACGGGCCATGACTTCGAGGATACAGCTGGGTCCTTTTCAGCTGGTGTCCATATTGTCACCGTTTCCCTTCTTCTTCTCTCGGACGAAGTTGACAAAGTCGTCGATTGCCATAGGCCACGCGCCATCCTCTGTCCACCAACTCAGTGACTCTCCCCCAGGCTCTTTTGTCTTCATGACCAACTCGCCAACCATGTTCCACAAATCTTTGTTGACCGGTCTCTTGCCCTGGGACTCGTAGAATTCACACCACAGGTCCAGCCACGGAGTTGAGGGAGAATTCCACTCGATCCCACCTTTGCCTTGCCGGAAGAACATGTTCCAGAAGTCGATTGCGGAGTCCACCGGAACACTTCGTTGACCTTCAGGTTTGGCGAGCTTGAATGCATTGCGGTAGACCTGTTTGAAATAGGCCGGGTTGTTCGACAGTTTCTTCCGGATCACCTCGACGTATTGTGCTTGTCGTGCCGCCGTATCGTATGCTTTATCGATCGTGCAAACGCTTCGCCAGCCGGAAACGAACGATTCGCGCTCGAATTCGCCGATGGAAGGGCACTGCAACAGATCACAGATACCCAGGTGGGCGACTTCATCTAGTTCCACTCCGAGGTCGGTCAGATATTTCTGAGCACCCTCTATGCCGATCGTGTCTGGGGCGTCTTTGGGATTGTCTAGGGAGAAGTTAGTGGTTGACCTTCACTGCGTCACCCAGCTAGAATCTTACCGCGATAATGATCAAAGAGCTTGTTGAGGTTGGCCAGAAATGGAGGAGCAGCGTTGTTTGCAGATCCACTCTGGTAGAACCTGCAGAGGAGTTTGTGTCAGTCACTCTTGATCAGCAAACGGTCATGCACAGACCCTGGTGCCTTGGAATGATTCGCTTTGCCGCCACTTTTCCTGCCTCTCGCCGTCGGTCGCCCAGACTTGTTGGCCGAGGCTACAGTGAAAGCCGCCGCCACTTTTTCGAGGCTTGCCCGAGCCTCAGAGGCGGTAGCCTTGAACTTTTTGTCGAGAGGCGAGTTCATGGGTGGGTCGGTGGACTTGCGTTTCCGGGGCATAGTGATAAGCTCGATAGATGCACGATACACAGCTGAGGGAGAGAAATAGGAATACCCGTCAACTGAAGTAGACGAGGTGCTCTCTGGAAGAAGAAGGGAAAGAGCACGAGTGGAAGCTCGGCCAACTGCTAGGCAGGTGGAAGTGACCAACTGAGGTACCCAACTGAGGGTGGAAGGTTTGGATGATGCAACAGTCTTGGCAGGGCAGGGCGTTGCCTTCATCTGCGGCAGGTTCACCTTCATGTTGGCAACTTGGGAAGGAGATTTGGTCTCAAGATTCACAGTTCCAACAAGTCCTAAGTGGTCGTTTCATCTCCGTGCCGTGACCGTGGACAACTTGCAACCAAGGTTGTGCAAACCTCGCACTTGGCAATTCGCCGCTTTAAGGAATCCCAAGTTCCGCAACGCAATATGCGTCTCTTAACCCGGCGTGACAGAATGAAATGGCTAACTTACGAATCGATCGCTCGTTCCACGTTCCACTCGTGGGCTTTAAGAAACTGCCACCATACCCTCAGTCATTTGACTCCCAGAATCTCCAGTTCACGTACCCTCCCAGCTATGCTCTCCTTCGCTTGGGTGAAGTTGACAAACTGCGCTATTGATGATCTTTGAGATGGTGTATAAGGTGGCATTTTGATGGAAGTCTAGGGCCTTAGGAGTCCCAGGCCGAATTTAAAATAAAATTTGAAAAAGAGTTGGTTGATAGCGGTTAAGGCGGATAACGCAGCCTGATGGACAGAGATTGGAGACACTGGTGGCGGAAACTGGATCGAGGTTCGAAATCCAACGTGGTGACAAAGAAGAGGTCTGACGTCGTGGGTGCGCAGCACAGTTAGAATATAGACGTCGCGATGATAATGGGACGACGTCGTTGGCGGCGTTGGGCGCTCAAACGGGTGGCAGTCAAAAAGTCGACGGCGGGACAGCATGGCAGGTCAAGCGAGGATCAGAGTTTCATCTAATCTAATCAATTCTCCAGGCGAGTAGGGTGAGGGGTGGCAGGATTGAATAACATGTGTTTATCAATGTCACAGAAACTGTTCATTTGTGATCCCCCTGGCACGACCAGAATGGGTCTTGCTTGTGTCATAGTCATGGAGAATGATCACTCGTACTTTTTGGATCTGTTCACGGTGGGCAGGCAAGCAGCCCTTGATCAAGACAAGGCTGTGCTGGGATAGAACCAATCGGTTGTTTCTTGTGTGGCGTTGGTGGTGAGGCGTCTGGCACGCCTATGGGCCCCTAAGAAACTACGTCGTAGGTAGCAACCTGAGGTGAAAAAAGGCCTCCACTACGTAGTTGCAGGTGGTTCGCAGGTAGCTTGGCCCCCCTGTAGCACAGCCCTGTCACTAAGCTGCAGGCTAACCCCTCCCTGTCAACGGGGTCCCAGTGCCTGTTTGTTTGGGTACTGGCTGAAGCATCAGCTCAAAAGACCAAGTTGTACACCTCAGTGAATATCTTGGTTCTCCTTTAAAAAGGAATCCTCAACATCCATCTCAAGCTTCCTCTTTTCATTTCTGCTCTTTTCACCTCTTCATCCCCAATAGACAGCCATCTCAATCATGGGTGTAAGTCCATCTTCCCGACTCCTTCAACTCACTTGTTCCCCCTCGCCCTGCCCCGCACCAATACCAATCCTCCTTGTACCAGTTCATGCCCAAATCACCCTGTTCGCGCCTCGCCTTGCATATGGCTTTTGTCTTGCAATCAAACAAGATTTGTCCTGGCTGATGACGCGTATAGCTGGCTTCCAAGCTCGCCGCAGCACAAGCTGCCTATCCCGGTGGTCCTCCTGCACCTGGTGGTGGTGTTCCTCCTCCCGGTGGTGCTCCTGGTGGTGGATACGTGAGTCAACTCTTTACTTGTCGTAAGGACTAGCAAAGACTGACTCCTACGGTTACTTTCTAGCCTGGCCAACAGCAATATCAAGCATATCAAGGTGGTCCTCCGTCTTCTGCTCCTGGTGCTGGAGCTCCTCGGCCAGGTCAACCCGTAAGCGTGTTTCCGGTCATTCCCAGCAAATTCTACTTCCCAATTCCACTCCAATCCACCCCCCTTGGTTGCGTCATCCCGTGTTGCTACGTCCGCAATACTGCAAACGACTTTATTCTCCTTCAACCTCTCATCTCTACCTCGACACTTCCCGTCGCCAACCTCCAAAAGTATCCTTGCCGCAAAATATGAGCAAGTTCTCGCGCATCGCACAACAAGGCCAGCAGGGAGGTGCATATCCTGGTGCACCAACCCCGCAGCCACCGTACCCCTCCCAACCGCCATATCCTCAGCAGCCGCAACAGCCTCCTGCATCGCCGTATAATCAACCTGCGGTTCCTCCCAGACCCGGGGCATCACCTCAACCCTACCAGACTCCGCAGTGGCAAGCGCCCCAACAGCAACAGTCGCCATATGGTCAACAACTGGGGGTGCCGCAGCAACAGGGGGGATATCAATCACCACAGCCCGTCTATCAACCGTACCAGTCGCAGTATCAACCCCCGCCGAATCAATACGGTCAACAACAATACCAGCAGCAGCAGCCAGCTGGCGGATACGGCTATGTTCGTCGCAGCGCATTGCACTCTTTCCCCATACTTGCACACATGTTACCTTTTTCTTGGAAGCGGGAAGCTAACAGCTTTGTGTGCTTTAGGGTCAGCAACCTCCATACCCGGGCGGTCCTACCCCTGGTCCTCCTCCGCAGCAATATGGCGGCGGTCCCCCTCCTCAGCAGTACGGTGGTGGCCCCCCTGGCGGCGCCTCTCTAGCTCCGGTCGGCAACGTAAATGCCTACAAGCAACTTCTTCAAGCCACCATTCAAGAGAAGGGACTTCAAAACTTTTACCCTCCTGGGCATCCCATGCTTGACCAGATCGCTAATCGCGCCGGTCAACAAGTCGCTCAGTTGGCCGCAGCATGGCGCATCTCTCCTGAAATAGCCTCGGATATTGTCAAGTTGGCACTCTACGACGTCGTCTTGTACATTGATGACAGCGGATCCATGCAATTCGAAGAAAATGGGGAGCGCATTGATGACCTTAAGCTGATATTGTCGCGCGTCGCATTTGCTACCAGCCTCTTCGACGACGATGGGATTCAAGTCCGCTTCATGAATTCTCCTGAACAGGGCAACAACATTCGTAATGAGCAGCAGGTGAATGAGTTGATTGCGCGCACTCGCTTCTCTGGCCTCACGCCCATGGGCCGCGAATTACAGAACAAGATCCTTGGGCCGCTTGTGCTTGAGAATGCCCGACGTGGTACTTTGCGCAAGCCCGTCTTGATCATCACCATCACCGATGGTCAACCTACGGGTGAAAGCTCGTCGGACGTGGCTAAGATCATCATGGCAGCGTCGAGCGAATTGGCCCGCAACCCGCGGTACGGCAAAGGAGCCCTGGCATTCCAGTTTGCACAGGTGGGCAACGACTTGAAGGCGAGAGAGTTTTTGAGCAAGCTCGATGAAGAGCCTTCGATTGGTGATATCATTGATTGCACATCCAGTAGGTCTTTTTCTTCAGGGTGGAAGCGGACCTGAAAATCTGTTTGCGTATCAGGAAAACATTCGTGCTGACGTGTGCCCCTACAGACTACGAAGTTGAGGCCGACGAGATGTCTCGCGCCAACCCGCCCGTCCAACTGTCACCCGAACTCTGGCTCATCAAACTGCTCCTCGGTAGTATCGACTCAAGCTACGACGCCAAAGATGAGAAATCCAGTGCTAGACCTCCTCAAGGTGGCTATGGTGGTCCTCCAGGCGGTGGTTATGGTGGTCCTCCCCCAGGTCAATACGGCGGTGGTCCAGGAGGTGGCTATGGACAGCCTCAAGGCGGCTATGGTGGTCCTCCTGGTCAAGGCGGCTATCCCCCACAGCAGGGCGGCTACGGCCAACCTCAGGGAGGCTATGGACAACCGCAGGGTGGATATGGACGGCCTCCTCAAGGTGGACCACAGGGAGGATATCCGCCACAAGGTAACTACGGTGCGCCTCCTCCACCACCACGGTACTAGGCTGGACCATGGGTGCCCTGGAGATTCAAGTCAAGACAAGCTGCCAAAACCCAGGCCCTCTAACTGAGCGGGTTGTGGCCGGTACATCCACGGAACCAGTTTATGGGCGACACAGGGAACTACGTTTGCTGAGAGCCAGTTCTCGGCGGTTCTGAAGATATCCAAACTGAGGCTTGCATGGGTCTATGCCACAGCAACGTCAAAAAACTGTAGATGGTGAAATAGCTCAGCCCCAAGAATGCCGGGGAAGTTGTTATTGAGGACGTGATCGGAGCTGCAACACAGAAACTCAGAGATACATGAATGCCCTAGGTCCGTAGCAAAGCAACCACGAGCATAAGCACATCCATTCAAAAGCAATATTCAGTAGTGTACTGCCCCCTCTTCGGAGATGGCACAAGTAGGATATATATATTTTGTATCACCTGCCTTCCAGCGAGAGAAGAAGGCTGTTCCGTTGCTGTTTGCAAGAGTCCGAGTCGAATCACCCGGAAAAAAAAAGGAAAAAGAGAGAGAAAAACAATTCCTTACAAGTATCCTATTGCCTACGCTCGGATGAATGAACGGCTAGTAATTGGCCCCAAGGCATGCATGCATGCATGCTACTATCGAGACCGGAGGAGGGACATGTAACTCGTGCGGATATAGGGAATCCGTCTTGACGCTCGAATGGCATGACGTGACGTGACAAACGGACGGACAAATGTGACGGAGATGTTGCTTTTCGTATACACAGAACATGTACAAGCCACGATGCGTAGTTGATTTACTATGTATACCAGCCAATTGGCCGTTCATCCAGGCAATGTTACTGGGGGGCCGTGGTGTTGTAGACTGCCTGTAAACACGTCCTTGTTTCTGCTGTTGTTCTTAGTCGATTGGGTTTTCCAGGGCCGATACAGATTTCAATCTCGACTGCTCGTTTCCTTTCGGGACAACAAATCGGGAATTGAAACATTGACCAGGTTTTTCACCCAATAGACGGCGCGGCGCGTCTTTCACTTCGCTTGCTGCGCGGACTCCTCTAAACGAGTGGGCGGCGGTGAGGGCCAGATGCAGGAACGGAGGATCATGCTGTGCAACGACTAAGGCAGAATGCGGTAGTGGGATTGGGGTCGATAACAAGAGCAGTTGTTTGCCCTTGCAGATATCGGTGTTGTCACTGTGTCACGCCGCGCCTTCCATGTCCTGCGGGCGTGCATGTACGGGGTGTCCGTTTTCATCACCCGGCGTTCATGTGCGTGGATCGGGTTTCAATTGAGCTCTCTCTGGCTGGTGCCATTGGTCTGTCACAAGGCCATCATGATGTCGCCTTCACCGCTGTAGTCGATGATGTTTCCGGGATTTGTCGTAAAGGTTGTGTTTACATCTGCGTCTGGGTAGAGAGTTTGACAAGCTCCCATAGCATGACCCTGAAAATGTCTTGTCCCTGGCAATAGTCAAATCTGGGGGTTCAGCTCAAGCCCAGTGGGAGAAGCGTCTGGACCGTGAAGAATCTCGTCTCATGTTCAATGATTGTCGAGCAAGACAGCGAGGAGCACCCGGAACTTCCCAGTATCAATCAACGGAAGTCAATTCCTTTGTACCTACCTTTCCGAGACGAGGTGGGCTTGCGAATTGTTCCAGAACAATTTACATCTGGCCCGTAGTCAATCAATATCCTCCTGAAAACCATAACATCCACGGAGCGGAAATGCAATACTGGGTCCCCCCTTACTGCATGGTGCAGATCCCTAAGGGGAATGACTCAGAAGAGTATTTCGTGTGATACAAGGTGCAACAATTACATGAGTAAACAAAAGCACACGAGACGTGGCTTGTAGGCTAGGCAATGTTGACATGTCGTTATTTAGGTCGTATAGGATCTCGTATCCACACCGAATTCAGTCAGTCCGTATTTCGTACCCCAGGAGTTATTGGTCGCAAGAGCTGGAGAGCTGGAGAGCTGGATGGAAACGTTGCAGACCATCCCTTGGTTGTACATCGGTTCGAGCGCCCAGAGACAACAGCTGGGGTAAGCTCCTTATCATGAGATGCCGAGACGGGAAAAAGTAGAGGATGAGGGAATGGATGCCAAACACATTCTCAATACGGACAACAATAAGATGTCGATGGTGGTAGGGGCGAGCAGTAAGGGCTAGTGACCAAGTGGAGCGAGGAAGTAGGGCTGACACAGAGCGGAGAATGGTACCCGCAGCAGCACCGGGAGCAGCCACGGAACCCTGCGCGTATGGATGATGAGACTCAGAGTCCGAGATTCGGCCATTTTGGAGCGAGTTGTGCGTGGCTTGCGGCGGCTCTTCAGAAGAAAGGAGAGTCGTGGAGGAAGGAGAGTGGCAAGGCGTCAGAGAGTGAAGGCCTTCTGGACACAAAGCAACGAGTGAGCCAAAGAATGAAGCGACTAAGCCAAGCAACTCTTGATATGTTGATGGCTTTGGTTTCCGTGGAGAAAGCGTATGACCAAGACAGGGCACAAGATATGAGTTGGCTGGACCCTGGGAAGGTTTGAGGGCTGATCAGCCAGACGAGGGCTGCCTCACTAGTTGGGCTGCTGGAGCAGGGAGTGTGTACTCCATCATCATCATCCTCCTCCTCCTCATCCTCATCTGGGACACCGAGTTTGCGGCGATGCTGGGTGATAGGTAGCAGTGAGAGATGAAGGGCGGTCGAGAATGAGGCAAAGTGTTTTGATCCGTGCTATACCGAGCCAAAAACCGGTGGGAGAATGAATTGGCGGGTGAAAAAAGTGAGGGCGCAGTTAGAGCGCAGGGAGCAGAGAGGGAAGCGCGTCTTTGCCAGATGGAGGGATGACTAACTGGCTCACCGCTTGACTCTTGGGTGGAATCTGCCTGGCCACCCCCGAGTAACCACAGATGCCCACCGGTGCCCCTCGTTCAGGCTACTAGGTTGCTGGGCTGCACGTCAGAGGGCCACAAAGGCCACCAGGGCTACCCGGGGTCGGTTTTACGGGCACCGGCTGAACCACTCACGAGCCTTAGCGAAACCCGGGAGGCTGCTCCTAGCTAAGGATCGCCCTTTGATCTTTGAGGTGGCTTGCTGCTTTGCTTCGCTTTCGGGCCCCTGGCCAGCAAACTCGCCGCTAAATGGTTGGCTTGTACCCTTTGGCCCTTGGGGGCTTTTTGTCCTTTTGCTCTAGGGAAGTGCCATCACTAACCACCAAGACTGTCACTCTCGCACTCCCCACTCACCAACTCTCTCACCGTCAGAAGCTGGTGCTCGCACATTTGCCCATCCCTGCCTCTCCACGTGGTGGCATCCGCAAACAATGTTTCCCATTCGACACCACACAATGTTACCTGGTTCCCGCCATCCCTTGTTGGGGGTCCAGATGCGTGGCTGCATTCTGGTTCTGACTGCCCACCCAGGGTTTCAACGGTGAGTGAGTTCAGAGTCAGAGTCACCTGCTTACAACCACATGAATCCCATGTTCCAAACGGACCAGGGGGGCTAACGTGGTCATCACATTAACCTCCCAGAGTCAGATTTGTATATATCTTTCCCGTTCCCGCCCACATCATCGTCTGCTCTCTTCCACCGGCCACAGAGATCGACCGTTATCCACCTAGTCGCGTGTCCGAGCTTCCACATCTCAGACATCAATCTGCTCGCATACCACAACCCCAACCCCTTCGACAGAGCACAAGACGATATCTATATCAGCCACCTTTCCGAACAATCCTATTGTTCTCACACAACCCACAACACAATGGCCTCATCCTGCAGAGCAAAGACGGCTATTCTCAGAGGCCTCCGTCCTCTCGTCTCTACCCAACAACAAGTGGCAGCAACCCAGAAGATCCTCTCGTCGGCATGTGTGGACGAATGTATCTACTGCGACATCTGGAAACTGGCCACGCTGATTGCCTCTCACTCTCCCCTTTCGGCTCGCTACAACCTCACGACGGGCACACCGACCAACTCACCTGTCTCGTCAGCACCGTCCAGCCCCGTGGTTTCGTCACCTATTGCCCAGTCGTCAACACCATACAGCTCCATCATCTCTGCCTCCAAGCGGATCGAAGCTCAGTTTCAGACTCAACGATCCAAGCTCAATTCCATCCTCAGTATCTGCACAGTCTCCGGGGTGGACGCCACTGAGGGTCTGAGATTGGCTCATGACCGATGTGCTGCCGCTGTGGAGGACCTGCTCGACCAAGAAGAAGACCTGGAGGAGGAGCTGTTGCGGGATCTTCAAGAACAACAATACGACTACTCTTACAGTTACGACTCGCAATACGCCTATCCGAGCGGCCCGGTAGCATACGGCTACACGTACGAGAGAAGACCCAGCATGGTCCACGTGACGCACTGAACACGAATATGTCTTCTTGTACCGTCACTACTACAGACAACTTTCTTGAGGGATTGGGAAAAGCAATTTGGATGCGACAAAAGCAAAGCGAGCGATTTACTACGGAGGCATTGAGGTGCCTTTCCTGTGTTGAAGGGGCGGGAATTTTTAGGATCTTCAGAACCCAGACTGGAGAGGTCGGATGCGCCTGGAGCAGCAGCCTGCTCCGGATGCCATAACCCACACGATGATGAATTTGATATGATACCCATGTATAACAAAGAGCTAGTGCACGATCAACCAGACGAGAATTTTCTCTCTCTCCCTCTCTCTCTCCCCTGCTCCTCCATCCCGTCGTTGTCTCGATGTCTCATCACAAGAACTCGTACCCGTCTCAGTTATTTCTGTCCATGTAACCGTGTAACCGCAACACCCAACGGTAGGCGCAAGTTTTTAGACTTTCTTCATCGTCAGCTGCCTGGTGCGGCATCGGTACCCCGTGCACCAGTGACCCGGAACCCAAGTACCCAGCTCGCAAGAAGTTTCAGAGGGGTTACAACCCAGCCAGCAGGCCGCACATGTACCTTTCTTCCCGCCTCATGGAGCGTAGACTTGCCTCATCAGGCGAACCCTACTGGTGGGCACCAGCTAAGCGACTCGCACCCTCTACCGCATTGCGTCTAGTGCCCCACGCAGCCCAAGCCTCTCTCCCCTCAAGGAACCTCCTTACTGGTGCCTAGGACAGATCAAAGAGTTCAGCCACCCCACCCAAGCGAGCCGCTAATCGAGTCACGCCGCCCCCTCGAGATTTTTCGCCCATCGATAAAAAAGCCCTATGAGGATGGCGCGGGGAACGGGAAATCTGCTCTCCCATTGGCGGTGGGCATGGGCTTCCTCCCCAAAACTCTTCCTCTCCCCTGCCCCTTAGCTGGATTATTCCATCATCATTCGATCATTCGATCATCGTATCTCTGCAGGAGGTACTGGTACCTTTCTGTGGCTTGCTCGCTAGACCCAGAGACTTTGGTATTTGGCGTAACGAGACTATTTTTTTTCATCATATTCTGATACTCTAACTCTCCTCCTGTTTTGCGCATGGACGAATCTAGACCTCTTGGCTGTTGTCACTTGCAAACAAACAAAGAACTGAGCGAGAAATAAACTCAACATCCAGAATGGGAAAGGAAAAAATTGCGCCTTAATATGGCCCATATGGACGCTAGTGTTGGTCCTTGGTCCTTGCTGCTCGCTGCAGCAGCCCTGAAACCGAAACTGAATTATTTGATTTCTTGCCCGGAAATGTGGCCTGCGGGCACCGAGGGGCAGGGGAAGGGCTGGCAGGGTACGTAGGTGGCAGAACAATGGGCCTGGCGAGTGCATAATGATGAATGAGCACTAGGTTCCGGGTATAAGTGCGCCCCCATCGTAATCTCACATGCCTTGCAGTCGCTGCACTAGTTGCTGTAAGAGATGATCACGGCTTGCTAGCAGCCCTTGCAATAATGCAGATCACCACAGACCTAAGGCACGAACAACAAACAACAACATGGCAAACGACAGCAGACAGCAAACACATTCAATCTTCTCTTCTTGCAATCTCTCGAGTGTCCTCTCTTTCCCCGGGCGTCCTGCGAGAGTCCTGTCTAGGGCCGCCTAGGCCCTAGACTCTAGCTAGGGACGGAGGACGAAGAGTTTGTAAACAACATCATACAAGGAGCGGGAATGTATTGGGAAAGGCATAGTACCGACCAAGTACAGTAATCACTGTTTGGCAGTGGATGACACTATTGGTGGTAAATAGCTTTGTCGTTTCGACGTCGTCCTTGTCATCTGTTGTCATCATCATGCCTATCTCCTCCGTGCTCAATCCGGTAGGAATGAATGCTGTAGCGTATGAGTCGTATTAGTCGTGCGTGCATGCTGCTAAACACCTGCCCATACGTGCGTAGATGGAATGGAATGTTCGGAGGAACCCATGCATCAATATTGATCCTACGAATGTGTCGCTTCGCTTCGCTTCTCATCTCTCTCGTCATCCTCATCATCAATGTCCACTTCCTGCTGCATCCATGTACGCACTGTGCAGCACCTCAATGCTATCCTCGTTGGAAATCCGACAGAGAATCATCTGCCGGGATACCCGACTCGCACAATACCCAAGAGATCGCCGTAAAATGACCCCTTTCCGACCAGTCACTGAATGGTATTGTTAGATAATCGTGCTCACCCTCACCCTCAAAGTCGCCGTTATTGCCGTGCGGTCCGCACCTTGCAGGGCCAGTTGTGGGCGTGCTGAGTGGTTCTCGGCGGGCACCTTTTCTGTGTCCCTGTCTTCTTTCCTGGAGGGCGATGTGGCGGTGCACTGGCTTGTGGCGAAGGACGGATGTTCGTTCCTGAAGAACTTGCCAGAATACGAGGCGGACCTTGGTAGTGCACGAAGAGGTAATTAGATACTGCAAATTATCATCTCCTACGAGGTACCTAGCTCGGCACCTGGCCGTCATGTTATCAGAACCCGAGAATCCTTGCCCGTTGTAATATCTCTCGCTTGGCTTTTGTTTGTTTCCGCACCAAGACGACCTTTTTTTTCACTTGAGAAGAAAAGTGTTTTTCGCCTTCTCGTCCTCAGTCGGTGTTTTCGGACGTCCATCGCTCTCTCTTCCATTCCTTCCCACCCAAGCCACCCCTACCTCCGACGTTGGGACCTTTTGTTACTTACAGCACCCCTGCCCAGGAGGATCAACTGCCATCTTATGCTTATCGATGCAGGAGTAGTGGCTTAGCCCCCTCCATCACGACTGCCATCGCTACATACTCAGCTTCGGGCCAAGGAACGATAGGCGTAGGGGCAGAACTGATACCACTGGACCACTGTTCGTTAGTATTGATTTCTTGTCCCTACCTGTTATGTCGTGAGATGCACACACAGACGTCCATCTGCCGACGATACCCTCCCCCGCCCTGTGGGATGCAGTGCTTTCAGGAAATCTTTGGGGCATGATGTGCTTATACAGCATGTACAGCATGTAGGATCCGTGTCTATATCTCTCTCGGTGCCCGGTGTTCAGTGTGCCTGTTGGGTGCCTGTGGGGTGGGTGTCGAAGGACAGTAGAGAAGGAATGTGGGGAAGGGAGTATCGCGTCAGCTGAAGTGATACGGAACCTTGAGAACTACCAGGTACCCATGATAGTGCCTGTGGACCAGTACTTCCTCAGGTACCGGTACTTGAGTTCGGATGAGCTTGCTTGGCTGCTTCAATGCACCAGGGACAGGCGATGGCGATCATGCTCGCTTGCCGCTTTTGTGTGCCTGCTCGCAGGAGCAACAGCCACCACCGTGGTCACCGCCAGGCCCCATCCGCCCACCAGTTCCTGGACCAGTGCCCATTGTGGCGTTCTTCAAGAGCCCACCAACGGATTCTGTGTGCGAGAGATCTCCGTGGCCCCAGGGGATCGAGATGTTTCTAACCTTGAAGTCCTGGACCGTCCACGAGGCGGCACGTCCTTCGCGTTGAACACCGACTCTGGCTCAATAACCCTCCACGATCGGGCCCATGTGAGACACCAAGGATTCGAATGGGATTCCTCGTCTTATGACGCTCCTCCTCTTCCGCACCCAGATGCCGTGAACTGCCGCTGCTGGTGGCCAAATCAGGTGGCTGCGATGCAGTTCAGCTGCTTTCTGGACAATATCTCGCTCTATGCCGCTGACTTGATCGAAATACCTGCCTGAGATGAATTCAGCCCCACTGTCGGTCTGTATCGCGACTTCGAGGTTGATAACAGGGTTTTCCTCTGGTCTGAGCTGGTCTTAGCGTATCGGTGAACTGATAGACATACGCAGCAGCTGCAGTCACGGTGCCTTGTGTCATTGTTTCTCGGTACCTTGGGAGAATTGCCCCAGTGGTGGCCGACTCAGGTCTATCCACCGCCGCGGCTCTGGCATCGGGAGGATTTGCCCAGCTTTGAAATTGCATCCAGTATACGATAACAGACAGTGGCCATTTTCTGCGAGGACGATGTTCAAGTCTCCCCCAGTGACACGTTGCTCGAGCCAGTGGATCAAACGTATGGAACGGCTTGGAGCGCGTCATCAAGTATGACAATGAGATTTCTATCTCCCCAGCACGATTTTGTCGGGCCAAAGTGCCTTGACAATGGTGTTCGGCATTCAGTTCGTGAAACATCTGGAGATTGCCGCCGCTGACGTTCAATTTGCACACGCGCACTCTCAGGTATGCCTGTATGACTTGGGTATGGTGCTTGCTTCCTTCCCCAAGAGGATGTATAGGTCTTCAGCGATGCGCAACTTGCGTCTCGATCTCGGCCGGACTATGTCTGGCTCACTGATGATGTACCATGGTCGTTTCCTCGCCGTCCGGAACCAGGTATCGAGTTCTGACGCGGAGTCGATGATAAGCAGGTAAGGCAAAGATCCGGTGGAATAACTAAGGGGTGGCGGCTTTCTTTTGTTGACCGATAACCCAAACAATCAACAGGACAGGGTGCGTAATGACGCCCTCGGATGGGCTGGATATAGGAGGTGTTGCCTGCACAGCCTTCTCAGGAAGATCCAAGGAGCCAGGATCTGACCTGATCTGATGAAAGTTGATTAACCATGCAGCTCGCATATGTTGGGGAGGAAAGGTAGGCATTCGACTCTGCCAAAGGATAGGGACGCGCTGACGATCAACAAGAACCAACATATCACTCTAGCCGGCAATACACAGCTTGAGTAACCACATCCAGGGGATGACGCTACGATTCGTCGACATCCTGCGGTATTGTCCACTAGATATATTGACGTCTACAGTCCTCTCCCCGAGTTGTCCGAATAATTGAGTCTGTAGCCTGGAAACGGCCATGCAAATAGGCGAGACCAGGCCGGTTTTAGTGGCGACGAAGTGCTGACTTCGGTAAGGAGCACGGAGTACAGGACGCCTACCAAGCACCTTGAGCAGCCCCCAATATGGCCGTTCCAATTTGCGACATGTCTGTCTTCGGTCCGCTGCTTGTCTGCTAGGCTCGTTGGCTGGATATCAGCCGGTTTGCCCAAGCTCCTGCCAGGGGAGTGTCGAGGCTTCATTTTGCGGCTAGTGTGTTGGATTGTCTACCCCGGTCTCTGTGTGTCGTTACGTCTGATCCTCTATTCAACAACTTTAGCCGAAAACTAGCGATCGCTATATTGAAGAGAGCTGATCAAGGCGGTTGGGATGGCGCATTCCTTCTCGTTCAGGTGTGTAGCGAGCGACAAGGCTGCACACCCTCTCGCCACAGAAGAAAACTGCTCCACATGAACCACCGGAGTTTGGACAGCCTTCCGCTGCCTACCCAAGTCGTACCACCGACGCAGACCACTCCCTCCGCGGCTTTTAACCTCTCCAGAGTCAATTTGGGTGTCCAGACCTGAGCACTTGGCTTTTTATCCAGGGTACTGCCCTTAGCCATCGGATCAATGGCTGCATGGTCATGAGCTCGACTTGGAGGACGAACTCAGAGGCACCCTTTGGCATTGCAAGAATCTTCTACACCTGAACAAACATCGCAATTCGACCCCGAGGTGCCCAGTCTCTGGTGCTTCGAAGCTCCCTCGCTACCCTGGGCAGCTGGAAATCACTGTTACCAGCCACTGTGGCTCACTTTGTCCGGCTTGCACTACAAGAAATCAACTGCTCAGGTGGCAGACTTTTGAACCAGAGGAGGACTCTGCCCAGCTTTGATCAAGAGATGTGGTGTGAGTGTCATTGGTTGGCTCCTCGGAGCTCTACTCCCCTTGGACGCCATGGTGGTGAAGAAATGTAACCCTGATCTAATAGGGGAAGCAAGCCCCTCGCCCGTGGAACGACTAGATCTTCTAAAGCGCTCCACAACCCAATGAGCCGGTTGGCCGGTTGGTTGGGCTAGGGCTTATCAACGCGGCGGATAATATCGTTCTGCTCTGAAGTGATTAGAGCCGGGTGATGTGGGCTGCTGTACGGCCTCGCCTCTGCAGTCGTGCGAAAAGACTTTTCTTGGCTGATATGTGCCTGATCTATCAGCAGCACGCACCTCGTATCCCAGCGACTGGGGCCCAGGAGCTGGCTTGGCCACTGCCTGCACACACACTGGCACCAATAATCACACACACATCTACAATACAGACTACAGCATACAGACCTTGAGCCTCGAGAACACCCCATGGTGGACGCGCAATGGCAATTGTCCACAATCAGCCGTCCGTCAAATCACGGCAGCTCTCCATGCCCCATTTTGATGGAGCCTCTCTCCACCTTTTCCCATGTGGAATGGACGTCCAGATTCCCGTCATTATGACAGCTTAATTATCCGGGGACCCCAAAGATGCCCGCTCAATCTGCGGGGAAGGGGCACCATTTGGATGGGGCCCTTTTGCCTATAGTTCGAAATAACTTCTTGGTGATCTGAAGCGGCAAGGAGACCAACCACCACACCACCACCACACCACCATGCCGTGTGCAGACAGGCAATATTGCTGACCACAATTTAGCCGGGAGGATGTTTATGCCAGTATGGAAACGGGCCGAGCACACGCAACACACGCGCCCACACAGGTCACGTACGAATTCTATATAAGTAGAGATCGCCGGCCCAGTGTGTATCTCAGTCTGGCGGATCTTGTCCCCTCTCACACACCACTACCAGCTGCTGGTATTGTTGTAGCAGGCCAAAACCTCGTCAATACCTCTTTCCAAAATGGCGACCACACAGGAGGAGATGTCCAAGCTCATGGCCAATGTCAAGCCGTGGTACAAGGACCCTTGTCGGCGGAAACTTTACGCGCTGTTGGTGATCGCGCTGCTCTCGGCCGCGACCAATGGATACGACGGGTATGAGGAACAGACTCTTTTCTTTACGACATGTTCTAACCACGACTTCCAGCTCGCTCATGAACGGAGTGCAGTCCATCACATACTACGAGAATTGTACGGCATTTCCCAATATCATGACCACGCATAGATCAGATCGCTGATTCAGGCTCAGACTTCCATCACCCTCATGGCTCGACGCAGGGATTACTGAATGCTATACAAAGCGTGGGAGGGGTGGTCAGTAAGTGCACACGCTGTCAGACAGTTGTTCTACGGGAGAGGAGGCTGATTGCTCGCTCACAGGTTTGATTCTGGCACCTTACAGTGCCGATTATGGAGGACGCAAATGGACCATCTTCCTCGGGTGCTTGATCGTTGTCATTGCTGGTGTCCTGCAATGTTTCTCGGTGAACATCCACATGTTCACGGCTGCTCGTTTCTTGAGTAAGAAGCCGCCACCGTCTTTCTCTCTGTGCTTGGCGAAATTCGACTGACATGACGGATAGTTGGTCTCGGATCTGGCTTCTCTGGTCTGGCTTCGCCGCTCCTTATCACTGAGCTAGCTCACCCGTGCGAGCGTGGCAAGATCACCGCCTTGTACAAGTACGTCCGTCCCTCGCTTTCCAGAACACAAATTTCCACGAACCACGAACTAACTTATTCTGCAGCACACAATACTACTTCGGTGCCTTTCTCGGAGGCTGTAAGTCGGAATGCACGCAGATTTACCAAGTTTATCGCTGACATCTTGTTCAGGGATCACTTTTGGCACCCTCTACATCAAGTCCAACTGGTCATGGCGACTTCCCAGCTTGCTGCAATCCGCCCCGTCGTTCGTCCAAGTCATCCTGGTCATCCTGCTGCCGGAATCTCCCCGTTGGCTCATGTCTCGAGGGAAGGACGAGCGCGCCCTTGCCATCCTCGCAAAGTACCATGCCAACGGTGACCTGGACGATCCTCTGGTCCGGTTCGAATACGCCGAAATGAAGGCCTCCATTTCCCAGGGCGAACAAAAGGGACGTTGGTCCGAATTGCTCAGAACTCGTGAGTCTTCTTCCCCTACAATGCTGTCCCCGAAATATCCCACTAACAGGAGGTTTTATAGGTGGTAACCGCTACCGAGTCTTTATCTGTCTCTGCTGCGGTGTCTTCTCCCAGTTCTCCGGCACTAGCTTGACGGCGTACTACCTGCACAACATCCTCGAGAACATCGGCATCGACAGCCCCAACTACCAGAATATGCTCAACGGCTTCATCCTGATGGTCAACATGTTCGAGGCGTGGTTCTGGGCCTGCATGGTCGACCGGTTTGGCCGTCGCCCGCTGTTCTTGATCGCCTCGAGCGGCATGTGTTGCACGTTCGCCATCTGGATTGCCCTGACCGCCACGCAGCTGCAACATCCCAAGCAAGTTGGATTCGGCAAGGGTGTCATCGCCATGATCTTCTTCCACAACTTCTTCTATAACTTTGCCTGGTAAGTTGTGCCATCTATTCCACCTCTCTTTCGATCATGGCTAATATAGCTGCTCTTGAAGGATCTCTCTCAATGTCGCGTACCCGCTCGAGATTCTCAGCTTCAAGATCCGCGCCAACGGCCTGTTCATGCAAGGCCTGGCCACGAACATCTGCCTGTTCCTGTCGCAATACCTGATCCCGATCGGCATCGATGCTGGCAGCTGGAAGTTCTACTTCTTCTTTGAGGGATGGCTGGTCATTCAGCTGGTGACCGTCTACTTCTTCTTCATTGAGACGCGCGGCGCCACCCTGGAAGAAATTAACCGCACCTTCGACGGCGCCGACGCCGTTGAGGAGATCAAGGCAAAGGCCAACGAGGCCGTCGGGATTGGCGACATCACAGAACTCGGTGGCCGCCGCAAAGGCGATGAGGACGGCGTCGGTGTCGAGATCACCCACGTGGACGAGATTCATGAGAAGACTTCATAAAGAAGAATACACGCATGTATACACTATGTTTTGCCGATCCCGTCTTCACGGACGCGGAGGTAATATGGGGACGAACGGCTCACGGGTGAACTGGAGTCGACTGAACTGGACTAGATCAGTCCAAACAAACCCACCAGGTCTCCCTCTTCTCGGGAAAGGCAGCTCTGGGGAACTGATCTGGTCAGATAACTAGTTAGTCGTGTGTTCCGCCACCCAAGGGGGACGGGGGGAAGGGTTCCCACGACACCTCATCAACAACAGCGAGCAGTATTTTAGGCTATTAGCAAACAGAATCCCCTGGATAGACACGAGTTTCCGCTCCGATCGTGATCCATTCCGCATTGGAGAAGTGCTTGCGAATTCGCGACTTTCAACCTGCTCAGTGATCTACCAGGCTGGTCTGGCTAATAGTTCCATGCATGCATTCGTTCATTCATTCATTTCATTCATACTCGCCTCAAACGAACGGACACGTCCTGGCCCATGACACCCACAAGGCCATCCATCCATCCGCCCGTCTTATCTATTCGTGTGACCCATCTGACGACGAGTCGATATGCCGACTATTTAGTCCGGAACGTGTACATGAACCCCAACCCTTCCTTGCACCACTTGATCGTCCCTCGCCTTTCCGGTTCGCTTGCCGCATGGGCTTCGACACCGGTTACCATATCATGGTAGTTGGTATGCTGGTTCCCATCCTTCCTCAAACCCCTGCCTATGCTACAGCACGACGGGATGGAAAGGCGACCACACGACATCGTCGTCGATTACGCTGCTCCCTGCCTGCCCGCCTGTCACACGTGTACAAGTTTTCCCCAGCCGCAGAGTTGCGTCTTGTGTGACCGAGTGAGTCTATCTGTTTGGCTGGCCTGTCTGCGTACTACCTGACTGGAAGAAGGGGTTTCAGGGTTCTGCACTCGGTAGGCTGTAAGCACCCACCTACCGACCTACCCACCCACCCGCCGACTCATCAACCCACACGTGCACGAACAGGCGAGTCGAGGCGAGGCCAGGCGGACGTCTTGATCAGCATCGTGGCAAACAATCAACCGACGGACCCAGCGAGCGAGTCCTCTGGCATCCGTCTGATGCCCTTCCCCTCCCCTATTCCTCCCTTCCTATTTAGCCGGGATCTCCCCCTTGTCGGACACCTGTGTGCCGGAAATAGTGCCTCTCGTCCGTTTTGCCTTTTCAAAAAGCAAAAAGACAGAGTGTTTCGCCACTTGAGAGCTGGTGATTACTGTAGGCGCTGTACTTGGTCGTAGATAGGGACGGGGGCTGCCTGTCAGGCGATTCACGAGAGTTTGGACAGGTGTGCCGGCTCGTTGTTTACGCGACCTCCCCCCTTTTTCAATGCCTCTTTTCTCTTTCACCCTCCTTTTTGCGCTTGATTCGCAGCGCTGGAGATACCGGCTTGCGCCGTTCGATTTCCGTAGGGAAAGAAGGAGACCTACCTAGATCGGACCAAGGTGCTTGCTCCCATTGGGAGGTTGAAAGCGCGAGGGATGAGATGTATGTGTGACAGGAGAGGATGGAGGTGACGGTGAAGGCTCTCATTTTTCACTGGTGCATCAATGAGCTCAAGCTGCCCCTCTTCCCCAGCAGCCAACGCTTCCATATTGCACAGCAAGGAATGCAGCCATGTCCGGAGATAAGGATGTGATCATGGTCCAAGATGTCTGCTCACGGATTCGCGCATGTACATGTGTGTATGCGTGAGTGCAGGCGTATCTGTATAAAAACTCCCTTGTCCGCAGATGATCTATGGGCTCATTAACCAGCATATGATAATGATATTGCAATGCATGCTCGATCGACCGTCATGGCAACTCAGTATGTATTGACTTCTCACACCGCCCTGCGTGTGGCCTGGCATGGGATGATCGAATGCGAACTTCTCCACTGCAGGAGGTAAACGGTCTGGCAAGCGGGACGTTGCATTCGCTGTCTGGGAGATTGGGACTTCGGGCGACTGCGACCGTGACCGTGACTGTGCCGGTGCCGTGGGATGTGTGAGAGGTGCACGTGCTGTGCTGGGCTGTGCCACTGAGCACAGCCTCACTAACCGGTTGGCCTGTCAGCTTGGCCAATCAAGCGACAGATTTTTGCGATTTCTGGTTTGGACTTGTGTTCTTGTCGTTCGACGTTCTTTGGCGTAGACCTTTCAGAATAATTGATATGACTCTGCTGGCATTTCTAAATTGATGGCTGGATGTAACATTCCCATTGTTAACGAGGCAGACTCTCCGGATACCCTGCCGACCGGCATGGCACTTGCCGTCAGATCTATCATGCGGCCAGAGACAACGACAATTCGAGCCCATTCGAGATTTTGTGCAGACGCAACATACGCCCGCCTTGTTTGTCAGTCGCATGTCTCGATGGAGACCAGATGTGTGCGAGATCATCGACGAAGTGCGCCGGCTTGAATGGATGCTGTGATAAACATCACCCACCATTTGGCAGTAGAAGCCATGTCGCTCCATCAATAGTTCATCCCAGTGCAGATATCCGGGCATGTAGGTGTATAATGTCCATCGAAGACTCAACTGGCAATATTGCTGCCAAGTCCATAGGTATAATATATCCCACAGGGAGTAATACCAAGCCCAATCCCCCAGAAACTGTATCCGAAAGTGGAAATCTTGACTCGTGTCGGAGACGGGCAAACGATGTTCAAACACGTGAGCGGGAGCAGCTCGTCGACCCTGACATCTTTATCATCTGATACACGGAGAGGAGGTCCGCATAGAGCCAGGCTCTCCCTTTTGTGGTTTCCAGTGTGGTTCAAACCTCTCCTCATTTCTTGCTCGACGAGGTACTCACGTCCTTTGTCGTATTTTTCTGAGCTGAAGCACTTCTACGGGAAAGCAATCGCTAATTCCGAAGCGACAAGTTGTCTAGAGCCACCGTTGTCAGTCGGAAGACATCGGCTCTAGGAGGCCGGCCTTGAAATCTGAAGCATTGGGGGGAAAGGCAGCTAGGCTGTCCTGAGAACGACTGTTGTGCCTCCAAAGAAATTGCAGAGGCTCTGCTCAGATCAATCCCCTGGAAACAACAAATAGGAGATCCTTCCGATCCTTCCTAGGGGACGAAGATCCTTGTGGTGGCATGTGACGCGTGCAGTGTGAGACTGGGTAGTCGAAGTCAAAAGGAAATGAAACGCCGCAAGCCAGCCTCGAAGGGAACTGTTCACACTGCGTGTCTCTGCTTTGCTGGAGCATCACAACCAATCCGACCTTTAGACAAAGCATATGCACTCGGCCGCGGAGCTGTCGAAGCAGACGATTGTCCTCATCGAGATCGGACAGGGTCGAGACCAGGCCTCCCTCACTTATGGCGCGAATATCAGCCTCGACTTGTAGTCACAGAGAGCGTCACAAACAGACCCTTCGCTAGTGCCTTGACCTCACGTTTCCGCTATGCAGTGTCCGGCATGAAAATGGTAAACTTTTCGACCAAAGCTGATCTGCCGCCGCGGAAAGTGGTTGGTCAAGTCCTTCTTTTCCGGCAGCCATACTCGCAAGGGAATGGAATGATCTGTTAAGGTCTGCGCCGGCTGTTTTGAGGTGAGGTAGAGTTTGTAGCATCTAGTAGTAGCATTGTGGTATACCGAAGCGGCAAAAGGGTTAGTTAACTCAAGGAGCCGCCGCCGCCGATCCTTGCGTCGAACTCAACCAGCTCTCCCGGGTTTACTGAGAGTTTAGGATCGAGACGCATACGTCGTCTATGCATTAGCCATACTAAGACTTTGCTATTGCTCGGATGTGAAGGGCTGGAATAGAGCGAATTCCTGCATTGAGGATGAGTTGCCTTGTTGACGAAGACTTTCTTCCTCTTGGCGGGGGGATCTTGCAACTTTACATGACGTACTATTAACGAGAGAAACAGACCTATAGGCAAACCCCGGCTTTATTATCGTGGTCCACCCCCAGAACAACCAGTAATGTTCCTATCAACGGCCCCCGGATGAGGAAACACGACGTACCTGCGTCCTCGATCGTCGCCTATTATTCGGATCCCCTTTGACCCGTTCTGTCGATCTGTGTAACAGGGAGATTGTTCCAGAAAGGGTTCAGCCTGTCACAGGAGCTGGGCCGCGCCGTCGTCCCCACTCCTTTTAAGCTTAATATGAGGTCCTCCTTACCGACTCGCCGAGTCTTGTTGATAGACACTACTATACCAAAACTATACCAAACTCGGACGGGGCACTCTTCGTGTATACTCAAGCTTTGGAACTGTGTCTCCCCGTCCCTTCAGCCAGCCCATCGCAGCTTTCACAAGGTTACACAATTTCGACGAGGGAAATTAAAGCAGGCAACATCCCCCGTTGTTATTGTTGTTGTTATTATGGTAGAGCCACAGTGTCAATGATCGGCTCGACATGCCTACGGTAAGTGCTCAACCTGGGATCTATATCAACGTTTAGAATCCCGTCGTTGTGAGCATAGGAGAAGTTCATCCTACCATCCCATCAACCCACACATTACAGAAATAACACTCGTTTTTCTTCCGCTCCCAAAGCTCACAATGGCGTCCGCTCGTTTCTTCGCTATCTCCTCTATCCTGTCCCTGGCCGTTGCCGGCGTTGTCCCCAACGAGCCCAGACAGGTCAATGTCTGCGACACCGGTGTCTACCCGAGCTTGCAGTGTCTCGATGTCTGGGCTCCCGCGCAGGAGTACTGTGCGTCCTACTATCCGGTTCCATGCACCACCACCATCACCCAGACCCTGGCGCGCAGGACTGCCGCTCCTGCGCCTACCAATGATCCCAACTCCGCCCTCTGGCTGTCCGTGAGCGCCGGACCTCAGAGCGTTATCTCGACCTTGTGCGGCTGCATCCAGAGCGCGACCGTGTGCGATCCCGGTCTTCCCGAGGCCACCGAGACTGTGACGGCCTCGGCAACGACCACGACCACAACCACGACCACTCCCTCATCGACCACCACGAGCACCACCACAAGCACCACTACTTCCACCACGACCACCACAACGACCACGACCACTACTTCTACCACCACCAGCACCACTACTACCACTACCAGCACTACAACAACCCTTCCTCCGGCCCCCGCCCCGACGTGCGGCTCCGCGGGCAGCTGCGGCACGTTCCAGAACTGCGGCGGCAGCGACACGTGCTACTGCTTCGGCGACAGCGACGGCATCAACGCGTACTGCCTGGAAGACCAGTCCTGCCTTGACGCGGTGCCCTGCGTGACCGACGCCGACTGCCCGAACCAGGTTTGCATCGCCGACAACAACTGCTGCGGCTTCAGCTACTGCGCGTCCGGCTGCGCCGCGCCCACCAAGCGGTCCGTGGCCTTCTCCGGAAACGCTACCGAGGAGCACCGCGGCTTCCGCCGCGATTCTCTGTACGGCTCGGGCTTCTTCGATGCGTAGAGGATATGCACAGGAGAGAAAGTCCTCCCGCTGGACACTGGGGAGTGAGTGGGAAGTGCATGAGGTGTTTCAACGACCTCGTTTCTTTGAGGTGATGTCATTCGACCAACTACGCCGGATCTAATACAATATTTCTTTTCATACCGTTCATACAACGGTTTTGCTCCTTGGGGAGTACAATTATATGATAATTTGACACAAGATTTAATCAGCTGGTATTTAATTCCCTTACCAAGCGTCGGTCATGCTCACGCCGCTCCGTGACAGCAGAACCATTCCACTTCTCTCTCTGTGTCTCTCTTCCCCCTCTCTAACCCTTTACCCTTGTATTGGCGATGTATGGGTTCGTGTGAGACAGGATTAAAGTTACTCGAGAGCCTTTCCTTGCAAGTTCGGAAGATCGGGTGGGAAAAGGGGGGAAAGGGGGCCAAAAGGGATACGGCTGGATCCTGCCACGATCAGGGTGCAAGGAGATGTATGTTACCATCAGCATCGCAAGCATGTGGAAAACCAAGATTGAGCTTCGATGGAAAATTTAGAAAGGTTTTGTTTGGTCTACGGCATCAAGCAGCTTGCAGTTCTCCTCGAGAGGGGGGGAACAGAATCGAAAAAAGCCATTTAACAATCTCCTCTCCTGTGCAGTCCAAACCTCCTTTGTCTGTCGAGATTCCCTCCCAGAAGACAAAAGATACCAGGTTCTTCTCCAGTAAGAGACATTGAGCCGGGTTGTTAATATTGGCATTCGCTCATTCTTCAGCTCCAAGTGGTTCAGGGAATGTGATGCCGCAACGATAATTAAATCTGGCAGCGGTCACTTGTGCAAGGTTCATCGTCTTGGATATGGTGGACTAGATATCATAGATTCGATGATCTCGCTGTTATGCTGCTCTAAAGATGAGCTAGGACGCAGAGAGATCTGGCATAAAAGCTGACACAGGTAAGAGGAGGACAGTTCGAAGCTGAACAGCACAAAGACTTCTCTATTCGTGGCCACCCACATCTTTCGATTTCTCTCCCTTCGCCAACACAGATAAACTTGGAAAGGATATGCTGATCACTAGGATTCCAATGTTTGGTGATCTGATGCTGGTGCCTGGCTCGACAAGCTTTTCTAGCTGAGGCGTAGTTCCTCGGTGCCAAGTATCGGCAGATGTTATGTCCTTCCATCAATGTTCGGACATGACTATTTCCATTCTCATTCACAGAAGATGGCAGCAGGTTTAGAGAACCTGCAGCGCGAGAGGTGAATGATACTTCACGTCATTGTTTATTCGAAGTCCTTCAGAACAGCGATCTTGTTTGTTCGATGAGAAAACGTGTCCAAGATGCCGTGGAGCCCATCGCCCAGATAACGAAAGTCCGTGCTGAATGATGGCACTCGACGATATTGAGAAGCATCCACAGGTATAATTCCGGTGGATAATTCATGCTGTGTTGAGTCTCCGGAGGAACACTTCATCAAGTCGGTGGCGAGATGGTACCACTCGCCACCGGAAGGCGCGTGACGTCCTTGGAGAATTAAGCAGTAAGGATTTGGACGGAGGTGCTTGTTTTGTCGACCACGAGACGGAATGGTCAGGACTCGACAATGTCCAGCAAAGACCCGCCGTTTCATGAAACTTTGGTATCGTCAACGTCCATAGCACTGACCTCCCGCACCGTCGATGTGTTCTTGTCAAACACAGCCCTCAGCCCAATTCTGAATTCGGACATGCGCACACCCAAAATTTTCAGAATGGAGGTTTGCCTCGAATCGAGCGTTTCTCCTTCCTTGCAGACCAGATACCCCTCCTCTTCCTCCATCGACCCTTCCGGATGCTCTTCCAACACCACCTTGCCCTTGACGAGGCGAGTGGGGATGCCCAGTTTTCGAAGGGTCGGTTCAATTTGGACCGGCAACGGATCATCCTCGCCGCCTTCGACGCCGTACTGAGTATGAATTTCACCTGGTGGTATTCTAACGTCCCGGGTCGCCACGCTGCCGCTGCGGGCAAAGTCCTGATTCAACCAGTCCGCAAAGTATTCTTCGATCTCTGTAGGTTCCTGGTTCGTGAATAGAAGACCAACTTCGCCTTTCACGTAGGGCGCCAGGGCTCTGACACCAGGGACGCACTCGGTTTCCTCCGTATGTCCCAGCCCCACCGTCAAGACTTTGTTCTTTCCCATCATTATCCTTGATTCACTGAAATCCGCGCGGACCTGTTTGAGGAAGTTGTTGCGAGTGTTTTGGACGTCAAACACCCAGATGTACGAGTACTTTTCCGCGGCATCTTGAACATTTGCGGCGAGCCGGCGGACTAGCTCCTTCCTATTTTTCCGCACCTTTGAGGTGGGGACGACTCTGTTTCGCTTCGACGGAGGCATGGTGAGGGATGGGATCGAGAGAAAGGCGAGGGTAGTCGAGGACAGGAAGATATTTCTGGTGTAGTCAAGCGGTGCCCAGGCTTCCCACTGCGCCGAAAAAATAAATTTCGAAAATTCAAAGCTAAGAGGAAGGTAGGCCGAGCTTTGACTAACCGTCTTTGGCTAACCATCTCGCCGCTTATCATTGGTCCAGATAGGGTATTCTTTAAATCCGCCAAAGTCCTTCAAGCTGATTTGGAATCCTAGCAATTTCTCTTCCAAGGAACAGTAGAAAGGATGTCAGTGCAAAGGCATCACAGAGCTGAGATATTCAAGTATGTACGGTAGATGTTGGCTAACTGGCACCTCACTTGCCCAGCTGGACGAAACACCGCCCCGACATCCCTATGTAAAGCCAATGCTGGATCTAAGCCCACGATTGCCTGCACGACCTTGTCCCACCTGCTTTCGCCTACTCCTGCGCTTTGACAAAGTCGATGACGGCAACATTAGGACCTGGCCAGTGCTTCCGCGCACGTAAGAACCACAGTCCAATGGCGAAGAAGAACACGAAGAGGAATATCGGACCGGCATAGTTCATGTTCGAGGCGGTCACCGGCAGCGTACTCGGAATCGGCAAGAACACCATGATGTACAGCGTATAAACGAGCGCGAAGCTGTTGACGTAAACTCCGTACTGGCCCAGGCTCCATCCACCCAGCTCAAGAGCCTTCCCACCATGCGACGCGGTCCAGCGCGCCAACAACATTGCCGAGATCGCTGTCCCGTAGGAAAAGTAGAGCGCCAAGGACGACAGCGCAGTGATAGCTCCAAAGGCGGTGGTGGAGCCAATGTTCAGTAGTGACAGTAGCATAACCACGACGAGTGAGAGCCAGATGGATCGTATAGGTACGCGGTGGGTCGAGTCCACAAGCGCAAACCAGCGAGGTAGGCCTCCATCCCGAGACCAGGCCCAGGTGAGCCGCGACACTGAGGCAATGGATGCTATGTTGACACAGAACGAAATAACAAACAGTCCACAGACCATGGCAGTGGTTGCTTTGACAGAACCTGTCACCTGGAGGAGGATGGTGATGATGGGAAACCCCGAGCTGAGCACTTCGTCGATGGGCCCCATGGCACTGAGGATGGCGATCACCATGGCATATGCGAGCACACCGTTCATGGCAATAGACCAGAACGTTGCTCGTGGCACCGCCTGGGGAGCTTTCTTTGTTTCCTCGCTGAGATGGCAGGAATCGTCAAAGCCGGTGAAACTCCACGCACAGGTGAGCATCCCCAAATTCCACGCAACATAAGTGTTGGACCAGCCTGAAGACACGGACTGTTCCAAGAAAATGTACTTGGCGCTGTGGTGGCCGCCCAGGACGACCAGGACGACCAGGAACAGGACAAAAAGACAGACATGGAGGATTCCAGCCACAAGCTCGAGCCATGGTACAAGGGCAAAAGTCGCACCGAAGGAATTAATCAGGCCCTGAATAAACAGGATCGCGATCATGATAAGCGTGATGTGCCAAGTTTCAGGGACGTAACTCGGATGATTGAGTATTGCCAGCTGCTGCAGGATGATGGCGGTAATGTTTGCAATGCCGGCGAGCAACGAAACCCATCCAAACCACGTCATCCAGCCCTGCATCCAGGTGATAAATCGTTTCATACTCGACGGAGCCAGGTTGTATGTCCAGTGATATTGGGCGCCAGCTATGGGAATGGTCGATGCCATCTCGGCAATGGATGCTGCCTGTGCGATGGCCCCAAAATAGACAATCAGGACGCTCCACGCAAACGTCTGAGGACCTCCGTTGTAGAGCGCAAAAAACATATTCCTGTCTCTGTAAGCTTCGGTGCGACGCCGATAGTAACATCCGATGAACTCACGTATTCATTCCCTCCCACGTGCTCATAAAGGTCAGAGAAAAGGCAAAGATCTGGGAGAAGCTGAACAGCCTCCGAACTCGCGTCACGCTCTCAATGGTTTGTCCATTTGCGCCCGTGCTCGAGGCAGCTCCATAGCCAGATTCCACATGCTCACCACCTGGGTCAGTTGCAAAACGATTGATTGTCAGCTGCACATCTTTATCCACTTTATGCAGTTGGTAAGCATCGCTGTGATGAGACATAGTAGCTATATTTCCAGGTAGTCAGTCGGGGCAAGATATACCCTCGAACAGATGTCGTTGGAGAGATTTGGCTGAGTATAGAGAAACGCCTTCTTGTCAAGGCAGAGCAGGAGGGTAGAAAAAGTCGGGAAGAGGGAGAGCCATGGAGAAGTGCATGATTAGTCCCATGAAATCGAGACCGACTTTATCGCGGTGGTCAACAATGCCCCTCCTTTAGCGAGCACTGCAGGAGTTGACTGCCAGTAGCACAGGTCAGTAGCAACGGGGATGGATTAGCCCAGAGGGTACGGAGTATTCCCAGCTGCACGCTGTGAATGGATGACACGCACTCGGGTGCCATTGGATGTTGGACAGCGTACAAGCTGGAGGGTTTCAACCCCGAAGCAGCGACCAGTCCAACGGAACGGCATTACTGAGCAGGGCGCGTCCTAGACAAAGACAACATGCATGATTGTCTGCATGCTGGTGATGTGGATGTGGTGGAGATGTCAGCGGTTTCAAATGACGCCGGGATTTGCTCAATTGCCTCAATGACATTCAAATGACAGTCCCGGTTTTGAGGCCCCCTTCCCCATCGACGGGGTGTGTCCACCCCATGCATCTTCAACCACCCCAGCAGCCAGGATTCCTTGGTCAATTTGGCGTAACGACCATTTCCCACTCAGGAGTCCAATCCGCACTCCCACAGCTAGCGGGGAACATGTTTCCGTACGCAAGCCTTTGAGCTAGGAGGTACACACCTATGCATGTACAATGGGCCAACGCGCTCTTACGTCGATCCTCGCAGCTTGCTTCGCTGCGCAATCTGCTGGGTAATTGGCGGCATTTGGCCTGATAAACATGCTTTTTCATACAACTCGAAGCAGCAGAGGAAACGGTCTCAGCTCCCCAGATCATTCCGCGTTTGGAGCAATACAGCATGGCCTAGTCTTCTCTGAGAAACTCACGTGTGCGATCAAGTCCACAAATATCTGGCTAGACTGGTGATCCCAAAGAGGGCTCGGCTATAGTTTGTAGTAGAGTTTTCTCCTGTTCTATACTGGAGGAAAATCTCCATTGTTGGTATTTTCCGAGCAAAGCCAAATGAAAATAGTTGACATCCTTGATCAAGGCACTGGATACAAAGCAGGAACAGATTTCCTCCCCCGTGCCATGCCTTGCTTTCTTGTGGTGGTAATAGGCTCTCCGGGGCCCAGTATTCCCCTGACACAAGCCACGGGGAAGGACCATCAGGGCCGAAATTCTGCGCGGTGGGTCTAGGAGAGAGTGCTAATAGTGATGCTGTGCTTCCGCTCGGGATGGAGATTCGCGATTGCCCATCAGCCCTACCAGCATCATCATTATTATCATCTGTCGCCATCGTATCCTCATATCCGACCCTGTACACTACCGCCCTCAGTATTGCATTCTTCGTCAGCGTCTTTGGCTCTCATTGAGCGCCGAAATATGCTTGAGGTCAGAGTGATGGCAGGCAGCTGAGAGCTTCCACCTGCTTCGTGTGGCGATCAGTCAGGCGGCAAAAGATTCACGAACGCAAGATGGAGCTTTGACACGACCCTGGTGAAATTACGGCCATGATGAAAGATATCACAAACACCGACGGTGTTACCACTGCCCCATGGCGAGTATTTGTCGGACGAAACTTGGAAAAAAGCAGGAGCCCCTGTGTCAGCCGTCCTTGCAATCGTCGTAGGGTGTGCCCAGAACAAAGAGAAGAATCTTAAGCATTTCAGGATGAAGGTTGCTGGCAGCTGCCGTTGCCGAATCACAATCCAGCTCAAATCGATAAGCAGAGTCTCGATGCCGCCCTCCGGCATTCACAGCGCTCGAGCAAAGAATCTTTTGTGGGCACTCGAGACGAATATCCCGGGCTCGAAGTTCCATCGGGTTACCAGCTGATGTGCCTGGATGGACAGAGCCACACGCTTTTGCTGCCGCAAAGGTTCTTCCTGTCGCGGACCGGAGGTGGATCGTTGATTTAAGTGATCATCCTTTCCAATTTTTTTCTCCTGTCTTTCCCGGTCTGGCACAATTACGACTTTCAACACCGGTCAACTTGACCACTGATCACAGGTCTTTCTGGTCTCTGTGGGCCGGATTGAGCGTAAACTTCTTCGGAGGCGACATGCGGGATTCCCAATCGGAGGCTGCCCGCTTCAACGGCCCAAGCGCAAGCGTATCCAATTGCAGGCTGTCGGTATTCATGTCCACATCGAGCCTGCGAGTGCGAGATAGGAATAGCTTTGCATAGGCCGCCGCAGCGGCCGCCGCATACTCTTGCCACATGTTGTTCTTATGCGAGTCGGCATAGTCGCAGATCCCACGAATCACCAGACATCCACAGGTCTTCATCACCCCAGCCGCCTCCATCTCCACGCAGATAATGGGGTAGGCCTTGTGCAGGCGGTCCCTCAACCGGGCATCCTTGACCACTTGGTTTCCCGAGGCGATCATGCCATAGAAGACGCGGGGAGAGTCTCCCAAGCGCGGCAGGCGCTCCACTTGTGGCCCGTCGCAGCTGTCACAGCTGTCCTGCTTGTGCCTGTGGGCGTACGAGGCCACAAACAGCTTGTCCTGGTGTGGTGCCGGGCGTCTGTACTCGGGTCGCGGCCCTCCAATCACTTCGATGTATTCTTGCAGCTGGCCGAGCGACAGGTTGGGATCCGATCTCATCTCGCTGATGGCCGTCCGCAGCAACGGCGGCGGCGGCTGAACTTGCCCGGTGGTTTTGAAGAGGGAGTTTTGCACCGCCTTGCCGAAGTCGTACTGGATCACCCCCGTGCTGACTGCAAGATCGCCCAGGCGGATGTCATTGTCTGCGGACGGCACGCCGCCGCCGATTCCCACCACCAGGCAGAACTTGATCGCTGGGAAGCTCCGGATCATGTGGGCTGCCACACTGGCGGCGGTGTTGGTGCCAATGTCGTCGGATGGCAGGCAGGCCGCCACAACGTTGTGACCGGCCATCCGGCCCAAGGCGTAGTGATTGCTGTCCTGGTCCACAATTTGCAGCATTGGGTGGGTGCTGTCCAACAACGCCCGCACCGCCAACAACTCCTTGTGGAGGGCACACACGATCCCCACGTGGTAGTCTTCATGAGAGAGCGTCATGGAACTGCCCTCCGACAGCATCCGTCGCAGCGACGCCACCGATTGACCAGTCGTGTAAAGACTCCTGTCACTTTCGGAGACAATCTTTTGCAAGGGCACCTCCGACCTGGCCGCCGACGAGTACAGGCTGGTTCCAATGCCGCTGTCAGTGAACTCCGAGTCTGCCTCGTCGGACGAGGAGACCGGTTCTTCATGCGTCGGGTCGCCCGTGTCGCCCCAGAACCAATTGTAATCCGCATTGTGGCCAAACACTACCGCGCCCTGCTCTTTGCACAGCACCGATTGACTGGGGGACAACATGCGACTGAAGTGGGACGGCAGCAGAACCTGGGCCAGGTTGGCATGTTTAGCCGGCCGTCCATCACATGGACAAGGGTCAAAAGCCTTGTTCAGATGGTGCCAGATGAGGTGGTCGGTCAACCGCATCGGGCAGGCTCGGGGACTGCCAAACCGATCCATGATTTTATACATGTCGGCGATGCTGGCGGCCAGGTAGAACTTCCGCCGAGGCAGTGTGGTCCAATATTCACACAACCCGCGGCTGTTGGCTGGCTGAATGATCTCTCCAAATCCACTCCCAAACAACGTCACCGCATGGATGGCCCGGGTAAAGTCCACCCATCCTTTGCCCATGCTTCTCAACTTGCAGACCCGAGGATAGAGAGGATCTTCGTTGGTGGCTAGGTCTTTAAAGTCCCATCCCTCCAGATACTTTCGTGGGGCAGCTCTTAGATTCTCCCCGTTCCGCCCGGCCATGTTAACCTGATGGTCGATGATCTTTTCCAGCAGATTATATAGCCGCTCCACTCGGTCCTGTAGTCGAACATGACCTCCGGAGTTGTTGAGCACATCCGGAGATTCGGTCGTTCTGGTGTGGTCTGAAGTTTGCTCCTCGCGGCCCCGATAAATGTCCAGTTTCAGATTCACCGGGTTAAGCAGGACTGCCATCGCCGAGCTGGCAGTGTAAGGCCTGCTGGCCTCTATCAGGTCCTCGGATCGGAACACAAAGGCAGACTCGAGCTCGTCGGTCTTGTTAAACTCCAGTGAGGCACGCAGTAGGTGGAGCAATGCACTGCTCCCATTGATCAACCACCCTCGTTGATAATCCACGTCCCACAGCACGACATATTTCTTGGAGATCCACGACAACTTGGCCATGTACCCCGCCTGTACAATTCGAAGTGGTCGATCTTTGTGACCGACTGTGTATGGATTGGGGCTGGTGATCAGTCTGCCTCCTGTGACTTGGATTTGCTCCAGTTTACACCCCGGATGGGGTCCCTGCAGTCCCGACCGTCCCACCGCATATTCGGCATTCTTGGATCCTAGAGACGTAAGAAGGTGCCACACATGGTCTCATCAGACTTACCGGCGTTGTATCTGATTTCAGAGCACCACCCCAGCACGTGCCGAACATTTTCCAAGTCCGAGAGCTGGAGGCCTTCCGCATGCGCGATGTCGCTGTCCAGGTATGAGATTCGATCGCCGTCCTTGTACAGAAGGTGCCACGTGAGCAGGCCTTCACTCAGGCGGGTCGGAATCAGCAACGTGGAGAACCCTTTGATGAAGAGTTTGTTGTCAAACATGTCAACTAGCTGGGTGTCGGCCAGGCCGGCCATGACGTCCAAGGGAATCTCCAGCCCTGTGCCCGACTGAGATCGGCGAGGGATGGGATATCCTTCGACAATGACCGGCTTGCGGAATAGGTCATGCCAACACTGGCCGTTGGAGCGGTGATCATCCAGTCGGTGCATCTGGAAATCGATTTCGCACAGGAATGTCCGTGTCTGTGAGAGGGTCTGGTTCACGCGGAGATTCTTGATGTAAGGAGCACAGCCTGCTACACCATCTTCATAGGGAGACGAACGAAGAGCGGCTCCCAGCCAGGCCAGCTGCTCAGCGACCTCTGCCACCGAATTGGCCGTCCCCACGGCCTCCACGACCAGTTCAGAGCCGTGAATCTCGGCCGTGAGCCTGGTTTGGTCAGGCAGTTTACCTAGACCCAGTCAGTATGAGGGGTATAATCAAATCAAAAACCTTTACCAGAGCTTTGGCGTGCTACCCCTTGGAGGACATTTTTGACCAGTTGAAGGAGCTGTTTGCCACTGGACGGCCAGGTCTGAGCCATGTATTGGATGCAGGTAAGCGCTTGGGCATCACAGGCGGATCCTGTCAGAGTGATGACGGTCTCTACCACCTCTTCGGGTCGTCGTCGATACTCTTGCTCCTGGCAAAAGGCCACGATGTCGCAGGCCACCCTGCAGGTCATTTGGTATGCCTCTGCCGACTTCTTCTTGCTAACCTTTCGCGATGTAGGCAAGAAATGGAGGATCTGCTGTCCGATGTTCTTCATCACGTCCGGTTCAGCTGGCTCCAGCTTCAAATCCCGTCGCAGACTCGACAGGAGCCATTCATAGGCTGGAGCAGAGAGAATAAAATCCCGATACGCGGACAGTTCTTGGGTGATTTCTCCTTCGTCGTCGTCGTCGTCGTCGTCTTGTTCCACCACTTCACCCAATTCGGAAAGGGCCAGCTCATCGAGTAGGTGCTCAACAGACTCGTCCACAGAGTCCAGCAGCACCTCGTCCTGTGGCTCTTCCCACTTTTGAAACCACAAATCCACCGCATCGGCGAAAGTCCACTGGTCCGTTTCGTCCACCCGCGGTCCAGGAATAGTCTCTTCTCGCTGATAGTACCTCCGTCCAACATATTCGACAATGTCACTAGAAGAAGTTTATTAGTGATGCCCCAAGAGAACTTTTTAAGACAAGACTCGCCTTCGGTATTTGTGGACAAACGACATGACATCGCGATGCATTTGGCTGGGAGCATTGTAGCCCACTTTCAAAGCAAAAGTTTTCAACAGCTCGGGCAGAATTTCCAATACCCTTTGCATACCCAGCGCGTCGATGTGTTCAGAGAGGACCCCATTCACCAGCTCGTCCGCCAAATCCAGCTTGTAACTCTCTTTGACTTGAGTGGGAAGATTGGAGTCAGTCGAATATACCGTTCCAGCATCATCCCATTCCTCATGCTGTTGTTCTGGAGCGGCAATTTCCGCAACAGCCTCTGGGCTCGGATAGCGAGGTGGACCCGAGTTAGAAGGTGTGGTTTCTGTTCCTTGAGCGACTTGTATGTTTTGGAATTTTTCGTGGGTCAAAGATGCGTACCCGGAATTGGTAGAGGGGTGAGGGACCATCATCTCGACAGGATGCGACGGTGGGACATCTTCCACATTCTTTTCGACTTTTCTTACCTTCTCGTCACCAAAGGACTTGGCCGATGATCTTGACCTGTCTCTCGTTCGGGCCAAGATGATATCCATCTCTGGGACTTCTATTTTACCCTCCTTGGTCTGAACTCTCTTGGACTTGATATAGACAACTTCCCAAAAGGCATCGCCTGTCTCTTGCCTATTGGCAATTCGGATCACTTCTTTAAACATCCTTCGGAGGCGTGAGGGCATACAGATCATCTGCTCTAAAACCGGGCCATCGCCACCCCTGCCTCTCCGGACCTTTCTCTCAATTTCGTTCACCGAGGCATAGATTGGCTCCTTGACACATGAGCTCCAATCGTCGCCACGCTTTAATAGACGATAGTATAAATAATCTTGGGGGGTAGAGATAGTGTCAGCAGATCGAATGTGGGTCAAAGATGCGTATCCGGAATCGGTAGAGGGGTGAGGGACCATCATCTCGACAGGATGCGATGGTGGAACATCCTCCACATTCTTTTGGCCTTCTGTTGTCGTGATATCGCTCGTAAGATCAGCAGTGCTTGTCTTGGCTTGCGGGTTGCCCTCGTCTATGGAAGAAGGGATGTCTTGATCCCTGCTTGCAAGAAAGTCTTTGGTTGCCTTCCTCGTCGAGACTTGAGGCGTTGCCCATTGGTAGGTTTCTGCTTCAGCTACTTCGGCTTCCATAGGGTCTCTCGGTGGGGAGTATCGACGAGAAGGCGAATAGAATTGAGGATTCGAGGAACTTGTTTCGGCAGCAAAGCCGTTTTTGACGGATTTCATCTTCGTATTTTCCAAACTCCACGGGTCCTCATCCGCGAAACGCTCCTCCGCGGTCTGGTTGACAAGAAATCCAAAATCCCACGTCTTTCCCCAGGGACCGAACCCGCCCGACTGCAGGCTGGTACTGTCGCCAGCAAAGCTGGATTCGAGTTTGGGAGCATTCTCATCCAAGACGATATCCTCGAAACTAGTCGTCGCTCCTGGAACCGTTGACGTGGCTTCAGCCCACTACTCCACCATGTCAATTGACGGCGCTGGAAGACACCCCGAGAAAGGGAGCGAGGGGGGAGGGGGTTGCAGAATGCAGAATCCTGGAGCTTACATTCTTCTTCTTGTTTCTTTTCGAGGCGAACGTCCACTCGTCGTCGGCATCCGCAGCATTGGTCTCATCTGCCAGGCTGAGGGGGTCTGAATCCGCTTTTGGAGCCTCTCCCTCTTCCTTGTCCCGCTCTTCTTCCTCCCGCTGTTTTTTTTTCTTTTTCGCGCTCGTTCCCAAAAACCAGTCATCCCACTCGTCTCTACCGTCTCCACCATCTCCTCCATCCCCATCACCGCCGGCGCCACCTCCGCCACTAGCACCATCTCCGCCCCCACCAGCACCCTCATCTCCATTCCCAGCCGTTTTGCCGTCGTCTTCGTCGCCAGAAGCGTACCCTTTGAATACCGGGGCTGCGGATGCTTTCTTCTCTTTGCCTCTGGTTTGTACCCCCGAAGTATCACCAAAGTCAATACTTATGGAGATGTCACCCACAGCTCTCTGATCTCGCGGGACCGGGACGGAAGCGGGAGGGGCCGGTGCGAAAGCGGGGATATACAAGCATTTTTCGGCCTGCGCATCAGTCTCGATGTAAGGTGGCGGTGTGGTTTCGGCAGTATACGGCGGTGGAGGGTCTCTGTAAGGATCGGGAACCAGCAGCAGAGTCAGAGTCTCGGACAGCTCTACCACCAGCGCTGCCGCCGTTAGGGAGATCTCATCATGACTGAACAGCTAGGATGAAGTTAGAGTGGTTTCCCACAGTAGCGTATGTCAAGGGATCCTTAAGGCATAGATTCATACCAGTGAGATCTGGTCTTTGGTGTCGGTCTCGTTGCGACAGCGGAGCTGCGACTTATGAGACCCAATGCCGCCGCCGTCAAGTGGCCATGAGAGCGACTGAAGCATCAACCCACTTTTCGAACGCGCCGGAGTGTGGGGGAATCCAAATGTAATCTCTCTATACGCTTGGGTGGTGTTTGCGACGGCGGTGGCCGTCATAGTGAACGAGGGCTGGTGGGTTGGTCGAGGGGATCATTTGTTTCGAAGGCTGCACGATCAGTCGATCGCAGACCACCGCGAGGGCGGGGCGATTTCTCAAGCGATGCGGTAAGACAAATCCGACCGAGACGTTTCGCAGAGTACGAAACCTCCAGCACGACGTCGAGACTCATCATGATGAAGGGAAGCCCATGAGGCTGAGGCGCTGCTGAAGTAGCTATTATATAGTTCCCCTTCTGCAGGCAGGACCCAGTTCAAAGGCGGTTAGGGTAGCGGACCACATCTCGAGTAGGCGACGCCCTTGGCGATCTCAGTGCCGAATGAACTAGGTCCATCCTAGTCAAAGAGGAGGGGCTCTCCGCTTCCCACCATGAGCAGTCGATGCACATTACAAGTCCCTAGGGCATCCCCGCTAGGTAGACATTGTGCAAGCACCTAAGAAACGGCCTAGGGAGCTTGGTCTTGTTGGCTGCATAGAAGTCTCCACTGTGCGCCGCAACTTGCGTGATAAGAAGCCCACAATCCGCGATCCATTATTTGATCTGCCTAGCCGGAGCGGTGTGGTCCAAGTGGTATCAGAACGGAGATATCAACGCGATAGCCCGGCTCCTTCCGTAGAGAATATCAATGCCCGCTCCATATAACGAGTACTCCCGTCCGCTTCGTGTCAGCGATATTCACCGAGGTGTTGTTCGATCCTGCAGCGTCTCTCAACTGACACTGCGAGATGCTCGAGACTGCACCACTACTCGGACGAGACCGCGCTTCGTCTGAGGAAGGCGAGAACGGCAGCAGTGGCCCCTACATTCTCCTTGAACCAGCAACGACATGGAGGACCGAGACCTGGATCATGATTTCCGACACAGTGCCTCTGGTCTTGACGTACCTGCTGCAGTACTTCTACAGTCTGGTTGTTGTGCTGGTGGTCGCTCACATGGGAGAAGACGAGCTGGCCGGCGTCTCGTTGGGGGTCACGACCATGAACATTATCGGCCTCGCCATCTTCGAGGGTATGGCCACGAGTCTGGATACCTTGTGCGGCCAGGCTTTTGGGTCGGGCAATCGAAAAGCCGTCGGCTTGCACGTTCAGAGGATGGTGATGTTGCTGCTCCTCGTTGCTTGTCCCATTGGCTTGCTGTGGCTCTGTTCGCCGTGGATTCTGGCAAGAATGATCCCACAGCCACAACTGGCCGTTGTGGGCGGGACATTCCTGAGGACATCTCTGGTCGGGGTCCCTGGATACGTGGTGTTTGAAGCCGGTAAGCGGTTCCTGCAATGCCAGGGGAACTTCACTGCGTCATTGGCTGTGCTTTTGGTCTGTACGCCCGTTAACCTTGTCCTCAACTGGGTGCTGGTGTTCAAGCTTGATCTGGGAGTTATGGGATCCGCGCTGGCAGCGGCCCTGAGCAACAATGTCCGAGCCGTCCTCCTCATCTTTTATACCGCTTTCCATCTCCCGGAAACGCATCAGTGCTGGCCCGGGCTGCTCCCCAAGACCATCTTTCAAAATTGGATGCCAATGATCAAGCTTGCTGTCCCTGGCGCAGTCATGGTAGTGGGCGAATGGTTTGCCTTTGAGCTCCTCAGCTTCAGCGCTGCCTACATCAGGACCAGTGGCAGCGGCTCTGCAAGCTCCGCGCCTTTAGCGGCCCAGGCGATTCTTGCAACTTGTTCAGTGCTTGTATGGCACATCCCGTTCTCCGGAAGCGTAGTGGCAAGTACCAGGATTGGTCATTTCATAGGGAAAGGGTCAGTCCATGCTGCCAAAGCCATGACTCAATTCTACGCGGCATTCTTCTCCGGCATCGCCCTGTTCGATATTATATTGGCCTTCGCCGTGGGCACTCTTATCGCGCCTTTCAGCACGGCCGGCCCATCCAGCGAGGTTCGAGATCTTGTCCTGCAGACGCTGCCGTTGTCGCAATCTTCCAAATCTCCGACGCGGCTGTCTGTGGCGTTGACGGCATCATGCGTGGACTGGGTCGTCAAGCCATTGGCGGCTGGGCTACATTTCTCGTCAACTACTCCCTCGGAGTTCCTTTGGCATTGGTGCTCTCCCTTGGTCCTCCGATGCTTGGGTTGGTAGGTCTCTGGTCTGGATTATCGACTGGGATGGGCATTCTGGCACTGGTGCAGGCCGTTATCCTGGGGGTTATAGACTGGGAAAGGTGTGTCGACGATGCGAGGAAGCGGGAAGAGGTCTGCGTCTAGGCGTGCAGTTCACCGAACACGATTTCGGTCTGAGGGCGGCTCAGGCACATTATCGGGCATGATGAAGCCCTATGAATCTTAGCATCTTCTCTGATTCGAAAACCCACCTGAAAGAGGGGCTCAGTCTTGTGGAGAATGGCTTTACCGTACGAGGTACTCGACTTGAGCATTCCATAGAGTGAAGTGTGGGAGTTCGTTCTATTAACACATGAAGGAGCCAAGACCGTTGAGGTAAGGCACGTGCTAGACACAGAATGCGAAACTGCGGACATGGTCAATTTCACAGAAATCCCCCTCTTCATCCCCCCTTCAATTCAGTTCAGTTCCTCATTAACACGGCCACAAAAGCCGGAGCAGCTTCGGGGGAGGATCTCATTGACCCCTTCTCCTGCAATTTCCTCTCCCATGTGCGTCCTTCGCGGCCACGAATTTCCGAAGCCACCATGGAGAGCCAGACGCCTCGAAGAGCATCCGCGTCCCCAACGCAAAACTACCTGGTCGCATACAATGCCATCTGCCTGGCCCTGTGGTCCGTCATAACCCTGCGAGCAATCTTCCTCATCCCCACGCTCTTCGCGTTGGGGAAACCGCAAGGTCTTCTCGACGCTCTTTTTCCTTTCCTCAAATGGACCCAGACGATTGCCCTCCTCGAGATCCTCCATGCCGCCGTCGGCCTCGTCCGGGCCAGCCCCATTACCACGGCGATGCAAGTCGCGTCGCGGATATTACTGGTTTGGGTTGTTCTAGACATGTTTCCACAGATTGTCGCGACGACGAACAGCTATGGGAAATCGGTTCCGGGGTCAACAACGGGGCCGATGGCTTTTGCAGGGATCCTGACGGCCTGGGGAACTACCGAAGTCATTCGATACGGGTTCTTTGTGTGGAAGGCAGCCATAAGTGAAAGAGTCCCTGCAGCCCTCACGTGGCTCCGATACAATACCTTTTTTGTCCTGTACCCCGTGGGCATCTCCAGCGAATGTCTGCTGATGTACCTGGCGTTGACCCCGGCCGCGAAGCAAGGAAAGCAGCTCGACCTGCTGTTGAAGATTGTCCTTCTAATTTACGTGCCCGGGAGCTATATTCTCTACACTCATATGATGACTCAGCGGCGCAAAGTCATGAAGGGCAAGGGGAAATCTGCTTGAGATACGCCGGAATTGCTGGGAAAGCTAGAAGAAGGCATGCCAGATCCTGGAGATTATCATGCATAGTAATTGCAATATTCAGGCCGGGAATCGACACACGACCGAGGCAAAGGCAGGTTCAGACCGAAACAGTGCTTCCATGCCCTTGGTCCAGGTAGCGCTACCCCAGACTGGGTGCGGACCAGGGAGCCAACGGATTTAGTGTCGCGCGACAGCACCATCACTTCAAGCGGTCGGATGGGAACTCGAAACTGAAGTCACCGCGTCTGGGGTGATTGGAGAGAATGAGAGTCTCATTTGACAAGGACTGAACGGGAGATAGACCTCCAGAATCGGGGCCTATGAAGGATTCTCCTGGTAGCAGAGGTGGATGTCATTTATTGTTGTTCTCCTTGGACCTGGATGGACTTGCACAGCACGCCGTGCACGGACCGTTTGATAGCGACAATGCATAACTGAGTAACCTTATTGTATACATTGCAATGTATTTTGACGTGACAACGGCTGAGCATATAGAGGGGCCGATGTCTGTCCATCTCATCTTGGCAGCCGGGGAAACCTCGTCGAAGTTGTGTGCGTCATACCTTTTGATTTTCTGGAGGCCAAAATCCTCCTGCGCCTGGATCATCCTCACCGTCGTGAGGTAAAGGACGGAAGGGCTGGTTTACTGACCGTCGCAGTTCACTCGTTGAACAGGCTAGAGCTCGGAAAAGATACATAAAATGCCCCCGATCCCGCCGTCGCGCCTGGTCGCGCTGCAATCCAACGCGCAGAACATCCGCAACATCTGCATTCTCGCACACGTCGACCATGGCAAGACATCCCTCACCGACTCGTTGATTGCCACCAATGGCATCATCTCCCCCAAGATGGCCGGCAAGGTCCGCTATCTGGACTCGAGACCAGACGAGCAAATACGGGGGATTACCATGGAGAGCAGCGCCATCAGCTTGTACTTCAGCATGATGCGCCGGCCGAAGGAAGGTGAAGAGGCCCAAAAGGAGGAATACTTGATAAATCTAATAGATAGCCCGGGACACATCGACTTCTCGTCCGAGGTCAGCACGGCGTCGCGGTTGAGCGACGCCGCCATCGTCCTCGTGGATGCGGTCGAGGGCGTGTGTTCGCAGACCGTCACCGTGCTGCGACAGGTATGGTTAGAAAAGCTGAAGCCGTTGCTCGTCATCAACAAGATCGACAGGCTCGTGACCGAACTGAAAATGACCCCAGCCGAGGCATACTCACATCTGGAGAGGGTCCTCGAAGGCGTGAACGCGGTAATCGGAGGCTTCTTCCAGGGCGAGCGCATGGAAGAGCATCTCATGTGGCGCGAGAAGCTCGACCAGGAAAGGGCGGCCAAAGAACAGCAGAAGCAGGACGCCATGAGTGAGGCCGCCTCCGAGGCCGACCTGGACCAACAGTTCGAGGAGCGGGATGACGAGGACCTCTACTTCGCCCCGGAGAAGAACAACGTCATCTTCGCCAGCGCTATAGACGGGTGGGCGTTCACGGTCCGGCAGTTTGCGGGCATCTATGAGAAGAAGCTAGGTATCAAACGCTCTCTTCTGGAAAAGGTTCTCTGGGGGGACTTCTATTTGGACCCCAAGACCAAAAAGGTACTCGGTCAAAAGCATCTGAAAGGAAGAAATTTGAAACCCATCTTCGTGCAACTCGTACTGGAGCCCATCTGGCAAGCATACGACGCCACTGTCGGCATCAATGGCGCCCGGGGTGATCCGGCACTGCTGGAGAAGATCACCAGGTCTTTGTCTATCAGTCTGCCTGCCCACATCACGAGGTCGAGGGATTCCAAAGCCATCTTACAAGCCGTCTTTTCCTCGTGGCTGCCACTCTCCACAGCCCTTCTCGTCTCTGTCATCGAATATTTACCCAGCCCTCCCACTGCCCAAGCAAGCCGATTACCCGAAATGATCGAGGATCTGGTCAGTTCCAAGAGTATTGACCGGTCTCTCAAAGACTCCATGATCAACTTCGACACGTCTAGCTCTGCACCCGTCGTGGCGTATGTGAGTAAGATGGTTGCCATTCCCGAGAGTGAACTCCCCTCCAAGAGACGAAAGCTGGGCGCCGTCTTGACGGCAGACGAGGCCAGGGAGCTCGCCCGGAAAAAGCGTGCCGAAATCGCCAAAGCGCAGGCTGAAGCAGAAGGCGTTGCCGGTGTGGACAGCATAACGAACGGACTAAGTACGGCCAGGATAGGCGAGGAGAGCGAAGAGGGGACGACGCCCGAACAAACAGAAGATCCAGAGCATTTGATCGGTTTTGCCCGGCTCTATTCCGGCTCACTCTCGGTTGGCGACGAAGTCTACGTTCTGCCGCCCAAGTTCAACCCAGCGTTTCCTCATGCTTCCCCAGAACCGAAGAAGGTGCCCATCACGGCCCTCTATCTGCTGATGGGCCGATCATTAGAGCCGTTGGACAAAGTCCCCGCAGGCGTGGTGTTTGGGATCGAAGGGCTGGAAGGCCACATCCTCAAGACCGGGACGCTATGCTCGCAGGTAGAAGGGGCTGTCAATCTGGCTGGTGTCTCCACGCTCAGCCAGCCGATCGTCAGAGTTGCCCTCGAACCCACGAACCCCATGGACCTGAACAAGATGATCAAGGGCCTGAAATTGCTGGAACAAAGCGACCCCTGCGCTGTTTACGAGCAGATGGAGAGCGGAGAGCACGTCATCTTGACCGCCGGGGAGCTGCATCTCGAACGGTGCCTCAAAGACCTGCGTGAGCGATTTGCAAAATGTGACATCCAGCCGGGTGAGCCCATCGTGCCATATCGAGAGACGATCGTCAAGGCGGAAGAGATGGAACCCCCGAAGAACAAAGATCTCCCGCGGGGCACGGCGATCGCAGTAACGGCATCCAAGACCATCTCGGTCAGATTGCGGGTTCGACCTTTGCCGCCTAATGTGACAGAATTTCTCATCAACAATGGAGCGTCGATAAGGAGATTGTACGCAGAAAAGCAAGCACAGGAGGAAGGGACCCCGAGAGATTCCCCGGATGGTGACAAAGACGAAACAATCGACTTGGGCAACGAAACCGGGGGCCAGGAAAGGAGCCACCTCTCGCTCCAGGAGTTTCGAAATCAACTCCAAGCCGCATTCGACGAGGTCCAAGAGGACAAAGACGTGTGGGCCAAAGTTGTGCCCCGAATAAGCAGTTTTGGTCCTCGACGGGTAGGCCCCAATCTCTTCATCGACGCCACGGGAGAACACATCTGCAAACGGTTTTTGTTCGAGCAGCACGAAATCGCCGAGAGGGAGGGAGACACCAACGGGACCAAGAACAGCAACACTGACGGGGTGGACAACTCGGCGCCGCAGCAAGATTTCTCAGATACCATTGCGTACGCGTTCCAGCTCGCGACCTCACAGGGCCCGCTCTGTCGCGAACCCATGCAAGGTGTGGCCGTGTTCCTCGAAGAGATCAGCCAACAACAGCAACAACAAGAACAACCTGCACCCACCACCACCGACCCTTCTGCGTCGTCTAACGGCGAGGGCGAGCTTGGCACTTCCGCCGGCGCCGCACTGGAATCAGGCCGACTGACAGGCGAACTGATTACCTCCGTCCGGGAGACTATCCGCTCCGCCTTCCTGGACTGGTCGCCCCGCATTCTGCTTGCGATGTACAGCTGCACGATCCAAGCGACGCCGGAGGTGCTGGGGCGGGTGTATTCGGTGCTAACGCGACGACGGGGGTCGATCCTGTCGGAGGCGCTGCTGGAGGGCACGCCGTACTTCACCATCAGCGCGACGCTGCCGGTGGCCGAGTCATTCGGGTTCAGCGAGGAGATCCGCAAGCGCACGTCGGGGCTCGCCCAACCCATGCTGCGCTTTGTCGGGTTCCAGATCGTCGACGACGTCGACCCCTTCTGGGTGCCCCGCTCCGAGGAGGAGCTCGAGGACCTCGGCGTCCACGGCGAGCGCGACAACGTCGCCAAGCGCTATGTCGACGCCGTACGGCGCCGCAAGGGCTTGCTCGTGCGCGGCACCAGAGGTGTCGGCCGCGATGCCGAGAAGCAGAAGACCCTGAAGACGAATTAATACAGACTTACTTGGTAGATGTGAGCTGCCACGTCTGACATATCCTTGCGTTTTTGGACATGTCACAGATATGTCTGTGTTGGATGATCGGTCTCTAGTAGAGTATTGGAGGACGAGATAACATAGAAGAAAGAACCAATGCAATTTCTACAACAAGTGTTCGTCGGGGAATACATACAACACTGTCACCGCAAAGCAAAGCCAATTCCTTTGTCCTTCTCCTTCTCGGGACTCGATCTGTGCGCCTGTGCGTCGAGGGTCGAAGTGTGGGCAGATCTTTGACGTTATTTGTCCCACCGGCTGAAACGGCGGCCCTCAATGTTCAATGTTTGCAGAGGTTAAGTTCGATGTCCTCTTCTACGATAAGTGTCACTCGCACTTCCTTACACTCCCGGCAAGAAGGAAGTCCGTGACCCAACACACTCCATCGTCTACGTTCTCTGAATGATGCTGCCGCGTGGTGTCTGGGTTCGACCCCAGCCCATGGTGAGATCTTCAATCTCAATTTCGTCTGTTCGAGATTCCGTCTCTGGGAATTTCTGCTCACTCGGCACCGTCACGGTGTCAGGCTAAACCAGCCTCACAGTTGTTTATCACTCACCATGCTAGGCCACATTCTACGAGATACATCATCAACGAGCCGCCAAGGCTTAGATCAGAATTCAGTCTTGATCTCTTGCAGCACTACTACACCGTGCTACATCAAACCCTTCTGGATCTGTACTGCTAGACACCTAGGGTGCAAGGCTCCTGGCGAAATATCCCGACCAGAGCAGCTCATCAGCTCCGTCAAGGCACCAATCCAAGCCTGATTTCGTGCTGACCAATGCCGTCTCCTGTCAAATCATACCCAACCTATCTGTCTGTGCGAAAGAACAAGTGAGGACTCAAACAATCGGTAACTTCTGTGTTCTATGCGACAGCGGCCGCCGGAGTCAGTTCCTTGAGAATGCTCAGGACCGACTGCACGCCTTCCTCCGACGTTCTGGCTAGACCACAGACGGGAGCGACGCCAAACTTCTCCAAGTAGTTCCTCGCTGCAGCAACTCTCTCCTTTGCACCTTCCAGATCGTCTGGATACACAAGGCCGAGGTAGACGGCAACGTTCTTGTCCGCCAGCTTGGAGAGGGCGGCATAGGGGGCTGGGTCCTTCCACTCAGCCAGACACCCAAAGTGAATCCACTGTACCTGTCTGCTGGCTTTGGCCTTGGATATGATCTCGTTCGCCAGTTTGACCATGACGGACATGTTCCGTGGCGCCAGGACGGGCTTGTTGTTGATATTGCCCATGCACACGTGCAGACCCGTATAGGCCTCCGCGGGGACCTTTCCGATCAAGCCTGCATACTGGCTAGAGTACCGATCCATGGCGTTTTCTTGGGGCGGATGGAAGTCCTCCCTCAGGGCACCCATATAGGACGATGGATCTTGTTGGGCCTCGTTCTTGATATAGTCGCTCGCAATATCGAATTGGACAGCGAGGTCTTCCGTCGGGATGGCCGCCGAGATCGCCTCCGTTTCCTGCAGCATGGCCTGGTAGGCGAGATCCTCTACGAGATATTGGAATGTGGGCTTGACGAAAATGGCAAAGCTCGAAACTCCCGGCAAACACACTTGGAACCGGACGTCCTTTTCGATGGTACCCTCCTCTCGTAACTTGCAAAAGACCTTATACGACTCGACAGCGTCCTCAGCATATCCGAGCTTCCATGACGTCGACTTAATGGCTTCGCGAAGCTGTTCAACATCCTCGGCTGGCATCTCCTTCACCGGCAGAGGGTCGTATTTCTCGTCATACTCACGCCAGATTCTCCCGATCGCTGGGTTTTCCGTGGCTTTCTTCTGGACCAGGCCGATCGTGAAATTCCAACGCCATCCCGGTTCGCCGTCAGGGATGCTTTTGAGGCGCCCTTTCAGAGCAGTGGAACACTTAGAAAATGCCGTCGTGGCATCCGGGGCTGGAAAACTGCCGACGAGATGCACGGGAGCCGGTTGGTACGCCGACATAGTGTACAAGAACTAGGAGGTGCTTCTCTGCTTTTAAGACCAGAGTTTCTATTTGAAGACCAGGTCTGTATCTAAAAGGCGAAGAGATTGTTGCAGGGTAGGTATGATTCAGCACCTGTTGGTGTGGAGGAAATGAGCATGGCACTCTTCCACCAGATCAACAATTCTCCGGTCAAAGAGTCCATAAAAGGGAAAAGGCCATTTGAGGATGTGAGTAAAGGCACCAATGACTTTCCAAGCTGACTTGCATACGCGATCTCGGGCTTGCAGTGTGCTGGTCCAGTCGTGCATCGAAACGTCGCGAGACTGGCCTGGTACACCTAAGCGATGTGCTGCAGGTCTGCATTGGGCTGGTGGGCTTGAAAGGAGCCTGGTGGCCCCCATCTCTGGAACTGAACCCCGTTTACAAACAATTTTGCACGTCAAATGCTGGCAGCTCATTCCTACGGTATGCGACCCGCTGCTCTCTCACTCAAGGCTGCTGTGGCGTTCTGCAAAATTGCGGCTTTCAATCCTCCCCCGAGTGAGATGGCAGAGACATGACAAGCAAAGTTCGTCAAGATTTGATTTGCAGGTGTTTCAGAACTCCATGGTTAATTATTAGTGTGAAAATACGCCGACACTATGAAGCATCACTCCGTACTAGCCTTCGCGTCTGGTTCTTCTCCCCTTGGATGACCCCCACGCTGCATGATGGGCGACTTCGCCATACGCTCCCAATCATGGAGCATTTCCGTGTTCTCCTTAGACAAGCGAACCTCCTCGCCTGCGCGGTCTATCAACTCGGCTTGATATGCGGCCGCAGCTTCTTCAAAGGTCGTCACTCCGGCCAGGGCATCCTTGTACTTGAGAACGAGACTCCGGGCGTCCGCTATGCCGTGGTTCAACCCTTGGCCACGCTGGAAAGTCATGGGGTGGCCAGCGTCTCCGGCAAGGAGGATCCTGCCCCTACGCGTGTCCCAAGGCCGGGGAATCCAATATGACAGATTGTTGCTGTGGATTTTGGTTCCTTCCGGAATCCACAGGTTGGCGGACCGGAAGGGCTCACCCATGGTTTCAGCCTTGGCCTTCAAGTTGGCCAGGGAAGCCACCTCTTCACCTTCTTTCTTGTGCCATGTGGTTTGTAACTGGAAAACCCAGGTCGCCGGATCATCAGGATCTGGTACATCTTGTACTGTTACGGTGGTTAGATTCATGGCATCCTGATGATACACCACCACCAAAAACACATTGCTTACTCGAAATCCATTGCCAATACCCATTTGGATGCATGCCCATGGCCATGATGGGATGAGCCTGGCGGACGAATTTGGCCTTCTCGGCATCATTATAACAGACATGCAGATTGACAGCGGAATAAGGGACGCTGCAGGGCTGGCCTTCTTCTCCGAATAGGATATTTCTGACTTGGGATTGGGCCCCGTCAGCTCCAATCAGCGTGGTCCCTGTCGCTTCCGTTCCGTCCTCAAAAACAGCGGTCACCGTAGCGTTGTCATCGTCGTAGGTGATATCGACGAGCTTTTTATTATACTTTATGAAGGCAGGGTCAGCTTCACGACGGTGCAGGATGAAGGTGCATCGTGTTCCACAGAGATTTACCTGGACGTCTATACCCTCCGAGCACAATTTCCTGAAGCGCCGGCGGGAAACGCGATACATACGCAGCAGAGGGATGTTCTTCATCACTTCACCGGTCTGGCCGTTGATGGCAGGGAGATGACCGGGATCAGGGGGCACAAAGTTAGGGTCGACCGCGGCGGTGTAGACTCGATCGAACAGGTCTTGGGTTAGGCAGTCGGCCAGCATCGGCAGGCCCCATTGTACTGACATGCCCCATTCTCGCGGTCGGTAGGCCGTGGCAGAGACTTCAGACTCAAAGATGGCAAAGGAGATGCCAATCTAGTGATACGAGACAAAATGTATCGTTGTCAGTTAGGATTCGCCCATTGCCACGCCGGCCACCTCGTCTTTCCGTACCTTTTTCAGCCCCTGGGCAATGAGCAGGCCGACAATACCTGTTTGTGAGGGCTTCGTTAGCCTGTTTCATGGCAGATGACACACCGGGTGACAGGCATGTTCAATTCGACAATAGGCGAGCCCAATAGAGAGGCCTGCGTGACCCCCAACCCCAAGCATACCTGACCCTACAATGAGAACGTGGACGGGATTTTTCTGATCGGTCATCCTGCACATGCCGCTCTCGACTCTATCAACAGGTCGGCGCAAAAAGGGAGGAAGGGTGGGGGGAGTGACGGGGAAAAGCAACAGGGAAGAGCGGGTACGGGGGCGGTTTGATTCGAGGAAGTCCAGCTTTTATTGAGAAAGTACCGGTTGGCACAGAATTCAGAAGTCCTTCCTCTGGTAGTCTCAGCGACACCCCGCGTCGTGAGGTTACTCGGTGGACTCGAATCTGGGCCGACCATCGTTCGTTAGTGGATGAGTTGGCAATGGTAGCAAAGGAGGGGCTGGGTGGGAAGAACATCATGAGGGGCGGGCAGCAGCTTCAAGAGTTAGATGACACGTCAGCAGATAAGACAGGGTCTCGTAGAGATGATTCAAGTACGAGACATGTGCTGTACTTGGATGGAGAACTGAGCAGCAGTAGATTGGGATCGCAGCCCACGCATAGGACCTCGTACAGTATGTCAATGAAATAGTCTAGCTACAGATTGTGGCATCCGTTAGGGCTATCCACCTGGCCTCGTGCCTTACCTGACCTCTAATACCCGAGTGAAACACTCCTCTGTAGCTAACCATAGCGAGTTAGCTGCACATATTGGTGCTTATAAGTCCAAGGCATAGGACTTAGTTTGTATGAGACTGCCGGAACGGACCCTGACGGACCGCCTGGCTAGCAGCGAGCCTAGTAGCCACTTGAATGACCTTCCAGCGCCTCCCTACCCAACGGAGGACGAGAAGCTGAAGCATTAACCGATGTCGCCATAACGAAGTCGCTACACGGCACGGCCACTGGTCAATAATAATAATACTGCAATACAGAGTAATCCTTGCTTATCCACGGACATGTCCTCCTTTGCATTTCCGGACGAGGTTCCCTCACCCACGCCCTAAACCAATGATTTCGAAATTCCACCTGTCCTCTTGAGCATGGGATGTTGTTTTCTTCCCTTTGTGGTCTCCTCTCCTTGCCCGAAAGTTCTGCACTTGACTCGGCTTGGGGAACCCACTTTGAGCTCTGTCTTCGCGTCATTGTTTGCTTGCCCATACATAGCCATCTTAAACACCCTGACCGGGGAGGGCGGGGGGCTTTCATTATTGGCTCTCTTCGCTATGGACCCTTTTTCCAAGGCTGGCTTCTGGGCTGCTTTGTGCGAGGGGACCCAGTGAGTGGGAGAGGGAGTAGTACATACATTACATCTCGAAACGCCACCTTTGGCTCGGTCGAATGCCCTGTCACCTTAAAACGCATTGTTGCTGGAGGGAGTAAGTACTAAATATTAGTACTGAAAGGGGCGGGCTCGAGAGAATATGCCATCACCACCAGCCAGATCACCGCGCCGTACCTCTCCTAATCTAGGGCAATCTTCGTCACCGCCAACACCGCCAATAGCGGAACAATATCGACCAGAAGATCCAGGCCCTGGCTCGGGCTCAAGTTCGCAGCCTGGTGAGCCTCAATCATTCACGGAACTAGATCCGGACCAGCCGATCGAAGTTGATGTAGGTTCGGGGTTCATTGTGTCCCTCGTGGCACTGTGGTTGCTTGCTAACCAACCCTTTTTCACACCATATCAGAGATCTGCAGACGTGGATTCTGCCTACGGTGAATCAATGTACGTGGTCTGGGCCGTGCCCAGGACCTCAGACAATTGACGAGAACAGACAGAGTGATTTGACGTCGTTGGCTTCCAGCGTCTCTCGCGGTGTGTGGGAATATGGTCGGCGATACCATTCCTACGGTCGATCGCGTAGGTGGATTCCTTTCTTCCCTCACTGCCTCCCTCTCTAGATCGTGACGACCACGCCCGGACTGACCAGTTCCGGTCCACAGAGTATGCGTTCCCCAACGACGACGCCGAGGCTGAGAGGCTCGACATGCAACACGCCATGCAGACACACCTGCTGGGCGACCGACTGTTCTGGGCGCCCATCGACCCCAACCCGGCCAGAGTGCTGGATCTCGGCACGGGCACGGGCATCTGGGCAATCGAGTTCGCTGACATGTTCCCGTCGGCCGTGGTCACGGGCACCGACCTGAGTCCCATCCAGCCCGAGTGGGTGCCGCCGAACTGCAGCTTCGAGATCGACGACGCCGAGGCCGACTGGACCTGGGACGAGGGCACCTTCGACTACATCCACAACCGCAACTTCGTGTGCGCCATTCGGGACTGGCCGAAGCTCATTCGCCAGTGCTTCCAGTATGAAAAAATCCCCACCTCGGTGTGGTATATTTCTGCGCTTCACCAGTCGGCGCAATGTCGCTGACAGAGTCCACGTGTGTAGATATGTCAAGCCCGGTGGCTGGGTGGAGTGGCACGAAAAGCATCCCTATCTCCTCAGCGATGACGGGTCTCTGCCGAAAGACTCAGCTCTTTTCCAGTGGGGAGCTAAATTCTTCGAAGCCAGTACGTCAACGGGTTTCTCTCCCTCCGTCAAGGAATCCCCGTACTAACGTATATCGACCAGGCATTCAATTCGGAACAGACGCCAGGTCACCCCGGCATCTGAAACGGCTCATGGAAGAGGCCGGGTTCGTCGACGTTGAAGAACACATCCTCAAGCTCCCCGTGGGGTCGTGGCCCAAAGACCAGCGCCTGAAGGAGGTGGGCCTGTTCGAGACAGTCAACATGACCGAGGGCATCCAGGGGTTAACCATCATGCTCTTCACGCGTTGTCTGCACTGGACGGCGGCCGAGGTGGAATCGTTCCTCTTGGAGGTCCGCCGGGACGTCAAGAACAGGGCAATCCACAGTTATTATCATTTGTGAGTAGCATAGCATCTCTTCTCCTTCCCTCCAGGTAAGGCCGTAGATCGCGTGAGTGAAGACTGACCATATTTTTCTTTGGTACTTTAGTTATGTCGTTTTTGGGCGGAGACCGCTGGAGTAAGGCCGCTGGGGCGGACGTGGCCCGAATCTTGTTTCAGCTCCCCAAATTGGCACAGTTTTCCTACGGCTCACAGAACTCAAGCAAATTGGTTTTCTTTCTCTCTCTCTCCTTCTTTTCAGCTTGTGAGAGGGGTTTATTTTCTTCTGATTAATGAGGGCTTCACCTTCTAATCTTCCCGTCTAGGGTGGAATGTGACACATTGAGAAACAGGTGCTCAAACTCAACATGATGGTCGAGCACAAACAATCAAGTGGAATGAGACGGCCTATCAAAGTCTGGCGCACGAGGCTGAACCTTTGCTGCCCTGCAAGGGACTTCTATCTATATCACTTCGGAATTTAAGCTTTAGTGTCGGGGCTGAGCTGGTCATTTGCAAGATTGAACCTGTAGCGCTCGGAACGTGTAAGAATAGAGAAAGAGAGAGCGCTCAAGAGAACCCCCTCCCTGCTGGGAGCACCATTCTCGCACAGCCGAGATATGACACAGTGTCTCTGTGTCCGGGGACCAATCTCCATGCCCGTCTGATTCTGTGGAGTGTTCACACAACGAATATCGAGCCACGCACTGACACACATGATGAATACAGCCCCTAAAAGGGCTAGATCAGCGGATGAGACCCACATTTCATACAGTAATACAACGCCGTCTGTGGGCATATTCGCCGATAATATGAATTTGAAAGGACTTAGATTCAAGCTTGGAAAGGCCCGGGGGTCTATCTCGTGGGAGACTTGAACGGGGAACCCGCCCCGTATTCCATTTGATGATACTGATTACCAAACCAGGTATAGACACATGGCTGGACGAAAATTAGCCCGGGCGGGAGGAAGGGAGAAAATTCGAGCATCTTTCTGCCGCCGTGAGGTTCCTTTTCTTCTGAAGTGTCCCAATTCTCGTGTATTGTGACGTCTACAGAAAAAACTAGTTTTGGATGTCTTTTCAGCCTCAGGGGGGAGTGCCCGATGATGCACATTTGGCTTTCCCCGCAGATTTCTACCCTGGGCCAATGATGCTCTCCTCAAGTGATCCGCGAGCTCTCTTCTCCCTGGCCGTCCAGCACCTCCATGCAGAGACGGTCAGGAATTATCTGGCATCGCCCATTCATGTCATGCGAACCCTCTGGCCTTTGAAGGTAACTCTGGCTTCAGGGTCCTCTGATCCAGACCTTGTTAGTAATAGCGTCACCAGAGTCTCCCTGAAGAGCGCTAAACAGCCTCGCGCCCAACGCCCTGCTGAGGTGACAGCCACGGGAGCGCGAAATTTGGCCTGGGCCAGCAAGCATGGCTCTGAAGAAATATATATGCACCCTTCATTGACTGAGTTGGTCTCCCTCGCCCAGGATCCTCTCTTCAGAGTTGCCTCCCTACAGAGATTGGCGATTTTGCACTGCTGGCGAGGAATCCAGGTGAAGTCGCGGTGATAATCGAAGACAATTCTTGACAAGGGGGCCTTCCTTCTGTCACCAGCACACCCCTTGGTCCTGACCTCGCAATGGCGCAGCCTGGGGGTGCCGCTGGTGGAGACTGGGATACACACAAAGATGAATTGAAAATTTTGTATTTGACGCAGGGCACGACAAAAGAACAAGTATGGATTCGATAAGACGTTGGCCACACTTGCTTAGAGTCCTCCCGAGGACAGCAGAGTGTGACGATATTTGTTCAGTCAGAACCCATAGATACATCAACGATGCGAATGCCGTTGAGTCGAAGTCGCCTAAACAGGGGATGACCAAAAAGGGTCTAGTGGGAAGCACCGCCACGTATGTGGCTTTGCCAAGACTGTGGCTTCAACCACCTCGACAGTTTTTTATGTTGTCCTCTTCCCTCCACGAATCTCTCTTGACTTCTATTCAACGTAGATGGTGATGATCCATCTTCTGGCCTCTGTTTGCTGCTGTCCAGTCCGGTGGGTCAAAGCACAAGACGCATGACCAGGCTTTCTGGACCTGCTCGGACTTTCTTCTCCCGATCTCTCTCAATGTGCTTCCTTGGTTTCCTTGGCTCTCCTCAAACTTGAGGACACAACATCGTCTTCTGACCCATTGAGCTCTGTCCACAAACCATGACTTCCGTACCAGTCGTGCCGGGCCAGGTCCTGGCCAGCACATCGTCCCACATTCCCGGTCCAGGCACACACGTCTACGAGAACAACATCCTCGCCTCCATTCTGGGACAATCCATCATCACTCCGGCGCAAAATAAGTCGGGCAAGCCAACCGTCTCCGTCCCCCGTCGCGCCACCGCCATAGCTTCGATCAACTCCCTCCCCACGGTCGGCTCGGCCGTCCTCTGCCGGGTCACTCGGGTCCGACAGAGGGAGCTTTCGGCCTCAATCCTGGCCATCGTTGACGCGTCGACGTCGGCGTCAGCTGCATTGTCGCCCAGCGATATCATCTCGTACTCGCAAATCACCGACGACGACCTCCAGTTCCAGTGCATCCTGCGGCGTGAAGACATTCGCACGCACGAAAAGGACAAGATCGTCATCAACGACATGTACCGCGTCGGCGATGTCATTCGCGCCACGGTGATCAGCCTGGGCGACGAGAAAAACTACTACATCAGCACGGCCGGGAATGAGTTTGGCGTCGTGGTGGCAACGAGCGAGGCCGGCAACGCGATGGTGCCCGCCAGCTGGAAGGAGATGAGGGACGCGGTGACGGGGAAAGGCGAGAGTCGAAAAGTCGCGAAGCCTTCTTGAAGGCGCCTGAGCATCTGGACAGCAATCCTTGAACCGATTTAATTCATTCTCACTGTGCAGTCGAAACTTCATCGTGACCGGTTTCAGCAAGCACTGCAAGTGCCAACCTCTGCGGAAAGGCATATTGATCAGACTACAGCCAGGAACGCCATACGCTGTATCGAAGCACCTGGCTACTTTCCTCGGAGAACAGTAGGTGGTATGAACGCACCTTGATGCAACGAGAAGCCGCAAAGCGGATAAAGACGAAGCTCAGCGTGTCTAGCAAGATCAAGCTCAAACTGCCCTTCCAAGACGCGTCTGTCTCTCTGCACCCCTCAAACAGAGGATGCGAATCGCACACAGGGACGGCCGCCTCAAGACTGGTCCAAGATGAGCTATCTCAGAGCAATGGAACCCCAGTTTTTTTCCTTGACTACCTAGATAGGGTAGGTAGGTAGGGGGGAGAGACCAAAAAAAACTCTCAGAACGCGCCCAAGCAATCATTCCAAATGGGCCTCTTCTCCGGCTTCGACCACCACGGAGGAGGCGCCGAAAGTTCGCCGCGCTTGAGGACATTGGAAAGGCGAGTGGATTGGGCGAGGCTCTTCGGTCCTCCTTCGAAACTTGGGCCCAGAATATTCAGACTTCTCTCGACGTAAATACGTCGTCCTCGAAAAACTCGACCTCGAGACGGACAGTATCTTCAGTCAAAAATTCTCCCCAAATCACACTACTTTACATTCGGCCCGGATGTTCAGACATACATTGTGATGGACCTTTCCACCTACCACCCTTCACCTCTCTCCCTTCTGACTTCTCATGTCCTCTGGATCCCGAATTCGTCGTCGAACTCACTCCTCGCATGCTCCGCCATCCCATCGTCTTTCCTTCCTTTCCCTTCTTCATTTCCACCAATTCTTCCCTACCCAACTATATATGACCCGGCCACCGCTCCCTCTCTCGCACGCTCCCGCACCACCCCATCCCCTCTCTTGTCTCACCCGAGTGAATCGAATGGAAACCAAACAAACCTCTCCAGTATACATGGCCACGACCCTTCTGCAATGTCAGGCTGTGTTCGTCACGGGAGGAAGATCAATCACCTGCCACCATACCCCCCCACGCCTTGAAGGCAAGGGAAAGGCGGACTCCTCCCATCATCCGGGTCCGTCATCCATGATACAACGCTTTGGATGCTTACGGAAAGAATATTAGGGGAGGAGACATACGCCTGCTAAACATGACTGCTTCGCAAAGACGCCTAGACAAAACTCGAATCCCCTAAACGGATAGATATGCGCCTGCAAATCCCAAAGGTATACAATTAATGCATTGAGGCCAGAATGAAATGGCGTAACCTGCCCTGCCCAAGCTTTCGCTTTCGCTTTCGCTTTCCTTCGTATGTTGCTGCTCCCGCAAGGACAAACAACAAAAGTCCTACAGAATCTTCCATCAAAAGTTAACTAAAAGGTATTGGACTTGGCGATACCTACAGCGTCCCTTTTCCCGCTGAAAGCCCCCTATCCTCTTATCTGCCCAAGCAGTGACACCAAAAAACGCCTCGCTATGCTCCCTGCACACACCCATGCGCAACTCTGCGTGCCCATGTCCAGTGGCAGCTTTTTCGTTGCAATTCCGTGTAAAAGGGGTATATGATAATATCAAGAGGCCTCGAACAAAGAACAGCCCTCAGGCGCGAGCTTTCAACCTTCCACCAGGGTCTGCTTGGGCCCCTTACCAAGTAATTCCAAAGATCTTTGAGCAAGAGCGATCACCTCGCCCTCGCCCTCCTCACTCTCCTCGTCATCGGATTCGACGTGCTTGTCGGCGATCGTCTTGACCATCTGAATGATGTCTTCAGACTTTGCCACCAAACTCACCAGCTTTTTGTCGTCGGACTCCAGCAGCTGCAGCAAAGTCCAGATTGCAATGTGTTGGAATGTGGAATCACCCCTGCACAAGAAACGCTTGAGATAGCCGTGGATGCCACCGTTTGGCTCCATCCAGTCGCGAACGAAAATCGAATAGTCGCCAACCTTGGAGGATAAATTGCCCAGGGCGGCGGCACTATTCCCTTGAACTTCAATACTTTCGGAATCAGTCAGAGGGATCAAGACGTCGAAAACCCCCATATTGAGCAGGTGTGTCTTGAGTTCGTCGCTCAACGCCAACACAGCGATGCACGCCGTCATCTCAGACTGGACACTCAGGGGGACATGAAGAACAAGCTCCTTGCATTTCTGCACTGCTCCGGCCTCCAAGACGAGCTGCTTGTTTCGATCTGAGCTTGCAGCAAGGTTCCGTAAAGTGGAAATAGCATGGCATTGAATCTCCTCATTCTCGGTAGATCCAAGGAGATCGACCAGCGGTTTGAGGAAGCCGGCGTCAATGATGGGTGATTCGTTCAGAGGATGGATCGAAATATTGCGAATGCAGGCGACGGCGGAAAGAATGAGAGGGAGGTACGAGGACTGAAGGAGCCGGAGGAGTGGTTGCAAGCCTCTAGCTCGAACAATCTCCAGCTGATACTTTTCGTCCGATGCCAAATTTCGGAGAGCCAGTGCGGCCTGACACTGGACCTTAGGAGTTCCCGAGTCCATCAATTGGACCAGTGACTGGACAAGGCGTGGTTCGGTCTGGGCGAGTTTCTTCCTGTTGGATGCGTCCACGGCGATGTTGCTGAGAGCCGTGGTGCAGTAATATTGGACATCCATATCAGACGATTGAAGCAGCTGAACGAGCACCGGTATGGCTCCGGCATTGACGAGTTGTTGTCTGTTATCATCTGCGCACTGTTAGCGTGACAGCCACTGTGAAAACAACATCATTCCTCCCTACCAGAATGTGTCATGTTGAGCAGCGCGCCAGTAGCGTTCCTCTGAACCCGCATGTCCTTGGACTTTGCCAGTCTTGTCAATGGACCTAACGCTCCCGACCTTGCGATTTTGGCCTTGTTATCCTCATGGGTGGCAAGGTTGGTAATGCAGCCCACAGCATTGCACTGTACCTCGACGTGGGGGGACATCATCTGTCGAATGAGGGGAGGTAATCCGCCGAGTTGGACAATTGAGACTTTGTTTTCCGCTGTGACAAGGTCAGATGGGAATGGTCAATGCTGTATGGGGGAACGCACGATTCACGGCTAGATTGCCCAAGGCTGCACTAGCAGCTCGTTGGACTTCAATGTCGGGGTTCTGTAGGAGGAAGAGGATGGGCTCCAAGGTGTCTCGGTCGACCTCTCTCACATCTACAACAGCGATTAGATTGTACCTTGATCGCGTGTCTCTTGTCTACATACCTCGCTCCGTGATCTCGGCAAATGTCAGGCTGGCACTCCGTTGCAGGTCAACATTTTCCGAGTAGACAAGAGTGCTCAATGCTCGTAGGGGCTCTCCAGAAAAGAAGTCTGTTTCTCCTCGCTGCGGTATGTCAGGTTTTCACTCTTCATGGCAAAGGAGTTTTGAGCACCCACATTCTCGAGGTACTGTAAGAGATCTGCGACGGCTTCTCGTTCGCTGTCCGCGAGGGCGGGTTCGTAGAGGTTATCCTGGTTCCGACCTATAACGACCGAGGTCAGTGGCCTGGCATGTGCGAAACAACGCAGCTCACACAGACCTTGGCAGGTTTTACAACAAGCCGACAGTACGTTGCCCATCTCGAGGCGTGGGCCCCGAAGGGAACGGATTGGTCGAGAGTGATACTGTTGATCAAGGGAATGCCGAGGAGGCGGGAATGCGTGCTGATGTTGTGGCCGGGATTGCAAAGGGTGAATGTGAAAGGCTCATCTGATGGTCATGCTGATACCGATTGTGATGCAACCTTTGAACGATGCTGGCAAGGCTTCCGATGTCTGTTATATCAAGATGAGGAAAGCTTTGAGACCCGGCTCGGATTCGCTGACGCAGGCAATGGCTGCAAGCGACAGGCACGACAGCGTCACTGCGTGACCTGCAGTTGCAGTTCGGCACGAGGGGACGCGTGCAGGCAAGAGCAATAAGAACTTCCGGAGAAGAGGAGGTGTGTGTGGCGTGTGACCCGGTCTCAAGGAGCGAGCAGTCGCAGGTTGGAATGGCAATGGCTAGTGGTGTGAAGGTGGTCAACATGGAGTTTTGGCGGAAGTGCACAAGCTGAGGAAGCTGCAGAAGCAGAGTGCGCCGTGCGGGTGGTTAGCGCAGGCCGGATGACTATTGTCGTTGTAGGCATCCCTATAGGTGCTGGTGGTCCCTAGGCCCTAGAGGCGGACGCTGTTAGGCTGGTGCCGCCGATGTGGATGCCCCCCAGAAGTGGAAGAGAGCCAACCGCTTACATTCGTCAGCCCGATCTTCCCCTACATTCTCGGATATTCCCTTTCGCCCTCGCATTCTCGGTGCAATATGTAGAGAATCTGATCCAATATCTATTATCATTGACTTCGTCCAGTTGACCGGGAGTGCTAGTGCCTTGATACAACACTTCTTTACACCTACATCTCACTTCCAAGAGAACAGCTATGGCGTGCCTAGATACCAGCGAGTAATCGAACACCTCACCGCAGGTAAGCTTTTCACATGCTTGCGACGTCATCGATCAGACAAAGACCCAAAAGAAGAATGATCAAGGAAGAGAAAAGGCTTTTGGGGCTTTAAAAGCGTGTATTGCATGTATTATTTGTATCCCAAATCGCTACCCAGGATATTCCTCTAGCTCAGGCTTGTGGTATACGACATGCCGGATCCTTCCACCTCACGTTCGCACAGATAAAAACGGTGCCCAGCCCGCCAAAACATGCTATCCTGATATTAACTCCGGTCGTGAAACTGGTGATGTCCATTGTTGTAGAACTATAAAATGAAAGGAGATTCGTTTCTCTTGTGGCGTCTATGCTTTTGGTGTCTCGACTGTGACCTCAGCATGGCCATGCTTACGGCCAAAGAGCGCTCCTTGCTTGATGACGGGCGAGTAGATGCCCGCCGGCGTCAACGTCTCCGTAGTTGGTCGGAGCTGATCGAGAGCGTTCTTGATGGATGCCTTGATCTTTTGCGAGGTCTTGGAGGACTTGCTGGAGGTAGATTCTTGGGACACTCGACGGGATGACACAGCCGAGCTATTCTTCTCAGCCTGTGTGAGGTTGTAGTAGCCTGCGTAGAGCATCTTGATTGATGTATTTGAGATGTTTGGTATTGAGGGGTGGTGGTAGGTTGATATGGTCTTTGCTTGGTTGTGTAGGTGGGTGGGTGGTGAGGATAGGACTTGAATACTTCTTCTTCTTCTTGGACGCTGTTTGATACCCAACGAATGACTTCCCTTCGAGCAGTCGAGGCATGGTTTATATAGAGACCATCTGACCCCTGATGGCAGTCTAAATTTCTCATCGACTCACCTTTCGTGGTATTTCATCATCTACCCACGATGAATCTTGAAAAGCCCAACAGTTGTCTGGGAAATTGGAACATGCCACAACGCACTCTCCAATCATGATGGACGTTGGATACGCCTTTGAGAAACATGGTGCCCCAGGGCGTGTACGGTTGTCGTTAGCGGAAATCCATTTGTCAAGTACATGAAAGGCGCGTGTGAACCTGCTTTTAGAGGATATCAGTTTGTCATGACCGCCCCAGCCAGTCACAGGCCTGAAAATTCTCTGTAAAAACTCTGCTTAACTAAGAACTTAGAGGGAAAGCGCCTGTGGGCCAGTCGGAGGGCGTGGAGCAGGCGTGTAGCAGACGGCATGTCCCAGTGGTGCCAGTCGTGGGAGGCATGATGTGAGGTGGGATCTGCGCCCTTGATGTTGGCGATGTTGATCCATTTCATTACCAAAACGTATACGACCTCGGGGCGGAGTGCTTGCCGGTATTGGCAGGGTTAAAGCAAATGATTCCTGGGCGCCACCCATAACTTCCAATGCGGTATCGAGCGTCACTGCTGCTATGTCTTTCATAAGGACTATGTTACAACAATGTCTCCCTTACCCTTACCCGACCTGACCACTGCCAGGAGAAATGCGCATGATAAAACAAGTTCCAGACGGAGGACATCCGCCTTCATGAAGGACATGACGGGAACTGCACTGAACTGAGCCTCGTTGATCCCTCTGGGAGACCCCAGATTTAGGACCCAACATTTTCTGGGGCGCTCACTGGATCCGACCACCCAGGCGGCTGGCTACATTCCGGGTCAACGGAGGTTGACGGACTGCCGAGAATTGATCATCTCGACCGATGGACTGTCATTTTTGCTTTGTCCTCGTCTGACCGAGGTCGAAATGGGTACGAGCCGAGTAACAAGTGTCTCCTTACCATGGCCGTGCGAATGCAAAGGGACATGAGGTTGACCGAAAACCTCCACGGTTTGTTTGAGGATGTTGAGCATTAAAGGACCCACCCGCGACCAGCCATAAGGTGGCAGAAAGGTTGTACTCAATACAAATCACGGGACGAGGAGGTTCAATACCTTCTGCGTTGTCTGGGATCATCGTACCCGTCATTTTCGTGGTATCGTTTTCTCGAGCTGTAGTCGTCTTCACGTCTGCTGCTACCGTATCGATCGCGGTCTCTGTCTCGTTCTCGATCTCGGTCTCGATCTCGGTCTCGATCTCGGTCTCGGTCTCGGTCTCGATTGTCGTACCCACGATCTCGTCCTCCGAGTGGATCGGTGTTGCTGCCAGTTGCGCCGCGTTGGTCCCTTCCGCCACCGTATCCATTTCGCCGGTCTTCATAGCCTCCGCCATAGCCACCCCTGCCACCAGGTCCGCTGGGCGCATTGGGAGGAGGAGGTCCATTCTGATACCCTTGTCGTCCGCCGAATGCTCCTCCTCCTTGGTATCCAATGCCACCTCGTCCACCATAGCCTCCTCGGTCGCCGCGATAACCGCCGCGGAAGTTTCCACGACCGCCGTAACCACCTCTGAATGTGCCGCCATACCCACCAGGGGGTCCGAATGTAGGCTTTGCAGGGGCCTGCTTGGTATATCCTCGTCCACCAAGGCCTCCGCCAAGTCTCCTCGGTCTCCATCCAGGGACCATGCGCCCACGCTCAACGTCCACAACGACCCTTCGGTCTTTGATCCGTAGACCGTCTGTTTCTTTGTACGCAGCTGTAAAATTGTAAGGGATCTCGAGGTCAGTTCCATGACATCTTACCATTGATTATTGGGCGTGGAAAGATGGGTCAAGGGCAGGGGGGGTTTGCTCAGAAGAAAGTACCTCGCATATCCTTTTCTCGTTCATAGACAATGAAGGCGTAGCCTCGGTGTGGCTTCTTGGGTTTGGGCGTTGTCTCGTCCTTGACGATCCTGATCCTCTCGATTGGACCAAACCTGCCGAACTCACGCTCCAGATCTGCTTCTTTCGCATCGTAACTCAAACGGCCCACGAAGAGTGTCTTGACTGCATCGCCCTTGATCTTGGGGTCTTCGTTTGGTCTGTAGCCCTGGAAATCGGGTTTCTCAATCTCTTGCTGACGCAATTTCTTCTCAAGTCTCTTGCGGTCGCGCTGTTGGAGCCATGACTCGGTAGCTTGGTACACGTCGGTCGCCTTGTACTCCTCCAGCTGCGGAAGAAACGCAGCTACGCCTGAAAGCTGTGACTTCTTGAGAGCTTTCTCGTCCGGGGCGGAATCTTGAGGAGGGATGTAGCGGAGAGGAGGTCGGGGTTGGAAGAGAGCAAGGAGATTGGGAGGTAGTTTGTCCGTCATCTTGGAGCAGGACCGGTAGAAGCTCTCCTGTAGAGATGCACGAAAGTCATCAAGGCGCAAAGAAATAGAAGAGAAGGAGAAGACAAATGCGTTGATTATGAGTAAAATTACAGAGGCAGGGGTAAAGGAAGGAAAGGAATGGAGACAAAGGGTTGAATGAAGCTCAATTCATAGCGTGTTCGCTGCTGAAATGAAATTATTGTTTCCTAAGGAGAAGATCCTAGATCCAAGAGTAGTTTAGTGCCACGTCAACATTCTACAAGCCAACGTAAGGTGCAGGGAAATTTCCCGCCGCCTTTGGAGGCTGTCACAAATACTCCTATTATCTCAACCGCCATCGCCTGTTCAGACCTCTTGCTACCGTCATTATTCAACTCTCATCCCTACTTCTCTGTATCCCCCTGGCGTCGTGATGACACAATACTGCACGTAACTAGCCGTTCTGTGCCTTTCTTCACACTCTGCACTCTTCCAGTCCACATCTGGATCCCCCCCCCCGAGACGGCGCATATCTCTCACGATGACCGCGAAGCAGAAGTTTCGGATGCTTCACGTCTTTAGATCTGCACAGAAGATCTTCGAGATCATAATCCCAGCTAGCACGCGAATTAAGGGCATCACAGAGAGCACCATAAACACCTTAAATCCCCACAGTCCACTTCTTAAGCTACCAAACGAGTTACTCTTTCAGCTCACCAGTTTCCTAGAAGCCGAATATCAACTCTCACTTCGTACTTACTGTCGACGGCTTCGCCTCCTACTTAGGGATCTCGACCCGACACCAAGTGATTTAAGTACGAAGGTACGGTTTAATAAATATCTCGAGCCCGACTACTCGGAATATCTTCCCTGAGCACATTGTCGATCACTAATTCCCCATTTACAACAAGTGGCGAGGTAAGAAGGACGTCCAAGACGTAAGCAGACATCTCTAGGTTTGGTGCTGCAGCCACGCGGTCAATCCATCAGGCAAGTAAAAATAATTCGACGACTGCATTGCTATCTGATATTGACGTGAATGAGTGTGCACCGCCACAGGCACGTGACCCAAAATGTCCGGATGCGCCACAGTCACCAGTCCCACGTTAACTGACCCCAAAAGAACGTATTCGTATTGTGGACGTCGATCTACGGCAGCAACGTCGCTGTTCCTCAGTGTTCATTTATAGATTCATCCCCACAAGAGTGAAAACAGCCTTGCAGATCGCCTGGTGGATCTTGGCAGACATCGCATAGGCATGTTGATGAGTTGCTCCTGTTTGCCGCAGAATCTTCCTGATCGAGATTAACTTGACGGCTGGATTCGACTGCCCTAAAGTAATCGAGAAAGATTACTGGCCTCTATTTCAAACGATGTGGACGCTTCTCAGGCAACTTCCTTAAACCTTGTGGAGGACGGATAGTTCTTGCCATCTGGACAGGATATATATCGAGTCCATTTCAATCCTCTCGCGCCAGAGGAGTATCTGACACCTTCTGTTTCTTTGCACATCCCAATCAGAATGCGTTCTGGCAAGATGATGAGCCGATTTCGCCTCGCAATCCTCTGCTGCGTCTTTTTCCTCTCAAACGCGACTCAAGCAGTTCCCCAGCAATACTGCAAACCCGTCGTAGGTACCCCAGGTTGGCCTTCCATCTCCGACTGGCATGCTTTGAACGACACTGTCTCCGGTCACCTCATCACTCCTGTGCCCCCAGGGTTGGTCTGTCAGACCAACAGTTCGGTGTACAGCGCGCAGGCTTGTGGTCAGCTTCTTGCTCAGTGGAGCAATTCGTCCTTCCATGCCGAGGATCCCTTCACGACCGACTACAACGATGACTCTTGCCTTCCTGATCCTCGAGCCCCATGTTCTACGGCACTTCTCCCAGCCTATGTGGTCAATGCCACCAATGTGGCTGATGTTCAGGCCGCTTGCCGGTTTGCCTACAAGACTGGGGTTAGACTCATTGTCAAGGGAACAGGCCATGACTTTCTAGGACGGTATGATTCTGATGATATTCAACAAAGGCCTTTCTACACTGACATCGCGAACAGATCATCTGGCCGAAGCTCTCTTTCAATCTGGACGCATAACATCCGTGGCGTCAACGTCACGATGGGGGATTCTCGAGCCAAGCGATACGGTGGTGTTGCCTCCGTCAAGATTTCTGCCGGCATGCGCTTTGGCGAAATCTACCAAGCAGCTTCCTCGTACAACCTTACCTTAGTCGGTGGTGCAGATCCTAATGTGGGCATTGGTGGGTGGGTTACTGGGGCTGGACATGCTCCGATCAGCGCTCTCTACGGCCTGGGGGCAGATCAAGTCCTCGAGATGGAGGTTGTCACAGCCAATGGGACATATCTGACTATCAACGAGGACTCTTACCCCGGCCTCTTCTGGGCGATGCGAGGTGTAGGTTCCCGTGCCTGGCCCCAGATATCTTAGCATTAGGGTGTCTGACTCTCCATGTCTATATCTAGGGCGGTGGTTCCACCTTCGCAGTCCTCATCTCTGTCACTGTCAGAGCATATTCAGTCCTACCCACGACGGTGTATGCGTTCAACTACAACACCACTGCAAACAGCGATACGTTCTGGTCCTTGGTAGCATATTTCCACAACCAGTTGCCCGAGCTCTCCGACGCAGGTGTCATGGGTTACTATTTCATCATGCCCAACAACAGTGCGGCACAATCCGACCCCGCCCGTATGGGCTCGGTCTGGGGCATCTGGTTGGTCCCGCACAAGACCATTGAAGAAGCCCAGAAAATATTGATGCCCATGGAACAAACCATCAGCAACAACTCACACAACTGGACGGACGTGGTCTTTCTCAGCAATTCCTCTGTGGCGGTGCCGGACTTCACTAAATTCTGGCTCACTGTCATTACGTCGCAGAGCGTAGGATCAGAAGTCCGGCTAGGGTCTCGCCTCTTGGACCGAGCCGCGCTCAAAACTGTTCCAACAAAATTGAAGAGTCTCTTCAAGCAGGCGAATCCTCTCCCACAGTATTCGATCCTGGGGCATCTCGTGGCAGGCAAGGGTGTCAGGACTGTCAGGAACGGAATCCCCGGAGGAAGTAACTCCGTCTTGCCCGCGTGGCGCGATGCATACGTACACGTCGTCCTTCCACGATCGTGGGCGTTTCTGAACGAGACGCAAAAGATTGCGACAACCACACAGCTCCGTAATGTCGAAACAGAAGCCCTCCGCGAACTGGCGCCCAACATGGGAGCGTACGTCAACGAAGCAGACCCGACTGAACCACACTGGCAGAGGACGTTTTGGGGATCAAACTATGCCAGACTGCTGCAATTGAAGCAATTTTGGGATCCTAAGAGCGTATTCTGGTGCGTGCCTTGCGTGGGTCACATGGATGGCTGGGAGGTTGTTAGCCAGGTCGGTGTGGAGGGCGCGGTGGGCGAGTCTCCAGGGAGAATCTGCCGGACTTGATGAATCACTGGAGCCGTGGCTGGTGAAAGCTCTGTACTATTCCAGAGACGGCTCGTGGGCCTAAGGAGTTCTGGGATTGTAATCTGGCTCATGGTGATCAACATGGTGATCGAAGGCTGTAGACGTGGATCTGCCCAAGCACGATAATGCATACCGATGTCTTTTCGGACCAGCAATATCATAATGTGAATATTTAATGAGCATTGTACATGGACTTCGCACTCACTGACTATTCTGCCACTCTTAATACATATGGCTTTTCCGTATACTGTAATAGTTCCTCTGCTACTTGTACTGTAATACTTAGACAGCCTTACCGAGCAAGGATGGAAGGAAGGCTGAACTAGTCCCAATAGAGTTAGAGCCTAAGCATTCCTTGTATCTGCGCCATTCCGTTACCTTTTGGAATTATCACTCCTGAAAGCTTTGCTCCCTGAACTTTTTCAATTGGAAAGCCCACATAGCTTGAACCTGCTCTACTCACGGGCGACGGTTCGGCCACGCACAATCTGCTGCTCCCTGGACCTTCAGCAATGGGTGTGCAAGGGCTCAAGACCGTGTCGACGGCACGGGTAAGTTGTCTCGCTGTTTTCTCGTCTCTCCTCTCACCCCCGGCCGTGCATGATCCAAATCACTCCAGCATCCATCCTTCAAACTTCCCTCATGCTACCTACCCTTCTAATACACTCACTCTCACATCTGATATCACTCTTCCTTGGGCTGCCCAGGTTCGCTGACCGACTCTTCAACCACACAGAACGGCCTCGGCGCGTACATCCTGCAGTGCACGCGGCTGCACCTGACGTACTCGGACCATTGGGCATCGTCGACGGGGCTCAAGTCGCTGCTGGCGTCGCCGGCGTTCTCGGCCCTGACGCACCGCTACCCGAGCGTCGAATTCCGCGTCTCGCCGCGGCCCAACCGCCACCCGGTGCTCAAGGCGCAGTACTGCAACGGCCGGTCCAAGGCCGTCTGCGTCAAGAACCTGGCCCGCGAGCAGGTCCTGGAGAAGGCCGAGTTCCTGCTCGGGAACTCCGGCGACCGCAATGTCCTCGTCAAGGGCAAGAAGGTCCTCAGCACCAACGAAAACGTCCGCGGCGTGTGGAGCCCCATGCACGGTGGCATCAAAAGGATTTGAGAGAGAGCTGGACACACACACGAAGCACTCGAACCCGACTTGGATCGTGGGCTTGGTTGTCACATGAGCTCTGAGCTTGGAAATGGTTTGGAGCTATGTGAAAGCCTGGACGGGAACTATTAGGGGCAGATTGGCAGAAGGAAATGAGCGATAATTCACAGAGATTGGGGCACAAAGGAGAAGAGGGCGCACCAAGGTATCAATTCGTTCGCGCAAAGGGCAGCGTATTACGCCACGGAGGGCTTGTGAAGGTGGCCTCTCTCTCCAAATATTTAAGCAGCGCCTTGTGAAAGGCTCCCATTCCACTGCACATCCCGCCTGACGCACGCACGGGAGGAGGAATGCCGACAAAAGCTATGCCTGCTCGTGTGCAGTGGGCTTTGACATACACGCGGACCTCGGCCGTGGACGAGCCAGCCCAGAATCCCAGAACAACACGAGTCGTTCGGAAGACGTGTGGGATGTCACGGTGTTCAGAGAATCCACGACAACAAAGTCACCACCAGCATCTCAAGCCGCCGCGAAACTGGGCGGATATCTCCAAGTTCCTCCCCAGAGGGCAGAGAGCTTCAAACGCACAACAAAACACATGTATCTATCCATCTATGATGCTGTTCTCCAAGCCTACTACGGAGATGGAACTACGGGTACCGAATAGCAGTAACCCAGAAACTTCCGCGAACGAACGAAGCATGTCGGATCAGGGGGGGGCGGGTTTTGGGGAATAACATCATTTGGATTTGCAACATATGTACAATCGTTACAAAACGAATTCAGAACAGCGTTTGACGCGTGCTCTGGGCTGACTGAACTCTGGTATTCCCGTACATCAACCTCCATTGTGAACATTGACTGGTTGGTCTCTTGCAAAGATATTTATGATGAAAAAAAGAATACGACTCCACAGTCGTGCAAGGAATAGATTCACCTAGTCGTTGGAGCGGTTCGATGTCTGGATGCATCGAGCCAACTTTTGGCGTGCGATCACAGGTAGATGGGGAACATGGCAGCCTTGCCGAGGACCCTGGTGTTACAGCCGTCAACGATGCATACCGAAAACGGTACCGACTTGGGCGAATCTGGCTTCCTTTCCGGCTCTGTCTCTTTGCCTTTGCCTCTCCTTGATGCTCTCCCCTTGAATCGATTGACGGCACAATCGCCGCAGTAGACCTAGAAATTTAATGTTAGAACAAGGATTAAAGTCAGAATGAGTCTCGAAACACTCACATGTCCACAGTTTTTGGACACCCAGACCTGCTTCTTGGTATCCCCTTTGCCAATCGCCAGTTCGTCGCCACACAGCGGACACAGTATGACATCTTGCTCTCCGAAGGTCCTGATGAACCCGTCTTGGGCTTCTGGAGGCGCCTTGTAGGCCTCAGACACCTCCCGCGGTGGATCGGAGCCACGATCAAAGACATCATAAGGACCCATTGCGAATGCGGGTCGTCTGTAGTCCATGTTGACGAACAAAGGGCCGTCATCATCGTTCGCAAGCCGGCCCCCTTGGTTCCGCCTAATGTGGAGGCTTTCCGCATAGCCCGTTGGGACAAGATGCTGCATGTTCTCAAAAATGAATTGTGTCCCCCTTCTCAGCAAATCTGAGTAACCCGCCTGGGTTCTGGCACTGTGAGAACTGGGAGGGGTCAAGCCAGTGCGAGACGGTCTGTGCAGGCCACTGTGATGCTGGACGTGTGGAACACGTCTCTCTTCCACGAATTCGACTTCTGGGCTGGTAGAAAAGGAGGATGCGGACCGGGAGACGAACGCACTCGTGTCAATCGACACATCGGCAATCAAATCATTCGTATCGGACTCTGACTCGTCTGTGTCTGAGAGATCGATGACCTCGAGTGGCTGTGATCGTTGACCGAAAGGGGGGGCACGCATACGTTCTGCGTTACGGACACGTGCTTCGTCTTGTTCCTGTGTACTTGCCTCTCGTCTTAAACTAGTCGGTTGTCCCCTCATCGCAGTCTCTCGGCGTGGCCTTGCGAGTTCTCGTTGCTGTTCAAATCTTCGTCGTTGGGCGGCTGCTGCTTCTCCCCAGGCGTGGACAAGTGCTGTTCGGGATTCTGGCCGGGGAGCGACCTGGGAAAACGCCTCCCCCGAGGTCTGTTGTAGGTAGGATTCTGGCGTAATGGTCAGAGGATCATTGTCACTGTCGCTGTCGCTGTCGCTGTCCGCTGTGAGATCGATCGTGACATCGTGTAGCGCTGGAGCTGTAGCTGCTGACGGATCCCGTGTAGACATGACAGGTCTCCGGAAGTCCAGGCCGTCGCCCTGAAATCGTGCTCTTGATTCTGGGTGTGGCGGTGTCGAGTCTCGAGAAGACTCAGCGGTTGGCTGGTAGTTAATGCGGCGGCGCTTGGATGGTACGTGGTCGGGGGTAACACTTCGACTTTGGGATCGGGTTATTTCCGCATGAGATCTCTGTCACCGCAGTCAGTACATTGCTTTTGAAAGCAGATCATCCGGCACGTGTATATTTTATGGGAGAGACCGGGAGCTGAGGGCCTACCTTTCGACTGGACGAAGCCGACGCTGAATTCAGGAAGTTGCTCAGAGCAATAGTGCCTGCAGGAGGCATGATCAATGCTCTTGCGAGGGCAAACTATGGCCTTCGGCTCGGAAATGTCATGTAGGCAAGAAATCGAGGTGAAGAACGTCGCCTGAGGTGGTTCGGGAGAGGGGAAGTTGAGAAGGCGAGAAAGGTCGAGTGAGGTACGATGATTTGGATGTCGTCCGGGCACTGACGCCGAACCTTCGCCAACCAAGCAGCCAGCGAAGTGGGAACAACGGGACGACCAAGATGTCGACGCCAGAAGGAAGCTGGTGTAACCGGCGAGCACACCTTGACAGACTGAAGGGGGAGAGGGAATTTGACCAAAAATAATGCCAGCCTTTGACAATGGCCACCTGCGAGTTACAAAAGGTTGGAACAGGCCAAATAATAGTGATGGAGATGTTTACCCAGCTGCGATATTTTGCGGGTGCGGACCAGTGGTTCGAGGGGTTTTGTTGGTCATTTGCCACTGTATGATCGAGCCTCCTACGCAGTGATAGGCCAGTAAGGGCCACCGCTCGCGACTAACCAGGTAGGGGCTAGGCTCTTCTTGTAAGGGCACCGCTGATTAAACCGCTAAAGTCCGGGTAGGGAGCCCCTGCGCCTGCCATATAATAATAACTGGTCACAGGAGCCTAGCAGCCTGGAGCTCCGTCTTTGAGGCGTCAAAACAACCACATTTACAATAACCACAGTACATGCACTCCGCAAGCTGGCCCGTTTTATTGTTTATACATATCATCCCGCCTGTCGAAAGACAAAGAGACACCATTTGTCAAGGCCACTGTCGCTGCTTTTGCAAGTGTTGCCATTTCTTCTCTTTTTGTTTCTCGCAGCCTACCCCCTTTGATTCTCACATCAATTATGGGTATCAATGCTAGCTTTCCTTCTTTCCTGTCTGTATCCGACGAACGTGAAATCACTTATCCCTCCGTTGCCGCTGCCAGAGTCGTAATCACCCCTTCATCATTGAGAGCAAGTAGGCTCTGAGCATGCTTGCCCCAAGCGATTCGTGTCGCCGGAGTCCCCCGCTTGAGGATCTCTGACCATTCCTTGGACGCCTTGGAATAATGTTCGACCGTAACGCCATCTTGTCCTGCCACGCCCAGGAATTGCCCAGTGTAGTCCCAGCTGATGGATTCGATCTGGCTGCCCGTCTCGATGGTGGTGATTTTTGTCGCTTTTCTCAAGTCCCAGATCGAGATTGTCGACGACTTCTCCGTCACGCCCGCCAACCATATGCCGTTTTCGGAGAAAAAGATGCATCGTACAGGGCCACCAAGGTCAAATGTTGCGGCTTCTGCACCGGACTTGACGTCGAATATCTTAATCTGGCCATCGACGCCACCGGCCGCCAACAAGTGTCCGTCGGGGTGGAATTGAGCACAACGGAGACCTAAATGCAGTGAGCGCGCAAGCCAGGGTGTGTAGAAGCAAGAGGACTGACCCGAATTACTTTGAACCTGGGTAAGGACACGGTTAGATTCAAGGTCGTAGAGGATATAGGTCCGGTCTTCCCCGACTGAAGCCAGAATGGTGCCACTGGGGTGTAGAGCCACCCCGTTGGCCTGCCCGGCATGGACGGAGAAGGACGAGACTTCTTGGTCCTTCTCAAACACTTTGACCGCACCCGCTGATGTGGCAACAACCGCCTTGTCATGAGCCCAGAGACCGTTTGTGGCTTCTCCGTCGCCGAAGTCAAGTGTATACGATATCGAGTCCTCTGAGAGTGAGTAGACCCCCGCTTGAGAGCCTGCGACGAGGACCAAGTCTCCGCCTTCGTGCACGGCAAGCACGCGTCCACCTGAAAACAATGGTTTCGAGGCTGATCTCGACGTGTATGCTGATATTGAGTCCGAGGTAGCCCATTCTTCTGGGACTGGTCGTTTTCGCCGTGTCTTCGACAAACTGGAGACACTCGTCAGTTCATGAATAGAATATACAAAGGGCGGCCATACCTTTGTTGTACGCTTTCGATCTTCTCCACGATGGGTTGTGGTAACGGGGCGCTGTCCACCTGCATCGCATCACCATTCGTGCTGGCAGAAGCCCCTCTACTGATGTTGATTTGTGCCAATGTTGCTCGTGCCTCGTCTCTCTCTTTTGTAAGCTGCGCGATGACCCGTACCGCCGCATCATTTTCGTACAGAGCGGTACTGAGCTCTTGCCGAGCCTGGTGAAGATTCTGTTGCAAAGTATAGGTTTGAAGCGCCAAAGCATCCCATTCATTCTGGAAGAAGGAGAGCATAGCAGGGATCGAGGTCATCTGCGGAGGTCGTGGATAGACGACATTGGGGCTCTTGAGATCGATAAGGTCTTCGACGGACAGGCTCTCTCCGGTCGTGGGCTCCGTGCCATTCTCGCTGATGTATGCTTCGATTAGGCGCTTTTCGTAGACATTGCCTGCGAATGTCAGAATTGTGAGACGATGGGACACACATATCTTGGACGCACCACTCTTGCGGGAGGCCACTGGAACCTGCGGCGCTTCTCCCGAAACTGCCATAACATTAGTCGCATTCAATTGCACGAGGTGGACGAGAGAACCTACTTGCGCACAGCATTGTCGCAAAAGCTGCGTCAACGCAGAGAATAGTGATTTATTGGGGATCAAGGCACGGATCTCGCTTGAGAGCTGCTTCAGCGAGCATTTACGGACCGCCACAAGAAACGTAGGAAAATCCAGCTGCACGTACTTTTTGCTTTGGTTTTGCGGCGTCGAGCCAGGACCAAATTCTGAATATGGAGTTCGGCAAATTTTCCCTTTTGGGTCTCTGCATTGTAGGCCTCCAAGTCCAACGTCCAACGTCCAACTTCCAACTTCACGTCTCCATTGACCGTCGATAGTTTTCGTCATTCCAGCATTCGCAAACACGCCAGATCAAGGCCCTCTGTCCTCCTGGCATGGAGTGTCGTCTTGACTTCTTCGTCATCTCACTTCTGTCTGCCCATCATGGCGGACGCCGCCCTCCCATATCATGAGCCCGGCATCATCACAGTCTTGATCCAGTCATCTTTCCTCCTGGTCTTAAACATTCTGGGGTTTGCCCTGGACCGCATGTTCTACTGCGGCCTGGTGGGCCAGGTTCTCATAGGAATGGCATGGGGAACACCTGGCTCCCAGCTGTTGTCTCGTGTATTTGAGGATACGGCAACGCAGCTTGGGTTCCTAGGCCTGATCGCGATTGTCTTCGAGGGCGGACTGGCGACCTCAGCTAAGTCACTAGGAAACTCTCTGATACTGTCCACCTGCGTGGCCCTTACTGGGATATGTCTCCCAATGGCTCTATCTTTCTCTCTGATGGCAATATCAAATGCCACAAAGCTACAAGCCTTCGCAGCTGGAGCTGCACTATGTTCAACGAGTCTAGGTACTACTTTTAGCCTTCTAAAGACGACAGGCCTGACAACGAGTCGCTTGGGAACCATCCTCACCAGTGCCGCCATGTTGGACGATGTTGTTGGGCTGATCATGGTTCAAATCATAACAAATTTGGGCACTAGCCAAACCTCTATTTCGACGAAGATGATCATACGCCCTATTTTCGTATCCCTTGCTTTCGCCATCGCCCTTCCCGTGGTCTGTAAGTTCTTGGTGACGCCAGCCCTTCCTTCCCTCTCTGCCGTTTTAGGCAAAGTGAAAGGAAGATTCTCTTCGAAGGCATTGGACCTGGAGGACAAGCTTCCATTCCTTTTCTCAACAGCGCTTTTGGTGGCTCTCGTCACCGCAGCGAGCTATGCCGGCACGTCAAACCTTTTCGCCGCTTATCTAGCGGGCGCTACTATATCTTGGCTAGACGAATCTAGTCTACAGGCAGTAGGTATACGATCTCAGGGAAAGTGTTCGCAGGCGCCTCAGGTTCAGAAATCTTCGGTCAATGCGACCTCCACTGTCGCGTCAGTACAGTCTGGTACCTCTCAGAATGCCAGTGAAATACCTGGATCGGACCATGACAAACCACAACACTATCAGCCGCCGCTGATGCAGCCATCGAGACCGTCTCGTGAACTGACCCCTCCTCCCGAAGATCCAAATGCGGTGACAGGTGTCGATCGAGATTCAGGATCAGCCGCTATCCCTCGCGCACTGGACCTGGAGAGCCGCAGCCTCCAGATGTACAACCGTTACTATGCACCCGCGGTAGAGCGCATATTGAAACCATTTTTCTTTGTAAGTCATCCCTCACCTTATCAGCGTACTGGGCCTGTTTTCGCCAGCGACTCACAGCCCGATCAAACAGGCATCGATCGGCTTTTCCATCCCAATCACCAAGATGTTTCGAGGCCGTGTCATCTGGCGCGGTCTAGTCTACGCAACATTCATGGTCCTCGGCAAGCTCTTTTGCGGTCTGTGGCTGGTCCGCTTCTCTCACTCGTCACCGAAACGAACGCCGCGACCTCTTCGTCCGCAGCCTTCGCAATCCGACAAAAGGCACACAGATACGAAGGAAAGGAGGAAGAGCAGCGCCAGCCCGCATCGATCTCTCCCTCGGCCGAAGTCTCTGTATCCAGCATCCATCCTCGGCTGCGCCATGGTCGCTCGAGGCGAGATTGGATTCCTGATCGCCGCACTCGCAGCGACGAACGGCATCTTTACGCGTAACGGAGCCGCGGAAAAGGCGCAGCCCGGAGATGGGCTCGTATCGGATCTGTATCTGATTGTCATTTGGGCGGTTCTTATTTGCACCCTGGTCGGCCCGCTCGCTCTGGGGTTTCTGGCCAAAAGGGTCAAGAGGCTTCAGGATGAAAGGGTGCGAGATGGTAGCGGTCGTGGGACGAAGGAGGATCCCCTGGGCATTTGGGGAGTTGATTAGCTCCGTCTCCTGAATTCTCAAAGATATGCCCCCATGAGGACACCAGGGCGCTCTCGGGTTGTGATGGAAATGGCAAAAGACTTTTTGGGGCTGGCGAAGCAGCTTCTGGGAGGACTCAGAACATCTTCGTGTTCAATCATCTGTTATACAATGCGAGCCGAGTGTGGTCGAGGAGTGAATTACCACCAATACAGTTTACAAAACCCCGCGCCTTTTTGCGCTATCCCGTTCCCTTCGCCTGCATACGCACCTTGCTCGCCTATTTGGCCCATTCTCAGATCTGACGATCATCTCGAGAGCAGTTTGCCGAAAAGATCCTTTCCCTTGCCATCCCTCAAATTCCCAGCCTGTTGAGCCAATGTATCGAACAACCCCGTCCTGCGTCCGCTCGGCGCGTCGAAGGTGGCGTTGCTGACCTCGTCCGGCTCAACGAAGCCCTGCTGGCGCCGCTGTTGTCGCCAATTGTCGTACTGTGATGGCGGGGCGCTGCCGGCGTACGTATTCGCCAGTTCCGGCGCGGTTTTCAAGTCTGAACCGTAGTCGTATGCCGTCTGCTGGTGGTTATTATTGTAGTAGCCACACGGCAAGGGCGAGGTAGCGCTGTTGTTCGCCAACAGCACTTGCGCTTGGCCTTGCTGGAGCTGCTGGTGCTGCCGTTCCTGTGGTGAGCCGCGTCGCTCGGTGAATTCCATGGGCATGACTTTTTCTGGCACCGGCCCTGCCTGGTAGTGCCCAGGGTAGTAGCATGGAGGGGCGTCGAAGTATTGTTGTTGGCGCGAGGTGCTGTCCGGCGCGGCACATGCGGCAGGGTTTGGGCGTCGGTGTTCGGCACTCTTGGTGATCTTGTTCACGGCGTAGATGCCGGCGCCGGCAATGATGGCGGTCTTGATCAAACCCATTAGAATAGGTATAAGCAGGTCCAGATGGTGCTGAACGGGCTGAGTTCTCTGTCGCAGTTTATCAAGAAGCCTGTGCTCTGCGCTTTTGAAAGAGGTCCCGGCGTTATCCTGTGAAGTCTCTGTTTCTTTCTGATTGTGAGATATTCTCCCAATGACAGGACGTCCAGGCACTTTTATAGACTGCACGTCCCGAGCTGAGGAGCAGGAGGCCCGAGGACCACAATCTCGGGGGTTTCAGACACACAGGCAGGCATATTATCGCAAACCGTAACCCTGTGTGGTTAGCGTAAAGTAGGGAGACAGTACATATATGTACGCGTATAGCAGAAGCACTGAATGGAGTTAAGTAGTGTGAGGCTGTGTGAAAGGGTTTGGGCCCGAGATCGACGTGGGCCTGGGGCAGAACGACGGCAGGGCATCAGGCAGCTGCGAAAGAGCCAGCACCAGCTGATGCTCGGTTCGGCTCCAACACCTACACACATATTCAGCCGTCGAATGACCTTCAGCCTGAACAGGTTTGTGGGACACAGGCACCCAGATTTCCTCTGTTCGTCGAGGCTTAGACCTGAGAAGCGTTTGAGGGATTTCACTGGTTCAATGGGGAAAAGATCTTCCAGCTCCGATCCGAGACTGCACTAATCCCAATCTAGACTACACCAATATCAAACCAACGGCTTTGCACAGTCCGTCACCGATGAGTTTGACTGCAAGAAGCAGATTGGATCCAGGCGAACCGGCTAGACCGCTTGGCTGCCATTCAACCTTTGTGAAAACAACACTTTGATTTCGCCTGCGCCGACAGCGCAATGGCACCACAGGCAGCTAAATGTCAGGAGCCATTAAGCCACCCTCAAATGACACTTTCGCACAATCGGGCCAGGTGTTAAAGCTGTAGGCTTCTTGCCGCAAAACTCTGAGTGGTTGAAGCGGTGTTGCATCGTTGGACAGTTGCTGATTGGCTCTGATGAGATGGCGTATTTCCTGTGCGTTGGCAATCTCTCAGCCTGATGAGAACTGGGATCGCGGGAACTTCTCTCTCTCTATATTTCACACGCTTTGTTGGAGCCCATTGAACAATGGAAGCCAGAAATGGAGAAAGCTCCCGCTCTAACGGGAATGCCTCAATGTCGATCCAGGACAAGACACAATGGTGTATCAACATGATCAACAGCTCGTAACAGCCCAGTAAAACTATTTGCCCGATCTCTCTTCGTTGACACCAGGTGCAGGTCAAATGCAGATCCAGCAGACGTCCTTCTCCTTTTAGGACGTCCTGGAGTCGGGAAATCATCATTCTTGGAGCATGTCACTGACGCCAGTGGCCACGCGGGTGATGGTACAGAACCTGGTAAGTGATGCGGATGCAGAGTGTATTTGTGGCTGGCGATGATCGTAGGTCCTAACCCTCAACAGTTACCAAGACATTCCAGATCGAAACTGTTAGGGGCAGTCAAACTCCCCTGTTTATCATGGACACGCCCGGCATCAATACGAATGCTGAAGCAGCGGCCCTTACGGAAATCGCACGTGGCATCGAGACCATTCGATCCAAAGCCCGAATCGTCGGCGTCCTCTACGTGATCAGAATCATTGATCGAAACGAAGCCATCGATGACAAGTTGCGGGCCTTTCTCCTAAGCTTCTGCGGCTCTAGATTTATACCGCGCATCACGTTTGTCACGACACACTGGACTGCAGAAGTGGAAGCGCAAAGACACGGATACAACCGCAATCTTGAAGAGCTCAAAAGGAGGAGTCAGATTGACTTCGTGAGAAAGGGAGCAAAATTCTATGAGCATGGGCGAGAATTCGTCGCTGCTGGTGGTTCATCCGAGTTTCTCCACTGGTGGCGTCAGCAGACCGATATTGCTAGGCATGCAAAGACTATGATCCATACCTGGTATGGGAGAAATCAGGAGGTGGAAAGTCCTCGCTTTGTTCAAGAGCTCGAAAGCGGTGTCTCTGTTCTTCAAACTGACGCCGCAAGATCACTGGGAGTCTTCTCTGATACATCCGGGTCCACGTTCCCACCAGAGCAGGAACGAAGTGCACCAAATGCGGATCAACGGCCAAGAGATACACGGGAATCGACGCCTAATCCCCCTAGCGGTTCGAATGCGAGTACGGAAGAGGGAGGAAGGGAGGAAGGAGAACAAACTCAACAAGCCGAACCCTCATTCTGGGAGAAGGTCCGGGAGAAGGTCCAGGAGAAGGTCTGGAACGTGGCCACGAGCCTTCGCCCCACAATCAACGTCACTAGCGAAGGCATCAGCGTAATGTTCTCGACACCCAATCAAGAAGGGAACATCCGAGGAACCTTTCAACATCCTTTTCCTCGGAGTCATGCTCCTCACGACCGGGGTGAGCCGCCTGGACAGCCTCGCGAATGGCCTAAAGGGTTTGGTAAGTATTCTGTTGATCGACTGTGTTGTCCCTCGTGACTGCGAAGCTGACATTTCATAAGATCGAAAATCTCCCATCGATAATATGAAAGTCAGAGGGTACGATTCCAGTCTCCAAAGCCGTAAACAGAAAGTAAGGGATTGGGGTATTACGCTTCCAGGAACTCCGGGAGACCTTATATGGGGTACGGCGTTTAACCATGAGCTGAACAAGCGAGAGCCTTGGTAACTGAATCGATCTCTTGGATATAAATAGTTGTGTTAATCTTCTAGTGAAGCCGGGTATCACAAGCTACTAGTCTCTATACCAGCCTGCAGATTCCGCCCGCTGGCCGCTGTTATATAGTGTGTTCTCATAAAATTGCCGGGAATATCTTGACTCCTCTGACGGTAGCAGTCAACGCCACAACCATCGCTCAGGCGGCAAATATACAAAAAGGGTTCACCCAGGCTCGAGTCTGTGTCCGAGCCGGAAATGGAGATTTCGTTTTTGGTAAGCTGATGTTGTTATCATTCACCGCTGTTGCAGGTCAAACCTTTCCTGGCAGTCGGAGGACATTACCGCACCGCACAGAGCTCGTGCCAAAGCGGATGAACACGACATCAAGTTGAATGTCTCCTGGGTCAACCGGAATATCAAGAGTTGTCGCCTGTGCGGAAATGCGTCTCTGAAATCTTGAGACTATCAGTCTGCTCTCGTGTTTGGTTTCCATTCCGACCGATAGCGTCTGTCATTGCACGTCCTTCTTGCCAATGAGCTATTTCCCGCAACGAAAGCTGCCTCAACTCAAGAACTGATTGGGCCCAATCGTCAATCCTACAAGCTGTGGGGGAGTTGGACATGCGAAACGATATTTCGGTTTAGACGACTTTCAACAAGAGCAACCCTCGGCGATGCTGTGCTTGGTTATGTGGTTGCCTGTCGCGGCATCATCAGGATCACAGCCTCGCCGGTGGCTAATTAGTTGCTACTCCATTCTGGCCACCCAATCATGCCTTCGAACAACAGATCTCTGCCGAACCTCGCTAGGCAGAAGCATTTCAAAGCCACAGCACTTGTATTTAGTCGTCATCGAACAAGAATCTGCTCCAATCAGTCATTCGCATGCCATCCTGAAGGGGGTTGGCATGCTTTGTACTCGTATATCGCGTCTCCACTCTGCGAGCAGCATACTGGATCCGGAATAGTCCAAGAGGCTTCGTCTGCTGCTTATTCAGAGCTGACTTCAACAATGATCTTGACCCATCGATCTTCGAGGAACTCGGCTATGCCTTACAACCCATATTGCAGCGATCGTTTCCACAATCGAGAGGCTACTCCGAAGGCGGAAGCCGATAACGGTTTCGCACTACATCCGTCTGCTGGCATGGTTTCATAGCAGAGACAAATAAGGTCGACTTGATATTTTTCGTTGCGCCTGCCAGACTGAGTCAAGACCGGATTTTCTGAGCCCCTTTTTCCCCCGGCTGACGGCATGATGCTGGAAGAACTACAGAGCCTCGACCGGTGTCTCTAGGAGAGACAAAAGCAAGAGATTTCCTGCTCCTGCCCTCCAGTCAGGCCTGCTAAAGAACCCGCTGCAAATTCACCTTCACCATAGTCCGGGTAGTGGAACAATGGTGTACTGCGGGAAGCCGTCCAAAGGCTGTGATTATTGCCGTAAGAAGCGATTGAAGGTAAGGTGATTCTGGGCCTCGCCCGCAGATCCAAGGCACTAGTCGTCGAGGGGTGTGTGCTAATTGGGAAACCAGTGCGATCAGAAGCGGCCGGGATGCGGACAGTGTCGAAATGCCCTTCGAGCCTGTCCTGGATATCGCAACCAACTAGACCTCATGTTCCGTGATGAGAGTGATCGAGTCCAACAGAAATATCGAGTGACGTCGGAACTAGATGCAGACGCAGACGTGGACATTGGCAGCGGAAATGCCAGCGAATCCAGGAAGGACGATTCAATAGTCCCTACAAAGACACCACTGCTGCTTCTTCAAGCCACTGTACGGAACCTACTGCCAGTTGTGGCCTACAACAATTCCAGCCAGATGTCGGAACATGGGAACCAGCCCTCGCCGGTCCACCCTGCTCAAGCACGGGGTCCAGCTCTTCCCGAGATCGCAACAGCATTCTTTCTGACGCAATATATTTCCGGCAGCCATTTCGACTACCTTCCTCTTCTTTACGACACTGCAGGTCCCGCCTCCCTTCTGAGGGGCATTGTCGAGGCTGTTTCTCTCGCAAGTCTTAGTCATGAGACTCAGAGACCTGAAATCATGGCTCTAGCCCGACAAAGATACTCAGGGAGCCTTGTTGCAACAAACAAGGCTCTTCAAGATCCGCAGGGCTGCCGCGAGGATGGGACTCTAGCGTCTGTATTGTTGCTCGCTCATTTTGAAACTCTGGCGAGCGAGGACACCATTGGCGTCGAAGATATTGCGTTGCCACACGGCAATACAAGATACTCGCCTTCTGCGAGCTGGGACCGGCATGTGCAAGGCGCGGTGTCACTCGTCAGCCTTCGTGCCAAAACTCGACTCGACAACTCTCTGAGTGTCCGACTCCACCAACATGTCCACGCTGTAGCCCGGTATAGCAGCATCCAACGTCGCGCCCGGTTACCCGCCGAAGTTGCATCTTCGGACCTCCCTATTGGCTTGCGCAGAGATCGTCTGGACCCGAATCGACGATTTCTTGTGGTAGTCGATGACTTCACAGAGCTTCGCGCATGCATCCAGGAAGGGTCACTCACCGACCCTTTTGAGATTATTGAAAATGCCAAAGCTATCGACGCGCACGCTGCATTGGTCGCCCGAGGCTTTCCTTCGACCTGGGCGTACGATGTCGTGGTCACCAGCCGCGAGATGGACGGAGTTTACAAGAACAAATACCATCTTTACCCGAGTCATTTCTCTGCACAGCTGTGGAACGAGGTTCGAATGACAAGAATTGCTCTCAATGAGATTATCCTCGGATATGCTGCCAAGGCTCGCCGGCAGGATTCTCTTGATAGCGAAATGGACGACTTACTGGAAGCATTGCGTACGCGGTGTGTACGCGTCATCGAGCAAATGGCAACTGAGATATGCCAGTCGACTACCGAATTTTTACAGAAGCCAGACTGTCCCTCTCCGTTTTGGGGCGCCCCATTGTCCAAGCTGTCCATCGCCAGCGCGTACTTCCTCATATGGCCTCTGTTCAGTGCAGCCCGAGCTTCTAGAGTGGCTTCCGAGTCATTTAGGGAGTTTGTGATTAATCGGCTGCATTTCATCGCAAGGGAAATGAACATTCCCCAAGCTCGAAAGGCGTCGCTGATGTTGGAACAGGGTATTGTGCATGAGGACTGGCTGCATATGTTGCATTTGTTTTGATGATCCGAGATTTCACAAACATGTCTAGCTCCGTTGTGGGTTATACAAATCATTCGTCACGCATCATGGAGTAGACGGACCCTGCCTCAAGGAAACGCCGCTGGTCTTGGAAGGTAGGCGGGTTGAACGACAATTTGCAGGCCCGAGCCAACATCATTACAATCACATCAGGCCACGGCGGACCTTGTCAGGACTTGAGCTGTCACAAGCGATGCTGGGTACAGGGGTTGCTCACGACTCACCAACCCCTTCATAAAGCGAGAATGGGCTCGTATCCTATACTTAGTCCCGATATTGGGCCGGCATGCCAGAGCCGAGACGGGAACTGACACTTGTCTCACCGGCCATGGGTGTCGACTGTCTCAGGGTACCCATCGCTACGAGCTCAGCAATCTCTCCGTGTGTGGAAGCGAGGCAGAGACAAGACTATCTACATACGTCTAGGACTATTACCTGCGCGGACCCATGCGACTTCTTCAAAGAGGCCGGCGTCTCGGCAGTCGTAAACGATGTTTAATGCCTCGAGCCATCACATGTTCATGGACCTATTGACATCCTCCCAAGTGGTATCCCCAGGTTTTACATCGTCGTCGTCGCGCTCGTGGAAATCCTGTCTGAGTTCGTCGTCCCCAACGACCTACCAACCGTGTACCTTTGAGAGGTGACTACAGGTTCAACCAACACAAAGGTCATCGGTGTGGGTGGTCAGGGTAACGCTCCAGGCGCCGTCTGTTGTCGTTACAAGTCTAGTTTATATATATACTGGTGGCGGCTGATACTGCTCCAACTGCGCACACAATTTCCTCAGCATACGCCTTCCGTATTTCTGGTAGTACAAAGTCCCTTGTTCATTCCCTGAGTTCCGTTCTCACTTCCCATTGCACGTCCTTCCTGATCATGTAGCGTTGGCTTTCGTCGCTGTTGATGCTGGTTGTTTCCCCATTTGATCCTCTGACACCGCCGGACCACTGCACTGTGGTCGACGCTGTGGGACCTCCGGCAAGCTGTTCAGCCGTCATGGCTTTCGCCTGACCGTAGTACCCGTCTCGGTCGTCATTGATGGACGGCATCGCGGCACTCTTGTTCTTGGATCTCAGCTTGGACAGTTGAAACCCCTTGGAGTCCTGTCCGAGGGCCTGGCTGCGTGTGCCACTACCGTATCCGTATCCGTTGCTCTCGGCGTGCATGCCACCGAAGCCAGTGCTCAAGCTCTTCAGGAAATTGTGGAAGATGGGGACGGTGGCCGAAATCAGCGAGTAGGTCATCTCGCTCTGTGTCCACGCCACAAAGGTAGCTTCTCGCAGCAAAGGGTTCGTGGTGTAGCCACTCTGGCTAAAGGTGTGCAAACGGAACGCGATGAAGATGATGAGACTGCACACTTGTGTCAGCTCTCGTCTAGACGACAGAGGAAGGGTCAAGGGGTCTTACAACAGGCGGATCCCGAAAATGGACAGGACCGTCATTTTGCTCGAGACTGACGTCTGCAGATCGTGTACCAGGTAGGCGACTAGAGCTATAATCGCGACCTCGGTCACAATGTCCAGTGCCCCAATGACTTGCCAGCGTCGAAGCTGGAAACTCGTGAGCGTTGCGGAACCTCCAAAGGGAACTCGGCAGGGGTTGATCTTACCACTCCGGGACACTTTTGATTGACGGTCAACCACGGATGCGACAGATCGCACTGGAAGGCGACGGCCAGAAAGGCTCCCAATGTCCAAACACCCAGGAGTCCCATGGCAATGTTGAAGACTAGCCTGTGCTGCTTCATGCGCGATATGCGGTGGAGGAAGGACACGATGGAGATCTTGGAGAGGCCGATGATGAGGATGAAGAAGAGGTTGCTGGTGTAGGTCATCCTCTGAATATCATGCTGCGCCTCCAGGGAAACCAGATGTAGGGACTTCCCCAGGCCTTTGGAGCATGCTCCCAGGACGACGGACGACTGGATGACGGCCAGCACCGTGGCGGCATAGAACAAATAATCGTCGAAGCCAATACCATGGCTGATGGTGGTACGGACCACGGTTCTGATGCCCGCGAAGAACAGAAAACAGGCCAACCCGAAGGCCGTTGAGATCAAGATATATGCTTCATGATCGTCAGGGGTGACCGCTGCGAAGGGGGGAGACTGTCCCGCTGGGACATCGATGCTCGACTGCGAGCTCATGCTGAGCACTCTGCCCAACAACGGGCACAACGAAATGCAAAGTCGATGTGGGATCGATCAACACTCAACACGAGGAAGGAGAGTGGAAGTGGCCAGTCCAGAGACCAACCCACGGGCTTATACAACAATCGCGGGTATGCCGTGGTCCTCGTACCTGAAAGGTATCACTCTTCCCTATCACATTGCTGCGCATGGACCAGGAGAACCGGAGGGAATTTCATATCCGGGTCAACTTAAGGGGAAACAGGCATGGCGTGAAGTCAACCCTCCTTTGGCGCTTGCAGAGGTGAACGCAACCCAGTGGCATTCTCGCAGTACTTCATTGGTCTTCTCACGCCACCAGGACGTCGCCCAGGCTCGGGAAGGTAAAGATCGACCGAGCCGTTGCTCGGGGGCAGTTACAAGCCGCGATCCTGCGAGACCATTGTGGAGATGAAGTGGACGGGGGACGTACGGGGCCTGCACACAGAGTTGGTCGACGCCCGAGCCATCCGTGCCTATCTACACGTCCCTCGTTGGGCATGGTGCGAATTCGTCAGTGCATGGGTCTCTGACTAGGTCGACTGCCGTATGTACGTACGAGCGTCGATGACTGACCTATAGGGAACGGAAACAAGGAACGAGCTCTGGGATCTGCGAAGTGCTCTTCGTCTCACTCTCAACCTGTCCTTTGTCTATCTGGCTTATCAGATCCTTCTCTGGGGTGATTTTACGCCCACCATTGCATTCCCCACCCACTGGATGGATCTCGGCCACGATCAACAGCAACGCTTCTGGACGGTCTTGGAAAAGGGTTCCGTGGTGATAGGCCTCTGTTTCACGCCGCTAAATTTCCCCTTTTAATTGCTCGTGCCCAGGGTCCATGAAGCAATAGCCACTAGTTCGAGCATGGATATTCGAACGCAAAGGGTCTCGAAGAGAGTCACAGCCATGATGGATACCAGCCCTAGTATTGCCGCTAATTTATGCAGCTTCCTTCTCGGGGCCCCCATCTCAGGCACCACTCCCGCCACAAGGGGAAAAAAAGTAAGCAGATGCATTGGTTTCAAGCACCGTCTCGCGCCCCAGAGAGCCCGGCATATGCCCCCTCAACACGGTACCTACAAGCGAAGGGGCGCAGTGGAGGAACTACTGCACGAGGGAGCAACTAGGTTAGTTGGTACTCGGGATAGCTAGATGGATATGGTAAAGCCATGGAGGGATATCTCGCCTGGACGCAGGAGTGCCGACTAGCGGTTACCGAGTCGTAATGGGTGGCCACACACACAGGGAGAAACGGGCTCGCAGTAGTTCTCGTTAGTGGTGGCAGATGAACGTGGGAGTTAGTACTGCACATGTAGTTAGTCGTGAGAAGTAAGTAAGAACCGTATCTTGTCCCCAGTCTGCCACATGGCGAACAACCTTCTGTCAATCCTCCTCCCCTCCTCCCGATTTCTTACCCTCTTTCCACATATCTCATTCATTTCGTTCGTGTCATTTCCCAAAGGTTTCTCAAGGGGGAACGCCAGTAGGAGTAGCAGGAGCAGCAGCAGCAGCAGCAGCAGCAGCAGCAGCAACGACAACAACAAACTCCACCGACAAACCAAACAGCCATGGATTCCTACCACCTCGACAGCAAGCAGGTGAAGAATGTCGACGTCTCGGACTCGCCAGGCTCCCCGCCCAACGGCGCCGACGACGTCTTCGATGACGGCCTCAGCCACGTCGCCGAGAAGTTCAGAGGCACGTCGGCCGACAAGCGAGACATGATGGTCATGGGCAAGAAGCAGGTGCTCCGTGTAAGGGCCCTCAACCAACCAATGCACTCTTTGTAGCAATGGACTGACCTCTCCGCCCTTTCTCATCGATAGCGAAACTTCAGCTTCATCACCATGCTCGGCTTTGCCTCGACGTGCATTGCTAGTTGGGAGGGTATTCTCACGTACGATGACATCCTCTATCCCTCTCCCCCGTTTGTGTCATCTACTCTGACAGTACTCCGTCTCTTTTCCAGGTACCTGGGCTTCGTCTTGACTGACGGCGGCCTTCCCCTCCTGTTCTGGGGCTTTATTGCTTGTGCCATCGGACAGACGCTCGTCTATGCCAGTGTGGCCGAGATGGCTTCAATGTAGGTAGAGAGGACAGATCCACGTTCCACGTGGAATGAATATGCAAGCCACCACTGTCCCCGCTGGCTAACCATGTCCCGCTCTGCAGGTCGCCCACGGCTGGAGGTCAATATCACTGGGTGTCGGAGTTTGCTCCCCAACGTCTGCGAAAAGTCCTCAGCTACTACTCTGGTCAGTGGTGGATGGTTCTTCTGTCTCGTGGCTTCAGCACTGACTCCTCTCCACAGGTTGGCTCACCGCTATCGGATGGCAGGTGTACAACGCCAGCGTGTGTTTCTTGGTCGGCACCATGATTCAGGGATTGATCGTCCTGAACGACCCGACGTACATCTACAAGAGATGGCACGGCACTCTCCTGTCCATGTCCACCACCGTCTTCTGTATCTCGTTCAATACGGTGTTGGCCTCAAGGTTGCCCATCATCGGTATGCGAGGATCCCTCTCCCGACCGCGACAGGAGACGGTTGAAAAGGCTAACTGTTGGCAGAGGGCATGGTTCTGATCCTCCACGTCTTGGGCTTCTTCGCAGTCGTCATCACCCTCTGGGTCATGGCTCCCCGCGCCGATGCCCACACGGCGTTGCTGGACTTCACCAACAGCGGCGGCTGGTCAAGCGACGGACTGTCTGCCATGATTGGTCTGTTGGCGCCCATGGCCGTGCTGGTCGGATATGACTGCTCCGTTCACATGTGTAAGTCGCCTTCTATCTTTCCCACGAGACGACCCGCTATCAGCTCTCTGACACTTGGACTTCCTCTCTCTCTGCAGCCGAAGAAATCAAAGACGCATCCGTCACTCTTCCCCGTGCCATCATGGGCTCTGTCCTGGTCAACATCACGCTGGTGTTCGTCGTGGTGACGACCCTCTGCTTCACGACGGGCGACCAGACCGTGGCCGCCTCGTCCGCCACCGGCTACCCGTTCATCCAGGTCTTCTACGGCGCGACCAACTCGTTCGCCGGCACCAACGTGCTGACGGCCATCATCATCGTCATGATGGCCGCGTGCGCCGTGTCGGAAGTGGCGGCAGCGTCGCGCCAGATCTGGGCCTTCGCCCGCGACGGGGGCCTGCCCGCCTCGCCGTGGCTCGCACGCATCTCGCCCGGCTGGAATATCCCGCTGCCGGCCGTCTCGGTGACGCTGCTAGTGTCAGCGCTGATCTCGCTGATCAACATCGGCTCGACCGTGGCCCTCAACGCCATCACGTCGCTGGGCGCTATCGCCACGCTGGTCTCGTACTTCCTGACCATCAGCTGCGTCCTCTACCGCCGCATCACGGGGCCCGAATTGCCCCCGAGACGGTGGTCCTTGGGCCGATGGGGCCTGATCATCAACGTCGCGGCGCTGCTGTTTTTGATCCCGTTGATCTTCTTCCTGAGCTGGCCGTTGGTCACCCCCGTGACCGCCACCACCATGAACTGGTCGAGCACCATGCTAGGCGGTTCCCTGATCATCGCCACCGCCTACTACCTGGTGTGGGGCAAGACCTCGTACGTGCCGCCTGTGGTGCACGTCAAGCGCAACATGTAAAAAAAAAGAGGACGGCCAGCAATTTATGGTGGAGACGAGAAGCAGAAAACATGGGAGCCGTTTCGGGGCTCTCTCTCTCTTTGTCTCTCTCTCTGTCTCTCTCTATCAGGTTTTGTTTAAAGTGTGTTTGAAATTGGGTTCAGGAGCTAACTCCGGAAACCACGGGCTCGGGTGCGATCTGTTATCCGCCCAAAAAAAGAAAATCTTAGCTTGTATAGACTTTTTTTTTTAGGTTGTTTGGGATGAGAGGGGAAGTTTGACACGGGACGCAGATGCTTTGTTCGAGAATCTCGACCTGCTGAAGCCGTGGACATGATCTTGTTGGGAGACGACTGTCTTGTCTTGTCTGTCCATAGCTGCCAACTAGCTAGCTCGTCTCTGACCGGGGAAGCAAGATTGTATATACCTACATTTAGAGTGGAGTGGGACGCGTACGTGTCGCTGTTGTTCCCTTGATCCACAAAATAGCAGACAGACAAGTGCGGGGGGGGCGAATAGATTTTGAAGTTGTATATGTACAGTATGTATGTATGTATATATGTGAAAGTTGTGCAACAATGATGATGTGTGCTCGCATGTACGGAAGAAAAAAAAGGGGGTGGGCTGACGCTAAACGAGAAACAGGCTTGTTAATATGCATGCAGTCGTCCGTCGTCGTAGTGGCAGGTGGCTTGCTTGCTTGCATGCCCATTGATACACACACACACAGACACACGGACCGTATATGTACCTACTTTCTCTGCAGAAATCCACCACAGCTACCTCCAGCCCCTGACTTACCTTACCAGAGGTAAAAGACTTTCTTCTCGAACCCCCTGGTAGAGGGTGAACTGGCTGAGTGGTGCAGTACGGTACGGCACATAATATGCAATGAAGAAAATAGACAGACAAGAACGGGATGGATGGGTGTGCAGTAGAACCTGAACATTTGCCCCTTGCCCGCCACCACCACTATCACCACCATCTATTTGCAAAGTCAAGAACAGCACTCACGGATCAGCTTTTGATCTTACAAGAGGGTTTGTTTTCTTTCGAGCGCCTTCATTATGTACTGTAGTCGAAAAGCATGCTCTCTCTCCGTCCTCTCCCTCGGTCATCTCTCCCTCTCACTCACTTCACTTACTTGGATCGAGCGTGTCATTCAATGAAGCTTCGGGGCCGCCTCCCTCGTTCGTCGTTGGCGGAAGACCAGGCCAGGTCTGTCACTGAATTTGACCATCGTTGGTCGCCCTAGTCGGTCCACATGACCGACCCGCCTGTGATGCCTCTCAGTTTCAGGGGGTTGGTTTTGTCGAGGCGCACGACCTTTTTGCAGTCGTCGTCGCCCTCGATCTCGTATGTCGACACGTTGCCGACCAGGTGACGGAACCCGCAGCGCTGGTAGAACGGCTCGGTGCCCTTTGCCCCGATCACCACTGCCGGCAGGCCGTCCCGCCGCGCCCTCTCCAGGCCCCAGGCCACCATCTTCTGGCCCAGGCCCCGGCCCTGATACGTCGGGTGCACGGCGAGCGTCGACAGCTCCCAGTGGTTGGCGCGGGACGGCGGCTGGGTGAAGAAGTGCGCCGAAAAAGGCTCGATGCGGTAGGCAAAGTTCCATTTGTTCAGCGGGTTGGGATCCTTGAGCGACGGCACGGCCACGGACCGGTTGGGGATGAGAAGGCGATAGAAAGTGTAGAACAGGCCGACGAGAGGAGATATTAGTCTTCCTACACAGGCCGATATTGGTCAGTGATTCCGCACCAAGATGGACGTATGGTTGACTATGTTCCACGACATGGTCTGGACATCGACTAGCATCTCGGGCTCGATCTGCCAGATGACTTGTCTCACATGGGATGCATATGCCATCTTGCACTCCAGGCAGGGACCCAGACAGCACCAATGTCAAAAAGACAGTCACAAGCATGAACAATACTCACTTGGATCCCACCACCTCACCAGACCCCAAAGGCGCTCTGAGCCTTTACCCTCGCGCCCCCATTCTGCCGCGCCCGTGATGACCTCGCCCGACTTCTGAGACGGATCTTTCTCATAGCTGACGATCCAAATCTTGTTGTAATCCCACCAGTTCTTGAGGACTTTCTGTTTCCAGACAAAGATGTAGTCCTCCGGGTATTGTCTCCGGTAGGGGAAGATGCAGTCGTTCAATTCCTCGTCGTAGAAACTGGCGGCCAGGATCTTGGAGATGGTGTCCAAATCCGAGTACCTCGCCAGGCGTATAGGCATGTTGCGTCGGAGGCTTTTTGGCTGGATGAATAATACAACAACGATTTGGAAGCAAGGATACAAGGATGTATCATCGGCCCCCACCCCTTTTCCGGACAGCTGCACAACCAAACCAAAGAAAAGAACCTGGACTTTTTCTCCGCACAACAATCCTTCTGATGTCGAAGCGAGAAGATGTTCAACCTGGGCAATCAGATACGCCGTCTGCCCGTTGTCCTGCCGTTCTACAATGTGAGGGAAAATCACTTAACAACTAACCCCTCGTGCTTCGTTGTCGTGGTTCCCTGGTGGAACTTTGGACCTTCGGCCCCCTTCGATCGCGTACGGTCTCTTGCACGTGGAAGAGATTGACCCTTCAAGGGATCACGGCAATAAAAAAAGGGGGCCCCAAGCGAACGATCCCGCCGACAACGTGGGAGGCGAACTATGGAGTCAGGTACAGGAAACTTAGCAGGGCAGTTTAACATAGCGTGAGTTGTAGGGGACCAGACCACACCAACAAGTACCCACTACTTGCACCCCTGGATTCGGATGATCGCAAGGTCAAGCAATTTTTGCTCCAGCATCTTTCTTTCCGTGCCGATGGGCGTACGAGTCTTCCCGATGACTGACCTACCTACGATAATAATGGACGCGTGGCAACCTCGCTTGCTCCAAAAAGAGTCGAGACCCAAACCTAGTTATCCATCTGTAGTATAGAGGGAGTTAGAGGACTCTTGGATGGAGTACGGAGTCATTGGACTAGGCTCAGCATCAATATTAATCGGGACAAGCGTCAGGGACAGAACGGCACGTTAGAGAGCCGAGGAGCATACTTGGTATCAAAGACCAGCCTGAAAGGCCATTCGAAAAAAGCATCTAAGCGAGCCAAGCAGTTACTGATAGTCGTCGTTGGCGAAGGGCAAAGGGCGAAGGATGCTTGCGCAAGAGTGCAAGGCGAGGGAAAACGTGCGGGAAGGATGCCAGCATGGACCCAGCTGGTGTTCGTTCGACGCAGGCATTTCGAGTAGGTAAGTATGGAAAGAGCAAAAAGGTTGACTTTTTGCAACATTGGTGTGCCTGGGAGGAAGGTCCTTGATACCTTGATAAGCAATGATCAGCACAGAAGTGGACAGCAATCCGGACACATGCAAGACGAGGGGGCAAAGCCAGTGGAGTAAGTCCAAGGGACTGGGTTTTGCAAAGAGCCGGGGAACACGTAAAAGGCCCACGCAGGAATGGAGCTCCGACTAGAGACACGGTAGGAGGCGATCCCTAGGGCTGTCTCCCGAAATTGCAAGACATGCAGTCAATATCAGCAATTGGCCAACCGTTGGTGTTTGTTGAGGACCGCAGGTGGAGGTGACGGTAGTGCGTCCGAGGTCCTGTCCACGGACAAAAACTTGATGATTCTTGGTTTACCCGACCAAGCATTGTCCAACCAGCATGTCCTCGCTGTTCTGGCCAAAGAAGCGGTGTAGGGGAGGTGGCCAACGCATCTTTCCACACTTGCATGTTCGGGCTCTCTTAAACACGATGGTGGTGGCAATCGGGGAACTCGATCTGCCCTGACTTGTCGCCAGTAGCGTCGTTTGTGCATCCCGACTTGTAACTGCGCTCAAGCGGCCGGCCTGAAAGAGGACAAAGAGTCGACGACACTAAAAGGTGGCTTGCTCCTAGCATCGCAGGGGTTGGCTGCAAAAAGCCTCTTCCGCCCCCCCGCTTATCTGCCGGGGCTTGGGACCCTCTGCAGCTTGCATTGTTAGGTGCAGCATTAGGTGCAGGGCGATGAGAGGCGACAGGAGACGGCGGGGTGGGAAGAGGAGGGTGGTCTGCGAACTGGCATTGACCCCCTGCCTGCTTTGTTAGCAGCAGTTTGTGTCGAATACCACCCTGCACGTACCAAGTAAGGATCATCATCGATTCAGGATGGGGATGGAGATGGAGGGGTTTGTATGTCGTGAGCATGACTGTGGTCTGAATGAGAGAGTGCATGGATGTAGGTGGGTGGGCGTGTCTGTGTGTGTGGTATGTCCGTGGGGCGTCTTCTGTTACGGGCTCCCCTCGCTGTCCCGAGTACCTCGTACTGCCATAGTGTACACGATTCTATTTCTACAGCTATGTACTGACACAAACATCACACAGCAGTTACTCACTTCCAAAGTGTGGTGGATACTATTTTCACGTAGTTCATGGAAAACCAACAAGTCGAAATCACCACAAAGACGAAGCCTCCTGCAACCCCGGGGGTATCGATCAAACAAATTCATCCAGAACAGTCCCAATCTGTACCCAAAAGCTTCTCCATGATAGCCTGTAGCCAACGCTGGTACAAAGCATTCCCGACGGCTCGTTTTCCTTTCTTGAAACACCTTGTCTGCGCCTGTGATCCACGTCGACCTATGTCCATGTGACCCAATTGAAAAACCCCTTCGTAAGAGCAAGAACAGGTGCTGGAGTTGGTAACAGGCCTGCTTACGAGGGGCCCTGATTCTCGTAATGGACCCGCCACTGCATGTCCTTGCGGATGATTTTGGCTTCACTGTTCTGGCTTTCTTGAGACTGTCCTGATCGCGCGTCAGGGTCGACCGATTTGCCCCAGTATGCGGTGGTGTTGTGCTGGACCTTGTCAGGCCGGAAGTTGGGGTTTTTATCGGCGCTGTCAATCTCATCTTCATCCAGTGATCTTCTCTTGCTTCGGTTCATGCTGCTTTTATTCGTCTTCATTGACTTGAGAGGGATCGAGGCTTGTCCTTGTGTCTCCCTCCCTCCACTCGCCTGCGAGAGGGTCGTGTCCATCCATGTACCACCCATGCTGGTGTTGAACTTGCGCAGACCTCGATTGAGGGCCGGCAGTGCTGCAGACGCAATCGCAAAGAGGACCAGGACTTGTCGGTAAACCACTGGGGTCACGATCTTGACGCCAGGGTTGAGGGAATGCGTGGTGACATCTATGTAGTGGGCGTGCAGGCCAATCAGTGCAATCACACTGTCATGCGTCAGTTGGTGAACGATGGGTCAGGTTGAGTCGTGACTTACGCCAATCTTGGTGCAAAGGTGAGGAGAACAGATAATTTGCGATCCGTGCTCATGTGAAGCGGCACGACGACGGCCACCGACAATAAGAAGATCAAGACTTCACTGATTCCATCCACGACGGCCACCGCACTCCATCGCTTGGTCTAAGAGAGGATTAGCTGTCAGGCGACCCAGACAGGTCAATACTCAGAGGCCTACCAGAGTTGGACAGAAGGAGGTATGATATCCGAGCTGTTGGAGGGAGTCGCAGTCGATCGTGAGCGCGAGAATAGCCCCCACGCACCAAAGACCACAAAGTACGGTCATGGTATCGCACAAAGTCCGATGCCGTTTCATGTTGATGCTGAATAACTTCCGACATAGGATAATCACACAGGCTTTGGTCAAAAATAGGGCCAACAGGAACATGACGATCGAGGCTAGCAACAGCTGTTGCTACTGTTAGCGGGCATCCGCCGCCGCAGGGCCAGAGACTGCATACCTTGCCCATGGAACTCGCATCGGATGCTGATATGTCGACATATGACTTTCCCAGTCCATGGGACACGGCCACCCAGACCAGCATACTATGTATCAATCCGACCACCTGGTGGAGTTGAGTTGGTCAGCACCCAACCTGGCTCCCCAATTCACAGCTGATGCGCCAGTTCTTTACATACTGATACGGCAATAGCCAATCCATCATCCAGACCGATGCTTTTGTTGGTAAAGGTGCCACGGAGGGCCAGCAGCATAGGGACATAAGCGGCGCATATGATGGAGACGACCAGAATGACGCCGCGATGGTCATCGTCGGTCACTCGGAAGTATCGATTGCCCGAAACGGTCGGGTCGCTGGTTGATGAGTCTGCCATGGTTGCCGCAGGGAACGCAGTGCGAGCAAGACAAGTTCTACAGGTAAAGGAGCAGCATCAACTACATTAATCAGAAGACAGCGGGAGGGGGCCTCTTTTTGGTGGCAAGATTTGATTCAGGACTCTAGAACCTGCTCCATTCCTCTTTGGATAAATGGTGATGTCGGACCTACAGAGACAAGCAGGCCAGAGGGGGGGCGTTGAAACTGCCAAAAAAACTCTGTTTCTGGGCTTTATCATTCTAGTAGATACGGGAGTCTTTTGGAGCCCGGGAGTGTGCGTTCAGGGTCCTTACCACTGAAGCACCACTGATACCGAGGACAAAGACTAATCGGGGTCAATTTCAAGCAGTTCTGGGAAGCGAACAAGCCTGGGACAGTTCGCTTAGATCTCTTTGGTACCGAAGAAAAGTGAGGAGTTGAGGTGCAGGCCCCCGGCGATACCGCGAACGAGGTTATTGGCAGACGATGGCGAGTCGAGTGGGCGCGGCATGAAGTAGTCTGGGAGCTGAATGGCCGCCGGGGGAAGGGGTTATCAATGGGCAGATGATCTGGTGGGGTCTCGAGAGAGGACAATTGTTCAGTCAGCCTGGGCTTTAAGGTGGCTGTAAGTGACTTCAGGTGGCTTCGAGTAGCTGGACGCCCATTAAACCCCTTGCCGTAGTGATCGTCGCGGCGGGCCGACGCTAAGGAAGGGCCTGGGTGTTGGAAACAGGATAGATGGGCACGGCGAGAAGGTACCTTGACACCACCCACCCCCCTAATACCTGCGTACCTATCGTACACGCGAAGGCCCCCCCATTCCAACCATTCATTATTCGCCGTCACTTGGATCCCCTCGTCTCTCTGCCCTTCTTCTTCCCGCACTAACCGTGCTCCTCGTCTAGCCACCTTACAGACTTTTTGAACCTTACGTTGGGATAACTCTGCAGATAAGCATTTTTCTTCACTTTTACACGATACCAGCTCCGAACCATGCATCCGGTCTTGTTCACTTTTCTACCCGGTTCCCCACTCTCGTCGTCTCCAGGGGGTTGCTTGGACACCATGCGAGACCCGACATACCACTGGTGGTGTACATAGTCTCCGCGATATCTTTCCATGTGCAAGAGATGGACCCAAGCTACCACGAACTTCTTCGACGCTAACTGCCTGTCAGAGGCAAGACCATCGCCTTGCCACATGGGTTGTTAACTGTTGGCTGTTAGCTGCGTGCTGCTAGGCTCTTCCCCAGTGCTCTTTTCTGCCTTCCCTCTTGGTCACCACTCATCGATCCCGGAGTTTTAACCTCGAACCCAAAACTTCCAGACATCTCCCTTCATTTTCTTGCTCTTGCTCACCTCCTTCTGTCAATTCTTCCTCTCCTTCTCCCCTTCAGACACCGCCAACCTTCCTTCTTCCGGGGGCTTCTGTCCTTTGTGTGGTTGATTTTCTCTGCTTGACTCTTTGCGTTACTTGCTCGATTGGCCACCATGAGTAAACAAGCTGAAATCGGCGTGGTGCCGGAGAACGCCAGCGACGATGTGGTCATGGGCGAGAAGCAGGGAACCTCGAGGGATGTGGAGGATATGAAGCGTATGGGCAAAGAACAATTGTTCAAGGTAAGTCCCTCTTTGCGCCGCGACTCGTACAGGGAGTATGCCACAGAATCGACGTTGACCATCAAACCTCACAGCGTAACTTTGGGTTCTTGTCCATCTTCGGCTTTGCCATGATTCTGATGCAGACATGGCAAGCGCTGCTTGGGTTGGTCTACACCAATGCCCCATGATAGCCCCTCCTTCGTCGAATCAGCGTGCTGACTGCGACTCCAACAGAACCATTGCCTTCGGTCTCGGTAATGGTGGAACAGCGGGTCTTATATATTTGTATATCATCGTCGTGGTGTTCTTCACCCTGGTCAATGTCTCCATGGCCGAGATGGCCTCCATGGCTCCCACTGCAGGTGCGCTGAGAGCTGGGACGCAAGAGTCGCGACGGCACAATGGCTAACCCGCTGTCACAGGTGGTCAATATCACTGGATTTCCGAGTTTGCGCCTCGAAGTCACCAAAAGCTCCTCTCGTTTATCGTTGGCTGGATCTGTACCCTCGGCTGGCAAAGCGGTGTGTCGATTGGATGCTTTTTGGCGGCAACCGAGATCCAAGGTCTGATCGTCCTCAATAACGACTCCTACGTCTATGAGAGATGGCATGGAACTCTCCTCACCATTGCCATCGTGCTCTTTGTCGCTTTTTTCAATACCTTCCTTGCCAAGCATCTTCCTCTGGTCGAGGGTATGGTCCTCTGCTTGCATGTCGGCGGCTTCATCTGCATCCTTGTTCCGCTGTGGGTTCTTGGCCCTCGTGGAGACTCCCACCAGATCTGGACGGTCTTCGAAGATGGTGGCGGTTGGGGCTCAAGTATGTGATCCAAACTCGCGATTTGTCCTTGGCGGCTACTGATCATCTCCCAGCTGGTCTCGCAACCCTTGTCGGTATTATCACGCCCGCTACTGCTTTCCTCGGTGCCGACGCCGCCGTCCACATGGCCGAAGAGTTGAGGAACGCCTCCAAGACTCTGCCGAGAGTCATGCTCTGGACTTCCATCGTCAACGGAGGTCTGGGTTTCATCATGCTAGTGTAAGCTCTCTGTCCTGTCCACTGAACTGTAAAGCTTTTTACTGACAGGTTTTCCAGTACTTTCTGCTGTAAGACGCTTCTCTCCCAAGCCAACAGCCTGTGTTGGGGCCGTTTCTAGGGTTTCACAACTAACATGATTTAGATACCCTTGGCGATCTTGACAGCGTTCTTTCGACTCCGACCGGCTATCCCTTCATCCAAGTCTTCTACAATGCGACCGGATCCAAGGGCGGTGCCACGGCCATGTCGTGCATCCTTGTTCTCTCGGCTGTGGCCAACGGTATGACCAACATGGCCACGGCGTCACGTCAACTCTTCGCCTTCGCTCGTGACAAGGGTCTTCCCTTCCACACCTGGTTCGCGAAGGTCGGAACTCGATTCGAAATTCCCGTCAATGGTGGGTTTAGATTGCTGTTTCCTGACGTGGTCGTTGGCTAACGATGATTTCAGCCGTTCTTTTCACCATCGGCTTCTCTGTGCTGTTCTCGCTCGTCAACATCGGCTCAACCGTCGCCTTTAACCAGATTCTGTCGCTCGGTGTCGCCGCTCTGTTGTCCTCGTACTTCATCTCCATCGCCTGCGTTACCTGGCGCCGAGTTACCAACCAACCGCTCCTCGACCGAGTCTTTGACCTCGGCCGTCTCGGGATCCCCATCAACTTTGCTGCCCTCGCGTTCCTCCTTTTGGCCTTCGTCATGAGTTTCTTCCCGGGGTTCGCTAACCCCACCCCGCAAACCATGAACTGGTCTTCGCTGGCATACGGAACTGTGCTCATCATCGGAGCCTGCTACTACATATTCTGGGCTCGATACCACTACGTCGGACCCGTGGAGTACGTCCGCAAGAGCGCTTAAAACTGATTTTAGACAAGTTGCATTGATTGGTCTTTTTGGGTTGCAATGTTCCAGTGGTTCGGACTTGTATAGGTTGACTTTCTTCTCGATCGCCAAAAGAATGCTCATGTCACAAGTTGGAAACCCTCACTTTTTCCTGGAAACTGGAGTTAACAACGGTCCCTATGGGGTTCACTACGATTTGGAGTCATGCCTAGATGATTGACTTATAAAAGGTGTACAATATCTCTCTTGCATGCACGACTCGGACTGCAAACCCTGCACGAGGTCAGTATACGGTACCTTTGTGAGGAGTGTGTACACAATTCAAACTCTTGAATAAAATCTGCCCTGATTTTTCACGATGGTCTTTTTGCTATTTGCGTCGACATCCTTGTTTCCCGTCTATGTCCTCTATTGCCTTGGGGGTCGGCTGGGGTAACTGGGGCAAAATTGCTCCCTCCAGAGATAGCAACGCCAGGAACACACGATGAATTGATGGTTGACCGTAAGTCGCATTTCTGCCGCCGGTAGCAAGCCTGAAACATACGTGCATGGTATCGTCATCATCAAGGCTATGCACAAACACACACCTGTTCTCCAGGGTACCATGGGATATAGGTTACAGATGAGACTGGGTTCGGATGAGAGAGGGACCGCATGGGTCCAGATGCGCGGACGAGAGTTCGGAGAGGAAGTGGGAAAGCGAAACGCGAGAATAGGTGCGGGCCGTTGGTAGCTGGAATGACTTGTCGCCTGTTGACCAACAACTCTCTCACGTTGGATGGTTTATGCAACATGCTTTCAACATCGAGGATGTAGACAGATTGATGCCTGGGTCCGTGCATCTGCCTATACCATACCTGTCCCTTAACCACAAATCATGCAGACCCTGGAAGTGAGAAGGTGAAGCATTCACATCAACGTGTTTGTCCCTTTTAACCAACTCATCTCGTCGGGCCCCGCCTGTTCTTGCACAGTCGGGTGTTAGGCCACTCCCCGAGATGGACGAATCCGGGGCCGAGGTTCGTGCTCAGCTTTCTCACATGATGCCAATAGCCATGCGGACGAGCGTATCACAAGGAGGGGCATGGTTACACAAACGGGACATTGAAGGGAGAACCGTGGGGGCCGTAGGTGCATGAATACGCCCGGGCTGTTCCATTGTATGAGGATACTTCCGTGTTGGCCAAAACGATGAAGGAGTGGTCCGGAAACGGCGCAAGTGTCGACAAGCTCTTTTGGGCCCCTGTTCGGCTGGATATTCCAAGCGAGCGAGAGATCTTGCACTATCAGTCTATCACCAATGCTCGACGAGGTAGTTGGACTGTGATCTCTCTTGCTACACCACACAGGAGTGGCCGGGGAAGCCTCACTGCCCGGAAGTTGGTGCCTGTGCTTAAGGCCAGTCTGTATGGAGCAGTCGGCGTCGATTTGCTTCTGACTCGCATGGCGGTAATTTCCATCTCGTTGTCTACAGCAGATCATCCCCGGCATCATTTAAGGGGGAGAGGTGTGGAGGCGGGCACAGTTCCTATTATACGAGGTGCTGTACATACGTTACATACCCCGTACCGCAACTGCATTGGCCGAGGAATTACTCGGTATTATTACCGGGGTTCGCGTATTAGGCATTCAGCTGCTAGTCGTCTGCGGCTCGTGTTTAAGACTTTTAGCACCTCCTTCTTATTTGCTCGTAGAGTGTTCATCGGCAACTGCACCACTGCTTTCTCTTCCAGACACATGGCTGAACAAAAGCCTTGATCGATCAGCCGGGCAGTCCTGGAGGGCGGGCTGTACGTGTTTCAGGGCGACACCCCAAGGGCCCGAACCTCACCTGCCAAAAGAGAAGGGTAGGGTCAGCCAATCTGGTCACCATTACCATTTCCCATGGGCCATCGCCAACGGCATCACCAGCATCAGTAGGAAAGGGCAATACGGATTGTTTTCTTTACGTCACAAACTGTTGCGCCCGCTGACTTGTGTGTTTTGTCCAAAGCCCTGGTAGTCGGCTCGAGGAATCCCAGTGAAAGCTGGCATCACTTTCGCCGTGATTGGGTCCCATTTTCGGTCGTCGGCTTCTCCATGCAGTTGGGAGCCTATTTTCGAGGCCCTTCAGCTCTGGTGAGAAGGGGTGAAGCGCTCCAGGGTATGTCCCGGGATCTTTGCCTCCCACCATCAATCGAGGTGACCGACTTTGCGTCGCGGTCAATTCGCAGACTCGGATCTTCTGGTGAACCATGTTTGGCTCCAGCGAATCTGCCGTGTGCTGGACCTCTCAAGCAAGAGAATGGACGAATCGAAGGCAAGGCGCAAGCGCCACCACTCTCAGCCCTGCGGCCCAATGTGAGAGGGAGGGAGTGTACGCACTCGCAGTCACTTTACACAGTTACTAGGGCGTTGGCGATACCTCCGCCTTGGCCTGCCCACCTCCATTATTGACAAGCCTGGTACTACCCAGATGGCCTGTCCTGCTCGGTGTTCTCTCTCTTTTCCTTTCTCTCTTTCACCTCCTCCTGCTCCTTCTCCTTCTTTTTCTCCTCTTTCTCTTCCTCTTCCTCTTCCACTCCCCCTTACTCTTTAATTTCCTCTACCCGACTGTTGCCCACCTTCTGTTTGAGGTTTGAAAGACTGGTCCCTATGATACCACGGTAGCGGGTAGGGTTAGCGGCGTGAGACCAGCCCGTGCCCTTTGACAATATGACTTTTCCAAAGCCTGACAGCGGTCCCCGGGACCTGAACCTTGACCATATAAGGACACAGTTCCTCGACCACCTCACCACGGATGATAGGAATGCTTTCGATAATCACATCATCGATACTCCGGGCGGCCTGAACAAGTACACCATGCGGCTCATGAACACGTTTCAGGGCAAAAAAAAGACTGGAGACCTGACGCAGAAGATGGTAGCGAAACTGACTATGGCCCTTGAGCCTTATGTCGAGGTTCTTGGGCTTGTCGTACAGGGTGTCACAGAGTATGCCGCCATGGTCTGGAGATCTCTGTCGCTGTTACTCAAGGTTGGGACATGTTCTTTCCCCACACGTGTAACCAAACGCTGAATAATGACAGATGGCAAGCCCATTCCCAGGCCTGTTACACAGGCTGAGTGAGCTATTGCAAGAAGTGTCGACATGCATTCCACCATATCGAAACCTTCTAGAACTCTTGAGAACGAACGAATCCCTGTATCGACGGTTGATTTCAAGTGACAAGCTGAGACGGTCGCTGCAGGGGCTGTACCGTGATCTTCTGGGCCTTTTTGGTAACATAGGCAGAGTGTTTACTCAGAGGACCGCAAGTATGCTGATCTCTCCAGCTCATCAAGCAGTACATAACGCAGTTTAGGGTTAACCAATGTGCCTTCGAATGCGTGTTTCCTTCCTTTCGACTCTCGGTTTGACGATTTTCTCAGGAACCTCTCTGACTACGCCAGAGATTTGGACCCGGTCGTGCTTCAGCTGTCACAGGACGATGTACAAGCTTCACATGGCAGTCGTGAAGGGGTTCGAATCCGTGAAAGGCCGCTTCTTGAACCAAAGTCTGTGGGACTCGACCGAGATAGCACAGGTAACCTGCTTCATTCCCAGTGATACGGCAGGCCTGAATATAACTTCTTCCAGGTGACCTGATCGCTCGCATCAGAGCCTGGTTGCATCCGCCGTCCCATGACGACTGCTTTAAAAGAGCTGATTCTCTTCGACAACCCGGCACGGCAGACTGGCTATTCAAGGAGCAAGCGTACAAATCCTGGTTAAATTCCTCTCCAGATACCAAATCTGTGCTCTTGGTCAAAGGTCAGCAATTCATATAGCCTTGACTAGCACTCACCGCCGATGTTGACCTCGCACACAGGGCGTTGCGGAACCGGTAAGACCGTCCTCGCCGCTGCCACAGTCGTCGACCTTCGAACGCTAGTCCACTCAAAGAATTCGGGCTCCAAATTCCTCTCCTACTATTTCTTTGATCCAGACACGCCGGAGTGTAACTCCATTCGCAAAGCCTATGCATCCTTGTTGGCACAAGTTCTGGATGGGTGCTCTGAAATTCCGCAGCCCGACATCCTCAATCTGTTCAGCTATGCCATTACTCGATGGACTCCGGAAAAAGACTGCGCTACGCTCGAGGACCTCGCTGATATCATCAAACTGTTGAAGCCACTGTTGACCCAATGGTACATTGTCCTAGACGCTGTGGATGAGTGCGTCAGTTCCGCGGAGGTTCTATCATGTCTCTTGGATCCAGAGTCGACTCACAGGCCTCGGCTACTGCTATTCGCTAGACGAGAGGCCCGCTATTTTCACAAAAATCAAGTCACAGTAAACACAATCGCTGTGACGCCCAAGCTCGTGGACGCCGATCTGCGTACCTTTTTCCGGTACCATCTCGACGAGATGCGTTCCTCAGGTCTCTTGGACTGCCACGCAGACCTGCCCGAGCTGGTGAACCACCTTGTCCTGGGCGCCAATGGTGCGTTCCTATGGGCACATCTCATGGCTAGTTACTTGAAGGTAGTGGTGCCGCGAGCGTTGACCCAGGCAACAATAAGTGCCCTGAGAAAGCCTGAGAAGCTCACCGATATGTATATGCGCATGCTTACTACCCTTGCAGAGAAGCCATATGTAGAGCGGCTCTTTGCGAGGCATATGTTTATGTGGGTTTTCTGCTGCAAAGGCGTCACCCGCCTTGATTACTTTGAGGACCTCCTTCAGACGCTATGGCGAGGAAGGTGTTTGAACCTCACTCCCGAAGATCACGAAGTCGGTTCCCCTATATTCGCAAACTTTGAAGGGAGCATCATCAGGGCGTGTCTCGGCCTAGTCGAGGTGAGGTGGGCAGACGGCCATCAAGCTAAGGTCTGTCGCTCTGCAAGGGGCTTTTCCCATGGAGTCTTGAAGAAGTGTCGGGCAGGAGTCGCTGCATACTTCTATTTCTCATCCTTCGAGGGTGAGTCCGAGCTGTTGAGATGTTGTTTCCTCTATCGTGAGGCCCAGAAACATCACCAATTGCTGTCTGGAGGCGCCTCCGAGGCCGCGCCCGGCCTGGGGTTGGACGATACTCGACGATTTCTGCGGTATGCTACCGTAGTTTGGACGAAGCACCTGGCCCATCCGCAGAATGACGCGTTGGAGACGCTTTCTGACGTTTTGCGAACGATATGGAAGTTCTTCGGAGATGGTGATAACAGGGTGGCCTGGATCAACGCTCTAAAGAGGTACAAGGCAAATTGGACGGAGATTCAAGACGACCTGAAGAACTGGATTACGGAAGTGCAGAGTTCGTGCTTTGGCCAGGATCCAGAAGTCCAGCAGAAGGTACAACTCGTGCATTTTCTGGTCAAGGACCTCGATCTGATCCCTCACCATGGAAACATCCAAACCTCCAGGAACAGTCTTCCCCTTGCGCCGCAAAGCCTTCTGGCGGCGACGGCCGTCCTGCAACTAGAGCCCCCGTCAAAGCCAGAGACGCTGTCGACTCGGGCCCCGACCCCGAGGTTGCAAATATTCCGCAGGAACGGCAGCGGAGACACATCTGCGACACTGGAAATCTTGCAACGAGTCAGCAGGGCAACTCGGGACGGCTCGATTGCTGGTACCTCCATTGCACCGCATCTTGAATGGTTTGCTCGATACCAAATATTTGCCACAGGGTCTGGCGAGCCTATTCTCAAAGGAAGCTGGGACTTCCTTCTAAATGAGCTGGAGGTCACATCCCATATTTCCAGACTTTGCCAGGGATCTGTTGGCGCTGCATCGACAGAGACGTTTCCTATGAGCATTGGTCAAAATCTCGATCTCCTCACTGTCTTCGATACTGTTTACATTCGCACAAATCACCGGGGCTGGGTGTCCAAGCGCCTCCCCAACAGCTGTGGCGAAAGGTCTTTCTCGGTTCTGCAATCAAGGGATAGCGCAGGGGGCACGAAGCACTGCCACAAAGTGTTCACGACCGTGCGGCCAGCGAGGTCCCGGATCTTCGTCCATAATGACCTCGTCATATATCAGGGCATTTCAAAGAGCAACTATGACTGGGGGTCGGGCCTCTGCGGCCGTGATTTTGAGAACGAATGTTGCTTCATGGTGATTTTCAAGATCGAGCGTGGAGCGGGCGATGTCGACATCAAGGCGGTCGCCACTCTGGACGGCACGGACTTTGCAAACGTGTTCGACAGCTGTGTCTTCCACCCGACACTACCTTTGGTGGCACTCATCTTGCACAAGGGCTCCTTTTACCAGCGCGCCGCGCTCTGGAGCTTTGCCAGTCCGAGTCCAGTCAAAAACTTGGACGTCAACTTTGTGACGCTGTCAGACTTCCAGAGGGACGCCGGCGCAACCGACACCCACATGCAGGCAGATTGCAGCCCAGCGGCACGAGTCTGGTTTTCAGAATGCGGCACCCAGTTGCGAGTCGAACGCTTCCCCGACTTCCACCAAGGGAATTTCGACCTCCGAGAGAGCCCTGCGTACCACGCGGCGGTGGGCGAGCACGAAAGGTCGCTAGGATACAGAGCCAAAATAACGATCGGACAACTCTCGCCGTGCTTGGGGGTTGCACCAAGCTCGGACCCGGACTCAGCTTTCGTTGCCCTTGGAAATGTAGCCGCCACCACAACTGGTGCAGCCAGACGGGCCTGTCGGGCAGCGAGGGCTGAGTACCGGCCTGATCAACCAAGGCGAGAATTCTGGCGGGAAACCAATGGGACCAGATTGTATGACATGAATATGGATATGAACATGGATATGAACATGGACATGGACATGAATGACGGACGATATGATCGGGATTGATGGATGGATGGCACAATTGCCTCCTCAACCTGGCTGGCACAATAGCCATTGATTCATCCATTGATTCATCCACCCATCCACCCCATTCATTACACAGTCCTGAGTATCGACCGAGTATGTAATACAGTATATTGGGAAGGGGGATAATAATCAATTTAGTACGAAGATTGCTGCTCTGTTTTCAGAGAGAGAGTCCTGTATGTAATTCCTGTCATGACAGGAAAGCAGTAATCTGCGCAGGTTAATACGGGTTTCGACCCCTCCCCTCCCCCCCCGGTTTCACCTCTTTTTGAATTTTGAATTGCTTTCGTAATCATTTGGATTATTGCATCGAAACCAGGATCGGAGTCAGCATCATCAGGATTGAGGGTCGGTAGGTAAGTAGGTAGGATTGAAATTTCCTGGGCGAGGATGATGAGTCCAGTCGAGTCGAGTTGAGTTGAGTCGAGTTGCGCTCTGTAATTACATCTGATTCCCCCCCCACCGGCTCTACGTATTAGCTACCTACTGCCTACAGAGAGAGCTATGCTAATAATACCGTGCACGACTGTCTATTCTATGGTCAAAAGAGAAGAGAAAAGGTCATTGGAATGTACGAGGTACCCTCGTAATAAATAAATAATGCAACGAGCAGAAACCGTTTGGGGCTGTTTTTCCTATCCTCTCCTCTCCTCTCCTTTCTCTCCATCCGCCATCCGCGTGCCCAGTCCTGTCAATTTCCGCATCGGGAATTACTTCATCTCCCCCATCTACCCATCTCCTCTCTCCATCTCTCTCGCTCTCCATAATATTGATAATAACAATAGTAGTTAATTAAATGCCAATATTTCGCCATTTCTCGTCTGATTGATTGATTAGGTCAGTGGCTCCTCCTGCTCCCCTCTCCCCTCAGTCCTCGGTAGTACCAAACGTCCCCCCCCCCCCAGCAGCCAGCGTCTTTGTTTCTCCTTCATTTCCCTTTCCTCACTCAAATCATCTCGCTCATCTCCCTCCGTCTATGACATCGGTCCCTGCAGGCCCACCCCGGAAATGGACTCGTGCCCGTCCTGCCACGTTTTAATCTTGCAGCATTGCGTCGTCCCACCCCTTTTAAGGAAATAGTCTCGATAAGTCTGGCCTTGCCATCCTCAAACATTGAGGCTCAGCAATCCAATAGTTGAAACAAATCTGCCACTTCTGCCACCTTGTCAAAACACAAAAAGCAAACGGCTGTAAATTTCCCACCAGATTAATGGGTCGCTCTGCTCTGCAATGCTACGAATATAAGTAGATCAACCACCACCACCACCATCCCCTCCCCTATGTTCGTCTCTCACCACGGCCTCTCGTCCCCTTTCCCTCTCACCCTCCCCGCCAAAGCATCCATATATGCTTGCTAGGACCCGCCACAGCGTTCTCGGTTTCGACATCGCCATCGATATCTTTTGTGTCAACGCCGTCCCTCAAATCCTACCACCCCCCAAAAGCCTCCCCCCATGTTGATCTTGGATCAACTGCTTTCAATCTTCCAGAAACCGCCAGAAAGCCCAGATTGGTTCCCCATTCCCCTTCAAAAATTTCCTTGGGAATCATGCCGGGATATATGCGAGAGAAAAACAACCCAAAATTAATACGCCCTGTGCATCTGTTCAGACTCAAGGGACTTGGATTTCCTTTTTTTTCGGCCCAAGCACGTGACAGCCACTCGCCCATGCTCATCCGCAAGGGCAGAGACGGTGTCTTCAGGATCAACAGGCTGGAATATCTCATCCGGCCTGAAGCTTCCATATGCATGCTTTTGTAACTTCCACAAACCCCCAAAAGTCGACGGAGGGTGCACCCCAGCAAAAAATGTCCCCATGTCCCAAAACACCAGCTTGAAAGAAACAAAAAAGTCGTTGCTGACACATAACCACATGACTAGACAATTTGAGAGAAAAAAAAGAACACGGCGAGGTGGCACACAAATCAAGAACCGAATAGACAGCAATCCACGCTATCAGACAGCTGGCAGCAGCCCGTGGCTGCGCGCACACACTAAGAGATATCCATATATGTAACGGGTGGTGAAAAAGGACCAAAAAATGATGAGCGCCGTCCCGACAGTGCTGAGAAGTATTGTGCGTATCCAATTTGTGCAGAAAAGGCGTGTTTCCAAGAGTTAAGATTCTAGGGGAGGCATCAAGGTCATGTCAAACTGATACAGGGAAAGGTTTCGTTCGGTTTTTTCTTTTTAGTGATGGAGACCAGCTTGTAGCGCGTGGGGGTCCACGGTGCCGAACGGCGTCATTGGTAGGTCCATGTGTTCTCGAGGTGTGTGGAACTCGGACATGTCGTTCATCATCAGCATGCCGTTCTCATCCAGCCCGGGACTGGGCATGGCCATGTTGAGATTCTGCTTCGAGTACATCTCTCCCAGCATCAGCGTCTCGTCCATCATGCCGTGCGGGTTGAACATGTCCGCCGATGCGCTGCGGTGCAACGCCGAAAGCGGTGGCGAGTGGTCCGCAATCACCGGGTCCGGGTGGTGGCCCATGTGTGGCATGGGAGACACCGAACTGGGCATCATCGAATGGTCAACCATGGGAGAGGGCGACAGGAATGGCGCACTGAATTGCTGTGGCGTGCCAAACTCGGACGGCGGCATAGGCGGTTGAGCCGGGTTGGATGGGAAGAAGCCAGGACTGGCAAATTCCGACGGCGATGTGGCTGTTGCGGACATGGGCATTTGACGGAAGTCCATGCCATACCCGGCCGAAGTGTCGATTTGCAAGCTGGGTCCAAGAGGAGCGTGGATAGGATGCTGGGGCATGGGTTGGAAAAGGTTGTGCTGGTCGGGTGCCAGTTGGGGGGAGGGTTGTTGGATGTGGAACGTCGGCATGGGCCCGTGGAGCATCGAGAAGTCAATGGCAATGGGGACAGATCGACTCCTTTGCCGTTTATGGCCGGGATGCATCCGTCCGGGGTGAAGATGGTGCTGCACGCCAAACTGTTCTTGGAACATTCCGACGTGAGGAGGTTGAGGGCGGGCGAATTGAACATTGGGTTGAGACGCAGGCCGCACAATGCCCATGTTCGGTGAGACTGGCGCGGACGCTGGCATGGCATTGATATCGAATGGGTTCAGTCGATTCTGAAATGATTCGAGCGAGACGAGTTTGGCAAGTTGGCCGCTCAGCACCTTGGGATGCCCACCAAGATGGTGGACCAAGATCTGAGAAGCTTGTTGGTCCTCGGTAAAGTCGCCACACTGGTAGAAGCCTCCCGAGTTGGACGAATCCATGAAGAAGTTGGGTGGCCTGTTCAGCTCAATGACAAGTCCCCCTGGTCGTGGTGGAGCTCCATTGGCAGTGGGCGCCGTGTCACCGGGTTCCAGCTGAATGCTCTTTATGAAGGCGAAGGGAAACTCGATCTTGTACCCGGCCGAGTCGTTGTTGATGTAGTAGGTGATGCAAGCCTTGTCGGGCGAGTAGAAAATGACCAAGTCCATGGCATTCTGGCCCACTCGACGCCAACTACCGATGCTCAAAGAGCGACAGGTAAAGTGTTGAATGACTGCGTCTTTTCGTTAGCCCGGGAAACTTTTCTACTTCGACCACGTGCGTGAGAACATACCAACTTTGCCTTGTGCGCTCGGATCGCCATTCATCAGCATAGCACCACCTCCGTACTGTGCCATTGGCCCGCCAGGTCGCAGCAATTGCCGAGGAAATGGCCTCCCAGACTCCATGGCCTGCATGGCCAGCAGCTGTCTCAAGGACTCTGGGATACTGTCTAAATCCTCGCCACTTTCCAGGCTCTTCTTCGCAAGCATCTTGATCTTGGCGCGTCGACGACTATGAGTAAGGCAGTCAGTATTAGACGCGTTTCAATTGCCATGTCAGATCGGCCTACCTGTTCTGGAACCAAATCTGGACGGACCGTTCGGTCATGTTGATCTCCTGGGCAATGCGTTCGCGGGTGGCAGCTGTGGGAGTGGGATTCTTGTTGAACTCCATTTCCAAAGTCACCAATTGATCTTGTGTGGCCCTTTGTCTCTTCTGGTTTTTCTGTTGTTGGGTCAACGTGCTTTTGCGAGGGGGCCGGCGAGGGGCCGACGAAGAACCTTGGTTGCCTGAACTATTCGAGTTCGCCGGCGTGGTCTGGCATTGGCTGGCGTTTGGGGAGGGAGTAGATTCGACAGAGACATCGAGGTCAAGGTCTGTTGGGTCTGACAACGAGTCCATCGCGTCCGTCGCGTCGACTTTGATGTCAAGGTTACCCATGACGGGGTATTCGCGTGTCTCTTTGGAACAAGGATTGAAGTGCTCGTAGGCAGGGTGTATATCGAGGTTGACGTTGCTTCGTTAGGGTGGGAAGAGATCTCCGATGGCTGATCCGAGCAGCAAGATGGAAAATGACTCCGTAGCCCAGCGAGTTCGACGTCTTCAAAGCTCGTGCTGTTGAAAGGGGTGGGGGGATATTGGGTAAAGACCGTACTGGATTTGGGAGCGAATGGAAAAAATATAGAAGCAAAGAGCTTAATGAATGTGGTTCGAGGGCCTTGAAGGAGTGAAAGGCACAGCTCGAAGGTTGAGGATTGAACAACAAGAGAAGGAAAGAACGTGATACAGAGAGATAGAAGAATGGGAGGAATGGGCAAAAAGCGACAGTGAGGATGGAAGGGGAAAAAAAGAAGAGTGGAAAGACGAGACGAGAAGAGGAGCAGGACATTAAGGGAGGGCAGCGAGACCCGCGAGCGCGGTGAGTTCCAGTTGGGCGCCCACCCCCCGGAGGAAGCGGTAAAGAACGCCCAGCGGCGGCTGCTGAGTGGTCAATCGAGCCCTTCTGGGCCTCTCGGACTTCCAGGAACCACGCCCCCTACCTCCCAAGCTCTCTGGGACCTGAGCACCAATGCAGGTACACGAAAGAGCCCAAACTCAAAAGCCGCACGGGCCCCGTGTTGTTTCGGTGGGTCGCGTCCTGGCTGGGTCTACAGGCTCGGTCTAGCTGGAAAGGGCGTCATCAGCTCCACTGGTGCGCCTCTCTGTACCCAGAATCTTACATGGCGGCTCTCTAAGAGTTCTCTAAGCGTGCCAGGAGCTAAGCCCCTATGTCTGAAAGGGACTAATGTTGTTGTCCAAGGCCCCAATGGACAACCTTGTTTGTACCGACTGCCCAGTGTCGCACCCGCTCCCCTGGAGGAGCTCGCCAGCGCCATGTCTGACGCGCCCCCAAAGAGAGCCCCAGTCACGCCAGGAAAAACACAACAGGAGGATCAGTCAAAACACCCCATGTCACAACATGGATTCACGCTGTCCGTCTCACCCACCAGGGCAGGCTATTGAAATCCTCGCCAGGGATGCTGATTGGCTCGCGGGAGCTATTGTTCCGAGTGCTCGCTGCAAACACGGAGTTGCACACAAAGCAGCCAGCTCTGGGCCATCAAACACGAGGAAGAAACCCTTCGATACAGGCATCCCGTGCGTGAGCAAATATTTCTGGTGCTAGAGGAACTACGCCGCCATCAGTAGTAGTAGCGCTGGCGAGTCCAATTCGTCGTCCTCTGTAACGCTGCTGGGACGCGTCCCGAGACACCAGGCTCCCGCTTAACTGCAGCCGCCAGCACAAAAATCATTGCTCACATCTGGTTCTCCTCGAGCCTGTCCGTCAGTACTGTTAACCCACTATGATTCGAGAAGCTCTTCGTAGCACGCCCGGCCGCGACGGTGTCCCGATCGAGGCTGGAGAACCTATCGAGCTGCCCTCTTCGTATTCCATAGGCAATGCCGGAGCCACGGCCGGCTTCGATCGACCATTCACAGCCGGTCATGAGATGCTTCTCGAAAAAATTCGTGCGGATCCCGTCCAGTCTTGTGTCCCATGCTGAGCATTTTTGATTCGTGTAGTCAGTGCACCGTTACGATGGCACCAATGATGCGGGCAAACGAACTCCTGTTCTTGGGGCCTCTGCACAAAAGGCACACGCTGGACAGTGATTGGCCACATCCGATGAGGTATTCATCTCTGGTGAACACCATGCTGGCGCTTATGATTCGCCACAGAACAAATCGCAAATGCTTCTAGGCTTTTCAGGATCGTCATGAGGCAAACTGATCGTGTCCGAGCTGCCTCGTCCAGAGTCGACGTGCCCGGTGGTCTCATCCATTGCATTGGACAGTCTGTTGAGCTTAACTGTCAACAGGGAGCCAGTAAGATGCAAGAAAGCTGGCAAAATTCCCGCGCCTATGAATGTCTCACAATAGTATGCATTGTAGCTCTGGGCACAGAGTTTCTTGTTGCTCAAGTCTTGATGTAGTTGGCCACTCAGCTGGAGACAAAACATGAGATGTTGCACATGCGAGAAGCTGGACTGTCGATGGGCCGATCCTCCCTGAACATCCCAAGCCGGTCGGGAGCACCAGCCATGTCTGGATCCTGCATGCGTTGTCATGGATTTTGTGACTAAAACGTACTCTACTCGGCACCCACTGCCGACGTTGCCACAATGATTTGTTTTTAACGGAAAATGGGCGGACAAAGGTCGTATCGTCAGTCGCAGACCAGCTTATAGTCTGGACCTGGATGCCCCCGGATCGATCCCTTCTTGTATACACCCATGCACGCCCATATATTTCCCACTTCTGACCGTGTTGCGCGAGAAGGAATCCGCTTCCGCATGGCATTGAAGGCACGAGGAAAGGAGGTGCAAGCCCGACCAAGTGGAACCGCACGTTGTATTCGTAGGTAGGGATCTTCGATAAGACCAGAGACAGGGGACGGAGGTTGGCGCAATGGAGACCAACCCAGTTGAGGCAGGAAGAGCTGGAGCTGCGCCCGATGGTCTGATGAGGCTAACCCCTCGACGAGCGTGGCAAGTGCTCCAGATACGAAGCGGCTATACCAGAGAGGGCTGGTTGGCGCCATGCCTGAAGCTTTCCTCGTCTTGAACCGTTGGTGTGGCTACCCACGCTTGTCAAGTCGCCCGCATGGAACAGGTCCCAGGTCGATGAGGGATCTAGCGCTGCATGAGAAATGGAGTGGCTTGTTTCTCCTTTACTCCGCATTATTACGGTGACACCTCACTGGACTAATGTCAGGTACCCAGTCGATGTCATTGGAGGAGCAAACTCGCCTTGGGGCGCCGTGCAGAGTGGACTGTCCAGAGCCAGCCAGGGATCAAGGATGGAGGAGTCCTCCCCTGCCCTTTGTGGTTGACGCACCAAGCCAACGGCAAAAACGGCGAGCGAGAAAAACTCTTTCACCACGTGTCGAAAAGCCGTTTCTTCTGCGTGGTAGAACCTTATTACAGGCCTCTTTAGCGCCGCCTGAGGGAGGGTACTCGTGCTGTACCTAGGTAGTTGTAGCTGTCAAAGGGGAAAAAAATAGGCGGAGGTAGTGTGAGGCTCTCGTCTACCATCGGTAGGTGATTGTAGCGGGTTGCTAGATGGCATCCCGCCACAGTCAGTTCGTGTGTTGGATGATACATCATCAGATCAACCGCCCATCAGCCGGGCGGCAATCGAGGCGATGGAGAAGCAAGGTGTGAAACACCCAAAGAATGGACGCTTTCTCCTGTTGGTGTCACGATGGAGCGACTCTCCCTGCCAAGGAGTCTCGCTTCCCCATTTTGGTCTTCCTCACGCTCTTTGGCCCCCCGTCTTTTCGCTCCATTGCGTACCAACAGCACGGGATATAGTCTCAAACAAGTGCCTCATAGTTATCGCATGACCGACGATCAGTTCAACAGGCGTCACCCCAGTGGAAGAAACGCCAAATGGGAGTTGACCTTTTCCGCAGCCATGGGGCGCAAGTGCCTGCCCCCTATACAATGTCTCACCTAAAGCCCCATCTTATACCAAAAGCAGGCAGTCGACTTTGACCATACCGAGGGTACATGGGCAGTATGCATCATGCATACAGTCGATAGCACGCATCCCCCTGTCTAGGTATGTATGTATGGTTGCAGATCAAGATGAAGAAACAGATGCAAAGGAGAATGGCGACATGGCCGTACACTACGTAGGCACACACCGTGAATACAGTGACCGAGGTGGAAGGGGTATATTCATCACCAATTTGCTCCCTATATGCATTTCCTGTGAGGTGCAAACATGTTCCTAACCCTGTCCCATGTTCTGTCATAATTCAGTGCTCATTACTCCGTAAATTGCATACTCATTTCTCATCCAGAAGAAAAACAGAGCGTCTCAGGGGTATTTGTTTGGTCCGTCACCCATGCCTCTATCGCAGTAACTCCTGGCTTCTGCACACCGCGCCAAAGCCCTTGCTGAACAGTTCTCCAATATCTATCGACTTTCGCTGCTGCGACAGCTGTACCTCGCTCATTTCGTGACTGCTCCCTTCCCGGTGATTCTGTGGTCTCTTGGTGCTGGACTCTGCCATGGTGCTGAGTCCCGAGTCATTCCTCTTCATCTTCGGCTTTCGCCTGTCTGTCATGTCCCGAGGCTTGTTCAAGAGTTCTTCGACTTGAGCTTCACGTTCCGCCTGCTCGGCTGCTTCTCGGGCCAGCTCCAGACTCGATCTCTTCGTCCCTCTGTCCCAGCCCTGTTGCAGGAGATCTGCTGCAGCCTCTTCGAAGCGTTTGCGAACCTCTCGATCTTGCTCAAATCCTTGAAAGATGTCCACATCGCTGGGCCAGACAGCCGCGCTAATTGCTTTGATGATCACTTCGAGCAGACAAACAGCCGAGATGGTCCAGAGCAGTGTGATCCACCACAGAAGGTTGCGCCCGAAGCGATCCAGCAGTGCGTGGTTGACACTGTACACGGGGTTGAATGGGTATATGCTGGAAAGAATAAGGTTCCAGAGCCACCAACCGCCCACTGACAGAAAGATCGCTATAGCTGCTGCCACCGACTTGTTGTGCAGTTCGATAAATTGTAATTTCAAAGAGATGATCACAATACAGGCTGTGAAGACCAGGGACCCGAAAGCGTAGAGCTCTTGGTCTTTGGTGAAGGAGGCGAGACCGTACATGCCGTAGATCGTGAAGTAAACAAGGACGGCTTCACATACCGCAAGTGTAGACCACCTCAGATAGACCCAGAAGTTGAACCCCCGATTTCGTTGACCATAGTTATATAATTCCGGCACCGCGAGCAATGTGGATGCAGCCAAATCCTTCTCGAAGACGCCCATGAAGATCACCGGGAGAGACGTGAATAGGGTGTTGAACATGGACAAACTCCATGGCTCGAACAAGCTAGTGCCTGTGTACCCATTCCATCGCTGATAGAGGGCTTGAGCATTATAGAACATCATTTCCTTCCACAATGTACCGAGGAGGTACTTGCAGATTCGAACATAGTTCCATCGCCCATGCACGAGCAGCAACTTCAACAAGAAACGGAATTGGGCAATCGAATAGTCGGAAGTTCGCGCGGCTTGGAGGCCTTCCTTGCCGGCGATTCCGATTCCCAGATGCGCCTCTTGAATCATGGCAATGTCGTTGGCTCCATCCCCAATCGCCAAGGTAACGGAGCCTTTGACTTTGGTCCTGATGGTCCTGACGAGAGAAGCCTTCTGACTGGGGGACGCCCGACAGCATACTACAGTATCGGCACGGATCGCCACGTCTGTGAATAGCGCCCTAGTCGCACGGTCGGCGTCGATTATAGTCAGAGTTTGTCCATCGACGACTAAAACTGAATGTGCAGTTTTCTCGTTGTCCATCTGGACGAATGCCTGTTCCATTCGGTCGTGCAGGTTTCCGAGCTCGTGGTCAAGGATAATGACACTAGAATAGTCCTTGATCAACCGACACGAGTGGCCAATGTTAATGGCGGTCTCTCGTTTATCACCAGTGAGCATCCACATCTTGATGCCGGCCCTGCGTAACCGATCAATGGCATCAGGTACACCTTGTTGAAGTTTGTCCTCGATTGCGGTGGCTCCAAGCAACTCCAATTTCGTCTCGAGCAGTTCTGCTGCATCTTCGATCTTTTCCTGTCGATCCATAATGCTCGTCGTCGCAGCCAGATATACTTGCTTCCATGTTTGGTACTCGTCTTCGGTGAGGTATCGATATGCATACAGGAGCGTCCGAAGGCCTTCCGTCGCAAAGTCATCAATATGCTGGAAACAGCGTTCGAAGACAGCATTATCGTCCAGAACAAGGCTTTCCTCAACCAGATCTGCCGAATCATCGACTTGCATGGAAACACGAGGCGTGATCTGGGGCGAGTACTGTGCTCTTCCCACATAGCTTTCAGACTTGCGGGATATAATCTGCATTGAGGGTCGGGGTGAGTAGAACTGAGAGCTTTGACGTCGTTGAGACGTTCCCACATCCTTCTCCCGCTCTTTCAGCCAATGATCAATGCTGTCGCGGGCAGTCCGAGAACGGTCGAAAGAGAAGCCGCTAGGTCGTGGAGAAGTCGCATAACCGGAGCTTGACCTCCGGCTCAATTGAGTGCTGCGCCTTCTCAATGCTTCCTGGGCTTCAACGCTTTTCCGCTGACTGGCTCGTCTTTCCACAGCTTGCACATTCGAGGCTGCTAGATCCGCTAAGCGGAGGAGCTTCCGAATGGTGCTATCCGCCCCCTTACTGATGAGGCAGATACGTCGGTCGGGAAAACGCACAACGACCGACATTCGTTTCCGGGCGCTGGAAAATTCCACGACGTCCAGCACTTCGTAGGTTTCATAAATAGGGGAGTCCTCATCACCGTCAGCATAAGTCTTGATCGTCACCGTGTTAGAATGTCGATCGGTCACAATGTAATCCAAGTCTTGCGCAGCCGTCACCAATGCGAGTTCATCGGGAGAAGCAGCCTGGTATTCAATATTGCCTTCATCGTCTTTCTCCGGCATGCAAGTGTGACATAGAGCCAGCGAAAGAAGAAAGAATCGTGCTTTCCGTGCGAAGGCGGTATACGGTCGCCTGTAGATATAATCTAGCAGATCTTGTGTCTTGCCCGTCTCCAGAGTCATGTTGAGGCCGTTCGAGGCTTTCCACTGAGCGTCGTCTGGAGGGGATACATGCTTCGTCTGCGTCTCAGTCCCAGCACTGGCTGATGCGGTGGATTTCCGGAGAGCCCGAGACAAAGACATCCTCGGCTTCTTCTCAGAACGAGGTTCCTTGCCTTTGCCGCCTCGCTTTTTGTGCCAGAGCTTCACACGACCAGCCCCATCAGCAGCTTCGTCTTGCAGGTCGAGGTCATGCAGCCACGCAGTGCCAGCGATGCTCATTTTCCGAAACTTCATCGAGTTGTTCGTGAGTGTCCCGGTTTTGTCGGAAAAGATATAGCTGACCTGGCCCAGTTCCTCGTTGATTGTCGAGGTGTGCGGCTCCATTGGGGTGTCTGATTCGGGATCGTACATATCTACATCGTTCATCAAGAACATCTGAGCCAACTTGACGATTTCGAGGGAGACGTACAAGCTCAGAGGTAACATCGTGTTCAACATAATGATGAAGGAGGTCAGAACATGACCAAAGGGCACTTTGGCGTCCTCGAGGTACCACGACTTCTCCTCGGTCGTCCGACGCCAGATCTGATAGGCCACAGTCAAAATTATCGCCATGAATATGACGAGCGATGCCACAAAAATGACGACTCTGTTGACTTTAGCCTGCAATGTCGGTGCCTTGATACGAGGGGTCTTGTTGGCATTCATTCGTATTTTGCATTCCTCGCCAGAGTATATGACCAGGCCGATTGCAGATGGAGTGTTCCGCAGCACACTACCACGGTACAAAATCTCTGAATTGGTCAGGGGTAGTGTTGTCTCATCGACCGTTACCCTGCCCTCAAACTTGTAGAGATCGAGGTTCGGATCCTCAACCACGAATTCGGCAGGCAGTCTGGCGATGGCATCTGGATCTTGACAGGCTGCACTCACTTCGGCGACAGGTTTCTTGGATTTGAGATTCGTCTCTCCATCGAGGCTTTTCGTTTCGATGTAGGCAGTATCCGTGGGTTCGTCGATATGAAGTAATACCAAGTCGGCGGGAATTCCATCGTCTCTCTTTACCAGTACAACATCGCCCACGCGGACCTCGCTCCAAGTCCTTTCCTGCCATTCCGTGGAAGCAGGGCCAGATAAAGCCCTGAGAACCTGCGTGGTTCTTTCATTTTCTTCTTTATCCAGGCGATGTCTCCTGATATCGTCATATCCTTCTTTGGCCATGGACAGTGCAACAAAGATGAGTAGCGGGATTATGGTGGTATACGTGCCCGTAGTACTCAACCCGGGTATCATTTGGAGGATAGATACACATAGGAAATAGAAGTTGGCGAGTTTTCCAAACTGGGCGACGAGCTGCTTGGGGACGAAGTTCCAAGGCGTGTAGCGACAAGAGCGGATGACGTTGCCGACGTAGGGTTTCCCAGTTCTCTCGTCGAGGGGTTGATCGGCCTCTACCACATTCACTCTGATATGTCTTCCGTCGAGACTGGGCGGAATGGTGTGAGCTCGAATGATTTTGTCCCGTAACGTGCGGTATCTTTCTGAGAGCTGCTTGAGCAGAGTCAAGCGAGAACGGTGTTGAGATATCCATCGTCGGTACAATGGGAGCTCGAGGTCGGGATCCGACAGTCGAACGGGTTTGGTTGGGCGCGCAACGGGTTCTTCCTCTGCCTCCTCAACAGTGACTGTGGTCGGGCGGGAATCAATCTTTTGTGTGTCCGCAGCAGCCTTTGAAGCGTCCATCTCAAATGTGCCTCCATTGTCCGAAGCCTGCTTCTGGATGTTCTGCGCGAAAAGTGAACGTCTGAGGGAATACCCCCGATTGCGGCCAACAGAGGCACTCTTGAGTATGCCGGCAGGCGGACGAGCAGAGGTCTTGGTCTCCCTTGGTCTTATATTATCCTCTGTAGCTTGCGGAATTTCGATCGAGAAGCGAACTTTGGTTGTCTCGTTGGCGGAAGGGTCCTCCACGGGCAAATCTGCGGTATCTTGTTTTGATTCCCCATTTGCGACGACATGATCTCTGGTCGTACCTAACAAGCCCCGCTCATTGTTTTCGTGGTTTTGACCACCGGGGTCTTCTGACGAGTCTGCTGCCATAACGAACGTCTCGAAGGGTCTGTCGGAGTGGGCGCAAAGGGCTGGTATGGCATGAATGTTTCATCGGCGCAGTTCTCTCCGAGGTTTGAGTCTCTCTGTTGGGACAAAAGTTGGAACACGGAAAAGTCCTTTGGTGAAGAGTTGGGGTCGACGAAGGTCAACTTCACCTCCCAGAAATAAAGGCATTGCACAGAAGGGGATTGCGACGCAAAAGGGACGTGTCTCAGATTGCGTGTCTGTCCTCAAGAGACAGTTGTGAGAGTGCGTGGAGGAGAGGCGGTGGCAGTGCATTGAAATGTTGCGCAGGCCGCAGATGCAACGGATCTCCGACTCAGGACAGGAACCGCCAAACAGCGAACAGCGTGGCAGCGGGCGTTCCCCTACGTCAAAATTGTGGGCAGACGGTGGCACCTAGGTGGGGTTCGGGGGGCAGCACTGGGCGGCACTGGCCAATTCTGGCGAACCGGTGGGCGTGATGTCACGCCCAGACCGCCTATTGTGCCTATCACTGAGTCCGCCACTCATCTTCCTTGTTGTCACCTTTCTAACGCCTTTTCCCCGACGCTTCTGCAAATGATTGCCCAAACGGGTCTGGTTCGCCCTCTGGGATCAATTCCTATTCTGACGATCGACTTCAGTGGCTGATGGACTTTCGAGAGATCTTCTACAAGCATCGAGAACAGGTTTGCAGTCTAAACTACCGAGCTCTGGTCATGCGACAACCCACAAAATTCGACAGGATCTCCATCCGACGTCGTCTACATACATCAGCATGTTTTGAGCATACCTCCTGCTAGCTGAAGTTGAAGGGTTTCTGCTCTTAGCAGCGCCAACCTAATGCGGCAATGTCGAATGCTGGTTCAAATGAGCTTGATGTAACCAGGGATCAAGAGGCAGTAAACAGGGACGATGATAAGTTCGAAAACACAGATGAGGAGGACGCTCCGACTACGTCTGGAATGCATTACACAGTCTTTACTCGCCGTGAACGATGGCTGATAACCGTGATTATGGGTGTGGCAATGTTCTTCTCACCCATGACAGCAAACATCTACTTCCCAGCCATTCCACAGCTCTCTGCAGCTATGCACGTTTCCCTTCAAGATATCAACCTCACAATCACGGCGTATATTGTCCTTCAAGGAATCAGTCCGCTTTTTGTGGGGAACATGGCGGACAAAATTGGCCGAAGACCAGTCTACCTTTTGACCTTTGTCGTTTACGTGGGAGCTTCGCTCGGGCTTGCCATGAACCGGAGTTCGTATCCCACGCTGCTTCTCTTACGCATGCTCCAGAGTGCTGGAAGCTCTGCCACCGCAGCCATCAGCTACGGGGTTCTGGCAGATGTCGCGCCTCCAGCAAAACGGGGCAGTATGCTCGGTGCCGCAATGGTAGCAGCAAATACCGGTCCGACCATCGGGCCTTTGCTCGGCGGAGTAATAACGGACCGGATAGGTTGGCACTGGCTATTCTGGTTTCTTACTATTCTAGGCTCATGCTTTCTTGTGGTCGTCGGAGTGTTCTTTCCTGAGACTTCTCGCAAAATCGTCGACAATGGACGATGTGCAGCCCCGAGGTGGAATAGACCCATCCTCTCCCTGTTTACAACTTTCCCGAAGAATGCAGTTCAACACTCGGAACGCGCGGTCACCTCGAAGCCCAGACTGAAGGCCAGAGTCCCAAACCCCCTGCCTTCACTCAGGATCATTATGTACCGTGATGCCAGCTTAGTGCTCTGGGTCAGTGCCATCCATTACATGGTCTACTATTGTCTACAAGCTACAATGCCAGGATTGTTTACCGCCGTCTACGGATTGAACGAGCGGCAACTTGGATTGACATATTGCTCATCGGCGTTGGAGTCGCCTTGGGCGGCTTTTCGAATGGGAAATTCCTAGACATCAATTACCGCTGGATGGCCAGAAAGATTAGCTATACCGTTGATACAGTCGCAGTCGACGATTTACGGACCTTCCCAATCGAACGGGCCGGAACGATATTCGCATATGTTCTAATCATAATAGACTCGATCATTCTGTCTGGCTATGGATGCGCCTGTCGAACAGAAATCCATATTGCCGTGCCATTAATCTTACAGTTTGCTTTCGGCTTCCTGCAAACCTGCATTGTGCAAACATTCAACACTTTGCTTGTGGATATTTTCCCTTTCAATCCAAGCACTGCTTCTGCCTCTGGAAATGTCACTCGTTGCGCCCTGTCAGCCGCTGGCATTGCAGCTGTGCAGCTCCTGCTTGACGTCATTTATCACGGTTGGGTGTTCACCATCATGGGTGTCTTCGCTGTATCCCACGGCCATTTTGGCAACAGTCCTGATCAGATCCCATGGTATGGCGGAGACATCGAAGAATAGCGTGAGACTCTGGTGTTGCTACTGATCTCGAGTTTATGGCGTATAATCCATGATCAAACCGCGTTTAACAATTGCGAGCTCGATTCCTTTGGCAAAGGCGACGTGGCCCTGCTTCGTAATCATTGCCTTGAGACCTTCAGCCCCGTTCACAAGGTCTGGTGGTATAAAAAAGTGTTGTTTAATCCTGGGTTGGCCGTCTTTCTTCAGCCCCTGCACTGATACAGAACATATCCAGAGCTCATGGTCAAGGAAGATGACAAGGTCTGCGCACAGTCCGATGAAAGTTTTGATATATCTCGCTGGAAGCTCCACGGAGAAATGACGTGCATTATGGGCGGCGACACCGGAAGAGCACGTTGAGGGGACATACCATCCTATTATGTTGATCTTGGACCCATCAGCGTGGGGGAGAGTGCACGCAACAATGTTCGATCCGGAATCTTGTGGCAAGACCTTGTGTACGAGGCTACCTGTGGGAGATGCAACGACTGTGGACGATATATCTGGCAGAAGCGCAGCTCCCTGCCGCTGGGCTTCCCAGTCATACAACTGAAGCGAATGTTGGGCAGTTATAAGGCCCAAACTATGACCGAGTGTGACCCATTGCTGCTCAAGATTTGAGCCACTCGACGATTTCCGGTTTGCTCGCAGGTCCCAAAAGACGTATTCCGTGGCAGTCGTTATCAAGAGGCGAGATCCGTCGTGGCTGAAAAGCAGTTGCCGCGCCCAGCCCGACATATCGCATTGTACCAGATGCGACCCAGTGACGCCCAAGTCAGTCCGGCCATGGTCCCCAGTAAGTTTGCGAACGTTTACTCACATGATGGTTCGACCCCCTACATCCGCACTTGCAAGCAAGCCATTTTGAAACGCGATTTTTGTGATCAACATTCCGTGTGAGTGAGAATGGACCTCGGAATGGAACAGGCCTGTACTGACTGCGTACGCCACGACGGATCCATCATCACGCCCGGCGAAAACAAATTCTCCCGTCTCATCCGGGCACATGGCTGTGATGGAAATAATGTCATCGTTGGCACCAACCACCGGGGCGTCCAGGACTGCGGCGTCGCTCATATTGGCGTCTTCTTCTACGGACCGGCGTACAAGGGCACTTGGCTCCCAGATTTTCGTTCTCGAATCACGTATATCGACAACTCGAAGTCCATCTCCCGTGAAGGATAGTCTTCGTACCTCGTCAAGGCCACTTTTTATCGAGTATAACAAGCAAAGAGTCTGAAAATCCCAGAGATTGATCGTCCCACGAGTGTTTCCAGATCCCAGGGTTCGACCATCTGGACTTGCAGCAAGCGAATATGCATCACCATCCACCTTCACGAGCTCGTTCTGCGTGCAGGAATCGTATATTGCAAGCTCTCCATCTTGATATGCCACGGCTAGTAGATTGAGCTCTGGATTTGGGTTGAACAGTGCCGTTTGCACCGAAATATTTGGCACCTTCGAACCGACGTCTCTGCCACACTGGCCAATGATCGCATCGTCTTCGAGGTTGTAGAGATATATCGGTCTCCCCCTATATAACAGTGCCAGCAATGACCGATCTGGTGAGACAGCAGCGGCGAGAGGTGCTTGGCAAGGAAGGACCTGTTTTTCCTGCCTTGTATTTCCAGGGGACTGTCGCCTGATGTACACTCTGGGAACGAACAGCTCCTCTTCCGCTTCTAAGAGATTCCAGCGGAAAATCTGGCTTGACCGAGTGACCCCAATAACCCCATTCTGTTCCGGAGAAAATTCCAGTAAGACACACGAGTCTTGCAGAAGAAACATATGCAGCAGCTCTCCGCCAATGGACCAGACACATATTGAATGAGTGCTGGCAGAAGCGAGTCTCATATCTGAAGAGTCGAAGGCCAACAGTCTTACAGCCTGAGGTACCTTTGCATTCACATGTGGAACACTCAGGGAGTCCTCTCCATGGGCTTTGTGTTGTAGCACCAGCCTTTCCTGACATGTGGATTGATCGTACACGAAGATCGCGCCACTCTTCATCCCGATCGCAAAAACATTCACACCAGTAGCTAAGGAGGTGCCCCAGCTGTCTTGGTACTCAATCGTCGATATACAATCATCCCAAGTCTCAGAAGCTGGACCGACGAATTCTAGCCATTTCGGACCCTTCTGGACTGTCTGGAACAGGCGCGACTGTTTGGGTGCAACCGACGGGGTTTGATTGAATGGAGCTTGGGTTGCTCCGAAGGATACGACCGAACTTTGCGACAAGTCTGATTAGATCTGTGGACCAGTCGTCCACAGTCCTGAAGTCCGTGCCTGGAAGGGGGTCATGCTTTGCTTGCCTTTTCAGGAACTCCTTGAGGTTTTTGGCTGCCCGGGTCAAAGGGTATAATGACGGGTGCTCCGTCGCAACATGTTCAATCCACGCCAACACTCTGCTGGACAAAAATCCGCACACATCCTTGAGCAATTGGTTTGACTGTGACGAAGAGGCCACGAGATGTTCGGAAAACGCAATGCTGGCATAGTCGGCAAACGCACTTCGACTTCGCGTCCGGCCGTGTTCACTGACGCCCAACGATCGGCTGCGAGAAAACACCATCTCTTTCTCCAGGCATTTCAGACATGCTCTTGCTAGTTGCTCGTGCGCAGAATGGCGTGTGACTTCGAACGAGGATTCCAGAACACCGAGCACATACTCACGTGCAGTTCCATGGACCAGTTGTATCACGCCCTTACCATCGAGCAGAAGCAAGCCGCTACATGGACCTTCAATGACCGCCTTCAGGTTTGGAACTTTGCACGCATCATACTCATTCAACGCGATCGTCAGCTCTTCTAACTTAAGTTGCCGGATGGCGCACGCCGACCAAATCAGAATCGCTTTAGCAACATTGCGCTCGCCTTGTCGCTTCGATGCGTGCAGGGACTGGATAGATCTCTGGTAAAGCTTCCCCATCTCCAGGGGAACTTCTGCAAGCACTTCTCGTATAGACTCCTCCGAGTAGACTCCCTCGAGCTCTTGGCTGACCAAAGCTAGCCACAGAAAACAATTGTTGGCCTTTGCGAGAAGCCTTTCAATCAAGGCGTTCCTTTCGAAAGGGTCATCCACAGGGAGGTAATCGAGACGAGATTTGATATAAAGCCTCATGTCAACCTGTGTATCATCGGACTGAATGCAATCCACAGTCGTATGGGTGCTTGGTCTGAACTTTCTGAAGAGCGTTTCCAGTTTAGAAGTCCGACGGCTGGTCATGAATATTCTGAGATCAAAAGAGCTTTCGAGGGTGTGAAGTTTCAAGAACAACTTTTCGATAGTGGCGCATTCATCCACTCCGTCAATGACCCAATACTGAGGCTGTCGGATATGGGACTTCAGTATGGAATTGACGAAAAGCTTTCTCCATACCGCACCCTCATCGTCTTCATCAAAGGTGTTCCTTGCCTCCTGTAATATTACAAGATCTTTCCTGACATTATCGTGGATTTCGGCCATCTGAAAAGCGATTGAGAGCAAAATCGCACTGACACTTGTTTTTCGCTTCTCGCCTGCACGAAAGAAATGATATGAACAATCTTGCTTTAGGGACAGTAGGTGCATCACGACGTGGGCAGCACAAACGGATTTCCCAGCTCCAGGCTTGCCTGTCAGCCAATATATACTGCAGCGACCGTTAATGGGCATTGTCGACTGTCTCTGGAATGTGCGTGAGCGAAGTGAGCCTTCTGCCACAGCATCCATGCCCAGAGCACCATCCCGCCACGCCTGGAATTCTGCACGGGCCTCTAACCACGCACACGACTGCTCTATTTGTTTCTCGCGAAGTCGGTCTAGATCAGACTGCGGGGAGTGACTGATGTTCAAATATGTCTCAATGGACATCATCTGCTCCGCTTTGTCTTGGAGTGCGCTTTGATTGGGCTCCGAAATCAGGCTTTCTGTGATCGTCAACAGCGCGTTCCGTAAAATCTTATAGTTCTCATCTTGTGGGCTGTCGAATTTGCAGATACCTCGGTGGTCTGCTAAGAGCATATTGACCTCTTCACCGTAATATCCCAGGACCGCTGAGTCTTGGTCCACGATCAAATGCGATTTGAAAGATCCCAGAGTCTCGTAAAAGCTCAACAGGCGTAGTGTGTCTGGACGAGCAACGGTTCTGAACTCGTCGTTGATGACGTGCAAAGAGCCCGAATTCCGACGGAGATCTTCAACATAGGCTTTCTCCCAGCCTGTAAGGGTGAGGAGACTGTTGAGTTTTTCCGCCGAGCCAGACCCTCTGTGAGGCGTCGCAAGAAAGACGACGTATTTTATGCGATTTGCAATGCTCTTTCTCTGTTGATGGGCCAGAAGGTATGCCTTTTTTATCACCAACCCTCCCATGGAGTGGCCGATGAGGACAATGGGAGTTCTTTGCTCCTTTCGCAGATGAGGGGAGTTCTCGAGCTGGTGGAGGAGGTCTCGCCCGAAGTCATGCAACGTCAGTTGGCTCGACTGCGATGTTAACCAGTCGGTTGCATAACCGAATGAGAATGTTCGGACTCGGTGCTGGAAATCCTCGTCTGTGGCGATCCACTCCTTGGGCCAAAACAGATCCAACTGCTCGTCTTTGCACCATGTTTTAACAGAGCCGCCTCTCAGGCCGTGAACGAAGATAAACTCGACCTTCGGCTCTGCGGGAGGATACAAAAGCGTCAATCCTCGAGGGTTGTTCTCCACCTTTTGCTTCGATTTCCCCATCGAGTGCCTGTCGTTACACGATCTCTAGGGCATCTCGAACAATTTTCACGAAGAGACGGATAACAGCCCAGGTCGCAAGTCTTCCTTGCTGGAATTCTGCTCCTGCGACGGACTGTTCCTCAATTCCCGTTGAGAGGGGTTTCTGTGGTCTTAGCAGCAGACTCGCGCTCAGAGCTGGAAGGCGAGGAGGCGAGAGCAGGAGGTGGAAGGGAGCACGGCAACAACAACGTCGCCCTTAGGATTTAAAATCCTGCTGTAGGCTGCAGTTTGAGTTAGGATTACTCCTGGCAGCAAAATGAAAGGAGATTTGAAAAACGATGGCAGTGAGATTGACTTACGGTTGCTCTTCCCATCACAAAGTTGGGCTAGATAGCATATCAGGAAGGAACTCTGTTAGTCAAGGGTGCCATGAACGGGAAGTGAGGGACCCCGAGAATTTGGCCAGTCGTCCAGCATTGCGTATATTTGAGTGGAGGAATTTTGCGACAAGACCTCCAGGCTCTGAAGCATGGCTGCCAGTGATGCATTCTGCATAGGTTGAAGGGGATGGTGCATTTCCAAAGCCCACGCCAGCACTGCATGGTTTCATTACCTGGCCGTATCGACTGTGGATGGCTTGAAATAGTGAAACCCACCGTGGTCTGAATCTCAATTCTTTGCACTCTGAAGCAGAGGCCGGGGAAGGTCCTTCCATTCGAAAGTCCTGCGTATGCACATGAGCTGGTCGTGGGTCTGGCGAACTGAAACGCTGAGCACGTTCACGATTCAATTCCAAGCGCCCGGCAATGCTAGCTACCAGCCCTAAACTCCAGCAAGCACCGGGGGAGTCTGATTGGCTCGTTTCAGTCACTAGGCCGGCCACTACGCAGTATTATTAGCAGAGTCTCGCTTCCACAGCGAAAGACAGATGCCAATAGGTTCTGCGTTGTATGACTGTAACTGGTATCGCGGTATCATGAGGTAAAGGTATGGTGTCTGACAGTGCTAGATTGGCTGCGTAGTAGGTGGCGAGGCGGGTCGTTACTGCCCATGGCCCAACAGCGTGTTGTACAGGCTCGGCGCTTGCCTATCTCCGTCTTAAGCCTAGTGAGCCACGGCAACTACGACCCACCAAACACACGTCGCCTACATACTTTGTATAAACATCAAGCGATCGAAACCAGACATCACCTTTACCATCTACCACGTTTCTTATCCTATGTACAGTATATTGGCAGAGGGCCGTCACTACCTGATCCCTATGGTGGCCCTGCGCACCTTCAATGTCATGTCATGCGGATCCTACGGTTGATATTTGGTAAGGTTAGGAACAGGTGTTTCTAGAAAAAGTTCCATGGAATGTCCGAACGCAACTATCTACCTATACCCATGGGTGTTCTAAGCAAGAATACTGTGGCAAGCATGTGGCAAGCATGTGGGCACATGCCATAGTCACGTGCAGTGGTGATCCCGTAACACTATCCCTTTGCACCTCATCCAGAATCATATAATTATCATGTCCCAAGCATTTATGGAGGAGAATTGGTTGTATACTGCATTGAGTGTTGACAAAAATGGTTTACGTCGACCCGGAATTCAACGTGCCTAGTATCCCCGAGGACGAACGATACGAGGGCAGGGAGGTAGATCCTAATGTACTTGCAGGTAATTTCGTTCAAAGAAGAAGAAGAAAGCTACGCAAAGGGACCCTTTTCAGAGCGATCACTAATGCCAAAATCATAATAGCACTACCCTCAGACAACCGTGTCATATGGTCCAAGACGCATGGAGCCTCGTTCTGGGCCATCAGCTGGATAATCGAGACCGAAGATTTGAGAGGCAACGATCAGTTGTACTTTGTGAAAGTAAAGGGGCCCCTCTTCTTTCCGGGAAGCAGTGGTTCGATCGTGTATAGGATGCTCAACATGCTGAGATATGGCGGTGACAACATAGGTCTATACGACCCCTAAAGCTCGGGCGCAAGCAGAAGGAGAATTCGAGTCGACACAGGCCCTTCATACCGTGATCCCAGAGAACGTGCCTCGACCTATTGGCCGGGGCGTCCTGGCCCGCGACCCAAGCAGACACTTCTTCATCGCCGAGTTTAAAGCCATGAAGGAGGTCGTGCCACCACCCGAGAAAGAGTTGGCCTCCGTCATCGCCAACCTGCACAACAACTCCATCTCCCCGAATGGCAAGTTCGGGTTCCAGGTGCCGACGTCCCAGTCATTGCAGCTGGAGAACACCTGGTGTGACACATGGGAAGACTTCTTCACCCGAGCCTTTCGCCACACGGTCGAACTCGAGCAGGAAATCCAAGGGGCCAACGAAGATATACAACGGTTAGCAGATGAGATGTGCGCCAAAGTGATCCCCAGACTGCTTCGACCGATGGAGACCGGGGGACGGAAGCTTAAGCCCACCCTGCTGCATGGGGACCTGTGGCATGGAAATGTTGGAGTGGACTCCAAGACCGACCAGGTGGTGCTGTACGATTGCTGTGCTTTCTACGGCCATCATGAATGTGAGTGTGCATACCGAAAATGAAAGGATGTCACAGCCCGCTTTATCGTGACATGTGTATACTGAGGTATATACTCCCGTTATTGACTCTACATACATCGAACAGACGACCTCGGCATGTTCCGCGCCGCGCGCTACCGCACGTCTCAAGCGCATGTGGCGGCGTACAAAACGCTCGTCGACGTCTCCGAGCCGCAGGGAGATTTCGACGACCGCAACGCCCTGTACGCGCTCCGCGTCGACCTCGAGGTCTCGTGCGGCTGGCCCAGCAACAAGCGGATGAGGCAGCTTGCCGTGGACGAGATGAGGAGGCTTGTCGATAAGTACCCGGGAGGATTCGAGGCGTGGGAAGAAGAGGAGCACGGGAAGGAGAAGAAGCATTAGCTGCAAGATGGGGAGTCGAGGGAGGAATAAAATGGGGAGGATATAGGAAGATAAAGAGAAGAAGAAGTACAGAGGAGGAGAACAAGGAGAAGAGGACTCGAGAGCACGGAAGAACGGGAGGGATAAGATTACGATCTGAGAAAGAAGACAAGGTTTATTTGACCATATAGGTTTTCAAGCTACGACGGTGGACGACATCATGTGCCATAAGAATCTACCAGTCCTCTTGAGATATAGATATAGTCAAAGATCCAGCAATTCATGCCCTTTTATACTCCGTGTCCCACTGATGATTTACGGTCCTGTCATCTATGGTATCATGGATACTACTCTACTCCGTCCGACCTGACGAGACTTTCCGAGTTTCTTTCTAGTCTCGCTATTCCTATGATAACTCACCAACGCGGCCATGCCGTGCCGTGCCCGTGTGCACATATGGTGGAGAGCATCTCCCACACGGCCAATCCGCCCATGTCGCAGGCCCAGTCGACCCACAGGTACGCCTCCAAGATGCTCTTCAACTGTGCCCAGCTCGAGATACCCGACCCTGACAAGTATGTCCTGAGGGTATTGAGGAAGAAGACCCTCTCTTCTTCTGCTTGAGAGTCCGAAGTGGCCATGACGCCCATCATCGCGGCCCATATCACGAGCCTCTTGTCGGGGTCCGGGTCGAGGCCGGGAGATGTCTCGAAGGCTGCTCCTCGTAGAGGCTCACACCGGCTTGCGAGATGATGGATGTCGGCTCTTCTCGCGCGCAGAGCTTCGCGGAGCCGACAGACGAGGATGTTCAGTGACGCTGAGTGCGGGAGCGGGAAGACCACGCCGTGCGTGAATATCATGGCCGATGTCCACGTCACGCTTTCGGTCCAGTTGTTCGAGTCCGCAGAGTAGGCCAGAAGGCGGTATTCGACGAGGTTTCGGAGCAGGACGACGTCCTCGGACGAGAGCGTGTCGGCCGAAGGTGGAGATGAAGTTGAAGATGAATCTCGATTTCCGTCTTGACCGTGGGCCCCAGGGTTCAGTCTACTCACGAGGGAGCAGATGGAGGAGCAGAAGAGGTGGATGTCTTGGAAAATCTCGGCGAGCGGCGAGTCTAGAGGAAGATGCTGATACATCTCCACCCCGACCCGACGCTGCTGCATCCTTAACGCGGGCATCTTGTCCTGGAGGAAGTCAATGCTGGATCGGGGCATCTCAAATCTCGGCCGTGCCAGGCGCTTTGCGCTCCCGATGATGTCGAACAGATGCAACGCCTCTGCAAAGCCAGGGGCCTTCACCTGCTGAAGACCGCCTTTGAGAGCCACGAGAGTTTCCAGCTGTGAGAGATGGAGAGAAGCTTCCGCGGCTGAAGAGGGGTGGTCAGACCTGCCCCAGAGGTGCAAATATTGCATGCGCCGGAGAAACACGGGCGGTTTGAAGAGATCTGTTCGCCTCTCGTCGTGAGGTCTGACAGGAGGGTCAGAGAGCATACTGCTATTTCGGAGCCCTGTAACTTTTGCAAGGTGCATCACCGCGAACAAGAGGTCATCGTCAAGGTCGGCATCCCTCCCGGCATCGCCAATAATAATATTTCTTCGACGGCCTTCGAACCGACCTTCATCTTCGCGCTTACTCAGATCGAGGGAGGAATTGGAACAAGCTCGAGACAGCAGCCGCCTGATTTCTCGAATCAACTCATTGGCGCTGCTCAGCAACGTCAAACCATATCGGCTCCCTCGAAGGACCTCAAGATCCAGACACGTTCCAACGACAATTGCGTGCCGCATGATGGGCACCGCAAGGATACGCTGGAACCATGTCGTCGAGAGAGATAGAGAGATGGGGCCTAGCTCGGGGGATGGAAGACAGGAGGAGAACGTGGGCCAAAGTGCGTCCCTCGCTGTTGGAGGTCCAATTGCCTTGTTAGTAGGACAGCGGCAGTGACGAGCCATATTGAGATTACAAACCACTGAGAGCTCTGGAGAAGTAAAGGGATAGACGGGCCACCATACCAAAGAATAGAACTTCTCGGACGACTGGATCGGCTAAGCCATCAGGACAGAACGTCGGTGAGTGGCTTGGAGCCATGGATTTCGAATGATATCCTTGAGATGATGCAAATCGACTGGCCCCATCTTGATGATGAGGAACTTCGTCTGGAGCAAAGATTCTGGCCAGTTTAGCTTCTCGTAATCTGTTTCCTGAGGATCGAAAGCGTAGCATCAGTCCACACCACCACCTTCAAAAGGGGGAGCCCAGTCGCCGAAGCTTGACCGAGCAGAGACGAAGTCTCGGAGACAATGACAAGCTCTTACTGTAGGCTCGCTGATTGATGCGATTTTGAAGCATTTTCCGCCTCTTTTGATCCGACACCCCTGACCAGTCATCCTCTACGTCCTCGCCATTGGTCTGGCTGACGTATGTGTGGTGAGCCATACGCAGGAACATGGCATGGCTCGGCCGAAGAGCCCCCTTGACGAAACGGTGATTGTGAGGAACGATAATGAGTCGCCCTAGAAGCCAAAGACATCAGAAAAGGCTGGACAGTGTCACCATGGCCACACGGATGGAATATTCCATCCACAGTCGCTATGGATACGCACCGGCTTCGGACGAACGACGGCCGGAGATTTCCGGCTGCTGATTGGTCAATTGGAGACCGCCGACCAGGGCATAAGCTGGTTGCAGCCCTCAGCCTTGTTCCTGTAGTATTCACTTTAACCTCCGGCGTCATGAGTTGCCTTGTCTCGCCGTTGCTGACAGACCAGGGGCAATGTTTTGGTCTCTTATTCGACCAGAATGCCTCCCAAACTCCACGAACCCATGTTGAGCTCATCCGGCAGCCTCGTGCGAAATTGATATAAAGCCAGGAGAGCGCCGCCGATAAAGAGGGAACACACGTTCAACAGACGAGAGTCGAAGAAGGAGGACGACAGAGAGCAGGTTAAACGTCGACATGGCCATCACAACCCAAACAACCGCCTCTTCATCACTCGATGGGAAGGTGGCTCTGGTCACTGGCGGTTCTCGAGGGGTACGTGCACGTTTTTTCCTGACAAGACTCCTATCTATTAGGCCCGCGCATGATCTGACACTTTGAGATTTTCCAAAAAGATTGGTGCCGGCATCGCGCTCCATTTTGCCCGCAAAGGCATTCGGGCACTGGCAATCACATACGCCACCAACCTGCAAGCGGCCGAGGAGACCTTGTCCGAATGCCGCTCCATGTCCCCCAATCTGAAAACAGCTGCCATCCAAGCGGATGTTCTTGACCCAACCATCGGCCCAAATCTGATTCCAAAGGTGCTCGAGGCGCTGGCCATAGACAGAATCGACATCGTCGTCAACAACGCCGCCCTTGTCAATGACCTGAGTCTGATCCAGCCATTCGTGAACACAACCGCCGACGTTTTCGGAAAGACGATGCAGGGCAATGTCTTTGCGCCTATGAGCATTATCAACGCGGTGTTGCCTCATTTGCCACCCAAGGGGGGTCGAGTAATCAACATCTCGAGTGTTGCAAGCAAGCTCGCGAATTCTGATCCGGTCCTGACGTATGGGGCATCCAAAGCCGCACTGGACAGCATCACACGATCCTTGGCAAGTCTCCTGGGCATAACGACTGGGGCAACCTTCAACAGTGTGTCCGTGGGACCAACTAGCACGGAGACGGTGCAGGAGGCATTCAAGAAATTTGGGGATAAATTTTTTGACGACGCAACGAAGTTGTTCACGACCGAAAAACGGTTGGCAGAGCCCGAGGATGTTGCTTTGGTCGTTGGGTTTCTGGCAAGTGACGAGGCAAGGTGGATCAATGGATCGAATATCGCGGCAAACGGGGGAAATAAAGAACTGTTGGCTTTGCAGGGATAACGGCCTTCATGTCAATCAGCAAAAGGAACTTCAGGTCTCCATGGTAGCTAGATATAAGAGCAGGCTGATCTCAAGGGAGTCGGTCTGTTCCTCGTCCATTCTTTGTAGTCAGACAACATCACGGGAACCTGCGTCCCCTCCATCATGAGCAGCTGTATGCCTCGAAATGTCCAGGATTTCCCACGAGAACGCGGCAATGGTTGTTGAGCATGACAACAAGACGCTTCTGAAATGTTCCAGCAGGAAGACATATTGACGGGTAACGTTCCCTAGGAATACTCCTGGGGTATGTCGGTTTAGAGTCTTGTTGCGAGTTTGATCATGTCGTGCCTTCAGTGCCAGGGGCCATTTCTCGCGATCCGGCTGCTCGAAAATAGCAGACATCGATGGTTTTGTTTCTTCAAGGTTGGGGCTCAAGATGCCGTCGTATCGCTGGTCGATTCTCGGACGAAACGTGCCCGGGTCTTCTCCCATATGAGGCAACGACTGGTCGGGGACGTCCATGACATCATGTAGTCTGCGCCTCCAGCAGTTGTGGAATGGGGGTTCAATTTTGAATTCTGAATCCTCTGCCCATCGCCTTGCATTTCTAGCAGGCAACACCCCTCTGGATAAGAGCATGTCACAAAGTGGCGTCTTGTTCCCCATTCCCGTGGAGTGCTGACCCCAGCTGTTCTGGTCCTCGTCTGTTTCAGTTGCACACATCTGGTCGATCCACTCGTGCACACGAAGGACCGAGGCAAGGGTGGAAGTCTCCATCGCACAGGTGACTGAACCCCAGAGGTGTGTGATCAGTGGACGATCCGCTCTTTCGAGAAATTTCGGGTTGCTGGTTGCAGAAAATGTAGGCTGTATTAAAGGAGAATGTCTGGCACTTTGAAAGTCCCAGTGATTATTGACGTCGTGTGTAGTTTGAACGGGTATGGTGAGCGATCGAAGTAGAGTAAGACATGTAACTAAGAGAACTGTAGCGAACATATGACAACTGATGTGCGACCAGTATAATGCTGGACTAGCCAAAGGGGAGGGTCTGAGGCGGATGAAGAAGAAGAAGCTCAGACCTGTTTATGTTTGACGTGGAAGGAAGGGCCCGACTGCAGCAAACCGGCAGCTTCAAAGAGAAATGAGATCAACGGCAAGAACGGCGACGACAAAGATACAAGAAGCACAGTCGAAAGATGAGAATATCTTGGTCAACTCGGAGTGGCAATCAAACAGTGCTGCCCTAGTCCTGGACATTTCCAACCTGATGTCCTCCTTTTTCGCGAAGCCGAAGAGTATAGAATACAGAATCCTGAAGTATACATACCTTTGATGTGGTGCCAGAAATCTACAGTCGTCCTAGTTTCCACCTGGCGATGCGCGACTGTACATCTTCCCAGGGTATTTGCCTGACCTTTTTGCCACTCAAATCTTCTCCCTCCTGGATAACCACGGTTGGTGCACCGGTGCCGTGGCCTCTGTTGTCCACCTTACCGGTGAATATTTGCGTGGCCACTCGTCTCAGATCAGCGACCGTGAGGGCGTCGATTTTTTCGCACATTTCCTTGACACCAACCTTCCGTCCGTGAACCTGAACTTGCCGGCCAAGGTCCTCCAGTTCAACCAGCCTCGACTCGAGGTTCATCAAAAGGCTAAACCGCAGTTGATTCTTGGCTCGATTGACTTCCGCTATGTTCAAGCTGGAGAACCCGGACTCTAACGTGAGCGCCTGCAGTTCACGGCAAATGACGTCCACCATGTGACCGACTCGACCGGGCTCACAAGCCCCGGCAATACCGAAGAGGCCACTATCGGTATAACTGTGGTTGAAAGCCACGCAGCTCTCGACCCATCCGTGTTGATTGAGGACATTTGTGTACAGTCGAGAATACATTCCTTTACCGGGACCGCCGGCCGAAAAAGACCCACCACCACCCAGCAACGTCTGAAGCGTAGCCTGAGCATAGATGTCTTCTGAAGAGATAGGCAAGCCTTCAAATGCGATATGAACGTAAGACAGGGGAATCGTGAATTTGTTTGGTGGCGGAGGAAGCGTTGGGAGGGCGAGATATCCTCCGGTGTAGTGAGATGGCATCGTGAGAAGAGACTCCGGTGGATGTTGAATTAGAGAGGGATCGAGAGGTGATACAGTTGCTTGATGGGGTGCTGAGGTGGAAAAACTGTTGAATCCGGGAATCTTGGATAAGAGCCTGCTTGCGGGAGATTGTGGTGGAAGTTGCTGCGATGTATTTGGCTGCGGCGCGCCTGACTCGGTAGATGGCGTTGTACTTTGTGATAGCGATGGGGTTTCCGATTTTGCCATATCTCCAAAGTATTTTTCTGTCAAACGAACAGCTTCCTCGTGGGGAATACCGGCGAAAGCAACCACTATCCGCTCGGGCTTGTAGAAAACACTCCGATATTTCTCAATAAGCCCCTTTGTGATGTATGGCAATTTCTCTCGAGGACACAAGAGAGGATGTCCTAAGGTGTTGTCCTTATATGCGGCCATGTGCAATAGTTCGGGAATGATCAGATCTGGCTTGGCCCATATTTCCTGGATCTCATACTCGGCAGTTTCCAGTTGTTGGGCCACCTCTTCATCTGTAATCAACGGATCTCGAATCGTTTCTGCGAGCAGGGCGATCGTCTCGGGAACGCTGGCATTAAATGTGGCGGACTGATACATCAAAGCCTCCCGGGAAGAAGCACACTGGATGTTTCCTCCTAACGATTCCAACGCCTCGAGCATCTGATCTGCAGTTCTTGCCTTTGTCGACTTGAAGGCTAGACGGTCCACGATATGACTGACGCCTCGAAGCGAATCGTCCTCGTATCGTGAACCAGCATCCAAGTAGACACCTACGCCGGAGAAGGGGCCAGGTAGAGATTCCGTAGCGACTCGGACGCCATTGGGCAACTGAGTGATGTGATCTAATTCAACAGGATCCTGAGAAGATGCGGCCGGTGGTCAGACAAATATCACTTGCTTATCAAGGGGCGGAGGGTGCGGACGTACTTTGTGCATGGGATCTCTGACGGTTGCATAGTTCCTCGCCAGAGACCTCGGGGCCTTGGTAGATAGCCTGGCATTGCGCAGAGCCCTGACAGCTGCAGTGCGCATACTGGCTATACTGTGAGGATGCAGGGGGGAGGAATAACAAAGAGGGACACAGGTGTCGCCGTTGTTGCGGTCGAAGTGATCGAGAAAATGATGTCCGCAGGCAAATTGAGCAAGATGTTTGAGCCACGCACTCTGTGGAGGTTTTTGTGGAGATGAAGACGCAGTGATACGATAGGCTGGTGGGATAAACGTAATAGTAGCTCGCAGTAACGGTGTGTCGCCCAGTCTGACCATAGCCGGAGGACACACGGTGAGCAGCGGATAGACAGAGTGACTAACTAATCGAGATAGAGATCGAGAGGCGATCATGGCCCCCTAAAGTCCTCTAAGGTCCCCTAAAGTCCCTTAAGGTCCCCTCTGGTCAGCCCCAAGGAGCCAGTGTGGTGCCTGTAGCCGACTTAGTATGCTCGATGACATCGTTGGCCGCCGCCTCGATCAAGCGAACTGACTCCCCTTGTGCTTCCTAAAGAAAGGAGTTGGTCTTAAGAGGCCCTCTTATTATGTACTTATTCTCCCTGATGCTCTGGGGAAGGCAGTACTTCCTATCATCCAGCATCCACGAGATCCCATGTCCACCCCCCATATAATTGTTCGTTCCGACGTCCAACCTTCCGGTGTTCCCTGAATTATAGGCGCCTTTCCGCCAATTGACGTTGCCCTGAATCGGGGCCTGCGCAACCCCCTAAAAACGCTTGGTTCCAACAAACATCCCTGCGGTGGCCTCTCCCACTCCCTGAGACCCTGCCTGTCGAACTGCGGGCGCATCCTACATCATATTATCCACCATCTATTTACAAAAGTTACCTGGCCTGTTGCTCTGCCTCCTTCACTGGAGGTCTGAGTCTCGAACCCTCGCCTCAGAGAAGGCGCATCTTGCACCATAGCGACCCAGAGAGTGCTCGACACGAAAGGACGACCGACGGTATCTGGTTGTTGTCGTTGCTCGTATTGCTGCTTACTGCCGTTGTTGCCGCCTGTCCCTGCAGCGCCCTGTTTCTGCCTCCATCTACCTGCCTTGCCCTGTCAGGGGATTCAGTCTTGATCTGTGTGCACCGCTGCTTCACGTCATTTCCCATGATCTCGCCGTCTGCTGCTGTTACCTCCCCACCGGCCGTTGAACCGAGTGTCAACAGAACCACATCTGCACGGCGCCGGGGTTTGAGTTACCTGCGTGCTCTTTCACACAATCGTTCCTCGGGTGGGACGAGCCCGAACGAGCCCTCCCGCTCGCCTAGACATTATTTCCAGCGATCACTTAGTTACAACGACAATCGACCAGATCCTATAACGAGCCGACGACGGAGCACGTCTCGTCCCAACGAACCTACAACCCTCCTCTCCTCAGACCCGCGTCAAGTCGGCACGAGGAGCCCTTCACCCCGGGTCGAGCAGGAACAGCCTGCGGACCAAGTGGAACATACGAGTGCGGAGGATATGGCGAGACATAGGTCATCCACGTCGCGGTGGACTACTGGCAACAACAATCCTCAGGCCGACGGCTCACCAGCAGAGGCGTCAGATGCTGCCACGAGACCTGCCAATGCCAGGACCAATAACAAGACCACCTCGGGCACAAAAGGAGAGACAACTGAAGGGGAGACGAAGCAACACTCACCCACTATTCGTTTCTTCCCTCACCAGGAAGTCAGGAATGGAAGGCCATCACTGAATTTCTCGCCGATCACGCGGACCTTACCCAGCGAACATTCCATAATAAGAGTCGGTCGGTATAGTGAACGAGAGGGGATTCCGTCGGCCAATCCGACAGGCCCCTCTGACGCTCCTGTTGGCTTCAAGTCCAAGGTCGTTAGTCGAAAACATTGCGAGTTCAGTTTTGTCGATGGTCAATGGCAGATCAAAGATGTTGCTTCTTCTTCTGGTACTTTCCTGAATCACATCAGGCTGAGTCAACCCAATACCGAGTCGAGACTGTTTCCGATCAAGGATGGCGATATCGTCCAACTGGGCATTGACTTCCGTGGCGGAGAGGAAATGATCTTTCGCTGTGTCAAAATTCGGATTGAGTGCAACCGGGCCTGGCAAAAGAAACCAAACAATTTCAAGTGAGCCACGTCGCCTTGACAATTCGAGCGCAGAAACTGACATATTCCACAGCAAAAGCAGGCATCAACAATTGCAGAGTCTCGCGAAAGACCAACCCTCTGCAGATACCAACAGTGGTGAATGTTCGATTTGTCTGGGTTCCGTCCTGGTAGGTCTCCCCAAACCCATGAGGTTTTCTCTCGCTAACAGCGTCCCCAGCCCTGCCAAGCACTGTTTGTGGCCCCTTGCGCTCACGTCTGGCATTACAAATGCATTCGACCCTTACTCGAAGGCAAAAACAGCGTCTATCCCCAATTCCAATGTCCAAATTGCCGGGCGTATTCAGATCTGACCGCCGAGGTCGACCTTGCTCAATCCGACATAGACGAATGGATGGAGAATACTGATGACCCGGAGAACGTAACCGCCGAGGCCGGTGTTGACGCTGCGGTTGATGCAAATCATGCCCCAGATGCACATATCAATGGCCAAGTAACAGGCGAACCAGACTCCGCGAATCCTACCCTGCCAACTACGACCGTCAATGACGAAGACACTCAAATGGAATTAGGGTCTGAGAACCCCCACGTCGCGATATCTCAGTCCGAATCCGCTGACGAAAATCCCTCCCTGGCCACGCCCAATGCGTCGGGGCTTTTGGCCCGCCGGCAAGCTACAAATCCGCGTTCGTCCGAGCTGTCCATGAGCGGCAATATTGACATGCCTAATCAAGGTATTGAGAATGAGATGCAGGCTCAGCTCGAACAGCAACGAACCAACACACAAACGCCGGATCCCGACCAAGTCGTTGTTGCCGAGGGTCCCCTAACACCCAGGAATAACGCAGGACCCTTTGTTTTTGACGGTAGTGCAGGGAGGTCCGATGCGAGGCAGCTGATGGTACCTGGGATGGCGGATGTTGTTGATAGCAACCGTTCGTCATGAACCTATTGCGGTCCGACTCTGGTAGAGCTCCGGGCAGGCTGCAGAAGGGTCGTGATGATGGGTGCCAGATGGAATACTCTGGCAACTAGGGAGGAACATGAAGACAGGGTCATGACACCATGAACACGAATCGTGGGCAAAAGGGCGTTCTTCCCGCGTACAGGGGAAGGATCAGTGTTTGTCCAAAAACCCGGTGGCGGCGCTATTCTTGAGCGGATTATCCGTACTATCTGAGACGCAGCATATTTACCCGTATCCATATTTTCAACTTCTCAGCGGACTCTGCGTTGTGCATGGGTGCGAGCCATACGTTGTTCAGACATTTCCACTCCACGTGCCTAACAGTTCGGAGAAAAAGAGATACTGTACATGAAACCCGCCCCATGTCCGGGATGTATTTCGCACAGATTCGCCTGGTCGGGTCTACTCGTAGTCCTAATACCTATCCATTATATACACTAACGCTGGGGATGTATCTCCACCCTCGCTAACTATGCAGATACCCAGCGAAGCCGCGGGGAAGTAATTGACTGACATATTGTACGTTGTTCATGGAATGAATATATTACTCACTGTATATTGCAACACATACAAGAGCCACGCTAATCCCGGACGAGTATTAGAGAGGATGCTCATTCGCACTTGGACGTCGCATGTTCTGCATGTCTGTCTGTCTGTATGTCTGGCTGGGGATATACGTCTGTCTCCTCTTCTATGGTTGTAAATGCTCTCTGTGTCTCTAGTGCAACTGCAATCTAATGCCCTCGAGGCGGAATTTGACATCCTTCAACACTTTCGTTTTAGGTTCCCACTCGTCGAACTGCTCGAGGAGCTGTCTGGCCTCGTCGCGGAGGTCCTTCTTCACAATGTCTTCTTCCAGGATCCCACGCATGGCGAACGGCAGGATGTACGGGTTCGTGGACGCACTGCTGCTGCCACTGCCACCGCTGCCGCTGCCAGTGCTGGTCGAGAGGGCCTGGCGTTTCGAGCTGGAGATCGGCACGTCCTTGGTGGAGGTGGTCTCCAGAGCAAAGGCAATGGCGAGACGGTACACGGCGTCATCTTCGTAGAGTCTCGAATGACCCTCTCCCGTGTATAGTGACCCTGCCAGAGGCGTGGAGAGTTCTCGGATGAGTCCGTGATCCGGCACGCCCACATTCCTCAGCTTCAATACAAACCCCACAAGATTACTCAGAAAGTTGGGAGCGTGGATTCTCGAGTCGATGGAGACGGCGCGGTAGATGTGTGGATGCGTGAGTGGTGCAAAGATCGACGACTCCATCGAGACCAGTTGATCATCAATGCTCCCCACAAAAGTGACTTTGACACCAAATTTCAGGCAGTCGGCGATGGCAGCCATGTAGTCTTTGGACACTTTGGAGTTAGGGTCTGTGAATTCGAACAATTCCCCTGCGGAACCCGTTATCCAGGGAGATTTGTAGTCCTGAAAAGGACCCATATTGACACCGGCCATGGCGCAGATGCCAACGCGGGCGTTGGGCGAGAGACAGCCGAAATGAATCAGTTTGGCCACGAGCATTATCGCCACCGGGACTCCTTGGGAATGAGCTGCGATCATGACAAACTCGGATCTTCGGATCTCGTCGATCCAGTTCAGGAGGAGCTTCCACAACAGTTCGACACGTTCGGCGATTCGTCCTTCGCCTTCCAAGGCGGCGGTCTTAACTTCACAGTCATATCCCCGAGACTTGGTGTATCTGCGAATATTTTGTGCAGCTTTTTCGGCGAATTTTATGCTGGTGCCCGTGGGTTGACCCAGGAGCGACCGAACCATGGGACTGGGGAAGTAGCCATGAACACCAATTGCCAGAGCATTGTTTATCCGAGGCGGCTCTTTCAGTAGAGAGAGGTGTCTCGGTTGACCAGATTCCTTGGTGTAGTACAGGAGACGCGCCAGTTGCTGGAGGAGTGAGGGCTGTTCTTCGAAGGTGAGCGTGTCATTGAGATTGGGGAGGAGCAAATTAGGACCCTCCTGTTCTTTCTTCGACGGCATGGGAGACGCTGACCGCGGTGTTGAAGCTTTGGCGGGTTCTCGTGCGGTGGCTGTAGCATTGGATGAATTGGCTTTGGTGGTCAGAGGTTCCCCCTTCGCGGGAACGGCTTTCTTCTGTGCCACGGAGGTGCGCTTCTCCCCTGTCGCCGGCTGTTGCTTTGTTTCGGGGGGTTTCTTGCCTGTGGGTTTCTTTGACTGCTCTCCTTGTGTCGGTGGCCTCACCACGGGTTTCGCACCCTCTTCTTGGAGACTGATGGAGGCTCGTTTTGGCCGGCCCTGAGATGGCGTGTTTGATATCGCAATTTCCCCAATATGGGGCTCACTCTCCAATGTTGTAGACGCAGTAGATGCAGGGCGTTTCTTTTCTCGAGACCAAAATACCCATCCTGAGGATTTGGACCCGTCACCAGGAAGTTGTGGCGGAGGGGAGGTTTCAAGGGACGAGGCTTGAGACCCCTCCTTTCCCTTGGGTGTTTTTGGCAGTGGAATGTCGAGATTTTCTGTCTTCACATTTGCCGTTTCTGTATTCTCGACCCTTTCTATGGTACTGGACTGTGGTGGTTCTGTTGGAGGTTCTGGTTGCTTGGTCGGCCCGCTACTGGGTTGATCACCGCTGCTCCACATTTGATACCAGCTTCGTTTGTTGCTGGTCACTGTAGGGGAATTCAACGGCTCTTGCACTTGCTGAGGGGGAGTTGTGGGCTCTGTGACTGTGTTGACTGCAGCAGTAGTCTCGGACTCTTCCACGGGCTTGGTAGGAGGTGGTTGTTCTTCTGCGGGTTTCGTTGGATTGCCGTCTCTTTTTCCTAACCAGCCCAGCCACGAGCTTTGTGACTCTTGTGTCTGTTGTGGAGGTACAGTGGGTTGTGAGATCTCTGGTGTGGGCTCCGCAACTACCTCTTGTTGGAGTGGACTGGTATCCGTCTTCTCTGGTCTTGGTGGGCCATCTGCGGCAGGCTTGGATGCATTTCCGCCGTCCGTGGTCTTGGAGGTCAACTCCATCTGTGAATCCTTTTTACCTGATGAAGTGGCGGCTTCTGAAGTGGCATAGACGAGAGTCGTAGTGGCATCTATAGGGAGGGAGCGGTTTGAAGTTGATTTCCCGAGGGTCATTGCCAATGAGGGCGATCTGTGGGACTTTATCTTCTCTTTCTGTGGTAAGGGAGCCTCCGTGGCTGTGGTCGTCGTGGAAGATGGAGCGGGAGTCGAGGACGTGGAGGCGGAGGAGACGCTTTCGCGATGCGTCTGGGTTATAGGAGGAGCCTTGCGTGGCCAGGTTCGAGCGAGCCATGACTGGTCATTCTATCAGCAATCTGGACATCCAGTTGACCAAGAAGCCTGATTACCGATCTTTGATCTTGTTTCGGAGTGGAAGGGCTTGGGGCGGGAGGAGTGTCTGGGGGAAGAGGCACGCTGGCAGCCTGCTGGGCCTGCGCTTGGAACGATGACTCTGAACGCGATTCCTGGGCCGGGTTGGTCTTTTGCCGTTTCAATGGTCTGGCGGGGGCCATTGCCGGAATGTGTGGTGCTGGCAATTATGGTTGCAACATGGAACGGAAAAGAGTGCAATGTGGTGGAAAGACAATATGTGTATCGAGGTAGACAAAGACCGGCCTCAAGTGAGGTTGGGGAAGGAATCCTCATGAGGCTGCGCTACGTCACATGGCAGTCATTCAGGTCGCCGCATTCGACCAACCAACCAGTCGTTGTCCCTCGTGCTCTGTTCCACGAGCACAACGCAAGGTCGCATCAACCAGCCATGACTACGGACGAGAGGATCGAGCATGGACCATTCTTATAAGTGGTGTTAAAAAAATGAAAAGGGCAGAACAGAAGTTTCGCACATATGGTACAGTGGAGAAGTGGATTCTACCGTGTTCGCAAGTCTCCCTTCAGACGACGTTGAACCTTCAAAACGAGCCTCGACATTTCATCAAGAGTCACTGCGGTTCCAAGCCATTGACTTCTTTTGTTTCAGTTGTGGACGTATCTCGCGCAGGAAGCGAATGTCTTTCTCCGTCTTGGGTGCACCGGCCACAATCTCACCCATCGACATTGGTCACTCGACGTTCTCATAGGGTGAATCAAGTGCATCATCTTTGCCTCAGTGCTGCACGAGACAGACGTGTTCGAAGAGCAGTCTCAAATCCATCGACAAGAGAGTGGCCAGCAAGCAGAGACTTGCCCTTCATCTGACAGTGGGCCAGGATGATTCGAGGGCACAGGGAGTGATAGCAAGTCCTCAAGGACAACATCGAGCAGTGAAATATGGAGACAAAATTCTCTACAAGTTGCCTTTTTTGAGTCGAAGGTGCAAATACCCAGGTAGGTAGTTAATGGTGTGTACATAAACTGCGTAAAAACATAGGTAGATACACAGCGTCATCCCACGTGAAATGTCGGCGAATTTGTTCCCCGCAGGCACAGTGCGCACTTCTCAGAAAAATTGTTGTGGGCCACTACAGAATACCTCGTACACTGCAACAAATGGATCTTGCATTCCAACACCAGCAAAGACGAAGCTGAAATAGCAGTTGTCGAAGAGCTACTTGGTCCTTGTAACCATGGCCAAGACTTCAAAGGTCAAGAAAGATCCCACAGGTGAGTCCTCCCAAATCCTTCCTCTTCCAATTCCCCCAGCTCGCACATTCTCACATGAAACCCACCACAGCGAACCCCAGATCTCGGGCTTCAAAGCGAGCGACGTCCCCTTCGATCGACATCGACAAATCCATCAAAGACGCTCCGCGTGCCTCGGATGCCACGCCGGTGCTAGCCGCCCGCCCAAATAGCGGCGTCACCAAGGCGAAGCGGAAGCAAAAGCCTCTTTCGCGCGGCCAACGGCGCAGGCATGAAAAAGGGCTGGCCCGGGCCGAGATGGTCCAGGATCAATTCGCAAGAAAGGTCGAAGACGCATCGCATCGCTTGAAGAAGCGGCGCGAGAGAAAGGGTATGTGGGAGGACGTCAACGGGACAACAAACAAGTTTGGGACGTTAATGGCCGCTCTGGGTGATACTGCGGATCAGAATGAGGAGGATGGTTGGGAGGACGAGGCTATGCAAGAGTCCAACACTGAGAGCGGCGGTGTCAAGCACGTTGAAAACTTGACGACCTTCTCGAAGACCAAGCTGGTCGTGGTGGACCGGACAGCGTCTACTGCGGCGGCAGCTCCAACCTCGACGACAATGACGCAGGAAGAGGAGGACGAAGCCGACAAGATCACATAACGCAGCAAAGACTTCCCATTGACGACGTTCAACGACAACTACCAGATCCTTATTTCTTGGGCCGCAGATGCGTGAGCATCCTTTCGATCTCGACCAATTGCTGGCCGTTGGCCTTGTCCCGGAGCAGCTCCAGCGAATTCACGTCCTTGGCCTTGAGGGCCTCTTCGCCTGCTTTCACGACCATGCCGCATTTGACCCACATCTCAATCCTCTCCGAAGGTTGGAGGTTGGTGCATTTTGGAATAAATGATGAGGCAAGGCGAGTATTGCCTGCTCCAAGGACTTCGTTGTAGAAGGGCTATAACGCAAGGATCAGGTTAGAGACTAACAACCGTTCGAGGATACAGTGGACTTACCTCCCACCCGATGGGTGACTTCTTGCTCTTAGCAATCTCCTCGACCTCCCCCCAGAGACGGGCGGCAGTCAATGCCCGAAGCCGAATCCACCACCACGTCTTCTCTGGCACCCGAAAGTCGCCCTGCACTTTGGCGGCTCGTTTGCTATATCCAGATTGGATCAGACGGAACATGGTTTCGTTGATGCTCAGTCCCACATAGCTTCCGCTGCCGTCAGTGATGTCCTTGTCGAAGGCTTCCTGCATCTTAAGGAGCTGGCCGGCCTCTGTGAGCGACTTAGCGTGGAACTGAGCCGTCGGGTCCTTCGCATCAGTGAGCAATCTGCCCGCTAGCTTGAGCTTGTCGATCACTGCTTGAACCTGCGTTTGTTGCATGGCTTCTTCCAGCAACAAGTTAGAGCCCTCCACGGGCCTGTCGTCCTGATAGTACAAGTCTTTGAGCAATTCTCTGTCAGCTGCTCTTGCTGAACTCTCCACGAGTGCTGATGCCACAGGCTTATCGCTGATGGTGCGAAGGAAAGTCGCCAGTGGTAGTTTCTTTTTCAATTCCAGTAACACGAAGAACACCAAGTCGGTGTTGCCGGACTCAATGGCCTTGTTGAGTGCGATTTCGTCCTCCTCCATGTTCAGCAACAGGGGAACCTGTTTCCCCGCTCTGGGTTCATGATTCAACAATGTTGTTGCAAGATGGCTTCGCCCTTCGTCGTAGGCCGCCCGCGCAATGGCTTCGAAGGAGATTCCATGTTTGCCACGTAATCGCTCCACGACAATTTCTCGAACAGTGTCGTCGTCTGCAGGCGACCCTCGGACTTTTTGGCTCGCCCAGTGGACATAGATCTTGTTAGGAGGCAGATGCAAGTACTCTGACAACTTGATCGCAAGGAGGTACTCTCGTCGATGGACCAGCCGTGCTATCAGCCGTTCCGGCGTCAGCCTGACGTACTGTTCATAGGACATGTAGAGTCCGATGCGGTAGTCCCGAACGGCATTCAGCACTCTCAGATCCTCGCACATGTCGACAAACTCGTCGCTGCTGTATAGGTCGAGTACTGACTTGCCGAATGAAGCAGCGCGAAGCAGCTGCTTCTGGAGACTCGGGTTGAACTCATGACCCGCAGCCCGAATGCATGTTTCAACTGCGTCCGGCAGATTCGGTTTGATCCGCTGGATGTTTTCATCGGCTTTGGGCGACTTTTTCTCCAGCAGCTCGATTGAATCAAGAAGGACCGAGGCCGCCGATGTCGAACCAAGCTTGAACACTTCTTCCAGTGGATCGGGCACCTTGTGCAAGAATTCGCACACCTCGTTCGTAATCAACCGCACACCATCAATATCGGGAACGACATGGACTTGGTCATCATAGTAGTATTTGACGGCAGCACCGTTAGGACCAACCATGTGGATCTCGTCTTCCCAAGCAAGGATGACTGAGTCGTTCCCACACCAGTATATCTGCTTTGGTGTAGTCTTGGCTTTTGAGTCGTATTCGCTGTATTTGTTCTGGAAGTCACTGCCAACAACCCAGACTTTGCCGTCCTCGGTGAACAACGCTGCAAATCGCCCGTTAGGAGAGACGCTGACGTGCTTGAACGGCCCGTCCGACAGTCCTCGATCTTCGGCTTCGGTGACATCCACGACATAAATTGTCTTGTCTATCGCGAGTAGCACCTCGACGGATCGAGAATACGTGTATGCCGGCGGAATGATGGACCAGGAGTGGAATTCTCCCTCCGGCGCTTGAGCAAGTAGCCTTGGTCGAGGTTCGTCAAATGATGACACAGCTACCAAAGAATTGTTGGAAAGTAGCGCGACAAAGCCGTGCGACCAAAACCGGCAAGAGACGACACCATACTCCTCCGCCCCGTGACCAAGCGAGAAAGGTTGGAAGTCGCCGTGAAGCTCGTAGTAGCAGTGGACAGTGCCATCCTCGGTGACGACTAGGAGCTTCTCATCGTCTGACCATCCAAGGCCTTTGATCACGCCTTTCTCCCAGTTGATGTTGCTAATGAGCTTGCCGGACGAAGAATAAATGTCGATTGTTGGCTTCGTTGACTGCCCAGTTCGATACCTAGCAATCTTTGTCGTGTCTCGCCATAATGCTGCGATCGTCAGCTCGGGAACTTCGAAGGACTCAAGGAGGGTTACCAAGCGCGCCACCATACGGTGCACCTGCTACAAGGTAGTTCTCAAGTTCGAGATCCTGGTCAAAAATTGACTCGTACAAGGGCACCTTTCGGTAGAACTGGTCGCCAACGATCTCCCAGCCAGCCCTGGGATTGTTGGATGTCATGAGGTCAGGCAGTCCATGAATATACCAGGCGATCTGAACTTGATGGATCGGATGAGTGACTTGGAAGAAGGGAGATGGAGGCATCCAGATGTCGTCTGCTGCTGACCAATCATATGAGGCCGTGGTTCGGCTGAGTTTCCCTGCTCGGGGCTCAAACCTCAACGCTCAGATGCCTCCTGCTACCCTCACCACTGGATCTTCGCCAGCGTTCTCAGTTGCCAGGCATACAGGGAGCCTCATCAAAATAATAGTCATTCCAAAGAACATATCTGGGAACCGGCATGCATATCCTAATGCAAAGCTAGGCGTTGCGAACCCGACAAATATGGATTCAACACAAGCGTTTCTGGACAATGTCGACGATCTTACAGACCTCGAGCTGGCCGTCCTCCTCGGCCTCGTTGCGCAGCATCCTTGCATGGTGGTGACCAGGGATGACCTCCTTGATGATTTGGCATCCGAACTTGCACTGGTAAGATTCCACCCAAAACACCAAACCCCGAATCTAATGTTCGCGCAGATCGTCAGAGACATGTTCAGTCTCTCGTATATCATACTTGATCGAGACGATCTGCAGTCTATCCAGACCTTTGGTGCTGCTATTCTGGATGATGACAACAACGAGTTCGATGATGTACCTCACGAGTCAAATGTTGATGTGGAGAGTGTTTGTGACGGCTTCTGCTCCATGTCCAGTCACTTGTCTGATCTTGTCTTAGGGCATGCTCCATTCCAAGCTTGCCTCCGTAAATTTCGGCGGAGGATCGTCAAACACTGCTGATCACCAGAAATTGGATACAAGGAGAGTTGTCAATGTCATCATTGCCAAAGACTTCAACCTCGCACACGAAGACGTGCAGATTCAGGCTCTCGACGTACGCCATCATTGCCCAGCAGACTACTTATGCTGACCCATGTGTAGCTTATCAGGAAGCGGAGAATATACAGTCGAACAACCGTACATCTTGCGCCACCGATATTCCTGCTACTTCCGCTTGTTGCTGCCTCCTCTCAGCATATCCGATTGAACAAACACCTTGTGAGTGCAGCCGAATCATCCGTTGCCTAGGCTCATTCGTGCAGAACGACCGCATATTCATGTCACACACTCACGTGCCAGAAGACGGATTTCCCAACCTGGAAGAGTTAGACCACGCGGCCAATTCAGAAGACCACGACTCCACTTATTCCTACTCTAGATCCCCAAGTGGAAGACGGCAGCAAATGATTGCGAATCGCCGAATCGACACCAAGGTAGGACCTATTGTCCGGTGTACTTCTAGGCTGACTAATCGCGGTCTTCAGTTGATAGAACAGCTACGGGCCCAGGGTGAGGCTGCAACGATCACTCCGGAAGTTCGAAGGTACCTGCAGGATGTTGTGGCTTTTCTTCGGATGGAGAGAGGTGTTGACGGCGGTATATCGCCGTATGCAACGACCCTTTTTCTCGCCCTAGCAAAGTAAGTACCTGGACTAATCAACGTGCTTGTTATCTAATATGGCTTCCAGATACCTGGCACCATTTCACGGGATTGATTATGTAACGCCATCATTAGTCGCGTTGGCGGCGAAGAAGATATACCCACATCGAATCATTATGGCCATCCCAGGACGCGAACGGAGCACTCAGTACGGGACTGATCTTGCGTCTGCACGAGACCTCTTGGAAGATTTGGACCCAGACAAAGTGATCCAAAACGTTCTCGATACAATTGAATGCCCGACATGAAGAATGTGCTCTGACGCCTGGGACAGAAACGGGTTGGTGAGATCTATCTGTCTGACCAAAATTGACGATGGTCTGACTGATTGTCCAGTACGCTTTACCGAGATTGTTGATCCTCCCCTGATAATCAAATGAAGTCTACCTTCATTCAGGTTTTTGTTTGACCCGTCTTCCAAGAAGATGTTATCCCTTATTTGTTCTATAGGGCAGCAAATGTCGTGGCGGCTGAAGCCACTTGCATAATTCGGGCTCGGCAGATTTGAGGACTGCAACTCCCAGATGCGCTGGGTTCAGATGCCTCATCGGGACGCGAACAAGATGCAATGCGGTGCACCAAGATCTCGGCATGGTTACTCAGAAGGAAAGACCAGACAGCACCGCGAAGAGCCACTGAGACCTCAGGTGTCCGCCTACAAAGACTCCTGGTGATACCTGATACAGAAAGCCGCCAACACTAGTCAACGAAAGCCATACATGGTCCGTGCTGATCACTTGGTAAAAGATCAGAAAATTGCAGCCATTCAGGACCGAACTGCAATTCCCGTCACGCACCCGCCCAAGGAGGACACCGGACTCTCACTAAAGGATACGAGCCTCGTCTACGCTGAGAGTGTTCTGCTTCTGTGTGGTAGTGCTATGCTGCAGAATTGGGGAACTGACAGAGACGACAGACTGTAACGATTCGTGATGAGGAGGGCCGGTGCAGGTTCGAGGAGATCTGAATAACTGGGAATGGTCTTGGGGTCATCGAATATGCGGAGGGACAAGGAAATGAACGACAGAGAGGTGGATATTTTCGAACAAGGGTGAAAAGAACTTCTGAGATTGTTCCTCTCGTTCCCTGGCTGCTAGCTTCTCTGTGTAGGTCTCTCTCAAAACACCAATGCTTCAGCAATGGCGGAGGATGAATGCACACTGTATTATTGACTAGCCATTCCATTCTAAGGCTAGGAGGATGTGCTCTTTCCAGCTGGCCTGACTCTTCTCTCCCCATCTGTCTAGTGTCGCACCGACTCAAAGCGCGTCCAAATGAATGCCCCGTGAACATGACTCGCCGGATCTTATTGTCATGGGTTGTCATATCAGTGCTTCTCAACCTTCGGGTTGAGTGCTCATCGCCATGATGGCCGCCACCGGCGCAATCAAAAGCCCTTCATGCTCTTGAATCTGTTCTCAAAGGCCCGTTTCGTCACGGTCGCGTCCGGCGCAAATATCTCAAAGGCATGCGGCACGCCGGGATACAAGTGGAATTCCACCTCGATATTCTCCAGCGCGAGCCTCCTGACATACTCAATATCCTCGTCGCGGAAGATATCCAAGCCGCCTATGTCGATGTACGTGGGCGGCAGCCCCGCAAGAGATTTCGCCCGGGCCGGCGCGCAGTAGTGGGACACGTCGGCGTCGGGGATGCCGGCCTTGTCGGCGCCCAGCAGCGCGGTCCAGCCGGTGATGTTGTCTTCGACCTTCCAGAAGGCGAAGGGCTCGAGGTGCTCGTTGGGGACGTTGTTGCGGTCGTCGAGCATGGGGTAGATCAGAATCTGCTTGGCGAGGGGCGGCGAGAGGCCCTTGTCGCGCGCCATGAGGGCCACACCCGCAGCGAGGCCCCCGCCCGCGGACTCGCCAAAGACGCCGATGCGGGTCGGGTCGACATTCAGGGACGCGGCGTTCTGCGAGAGCCACACGAGCCCGGCGTAGCAGTCCTCGACCAGATTCGTGCCCTGCGACTCCGGGGCCAGGCGGTATTCGACGCTGAAGATCGATACACCGGTCTGCTGGGTCTGCCACGCGACTGCCGAGGCAGACATCCTCACCGAACCCAAGATCATGCCGCCACCGTGGCAGTGCAGGAGGGCCGGGCCAGGTGTTTTTTCCGTCGACGTGCCTTTCTTGGTGAAGCCGAACACGGACAGCGTCACACCCGCCGGCGTGGTGATGCTGTATTCCTTCTGCTCGACGTCGGGGGATGGCGGGACGAGATCTTTGAGCGCCGTAATGGCGCTTTCAAAGCCGGTACGGCGACCTTGAACGTCGTGCACGGCGTGCTTGGGCTGGGCGGCGAGCATGGGGATCATGGGCTCAAAGGCCTTGAAATATTCTGGGTCGTACGGGGAAGGCATGTTGTTATTATGGTTGTATTCCTGTCTCCGGCTCCCAGTGATCACTGTCTCTCAATATGGAGTTGGTCTAGACGTTGGAATAAAATATCTGACCTCTGACGATCCGTGGGACAGAAAGTGGGCGTTTGACGATGCACCCTGTGTGATAACACCCGATCAGAGGTGAGGCACTCCCCTTGTAAATTCACACGAAGTTAGTTTCCGTGTCGGACCTACCTAGAAAGACCTAATAATGAATGACCTTGACCACCCACCACTTTATCTGGAAAAAGAAATGGGGGTTGGCTTACCATGGTTCGGTAGTTTCAGGCTGATGAGTGGCCAGCAACCTACCAACTAACCAACCTTGGTACATTCTTTGCCTCGGCCACAACGGGCTTTTATCCGGGTTCATTTGTTGCTTTTCTCCTCGTCGTGCCGGATTGGACGACGAGTCAGTTGCGAGTGGCCATCGTGCCAAAACTGCGGCCTGATGCACTGTACGAGTCAAGCATATCGCGTCATCCATGATCCGTCCCCCCCGTTATGCACAGCGGGGAAGACGATTGAGCATTAATACATGTTGTGTTTGTATCCCGTGTCCTCTCACCAGTCTAGGACGTAGACACTCCGCTCCGTCTGTCGGAGTTACAAAGTTCCTGTCGCCAAACATTCCATGCCGGGATGCTGACAAAGAGGAGGCCCCTATCACAGTGACGCTCGGGATACCTGCATTTTCTAGGTCAGCGAGCTTGATAACTCGTCTAGCGTGTCAAGACTAGAGAGAAAACGGAACTATTGTGATCACTAATATCACTTGTAAACTGTTCCGTCTTCACAGACTCTGGTATTTAACTTGGTCTTCTCATCTCAACTCGACAACATCTCCTTCATCGCCTTCCCACTCATAGAGCAGACCCTCCCCAAGGGGTCTGTCCTGTGAGTGGGAAGGTCGGTCCATGAATCCCCAAGACGGGGCCGTGTGGCCGTGTAAAAATATATATCGCGCACCGACAATTCGAGTCGGCCATGTGTCATGGCCAGACCTCCCAGCCGCACCATTTTTGGTGGTTTCCTTTGTGTGAAAGTCACTTGGACGAGCAGGGTGTGGCAGTACGGCTCAAAACAGGACACACGTCTTGCTTCCTGGACTTACCTTGACTTTGAATCACCAAAAGCTCGACACAAATACGCAGCAGACGTTGTTTTTTGTTCCTCCTTGTCTCCCTGCTCTTGCCACCAAGAAGACACACCCACAGCAGCCCTGACAATCCTCCTGCAACTACCAAATCCCTGCATTAACAAAATGTCCGACCTTTACGAGGACCCAGGGTTTTTGGAGTGGGTGGCACGAGACGAGGCTTTTCAGTACGGCGCCCAAGACTTCATCCAGACTCACCCACCGGCTGGAATGACACCATTCACGAGAGGAGCACTTCACAACCTGGTTTTCAGTTACTACGGAACCAGTCGAGACCTCCGGATGCAAGGCCAGATCCTGGCGCTTCACAACATGTACAATCTCGAAGGGCTCATGGACATGGATCTCCTTGACACTGTCCGCGCCAACGTCGAAGCAAACAGAACCACGGGCCCTGGCCCAAACACTCCAAGTCAGCCAGCCACTCCAAGTCAGCCTGCAACGCCCTCGGGAGGGCTAGACAATCAGACCACAGGCAATCAGACACCGCGACAACCCTCCCCTTTGAGTAACGCGACCCAATCTCCGCGCCACCATGCAGGCACAGGCTCAGGCACAAATTCCCCGATCAAATGCCATCCGGCTGATCTCCAGCACATCGTCGCCATTGCAAACCGGTCAAAGGACTGGATGTACAAGTGCGACGCTTGTGGCCATGAAATCCTGTACCGTGGTGAATTCGTGCGACACATGAAGGACCGCCTAGGGCGAGTGGGCTTCGACATTGTGAGGGCAACTCCGGAGACAGAGGACCGCTGGTATGGGGTGGATGCCGCGGGAAATGAATACGTGGGGATGCTTGTTGCGAAGATTGGGACGGGAGAGAGGAATCGCCAACGAATGAGATCCCCATGCCGACACAGATAGGCACCCATCGAGAGGGAGAGGGAGAGGGAGAGAGGGGATGAGAGATGCCAGAGCCTGGAGGGGCGCGGCCCTCCCTGCAGCAGAGGGAGAGGGGGACGAACCGAGTTCGGATACCTCGTTATGAATCAAAGAAAAGGAATTGACGATATCGTTGCTGAGTTTCCACAGCCTTGTCACTGTAGCTGTACATGCGTCACCGTAGCGTTTTCTCAGCCTCGTCGATCTCGTCGCTGCTAGAACCCATGCCATATTCTCTGGGAACGATGCACCTTTATCCTCCCCCTGCTGATGATGTGTCTTATCCTGTGTTACCATGTATATCCGTCAATGGACAGCCATTCTCAGCCTCCCGGTATGGCTGCAAATATCTTGTGTCCATGCGTTTCTGGGCGGTGACGGGGATCACCCATATGACAGCGACATGCTGAAACAGCAGGAATCCCTCCTCGGTCTCTGTCCAGACTACACCAACTATGCCCGCCACATCCAGTAAGCCGACCTGGTGGCCCCCCATCTTCCCCCCAAACGTGCAGACGGAGTGACTAACTTCCTGCGCAGCAAACCTCTCAGCGATGGACCTCTACAACTCCCCTACCAAAGACCTCACCCGAGCTGCCGCAAGTTCTCGTCGCCCGCGGTGGAGCAAGTCATCAGCGACCTCTACCCGCGGTTCAAAGATCCCGACCTTGCGCAGATCTTCCAGAACGCGTTCCCCAACACCCTCGACACGACGGTGCTGTGGCACGTCGACGGAGAAAAGAGACATGCTCCCCCGCCTCGATTGCTGCGGGACAAGGACAGATGGCAAGGCGCTCACTCGTTCATCGTGACGGGGGACATCAACGCCGAGTGGCTGAGAGACTCTACGAACCAACTGGCCCAGTATCAACTGCTCGCCAAATCGGCCCCTGACATCTCGAACCTCATCCTGGGCGCAATCAATACCCAGGCCGAATTCGTGATATCTGCACCTTATTGCAACGCATTCCAACCCCCGGACCCGTCTCGTCTGGCTCCAGTGCATTCAGGGCAAGACGACATGGTCCACCCGGCCTACGAACCCGCGGTGGTGTTTGAATGTAAATACGAACTCGACAGTCTCGCGGCGTTCCTGAAGCTGACCAACGAATACCACACGTCCACGGGCTCTGTGGCCTTTCTGACGACTCGATGGTTTAAGGCGCTCGATGCCCTCTTGCGGGTTCTGGACGCGCAGGCACAGCCGACCTTCAACTCCAAAACAGGGCGGTACGAGCGCAATGAATACACATTCAGCCGCTGGACGCGCATCGGCACCGAGACACTCAACCTGGAGGGAACAGGAAACCCCTTGGCCGACGGCACGGGTCTGATTCGCTCTGCCTTCCGGCCCTCCGACGATGCCACGATCTTCGGCTTTCTCATCCCCGCCAACGCGATGATGTCGGTCGAGCTGTCCAGGGCGGCGAAGATGCTGAAATCCGCCAGCGCGGCTTCTACACGAGAATCACAGGCCATGCAGATGATCCAGGTCGCGGACGACCTCGCCGAGCGTGCCGAGACCCTCAAGAAGGGGATCTACAAGCACGCCGTGGTCACGCACCCGGAATTCGGACAGGTGTTCGCCTACGAGGTCGACGGTTACGGATCCCACCTGCTCATGGACGACGCCAACATCCCGTCCCTCCTCTCCCTCCCGCTCCTCGGTTTTGTGGATGCCGCCGACCCCATCTACCGGAATACCCGGCGCATGATCCTCACCCAGCGCGGGAACCCGTACTACCTCTCGGGCCCGAAATTCCAGGGCATTGGGGGCCCGCATATCGGCCTGCGCAACGCGTGGCCCATGTCCGTGCTCGTGCAGGCCATGACGGCGACCTCTGACGACGACGACAACGACGCTGAGATCCTCGCGTGTCTCGACGCCGTGAAGAACGTGAGCGTCTTCGGCCTGATCAACGAGTCTGTCGACGTCCACCGGGGCGCCAAGCGCGGCGGCGGGAGCGGCGAGGGCATGACGCGCAGCTGGTTCGCCTGGGCCAACAGCGTCTTCGCCCAGGCCGTGCTGTGGCTCGCCGAGCACAAGGCGGGTCTGGTCCTGAAGGATAGCGACGATGGCAGGCCGCCCAAGGGGTACCGTGTCGGCGTCGGCTGGGTGGAATACTCTGTGTGATTGATCAGGGATTGGAGTTTGACGGAATGGAATGGAACATCATGAAAAATGGAATAGCTAGAGAGGATATCTGAGTGATAGCCATCCCCCATCCCGAGCCGAGGAATCGTGCCCGTATGCACGTACCAGTTATGAAGCGACGATCGATGCATGAATCACGCGGAAAAAGCAAGAGAGCAGCAGCAGCAGCATAAATGAAGGAGGGGGCTCGTCGCGTGGAGAAGAGGGTACTAATAGAGTAGTATCCTCTGTTCTGATATGCTGCTATCTATCCATTTATGTCGTGTCCAAGGAAGGGTATAGGACATAGTACACAGATGTTACTCCTGCTTCATCTTCATCTTTATCCAACCAGGGATTGAACGGCTCTCTCCGCAACGTAGGCTGTGTGTGTGTGTGTGTGTGTGTGTGTGTGTGTGTGTGTGTGTGTGTCTGTGCCTATCTGTCTGCGGTGTGCTCGGTATAGTGACGAACTAAGCATTTTTCTTGCCAAAGAAACTCATAATGTTCCCTCCTCCTCCTCCTCCGCCGCCCTTCTTCTTCGCACCCGGCCCGGTGGTCTTGCCCGCCTGATTCTGGTTCTGGCTCTGACTCTGACTCTGGGTCTTGAGCGAACTCTTGGGCGCCGCGAACGCTTCCTTCGTGACGGCCCGCGCAGGGGGAGGCGGCTCGGGCTCGTCCTCGCTGAAACTCTCCCACACGGCTTCCTCCCGCGTCACGAGGTAGCCGTCTTCTTTGGTCGTGCGCTTCTGCATGACTTTACGCTTGCCTCGGCGGCGCCGTTGTTGGGGGGCTGCAGCAGCATCTACATCTGCGTCTGCGTCCTGTGCGGGCTTGTCCTTCGATGCGTGTGTCCTCTCAGTGTCGGAGTCTGACCACGCTATCTGGTCACCGGCCTCCTCTTCTTTCGTGTCGGTGTCGGCGTCCGTGCCCTTCTTCGCAGCTGGAGGCTCGTCGTTTTTCAGTCCTGTTGCCTCTGCCACGCTCGGCGCTGCAGCCTCCTCTTCGTCGTCGGACTCCATCATCTTGCGTAGCTTTGCCGCCTTGTCTTCGCGTTCCTTCTTCGCATCGCTGAGACGTTTGTTCGAAATCGCAGATTTGCGAGTCCCGGTATCGAGGAAAAGTGCTTCGTCCTCGGATTCGCCTTCATCAGCGTCATTCATGGCCGTGTCTTGGTCTCCGCCATTGGACTGGGGAGTGGCCGTGGGTGCTGGTTTTCGCGGTCCGGTCTTGGCGAAGGCTTTGAAGATGTCGGAGGCACTTCGCCTAGGGGCCGGCTGTTTGGTGGAGCTGGAGATTGAGGCGCTGTCGCGAGAACTGGGGCGCGAGGACTCGTCGGGTTTCACAGGCGGATCAGAAGAAGTTGATCCTTGGGGGGTGGGTTTTAGGTTGCTGAATGACGACTTCTTCGTCTCTTCTTTGAGAGGTTGGGGTTTGGGTTTCGATGCAGGCCCTCCTGATACCGTTTGTCTCTTGCCCTTCCGTCGCCGGACCTCCGGGTTCTGAATCACCCCAAATATCTTGCCATGTTCGTCCTCAAGCCCATTTGTGAATAGACCACGACTGACATCGGTCAACGCGATGAGATCTTGTAATCTCCCTGGAGAGAGGCTGTAGATGTGTATGGATGTGATGGTCTCGTAGTCTTCCTCGATCGCTAGCAGCATCAGTTAGCGGTCACCTAAGGTATTGAATCAGTTGTCTGTAGCACACCTTTCAGGGCCTCTTCTCTGACCAGCGTGATGGTCCGTACGGGCACTTCCCTTGCCTCCTGTTCCTCGACATGACTACTTTGCTGGCTGGGTTCGAGCATGGAACTGGTGAATGGGGGCGGGCTGGAGGGAATGTGTTCGTCTGGATCGCAGTCGGTCATGTGTCCTTTCGCAGTCCCATTCGTGGCCACGGCAAGTGTCGGTCTCTTCTTGACCCCCGACAAAAGGTAGGTCGCATAGACCGACTGGGGTTTCTTCGCATTTTGAAACTCGTAAAACTCGTAGAGCATGCATTTGGCGGCGTTGACATGCACTTTCAAGGCTCGGGAGACATTGCGGTAGGATATCGTTCGTTGCTCAATCAGCACCTCACTCGCCAGATACTTCTTGAAATCTTCAGCCATGGTTGTTCACTCTCTGGATTCCGTGGTGGATATTGACCAGGGACTCGAAGTGCAGAAGAAAAAGTTCAGCGTGACGTGGTGACGACGCGCCTGTTGCAGTGGACGCGTTGAGTGCTTTTTCGGCGTCGGTCTGCAGTGACGCGCTGGTACTTCTTCCGCTTTGAGCATCGGCGCCAGGAACCCTGCGGAGCGACTTTTTCTGTCAGACCAGCGCGATTATTTCTCGACCGTTAATTATTTGTCCTCCATCTGCAGAAAGGGCGTCTTTCTCAAGTAACCCGCACTCTAACTTGTTCAACTTGTATGATCATGCAGCTCATCGGAACAATATCCAATAACACCCTTCTAATCTGACACGATGGCCAGGACATCTGTCTTCGGGAACGGGACTCCGACATGATGTCAGAGGAGGCTCTGCGACACACCACCACCTGTCTGACAGACAAATTACCACTCAGGACAGCCCGCGTCGTTTTGTCAGACAGGCCGATTTTCCGCCATCGGATCTGCCTCGTTCCCGAAGGATTCAGGTAAGCGGCAACAAAATTCTTCTACCACATGGACTTCCCAAAGAATAATTACCAAAGAGACACTTGGCTGCGGAGGTTGTCGAAGGAAAGCTGCCGGAGGGAACCTATTGCCAAACCGGGTCTTCAGTTTCCCCTGGAATGGGACGGACTAGCCTATCGCTAATACCCACGGGACGATCCAATCGAATATCCTGAACAAGATGAGCACGCATGGTAAGCGGTGGATTGCCTTAAAACCCTCGGCCTCCGTATTTTGGTCAAATTTACTGATATTTCAGAGTCTCCCACACGCTCGTGGGTGTGCTGCTTCTGTTCCAGATCCTACCGCAGATCGTAAGTGCATCTATCTCCATGCAACCCAAATTAGCGGGAAAGGCGGCCGCATCAGTCACACGAAGATGCGTCCCTGGGAATACGCTAGTGCCAGCTGCTCCCTTCTGTCCATCTCGAGTGACAGAAGCCACCCAGTGACTCGACCCGATTAGACGACTTCTGCCGGTCATCCTTCGGTGGAGCGCCTATTCGGTTCAGCCATGCCAGACTCTTGTGGAAGCATTTATTGGATGCCATTGCCTGACCTTTCTTTCCTGCGTTTGTAGTGACGTGCTTCGCCGACATTACATCAACTGCCCGTCCAGGGGTGAGCAGCCGATCCCAGGGAAGCTCAAGAAAGGCAAGAAAACTCGAGCATGTGACTCCTGTGCACGTTTGAAACTTGGCTGTGATTTGGATTGTCCATGCGAGACTTGCCTCTCCTATGGCCTCGAATGCACCTACACACGCATCACCGAGCAGCGCCAACCACGACATGGAAGTGAACCTCCCTCGCTCCCAGTTCAGGATGAGCAACGGCCGAGAAGTCACTCTGCCAGTGCCGACACTTCTCAAGGCTCCAAAAATCATCATGCGCGGCTGGAACGGGGCAAGTTCTCGTTATCCTTTCTTCTCAACTTTGTCAATCCGACCACGTCTATGGCAGATGCCTATGGTCCGGTCGCAGAAAAACCAAAAAAAAGCAGTGAGTTGCCGCCCTGACCGGGTATCAACAGTGTGTCTAACCTCACTAGCGCCTGTGGCTCTGGATGTCAGTGACGGCGCAACTACAAGCGACTTCAGCTCCTCCAGTGCCAATGTACAGCCAGTGACCGATGGGTATATCTCGCCGGGACATAACGACAATCTCGACGACTTTTTTGTATCCTGTCTGTTTCCCGATTCAAAAGACTTTCAGGGCACAGGCGAGAATTCAAATTGGACTACGAACTGGCAGGCGGCAGACCACTCGGATCCGTTTGGCGGCCCTGCTGGCCATTTCAACTGCTTGATCGACTGCTTGACTGGGTTCACACTCTCCCTCCCGCAGGGACATGCTGAATGCGCGCCCAACGAGCGACTAGTCAAGGCAGCCACGCTGTTTTCGAGACTCAATGTCGAACGGTTTGTCGGTCATTATTTCCGAGATTACTGTCCACATAGCCCGATTCTGCATCCCGGGACGTGGAAGATGACCGCAGCATCACCCTTCTTGCTCACCGTCCTGGTTCTAACGGGAGCTCTGTTTTCCGCTTCACCAAATGACATGGAACTCGCAAGGGACATCCTCGGCCTGGTGGTGGAGTACGCTTTCAGCAACCCGATCTTCAAAAAGCTGCTCCAGGGCCCTGACGCCGTGCGAGGCTTGGACGAGTTGGAATGCCTGCAAGCACTCGAAGCCGCATTTTTCATCACACAAGTTCAGCTCCGGGAGGGGTGCCCGGCCAAGCGGAAAGACGCTCGAAAATCGCTTTTTGAAGAGATACTCTCTGCCACTCGAACCCTCGGTCTGCTGGAAACTCGGAATCCGTTTTTCGAAGCCGAACCGCCACCACCAGACAAGTTCCAGTGGGCTCAGTTTGCCGCTCGCGAATCCAGAATTCGCCTTGCATGTGGTATTTTCCATCTCGACGCCAGCTTCACGGTCCTGTACAATATGACACCGCGGTTATTCGCGGAAGAGATGAACATCGGGATGCCAGGTTCGGCCGATGCTTTTTTTGCCGACAATGCGCAGGATTGCTATCGGCTCTCATTGAAGGAGCACGGGTTTCAAAAGATGTCGCTCTCGCAGATGTGTGACGCCTTTTTGCAGGAGGAATGGGATGAGGAGAGGCGCTTTTCCATGCAACACTTGTCACTCCTGCATCTTTGCAGCATCATGATGGGGCTCACGCAGATCTTATGGCTTTCTCCGTACAGACCTAGGAAGGGGCAAACGATGAAACGGATGGAAGAGGCGCTGCGCAGGTGGAAAGCAGCCTGGGATTTTCAGATCGCGACCCTGACGGCCCGCCAACGCGAACGCTACGGGTTTCTGAAGACTATCCCCCTCGAGTTCTGGCAGATTGCCACTGTCTTGGTGGAGAAGAACAGTACCAGTTTGGAGACGGCGATCACTCAGAGTGCCATTGCTGCTTTGAACAACAACCGCAGTGCACAGACCATGCTCGCAAGCGTCGACAGGGACCAGAGCTGAACATCAGGTCCGCGGATCGACTGTTGAATCGACATGGCCCGCCGGCTCTTTACACCTCGGGAGCCCGCAAGACGAACCAAGCAGAGATCTCGGCATTTTATGATGGAAGCCGAGGGCTCCGTCAGCCTCGTGCTTACTCACATACTGTACCTTGTCTAAGCCACGACTAGAGGGTCCCACAACAGCATAGAAGCTTCGGGGCTTTTGACTAAAACGGTAACCTCTTTCATGTCAGCATCGTCTACGGTGAAATGGGGATCAAGATGAGTATGATTGGACGCTGGGATGACCTCGAACCCTTTCAGTCCAAAGAGATATCTGGTTCGCAACTCAGGAGCTGGCCCGATCATGAAGGCAGACCCACCATATTACCGCAAGTGTTTTTTACGAGCAGATATCAAGCGACCAAAGGAGCGTGTATAGACAGATAACAGGAAAGGATATCATGTCGATGTTAGATCCACGTGAACAGCGATCACAGTCGGGCTCCACAAACAGAGGATAAGCACTCATCCATCCTCCGACCTCTTTAGGTACCCCATTTTTCCAAGCAGCACAGTATGCACCCAGTGAAGAGAGCCAGACTTGTCCTGGTCGAAATTAGGATTGTTATGCGACGCTGGTTACGCCGTTCTGTTAAATGAAGTGATGATGTTCACGTGGCCGTGGTCAGTCAACAAGGGGTTCGGCATCATATTCCTCCTTGTCCGACCGAGGTACTTTATGGACAGGATACCGAACATTTATTTATATAAGTATCACTTCGATTATTTGCTGCGCTGGATGATATTATATATATATCTCTCTCTGTCTCTGGGCAGCCAGGTTCCCTGTTGCGTTTAGATGGATAAAAAGTGAATCGGCTTAGGTACGTACGGATTCACAAATTCTTATTGGAAAGTCAGTCGCTTGTTGATCATTCAATTGCTGTAATGATGGAGGTTCTGACGCGCTGACATGTCAAAAGGGATAAATAGAAGATTGTTCTGCTTCAGTCACATAGGTCATATACATATATACATTAAGACACTTTCCATCTTGTCTATAGAGGGTTTTATTTCCAAGCTCACGACACCACGACTTTGCGCCTAGCTGGATAGTGGACACCCCTGGATATCCCCCAGCCTTGTTATATCCCCGACAAAGGACCTAAAAGGAAAAAAAGGACTTCATGCACGTGGAGAGATATGGAACTCGCCGGTCCCGAACCAGAAGTCCCGACTACCTCCGACGAAGAAGAACACCAGGTCCCCGTGGGACGATCTGACCCCTATCTCGCTCACTTCACCCAGCTCGGGCGCCAGATATACCTGTACACGCCGGTGGCGCCCTCGATCCCAGCGGTCGACATCGACAACAACGATGACTACCACGATGCTCCTGCTGCTGAAGGGGCCCAACAGCAACAACAACGAGAAGAAGAAAATGCACCGCCTGACCCGGACCTGATCATCGTGTGTTCGTGGATGTCGGCCCAGCCGCGCAACATCGTCAAGTACACGGGCGCGTACCGGACGCGGTACCCGCGGGCGCGCATCCTCCTGCTGCGCCAGGACGGCGGGGATTTCTTCTTCCGCACGCAGGCCCAGCAGCTGCGGAACCTGGCGCCGGCGGTCGTGGTGGTCGAGCGACTACTCGCCGCCACGAAGAAGGAGAGGGAGGAGGAGAGGAAGACGAAGACGATGAAGAAGGACAATGGTGGTGGTGGCGGTGGCGGTGGTGATCGAGACGGAGATGGGGACGGTGATGATGGTCATGATTTGAGAGTCCTCATACATATCTTCTCCAACGGCGGCGCGTGGACGGCCTGCCAGCTGGCGGACGCCTACTACCAACAGCAGTCCCGACGACATCAGAACCAGCGTGACCGCTCTGATTTCGAGTCTGATTCCAACTCGACCAAAGACCACCACTCCCCGCTCTGGCTCCTCCCCATCACAGCCCTCGTTCTCGACAGCACGCCCTCCCTCCCGAACATGGCGGCCTCACACACCGCCATCTGCGCGTCCCTGCCCAAGACGCCGCCAGGCGTGCGCCTGCTCAGCAGCGCCCTGGTGTGGGGGTACCTGGGGGCGGCGCGCGCGGTGGGCGCGGTGACGGGCCAGGAGCCGCCGACGCTGTCGCTGCGGCGGCGGCTGAACGACCCGCGCGGCGCGTTCACCCACCAGTCCCGGTGTGGTCGGCGTGGGCATCGCGTCTACATCTACAGCCAGGCCGATGCGCTGATCCCGGCCGCCGACGTGGAGCAGCACGCGCGCGAGGCCGCCGAGGTCCTTGGGCCCGGGGGCAGCGACAAGGTGCGTCTCGAGGATTTCGTCTCCTCCCGCCATGTCGGCCATGTCCTCGCGGATCCGGAGCGATATTGGGGCATTGTTGACAGGGTGTGGAGGGAGAGTGTGTCGTGATGTCTTCGAGTGCGTAGGGTGAGGGGGCCGAACATGTGTGTTCCCAATGGAAGAAGATGTTATACTGGACTAATATTGATATGGTGGGAATGCCTCTAAACAATAATACATCCAGCGTGGGTTGAGGGCAGAATCATGGAAGCATCGACAGACTGGTCAACTTTTGGAATCTTTTGCTCAATTCACTGTCGCAATGTCGTCTGAATGGCTATGGGGGTATTTGCAAGCTTTCGATGGCGCCATGTCATGTCTCGTCGCTCACATTTGACTCCGTGTCGAGGAGACTTCATGACTGTCTGTCTTCTGTGCCACTGACTCCCTCCTCTGGACCCTCGCTGTCTTCTTTATCCATCCATGCTGGTGCCTCCTTGCCATGACCATCATCACCTCCCAACCACACCTTGCGAGGAGTAAATACTGGGCATTTATCTCTCACAGGCACTTCCTTGCCACAAACCAGCCCTGCTCAAACCCCTTCCATCTGTACACTCCTCACCATGCCCGCAAATTCGCGCTTCACAAAGTCAACATAGCCTCTCCACGAGATCAACTCCCCGGCGACACCTTCGACGGTCACATGTGGAAACTTCCTGTCCAGCTCCAGCGTGATCCGGACGACCGCAGTATTTGCTTCATTCACTTTCTCAATTTCCTGCTTGACTGCGTTCTCCTTCAATTTGGCGCCCAAGACCACCCGGAATTTCTCCGCAAGCATGGGCAAGCGCCGTCGTGTTGCGTCGGGATCAATCACTGATAAACGGCTGAGCATGAGAATGCACAAGGTGCGGATGTCATGGTCGTCCGGAATGCCATCCAAGATGCGGTCAAAGATTTTGGGGATGGGGAGGTGCGGGATCGCACTGGGGCAATCGAGCAGTGCATACATGGTCGCGTACGCAGACTTCCGAAGGTCGAGACCGGCATCTTCGGTGTGGGTAAAGGGGCCAATCTTGACCTGCTTCACGAGTTCAGGCTTAATCTTCGAATCCTCCAAGACCGTGGGGAGGAGTTGGCCGACATCAGGAATCACGAGTTCGGGTTTGTTATGAATGGCCGCATTGAGCGTGGTGACTGCCAGCCGTCGGTTAGACAGGTCACTGTCATTCAGCATCATCTGGAGCATGGGCGTCATGGTCTTGACTAAGATGTTGTTGTAGGAGTTGCTGGCTTCGCCGAGGGTGAAACGGAAGGCGGAGATGACAGTGCCACGGACCGATGGGTTTGGGTCAGCCAGTGCTTTGGAGAGCTCAGGGACATAGGTATTCGGGTCAATTGTGGCCAGTCGACCAATGCACTCAGCTCCGACCGCGCTGTTGTCCTCGATCTGTGACACGGCGAAGAGCTTCTGCCACAGTTCGGCCGCAAACGGAGCCATTTCTCCCAAGGTACTGTCCGAGTGTTCCAGAATCTCTTTGACAGAGTGGAGGTAAAGGTAGTCCGAGGCTGATGTCTGTGTCAAGCTCTGGAGGATAATGGGCACACATTCGGAAATGTTGTTGGAGCTGGCGCTGCCCAACGCAATGGCGGCAGAGAGTCGGACTTTGTCTGATTCGGCGGAGAGGCAGTTGATGAAGGTTTGAATCTTCACAGGGGAGCTCGGGCCCGTTCTGAACCCGACCTCTCCGAGCACCGTCAACGCTAAACAGATGGCTCGCACGTCTTGTGATGTTTCGAGTTCCTTCAGAAAATCAGAGATCCCAATATTCAGGTTGTCGCCCCCATAGACCAGTAATGTGCCAATGGCCCTGCCCAGAACCGTCGTCTCCCCCGTGGTCCCGACGGTGAGGAGTCCTTTCATGAGCAGCGCCCCAACACCATGCTCTCCGATGACTTTCACGACGAGTAGATACGCTCGCAGCGGAGGCCCTTCAATTCGAGTTTGTGAAATGCCGCAAAGCGCATCAACCAGCTCCGGGGTGACCAGCGCTTGGGCGTTGGTGGGGATGATCTTGGACATGATGACCAGTGCCGGGGTCAGTAAGTGAAGGTCGTTGATCGATATGAGAGGCATCAACATGGCTTGGAGCTGCAGAATCGTGGTGGTTTCGTACAATGAGGCCGTCACAGGGTTCAAAGCAAGATATTGTAATGATTCCAGGCAGGAACCCCGGAGAGATCGATCAGCTTTACGGAGTTGGTTGGCCATCTCCAGGGAAACTTCTTGTACCCAAGCAGAGCCGATGTTATCGTGAATGCTGGCGGCCTCGCCAACACGGCCAATTGCTCTCGCACTCGCCAGTCTAGTGGTTTCGTTCTTCAGTCTGTCACTCAGGATTCCAAGACTTCTAATCCTGGCTGAGTTTGACAGCAGTTCGGTGGCGGATGTTCTCGCCAGGAGAACACCAAATACAGAAATAGCTCGATGCCGCACTTCAAGGTCAGTGTTATTGTCCGTGATGCGGTCGACTATTACTTCCCAGAGCTTTTCAATGTGCATGGCGTGATCTTGGTTTGCGGTAGGCAGCCGAGGTGGAGTCAGAGCCTTGACAAACTGCTCAACCGTGGCAAGAGCTTCGGTGGAAACTTTGTAGTTTCTGTCACGAGCACTGGCCGTGACTGGGGGTATGAGAGCGATGACAAAAGGTATCAGGACAGTGGTGCTATTGGTCTCCGCGATCGCACTGATCAGGGTTAACGTCTCGATCTGAAGACTGGCAACCGTCGCCGAGATACCAGATGCTCCACCGCCGGATCCTGAGCCCAGCGACGGCTTCAAAGCATCTGCGATGGGATCTTCCAGCTGCTGCAAGTGGTCCGACAGGATTCCATTCCTTGCCAATGTCAAAGTCTTGAGCATGACGACGGCAGCCTGCTTGAGTGCGATGCTCGCTTTCTTCCACAACTTTGTAAGTGCTTGAACAATTTTTGGCACCAGGCTGACCAGGTCAGCCTGGGACCCTGTGGGCGGAGATGCTGGGATGATCGGAGGGCTAGCCCGGATGGCTATGAGACCTCGGAGATCTGGATCTTTCTTGTCCGCTTCGCTATCTTGTCGTCTTCGCTTGCGAGTGTTGGTTGGCATTGCTGGATTTTCCGAAGAATCGACTCTGGTAAGTGATTCGGTCAGACCAGATCCCGTTTTCCGAACCAAAGCGGTGGTGGCTGCAATGACTTCCAATCGAACATTGTCTTCGCGCTCTCCGAACAGCCGGGAGATGAGAGTAGGTGCGATCTTGCCGAAAAGCATGGCTCTGTCGCTTACCGACGAGCCCGAGATGATGGTGTATAGGGCCTTCGCCGCACAACGTCTCACTTTCCAGCTCATGTCATCAACGTCGCTGAAAGCATCGTCATCGTCCAGCTCGGCATATTCATCGTCGTCATCGTCTTCGAGCGCTTCTTCTGTAATGCCGTCATCGGAATCCTCGTCTTGGGTCCCTCCCATCTCGTCGTCTTCAATGTCTGCAACATTCGGATCGTACTTGAGATATCGCAATGCAGCGTCAATAGCACTGGCAAAATGAGGTTTCATCTCAAGCGGACACGATCCAAGCAGAGCCTCGAGTGCAATGAGAGCAGTTTCCCGCAATTCCTCAATCTCTGGGTCGACCTCGGCATCCTCCTCCGACACAGACGCAGTAGAAGATAGCTCCTCTTGACTCAGGACCTGAAGGACGTGGGGAACGACATCGTCGACGAAGGGTCCGAACTTGACGGGACTCGAACGGGCAAGAGTTGCGACCGTCGCGACAAGAAATCTCCGATGTTCAACGGTTAGCTGAGGATTCTGAAAGCTCCCAGTGAGAGCTGCTACGAAAGATCGAACTTGAGCATCATTGAAGTGAACCAGCAATGCGCCGATCCCAGCCAGAGCCCGTTTCTTGACCACCCCTCCTGCCTGTGGACTCTCGATGATGTTCATCACGGCCTTGGCCAGTGCCACCAGTTCCAAGTCCTGCAGTAGGGATCCATAACATTTGACGATTTCAATCATGACATCGACCGCGTCGCTGCTGAAGCCTTTGTCTTTCTGTCTCTCCAATAGACCAGTCGGCAGCTGCGGTGGAGGCCTCCCCGACGGCGACGGTAACACCACATGACCGACCAACCTCGGAATCAAGACTTTGCTGACTGCTCCATATGCCTCTCTAACATCTTGAGCAGGAGCTTCGTTTGGTTTGGGTTGCGGCAAGGAGGCGATTAGAGCCCGTAATGCGGAATTGGGGATGGAGATGTCAATGTCATTTTTGGCGAGATCGGTAAGCTTGTCTATCAGCGGTGCGATAGTCTCGCCCGGTATACGTGCTGCCAGAGGGGCAATACTATTTCAATTTAGTGTATGGTCATATTCAGCATCGGGCATCCAACTCACCACTTGAGAGCCTGGTTCTGGACTTCGCCATGCTGATCCGCCAAAGCCTTGAGTAGGCCGTCTATGATTCGTGCGGCAGTATGAGCGTCAGTCCGTATATACTCCGAGTACGCATGATTCAGGATGTCGGTGAGGTCGCTCAATTGCATGTAACGAATATCTGGATCAGGGTCATCCATCTTATTGAGCAACTGGGCAATCGCCTGATGGAGCGAACTGCGGTCTCTCGCCATGATGGTCCACGGGACGCTTAAGGTGCTGTGATAAGGAGGAGAAACGGCAAATCTCTCAGGTCATCGAATCGTGGGCGTAGGGTGGGAGGATTCGCATGGGGAGGTGATTTCGACCAAGTGAGGGGACGATTTTCTCGAGCCGCAGGCAGGACAAAGAAAGCAGGCGCTCAAACGCTGAGATCGACGAATGCTGGACTGACCTGATGTCCTCTTGGCAAGAACTCAGGTGCAGGAAGGCATCCAACAGGTTGTGGCGGCGAATTCACGCTCACTCTGAACCGCTATTGACAAACATCAAAAAAGTCCCAAGTGGGATGATGAATCGTCTTGTGAGCGCAGTGGAGAGCCTCAACCGCACCGCAGCAGCAGCAGTGACCAATGACGTCTTTGTGGTTGTGATTGGCTGGATGGGCTGGTTCCTGAAAGCGCAGTTATGGCTCGTATGACATGCGGGACTAAAGTTGTTATATGGGGAGAAAGCTCCAAAAGCTTCTCCTCCCAGAATTTCCGGAGGTGTTTTCCCGTTGACCAGGAGTGAGCAAGGACACATCCTTAAGTCATAACTCCCTCGTCTATATTCTTGTAGTCCCTCTTTTGCCCTGCTCGCTTTTCTTCAACTTCCCAATGCCGCTACCAAGGTCAGCCGCCCTCCGGGGCACTTTTAGCTCCTTCACTCTTCGACGTGCAGGAACCCAAGCTCGAACCAGTTTCCGAGGTGTTGGCCGGAGGACTTATGCCACTGAACATGGTGCACACAAGAGCAGCGATATTCCCTGGTCAGTTCGCGTTGTGAAAATAGCTATTACCGGTTCTGACACAGCTTGGACAGGCTAATTGGTTCCCTCGTCGTCACCATCCCAGCTGCGGGTTGGCTATTGCAGCAAGGACCCCAAAAGTCGGATCATGGCCACGGTTCCCATGCCACAGAAAAGCACGAGGAAGTTCCTCCTGAGGAATCCAAAGAGGAATCGAAAGAAGAGCCCAAGGAAGACGATGAATCATCAAAAGAAGGCACTGAGAAAACGGAAGAAGCAGGGAAGGAGGAAGAGAGCCAGGATGAAAACAAGGAAGAGTCCCCCAGCGAAGGCGACGACAAGGAACCGTAGGTTTGAGCTGCAGATGCTGCTGCATGCGACAGTGTGCATCTGAATTACAGACTGACACAGTGCGCAGAACCCCTAAAGGGACGGCGAAACCCAACGATGAGGCCAAAGAGTCTGAAGAAAAGGGTGCTAAAGATGTAAGTTGACCTTTGCTGGCTGTGTCTACATCTTTGCCTTGTGCTGACCACTGGCAGGCCCAAGGTGATGTCACTGGGGCAAACAATCCCTTTATGGGTGACGAGGAGAGAAGCAAGAAACCGGAGGGTATGGATGCGACGGCCAAGATTCACGGTACTGTGGACACTTCGAAGCGGTCCAGCAAAGGCCACCATGAGGGTGGCCAGAAGGATGATTGATGCTTTGGCCGACCTGACCGACGGAACAAAGTCGGAGGGACTCTGCATGCATTATTCAAGGTTCGTGCTGGCAAGTGTGGCATTGTCGGGCAGTTTCTATAGCCATGGTGGTAATTACCGTGTAGAAAAAGCATCCTGTGGCCCCAAAGCATTCTTGTTGCTTTATGCATCGAGTGCACAGACATCGTGGTGCTGTACGGATAGATGCGAGAGAAATACGCAAGATACGGCAGATACGAGTAGTCCAGAGGGATTCGCATTTCCCAGGAGATTGCTTGATGGATCCAATGACCCCTCAATACGTGCTGGTCCGTGTTCCGGACAGCCACGGAGCCTTTTGCGGAGGCTTACTATGATAATTTTGATGACATGGCCATTTCACATGTCTTTTCGAGTGCCAGGAAGTTTTACGCACAATCCTTTTCCAACTCTTCGAATATTTCCTCGAAATAATACAATCTCCTGCTCTGGGACCGTACGGTCTCTCACTGACGATATCGTTGGCATCATGGCACGTCCACGGCGGGCGTCAAGCAACCTCGGGGGGGATCCCAGGGGAGACACCAGCGCACCCGCATTCGCTACTATGACGGCGCGACCAGCTGGGCAGATTTCTGTATGACCCAGCAGCATTGCCCCGAGAACCTGTGATCTGACTGTTTTTAGGCGGACGAGAAGGACGGGAAGCCTCGCTCAAAGAGACGGAAAGCAAGGTCGGCCTTTCGAAAATGGAAACAGATATCCTTGCGGCACACCTGGATCAATCCACTCATCCTCACGATTGCGATCCTCATTGCCTACTACATCAGCCCCGGAGAGCAAAACCCTCTACACAAGGCGATTTTCTTGTCGTATAATGTTGGGCCAGATTATCCCGGCGGACCAGACATGTACGGCAAGGGAAAAGCAGACATTGCTTTCGTGGCCTTTTACACGATCGTCCTGAGCTTCACCAGAGAATTTGCCATGCAAAGAATTATTCGACCCGTTGCCATCAGGTGCGGCATCACAAAGAGAGCGAAGCAGGCACGGTTTATGGAACAAGTCTACACGGCCATGTACTTTGGCATTTTCGGTCCTTTTGGACTCTATGTCATGTCGAGGGGTTCGTTGTGGTACTTCAATACCACGGCAATGTTCGAAGGATTCCCACATCGAAAGCACGAGGGTGTGTTTAAGGCATACTACTTGTTGCAAGCGGCCTACTGGGCTCAGCAAGCTATCGTCCTCATGCTGCAACTGGAGAAGCCCCGAAAAGACTTCAAAGAGTTGGTCTTTCACCATATTGTCACCCTGGCTCTCATTGGACTGAGCTACCGCTTTCATTTTGCTAAGATGGGCATTGCCGTCTACATCACCCATGATATCAGTGATTTCTTCCTGGCGGTAAGCGCTGGCCCTGGACACGGATTTTCCTCAAAGGCTAACCCCTCTCAGACCTCCAAAACATTCAATTATCTGGACTCGATCATCGTAGGGCCATACTACTTTCTCTTCGTGTGTGTTTGGATCTATCTCCGCCACTACATCAACCTCATCATTTTGTGGGCGACCCTGACCGAATTCCGCACCGTGGGACCTTTCGAGCTGAACTGGGAAACTCAGCAATACAAGTGTTGGATTAGCCAGATCATTACATTTTCGCTCCTCGCCTGCCTCCAAGCCGTCAACCTGTTCTGGCTGTTCTTGATCCTCCGCATCGCCAAAAACTACGTCTTCTCCAACATCAGGGCCGATGAACGAAGTGACGATGAAGAGGAGGACGAACAGACCGAAGAGGCGCCCAGCGGAGGACAGAAGGTTTTAGAAAACGGCAAAGTTGGTGGAGAGAAACCAGTTGTGCTTGTCAACGGGGAGCCTGTCGAGGGTGTGGCCAAATCAAATGGAGTGCGGGAACGGAAGAGGAAGAGCTGAGGGTATGAAAGCCAGACAACAAGCGTGTAAGAGCACCGGTAGCCTTCTTGTCTACCAAGCAACGGGATTTACTAGGGCGGTAATGGACATATATGTACGAGTAGATTGTAGCGCCCGAGGTTTGATTCTGTGCCAACTTTGAATTTGCTGATGGAGAGAAAGCGAAACTTCTTGATGAATAAAACTGTATTTCCCATGGCCAAAGACGTCTGGTTACGCGCTTGTTTCTCATCAGTAGGTGTTTTTCAGGTTGTTCTTGTTCGTCTCCTTCACCTCCTCCTGCTCGCTTTGCGTTGGTTTACATTCCAACGACCATCGTCATCTTCCATCCACAATCAGGGCTTTAGGTAAGCTGTTTCTTGACCGGAATCCCGACGCCCGTCTCCCTTCCGTCCCACGTAACCTCGCGCCGCTTTTACTTAGGCTAGCTCGCGTCCGGCTTAACGTCGGCTTAGGCTCGGCTAGGCTAGCTTACCTTACTAACTATATCGAGATAGTGACCTAAAAGTCGTCTCTTCTCCAGACTATTAAGTTATAACGAGAGATCTAAAACGAGGCTCTAGAGGGGTTCCCTAGAGACGCACTATAGTACATTACCTTCTCGACTCTACGAGAACGAGTCGGTCTTTATAAACGTAATGGTCCTCGTACGACGTCTCTTATCCTGTTGAGCGAAGCGAAAACAGTATTACAGGGCAACTTCGTCAAAGAAGCCGCGGATTTGATTGGTGCGGAAGAATATTGAGATCCGATTGGCTGTTTTTTCTAACGTCACGTGCCAGTTGGCCTTTGACCAATAAGGTGAGAATACGGACAGCGATTTTCAAAGCGTCTCTATCACTATCACTACCACTGCCACTAGCACTAGCACTACCATTACCACTACCACTACCACTACCACTACCACTACCACTACCACTACCACTACCACTACCACTACCACTACCACCACTACTACTAGTGTCTCGTGCGTAGTATCAGTGCGTAGTGTGTAGTGCCAGTACGCAGTGCGTAGTGCCCGTGCCCGTCTTTTTTCACCTTCAGTCTTTTCGCCACGCTTAGCAGGTCGCCTTAGGGAGTCACGCGGTGAAAACGCCGCCCTACAGCGTATTTTACCTCCGGCGCGAGAGAGGATTCCTAGAAATAGTCCCTCTACCCCTTCTAATGTCTCGTTGGGTTTCTACCTACTCTATCGTCGATTCCCCCCTCCTCTCCGTACCTTCCCTCTCTTTTTTGTCGAGTGACTTGATCTTTATTAACTCTTTTCATGTCCTCTAATCTGGCTCCTAGTACGACTTCTTCTTTCCATTCTTGGCATAGGTATAGGTCTTGGGACACTCAGGAGCCATCAACTATGAGGATCAAGAACGAGAAAAGAAGTTGGAAGGGCCTAAACCCAGACGAGCAGATAGAGGCGGCGTTAGAGGATGGGCTCTCCGGGGATAGTTTAGGGATCGACGGTAACCCTATTCGTGTAAAACTTGCTGAGAGTAGTAAACCGCGGTACGAGGCGATGATGGAGCTTTGGAAAGCGTGCGCCACCATAACAGGATGAATTTGAATCCGGTAGCAAGGTTTATAACATTCTCGTTAAGCGCTGAGGGTCCGAGAAAAGGCTCTGTGGACTTGTTATCCGGTCCAAAACAGGGGCACACCAGAGCCCGGAGACCGAAAATTGTCCCCAACGGGCAACTGCCAGCCGCATCCAGCAATGACCTTCTTAGCGCATTTTACTCGGACCAGAAAAGGATATAGGTTTTGGTATGGTGGAGATCTTCCTGCAAATATCGTGGTATTCAGCGGCGGCGACAAAGCGCCTGGCCTTTGTATCCGTCTGGGACCGTGGCCTGCCGCCTTACTACTTCTAGGAATCTGGTAACCTGGCTCAACTTCGGCTCAGCCTCAGCGGGAGCTGCTCAGTCTGTCACCATCCTCCTCCTCATCACCGGGTCATTGGGTGCTCACGCCATACTTGGTCGGTGTCTCTCTTCGAGGATGTGGAAACTTTACACGACTGTCTACGAGAGCCCAAAAATATATAAAAAAAATAAAAAAATTACAAGAGATAGTTATTGGAACCATTGCTGCAACCAGGCGATCAGTACATCAGACCTGGACGTGCAGTCCCACGCAAGGGACGGCATCCAACGCTGTATTTTGCCTACTGACTGCTCTGGCACGACTCATCACATTGCGTAGCATAAATGATGCGTTATCCACACGATTTATTCGATCCCCACGAATCTGCCACTGTTCACAGTTCTGATTTGCATAGGACAATGGTCTCGTCAGATTGATCTCCACCGTCACACCCTGGCGAAAATGCTCTAAATTCAGGGCCCAGACATTGAGAAGTGGCTGCGAGTTATGCAGCCACTTGAGTTCCAGTCTCCCCGTGTATATACACACATATATATACATAAGAAATGTGCAGACGGGCACTAGGAAGAGCCGAAAATGAGTCTCCTCAAGCATGGCTGCTCTGGCCCCAAATCTGGGTGCTCATCGTGACATCATCCCATCTACAGTAAGAGGTCAGAGTGTTTGCATATCTGGAGCGAATGAATTGCTTCGACTCTTGGAGAGGTGCCTTGCCGCTTTCAGCCTACCACCCAAATGTATCAACCTCAAGCTCGAACGAACAGCGGCCTGATTTCTCTCTGCCGAGTCGGGCCACAACAGCCCTGACGTCGTCACACATGCCAGGTGGTCCGCACACCACAACCCCGATCTTGGAATATCCGAGATCGGCCTGATCGTGTAACAAGCCGCTGATGTCCAACCTTTGCCCGACGACGATTTCCTTGTCGCAGATTTGGTCCAACAAACTAGCCAAAGCTTCAACAAGACAAACGTCGTCAGCCTTGACGCTGTGGTAGAGTTTCACGTTCGGGTGACAGTGGACGAAAGCCAGCAGTCCAGTAATGCCTATCCCCCCGCCGATGAGCAACAGCCGATCACTCTGGAGGACTTCCTTGGTAGGGTTGCAAGGATAAGGGCCTTCAAGAAGTGTGGCCAATTCGTTCCGTGGCTTCAAGAATCGCGTCATTCCTGCCTTTTTTCGAACAAACAGTGTTAATCCTGAATTCTTGTAGGCTTCATGCTGACTTGAAGGTCTCGGAGTCACAGTGATTGGGCGGTTCTTTTCCGGGTCACCGAGAGTGGCTGGCACCGTACCGTCGGTGTTGGGGCGCCCAGTAAGAGCAGCAGTAGGGATAATGGAAAAAGGATGATTCTCCCAAGGCCGAAAAGGATGAAGCGTCGGAAAGTAGACGTAGACGCACTGCCCCGGCGAAGACCACCGAGGTCCTGGAACATCGATGCGAGCAATAGTGTCGCTGACGTCGGTCACGACGGCCTGTTTCACACCCGTCTTCAAGATTCGCCCCACCCGAGCCAGTCGATCAAAGCCCCAGACAGCAAACGTTGCGTATAGGAAAGTCTCGTAGCCGAAGTCTCCCTCGTCATCGGCCCAGACGTGATACCAACATCCCACAAGGCAGACGACAGCCATGACGATATGTGTGAGTAGGAACAGCTCGTACGCTCGTTGGCGTATGACAAGAAAGCTCGTGAGTATAATGATGACAGCTGCGACCGTACCCACACAGCCCCAATACCAGAGCGGTGTATCGACTGTGGAAGAATAATAGCCGTCGTCTTGGTATAGTACCAACGAGAGAATTGAATGGAGAAGAGTTTGGATGAGGAAGAGCCGGGCGATCCATCGATGGAGCAGCATGTAGGTCGAGTGGGACCAATTGGTGAGCCATAATAAGATGTTGTTCCTGCTCGAGAACAGGAACAAGACTGGGAGTTGACAGAATGCTAGAGCACCCGTGCGCCACATCCAGTACGCCATGAGTTCTTGGTAGTGATTTTTGTACCACTGCATCTCTTCATTCGGCCATAATGTCTCATAGCCGATGGTCAGAAAGACAATGTTTAGTATGACGATCACGGCGATGTAACCACTCTGCCCGAGGGTGGGTACGTTGCCAATCAAGAAGGGAAGAGGTCGATCGTGGTAGGTCCCGACTATACTTTGATAGAGCCATGGTTTGATGCGGTCCGTTAAACCAGTCATGAAGGGGAGATATCCGAGCCAGGTCAACACAAGTGGCAGACCGAAGGCTGTGAGCAGGATCGCAAGTCTGTCAAGAGGGATCTTCATTAGCAATGAAACAGAGAGTCGCTATATTGGATCCGACTTGCACCGCTGAGATGCTAGGAGAAGAGACAATAAGAGCAACCACGTACCCGTAGTATGATTCCCGGGCGCTCTCACGGAAAAAGTATATCAAGGTATCTTGGGTGAGTTTCCAGGTGGTGTAAGTCGTGACCATGGTCATGTTTAGCACAAGATCCTCGCCCGATGCTACCACCGTTGGGGGTTTTGTGATGTTCGCCAACGTCTCGCCATAGCTCCACTTTGGGAGTATTTTGGTATCTCCTGTGATCTGCGTTTCCCAAAACTTCTCGATGGTCGACGCCCGGACATTTTCGGGGCAGAACGTGTGAATGCACCAGGCAATAGAGCTTAGGTAGGGAAAATCCGACGCACGACAAAGAGCTAGCTCATGCGCAATTGCATCCGCGGTGGTGAGCCCTCCAGCGCTGATCGCGGAGGAACATTGTAGCTTGTAAGGTGAGAAGGATCGGAAGCAGCCATGACCACAATACGGATTGTAAAATGTAAATCCCGCGATGCCAGCCAAGCCGCTTCTGGTGACTGGTAGTGGGCCAGTAGCTACTACACTCGTGGCCCAACTCAGCGCCGGCAAAAGAACGTATTTCATGACTAACGATGCCGATGACCGTCTGCAATGGCGTTGACACCATGAGCAGGGAATGGGGCCCACGGACGGGTTTTATACATGGTCGGTTGTGCCATAGATGGTCCACACTGCCAAGATGTGTGTGCATTCGGTTGATGAGAAGGGACTGTTGGAACAGAGACGGTGAGGTACTCGACCGATCTTTTCTCGACGTGGACTCTT